TCCGTTACCTTAAGGTCAACACGAGATCCCCTTGACATCACCAACATGAATAAAAACAAAAAGAGGTAACCACCAAGTTTAACAGATAAAGTAGTTGCTATTATATAAATAAAGCAAAAAAAAAAAAAAAAAGTAAAAGGTTAGTAGTGTTCTTTTGCTTTATAAAAAAAAAAAAAGGAAAAGTACCTCCGTTACCTTAAGGTCACTACGAGATGTCGTTACCATTGCCAACATGAATAAAACAAAAGAAGGTAAACACCACTTGTATCATATAGAATAGTCTCTACAATATAAAAAAAAAAAAAAAAGAAGAAAAGAAAAGGTTAGTAGTATTCTTTTACTTTATAAAAAAAAAAAAAAAAGTAGCTCCGTTACCTTAAGGTCACCACGAGATCTCTTTGACATGACCAACATGAATAAAACAAAGAGAGGTAACTACCAAGTTTAACAGATATAACAGTTGCTATAGCATAAATAAAATAAAAAAGGTAAATACTTAGTAATATTCCTTGACTTTATAAAAAAAAAAGTAAGTCCATTACCTTACGGTCAACACGAGATTCCTTTGCCATCACCAACATGAATAAAACAAAAAGAGGTAGCCACCATATTTAACAGATAGAATAGTTGCTATAATATAAATAATAATAATAAAAAGAAAAAGAAAAGAAAAAGGTTAATAATATTGTTTTACTTTATAAAAAAAAAAAAAAGTAACTCCGTTACAGTACCTTAAGGTCAACACGAGATCTCCTTGCCATCGTCAACATGAATAATACAAAAAGAGGTAACCGCCACTTTTAACACATCGAATAGTTTCTACAATATAAATAAAATAAAAAAAGTAGGTAGTTAGTTATATTCTTTTACTTTATAAAAAAAAAGTAAAGTCCATTACCTTAAGGTCACCACGAGATCCCTTTACCATTGGCAACATGAATAAAAACAAAAAGAGGTCAGCACCAAGTTTAACAGATAGAATAGTTGCCATAATATAAATAAAATAAAAAAGAAGAAGAAAAGAAATAGTTTAGTAATATTCTTTTACGTTATAAAAAAAAAAGGAAGTCCGTTACCTTAAGGTCACCACGAGATCTCTTTACCATCACCAACATGAATAAAACAAAAAGAGGTAACCACCAAGTTTAACAGGTAGAATAGTTGCTATAATATAAATAAAATAAAAAAAAAAAAAAGAAAAGAAGGTTAGTAATATTCTTTTACTTTATAAAAAAAAAAAAAAAAAGTTAACTCCGTTACCTTAAGGTCACCACGAGATCTCTTTGACATGACCAACATGAATAAAACAAAGAGAGATAAACACCACTTTTAACACATAAAATAGTTGCTATAATATAAATAAAATAAAAAAAGTAGGTAGTTAGTAGTATTCTTTTACTTTATATAAAAAAAAGTAAGTCCATTACCTTAAGGTCATCATAGATCCCGTTGACATCACCAACATGAATAAAACAAAAAGAGGTAACCACCAAGTTTAACACATAAACTAGTCTCTACCATATAAATAAAAAAAAAAAAGAAGAAGAAAAAGGTTAGTAATATTCTTGTACTTTATAAAAAAAAAAAAAAAAAAAAAAGTAACTCCGTTACCTTAAGGTCAGCATAAGATCTCTTTGCCATCGTCAACATGAATAAAACAAAAGGAGGTAAACACCACTTTTAACACATAAACTAGTTGCTACAATATAAATAAAATAAAAAAAGTAGGTAGTTAGTAGTATTCTTTTACTTTATATAAAAAAAAGTTAACTCCATTACCTTAAGGTCATCATAGATCTCTTTGCCATCAGCAACATGAATAAAACAAAAGGAGGTAACCACCAAGTTTAACACATAAAATAGCCTCTACAATATAAATAAAATAAAAAAAAAGAAAAAGAAAAAGAAAAAGGTTAATAATATTCTTTTACTTTATAAAAAAAAAAAAAAAAAAAAAAATAGGAAAAGTAACTCCGTTACCTTAAGGTCACCACGAGATCCCTTTACCATTGCCAACATGAATAAAACAAAAAGAGCTAAACACCACTTTTAACACATAAACTAGTTGCTATAATATAAATAAAATAAAAAAAAAAGGTTAATAGTATTATTTCACTTTATAAAATAAAAAAAAAAGGATATTTCAATAGTTCCTTACGTTATGTCATGTCAAGAGATTATTTTGTCGTTACTACTAGTCGTTACATTGTTGCTAATGAATAAAAGTAAAAAGGTGAATGTCAGTGTATATAAATAAAAAAAAAGAGTCAGTTGTATCGTTCATTACCAAAAGTCGTATTAACATTAATAGTAGTAAAGAAAAAAAAAGGATAAGGAAAGAGAAATAAAAAAAAAAAAAAAGGAAAAAAAAAAAAGGAGAATTGGGGCCCAGATCTCGTTTTTTTTTTTTTTCTCATAGCTATTTTCGCGTATGTACGCCATCGGAAAGGTTGTTTATCTCTGTATACATCATCTAAAAGATTGTTTATTTCTTCTTTTTTTTTTTTTTTCTTCTGTGTACCATTCGGAAAGGTTGTTTATCTCTGTATGTATCATCTAAAAGATTGTTTATTTCTTCTGTGTACCATTCGGAAAGGTTGTTTATTTCTTCTTTGTTTGGGGGGCCGTTTTTTTTTTTTTTTTGTTGATGTTACTTCTATGGGATACCAAAAGGAGATGTATATCTAATTAATGCATCATCTTTTTTTTTTTTTTTTTTTTCGTTGATGTTACTTTTGTGGGATACCAAAAGGGGATGTATATCTAATTAATGCATCATTTTTTTTTTCTTGTATACCATATGCAACGTTGTTTTACTTTTTTCTTTTTTTCACTTTTGTGTACCATCTGAAAGGTTGTTTACTTCTTTTTTTCTTCTATCCTGTCTATCGTTTCATCCATTCTTTTTTATTCTATCCTGTCCACCCGTTCATCCATTAAAAAAAAAAAAAAAAAAAAAAAAAAAAAAAAAAAAGAGAATTATATTCACTTTATTAAAAAAAAAAAAAAAAAAAAAAAGGTTCTATCTAAAACAAAATATATCATAGTATAATCCATCCTGTCAATATACGTATCATCATCCTATTCATTATAAAAAAAAAAAAATAAAAAATAAAAAAATCAGTTACTTCCTTTTCACTTTACATATGTATACTGTATATGTATATAAAAAGAATCATCATTACCAAAAGTTCATCTTGACATTGTTTGTTCTAATTTGTTCTAACCAAAAGAAAGTATAGAGTTCTATAGATAGACTAGTTGTTATAGTATCTAAATAAAATAAAAAAAAAAAAGTAAATAGTTAGTTAGCATTCTTTAACTTGATAAAAAACAAAAAGAGGTAACGACATTACCTTAAGGTCCTCATTAGATTGTTGTTGCCATCTTGAATAAAAAGTAAAGGAAACGCCAAGTTCAAACAGATAGACTAGTTGCTATAGTACCTAAATAGCATAATAACATAAAAAAAGTAAATAGCTATTAGTATTCTTTTACTTTATATAAAAAAAAAAAGCTAACTCCATTACCTTCCAGTCACGACATTCCTTTACCATCACCAACATGAATAAAACAAAAGGAGGTAAACACCACGTTTAATAGATAGAATAGTTACTACAGTGTAAGTAAAATAAAAAAAAAAAAAAAAAAAGTAAATAGTTAGTCATATTCTTTTACTTTATATAAAAAAAAAGCAAGTCCGTTACCTTAAGGTCAACTTGAGATCTCTTTGACATGACCAACATGAATAAAACAAAAGAAGGTAAGCACCACTTTTAACGCGTAAAGTAGTTGCTATAATATAAATAAAATAAAAAAGAAAAAGAAAAAGAAAAAGGTTAGTAGTATTCTTTTACTTTATAAAAAAAAAAAAAAAAAAAAAAAGTAACTCCGTTACCTTAAGGTCACCACAAGATCTCTTTGACATCACCAACATGAATAAAACAAAAAGAGTTAAACACCACTTTTAACACATAAACTAGTTATTACAATATAAATAAAATAAAAAAAGTAAACAGTTAGTAGTATTCTTTTACTTTATATAAAAAAAAAGTTAACTCCATTACCTTTTGGTCATCATAGATCCCCTTGTCATCATCAACATGAATAAAACAAAAAGAGGTAACCACCATGTTTAACAGATAGAATAGTTGCTATAATATAAATAATAATAATAATAATAATAATAATAATAATAATAAAAAAGAAAAAGAAAAAGGTTAATAATATTCCTTTACTTATAAAAAAAAAAAAAAAAGTAAACTCCGTCACCTTAAAGCCAACATAAGATCTCTTTACCATCACCAACATGAATAAAACAAAAAAAGGTAACCACCACTTTTAACACATAGAATAGTCTCTACAATATAAATAAAATAAAATAAAGTAAATAGTTAGTCATATTCTTTCACTTTATATAAAAAAAAAAAAGTCAAGTCCATCACCTTCCAGTCACCACATCCCCTTTCTCATTACCAACATCAATAAAACAAAAAAAAAAACGTAAACGCCACTTTTAACACATAAACTAATTCCTATAACATAAAATAAATAAAATAAAATAAATACTTGCTCATATTATTTAACTTAAATAAAAAAGAAATGTCAATCAATCATTACCTACTGTCATATGAGATGACATGACTTTTTTTTTTTTTTTTTTTGTCATCACTACTACTTACTGTATTGACATTGTTGCTAATGAATAAAACTAAAGCAATACAATATATAAAATAAAATAAAATAAAATGAAGATATAAAATAATAAAATAAATATATATTCAATAAGATAATAAAAAAAAAGGAAAAAGAAAGGTAGAATATAAAAAAATGGCCACCCAGTTCATCCCCCCCCCCTTTTTTTTTTTGCTCACATCTCTCAAAATAACTTGTTCATATCCCCCCCATCCATGCCCTTTTTTTTCTTCAATCATCAACTAACAACTCTTTTATACATCTATCAATTCAATATCAATCATTCTATACCCCCTCTCCAATCCAAATAACAATCATTAAAATAAAATCAATTATATATACTTCATAACATCAACAATATCAACCCATCATTAAACAATATTAAATAAATAACAACATCATGCCTATTAAACAAAGGGGCTAAGCGTGACTTTTTCTTTGTCATATGTGAAATAAGTGAAGTAAAAAAAAAAAAGAAAGAAAATAAAAAAGGGGCTAAAACGCGACTTTTTCTTTGTCATATGTGAAATAAGTGAAGTAAAAAAAAAAAAAGAAAGAAAATAAAAAAGGGGCTAAAACGCGACTTTTTTTTTCTCAGACCGTGTGCCTTTTTTTTTTTTTTTTTTTTACTCTTAAAATCATGCATCAGAATCGGAGTCATCGTCTGAACAACGTGTCACTTTACGTCATATTGCCATTTAAGGTTATTCTTTTTAATGCTCATATTAACAATATACTATATAAAATCGATCAAATAGAAAAGTATTCATAATGGATTTATCATCAATAATAATCATCATCATCGTCATCATCGATAATCAATTGATTTTTCACATGTGTTGACTTTGAGTGGAAAAACAAAAGTAAATGTCCTATAGACCTTTTACTATGAGTTGAAGTTTTTTTTTCTTTTTAATGCAATAATGTATATTTTCTTTATTTTTTTTATTTGAATATAAAGAAAGATCATACAACAAGCATATAACATTGTTTTTTATGGGTGACTCGGAAAGATAAAGATGGATGATGTTTTTTTCTATTCATTTTTATTATTTACTAGAAATGGTAATTTTTAGAGTATGTACCTAAAAATAAAAATCCAGTTTGTTGGATAGATGGAGATCGGGCCGATTCCGATGATCATGGTTTCTTAAAAAGGAGGAAGATGACAGTAAATGATCATGCGACTTGCTTATCTCTCTACTGCAAAAAAGGAAAAAGAAAAAAAAAAGACTTTTTTATGCCATCCATCATACACAAGCAGTATCAAGATTCTAATCATAATACATATATAGAAAAATAGGATAATAAAAAGAATAAAAGGTATGTCTCATATTTTATTCTGTAACCTAACACAGTACTATATAACTATTTCTATCCATTCTATTCCAAGATTGTTTTTACTAATGTTGTAATGTGGTGGATCAGTATCCTTGGGAAAAGTATTAACAAAAAAAAAAAAAAAGATAGAGAAAAAAAAACACGCTACAGTGATAAACAAAAAAAAAAAAAAGATAAAGAAAAAAAAAACACGCTACAATGGTAAATAAGAAAAAAAGAAAAAGAAAAAGAAGAAGAAAAAGAAGAAGAAAAAAAAAACACGCTCCAGAGGTAAACAAAAGAAAACGCTCCAAAGGTAAACAAAAAAAAACGCTCCAGAGGTAAACAAAAAAAAAACGCTCCAAAGGTAAACAATAAAACACGCTCCAAATGTAAACAATAAAAAATATTTTTTTTTTAATATTATTTTTTTACGCGATGATACAATAACCCATAACACGTCAACCATCATCATCAAATCTTTTCTTTTTTTTTTATATTACATAAAACATTCTACCTTACTAATAAAAAAAAAGAAGGGGGTTACTGTAGATGTAACCTTAATTCATGTTACTGTCATATCATCCAATTAAAAATAGTCATTGATATTTCTAATTGACATTATATAAAGAAAAGTATCAAGTTATACTTTAATTTAATAAAAAGTTTACATTAATATTAAATAAATTATTTCTTTTATTAGTTTTATTCATATTATTATTATCATCATCATTGTTTTTCTTTTTTTTTTAATTCTAATGACTCGAATATATATAAAATACTTACTTTCATCTTGAATAATAGAAAAGAGTTGACTAATTATGGTAATAATTTGAATTGTTACATTTGATAGAGCATTGCAAGCGAAAACACGCTAATTGTTTTGAAATGATGATGATGATAGCGCGTACTACTTTTTTTTTTTTTGTTTACAATGTTAGTATTACCTTATGCAGTCATCTTTAATTTTTTTTTTTGAAACAGATTACACGCTAACACGCTCCTTTTTTTTTTCTCATTAGCGCGTTACTTTTTTTTTTCTTGTTTATTTTTTTTTACGCCTCCTTTATAAACACTCTTTTTTCTTTTTTTCTTTTCCCACCTTTTCTTTCACTTTCTCTCCATTTCTTTTACTACCTTTACCTTTACTTTTTTTTTTTATTCCATCATGTTTTACTTTGTTGCTGAATGGTTTACTTTGGAATATGTTATCAAGTAATTGTCATGACTATACTCTATGTCTTCCCTCGTCTTAAGCACCTGCTGAAATGATCATACATCGTTTTCTTTGGTCATCGATTTCATTTGGCATTGGATTCTAGTCATCATCCACTTTCTTTTTTTACTTGGTGTTGGATTACAAGTCATCATCCATTTCTTTTTTGGTGGTGTATTACATGTTATGTTACTATCATCATCTATCTCTTTTGGTACTGGATTTGTCATTATCATCGTTTGCTTTTTGGTGTTGGATCCCATGATCATCATCCATTCTTTTTTATTTGGTGTTGGATTCCATGATCATCATCCATTCTTTTTTATTTGGTGTTGGATTCCATGATCATCATCCATTCTTTTTTATTTGGTGTTGGATTCCAGTTATCATTATCCTCTTTCTTTTTTTGGTGTTGGATTCCATGATCATCATCCATTCTTTTTTTGGTGTTGGATTCCATGATCATCATCCATTCTTTTTTATTTGGTGTTGGATTCCATGATCATCATCCATTCTTTTTTTTTTTGGTGTTGGATTCCAGTGATCATCCGTTCTTTTTTTTTTGGTTTTGTATTACAAGTCATTTTTTTGGATTACAAGCCATCATCCATTCTCTTTTATGGTTTTGGATTTCAAGCCATCATTCATCTCTTTTTGGTTTTGGATTTCAAGCCATCATTCATCTCTTTTTGGTTTTGGATTCTAGTTGTCATCATCCATCTCTCTTTTTGGTTTTGGATTCTAGTTGTCATCATCCATCTCTCTTTTTGGTTTTGGATTCTAGTTGTCATCATCCATCTCTCTTTTTGGTTTTGGATTCTAGTTGTCATCATCCATCTCTCTTTTTGGTTTTGGATTCTAGTTGTCATCATCCATCTCTCTTTTGGTTTTGGATTTCAAACCATCATCCACTCTTTTTTAAGGTTTTGGATTACAAGTTGCCACCGTTGCCATCATCATCCATCTCTTTCTTTATGATGTTGGATTCAAATGATCATCCATCTCTTTCTTTATGGTGTTGGATTCAAATGATCATCTATCCTTTTTTCTTTCTGGCTTTGGATTACAAGCGATCATCATCATCTCCTTGTTGGACTACAAGTTGGGGTCACAAGCGATCATCCATCCATCCATCCTTCCCTCCTCCTGGTCGTGGGCTTTGGGTCTTGGGTCAAGGCTTTCTTGCCATGGTTTTGGAGTCATCATCACAGCCCTCGATGGCTCCAAAATCGTGGCAAGCGAAAGGGTTTTGGGTCTTGGGTCAAGGCTTTCTTGCCATGGTTTTGGAGTCATCATCACAGCCCTCGATGGCTCCAAAATCGTGGCAAGCGAAAGGGTTTTGGGTCCCGGATTTTTTTTACGGGATATGGGTCATCGAAGATGACCCATATCATTATTATTAGAATTAGAAGTAGCTATAGTATAGTATTTACAACGTCAATAAAAAAGTTTGTTTTAAAAAAAATATATGAAAATTACAATATTACAATATGTGTTTATTATACAATATATGTTTAATGCAATTCAATGTTCATAAAGTATAGTTTTATTAAGTAATATGTGTACTATCTAATAGCGTATAAGTTAATACTGTATATATGTACTTCTTTAAACCCTAAGTAAAGCCAAGTAAAGCTTTATTCAGTAAATCGACTTGTAAAAAAAATTTTTTTCCCTATGGCTTTTACATGGGTGCACGGCGCGCGCACTATTACATTAGGGTTTAAGGTATAATTGTTTCGATTAGAATGAAAGTTGTGGTAAGATGGGTCAGTGATGGATAAATAAACAAATGTACACAAATAGAGTATAAATAAAATTAAGTTGAAAGATAAAAATAAGTTTATTAGGTACATGTATTTTAAAAAATGTTATAAAAAAAGCAGTTCCAATCAATAGTATAGTGCAGTAATAATAAGGTTGATATAAAGTACAAGTTTGATGAATGATGATAATTAACGGTAGACGAGAGAAAGAGAGAGAGAGAGCAAGCAAGGCGGAACGAGACGATCAAAATGATATAGTTTGCACGCTTGTTTTGCTAAGGATGTTCACTAAGAATGTTGATAGTCCCTTTGTCGATTTAGATTCTGTTACAAAATGTGAATCAGTTAAGGTGGTTATGTTTTATGGCGTTACTTATCCTTGGCAAGTATGACGAATGAATGTATGAGGAATGAATAAAGGAAAAAAGTAAAGAAAACAAGTAAAAAATAAAATAAAATGATGTGGAAACGAAATAAAATAAAAAATGAAAAAAGTCCGAATAGATAAAAGGTAGCAATGTATTCTATATTGTACTGTACTAGTGACAGTAATGTATATACAACAGAAAGTAGATGAATTCTTTGTTATTTTCCGTTTTATTGCTGATAATATATGGGAATAGATCGAGTCGAATAGAAATATATAATAAAAAGAAAGAATTAATATGATTTCATACTCTTTCTACTTGCATTCATCTGTGATTTAATTTATTTTTAAGGAACCAGGTACAAAAGTTGGAATGTATAGTGATAACGATTGATAATGTTGAAATAATGTTGAAATAATCAAGTAATAATAACTAAATAGTGATAATGAATATGAATTTTATTAAAGAATGAAATTGATCTTATAAGTAAACTACCAGTAAAAAGAATCACTAATGACCCACAAATAAAGAATGAGAGAAAAAAGATCAAAAAGATACTTCTAATTGATGGTAAAGTCGAATCCAGTTGAATCCTATGATAATATATCCAGTTCATTCATGTCGTCCACCTTTTGGACAGTAGTATGTATCCATTGCTGTTTAATTCTGTTGATCTATTGTTGATCCTATTTTATGTTCGTCCATTTTGTAGATTCTGTTGTATGCCCTTCCATCTTTTTGATCCTACTGTATTCATTTATTTTGTTGATCCTATTACCTGTCCATCCATTCTGTAAATTCTGCTGTCTATCCATCAAGTTATTCCAGATGAATGGCCACGTCGCGTAGTATCCTATTGACATAAAGTTACAATGAGAAGCCTTTGTGTATCTAAATTTCTCTTACATTCAGTAATAATGATTAACCAGAATACCAGGTAGAAAAGATGATAAAGAAGAAAGAATAGTGGCCCTAGGTGGATAGATGTTGTAATATAAAGATCAGCGTCAGAAGAACGTATATATATAAAATAAAAGGAGAAAGGGAAGGTTAGAAAGAAGAAGAAAAGGACTTGTTCTTGAAACTTACCTTTAATAAGACTAAACATTTGTAAAGCCACATAGATAAAAGGAGAAGCATATAGTAAAATAAGTTGGACTGTATAAAAGAGATAAATAAATAAAAAAGAAAGAATAATAAGATTAGAATAATACCAGAGCTATTATCTTACTTTAATCAATCATATTTGTATCTAGAATATAGATTGAAATAAAAAAAAAAAGGATGATATTAATATCGTAGATAAAAATTGATGGTGTAATGAAATAGATTTACCTTATTAAACTTAAGTAATAATATGCTAAATATATATTTGTGTTTGGTTGTTTTAACTAGAAGGTAACTGTAAACACAAACTAAAGAAAAGAGAATGACTCAGTTAGTTCATTGAATACAATGAATACACATAAAAAAGTCTTCTTTTATTTTACTTTACTTTGCTTTGTATTAAAATATAAACGTATAAATAAAAGAAGAAGAAGAAAGAAAAAGAAAAAAAAGTGATAAAAAGAAGAAGAAAAATTAAAACAAACGCGTTCTTTTTTTTTTATTTTTTATTTTTATCTCAGCGGACAAAGTAAAAGATCTGAGGATTGACTTATATCAATGTAGCCCTATTGATTATTAGAGTGAAATGATAATAAGAATGACAATAAATAAAAGATATGATTTAAAAATAAGTAATATGTTTTTTTATTATTGTAAGAATATAACTAGTAAATACTAACTATATAACATAAGAAATCAAATAAAGATATCAATCAACGGTATGTTTGTATCATTTCTATGCTAATTGATATTCAGTTGATATATTGTTGTTGTCGTTGTTGTTGTTAATAATAGTATGTATCCTCCATTTGATTTTGTAACCTATTATTATTATTATTTATCCATCCTACCCATATCAAGTTCATCCTGTTATACATCTTTGGTCTTTTTATTTTTTTCATTAGTGGTTTAAGAGAAAAAGAAAGAATAAGAATAATAAATAATTTATTTATTTTTTTTATTTATTAAAAAGAGTATTCTTCAATAGTTTAAAGATAAATATATATATACGTATTATTATATTTGATGTGTTTAATATATTGAAAGAAAAGTAAAGTAAAAAAAAAAAAAAAAGAAAGGGGAAAAGTATGTGTGTGTGTGACAATGTGACAAGGGTAAGAATCAAAAAAAAAAAAAATTAAAAGTCAGTCGGGTGTGCAAAAAAAAAAAAACCTGAGACAAGTCCAAAAAAAAATAATCTGGAGACAGACCAAAAAAAAAAAAAAGATCTGAGAGACAAAAAAAAAAAAAAAAAAGATCTGAGAGACAAGTCCAAAAAAAAAAAAACCAAGCTTGGGACAAATTGAAGTCCCTGGTTTTCTTTCTTTTTTTTTATTTTATTTTTTCTTTTCTCTCTCTCTATTTTATCCATCTTTTATAGTATCACTTCTAATAACGACATAACAATGTAAAACACAGTGAAATAAAAATACTCTAACTTGAAGGTATAATAAGACTGTAGATATAATGAGTAACTAATAGTTTTATTATTTATATTTAATACACACACTGATATTAATCTAATACACGATTAGACTTAACTTTATTACTCAAAAGCTAATCAATTATGTGCAAAGTACTTTTTTAAAGGCCCTTCTCTGCTTGGTTGGTTTCTCTTGGACGTAGGTTGGACATAAGGTGGACTTTTACAACTTTTTCTTTTTACTTTTTGTTTATTGCTCAACAATCCAACAACCACTGTACCTTTTGGTAATATAGCTATTTATTATAAAGTAAACTGAAAAAGCAAGACTGACTATTTTTTCTTTCTTTTTCTTTTTCTAGTTCATATAAAATCATTTATATAATTGGATCAATCAATAAAAATACAACAAACTAAAAAGGTAGACTCGCTTCAGTATGGACCTATAAATAATATCAATAAAAGAACCTACTCTACTTTTACTATCACTAGGAATCAGACTCCATCGACACGGTCAGCAACGAAGAGATATCATCAGGAACAACACCATAATGATCTAAACTATCTGCTGCAGCACCTTATATCATCCATCACTCTCTCTTCTTCTCTTTGTACAATATATGATACTTGATATAATGGGACTTTGAAAGTAAGCTCAAAAGGAGAACTACGCAGTCGTCTTCTAATCCTACTCTTCTTTTTTTTTTTTTTCTTATCCTTTTAATGCACAAGCTACCTCGACATCTTCACTATCTTCCCACCCTTCTTTTTCTTTTTATAAATTCTCACGCAACTACTGTGATGAAGGTAAATCTTATTATAAAATGAAACATTTTTTTCCCTCTCTTTCTAACCTTTACTACTTTTTTTTTCTTCCCTTTTTGTACTCTATACACAGATGGTCATTTTATAGATCTTGATCTCTTTACTGCTTCAGTGTTATCTAAGTGTTATTCTTTCCTTCTGTCGGTTCTTGTTATTTGATAATGTATGGGCAGTCAATACTGGTCATGGTAAATCTGAAAAAAGAGTATGAAACGGAAATCTAGGTACCCAAATACTTACTAACGCCATTTTTTTTTTTTTAAAAAAAAATAGATTTGCGACTAGGACGCATATACAACAGGACAAGCTGAGTTGATTTACAACTGGATCAACGAACAGAGGATACCAGAGATGGATATGCGATGAATTAATTAGGAGAACTGACGATAAAAAGGAATGGAATATAGTCATAGGATAAACAGCATGGAGAACGACATCAACTGGATGGAGAGATTACAGAACTTTATACTTTTCACTCTTGATCTTATAATACCGATTCTTTGATGGATGGACCTAGTTATAGATAGAGTAGCAAGTATGTTATAATGTCTAGTATATCATCTGTTTCAATAAAGCTATGTCAATATTATACCATTGTGTTTATCATACATGTGATCATTGTCTCAATTCGTCTCGATTATCATCAACAGGTATCATCAACTTACTATTACTGTACTAAGCCAACATGAACCATTATATTACATGATTTATTTTTAGAGAGACAATAAATAATCACCATTCTTACTAGGAATATCTTTTCATCTGACAGCATCCTTGAATTTTTTTTTTAACTTTGAACAACATAACTGGCAATATCTACAGAAAGAGTATGGAAAAAGTCTACAATTGGTACAATATGAATGTCTCAATACGCAAACCTTAAAAACGAGCGATCACCTTACGGAAAAAAGCACACATACATATAACAAATATAGTAATGATGAATTATAGTCAAAAGTCGGTAGAAAGGTTATTCAGATTTGACAACAATGCACCACCAGGCTCTTTACAGTAATAAAGGAAATCTCTGATCGACTGAATGTATGGTAATGACTCATGATGAATGGAATCAGTAGAATAAATTGTAGAATACAGTATAAACATAGTGTATTCATCCATAAACCTTTGTTTTATGGTCATAACTATGACTTTGGACTATTTTTCTAGTTTCAATATTGTAGAAAAAGACGGGTCGTAATATATGCATAAGAACTGTACCACCTCGTATACTAGTGAGCGATCCTGTATATCATATAAATATTTTTAGTATCATTGGCATTAACATCAACATTAATTGACATTATATATCAATTGTTTGGAATATTCTCTTTTGTCTGATGAATACAAAATGGATTCGAAGGTCTTGTACCTTTTTTCCTAATTTGGAAGATATACCCCTTGGGCATGATATAAAAAAGACTTTTCAATCCCGAAAAAAGGCAGCCAACAAGAAATTATATAAAAAGTTGGTTTTGTTTATTTTTTTTTTTTCTTCTCCTCCTTCTCACTATTGTTTTTCTTTGGATGCTTCCTTTATATATATATCAACCAAGCCAAGGTATGAAAATAATAATAACAATAAAGAGGACGTTTGATGCGGTTATTGAGGTACTAACTCAATCACTCTTACCCCTTTTTATCGCGCATGCAATACGTTTTAGTTAAAACAAGCAAACTCAAGTATCTTTAATCTACTATATGATGGATTACTCAGTTTAATAAGGTAGCTCTATTTCATTACACCACCAACTTTATTTAATATTCGTCTTCCTTTTTTTTTTTTATTTTGAATCTATATTGTAGACATATCTGACTCTGTATTGAAATGCTTTGTGTGTATCCTTTCCAAGGCAAATAGTGTCGATGCAAACTGGAGCTCTTCTCATGAGCAACTATTGACGAGCGCTATTTTCCTTTTGCTTTGATATGGGAATGATGAGAATTCATCTACGCCTTTTTCCGAAGCATGCTCCTTAGCATGGGAATATTATTAACCAGCTTGTGAATTTGAAAGGTAAATAGTGCGATAGAGAGAGTGGTTTTACATAGCTCATGGTACTAATATTCTCTTCTTTATGAACATCCATACACTCTGTTATATGGTTATCCTCCAGAACATCTGATCGTTATCACCATTACTTTGCCATAATATCTTTCATTCCAAAAGAAATATTGATACATGAAAACCTACTACCGCGCCTTTAGGTCGATAGAATATGACTAGATGAATATACAGCAGGGCCAACAAGACGAATGGACATATAACAGTAATGAAATACAATAGGATGAATTGGATCAATGAACAACATAATCGATCGGAATGGATACAGAGAGTCATAGGATGAACAACATGGATGAAACACGAACTCGATTAGACGGACATAGGCAAACTACAAAAGTCTCCTCTTGATGATCTTCTTTTGGTTTCGCTGGCTTCTCTATTTTTCTCCCTCCCTCTCTCTCTCTCTCTCTCTCTTTTTTTTTTTTTTTTTTTTACATGTATATCATCTCAATAAAATTTTGTCCATAAAATCATTACTGGCGTTAGTCTCAAACATCTTCGACAATTATCAAATAAAATGAAGAGAAAGCACATGAAATAGTTCCATACAATCTCTTTTCTTGTTGTTGTTATAGTCAAAGCACACGAGAGAAGAAACATTGGAGGGAATTGAAGAATTGACATTTATGATAATTGTGGATAGTATGATAGAAAAAAAAAGTATTTGAATTTGACAGTATGATGATGACGATATTCTAGTACGCCATGCGAAAACAAATAGATATGTAATTGTTTAATTCCCTTAAATAAGAATACAATAGCCTGTATCACTTTATTCCTATGATGTTGGCAGTGAGTGGTAATTGAATACTAGAAAAGATGATAACGACAATAGTGGCAATGAAGATAATGTTTTTTATTCAAAAATAAAATAAAAGAAAAAGATAACTGGGATATATATATATATATATATGTATGTATGGAGAGGAAAGGGAAAAAATGTTTCATGGAAGAAAAAAAAATCTATATGTTATGGGAGAAACTATGCTATTGGAGGGAAACCAGAAGGATCAGTCTGTCGTGTTGTTTCACCTTGATCGTCTAGAGCTTTCGGTGGATTCCGTAAATACATCCAATGATAATACTGCATTCGATGTATTTCTTGAGCATTTTCAGAAGTACTAATATATTCTCTGAATTGTGGATATTGTAACAAGTCTAAAAAGTGTAAAGCGTGAGGATACCTAAAAAGAACATTATTCAAAAAAAAAAAATTATTAAATCTAAAAAGTCTCTATATTATACCTACATCACAAATTTGGCATATTCAGGTTGTTTCCAATACATTAAGTATTTGAGATAATTAATAAATTCAGGATCTTTAAAGTATTGTTGCTGTGCTAGATCTATTTTAAAATAAAAAGAAAAAAGTGGATGTACTTTTAGACTATTTTCTTTTTTCTTTCTTTCTTTTCCTTTTCATTACTGTTCAGGTACCAAGGATTTGCTAAACATTGAATAAACTCTAATTCTATTTGAAATCGGTTCTTTTCCTGGTCTCCATTGGTTGTCATTGGTTGTATTGAGCGTTGAGGTGGGATATTTAAGGAAAAGGAAGAAGAAATAAGAAAAAAATGCTTTCCCTCAAAGAGAAAGTAAAAAAAAAAAAAAAAAAAAAAATTCACGCTCCGTTTTTCTTCCTACCATAATCAGCTCTTGTCAAAAAATTTTGCCATTTTTTTTTTTTGTCATGTCTTCTTCTTTTTCTTATACACAACGTATCCAGCAACTGGCTCAACAGTGGAAATCAAAACCGAAAAAAATAGAAAGACTCAGCAAACAAGAACTACGTCAACTATCTATCAATGAACCTACCAATCTTCAAGTCAAACTGGCATCTAGTCCTTATGGTAACAAGGATATATTATTGTTATACAGCATGACACTCATTTCTTTTATTATTACTATTATTATTGTTTAGCGGCAATATTAGCGTCACCAATTAGATATTGTACTTTCCATCGAAAACACTTTCCTTCATGTAAGTAGTATACTGGATACTCTCCAAAGTATGAATCCCATTCGAAACTCAACCGACGTTTGTTTTTGCAGATCTCCTCATGAGATTTGGTATAGGACTGCATCCGACAACGCGAAAACAATGGGCGTATCCAACTGTTCAACCTGATCGACGACAAGATAATATTGGAAAAGGTCATTATGTGAAACTGAACCATGACGTATTAGAACAAGTTCAACGAAAAGGTAAATTTTATCACACACATTCGAAAAGGGGTTAAGATAATTTTCTCATTCTTTTATGAATATTAAATGACTTCTTTTATTTACTTCCTTTTTTTTTTTTTTTTAATAGAACATAAACGATTATTTCGAGGGCAGGCTGAATATGCTCCCGGAATGACAAGCCATATTGAATCACTCATGATGGAATGTATCCTCCAGGACATGGCACGTACGGAATATATTTCTATCAAGCAAGATACCACATTGGATGCCTATGACTGGAATGCTTATCAATGCATCTTGGTCCTGTCAGATCAATGGTTTGCAAAGTTGAATGAATCAACCTCCCTCACCTGCTATGATCTCTCAAATCCGAAATGGAAACCTCTGCATGACATGCTGAGACCCTTGACTAAGTACGATGCTGTAGCTATTCCCAAAACTCTAGATACTGTTAGTTTAGCCATTCAATTATTTAGATTCCATCAATTGATCAACTCTTCCCTATCATCCACTTCTTCATCGCCTTCAATAAAAATGAAAAGAAAATAAAATCAGGATGTTGTTTATTTGAATTATGTTTATAAAATATATATTTCTAGAATATATCTATATATATGCTATAACTGAAGACTACCAGGAGAATCTTGACTACAACAGCATGTATTTTTCATAGAAAGATATTTTGTATAGACATCTTGCCACCCAGATACCTTGATTTGTGTCCCAAAATAAACTTGACCAAGTTGATTGATAAAGCCACGATCTTCCCATGGATCTAACCCTAATCGCAACATATCTTGAATACTAATCATCACCACTGGTTTACCATTTTGCTGTTGTTCAGTTTCATCATCAACATTTTCTTCTTGTTGTACTTGATCATAGGTCATAATCATTGTTTGTAGACTATATATCAACTGATAAGATAATACATGGAAAAAACTATGTTTCATCATACACCATATATATAACAACAAACAATTGATTAGATATACGTTTCTCCTTTTTTTTTTTTTTTTTCTTTCTAACATCTTACCCAATCAAAGTGCCATTGAGAGGATCTGTTGTCAAAGATGAGGTTGTTGAAGATTGAGTAAAAGATGACATTATATTAGAGGATTGGCGATAAGAAGGAAATGAAATAGATGACTGAAGTGCAGTATCCATTATCACCTGGGTATCAATTTCTTCAGCATCTTGTCCTTGCAAAAGATCATTGTCGTTGTTATCGTTGTTTTGATCGTCATCGACATCGCTTGTTTGTAATAGTGGAGATGTTGTATCGTCTAAAGTATGAATAGAACCCCCTTTCCTTCGCTGATGCTGATATTTCCATGATTGGTTTTGTAAATTTGATATTGATTTATTTCGTCGACAACAAGAAGAAAAAGGATCAATTCCGTGTTTTAATATACTTGAACAATCGATAGAATTCCACCATAGAGCCCATTGATATCGATAGGATGACAGTGATGATAATGAACCAGTAGTTTCTGGCTGTTGTGATGACGAGGAGAAAGGTAAAAGACGTTTTAGTAGATCATATCTTTCCAAATCTGCAGCATTGACTTGAATGGATGATATAGTGGTCATTGGTATATTTGGTGTCATTGTATTGGATGGTGGTAATTTGATCAATACATCATACAAGTCTTTCTTGATGTCAAATATGGTGTCCGAGGTACCTTTTTCAAAAATAAACAAGGGTTCAGCCGTTCATACAATATCTATTCAACAACATGACTTACATGCAATATAACTTGAATCTTGTTCCGTTTCCAATGTGACAATATCGTTGATACCGATATTAAACTTTGGGATGATATCTTTCTTTTTGTTGGTTGTAGAAGAGATTGGGCCTTGCCAGTGAGTCATCAGGTAAGCATTGTAGACTAAATATCAAAAAATTTAATATTGTTAATTGTTATTCACTTCTTTCTAACATATTTACCATAGTGACAGAGTTTTTCCATGGGCGGAGAAGGAGACATTAACAAGATACGCTGTTTCAAAAGGGTAGATTTCCAAAGTACAAATAGAGTAGGCCCAAACGCAACCACCATGTCACTAAAAGAATGAGAAGGATCTTGAGAATGTTGTTCAAATTGTTTTTGTGCAGTTGTGGACGGGATAGATTGGATATAAAAAGAAATGGCTTGAGAAACGGAGTCAAAAGGTCGAAAAAAACGAATATCCATGGGAACCGACATACTGTAATTCTGTTGTAGTCTTGCTGTTGAAGGAGCTGAGATAGTGACTGGTTGTCGATGAATATCATAATAATTTTTCAAAGTTGAATAAACTGGATCGGGTGGGACTTGCGTTGGATCCAGAAGTCTATAGAAGATAAGAACATAGAATATCAGTCTACAAAGTATAGTTTTGTATTGTCTTTCTTTTTTTTTTTTTTTATTACTCTAGTTGATTTTCCAAAAATGATATGTGTTGCCATAGTTCAAAAGGTTGACCATGTGCTGGAGGAGCAGTTAGTATACCAATGGCTTGCATATTTGCTCCTCTATCTTGTTCGATGACTTGCTTTCGAAAGACGCCTACACCAAAACCATTTTGTCGTGAAAAGTAGCTAAGACAGAAAAAGAAAATAAAAGGATAAGTATGAGAACATTATTTCAACGGTCTTACATTATGTCCTTATCTACTGCATGCAAACCACTACATATGGCTTGATATTCCACACCTTGAAGGTCAACGTCTACAATGAAAAAAAAAAAAAGTAATGACCTGATCAGTTGTCTAATATGTTTTTTTTTTAATGTCCTTACCAAAGGGATATTGCCAAACAAGTTCATTACCACGATGCACATGAAATCGTACTAGAAATATGGCGATAATATTATTGGGAACGTTTATAGAGAGACTTGCTTGTTCATTAAAAGTCGTTGGTCCACCAGTATTTGTTTTTGTATTGGAATTGTTCGAGTTTTCTGGTCTGTATAAAAAAAAAAAAGATGACGTTAAATAAATCTTGTTTTCTTTTTCATAGTTTTCTTACAAGGATATTGAATCCATCACGTAATAGTATTCGATTTTAACTGGTCCCAAATTATTATTATTATTATTATTATTTTAAAATGGTAAACGTGAAAGAAGAAAGAAAAAAAAAATTCAAAGGGTTTATAACTTGGCGTATCCCCTTTTTCAAAGACCGGTAAGTTTACTATTTTTCACACCGCATAACTTATGCTCCACAAAGTTTGGAAATCCGAAGAGTACCATGGTTCATTTTCTTTATACATCCAATAAAGATAACAAGTAAATGAAAAAGCTTTATTTAATATATATAACTAATCTAATCTAATCCTCTGATGATCTCATTTTTCCTTTTTCTTTTCGTGAATTCAGTTGTGTAGAACTTTCTTCATCTGGTACTTGTTCCATTCTGCTTGTTGTTGTCGTTGTTGTTGATGTGTGATCATCCACCATATCATTGTTATTGAAATCAGTAGAAGAGATATTGGAAGTAATATTATCATTTGTTGATCCAGATTGATGTTGATTTACCTCTGATACTTGAGGCGGTAAAGCGCTAAGAGCACTTGCTAAATATTGCATACTTGCGAAGATTTGTGATTGCACCATGTCCAGCACCCGCAAACGCTCTTCCATACCTTCTCGTGTTTCTGTTGATAGTCTTGTCAATTCTTCATTTGTTAGTTCTGGTGGTATTCTGCTGCTAATATCACTTGATGTGGTATGACTAAAGTTGGCGGTAGTATAGGGTGCGAGGGGGATCAAACCAGGAATATGAATAGGAAGATGTTGTTGATCAGTAGTATTCGCAGTAGATGGACCATATACACCAAATGTTGTTGTTGGATTGAAAGTTGATCCAGAGCTTTGAATAAACGGATATGCCTGTGAATGACGAAGATCATCATTGGCAGGTGCAGAACTAGACGATGTTGCGTTTGTATCTTGCGATCTTGATTGCATACTTTCTTGTATTCGGTTTATTAATTGTTGGTATTGTTGAGCTTGCTGTTGTTGTTGTTGTTGTTGTTGTTGTTGTTGTTGCTGCTGCTGCTGTTGTTGTTGTTGAGTTTGTTGCTGCTGTTGTTGAGTTTGTTGTTGTTGCTGTTGTTGTTGAGTTTGCTGTTGTTGCTGCCGTGGCTGTTGAACCTGTTGTTGTTGTTGTTGTTGATTCCCACCATCTGCTTCAGAAAGTACAGATCGTCTACAGGTAGGACATGTTTGCTGTCTTTCTAACCAACTTCGTAAACAATGGAAGTGAAAAATGTGACCGCAAGGTAATTTCTTTGGTTGATCCAAATTGTTGACATTGTTGACGTTAGTTTCTCCGGGAGCTTGGTTCGTTGTTGTAGTGGTAGTATCATTGGTTGAATTGGAGTAGGAGACATTTGGCGGATTTGCATGCATTTCTTCACGGCATATAATACATGTACTATCACTTGTTTGAGACAAATCACCAATTGTAGCATTAGGATAAAGTTGATCCATATTTCGAGTGGCACGTCTATACCGATAAAGGTCCCGACATTTTTGAATAAATGATCGAAAAGTAACATAAACATCCCGGACAATATGAAGTGGAAGTTGATAATAAAAACAGATAATCACAAAGAAGACAATGTATGTTATCAGTTTCATAAAGTCTATAATAAAAGAAAAACAAAATCAAGATCACATTATCATTCTTATTGTTTTCTTTTCTTTTTTATTATTATTACTTACCAGTTAACAAGTCAATAAAAAAGACATACATAGATTTGCCTTCCCAAGGTTCAGTACTACGTAGATCAATGACATTCAAGGTATATTTGCAAATACTAGAAAGGATGGTACATAACATAATAGTATACTATAATAATAATAATAATAAATCAAGTTAATACATAATAAATATATAATTCATATAAATCAACTTGCCTCGAATCCAAACATGATCATCATATTTGGCCCCTTTGTCCAAGTAGAGTGAATAGCGTGAGAAGCAAGAGAATAATCCAATAAAAATAACAGTATCATCATATTGACCATTCGTATATGAAAAAGAGTTCCATGATTTGGTCTTTGTTCCATAAACTCGACACGATCTTGACATAACCAATGAAATATTTTTAGGAAAAGTAATGTTGTAAAGACTACTACAAATTGTAAATCAAATTCTTCACGAAATATTGTCATGGCTAAACACGTTTCTGTCACGGCATACCAAGATCTTTCATACAAGTGCTATATATAAAATATAAAAGATGAATAAAAAAAAAAAGAAATAGATGATAATAATAATAATAATATTTTCATCTTACCTCTACTTCAATAGCTCGAAGACTTCCAAAAAACACAGCCTGTAAAGTTTTTCCAGCAATAATGGATAAAAAGAGTCCCATGTTCAATAAGATCTGGAAAAAAAAAAAACATCAAACCAAATTATAGTTAATAATAATAATAATAATAACAATAATATATAAAACTTACCATCATACAAGCACTGGATTTTGATAGGTATACGCATGCTGAATAAAAGTTGGCACGTTGAGTAAAAGCTGACAGGATGACACCAACTGCAAGTATAGATGACACGCCACCATAGACAGCGAGCCTCATTATATGAGTATGTGAATATATGAAATAGAATAAAGAAGAAGAAAGTATATAATATTACTTTTTTTTTTCCTTGGTAAACTAAGAAGAAAGGAAAGAAAAGGAATTAAAAGAAAAAAAAAAAAAAAGAGAGAGAATGCCACGTTCAACTCAAGGACAAACTTCGCTCCGCATCATCACTTTTTTTTTTCAACAGCCAATCAAAATAATTCACCCTGCTCCTGAAACACCGAACCCGCTTGGATTTTTATTATAAAAAAAAAAATAATTTTTTTTTTTTACCTTTTTTTTTTTTCTTCTTATTTTATACATATATGTCATATATTCATGTCCACATTTGATAATGGTATAGTTGATGATGAAAATACACACCAACAGGAACAAAGAACTTTAGAAACTATACCCCAGATCACTTTGACTCCAGTATCTGAACAGGACACTATCGTCCCTTTATCACCTACAACAACTCCAGTACAGTTAAAGAAAAAAAGACCAAAACCTCCAAGACCTCCTCCTATTAGTACAAGTTTATCTCTTCCTAAATTATCCAAAAGTCCAAAGTCGGCATCTCCAACGGCAACTACTACTCCTTTACCACTTACTCGTGATTTATTACAACGAAAAAATAAATTGGATAAACTAACTCATGAACGACAAAATACTTTCAACTCACCTATTGATGAAAGAGTTACTCAAGGATTAGGTATTACTTTACCTTCTTTACAAACTTCAGCGACAACTATATCATCAACAACAACAAACTCAGTTCCAAAACCAAATATTGTTCAACACTTGAATCCTTTTGGTCACCATAGTCATTCTCCTTCTACCAGTCCACCTTTATCCCCAAATAGCAATAATACCCATAATTATCCTCATCGTAGACATAGACGACAATTATCTTCATTGGATTTGAAAACAACTACTATATCTTCTTCCTCTTCCATCAATGAATTATCCTCTGGTATTCCTTTATCACCAAATCAAAAGCAACAACTTCAATATCAACCTATTCCTCCACCACCTCTCTTATCTTTGTCCAATTCTCATTATTATCATTTTACTTACAACCACTCCACTCTTCATCATCAACAACAAGGCAAATATAGTCATCCTACCACTGATCATCATTATATGGGTGCACGCAAACGAAAACTGCAGCAACAACAACAACAACAACAACAACAATTCAGTTATGGTGATACATCCTTTCCGTCTTTATATTTTCAACCTACCTCTTCAGTTCCTGGACTTGCTGAAAAGATACTTTTTTGGTTATACGAAGCTGCTGATCGAGTAGTTCATGCTCGTGCTCCAGAATCAAAAGCCATAGCCTACCTTGAAACAGATGATCTTTTACTTTTATCCACTACCACTGTACAACATGAACAACAACAACAACCAATATCGCCGACATATTTTGATGAAAAGAAAATAGATCAACCTTTATCACCAACTCCTTCTACGTTGACTACCTATATGAATGAAAAGAAAGATCAGTTGCTCTCATCATCTATTGATCCGAATATACTTGATAAGACTGACATCAACAATCATAGTGACAACGACGACAATAATAAAGCATGTTCCCAATATTATGAACTACTTCAAGGTCGGTCTTTACGGTACTTTTCTTCATCAAAACATTCGGTTCGCTTCTATTTATGGAAACATTTGATTCGGTCCAGGTAAAATAAATGAATCTCTATTCAAAACTTTTTTTTTTTATATTGACCTTTATATATATATATATTATAGAAACTATGAAGTATTTATGTTGATGGTTCTCATTTTCCATTGGTTGATATTGGCTTGTCATCCTATCTATGATAATGCTCAAAAAACAGTTTTCCATGGTCATTGGCATGAATATACTATTCTTCTGATCCAGATCATCTATACGTAAGTCAAAACTATTTTCCTTTATTTTATGTTTTGACTTTTTTTTTTATGACAATGACAAATATATTACTTGATTATTCATCTTTTTTTTTTTTTTTTTTTTGAAAATATTCTTACAGATTGGATTGTGTTGGCAAAATCATTGTATATGGTTTATGGATCCCTCCTGATAATCGTAAATCTGGATATCATTTATTATTGGAACCTCTTGTGACTTTTCTTACTTCCCCATGGACAACTGCACCAATGACAAAAAAAGCTTTATATGAAGATAGCAATCCTATCTCGAATGACAATGCTATCAATAAGTCATCATCGTCACCATCATCATCTCGACATACCATGCACCATAAAGCCTATTTGAATTCGTTTGGTAATGGATTAGATTTTGTGTCCGTCATTTGTTACTGGGTTGATTTTGGTCTTATGCTCTATGGTTATCCATATATCTCAATATTCAAGGCTATGGCGGCAACAAGACCTTTACGACTTTTATCTGTTTTGCCTGGAACTGCGGTAATAGATTTCTTTTCATTCATTGTATGAATAACTAGAATGTTTTTACTAATTCTATTTTCTATTTTGCCCCAGGTCATTTTGAAATCACTAGAAACAGGATGGGATCTCATGTTGGATGTTTCTGGATTCTTATTCTTCTTTATGTTTTTATTTGCCATGTTGGGTCTCATCTCTTTTCGTGGAGTATTTTCTAGACAATGTTATTTCTTTCCTGATGGGTCTGATCAAGGCAAGTCCAGTGTTAATCGTTATTATTATTATTATTATCATCGTTTATAATTTAATTTTTTTCTTTTTTATTCCATTCATTTCATATAGCCGCACTTGTGGAACCTCCAATGTACTGCTCAGGTTATTACAATGGTACAACAATTGTAGGACCATTTGATATTACAATACAAGCCAACACATATCCAGGTTATCAAGGATTGATATGTCCTCATGGTCAACAATGTATTGCGGATCCATCCAATAATCCTAACAATGGATATATGAATTATGACATGATCTTTTCGGCCTTACTGAATGTATATACGTTTGTGTCAATGGAACTATGGACAGATATGATGTATTTGACTCAAGATGCTGACTCTAGATTAGCTGCTCTGTTTTACTGTATTGGTGTCTATATCATTGGATTTATTCTCATATATTTGCTACTGGCTGTAATCACTTCAGCATTCGCTCGTGTCCGTGCAACTTCTGGCTCTTCCAGTGCTTTTACGAAAAACAGATCATCTTCATCATTTACCTCTTTACGACATCAGCATATTCTCCAAGTTCTTCATCCAGGAGAAGAAGATGAAGAATCTGTAAGAGCAAGAAATAACACAACTGAACCATCATCCTCTTGGGCTCATGTTCCACAACAACCACAAAAAAGGAATTTGAATAATCATTCGACGGCAAGATCAACACTGAATCAATGGAAACGATGGATTGTTCGTTGGGTACAAAGCAAAACGTTTTTCTATTTTGGAGGTGGACTTGTACTTTTGGATACTCTTTTTATGTGTCTTCGGTCAGTATATGCTAGTGAATCTATGCTAGATTTCCTTGGTAATGAAGAAAATAATAATAATAGTAATAAAATATATGCAGATACTAATTGATTTTTATATATGTTTCATTTTTCATAGACAATGTGGAAACTGCAATGACATTTATATTTGCTATTGAAATCGTGATCCGAATGATGGGTGCTTTGAATTGGTTACAGTTTTGGTCGTCATTCAAGAACAAATTTGATTTGTTCTTGGTAATTATTACTTGTGTGATTCAATTACCTGTAATTCAAGATCATCCTGCGTATATGTATTTGACCATCTTTCAAGTTCTACGTATGTATCGACTCTTTTTATGTATTCCCCGATTGGAGAAACTGTTGGTAAGTATACAGAATAAAAATTAAAAAAAAAGAATTTATTGACTGTTCTCTTTTAGAATGCTGCCTTGGGAACTGGTGAAAGTGTGATTAATGTAATCATCTTTTTGTTATGGTCTACTGCCCTTTTTGCTCCTATTTTTATGCAACTGTTTGGTGGTGACTTTGTTGGATTCATGGAACCTAATGATGATCGTTTACGCTTTGATACTTTTTGGCAATCCTTTTTGGCTTTGATCATGGTAAAATGATGTTGTTATAATGATCATACTATGAAAATTTTATCTCTAATTTTATTTTTATTTTTATTCATCTAGTTGTATACCAGTGAAACGTGGACCGTAAGATTAAAAGAATTGTTTTCTTTATAGACTTTTTCATTATCTCTTTCTTTCTTTACTTTCAATAAAATTAGGGTACTCTTTATGATGCAATGCAAAGCCAATCTCATGGTGGTGCCGTTTATGCTGGTATTGCCATGTGTCTTTATTTTGCATTTGCTCGATGTAAGTCAATAACATATTTCAATATACACTTATTATCATAACTCACTTACTTTTATCTCTCTGTTGGAAGATATTGTGGCTGGACTCTATATTGCCGTGATTCTTGAAAATTTTGAATTGGATGACGAATACATTAGGAAATATCAATTCAAGCATTTCATCCGTGAACGATTAGCTCATCAAAAAGAAGAAACAGCAACTCCTTATTATCAAACGTAAGGAATAAGAAAGGAAGGATATACATGAATGTACATTAGGGATAAATAACCTTCCATACCCTCTACTTTTTTTTCTTTTCTTTATACTTTAGTATCTTCCGGTTTTTATTTGGAAAAACGGTAGACAAACAAAAGCTATTATCATCAACTTCATCCTCAGCATCGATTCAAATCTCCCGACTACCCAGCAATTTGACAGCCTCTTTATCAAAGGAAGACATGCGGCAACTTTTATTATTGACAGAGCAAGAACAAAAAAGCAAAAAAATAGATGAAGTAGCAGTACCTAAAGAACAAGAAAATTCCAAGTCAAAACGTACAACTTGGATGCCAAAGAAAATATCAAGATTTGTTGGCAATGTTCTCTTTCCAGATATGGAAAATGTTCATATCTCCAAATTGTAAGTCATCATTATCATCAAAAAAAAGTGATACAAAGTGAAAGCGAAACTGATTCCTTTTTTTTTTTTTTAATTGATGTTTATCATGATTACCTTGTCTATATAGGAACAAAGGAATCACAAATAGCGACGGAGCAGATCAAGGAGAAGAAGATTATGATATGATTGTAGCTGAAGAAAATCGACAAGCAAGACAATTTGCCAAGGAAAGATCACGACCAGTCAAATCTTTATTTCTGTTCTCGGAGACCAATCGAATTCGACGATTCTGCAAACGACTAGTAGGGTCATGCCGCGATGGACAAGCTGAACGACAAAATGGATTCAATTGGTTTATCATGGCATGTGTATTGGTAAGCATTTTAGTAGTCATTCTAGACGAACCATCGACAAGAAAACTGGAATTGCAGCAACAAAAGCATCTAGGCAACAATTTGCAACAGCTAGTACAACAACAGACGAAAACACAGATATATGAAATGATTGATTTTGTGATGGGTATTGTCTTTGTGGTGGAAATGCTTCTGCGGGTAATTGCGGATGGTTTGATTCTTCCTCGACGGGCGTACTTGCGACATGCATGGAATCGACTGGATTTTGTGGTGATTCTTCTCAACTTTGGTACTCTGTTCTCCAATAATGATCAACTTCCACGTGCTTTGGGAACAGTGCGTAGTATGCGTGTGCTTAGGCTAATTCGATATTTTGGTGGTGTGCGTGATGTTTTTATCGATTTGTTCCATGCTTTTCCTTTGATGATGGACGCTATGCTGCTGACATTCTTGGTGATGATTCCTTTTTCGGTATATGGTGTCAATATTTTTGGGGGGCGATTCTATACGTGCAACGATACCGAGGATCCTAATGTGATGACTTTAGGTCGTGCAGCATGCGTGAATGAATTTGTATTGAATGTGGGTGCTGATGACGATTACAATCTTCCAATTTTGGTCCCTCGTACTTGGCAAAATCCTGTGATGAATCTATATTCCTATGATGATTTTGGTGTTGCCTTGCGACATGTATTTTCCATGACATCCACTGAAGGTTGGGTTGATTCAATGTTCTTTGCCATGAGCACACCTCCTGAAAATGATATGCTACCAGTGTTTGACTGGGATTCTCCTATGATCTACCATTCTATTTTTTATGTGGCCTTTATGATTATATCTCATGGTACAGTACAACTATTTGTGGGTGTAAGTATTAGAAAGACATGAATATGTTTATATATAAAAAATATAATAATAGTAATAATAACAATAATAAAGATGAATGCTAACGAACTGATTTTATAGGTGATTATCGAAAAATTCAAACAAAGAAGTGGGATTACGACCTTAACTTTTGCACAACGACAATATGTGGATTTACAACGGCAATTAGCAGAATTGAAACCTACCATGAAAGTCTTTCGACCTTCCTCACGGATTCGTGCATGGTGTTATGATTTGATAGGCGATCGACATAGTCTTTTCAATAAAAGTATGACGATTATTGTTATTTTGAATATGGGTAAGTAAAAAAAAAAAAATAAGTTTGGAAATAGTATTGACAAGATGCTGATCACTGTTTTCTTTCTCTGGTAGTGATGATCGCAACAGAATTCTATGATGAACCTGATTGGCTGGCAAACTTGCAAGATTATGCCTATCTTACTTTTGTGATTATATATGTGTTGGAAGTCATCATCAAGATGTTGGGACTTGGAAGAAAGAAGGTAAAAAAAAAAAAAAAAAAAAGAAAACTAGATTAATATTTTTCTATTTCTCTTGGTACCCCTTCTCAAATGATCTTTTTTCTTCTTCTTATAATAGTGGTGGAAAAGCAAATGGAACATATATGATGCTTGTATTGCTATTTGCTCATTTTCATTGGTAATATGTCGATTTGTGTCTCCTGCTCTCTGGTCATTACGTGCTGAACGGTATTGCCTTGTTTTTGCTGCCTTTCGAATTGGGGAAAGTGTAGATGCATTACAGACTTTATATCATACTATTGGGTAAGTTTATTATATATATATATATATATATATGTTTGATATTCATATGAATACTTCCCTTTTTTTTTTTAGAATGGCTATGCCAAGTATCATTCGTGTATCTGCTGTCTTCATGTTGGTGATGTGCTTATTTGCAATGATCTTTATGGAATTCTTTGGATTGACGAAATATGGTCAGGCTGGATCAAACAATAGCAATTTTAGAAATTATGGGAATGCACTCCTATTACTCGTGAGGATGACAACTGGTGAAGGTTGGGTATGTTATTTAACTTGAGTGAAAAATATTCATTTATCAATCTAATATTATTGTTTATTATTCTTTATTAGAATGAAGTGATGATGGATTATACGTACTCAGCACCGAATTGTGTGGCTTCTTCGAATTACTTGGATGATGATTGTGGTTCTGCCAATTGGGCTTACTTTTTATTCAACTTTTTCTATATTACTTGTACTCACATTTTTTTGAACTTGTTTATTGCGGTAAGATATTTGCTTTAATAATTGTACAGCTATTGCCTCGTATACTTATCTCTCTCTCCCTTTTTTTTTTTTTTTTTTTTTTTTTTTTTTTTAGGTGATCATCGCCAATTTTGAATATACTTATGAAACTCGATCTCGTTTTACTCTGATTACCAAGAACGACTTGAGAAAGTAAGTAATTTCTTTTATTCTTCTCCACTTTTTTTTTGGATGAAATAATACAATCGTATTGATATTTTATATGTATTTATGATATAGATTCAAACATGCATGGGCAGAAATAGATCCAGAAGGTACAGGTTTCATTAAAAAAGAACAAGTAGCGAAATTTTTCAAGGTATGTAGATATAAATATGAAATCATAATTTATCTTACTAATTTTTTTATTTATTTTGTTTTAATTGTAATATGAAGCATTTGACTGGTCGATTTCAAGTTAGTATTTATGATCAAGTCTTTAGTATTCGACAATTACAAAAACTAAGTCGAATGGAAATGGATATTACTTCCCTTACTACCAATTCTCGTCAGCATCAAAGCCTTCATCAACGAATCCCTTCTTATGACTCCACATCAACAAAATTCGCCGAGAAGGACAATATTGTTAATGATAACTATTACAATTATCATCAAGTGAATCGACGTTTGGCACAAATGGATACTGTTGAACTTGAACAACGACGAAAATATTACAATTTGCTCTATATGGTATAAAAAAAAAACAAGTAATTCTTTTTGAACTCAATAACAGACTAATATTTATTTCTTCATATTAGGAAATCGTGGATGCCGAAACAAGTAAAGGAATTGCATTCTCAGATGTGCTTCATATCATGGCATTTCGTTTTGTGGATATAGAAAGAGCTCTTACGTAAGTCTCTTATCTTATGCTACATTTCATGTCACTGATCGTCTTTTTCTTTTTTATTGTTATTATTATCATTTTAATGATAGGTTACACCCTTTGATGGATCGCTTGGAAAAATTGGACGAATTTAACAAAAAATATGCAGCTGAAAAAGCAAGAGGGGTATTTTTGACTTTGATTCAACGGAAACGGTATTTGCGACAACTATGGCAGAAACGGAATCAACAAGAACTTGAGCATATGGCATTGATGAACGATGTCCCAGCATCACCAATACCAACTCATCGCTTTTCTTCTCCAGGTATATTACTTTTCATTAAAAAGAAAAATAGGTTGATTGACAATTTGTATTGGTTATTATAGTGGTACCGACTATTACTGTGGAAAACGTGGAACAAGGATATCATTCACCTGCTCATTTATCACCTCGTTTATCGTCTCATTCTCACGGTCTATCGGATTTTACATCAGGACTTTCTCTGGAGAATCAATATACATCGTCACCTGCTTATGATGATGATACCATGGATGGTAGTGGATTACCTACTTCTATACCTCTTCCATCACCATCTCTACCGTCTTCATCAGTGCTTACTCGTAGTCCTTATTCAACCACCACAACTAACAGTAATTCTGCAAGTCCTTTGGGGTCACCTTTGCCTTCTCCTACTCTCAGCTCATCTGCTTCTCATTCTTGGTTATTGGTGGATGCCAATGCGCCCATCTCTGTGAATCAAGCTCACTTACTTATGACCTCGTTAGACAATAATTCTTGGTCCACTATGCTTCAAGAACAATTGTCCCCCTGACTCAAAAACTCCATTCTTTTATTTTAATGTATTATATTATATTTATTTTTTTTTTTTTGATGAATAAAACTTGGAAAACTATGTATAGTACGCATGTTGGATGACATGTATTGAATGATGAATGATACCGTCATCATATATCATATGATGATGGACGGTATGTGACAACTGACAATTAAATCAATGATGTTAGATAACAATGATATAATGATGATGGTGATCATGACGATGAAAGATGGAAGAAAGGAAAGGAAGAGAAAAATCTATAATTCACTCTGATTATCCCCTTGTACATATTGGTGTCGCAAAAAGAACGCGGGGTGTGAACTTGCTGCAGATGCTATGAGAGGACATATTTTTTTTTTCTTGTTTTCCCTTTTCTTTTTTTTTTTTTCATAATCTTTATTTATTTATTGAATTTATTATCTTCGTTATAATATACCTTTTATTATTACTTCAAGTAAATAATATACTCAACATATTAAAAACGAAAAAATGACCGTCGATGCTCCGCCAGGTAAACCTACTGCTGGTACCGCCAAACCATCAACAACTGCAGCAACAGGCACGGCCAAATCATCTACCACAAGACCAACAAAACCTACAGCAACAAAACCTGTTACTTCTAGAGCCATGTCAAGCACAGCATCCTCTCGTCAAGTTACTTCTCCTTCATCTTCAGGTGTTGCAACTACTCCTACACCTCGTACTCGTACAAGTGTTATCAATGCCACCACTTCATCATCTAGAGCTGCTACAACAACAGCAACAACAAGACCATCTAAAACACCTGTACCAAGAACATCTACTGCCGCGAAGACTTCTGCCACTTCTGGGGCCACTACTACACGCCGAACTTCTGTTTTGTCAGGAACAACAACAACAACCGCGCGCTCATCTCTCACATCACAACAAACTCGATCAACCACTTCCTCTAATGGTGTCTCATCCACTCCAGTCAAAAGAACTTCTGTAACATCTGAAGCCATGACCAAACTGAAGTCTGAATTGAAATCATTGAAAGAAAAGGTAAGCTTATAGACATAAATGTAAAAAAAAAAAAGTAGATATTAATGACAAGCTCATTTTTTTTCTTCTTCTTTTTGTTATCGATAGAATGATGAAATGCAAGGTCAAATGGAAATCAACAAGAAAACGCTAGAGGAAAAGGAAACAGAATTGATGGCATTGAAAACAAAATTGAAGGAGTTGGAAGATCTAAACACAATGGCCCATAGTGATAATAATGATATTAACAAGAAGACTGATGATGATGATGTTGTTGTGATCGAAACTGTTAATTCTAGCAACAACAGCGAAAAAGATCAGGAAATCCAGCAATTACAGCAAGAATTAGAACAGGTGAAGCAACAGATCAAACAAGCTGAAGAAGAGACTGCCAAAGCACAAGAGCAATGCGATATTCAAGCCAAGACCTTGCAAGAACAAAGTCAACAGGACTTGATGCATCAAAAGGAAGAAACAGAAGCAAAATGGAGGGACCATATGGAAAAACTGCGTGACAAATTGGAAAAAGAAAAATCTGATTTACAAGATAAGATTGATGACAAGCAAGCCAATATTGAAAAACTTAAGAAGGATATGGATGATTTACGTGATAACATCAAGGTAAAACTTTTACAACGAAAAAAAAAAAAAAAACGCATAATTTACTGATATCTTATATAAACTTTAGGAAATGCATGAATCTCATCAACTTCGATTGACCACGTTATCAAATCAATTGAATCAACAACATTCTGAAAAACTCGCATCATTACAAGAAGAACATGAAACTCAACTGCGTTTACTCACTGAACAATTGCATGTTCCTGATAATACTGAGGAATTCCAACAGAAAATCAAGGTAACAAAAAAAAAAAAAAGAATGGAAAGGATAGATGAAATTATCAGATTTTTTTTTTTTTTGTTTCTTACTTTTTTTTTTTTCGTTTGAAATATAGGCACTTGAAGAAAAAATCCAACAAAAGGAACAGGAACATGCTAGCATACTTGAAGAACAACGTCAATCGCACCAAGTGGAACTTGACCAATGGAAAGCGAAGCATGAAAAGGAACTAGAAACAAATCAACAAGTACTGAAAGAAGATCTCGATCAACTTCGACAATCCCATCAAGATGAAATACAACAACTGGAAATTAGTCATCGTACACAACTACAAGAGATTCAAAATCAAATGGAAACAAAGATGATGGAAGATGCTCGACTTGAAATAAAGGTAAAATACTGAAGACAGTAAATAAAAAGACAGAAAAATGGAACTTATATCTTATTTGTACTAGACCCGTTGCAAAGAAGAGTATGAACTTAAATTGAATCAGGCGACTTTAGAACATGAAGAAGCCATAGCAGCGTTGCACCAACAATTGGAATCGCTAGCAAAGGAAAAATCCGAATGGGAAGCAACAAGCAAATCGACCATGGAACAATTGAAACAAGATCATCAACATCAATTAGAACAAGAAATCATGAAAGAGAAGGTAAAAAAAAAAAAGATTTTTTTTAAAAAAAAGATGTCAGTTGTTTATATTTAAACATTTTGTTTTATTTACAATACCTTAGGCAAAGTTGACATCAGAACATGAAGAAAAAACCCAATGTATGGAACAGGAACATGCGGCAAACCTTGAAAAGTTGACAAACAAATTGGAACAGGAACATCAGGAAAGACTAGCTCAAATTCAACAACAACATGAGGAACGGATGACATCACTAAAGCAAGATCATCAACAAGTCCTAGACGATGTTCAAGTATCGTTTGCCTCCGCTGTACGACATGACACCGAGACGAAACTTTTAGCAGAATTGGACCAAAAAAAAAGCCAGCTGATGGCAGGACATCAACAAGCCATGGATCAATTACAACAACATCATGGACATCAATTAGATCAGTTGCAATCAGATTTAGATCAAGAAAGAAAAGCACATGAAGAAACACAACATCAATTGAATAAGGTGGAACAACAACGACAACAAGAAACATCACCACCTTCACCTTCATTATCGGAAGACGAAATCAAAACTCAGGTGGAATCCGCGTTACAAAAAGTCCACACCGCTGAATTAGCACGATTACAAGCTGAATATGACACCAAAGAAAAGGAATTGAAATCGCATTACGAACAACAACACCAAGATGCAGTGATGGCCCTAGAACAATCACATCAAAAATTGTTACAACAAGTGAATACGCAACATCAGGATGAATTGACACGATTGACAGCATTACATGAAGAACAAAAACTTCAAATGGAAAAAGACCAACAGGTAAAAAAAAAAAAAAAAAAAAGGATGAAAAGATGAAAATGGAAATATTGGAAGATACGGAAACAGAGGAAACTGAGGAGGGTATTAGTGGGTTTGTACCTCATGATCGGTCTGGTCATCATTGATTAGATTTATATTAATCCCTTTTTTTCTTTTTTTTTTTTTTTTTTTGTATCATGTGAACTTGATTGGCTAAATTTTTCTTTAGGTGGCGACACAAAAGGCCCTGGAAAAAGCATTAACTGAATTGGGGCAAGATCATGATCATGAAATCAGAAACATTGAAATATCTCATGCAGAGGAGTTGGAACGATTACAAAAATTGCAACAAGATCATCTGAATGAAATTCAACAATTACAAAAAGACAATGAAAAGTTACATGCTTTGGAATTAGAAACATGCAAGAAAGAACATGCATTGGCGTTGGCTTCGTTACAAGAAAAACAAGAGCAAAGAAATGTCACCCCAGATCATGTAAGTTGTTTGAATGGAAAGTGAAGAATCTATCCTTTTTTTTTTCTTTTATCTTTATTTTTTTTTTTCATTCCTATCTATTTATGGACATATCTATATTTATAGTTGGTAAGCCAAACGGAATTTGAAGATCAGATCAGGGCATTAGAAGCTACACATGAAAAAGCACTTGCACAGTTAAAAAAGGATCATCAAGAGGCATTACAACAAGCACAAGATAAAGCAATAGAATTAGCCCAGCGTGATTTGGAAACAACATTGGCTGAGGATTATGAACGACAGATGAATGAACTTAGTGAATCGTACCGAGTCAAGGTGACTCAAATGGAACAGGAACTCGAAACGCAACATCATTTGACAGAAGAATTGAAACGGGGACACCAAGAAGCGTTACAAAAGCTTGAGTCAGATTATCATCAACAGGTTCAGGCTACGGAAGCTCGTCGTGAATCGGAGTATGTATTGCTTAAGGAAGAGATTGAAGCCAATGTGCAGCAAGAAGTGGATCAAGCTTGGAAAGAACTCAATGATGAACACGCCACCAAAATTCAACGATTATCAGAAGAACATGCGATTACTTTACGGGAAAAAAGACAACATTATGATGAAGCCAAGAATCAATGGGAACAACGTATCCAACAAGCCCTAGAACAAATTGATGCTTTGAAAAAACATGCCAAGGTATTAATAATAATAATAATATATAAAAAAAAAGGGAATGAACCTTACTTGTTATTATTTTTAGCAACTAGAACAAGATCAACCACCAATTATATCCAATGTGGCGGAGACCCATGCTCAACTGTGGCTGTCCCTTCAAGATGAGGCAAAGATAAAAGATGCCAAGTATCAGCAACAAGTAGAACAATTACAAAGTTTATTGGATAAGGCACAACAACAAGAAGATGAGAAACAGAACCAGTTAAAGATGCTTATACAAACGATAGCAACGATGGAAACTCAATTAGGTGAATCTTTGGAAACAAGAACGGTGGAAGACAAGGATAATGAACAATTGAATCAAGATATGATCAACAAGAAGAAGATATTGGAAGAAACAAAACAACGGTTACACCGGATCCATAACGAAGAGGTAATTTCGGGAATTAAAAAAAGGCAATGTTTGATTGGGAGAAAGTCATGTACTATTTTATCCTGTTTTGTCAATTTTGATCCCATTTATTGTTATTTATTTATTTATTATTAGGGTGATGCCAAGTCCCCGGCGATGGTAGCGAATAATGCGATATCTATTCAACATGAAAAAGAAACGGAACTATTAAGATCACAATTCCAACAATTGGTAGAATTAAAAGATATGGAATTACAAGAACTATCTCGTCGATTGACTCAATTAACATCACATCAAAAGGTGGAAATGCAATCACAACAAGAACAATATCAAAAACAGGTTTCTACTTTGGAAATGGATATTCAACAATGGCAAGAAAAATTGAAATCTAAAGAAATGGAAATGGGATGGTTGGAAACTGATGTTGAAGGTTACGAGGTAAGACATTCTATAAATAAATTGTGTCACCCCAAAAGAAAAAAAAGGTCCATTTATGGTTTTGTCTCTCTTTTAGGTGAAAATCAAAGAACAAAGTGATAGTATTAAACGTATGGAACAAGAAAATATACAATTGAAACAACAATTGAATCAATATCAAGATGAAAATGAACAAATGTTAAGGTAAGGAATAAAAAAAAAAAAAAAAGAAAAAGAAATATTAATATTATGTTATTGATATGTCCCTTTTTTTTTTTTCTTTTGGTTACTTGATTTGGTAAAATGGCTTAATATGTTTTAGATTGATTCATCAACTTCAAAGTGAAATGCATAACCTTCATCACTAGATTAGTTTAGTTCTCTTTTTTTTCTACTTTATTTTTATGAAAATAAACTTTTATTATTTTTGATCGATATTCAATTTGCTGGGTTCTATTGTTTATATATGGATGTGGAGCAAATGAAGTTTGATGCCAAGCGTTGATATCATCTCCTCCCCCCCCCCTCTTCTCTTTACATCTCTTTTATTCTCTCCCCCCATTTTCTACAGAAGTTGCGTGTGTTGTTTGTTTTCTCACTGCGAGTCTTTTCATATGCGGACTTTTTAAAAAAATTTAAAGTTCAAAAGGTTTCTCTTTTTTTTTTTTTTTTTTTTTTTTTTACTTAACACTGTGTTTCCCTTTCTCCTTTTTTTTTTTCTGTGTTTCTTTTCTTTTTTTCTTTTTTTTGTGTTAGTTTTCCTTTTCTTCTTTTTTCTTTATTTTTTATTATAAAGGACGAAAGGCGTCAATAACACTAAAAAGAAGGAAATCTATTCCCTATTATATCAAGATGGATGTTGTTGATTATGACATGCCTGCACTTGGATACAATATGACCACACCTATCAACACGACTACAACGAATAGTGCTGCTACTACTCCCTCGACTAATACAACACCAACACAAGCCTTTAAAAGAACTCGGGCTAAAAGAAGTTGTGATTTTTGTCGTCAAAGAAAATCAAGGTGTGATGCTGACCATTGTACACCTTGTTCCAATTGCAAAGCGGTAAACAAAACTTTTTATATTATATTTTTGATTCAAAAATTTAATCTTTTATATATATTTTTTTTAAAATAATAATAATAATAATAATAGTGGGGTTATTCTTGCGAATTTCAAACTGTACGAAAAAAACGTGGTCCTCCAAGCGTGTAAGTTTATTTTTTTTGGATTTCCTCCTGAAATCCTTCTCTCCCTTCTCTCCCCAATAATATAGATATTGATTGATTTATTTTATTATGATTATTATTTTAGGTATGTGGATAATTTGGAAAAGAAATGTAAAAAGATGGAACAATTATTAATAAAATTGACCAATACAACAATCAAAGATCTTGAACGAAATGATTTTAATACAACAACAACAACAACAACAACAACAAAATCTTATCAACATCATCAAAGAAATATATCTGATCCAGCTTCTATGATATCTGATTCTACTAGTGATGAAGATGAAGATGATGAACAAGATCGATTATCCACTTGTACAATGACTAAAAACAAATCATCACCACCTCTTCTTGTTCAACATTCTGATCCAATGGATTCTTTTTCAACTCGATTAGAAAAATTGGATATTCAAGATTATGATGGTATCAAATATACAGGTAAATCTGCTGGTCTTCAACTTATTGATCAAGATCTATTCAAATCGAAATCCTTTATTCCCTGGCCTGGAAGACAAGATATGGTATTGCAAATGATGGCAGATGATCAACTCATGGTAGTACGTACTGAAAAATCTCCTACTACTGGTAAAGTCGGTACTCGTTTGGATGTTGGTATTTCTATTAGTTCTTCCATTGGAACAAATCATTCATCTTCTCCTATTTTATCCAATCATCAATATGACAACAAACCTTCAAAATCTCTGATTGATAATATGATTGAATTGTAAGAAATAGAAAAATAATATTTTTTTTCCAATCAATTCACATTCTCACTCTTTTTTTTTTTTTTTTTTTTAATAGATATTTTACTCATCTTCATGTGGTTTTACCTATCATCAACAAGAGTCGCTTCTTACAACTTTATCATTCTCAATCTTCAACATTACCCAAAGTTTTATTACAAGTTATACTTGCCTTATCCTTTCGATTTGCATCTCAACATGATCAACTTTTATCCAATAGCAATACCACTACCACGATGGCTGAACGCTATGCTGATTACTTTTTCCGGAAAGTGATGAAACGGTTACGGGACTCTGTACGGTCAAGACTGTGTTACGTCCAAGCAGGCTTATTAGCAACTCTGTACCTCGACATGGATAGTAGTGATGTGGATTCTATCCAATGGCATACCTTGGGTAAGACGATTCGAATGGCGCAAGATTTAGGATTACATCGATCCTGTGAACATTGGCAATTACCTTCTGATGAAATTGAAACTCGACATCGAGTATTTTATGCCTGTTATATTTTGGATCGTTGGATTGGTGCTCGTGCTGGAAAACCTTTGACTATTTTGGATCGTGATTTTGATACCACTTTACCCTCTGCTTATGAAGTTGACCAAAATGACTCAAACAAGAAATTACCTGTGTACCGGGCTTTTGTACTCTGGATTAAATTATCTGAAATTCTTGGCAGGGTCTTGAAGGCTTTTTATGCTCCCAGTGCCAAGATTGCTAATTCAAATGCCAACTTGGATGATCCTATGATCTTGGTGGTATTTGATCGTCGTTTGAAACATTGGAAATCCTTATTGGAAGAACCTATGGATGGAATCATGTTGCCTCGTGCTCAAAATGGTAAATTTATCTTTATTTGGAAACAAAAAGGAGAAACTCATTTTATTATTTCCCTTTTTTTTATTTATTTATCTATATATATATATATATATATATAGTTAGTCTTCAAATTTATTACAACACGGTGATCTTGTTATTACGCCGTCCTTTTTTATCTATGACAACTACTTCTCCACCAACAGGAAAATCATCATCGGATCAACTGGTTACTGAATCTTATCAAGTCGGATTGGAAGCTGCTAACAATATTGCTCAACTAGTTCAACAAAGCAAATCATTATCTACCAATATACATAATAGTGATATCTCGGCAAGTATGCATTTTTTCCCTACTTGTTATGTCTATGCCATGTTCCTCTCATCTTTGGTACATTTTGCCATTGTTCTTCAAGATCGTTCCATATCGGATAATCGAAATGCTCTCTTGGCCTCGATTTCTTTGATTCAATCTCTTCATTATCTCTCTGCATCTCGTCGTGCTTTGGAAATCCTCAACATGCTAGTCACCATTTATGAATTGAAAGATGACGGCGACGATGACCATCTACATCATACCTTCATCAAACAAGAATATACTCAAGAACAAGAACATCAACGTATGTTTACGAATCATTTTTATGAACCGACATCATCTTTGACATATGGACAAGATAACGATTCTATTCTCTCATTGCAACAACACCATCATCATCAGCAGCAGCAGCAGCACAATACAGATTATCATCATCAACAAGAAGAACATTCATTTAATATTGCATCTCAACCAACCACCGCCACATCTTTCAAACAAGGCGAAATGCCAAAATCACATTGGTTTCAACGTTACGTCAATACAAGTGTTGTAGGAGGTGTACCTGCGGAAATTCAACATGAAGTGGAAAACGATTTATCCCATCAGCATCAACCTACAAATACTTCATCCACCACCATTGTGCCTTCTTACGTGTATTCAGCAAATACTACCAATTCAACAGTAACGACATCCGTGGGGACACCAATTCCAAGTCATCATCATCATCATCATCCTGATCCTTTACTTTATACTCAAAGCTATTTACCCTCATCAACACAAACACAGACAAATACTATGGATGACCCAACATTTGTGACATCTACCTCTACCACCAACACTCCATTCACAAAATCTCATCAACCGCACCTTACTTCTACCTTATCATCACCACAAAAATCTTCACCTACTGACTTGGCTTTATCATCACCTTCACCTTCACCTGCCTCCTTAACGTCTACACTACACAGACCATTCGCTCCCAATACAGTCATGCAACAACAACAACAACAATCTTCTTCTTATGGTCCTATCTCTTCTATGTTACATTCTCCTCCACCACCTTCTTCGTCTCTTATGCCTGCCATGATCCATCAACAACATCCGCCACAGAATCAAAACACCGTGTCCCCTGCGAATTTGAATTGGCATGATTGGCAATATTATATGAATCAACAACACCATCCCTCATTGACAAAATAATTTATGATTTCTTTTTGTTTTTTATGATAGATTCCCCCATTCTTCCACTTGTAGTTTACTGTTATTCCCCCCCTTTTTTTTTTATCAAAACATAATAAAGTTGCATCTTGTTTTTTTGGATATCTTTTACTTTTTTTTTTTTTAATCTTCATTGTCACACGGTATCTTTTAGTATGGATCATCACATGTCATCCATCATCATTGATTAGTAAGATCAGCAACTAGAAGAGTTATGCCTTTTTTTTTTTTTTTTTTTTGTTACCGTTCACTGCAACCTAACAAGAAAAAAAAAAAAGAATTCTCGCCATTCGTAAAAAAAAAAAAAAAAAAAAAAAAAAATCCATTCCAAAGAAGAAGAGAAAAAAAAAAAAGAGAGAGAGAGATATAGAAGATACAATTTATTATAATAAATAAATAAATGGGGATATAAAGAAGGGCATGTTGACTAAACAAAAACAGTAATAGCGTCCTTTTGTTTTTCATCCTGGATGGATTGAAGACGGATGACATCCTTGGCCTTCACCGGAACGATTTCCCCATCGAGACAAATATCCGTTGCTTGATCGATTCGTAAATACAATGTCGAGGTCTTGTAATACTCCACTGCAGGATGATCCACATGCTTGCCATGCTGGAATGCCAAACCAGCCACCGTCTTGAGTTGATCTGCCGTAGCCTGTCGCATACACATCACATCCATGTCTTGAGAAAAGGGAGAAGCAAAAGGAGTAATGTTGAATCCTGGTTCCAAAGAGGCTTGTTTTGTCACCACAAAATAAGTAAAGCCACCTTCTGAAAGTTCAATATCTTGTTGTCTATCATCAAAGCGACGTGCTGTTTGATCATATCGTTGGGCTTGCTTCATCACCACATCACCTTTATAGTGTTGCAAAAAATACAAAAGTGCCATGGCCACCAAAGAGAATCGTTTGTTGCCCATCACATAACGTAGATACCTTGACTTGCTGACAATTTGTGCATGGAATCCCCAACTCATGACAACAAAAATCCGACGACGTTGTTCTTGCTGAGGAAATACCACTTGATGGGTCCAATCGTCATCATCACCCTTCTTTTTGGGAAGTTTACCAATATCAACATCTAGTAAATGGAAGGGTCGTGTTTCGCCATGGATGATTCGTAATACTGCCTGACCAATATCTTGTGGATCCAAATTCAAACTCAAAGCAAAAGCATTGCCTGAACCTGCAGGTATCACACCAAGACGAAATGCTCGCGTTGGTTGATGATCAATAACATCCAAGAGTCCGTTGAATAAATCATGTAATGTACCATCTCCACCAAGACAAACAATCAAAGCATCTTCTTCTTCTTCATTGTCGATGATCTGTTGACCGAGTGAATAAGCTTGCTGTCGAACTTTATCTGCTTGTGTTGTAATGATCGGCGAGAATGTCTGAAATCCGGCCGATTGTAACATGGGTTGCACTATGTCTTTCCAATGCTGTGTCGCTTGTTGATTACCGGAGGTTGGATTGAGGAACGGATATATCCTACTTTGTATACGTTGTTGTTGTTGTTGTTGTTGTGGGAATACTGTGTTCGTCATGTGTTGAATAAATCCTTCTACTTGGTCTGTCCATGCATCCACCTTGAATATCAAACTATGTTGACCAAATGACTTGGACTTATTGGTGATAGAATCGGAAAGATGGCCTTGTAATGTTGCTGCTGATAAATAAACCTGGACAGTGAATGTCTCTGATTCAGGGGAAGGATGTATGCCATAAACACAATGGATGGGATAACTGGAGGTATTGTTTTCTTGTTCAATGACAATCTCTTGTGCTTGAACTATCAAAGTGGTAAGTTGGTCGAGATGTCTGACTGTGAGTTGATTGATATTGGTCATATTTCAAAGCAAAAGCAGAAAAAGAGAGAGAGAGAGAGAGAGAGAGAGAGAGAGAAAAGAAAAAGAGAGAGAGAGAGAGAGAGAAAGAATGAAGAAATTGAAATCGTTATCTTTTTTTTTTTTTTTTTTTTTTTTGTGAGTGTACCCACAGGTTTTGAAATGGCGCCATTATTGGATAAGATGAACGAATCTCTTATAACCTTTTTGGCTACCATGTCACTGCTGCATTATATTTCTAGTAGAATTCATACTATTTTTTTTTTCTAGTAAACTAAACGATAGAAATGTTCTGTAGCAGTAGGATGAACGAGAAAATATATATATATATATAAAGGATACTACTTTTTTTTTTTTTTTTTACCTACAGTAATAAATTGACTAATTTATAAACGATGGATGATTAACTTTCTTATTATTACTGTTTTTTTTTTGCCTAATGATTCCTTTTCTTTTTCTTTTTTGAAGAAAAAAATGGCACGTGTCAATACAGTATTCATGCGTGGAACAGTCCGATAAGGCCAATAGACACCATTAGCAATTAATATGGATTCAAAATTAATCTAGTTAAAAATCTTCTTTGTCAAATCAATCACTTGGTAGAACTTTCACAACATCAAAGATTTATATTGTTTCGATTTTTTCAATGATAGATGGTAACTATGATGGATAAAATGATGGTATGCCATTATTTGCTACCAGCGGGAAATCTGATCGTTTACTCCTGAGGAATTGATTTTATTATGTTCAAGATAGATTTTATATATATATATGACATATCTCAAAGACATACACCAAGTTGTGAATGTGATTACATTTCTTTTTTTTTATATATATATTTTTTTTTTTGACCTGAAAAGGCAGTACGTCAGTTGTAGCAGACCAACTTTTATTTATTTGCAGGAGTATGTTGATTGATCAGCTCTCCATGTTACTATGTTACGGTGAGTATGTTTATCGTCGTTTCTCTTTGTATATTTTCCTTTTTTTCTATGATTTGAAGCAGATGATTGTCTTCACTTCAAAATGATCCCCTTGCTCATAAGACTATCTACAGTTTGTTTGAGCTCCGTCAAGAATTTGCCAGCAGCATTTTTTTTTCCTCCTTCTTCCAGCGTTCTTTTTTTCTTTTCTTTTTTCTTTTTTTTCTTTCTTTCTTTTCCCCCTTTTTTATATATATTATATATATAATATAGATAATATATCAATTTTGAAATTGAATATCATGGACGGTATATCATCACCCCAAACACAATCATCCTCTATTTCAGATGTATGGTAGAAAACAACGATGACGACAAAGATGTATGGATCTAATGAAAATGTGTTGTATTCTTTATAGGATAAACAAAAATTTAATGCTGAAGAAATGACTACCATCATCAAAGAAGTAGGTATAACCCAATGATATATTCATCTTGACTTTATATTTAATCTTACTTTATTCTTACAATCTGATTTCTTTATGTATATATTTTTCTCATAGACTGTTGAAAACACTATTCAAGATGCCGACTACTCTCATAGCAAAGTACCTGCATGGAACTCAACCATTGTTGAAACCTGTTTGAAAAAGTTACGCGCTGTCAATAAGAATTACAAGTTCATTGGTAAATGAAAAAAAAAAAAGTTTAAATGATTATTTTTACAAAGTCAGAGCAAATTATCCATGACAGTTAAACGCAACTATGGTTACCAACAGGAGGACTAACTTTATTATTTATTATTCATTTTTTTTTTTTATTTCTTATTAAAAAGTGACCTGTGTTATCATGCAAAAGAATGGAGCCGGGTTTTATGCAGGAAGTTCTGTTTATTGGGATAATCTTCACGATGGTAAGATAAACGATGATATATATATATATATATAGACTAACATCTTCTCTTTTCCCATTCAGGAAGTGCAAGTTATCGACATGAAACGAAGTCCCTGTATGCTATCACCAATGTCTTTGCCCTTAGTGTATAGTTTTACCCCATTCTTTTTTTTTTTTTTTTTTTTGTGCGTGAAGTCCAATATTATTTATATACACTATCAATAAAACTATATTACCATTACATTGAATCATAAATTTATGCAAAAATCATATTGTTATCGAAGAACATTGTCCATCATCCCGTCATCAATGAAATACTCATAATTTTGTACAAAAAAAAAAAAAAAGACTTTTACTGATCAAAACAAACTATAGAATAACATATAAAATAACAAAAACTAAACGAAGAAATCCCTAATCTAAGTATACATTTTTTTTATTATTATTCTCTATCTATCCCATTCTATCGAGACACCAAACCATCGAAAGAAATATCATTCAAACTGATCGCCTTGATAGCAAATCCATGACCTTCAAAACCTTTTTGAATATCTGCCGTCTTGGTAGGAGAGCTGACCACGACCACATTCGAACTTTCAGATCTGAACATATTGATAAAGTATGTTTTCAATACCCGATAAAGGTCATCCACAGTGGTGGCCTAATATATATTTAAAAGAATATAATCATTAATATCACACTACTTTAGATAAATAGATAACTTACTTGAATGGACGATAACAAATCACGATTGTAAGAAGCAGGTACTTGACGTAACACTTGATTGACAAAAGATTGTAAAGCAGCACGACTCATTGTATCTTCACGATCAACCATACTATAAATTACAGCACTTTTGGCACCATCTACGGCAGTTTGTTCAATGGGCACCTATCAAAAGATAAAAAAACAAAAATAATAATGAAAACTCAATATTTTAATCTTTTTCTTTTTGTTTTTATTTTTTTTTTTTTTACCTCTTTGCTGATCAATTGATCAATCACCACCTTCGCTTGTTCAAATGCCTTAAAAGCATCAGGAGATTGGTAAATGGTAAATGTAAGTAGACCCGCTTCAGCATTGGCATCCAAGAAACAAGAATAAGCAAGACCTTGACCACGAATGAGTTTCCAAAAGTAACCTTCCATTGTATTCAAAAGTTCAATCATCACCAAAAGAGGTGCAATATCTGGATCATCAAATCGATGTGGACATTTGGCACTGTGTACTGAGAACGAATTTTCAATAGATGGCAAATTAACAACATAAGCCTTTTTTTTTAAAAAAAAATAAAATAAAAATAAAATAAAATAAAAAATATGAGAAACATTGACTTATACAGAAAGGAAAAGGGAAAGACTTACAATTTGACCAGGTTCCAGACCAGATGCACTAAGACCATCACGAGATAAAGGTACAGGTACCAAGGATCCAGCCTATAATAAGTTTATAGATATCAGTATAAAACCTATGATATTGTTTTATCCTACTTACATTTAATTTTGCAAAGTTCTTGAATGCAGTACGAGGAGCTTCTAATTTCAAGATATCACCTGTGACATGGATACGGATGTTATTGGGACTGCACACTAAATTAAGAATTTTCAATATATTTAATAAACATTGGACAATAAATAACTGATATATCACTTACAAGCTTGGCGATATTCATTCAAATCAGAGAGAACACTGGATGGATCATTTTCTAACTTGTGAGCAACGTCTTGTAAAAAGGAAGTTTGGAAAAGAACATTTCGAGCAGCACTAGCTGATTTCTTGGCATTGTACTGGAAAGCACGGAGACAAGCATTGGCCATCTAGAAAAATCATGGATTGAATTAGTCAGATCAACAGTTGAACTTTCTATTTACCAAAAAAAAAAAAAAAAAAAAAAAAAAAAGAAAAAAAAAAGAAACTTACACTATGTCCATCCCGTTTTGCTTGAGGAATATCATTCAAAATTTGATGAGTTACCACCTTTAATCTATTGTTTATATATTCAATATTCATGAAATAAAGTGTGAGATCGTACAGTTTAGATTCTAGTCTTTCTTTACCTTTCCGTAGTAAATTGAGTATTCCAAAGGATATCTTCGAGCCATTGTACTGCTTGTTCGTATTTGGAAGCCTAAGATTAAAAAAAAAAAAAATCAATAGGTAAACATCCATAATCACTATTTTTTTTTTTTTTTTACCTTTGCTTTTAACGTAAAAACAGCAAGTTCACGGAACCCACTAGAAGTGCCAAGTGATGCATCATATTCCAAAGTATCTTCACTTAATCCTTTGACAATATCTTCATAAGGAATCAGAATACCATTCCGTTCTACTGGCAATGAGAAGATGGCTTTCAAGAATAATCGAGTATAAGGAAGCAAATGGGAAGGAATGGAAGAGGTAGCAATATGGGCAGCCACTTTGACAAACCCAGATCGAATATCTATGTATATAAATAGAAATGTTAGTATCAAAAGATATCATATATCGAATCACTTACGGTCGTATTGAATAAATAGTGGTACATCAGCAGTATTATCCTTGTTAACATGCATTTGTACAACGTTTGAACTATTCGTTAGAAAAGAAACAAAAAAAAAAAAAGATAAATATCAATAGAATTCACTCAAAGATCGCCATTCCCTATTTTGTGGCTTTATATATATATATATATTTTCATTACATATCATCAGCAGCATTGTTTCTAGCAGATATCACATTGATAAAATTGATGGACGAAACAGGTGGAATTCTAAAGCTCTCCAAAATGCCTGAAGGTAAAGGTGTATCATTCTTGGCCATAGCATCTTCCAATTTCTTTTGTAATTCTTCTAATTTCTTTTCCCCAAGATCTTCACATTGCTTTTCCACACGATGTTGTTCTTCTTCCGCCAATTGATCAGCAAATTCAGCAGATGGTTTTCCAAGCAAGGTAATATGTGGTACATTCAAATAGTACCTAAGTATCAACAAGAATATATTCAATGAAAATGTCGTTTTTCTTTTGATTTTTTGCTTGCTGTTGTATTTTTACCTTTCAATCACATCCAACCAATCAGAGACAGAATATTTCTCCAGTTGTGCCAAATATTCATGATCTTTGACTGAATTTCGAAGTTCTTCACCATCTTTGGAACCATAAAGGAAATCTAGATAAATGAAAAATATAGAGTAGATAGTTGAAAAGATGAAGCCTTTTTATTATTATTATTATTATTAATTTCTTACCATAAATACAAACATTGGCAGAAGTATCATGAGCATCTGTTTCAGCACTGTCAAGAATCTAAAAGTAGAAAGACAAGAGTATGATGAATAACCAATAAAAGAAGAGTAACTTTTTCTATTCATTTCTTACCCTTTGTAATTCCTTGTCAATAACAGTGGCCATGCGTTCCATATCAATATCTTGTTCATCCACCAGACGTTGGAGAGTAGCAAAAAAAAGTGAAGGAAGTTCTTCCATTTTTTCAATAGGTACACTTGAGGCAGTAAACATAAGCGTAGTTTTCAGATGATCCGTCACTTGAAACTCCACATCTAACATACAAAACAAAAAGTAAGAATTCTATTCCTCATTTTTTTTTCTCGTTGGCTTACCTGTACAAAGGGGTTCTTCTATTTCTACAAACTCTTTTTGTAAAACAGAAACTGGTGATTCCGTAAGATAAGCATTCAAAACTTTTATAGCTTTCAATTGAAAATATTCCTATAACAATAAAAAAAAAAGTGAGGATATCAGATGACAAAAAAAAATGACATTTCTTTTTCTTTTTTTTTTTTTCTGGTTTATTTCATACATGACAAAGAGGACCAGTCCATGCAAGTAAGACGCTACCCATAGATTCATCTTCATCGGGGAATAAAACAGTTTCCTCCACATTAGCTTTCAAATCAGGGAAAATGCCGGATTTAAACCAAGGACGCTCCATTTCAGGTAAAGGACCTTTACTGATAATATTGGCTTCAATAGGTTCCAATGCCTTCATCAATGCTGATTCTTCCACCTTGCCAGTAATAATCAAACAAAGATTATCAGGACGATAATACGATTGATGATAAGAGCGAACTAGCATATAAATAATATAACAGTTGAGATTATCAATTCATTAAATCACCTTTTACTTACTTTTTTCTACAGATAATTCACGAAGACATTCCATCAGACCACCCGTTTCGGATCGATAGCCACAGTTTTCAGGATACATGATTCGTTTCATTCGAAGGTTTAATCGATCCTCCTCAGTATTTTGATATCCCTAAAATAATCATTATCATTCATATGCACGTAGTACTTTTTTTTTTTTTGATGTATGCATTACCTGCATTTCACTGTAGACAACCTAATAAAACAAGTTAAAGGTAAATAAAATATAAAAGTATTATTTCTTGTTTTCATTATTACCCCAGCATCTTCACCCTTTCCGTTGATGTGATGAACTTCAGTATGACAACCACTTTCCGTTAAGGTGGGATAAAGAATATGGTCGACATAAATAGGTAACAAATCCAGAAAACCTTGACTTCCAGCGGTAGTAATAGCTGATATATATCAATGATAAAAAAAAAAAAAAAAAAAGGAGTCAGTTGACTATTATTTCTTGTGCGATTTCTGAACTTACTATAACAGGTATGATCAACATCAGTCCATGCGTTTGTGCCTTGCGCAATAGCTCGATTGGCAAGTGAATCTAATACACCCTAAAAAAAAAGTGAATAGATGAATGGAAGTTCATAAGAAAAGGTCTTCAAAGATAAAAAAAAAAAAAAAAAAAAAAAAAAAAAAAAAAAAAAAAGAGTTACCTTGTATGGATATTGTTCACTTCCCAAAAACACGAGACTAATAAGAATAATATAAAGAGAAAAAAAAAAGGTTAAACTTCATAATACAAAACGTTCTAGTCAAAAAACGTCACGATATACGTACTGTTCCAAACAATGAAAGCCGCCAGAATCCTCGAAAGCTAAGAAGAAGTAATATTAAACATGAATAATAGTCAATCTTTTTTCATATACACACGATCTACTTTCTTCATTCTTTTATCTTTATATCATTTTGGCGGTTTATTTACCTTCAGTTGCCAATGCAAGATATCCGTTCACAAGAGGACCTTTAAACAAGAAGAAGAAAATGGGACAGGATCAGTATCAAAGCTATATAATTGATCTCTTCATCTCTTACTGTCAATATCCACATGCATCACGGTTAATCCAGTTTTAGGACTTCGATATTTCGTTACCAAGGCTGTCTTGAGAGGATCGATATAAACTTGAAATTCCTTTTCAAGTGGAAGATCAGTACTTGTTGCCTTTGTTGAATCAGTCAATCCTGTCGTGGTTGGTAATGTACCATTGGTCACCACTCGTTTGTTAATCATAGAATCCATCTTGATGAAAGGAAAGGAAAGAAAAAAAAAAAAAAAAAGAGAGGAGAAAAGAGTAATTTTGACATTGAAAAAAAAAAAAGCATACGCGGACTTGGAAATCAGAACGATGTTGCTCAAAAAATGATAGATTGTTGTTGTCCTACCCTCGGGACTGACCATGTATTTTGGAATGTATGCTATGCTTGTATATACTTCATTATTTACATCAGTAGATGATGTTATTGTTTTGTCAGGTGAATTCTACATTACACTTTAAGGTCTTACCGTTATTGACGACGTTCTAATCCCACGCATGTCAATATTTTCAGTATTTCCACCACCTTATCCATGTTCCTTTTCCTTTCTTTTATTTTTTTTTATTGTTGAATGTTGTATTTGGCATCATAGAAAAAAAAAACTCTATTTTAAAATATTCATATTCAATCTTTCTCTTACTTTACTGATCATAGATTATTAGCCACGCAATATATTGTTAGTTAAGAATAACAACCACAGCTTAATCACCGGTCAATTCAACAGTCCTTATAAATGCACAGCTTTTTTTTAATATCTAATAAAGATCCATTCAGAAGTTTCACTTTATTTTCTACACTGTCTCTTTAATATATATATATGTATATTTACTACCAAAATATAACAGTGAGAGACGCGAGACATCGCATGCACGTTCTCACGGATAGATAACCTTTCTTATTTCCCAAAAAGGGACTTGGGGTTGTCGATCCATCTGATTGCCTTTTTTGGTTGTTTCTATGACGATTTATATAATACATCAGATTAAAGTTTATTCACTTTAAATTGAGACAGAGAGTAAAAAAAAGAAAAAATATAAAGGAAAAATTAAATTTGAAAATCAAATTAAAAAGCGAATGGAAAATCAAATTGGAATATCGTGGGATAACATATTTAGAAAATAAAATAAAAAAAGTATATATCAGTTAGCACATCATCATTCTCAAAAAAAAAAAAAAAGATTAGTCACAACACGTAACTAAGACCGTTTTAACTACGTCAGGACGATAAAAAAAAAAAAAGGAAAAAGAAAGATTGCTGTTACTGACAGGATGATCGAAGAATTGGTACTGGTTGACGGGGGGACTTGTTAAACTAATGCCATTTTGTATGATGGTAGCTTAGATCCAACGCTCATCAACACGAAGTATAGTGATCATAAGAGGAGGACGGACAAAAAGAAGCAGACAGACAGATATTTTTCGATAAAAAACCTCTTTCCCTGAATAAAAAGTAAGAGACGCCAAACGACCATACATATTGGCCCAATAGGATCCTTCAAATAAACCTAACTCGATGATGATGATTTTATATTAGATGATGAAAATAGTTATCTTATAATAACATCTTTTATTTGCTTGATTTTTTTTTTGTTTCTTCTTTGGAGTCTTGATAAAAAATATATATATAAAGTAAAAAGAAAGAGGGGGGACAATTCGCTTTGAGGGTTTAGAGAAAAAAAAAGAAAGAAAGAAAGATGTGCTTGAAAGCATAAAGGATAAATCACAGTCGTCTTTCTTTTATACTAAATCAACTGAAATGGACAACATTTTCTTTGTTTTGCCTCTTTTTTTTTTTTTTTTTTTTTTTTTTTTTTTTTTTGGAAAGGTGTACACTGTCATTTTTTCTTTTTGGAGACGATAAATCATCCATCATGCGTTTGTTCTTTCCTCATAGTCCAATTCCACGATACAAAAAAAAAAAAAGGATCACCGCAAATCTAGTCGAACACTGACGCAAACAAGTCTCTAATCATAGCGCAGAAAAGAAGAAAAAACTAGTAATCATATTTCCTCCTTTTCTTTTTTTTTTTTAAAAAAAATGCTATGATACTGCTAGAATAAACTACATCTTCGAAAACGTAGTAACAATAACGTCAGATTATGCATCAGATGATCCAAGTTGAAATGACATTGTCAGAGATCTTACAGTATATAAATATACTATATATTTATTGGTTTGTTTTAAATGATATATTATGAATAACGGAATATAATAAAAGAAAAAAAAAAATCAAGAAAGGGAGGTATCAAGTAAAAACTAAACTATAAAAAAGAAAGGAATATAAAATAGATATAAGCTAAACTAAATGTTCAATCAAAAAAAAAAAAAAAAGCCCATGTTCATTCCAATAAGACCTTGGCCAATAGTAGTACACGATCATCTTCATCAATGAAAAGAGGATTCACAACAAATTTGACCTTTTTCCTTTCACCCACAGAAGAAGAAGAAGTCATATCAGGATTTGTCTTATGATCATCATCATCATTATTGTTGTTCTTATCAGCCACCATCAGCATGATATCCGAGTCATAATCCGATCCAATCGTAATAGGTTGAGCTATCACATCCGCTTCACCACCATGTATTTCCAAAGAGAGATTACGACACCATTGTAACACATCCTTCCAAGCTTCTTGATCAATGACAGCAGGTTGATTTGATTTTTGCATACCATGTTTGTCCAGGATATCTAACAATCCAATACTAAGTTGTTCATGCATATGTTCCAAGTATTCTTTGGTGGCTGGATTCAATGAGAGAGATTGAACGGTTTGACGACGATACCATTTTGCAAAACTGGAACCCAAAGTAGATTGAAATCGACGCAATTGATCGCGATACGCCGTATTCAAAAGTTGTTGATTGTCGGTGCCAAATGGAAGTGCCACAAGGTAAGCATCCGTAATTGCAGTAAAGAGATGTTGTTCCAATAATAACTGCCATGGTACATCCACAGTAAGCTTCACAAATTGATTCACGCACTCTGCCAAACGAGTCAGGAGATCAGAGATCGTATGAGCAAACACCACAGGGGGAGGAGGTATCACAAATGAAGAAGAAGAAGAGGATGATGTGGAAGGTGCAACGGTTGGCGTCAATATAGACGTTTGTTGTTGTTCATCTTCTTGTTGTTGTTCATTATCAAGCTGCTGAGACTCTGATACTTTGCTGAGATGCTCTTGAGAGAGATGGACGGCCTTATCAAATACCTTTTCATTACATTCCGTTAGTGTTCTGAGATTGTCGATGACCTGAGCCTGGTGCTTTTGAGTGAGACGAAGATTCTGAATTTGCGTTTGTAAAATATCATTTTCTTCCAATAGTTCCACATAAGATTTTGTAACTGCTGTAAAGGAGGGTTGAGGTTGAGGAGGAGCAGCAATAGAATCATTGACGACATCGATATGTTTTCGTTGACGTCGATGGTTGTCCAAAGGCCGAGCTGTTCGTTTGCAGGAATCAAGTTGATTTTGATGTTCTTGTTGTTCTTGTTCTTGTTGATTGTTATTGTCATCATTGTTGTTGTTTTCATTATCACCATCCCTACTACTATGGTTCTCCATATCAGTGTTGCTATCATCATTATCCATGTCATCCCCAGCACTATCAGTATCATCAAAGTCAGCTTTAGCAGATCGAGTACCATCATCACCAAATTCCGCTGCGTTGGATCTTGAACGTTTGTCTTCGTCATCACCTGTACTGGTTTGGTCATCCAAGTCGCGTAGAGTTTCCAAAGGTATATCTTGCGAAAGTCGACTTGTAGTGTTGTTTAAACTTCTGAGACCATGGAGGGTATGATTAGTAGAGTTGTTTCCAGCATTCAAAGAGGAAGTATCATCCAAATGGGTTGTACTATTAGAAGAAAGACCAACAAGACCACCTTGTACACTAATGACAGATTCTTGGTCATCAATGGTAGCTGCTACACTCCAACTATCAGTATCACGATTTTTAACAGATTCCATAGCATCCAATAAGTCTGTTTTTCGTAAAGAAGCATACCGAGAAGGAAGACCGTCAGACGTACCTCGAAGTCGTAAAGAATCTTTATCACTACCATCATGAGACGAGACTGAACTCATTGTTTTGAGATAAAGAATATAAGTGTATGTATGTATGCGTGTCTCTGTATATGTGTGTGTGTGAATATATGAATGTGAGTATATATAGATATATATATATATAAAGAAAAAGAAAAACTAGTGAGAGAAAAAAAAAAAAAAAAAAGGAAAAAGAAAAGGCAAAAAAAGGAGGGGAGTCAAAATTCAAAATTCAAAAAAAAAAAAAAAAATAACGTGTCGCAACAGAATTTCTAATTTTTTTCTTCTTTTTCACTCCTTTCTCGTCCATATGATACCAGGTTTCAAATACTTGGCATTTGCCTTTATTGTTGTTCTTTTTGGTACTAGAAATGGTCGAGTTCTATGTAAGTACATAATTAATTCATATCACCCTAAATTTAATTTTCTTTTCTCAATGTATATATATAGTGACTCAACATTGTTTAAAATGGCTACGAAACAATGTTACTTTGATACCTTATCCTATTCGACGTCATCTTTGTGCCTTTCTTTTCAATATGCCCACTTCTTTAGCTAGACTATTACTCGATTTTGCAAGTCAACCTCAAAAAGATCAACTTGGATGGATTCTAAAAGTACAACCCTCACCAACACTATCAGGTCACTGGATCGCTCCTTCCATGTCCAACCTGACTATGGAAAGTCTCAAGGAAGCAGTACATGGTTTTGATATAGTCATCTTGTTTGCTCATGGTAAATAATAATAATAATGATAAACATAGATATAAAAAAAGTTCTCAAAACTTATCTTCTTTTTTTTTTTGTTCTGTTTTGTAGGTGGCGGGTTTACTGTCGGCAACAGTGTCATGTATATGCCTTCCTTTCAATTCATATGGAATAGGTTGAAACAAAAACATGGTCTCTCTACAAGTATTTTCTCGATTGAATATCCTTTACCGCCCACTGGGCCTTATCCAAAAGCAAAAGAAACCTGTTTGGAAGCTTATCAATATCTTGTGCATGATCTAGGTATTAGTCCTACAAAGATTGTTTTAGGTAAGTTTTTTTTTTTTTTTTTTATTTACTATTATTATAGATCATGCATCTCACTTTTTTTTTTTTTCTTCTGATGATTGGGGAGTACAGTCGGGGACTCAGCAGGTGGGAATTTGATGATTAACACCATTCTCTCAGTTCGTGATCAACGTACCAGTCGTTTACAAGATTCATTACCTCCTTTGCCATTACCTATAGGATGTGTCTTGATCTCACCATGGGTTGCCCTTCATTCTGGTTCACCAACATACAAAAGCAGCAAAGGATTTGATGTTCTTACTGAATGGCAATTGGATCGTCATCTTTCTCTTTATCTACCTGATATTCACGGTCTGGATAGTAAAACCAAGGAACTCTTTCTACATCAACCTGCCATCTCATCGGTTTATGCATCCTTTGACAAAATCTTGACGCGTTTTTTGATCACCTATTCTGACCGTGAAGCCTTGCAATACGACATTCTTCGTTTCATTCAAAAACTACAAGATGACAAGGTACAAATAGATGTTCTCTCTCGATCGGATCAAGCTCATATTTGGGTAATCGAACCTACTTTGGCCTCTTCTCGGGATGTATGGGAACAAGATTTGGGAAAAGTGACGGATTGGATCGCTGATTGTTGTTTAATATAGTTGATGCTATGTGTAATTTTTCATTTTGTTGTTTAGTTTTATATATGGATATCTATATACCAATAAATTTGATTTTTTTTTCTTTTTTTGAAGGTAAAAATATGAACTACTCTGTTATATTTGAATGGGAGAGACATGATTGGGCATTGTTCAAAGTGAATATACATATATACTTTTATTTGTTTTTATTAGAATGGTATAATGTGATAAGGGAAGATTATGTACAAGGATACTGTATCATATATATATAAAAAGGAAGTATTCTAATTTAATTGGGATACTTTCTATAAAGATTACGTCTACGTTGCTGTAACCTTGGTCTTGCTTCATCCCAAGGTCCATGGATCTCGCTAGTAAGAAAAAAAAAATATCAATACATCTATTCTTCCCTTTTTTTTTTTTTTTTTTTTTTTTTTGATGATGATGATTGTAATACTCACTTTTTGTATTTTTGGATAAAAATCAACCAATAAGGACAAACAAAAGTCAGGAAACAAAAACCTAAAAGATAAAGTATCACCACAGCTTTGGATATTTGAATGAATAAAATTACGCATAAAAATTGCATAAGAATGGTCAGAGCTATGGAGAGTTTAGGATTCAGATCCTTTGGGATAGAAAGAAGAGTTAGTTTTAAAATTTTTATATATAAAACAAAGTCTTTACCTGTAAGTATCGTCGAAAGATAGGAAAAAGAGCAAACCATTCCACAGCAAATGATAGTAAGCCAAATACATCAAGATTTGTATCCAAACGGGAGGCTAAAAGTACAGAGGCAAAAATGGCAGCATTTGTAGATAATGATCCTGGAATCCTAATAAATTAAGATGATCAATATACAAAATAATACTTTTTTTTTTTATTTAACTTACTTGACTCTTGTCCGACTTTCAGCAGCATAATCATGAGATAGAACGTTTGCTAAAAAACAATACACGGTCATTGCCCAAATAGTATCATGACTTGTTTGACTAGTCAATGTTTTCAAAATAGGTGATAATCCAAGTAGAGTGGAGAAGAAGAAAACAGCGCTTTTGAGAACATGTTTTCCTAATAAATGAAATATAAATAAACAAGAAAATAAAAACATATTTTCAATGACTTACTTTTAAAAGCATGATTTTTGACAATCATATTCCAAAATAGATATCCCAAACCAGTGAAGGATGAACCAATCCATATGAGTTGTCGACCAGATAACGCTGATAATTGAAGATTGATAAAGATGGCAATAAAGATTACAATGCTACTAATATGTTGAGTAATAATACCTGATTGATACACCATGGTCCAATAGTCATATTCGCGTACATTTACTAAGGGATTATTTTAAAAAAAGGAATCATCAGTATTTTATTCAAAATCTAAAAAAAAAAAAAGGTAAGTTTTACCATTCTTTTGTAATTCATCAAGGAAGGTATCATCAACATAATTATCAGGATAGTTTTGTTTCACCCAAAGTAATTTACGCCAAGGTGGATTGTTAGGATTGTATTGATATTCTGGACTTCCAAATGAACTTGCCATGGAAGAACAAATATGTAAAGAGAAGAATTAGAAAAAAAGAAAAAAAAATATATATAAAAAGCGGAAAACGAAAATCTTTTTGTTTTTTTTTTTTTATTTTCAAAGTATATACAAAAAAAAAAAAGCATTAATAACTAAACTACTGTCCAACCAAACGCTCCCATATGGATATGTATTGTTCATTCACTTTGATATCCTGTATATGATCTTTGAATGTTGATGTAATATGAAGAATGGCACTGTCTACAGCTAATACATATAAAAAGAGAAATCAGTACATTTTTGATATGCAAATAATAAGATGTACCTAGCATGAGTTGATAGGGAGCCAATAAAGGAAGATCAGAAGAACTGAAGGGTGGATTATATTGAGGTGGAGGAGAATTGATATAATTATCTACTGTCGATGAACATTCAAGTAATGTGTTGATAATCAGAGATAAATCGTATTGGACTTGACCAAGATCATCTTCCTTTAATGAAAAAGACAAAATATTTGATAATGCTGCATCAACGAAAAAAAATTAGTACATATACTTTCTCTATTTTGTTCCTTTTTTTTTTTTTTTATTTATTTACCTTCAATTGATGCTATGGGGAGAACGACATTACCAAAAACTGAATACATCTTTCTATTTTGTTGAGTTAATCGTACAATATTGCCAGCAAGCCAACCATTTGTCCTAGTTATTCCAAATAATCGCTTTGGTGCATATTTATCGATTACAGTCTTTGTCAATTTGCCAATATGGATATCAGGAGAGGGAATAGCATCCGAGATACGTGTTGTCATTTTTATCAAAACATTGTTGGTACGATCGTCTAGTTCCGTTATATTCTTTTGTCGTCCAGCATAAACATTATTATCCACAAGCTTGATAACTTTCTTCTTTTGTTGAAATGATTTCGATATCTTTGTTTCTTTGTCTTTGAGCTCATCTATTCTCACCAAAAAAAAAAAAAAGAAAAAAGAAAAAGAATGTTGAGTATGAGTCATCATCAAGTATTTCTTTTTGTTGATTCTAATTCACTCTCTGTCATTTATACCTTTCTTTTTATCGGTCTTGTATTCATCCTTGATCCTGTTTATCAATTCATCGATGACAATCAAACATTCAGTTTTGATACGATACCACATTGAAGATACATCCTTATCACCTAGATCGTTGTATAGAATTTTTCGTTTTTCGTCATCTACAGAGGATAGTCGAACCAATTCCCTAAAAGCCAACCCCTAGAATAAAATCATGCAAAATCATTAGTATTTACCTGTAAAAACAATTTTCCATCTTTTCTTTTTTTATTACTCTAATTCGATCATCCTTTTGAAATCGTAAACCATCAATCAAAATTTCGAAAGGATTACTATAAGATGACAAACAATCTTCCACCTATAAGAAAAATGGGGAGATCAGTAACATGTTTTTATGCATTCAAAGAGAGTTAACTTACTCTGTTGAAATAAGCGTCTACAGATAAATCAACAAAAGTCCACGCCTTGATCATTATCCAACCAACCATTACCATCTTGAAAAATAAACAAACGTCCCACCATCGAAAACCAATAACTGGGGTATCCAAAACACTAAAAAAAAAAAAAAAAAAAAAAAAAAGGAAAAATGATCAATCCACTCTTTTGTAGGTACCACACATTGATTTATCCTTTTCTCTTCATTCTACTTACGTTGTATATAGTCTAAATCCAACAGCAGTCAGACGATAAAAGAAACCGGATGAAATCAAGTAAAAAAAGTATGTAGAGATAAAAGTGCCAGAGGCCCAGAGAAAGGAGAACAAGTTGAGAGATTTTGCATATATCTTGATAAGATACCATGGATCTTGCTAAATAATATAAAAAAATGAATCAATGATCATATTCCTTCCTTCATCTTTGCATTTTTTTTTTCTTTGTTTACCTCGATCACTTGCAAATCAATCACCCACACTTGTCGGAAGATGCGATACATAGAATAAGATAAACCTAGTACAATAGCATAAATGGATAGAAATAGTCGCTCAAGATTAATTTGTTGAGCGCCATGACGTTGTTGCCTATTAAAATATATAACAGGAAAATAGATATTGTTAGGATTAGTAACGTTGTCAATGATATTTTTGTTTCATTTCTTTCGTACCTTGGATGATTGCTAGATAAGGTTGTCTTCAAAATTAACCCAAAGTAAAGCCAAACAAGGATCAAACTGGTAGCAGTATATAAAGTATTTAGTAAAAGATGGCTGCGTTGGAAACATGAAGCAAATAGATCACCAGCCAAATTATCATGTACTTTTCGTTGGACTAGGTAAGATATATATATATATATATATATAAAAGAGGTCTAGGTGAGTATTCTATTACTATAGAAAAATATCCTCGTCTCCCTCCTTCTTTTCCCCTTTCTTTATCGATAATCACTCACGTACATGTAGCAGATACCAATCGAGTCAGCATAATAACAATAAGAGAGATCCATAAAAAGAGAGTATAGATTGAACTTGACCATAAAGATATTGACCCTATTCATCAAGAATGGAATATTAAACATAAAGTAAAAGAATAGATCCAATCATTTTTTTTTTTTATATTTACAAGTCAAGAAGATTTGTGAAACAACAGTAAGCAAAATGGCAAAACCAAAAAGAACAGTGGCACATGAATATATCCTTTGTAAAAGAATCCTTGAATACGCCTGTGTATAAGAAGAACATTTTGGTTTTGGTTTTTCTACTTTGGTTGGACAAAGTGAGGAATAAATAGATGAAGGTGTCATATGGTTTGTTTTGAAAGATAAGGACTCGATTAGTAGGACGTATTATATGTATGTTTCCAGAAGGGAAAATGAAAAAAGAAAAAAAGAAAATCGCGTTCACAAAAAAAAAAAAAAAAAAAAAAAAAAGAAAAAGAAAAAGAAAAAGGTTGACAATCGACCCGGAAAGTCGGTAATTTAATTTGATTTGGAAGTGTACTGTACTAAGGAACATTAAACATCTGAGCTTGTATCCAAAATGAAAATGTCCTCCCTCTTTCTTTGTGTAGTTTGCTATGTCTGACCGGTAATGATTTATGAAAAGAAAAAAAAAATCAATCTATGAATGGATGGATGAATAGATGAATGGATAGATATATATTATGGACGGATGGATGGATGGATAAACAATAAGGAAATAGGAACGATACAATCCATTTTACAGCCACCTCTCACCTCGAATGAATCGATCTATTCATGATACTTTTCTACCATTTTTTTTTTATTTAAACATACATCATCTATATAGATTATGAGTTCGACAACTATTACTTTATGTTAACTGATTCTTACTTTTATTTTATAGTCTTTACAGCAAGGGCCGTGTTTTAGGGTACGAACGTGCCAAGCGCAACCAAAATCCCAATACCTCCCTTATCCAAGTGGAAGGTGTCCAAACCACCAAGGATGCTCAATTCTATCTCGGTAAGCGTGTTGCCTATGTCTACAAGGCCAAACGTGAAGTCAATGGTTCTAAGGTCCGTGTCATCTGGGGTCGTATTGCTCGTACTCACGGTACTAACGGTGTTGTCAAGGCTCGTTTCCGTAACAACTTGCCTCCCAAGTCTTTCGGTGCTTCTGTTCGTGTGGTAAGTGATCATGTCTGTCTATCTATTTCGTAATTAAATACTAATTGATTTTACTTTGATTTCTTTATACTTTTTTTTCTCAAATGATCTAGATGCTTTATCCTTCCAACATCTAAATACAGTCAAACCTCCCACAACTACATTTTTTATATATATTACATCCTTTTAAATGCCCTATTATGAAATAAAACGATATTTGATCAAGGTGTTATTTTTATTATTTTTATTATTATTATATATATATATATATTACTGTTTATGATGATAACCGTCGATAATGATGATAATGATGATTGGTTTGGTATAGATGATGATGAAGATGATAATGATAATTGGTTTTTAGGTATAGATGATAACGATCATGACAGTGATCATTGATAATTTACAGTGTCTCAACTCTTATTTGATTGTCAAAAATGCATCAAGTGACTACAGTTAACGCCGAATTTCCCCTCATCTTTGGAATAATCCGACTTTATTTCGTTTTTGTCCCCAATCAGATGGTTTCCTCTTGATTTTGATTGGTCACAAAGAATCTGATATGGCGGGCACTGAAACAGTAGGCATGTTTCTTATTTATATTGTTTCGCAGAATCTTTTCTTTTTTTTTATTCTTTCTTTTTCTTTTTCATTATTACTCTTTTTTTTTTTTTTTTTAAGTTATAACAATGTTGAGAACAACTTTGAACACATTTAATAAATCTACTCGTCTTATTCAAAAACCATTGACTCTAAGTGGAACTCGATTCTATCATGAAAAAGTAAAAATATAAATAAGTAAATAATAGTCTAGTACGATAAACTCAATCCTTTTATTTTTAATTAATTAATAGGTGATTGATCATTATGAACGACCTCGCAATGTAGGTTCTTTTGCTAAAGGAGAAAGTGGTGTTGGTACTGGTTTAGTAGGCGCTCCTGCTTGTGGTGATGTCATGAAGTTACAAATCAAAGTGGATGACGAAACTGGAAGGATCGTGGATGTAAAATTCAAAACTTTTGGTTGTGGCTCAGCAATTGCTTCTAGTAGCTTTATGACAGAACGTGTTCGTGGTATGACTTTGGAGGAAGCTGGAAAAATCAAAAATACTGAAATTGCAAAAGAATTATGTTTACCGCCTGTCAAATTGCATTGTTCAAGTAAGTTGCAAAAAAAAAAAAAAAAAAAAAAAAAAAAAAAATGAAAAAGAATAAAATGACTAAACTAAATATTGATTTCTTTTTTTTTTTCTTCTTCTTCTTTTTTATTTTACATAGTGCTTGCTGAAGACGCTATTAAGTCTGCAATACTTGATTACGAAACTAAACGCAAACGACCACAATGAATACATTAGGAACCATTTACACATAGCTCAGTTTTCCCCATTTATTTCTAGTCTTTCTTTTATTATTATTCATCCATATATATATATTATTACTCAGATAAAGAAAAGGTTTCTTTTTTTTTAAAAAAAAAATATTGTGTATGTGATTTATTTTATGTTGATACTGTAGTACTGATCATTCGATTATAAAAATAAAACGTAAACGAACTAAACCATTTATCGTTCCAGGTGTCCTGCTGCTAATCCTATGGTTTTAAATTAGTATTAATTAGTTTAGTTCAGATAGTTCATTAGTCTCATTTTTTATTATGCGTCTATTATTATTATGATTGATTTTTCAAAATAAGACCTATAGGATGAAATAAAAAGCAAAATGAAGATTCGCATAATATGTTTGTTGTGTTTGTTGAAGGTAGCAACACAAATACTTCAGAATGACAAAAGTACCTACATCACATATGTCAACTTTTTTTAAATTTCACAGTCTTTTCTATTGAGGCAACGATAATAAAAAAAATGTTTATTATTCTAGTCAATTTATTTATTTTATTTTTTTTTTTTTTTTGAATAACTTGTGATGTGTCGGGATAATATAAAGCAATTGTCAAATCAATTCCAAACACGCTTTGAACAGGACAAAAGACAATAAAATAGATAAGAACTATGAATAGCATATCAGGAAAAATAACGTTTTGTAATCATGATAATTGATATAGAAACTATATGTCAAACAAAGAAGGAAGTTTTTTTTTTTTTTTCTTTCAATAGAAGGAAGAGTTTCTTTAGAAGAAAGAAGAAATTCGTGCCCCTCATAAACCTTCTTTCATACGTTTCAAAAAAAAAAAAAGAAATCATTCTCCGCATTCGAAAAAAAAGGACGAAAATCCTTTTTTTTTTTTTTTTTTTGTTTCTTGTTTCTTTCTTTCTTTTTCTCTCTTTTTTCTTCTTTTCTTTTTGTTGTTGTACTTCTCTTTTTTTTTTTTATCTCATCTTCATTTTTACTTATACTAGTTAAACAACATGTCAGGAATTTATACTTCCTTTCTTGTTCTTGGTTTATTAATCTCGGGTAAGTGATAAGAAAAAAAAATATGAAGAATAAAAGATAGTACTGACTATTTCTTTTTTTTTTTTGTTATTGTTCTATAGGTGTCTCTATACCACTTATTCTCAGTTATCAAGATCATCATATTATAGATGATCAAAATCATTTGTTTACTCAACCACTTCTTCAAACAGTGATGATCTTTATTGGTGAAATCATGTGTATTTTTGGTATTCAAGTTATAAGTAAAGCTTCTTCTTGGTTGGATCGATCTCTTTTGGATTCAGTACAAGGAAATAGACAACAAGAAGAAAATGGAAATGAATGGATGATAAATCGTACTTCTTGGTTTTGGTCTGGTATCTGGTTTATTATTCCTAGTGCATGCGATCTTATTTCAACCACAGTAAGTTTTTGTGTCTCCTCTTTTTGATGCCGTCCATGTTACACATACTCACCATAAAAAAAAAAAAACTTATGATATATAGATGCTCAATCTTGGTTTGATTTATAGTACACCTTCCATCTTTCAAATGATGCGTAGTAGTATTGTTGGTTTTTCAGCTGTCTTTAGTTTCTTATTCTTATCACGTCGTTTTTTGGGTCATGAATGGGTTTCTGTTATCACTATTTTGGGTGGAATTGTTATCATAACTTACTACGCTGCCGTTTCATCCTCTACTGGCGGTGCAGCTCCAGAACAAGGTACTTTAGGTGATAATACTCACCCTTGGTTTGGTCCTTTGTTACTTCTCTTCTCTCAAGTCTTTGTAGCTTGTCAATTCATTTTGGAAGAATATTTGATGGATCGGTATCAAATGGATCCTGTTCGTGCTATGGGAATTGAAGGTGCCTTTGGTACTGTGCTCTTGGGTATTACTGTGATTGTGGCTGCATTAACACCTTCCGCTGCTGACTCTGTTTTCGACATCAAAACTGGAATGGCACAACTTATTCATTCGTACGATTTATGGCAATCTGCTATCGTCTTGGCTATCATGGTCGCTATTTTCAACTTTTTCGGTTTGGCTGTTAGTACTACCGTTGGTATTCCTGGAAGAAGTGTATTGGATGCTATCAGGTAAATAAATAAATAAATAAATACGTAAGAGAGAGAGAGAGAGAGAGAGAGAGAGAAAAGGAGGATCGCCGGAATCTATAGATGGAAAACATTTGGATAATGCATGCATATGTTGACGGTTTCTTCTTTTTTTTTTTTCTTTGTCTATAGAACCACATTGATTTGGGTGATTGCTACTCATTATGGTTATGATACTTTCTCTTGGCTTCAATTCATTGGATTTGTGATTTTGATTGTGGGTGTATTTATCTTCAATGGTGTCTTTTTCTCAATCACTACTGCTGTGCGTCAACGTTTCTTCCGTCAAGAACCTAATGGTGAACGTGCTCCTCTTTTGTCGTGATGGTCGTTCTCCTTACTCTTATATTATATATATATATATATCCACACACACATATACACACGCTATTATTACTACCAGTTTAGTATATCCTATTTTTATTCGTATTTTTATTATCTATCTTTTCTTTTGGCTTATTTATATATATATATTATATCTATCTTATCATATCAATCTTGTTTTACATAGTTTTTTCTTTTCCTTTTTTTTAAAAAAAGACAATAAAATAAAAAAGTATAAACAATGATGAGAATCAATTGAATTTTTTTTTTTTTTATTATGATGAATGATATATGTACAAAGGTAGAGAATATGCTATACTAACTAACCATACTATTTCCTTCTTGAGATCATGGTTCCAAATACTTCATCCGGTAGTTCAAAGTCAACCGTATCCATTGCAGGTAATTTTTCACCAAAAGCAATTCCTGTTCGTAAGCTTCGTCGTTTACCTTCAGGTCGATGTTGTCCTTGCTGTTTGAAATGAGCTAATACCTTGGTCTCTAGCTCCTTGATCCTTGCTTGCTGTTGTTTTGATATAGGTTTTGTCATTGTCGTTATCGTCGCCTTATAGGGTCTTCGTGCTGTATGTGTGGTAGATATTGCTGATGATGATGATGATGATGATGATGTTAAAGATCGCGCTTTCGATGATACATCAATGGATGATCCAATTGCTTTGACCGATTCTTTCTTTTTCTTTTTCTTCTCAATCGATTTGTCATTATATTCTATTACTGCTGTTGCTTCTGCAGCTGGTGTTGTTATTGATGATGAAGAAGAAGAAGAGGATAAGGATGATGACATGGATGATATGGATGATGATGGTGTGATTGTTGCTGTACTTGATATTTCATTCGCAGTTGATCTTGATGATACTTCCTTCGTTGAATCCATATTGGGAAAATAAGAAGAAGAAGAAGAAGGATTTGTTTGATGATCTATATTGACATGGTTTCCATTACCAGCAGAACCACGCGTATTGATAAAACCTTGTCCACGTTTTCGACCCAAACCTAATTTTTCATATCGATACATTTGTTCACGAGCATCTTGCAGTAAGATCTGGTGAAGTCGTTCCAAGTCCATTGGTGTCATTGAGGTATATGGTTGTCTTGTTTCTTGTGATGGCGAATCGTTTGATTGTAGAGGTCGTAATGAAGAAACAATCGAGGCTAGAGTACTTTTGTCCATAGTCTTGAGCCGTTCTACAAGTTGTTGTTGCTGATAAAGTCCATGCTCCAATCGTTCTTTTTCTCTGTTTTTTTGCTTCTTTTCTTCCATTTCATGTTTTCGATGTCGTGCCAAGTAATAGTCATCTGATGTGGTAATATCACTACTGCTCTATAGTCAAATAAGGAATTAAAAAAATTGGATGAGTATGTTGACCTTTCAAGTCTTTTTCTTTTTTGGCGTTACTTTGGCCTTTGTAGGGCGTTTTTGTGATATGATTCGAAACACAGGTTGAATATCAGAGGAAGGCAATGGTATGGGTTCAGGTTCACCAAAGTCGGTACAGTTGGATAGATCTTTGGTCAGTTTGAGAATAGTTTGACAATCTATTTGAGGGACTTGAGTTTCTAAAAAAAAAAAAAAAAAAAAGTTCATGAAAATGTGTTTTTGGTTTCATATACGATGACTTACTTGAACTTGTCTCTAAAACAGTACTAACAGCATCAGTAAGAAAAGAATGTCTTGCAGGTAAGGCACGCTTATGCCTTTCTTGCATCATGGAGGTATAATTAATAAAAGTGAGTAAGACAAAAAAAGTATAGTAATAATTGTGCGATGGTGATCAGTTGAACATATTAAAATGCCGACAAAGCCACTGTGCTAATCCCCGTAAATCGCCTCCTTCTTAATAATTTAACCGTGATCATTTATATATGTTCTTAATATTGCATGATCTCTTACAAGTAACTTTTTATTTAATTTTATGATATATGAATTCTATATATTATTTTATGACATATAATGATTGGATGATTGATTTGATTTAATAAAATGATCATCATTATTTGATATCTTCAATGTGATTGGAGGAAAAAAAAATAATGTAACAGCTCCTGTTGTCTGTCTTGTTGCTTCTTTGGATCCTTTTTTTTTTTTTTTTTTTTTTTTTTGATAAGTGCACATATACAAAATGATCTCTAGTTAATCATCACTGTATAACCATTTTCCATTTCTTCTTTTCGGGAGTGGTGAAATACACAGAGACCACACTCTGCCCACCAATGATTTTGATTTCCGACTATCTGCTTATGCTAAAGGAATAAAATAGCTGTCAAAAAAAAAAAAAAAAACATTTAGATCTTTTTATTATTTTCCTTCTCTTCCTTTCTTTTTTCTCTTTTTTCTTTTTTCTCTTTTTTCTTTTTTTTTTTTTTATATCTCATTTCTGAATATAAAGTAGATAAAAAACAAGATATTAATGAAACAACACTCATTATTATCCAAGATGGATGATATGCCCTTGAGCGCGTCCCTTCAATTAAAACAAGAAAACAAATCCACATATGATTGCACTTTGGAATGGATGATTAGTTCACGCTCCTCTACCAATCAAGATTCTTCTGTGTCATATGAATCTAATGAAAATGATGCTGTATTAATGGATAATACCGGTAAAATAAAAAAAATATCTAGTGACTGATGTTCATTTTTTTTTTTTTTTTACTTCCATTTTGATATTTGGTGATAGATATGCAAATACTCAAGTTTGCTGAAAAACAAGATTTAGATCCTTATATAATTGATTCTCAAGATTCTTCTATTTTCAAAAATGAATCAATCGTGGATCATCAACATGATGAAGATATTGATAAACGTGGAAACCCTCAAGCATGTATTTTTGTGGCAAGGTCATTTTTTCCCCTTTTTTTTTTTTGTATTGACAGAATAGATTATCCTAACGCTTTATATCACTTTTTCTTTTTTATGATTAGTCTCAATAAGCAAAAAACTGGTGAAGAATTAAATATATCGGTCTATAATCACTTTATGCAATGGGGAAAACTTATCAATGTTAAGGTGCTTAAAGATTGGATGGAAAGACCTTATGCCTTTGTACAATTTGAAGTAGGTTTTTACTTAAAAAAAAGAAATAGGACACCAATGATATTCATTTTTTATTATTTTTTTTTTCAATAATAGCGAACAAGTGATGCAGATTTGGCATTAAAACAAGCACCTGGAACTATACTAGATGGAAGAAGCATTCGCTGTGAAGCTGCAAGAGTGAATCGTACCTTGTTTTTAACCTCTCATTTCAATGATCCTTTGGAAAAAGAGGTAAAAGAAAAAAAATGATATAATTTTACCTTATCTATTTTTTTATGATTTTATTTTTACTTTTTTCATTCTCTTTCTATTCGCAAAGGAAATTTTACGTGTACTCTCTGTTCATGGTCCTATTGAAAACGTTTCTGTGGAATATGATGTTCTGGCTACTTCTGCTTTTGTGAAATTTTGTTACAGAGATGATGCTATCAAGGCTTATTTGGTATGTATGCCTTCTATATAATATTATGAGTGGATGCTGACTGATTATGATGTTATTCATAGTCATTACAATTATCATCCATCAAACGTTGGTCAGTTGAATGGGCTTCAAACCTGAATTCTAGTCCGGAAGTCACTTTTGACAAGTCTTGCATCTATATTGGAAATCTGGATAAATCCATTACCAAAGTCGATATCCAGGATCGGTTTAGTCATTATGGTACTATTAGAAATATCAACATTGTTAAACAGGAGAATGCTCGTTACAAGACTGCCTTTGCATTCGTCAAATACACCAATTACGCTGATGCTACCAAGGCCATTGAAGCAGAGGTACAAAAAAAAAAAAAAAAAAAAAAAAAAAGGTAGATAACATAAACAGAAGAAATATTCATGTTTTTTTTTTTTTTTGTAGAATGGTCAAACTTGGCACAAACATATATTACAAGTCTCCTATCGTGAAACCCGTAAGTCTAATGGTATTGTCCTTTCAACAAAACGAAACGATGGATTAGTGTCCCGGTCAAAGGATACTTTCCTTGGTGGTTCCCATACTCCTTTTTATCGACCACAACCATATCCACCAGGTCTTGGAATACCTGCAGCGACTTCATATATGTACGGTACTCATGTATCATCACCCAATATGCAACACTTTAACAATATCAATTTTACAAGATCATCGGCCATGATGATGACCGCCACTGGATCTCCACCTCTTTGTCAACATCAAGAACAGCATTTCCAACATCGCGATCAGGATCAGCAACAACAACAACATTATCAATACCCACATTTAACTGATCAGACAATGTACTATGCATCAGCGGCTTTTGCAATCAACAGTGGTTTGGTACCTCCTACAGCAACAACCACAACAACCGCAGCAATAGCAAGTGATCAATGTTTGCATATGCAAGATATGACTGATACTGGATATGAACCTTATCACACTTCTTATGATGGTCATTCTCACTTGCCGTACAGCAATGGATTACAGACAATGACATATGGCAATTCTGCGACTGGTATGTACGGGTATTCATTTTCTCAATTGGTAAGGATTCATTAACACTATATATATATATATATATATCAAAGTGAAAAAGAAAGGAACTTTACTGAATGGCATCTTCTTCTTTTGTAATCGGCTGTGTATTCTTGATGGAACAGAGTGACCAAGGTAATCAGACTTAAAAAAGATGAAAAAAAAAAGAGAAAAGACTGATATCATCCACACTTTTTTTTTTTTTTTTTGTTAGCTCCAGATATGATGGATCATAATGCAACAGATAGTAGTTATTGTTGGTATGGGCCATTACCTTACGACATGAATTCCTCTTTTTATCATATGCATCCACATGCGGGTTATTATTTTGCGTCTTCTCCAGGAGTTGGTTCGATTGTGCCTAACATGATTCCTTCAACAGCATCATCCCCAGATACCATTCAAATGATTCCTTCCGTCTATTTTCCACCTCATACCATAAGACTTATGATGCAACATCACAACACTACCAATGTACAAATGGAATATACCATGGATGAAAAAGGTTAAAAAGAAGGAAAAAAAAAAGGAGGAAATAGAAAAGAAAAGCGATGATTTAACTGACAATGTTCTATAATTACCCTTTATAGAAGATGTTGGCAATGATGTGGATGTAAAACCTCGTGACGCGACCGGTGATGATATGTAGGGAACACCAACTTGAACAATTACCCTTAGTTTAGCAATGTCACACACACATACACACAATAGTTTTATACAAATAGCAACAATGTCCATAGTTAAAACAAAATTTATATTTCTTGCAATAAAAAAAACAATGATTGAAATCAAATATCGTTTGTTTATTATTATTATTATTATTATTATTTTGTTTCTTTTAAATTTAAGGATGATCGTGGAAAACCCAATAGAAAGTATAAAGTTGAATTATAGTAGCATTCGTGGTACCGTAGATCCATTTCTATGATGATGATGAAGATCCTGTTGTCATCTATGGGTGAATACATTGAAGTGCTCTCTAAAATCAATTATGTGCATAAAAATTACCTAATTGCATTTATAGCATCATAAACTTGCTTTGCTTCAAAAAAAATATTGATATATCGTGATCATCAAAGTATGTTTTATCTAGGCATTCTAAATTGTACCTAATACCACAAGAAGTATTGTAACAAATGCAGGTGACATGTCGCCGTGGAATTTTATTCAACCTTATGTTTTATATTATCCATTCCTAGTCATTTGCTTTGACCAAACCAGATCTTCCAGACCACGTGCTCTTGCGTAGAAAACTATAGAAGGGGAATGATTTTTTTTTTTTTTGTCTATCGATTTGCAGTTGGACCAATTCGGTTTATCCAAAAAGAAATGCTGATGATGAATATGTTACACAACCTGGTAAGGTTTGACTTTTTTTTTTTTTTTAAATATCCCCAAAACTGTGTACAACTCCATATGTACATATGTATGATGATGACGGAGTTTTTTTCTTAAAAAAAAGGTGGGGATATAAAGTTTTCTGAAACGTACAAAAGAGGGCGATTTCTTTCCTTTTTCTCTTTACTCTTTTTTTTTTATATATTTTTATTTATGAAAAACCATAGTTTATTAGAATGTCCATTATACAGTCTTACATCACTTGTTATTGATTCCACAACACGAAAGATCCTTTCAGCATCAACAGAAATGATTCAATTACTTGACAATAAAGATCTCAAAGGAACATATTGGCCAAGCAAACAAGAGCAACAATTATGTTTTACGACCTTAGTTGAAATACCCTCATCACAAAGACCAAAACGATTATTGACTTGTGAACATCCTGATATGGATTCCCTGACAACTATTGTATATTGTGCTGATATCTCCTTGTTGGAAAAATTATATTCTGATCCGTCACTCTTCCATACCATGTTGGACTCGTCTTTTCCTAGTACTTTTATTTTACGAATGAATCCTTATGGTGTGATTCAATCTGTCTTCTCACCTTCTTCTTCTTCTTCTTCTTCTTACATGATGATGATTGGTCGTCCTTTGATGCGATTTGTTCATAATGATGATATACCTATCCTTTGCAGTGGACTACGACAGCTGACTCAATGTCTGCAGGAAAACAAAAATGATGATGATTTCACCATGATTTCTTTTGATCTTCGATGTAACTTTGATTCATTCGATTTGAAAGATATGAACGATAGAAATAATGATATTATCAACAACAACAACGATCAGCTGAACAATTGGAAAAAGGAGTATGATACAATTTTCCATTTTTCCACGGTTGTCACAGGCACACAAGACCTTTTATGTATCATGAGACCATCAGCAACAACATACAAACAACACACTACTTCTTCTTCTTGTTCTTCGTATTTGTCATCTTTGGTACACTCTTCTTTCAAAGCCAAACATGTCATTCATAGGATTCATCATGCTTTATGGGATGCGGTTGAACAAGGTTTATTAATGTTGGCTCATTATTTAGCGGTGGTCATGGTACTTGCTTTGCAATGTTATCGATTGGCTCGACATTCTTCCTTTTGGTTAGAAACTTCTGAACTGGCGCTACGATGTTTGGTAGCAGAAACAAAATCAAGGCCTGAACTAGACAGAGTATTTTCTTGGTTGCAATGGGCTGGTTTGAAATCTTCTCGGCGTGTCTTTGGCTCCTTCTTGGATCATTGTACCGACTGGCTTATTCCTTGACAAGTTCTCCTATTTTCTTCATTCTAGTTTTATTATATTATTCATTTTATATTCTCTATTTAATTCATCATCTTTGTATTATAGTTTGATACCATCTTTTTTTTGGAAATAAAAATCTTTTGTTACTCCAATAAATATTTTTTAATGATAATGTATGATTTGTTTTATTTCAAAATGTACACATGTTGGAAAAAGGAAATGTAAGTAACACTAAACTATATAAGAGGGGGGATATGTGTATGATGTGTGCGTGTGAGTTGGGGCTTGTAACTAATGTTGTATGAGGAACAGACCAAATCATGAAGAATGACCACCACGCTAAAAAAAAAAAAAAAAAAAAAAAAAAAAAAAAAAAAAAAAAGAGATCAATATATATATATTTCTTATGGTTTCTTGAAATAAGATATTCATTACCTGAGCAATAGCACCCATCAGACTTCTAGCACCGAATGAAAGCATAGTTCCCAACTAAATTTCATGTAAAGTAGAATAGAATACAAGTCATTTCTAAATATATCTATCTTCATTCATCTCTCTCTCTCTCACTCACTCTTACCTGACGACTTGTAGCATCTAACCATTCAGCTTGATTCAATCTTCTATCTAAGAATCGATATGTTTCCACATATTCTGGTGAGATATCCTGCGACATGTACAATTCCGTTGCTGAATAAATTGTAGCCAATGAAACACGTTTGGTATACCAGTTCATCTAAATGACAATAATAATCATCAGTCATATTAAATAAATATAATATCTAACTTTGTATAACTTACATCAGGACTACGATCACCAGCATAGTACCAAATATCATCAACCACTTGAGATAAATGATGCATAGCCATAGGGAGATTGGAAGGAACGGCCAGGATGGACACAGCTTCGGGCCAACGTCGTGCATAAGGTTTCAACATGTTCAAACGAAGCACAGTCAAAGCACGTACCTTATCTGTCATGGAAGCATTAGGATGCCAGTACTGTTCAGGTCCACTTGCCATCAATTGCACAAATCGTTGTTGACAGTCTTCCAAATAGGTATCCACCAATCCTGCAGGTCCTCCAGGAAATACACCATGAACCACGGATGGAAAACCTAATTCTGCTGCACCTTGAGAAATACTTTCCATTGTCCAGCCATGCTCTGGCACATGAGCTAATGTTGCTTGAAGAAGTGAATGTCGTACATCATCGGAACCTTTTGTTTGTGTGGTAAAAGATTGTTGCTGTTGTCCTTGTTTTGTTTTCGAATCCATCTTGTTATGATCATTGTTGCCACTAATAATAAAAAAAGAAAAGAAAAGGAAAGAAAAGAAAAGAAAGAGAGAAACATTATAATTCAGTACATAGATATCAAGAATAATAGTCGTGTTTTTTTTTTTTTGTTTGGTATTATTTGTTTACTTGGAAGGAGTTGAAATGAAGGATCTAGAGATATGTTGGACAACTAAGGAAAAGGATCGAGTTGGTTTGACACGGCGTAAAGAGGTCAATGTGACAGAACGTAACATGTTGAAAATAGACAAGGACTGGATAAGAATAAACAAAAAAGGGAAGAAAGAAAAAAAAAATCAGCTCTCTTTTTTTTTTTTTTTTTTTTTTCAGAGAAATTCGTTCAATGGCCGCCGGAAAGAACTCGTTTTTTCTTTCTGTTCCCCTCTATCATTCTGTAAAACTATATTTTAATTGAACTCTGTTTATCATGAAACGTCCTTTTATATGACTATTTTTATGTTTATGAAAACTTTGTGTCAGTGAATAAAATTTAGCTTACTTTTATACAACTATTTCTTTGGTTCGTTTTACACCAACAAGTCAGTATTCAGGAAAAAGAAACATCCACGACGGATAATTTATCAACAACAACAATAATAATTATTTGGTATTCTTGTATGGCGATAGAAGGACGCGTTTCAAAGTCAATGTACGTGTATGGATACTAAGACAAAACCCATCAACCATATTGGCTAAAAAAAAAAAAATTCCATGATATGGATGAAATTCGATCAACAAAGCTCCGTTCCTTGTGTGTCACAACTCTACACGGTAGAAAACAATGAATGATGCTGTCTATCTGCAACAACTCCTGATTTTTTATTTTATTTTATGAATTTGTGAAGCATAGGCCGTGATTTGAAAAACAGTCAAATGAAATAGGAATTCTGAACAAATTATCTTCTGACTCTGTATGTGGGACTTTTGAATGAAAACAAGAAGATATCTGATTATTTAGGCAATGAATGAATTGGTTGATGTGGCCGTTGCTGAAAATGAAGATAGTAAGCACCACGGCATGTTATTGAACAAAGTGTAGCTAACCATCATCTTAATTCTTTTTTCAAACGCCGCTTGTTTTTTGGTGTAAGAATGATTGGATATGAAAACCTACAAACGCTCTTTCTCTTTTTAGCTTGAAGGAATCACTTTTGGTCGATAATCAACAATGGTAAGTAAAATGAAATAAAACAATTCAAGTCAAAATATATGGATAGAATCGAAACGACGAACTCTGAATGAATGAAAGGATGGATGGATGGATGGATGGATGGATGGATGGGTGAATGAATGAATGGATGGATGGATGAAAAGGTTCTATCTTAAAAGAATGGGAGAGTAAATTGTTAAATTAGACATTAACTCCCTTTTTTTTTTGTTTTAATCTTTGCCTTTAGGGTATTGACATCAAGAAACACCACGTCAAGAACAGCAACCGTACTGCTCCCAAGTCTGACAATGTCTACTTGCAATTGCTAGTCAAGGTAAAAAAAAAAAAAAGAATACTACTTGAGATATATATATATATATATATATATATATATATATATGCAAAGATATAATCAAATATTAACTTTTTTTTTTTCAAAAATAATAGTTGTATCGTTTCCTCGCTCGTCGTACCGATGCCAACTTTAACAAGGTTGTGTTGAAGCGTCTCTTTATGTCTCGTATCAACCGTCCTCCTGTCACTGTTTCCCGTTTGGCCAAGTATGCTGCCAAGAAGGATGTTGCCAACAAGACCTTTGTTGTTGTTGGTACTGTGACTGATGACTCTCGTCTTTTGGATTTGCCCAAGTTGTCTCTTGCTGCTCTCCATGTCACCAAGACTGCCAAGGCTCGTATCTTGAAGGCTGGTGGTGAAATCTTGACTTTGGATCAATTGGCTCTTCGTGCTCCTACTGGTGCCAACACTGTCCTTGTCCGTGGTGCCAAGAACTCTCGTGAAGCTGTCAAGCACTTTGGTTTTGGTCCTCATAAGAACAAGAAGCCTTATGTTCGTTCCAAGGGTCGCAAGTTTGAAAAGGCTCGTGGTAAGCGTGCTTCTCGTGGTTTCAAGGTTTAAATCAACAAAGTCTTTTTTTTTTATCCTATCCTCTCCTCTTGTGTTATTTTTTTTTTTCACTCTTCATCACACACTCTCTCTCTCTATTCAACTTTTTGTTATACATTATCTGTCCCTTTCTTTATTATCGCTTGTGTATGTACAAATAAAGATTTGAAATCAATTATATAGATCATCTTTTTTTTTTTTTTGTGTGTGTGTATAATTATGAATATTCATATCTCAAGAATGATTTCATATGTACATAAATGATTATTATGTATGAACATCACATTTACAATTGGAGTGGGAAAAAAAAAAGTTTGTTCATTATTTTATTGTGATCTACTCGATACCAAGTCCGATTACTTTTCTCTCACTCTCCTTTTTTTTTTTAATTCTATTTTATTTCCCATTTGGTTCTATAGATCATGTTTCGACGACGAACAACAATTAAACGAACAGAAGTGACATTATCAAAACGTGATCAGTATGTATTGGACAAATATACTCGGCGGATGAAGACATATGATGAAATGTTCTATGTCTGTTGTTGTTGGATTGGTTACGACGTATTATTAGGTTGTTGTCTTTTTTTTTTTTTTTTTAAAAAAAAAAAAAAAAGAAAAAGAAAAAAAGGAAATATGTTATCTTATCGTTTCTTTTAATATGTTTTATGATATAGAATTCATACCAGTGGTTGGTAAAGTGATTTCTCTTGGATTTTCCCTTTCTATGTATCGATTAGCTTGTCAAGCGGATTTACCAAAAACTCTTCGACATCAAATGTTATATCATATCAGTGTGGATTTCTTAGTAAGTTTGAATCATCCTATTTTCTTAAAATAATAAAACTAAAACATATATATTATATATTACGTGCGGAACTTGAAGCTTGGATTGATTCCAATTCTTGGGATATTACTCGATGCTGTAAGATGATTATCATTCATCAATAATATAAAAAAACACTCATTCTTCTTTTTTTTTATTGTAGCTATATCGTGCACATAGCAAAAATACAAAGTTATTAAGGAAATTCTTGTATGAACGTGCAAGAAAGAAGAATGAACAAGATACTGTACAAGAATCAATATCAAGATCTACATCAAATAATATAGAATCTCAATATGAATCATTAGATAATAATAATAATAATAGTAATAAAAACTCTATCTAGACCTTTCTCATTGATGGTAATTTTTTATTTTTGTTCAAAACTTCCAATCGCCGCCATTTTTATATTATTTTGGCGGTTTATTTTTTCTTTTTTTACTTTTTGTCTCCTTCACCCCCTTTCTTTTTTTCTTTTAAACTTTTTTTTTCTCCCTCTTCTTTTGTATATACCGAATTTTACTTACTTGTGTACTTTTTCCTTGTTAAAAAAAAAGTCATCTTATCTTTTACTTGTATACATATATAAATAGTTCGACATGGCTGATAAAACAAAAGGTACTACTGTTTATTTTTATTTATTTTTTTTTAAAAAAAAAAGGAAATCTCATCATTTTATTAAATATATATATATATATATATATATATATATAATTATATTTAGTTTCAATGGAAAACGAAAAGTCAATCCAAGAAGAAGAAAAGCTCACTACTACAGAAATAACTGAAAAACCTTCATCCATCGACACTCAACAACAACTTACTAATGATAATAATAATAATAATAAAGTATCATCAACTGAAACTATTGATAATGTAGACAAGTCTAATTCGCCTCCTCAGTCTCCTCAAAACTCAGTATCAGCATCCTTGGAAAAACAACCATCTAGCGACAAAACAAACGGCTCTGTAGAAAAACAAAACGAAAATACATCACCAACTACCACTGAACCTCCTGCACCAGCACCAGTTCATCCTTTGGTTGCACAACTTCGATCACAACTTTATCAACGACGACATGTTTTGGATAATTTAGAAGTGGAACGATCACAGTACAAAATTGACTCACAAAGTATGCAAGAACGACTGGAACAAATGAAAGTCAAAATTCAACAACGATCAGAAGCGCAACAACAACTAGAGACAAACTACCGTGAACATTTGCAATCGATGAGAGCAACTATGGATGATTTGGACTCTATCAGTAGTAAGCTCAAACAACTCAAGAAATTAATTCGAGAACTGGCAGATGAATTATTGGAACAGGCGGATCCAGTGACAGCAACAAGAGCACTACGTACTTTCTGGCTCAATCTACATGACTGTATTGAATCCATGGGTAGTCCTCTTCCTTTACATCGCATGCGTATGTTGACAGAAAAATTCATGATGGATGTTCTTGTACAAAACATGAATTTGAATGTATTTCCTGGATTGACTTCTCTTTCAGATGATTACAATGATATGGCCTTTTGGTTTGAAAAGTATGATCCTGCTTTCTCAACACGATTGCGACAAGAAATAGCATTAGTGATGGTCAAGAAGAACAAGACTAGTGGAAACGAGATTCATAAACGATTGCACGAAGCTGTTCAGGCCAATTGGAAATTCTTGTATGGCGGATTGATCAAAGCATACCCATTTGTATATCAACATGATAAACATGAACCTGATACAAGGAAACATTATGGTGCTAAAGTTCAAGTCCTGGTCGAACATTCTATGGCACTTGGTTTTGCAATGAAAGGACAAGAAGTGGATGTGGCTGCTGCAGAAACAAGAGAAAGGGTACAACTATTTGATGAAGCATTGATGGTGGATGAAGATGGTCAAACCTCAGGTGTTGTTGATTTTTGTGTATGTCCTCCATTTGTGGTTTATGGATCCAAGGTGTATACTTTAGAAAAAGGTCGTGTCCTTTGCTCTCCTTCAACTGATAATACAAAAGATATCAAGGAACAATATAACAAAGTCGATTCTCCTGTTACTCCTATCACTACTTGAATTTTTTTTTTATATATATACATTTTAGTTTAGTTTAGTTTATTATTTACTTCATATCTTCAATAAAACAGTACTGGTTATGCTAAATTATTAGTTTTCTTTGGGTTTCCGCAGACTGAGTCTTTTTTTTTTTTTTTTTGGTCACTTCTATTTTGAACCGCCAAGTCGTTTTGTGTTGTCTCTTGGCTTTTTTTTTTTTTTTTTTTTTAACTTTTATATCAATCTCTCTCCTTTATATATATATATTTATATATACATATCTTCTAGTTTCACTTGATAGTTTAAAGTAGGTATAACTATAATGAAATTCTCCTATATTAATAATATACTTAAATTTTTTATTTTATAATACAAAAGCGATTCTTTTTTTTTTTTTTTTGTATGTTACGATAAAAGATGGATTTCTCGCCTTACAAACCGTCTCCTGATGAGAATCGAAAAGATCAAAAACAACAAAAGAAACAAAAAGCACCAACACCTTATGAACCCAATCCTTATCAAGTTGGAGGAGCTTCCATGGCATCGTCTTCTACTTTGGAACAAGGTCTTTTGGATCAAGATAGACAACCCACATTACGTGTCAATAAGTATGAAACTACTTTACCAATACGTGTGGATATCGAAGCTGCTTTGACTTATTTGTTTCCTCCTTTATCAGGTATAATAATAATAATAATAATACTTGTCAACAGTTAGAGATCGATGTTCATCCTTTTTTTTTTTTTTTTTATAATTCTCTCTTTTCAAAGGCTTGCTCTTCTTGGTATTGGAAACTCAAAATGATTACGTCCGATTTCATGCTTGGCAGGTAAAAAAAAGGAAGACGAACAAAAACACCATGTGTGTGTGTGTTGTAGGAAAAGAGGATTATATGTTTGACAGATTAAATAGATTTTTTTTTTCAGTTGTTGACAAATCTTTTTTTTTTTTTTGTTTAGTCTTCGATCATGTTCTTATCATTGATGAGCCTTCAATTCATCATGATCTTCATTTCCAACTTTTTATCCTGGGTATTGATTTTCGTTGATATTGGTTTGATTCTTTATTTATCGTAAGTTTTAATCAATGATGATATTTGGCTATTTCTAACATAATTTTATGATAGATATCGAGCTTATTTGGATGGTGCTTCTTTGGAACGATATGAAGTTCCATACTTTGGTCCAATGGCAAGTGAATGGGTCGATACTGAATAAAAAACCGTTTTGATTGGATCTTTTTTTTTTTTTAGTTTTATAGTTCTCCTCCTTTCATCTTTAGTTTAACCTTCCACATTATATCTATATTTATATATACATCTATATACCTTTTTTTTTTTTTGTTCTCTATTATTGATTTCGTTTTACAAATTAGCATGTTCGTATGATGATGTTGTTAGTTTCCCACCTTTCCTTCTTCTTTTTTTATATAATAAATAGTATTTTTTTTTTTGACAATGATGATCATGGATGACATAGGATGGGATGAGAAAAGATGGATGATGGATAAGATGGGATGTAATGATTTTTGGATGATGCCTGATGACGCCTCTTCCCTATACGTATTCTGTGATACATCCAACAATAGACGAAATTTCCCTTTTTTTGATAATGACGCCATTCATTTGTTTTGTACAACGGTTTTATGCTTTTTTATTGTATATGTAAGAAACTAAGATGTAATGTGTAAAAATAATAATAACTAATAATGGTATAACTAGGGAATGTACTAATACGATAATAGATGGTAAGAAATAAAATGATTTTTTTATAGTGTTTGTCTATCGCTTCCACTGGTAGAAGCTGAACTTGTCACAGATAATTTGGAACTGGTGCCAACACGATGTAATGACTGAGGTGGTGATCGACTTTCATTTCTACGTCTCGTGGCTTCAGCTATTCAAAAAAAAAAAAAAAAAAAAATCAGTGATTGTCCTTTTCATATTAAAGTCATCAATATGTCGGCATATATATATATATATATATATATATATATATATATAGATGATGATGATCATCATCGTCACACATACATATACAACGCTATTCACCTGTTTTTTTTTTCTTCTTTTTTGTGTTGTTTTTATGAAATCCTTACTTAATTCATATCCTTTTTACCTTTATTTCTTGTAGCTTCACGATCCAAACGGGCAATGACTTTATCCAATTTCCGAATCCAAGTATTTTGTTCTTCCAAGCTACGTGTATGTAGAATATGAGTGGTAGAGGAGCCCATAAAAGTCGAGTTCAAATTATCCACACCTTGGAAAGAGGAAACAATTTCAATACAATATTCTTGACCAGCCGCATCTTCATTAGGTAAAGCACGTACACGAGCACGTTCAAGACCAATATGACCTTTATATTGCAACACTGTACGCTGACCTTCTTGTTTCGGTCGGACAAAGACAAGAAGATCGGAAAAGAGAATGTAAGTGCGTTCTTCTCCCATAGATTTGGCATTCATCACTACACGTGCTAATTGACCTTGCAAGATTAATCGTCGTTGTGCCTTGACTCCAAATGGTGCACCTACTAATGCTTGTTGTATCATGAGTACTTGGTCCACATTATCAGCGTCATTCACCCTGAAAAATGAGAAACAAAAATATAAGAGAAAGAAAAAAAAAAAAGAAAAAAAAATAAAGCGGAGAGGAAATGGGGTCTATTTTTTTTTTCTATTTACCTTGGAAGAATACCAGAAGCAAAAGTTTGAATTTTTTGTTTGCAATATAATAACTGACGATGATCAGGATGATCCATAGCGGTAGTTTCCGATATACCACTGATCAGTTTCTCATACCGATGAATACACCCAGCTGGAATTTGAAGTAAGGATAGTAAAGTGGCGCCTTTCAAAGCACGATCTTTATGCGCATGCTATATTAGGTAGTAGAAACATGGGAAGAATGAGATCAAAAGAAACAATTAGGTTCCATGTTGAAACCTTACATGATAAGATCTTTTTAAGTAACTTACATCGATGAATTTTTTAAATGGTTGATACTTTGTTAATCGTTCATACGTTGTCATAGCAATATCATAATTACTAAGGTACCCATGATAAGCTTCCAACATTGGAAACTATATATTAAAAAAAAAAAAAAAAAGAAAAAAAAAAGAATAAGATAAAGAGTTACCCTCATCATCATGATTTTTTTTTTTTTTTTTACGATTTACCAAAGAATGAAATACATCAGACAAGATCTGAGTGGGACCCCAAATCCTTAGACTAAAAAAGAAAGGTATATGAGAGACATTGAAAAAAGTTTTTTTTTTTTATGTAACCTAAAAAAAAAAAAACTTTGTCTTACCGTTGTTCCAGAGAAGTAAGAAAAGTATCATGAATTTGAACAATAGTTTCAAAATTACCAAAAAGCCATTTTATTTCACGTTCAGTACAAACCAATTTACGAGAACCTAGGAAACTAAATGATGATTGTTTTGAATCCTTTTTTAATGGAGCTAAGAATATGCTGACCACCAAATCCAATGACTTTTTATATGCTTGTTCCGACGTAATCAGTTGATTGATCAATGATTCCCTTTTACGATAATCTAATTCCGTTTCTATTGTGAAAAAAAAAAAAAGAAAAAAAGATAGAGTTTTTCCCACTATATCGTTTTCTTTTTTCTTTTTTCTTCTTATTTACCTATTAAACCATCGTCTGCGTCGTCGTAGTTTAAATTGTCCATCATTGCTAAGGCATCATCTGTAAAATTATGTATTGCTGCAGTACGAGGATGATATTTCATATTAGATGTTTGACCGGGAATAGGTGGTAAAGGTTCGTTCATAAAAGTTGCGTAATCCGGTGGATAACTAATATCACTACTTGTACTTTGTGTCGATGTTCCAAAAGAAGAAGTTTGTTCGTATTGATGATATTGATTAGACTGTGACATTATTTTTTTTTAAAAAAAAAAAAAGAAAAATCGAAATGATTCGTCGAGAGTTGTAATGATATAAAGGAAAGAAGCAAAGAAAATAATAGAAGTTTTCTTTTTTTTTTTTTTTTTGTCTTTCGAACCAGCGAATGTATAAAAAAAAAAATGAAAATGAAAAATGAAAAATGAAAAAGAAAAAGAGGAGAAAAGGAAAAAAAGGAATAGAATGAAAAAAAAAAATGCTTATTTTTTTTTTTTATTTTTTTGGTTATTAGAGGATTACAAAAAAATTGTGTGAGTATGGATAGAGTCTATTTTGGCAGAAGGTTACACAAAGGGAATATCGATTGGACTTAATATCTTGTGTTACTTTGACCCCTTTTGCGCGACTCCCCTCAATGTTACTCTTTGTATCATCTTTCCAGAGTAGAAAAAAAAAACATATTTTCTTAATGATAATGATTTATTATTTTTAATGAATGAAAAAACACAGCCTTTTTTTTTTATTTCTTTCCCTTTCTTTACTTAAAAACTCTTCATTTTAGTTTGAATCGGTTTACTTTAAATGCCCGTTTCCGTTCCTTTTTCCGTTTCGCATGAGCATTGATACTCCGGTAGTCACACTTCGGGAGTGTTTCTAATAAAAGAAGTTATTTTTATATATTCTTCTTTTAAAGAAAGAGGGTTTTTTGCCCTGAGATTATAAGTGGAGTTTTTTTTTTTTTTTTTTTTTTTTTTTTTTGGTTACCAGGGAGTGGGTAAAACATTTGGCAGGTGACACTAGTTCAACATATTATAATCAAAATATAAGGAGTTGATCTTTTTTTTTTTTTCATATAATTCAATATGTTGAGACCTTAAGAGACAAGTTAGAAAAGACAAAAAAGGCAACCTGAGATTTAAATAATGAAAGTAAGGAGACGACAAAAAAAAGAAATTGATAGGAACAATTGATTCATATATTTCTTTTCTTCTTCTTTTTTTTTTTCTTCTTTTCTTTTTTTTTTTTTCTTCTTTTCTATTATTATTTATTATTTACTATTATTATTATTATTTTCTTTTCATTATTGATTTAAACACTGTGTGTTTTTTTCATATATATATATATTTCTTTTATTATTATGGAAGAAGATAAAGGTAAATATATAATAATAATAATATTGATCCATTTTTTTTTATTTGATTTTTTTTTTATTTTTTATTTATTTATTTTTTTTAATAGAAATATGTCGAGTTTGTAGATGTGAATCCACTCTCAAACATCCTTTATACCATCCTTGTAAATGCTCTGGTAGCATTCGTTATGTACATCAAGATTGGTAAGGAGTTGAAATAATAACTATCTCCATATTACTATTCAAAAATACTCACTTTTTCATTATTATTATTATTATTATTTATTCTCGGGGGGATCAATTGTTCTCCTTTCCATTTAGTCTTTTAGAATGGTTATCACATAGCAAAAAAAAGTAAAGTTCATCTATCCTATTTTTAGTTTTCTTTTGACACGAACTTTTTTTTTTTTTTTTAGGTATTGTGAACTTTGTGAACAACCGTTTAAATTTACACCAATCTATCGACATGATATGCCTACACGTATGCCTCTTCATGTCATCGCTGGTCAATGTCTTTCTCGTTTCGGTTCTTTACTCAAGACAAGTATTCGCGCCCTTTTAGTTCTTACTGTATGGTTGATCTTATTACCCTATGTGACTTTATGGATTTGGCGTTTATATTTTTGGTCAAGTGAAAGTATTGGTTCTTCTTTTGACAAATCAAATAACACGCCACTATTTAACTATAGTATTTCGTAAATAATAATAACAAAAAAAAAATATGATTAGAATGTATATTTGAATCTCATCCTTTTTATTATTATCATTATTATTATTTTATTAGTGAATTCCTGGCTGATTGTTTTGAAGGACAAATCATTACTTTACTCATCATCACTGTTGTGGTAGCTGGTTACCTCTTCAGAGAATGGGTCATTCAAAACACTCCCGTAGAAACCAATCAAGATGTCGAATTGGAACAAGATCTTACCAATACAACTTATCAACAAGAGTCTATTACTATCGATAATTCATCACTTTCACCATTAGCTCGACAACAGATGGCTGTAGATGCTTTATTGAATGCATTAGATGATATGGATGATCATGAACAACCTATACCCAGAAGTAGTATTGATATCAAAAACAAATTGGAAGGTATACAACTTGATTTACAGTATGAACTAGAACGACAGCAAATGAATAATGATTCAATGACACAACTCCCACTATACGAGAACGAGAACGATGATCCATTTGGTCTTACGAATGATGACGAAGATGAAGCTCAAGTACAACGAATGATGCAAAGTATTATGATTCAAGACCCAGCGAACGCCTTCAAACGATACTCCTGGGATGATCTCCAAAACAGTAACCAAAAAAAGCAACAACCGTTCTACTCAGGTGATTATCTACGATCATCATCCACTACAACAAATAAGGATAGGAAAGGGAAATCAAACGGAAACGATAGATCACCTACTACTGCTACTACTACAACAACAGACACTGACAACTTTGATGGCGATACCACTTTATTCTCACGATACCAACACGAACATACCATTAACACGTGGACCAATTTGTACCCACCATCAACTCAAAATAAATCTTCTTCTATTCGACAAAGTCAAAAGCGGAATGACACGGAATCACCATCTTCAACCTATAACAAACTTGAACACGTTATCAGTGATAATGACGATACTCGCAGCAGGTCTTCGGTATCAACACCATCTTCCTCCATAACACAAATAGAACAAATACCAACACAACAAAGATATACCTCGAATCAAGCCAATAGAATGATGGAACCGAGTGAAATTGTGGATATGAATAACGACAATGATGATGATGACGATGACGAGGATGATTTATTTATTGAAGATGATATCGATGGCGTTCTAGAAGCTATTGGTATGCGTGGCAATCCGTGGTTATTACTTCAAAACTCTGTTCTTGTATGTGTGATGATCTGTCTCTGTCTTGGTATCGCCGTTTGGATTCCTTATATTATTGGCCGTTTGATTATTTTGGTAAGTAAATCATTAGTTATTGATTTCCTTTTTTGAACATACAACTCAATTTATGATATGATTTTTTTTTTATTTGTTTATTATGATTTTTTTTTAGGTTCATCCTATCAGCTTTGTTCGAACAATAGGTCATGTCCTACAATATGTCACTGACCCAATTATGGATTACATCCTTGATCGTTACTTGACAACAACAACAACGACAACTTCTTCATCATCAAGGCTTACCACGTTATTTGAATTATTTTCTGGGAATATTCTTGGACAACCCTTCTTCACTCATGCCTTGAATGCTTGTACGACATTGACATGGTCTCTCTTCCACAGAGGGCACACATTAACCAGTATCACCATCAACAACAAATTTATGACATTACACGACAAAAATGTGACAATACCATCCTTATCGACAATGCATATTAGGCAACAACATAAAATGGACATGGAATTTTGGAAATTAAGTACTCATAAACTGGTCTACTTTTTGGGAAGAATCACACAACGATGGCACCAATTTGCTGAGGGGCATACCGGATTGGATCGAAGTGTTTGTACGCTGGTGGGCTATTCGGTATTGTTCTTGATATGTTTTTGGTATTTGACTTGTTATCGACAACAATCCAACACGAAGACATACATACAACAATCAATAGATGAACTCATTCGACAACAAGGCATCTTTTTCAAGGTATTTTCCTTTGTAGCATTGGAATTGGTGGTACTTCCTTTGATCTGTGGTATTCTTTTGGATTTGGCGACTCTACCCTTGATTGCTAATGCCTCCATTTCCACTCGATGGACATTTGCAATAATGCATCCTTACTCAAGTAGTTTTCTTCATTGGCTTGTTGGCACTGGCTTCATGTTCCATTTTGCAATGTTTGTCACACTCTGCCGAGAAATTGTGCGACCTGGTGTATTGTGGTTTATTCGTGATCCCAATGATCCTCAGTTCCATCCGGTACAAGAAATTATGCAACGACCTTTCTTGCTTTTGCTTCGCAAGATTTGTACAGGTGCTTTGATCTATTTGGCTTTGATTGTGATTGGCATAGGCACTGTTACTTGGGGTGTGAGTCAATATGCTGGTATTTATCCTCTTCGTTGGCCTTTTGAGTAAAATAGATAAGAAATATATGAATAGAAAAAAATGGATGCCTAACTTTTCTTCTTCTTTTTTTTTTAATGTAGTGAACCATTATCGACATTAGCAATTGATATTTTGGCTGCACAATTTCTTATTCCTCTTTTGGTGGCATATATCAAACCTCGTGCTTTTTGTAAACAGGTGTTGACATTATGGTGGCATGCAGCTTCTTGTCGACTTCGATTATCTTCGTTCATGTTTGGTGGTAGATATCCTGAAGAAGAGGGTTGTTTTATTCGTCCTACATGGAAATCCTGGCTTTTACGTGAAACATGTTCTCGTCAACACGATGATGATGTGATAATAGATAACAAAATGAAAGTCGTGTCATTTCAATCGGATGGACAACTGGTGCGTGTTCCGAAACGTGATAGTGTCATGGTACGTCCTGAACGAAGAATGATGGTACCGGTGGATCCAATAACTCTTGAACCTCTTGATCCTATGGAAAAACATCTAGGGCATCCTGCAGCTGATGAAGATAATGGTGGTGAAGAACACAATACTACAATTGTTTATATTCCTCCTCATTTTGAAATCAGGGTAAGCAAAAAAAAAAAAAAAAAAAAAAAAAAAAAAAAGATTGGATTCTCAATGTTTTTTTTTCTTTGCAGGTGATTTTGTTCTTGTTCTCAATGTGGTTCTCTGGTTCAGTAATGACTTGTTCCATTACTGTGGCGCCATGTAAGTGATCAAATCAAATAAAATAAAATAAAATAAAATAAAGATGATGTGACACTGACTCTCCTAAATAGTACTTTTGGGAAGATCTATTTTTGAAACGTATCTTTTTGGTGGCAAACAAGTCCATGATCTCTATGCATTTGTGATAGGTGCTTATGTTATGGTGTTACTTAGTATTTCCATCAATTGGCTTGCTCGTGGATTGGATTATTGTCTGAATAGACATATTCATGGAGGATGGATGGTGCTTTTGACTCGGTTTTTGAAACATGTGCAACAAAAGATAATCCTGGTAAAAAAAATAAAAAAGAAAAGGAAGACCCGACTCGTGGAATTAAAAAAAAAAAAAAAAAAAAAAAACTAAAAAAACTTGTTTTCTTTAGGGGTGCAAGATGGTGTATCTGACATTGATGATTGGATGGGTGATTCCGTTATTCGTAGGGGTAGCGATTGATTTATACGTGTTTATGCCAATACGTTATTCATCTTCTAATCATACGCTGGTACTTCACTTAGCAGAAGATTGGTCATATGGAATTCTTTATCTTGGTATTATTCATGGTGTGATATATCTTTTACCTACTAACCAATGGCAAAGGATATTAGATCAATATATTTCGGATGGACTGACATTATTGAATATTGACCATTTGACTCGTACTATTTTTGGACCTTTGCTATTGGGTATAATATTATCTATGATGATTCCTGGAGGATTGGCTTGGATGATGATTCAATTACTAGGTAAAATAATAACAATAATATAATAATAATAATAAGTATACTAAGATTATTTTATTTTTATATAGGTATACAAGATCTATCTATGAAATTATTGATGTTTAGATGTGCTTATCCTATTGTCTTTTGTCTGATAATTGGATTTGGTGTCGTCATATTGGGAATGAAATTGATCAATTTATGGATGCGGGTAGTCAGGGATGATACTTATCTTGTTGGGAAACAACTACACAATTTGGATGATGAACAAGAAGATCATGTTATGAATCATTAGTTAGACCCCTACATATGAACTCCTTAATAAAAAAAAAACACTTTTTTTTTTATCTATTGTTTTATTTCGTACAGAAATCCCCGTTTTAATAAAAAAAAGAAAAAAATGTTTTCTCTATTTTTTTTCCTTACCGACAATTAACTTGCTTGTATCACCTTGACACAAAGAAGGTAATAATCACTATTCCATCTTTGATTCATAAGCCGCCTTCAATACTGATTGACTACTTTTAGAGGGAGTGGTATATATATATATATATATATAAAGTGAAATAGGAGAGAATCTAATGACATCAATATTTATGATTATTATCTAATTATAAAACGATGAACGGACCATTACTACTTTTAATTGATACTGTGCTTTTTTTTTTTTCTCTTTGTCTTCTTAACAAAATTTTGTGTCTCCAGCGGAGAATAGATTCAACTAATTGAGTAATATAATGAAATAGACATGCTTTTTTTTTTTTCTATCTTCTTTTTCTTTCTTTTCTTTACAATTTTTTTTTTTTTTGTGGTATCTTTACCAATACCTTTTTTTTCCCTTACTTTCCCCCCTTACCTTTCTTTTCTCTTTCCATTCTTTATATATATATATAAAAAAACATATATCTTAAAATAAAAACTCCTTTTTTTTGATCCATTACTATCATGCTCCGTACAACGACTTGGATGTTGGCTGCCATCGCTGGTTTGATGTTGGTACAAGATGCTCATTTTGCTCCTATTACAGAAGTGTCTACCCCAGGTTCTTCCTCCTATGAAAAACGTTGGGTGGATCTTGGTGTTGATGTTTCAACTCCTGGTTCTTCCTCTGTTGAAAAACGTTGGGTGGACCTTGGTGTTGATGTTTCCATTCCTGTCGATAAAGATGATCTTGTTTCCTCTCCTCACCTTGAAGCTCGTGGTGGAAAGAAAAAGAAATCTCATCATTCAAAGAACAAAAAGAAGACTCAATCCAAGAACAAAAAGAAGACTCAATCCAAGAACAAAAAAAAGACTCAATCCAAGAAAAAGAAATCCAAGAAGGGTTCAAGTGGTGGTACCTTTAAAGGTGATGGAACTTATTACAATGCTGGCGTAGGCTCCTGGTAATAAAATAAAAAAAAAATAATAATAATGATCATCTTATTTATTTTTATATCATTCATCATGACCTTTTCTTTTTAATATATATATATATATGTTTATTCACTCAACTACGCGACCATCCACAACATATACAACATCACCAAATCACAATGAATCATTTATAGTGGTCTCACCAATACTGATCATGATATGATTGCTGCCTTGGTAAGGGTCTTCTTTTATATACTTGAAACAAATGCTTAAAAGACGTCTACTAAAACCTTATTTCTATAGAATGCTCCTCAAATGGGTGTAGTCCCTAATCCAAACAAGAACCCTAACTGTGGAAAATACGCCAAGGTGAAAGGACCCAAGGGAACTGTCCGTGTCAAAATTGTAAGTAATCACCCCTTATATTATAGTACAACAAACTCATTGTGTTATTTATAGGTCGATACTTGTCCTCCTTGTAAGAAAGGAAGCCTTGATCTTTCTCCAGCTGCCTTTGCCAAAATCGCTGATCTTGCTGCCGGTCGTGTCCCTATTTCTTGGTCATGGGATTAAAGCTTGATTCCTATCTCTCTTGATGCTTTTTTTTTTGTATACTTCCATTTTATTATTGTTATTATTTATATTCCTCTTTTTTTTTTTTTTTTTTTTTTTTGTTGTTGTTCATATATTCATCTATATTTTGTACTATCTATCCCATTTATATACTCGAATAAACAACAGCTGAATCATATATATATATAGTTGCTATATATATACTTTGCCCAATTTGTAGTGCCCCGGACTCTTTTTTTTTTTTATATAGGTACGGAATTGAATGAATAATACGAATGAATCAACAAGGATATCTTTTAATCGCACATATGGATGATTGTACAACAACATGAAACTTTAATAATTATACAACAGGAACAATCGGTTGATATTTGCGCTCATCCATTGGCATGATTAGATCTGATACAAGTAAAAAGAAAATGCGACTGACTTTCTCAAGACTTGATTTTTCTACGTAGCCTACGATGACATTTTAAGACGGGAGGACGAAAGATGATTTTTCTTTTTTTTTTTTAATCACAATAGACACTATGGCATCATGAGAATATTGACTTTACCTTCTGATAGCGTGATTCTATCTTATATACATATATGATTTTACTCTTTTCTAATAAATATCAATCATTTTACTATATTATTTTGTCGTTTATTTGTCTTGGTTTGAAGGACTATTGTATACAGTAATATGATAGCCATAAAGAAACATTAGATTCATCTTGGTTAAACAAACGACTGATTGATTTGCTGACCGATGATAAATAATGATGAATAATGATGGATTGTATGTATTTATGAAAATGTCATTGACCATCACATTATTCTCAATAACAGTATTCTCAATAACAGTAAGATTTTTATGCTAATTGTTATATATGGGAATGTACCACCACCTCAAAAAGGATGTGGGCACCACCGGTACTTCAATTTTCGATTATTTTTTTTTCTTTTTATGTCTTCCCATTTTTTTTTTTTTTTGTTTTTCTTTCCCCTCCTTTTTTATTTTATTTTGAGATCTGACCAGTGTTAGAAATGACTGACACTGATAGATCGCAAGATAGTCATCATCAAGATCAAACAAGTCAAGATGACTTGCCTCCTACTATTCCTTATGATTACACTAGTCCGTCTGAAGTAGATCTCACTACGACCGCGACAACAACGACAACTACAACAGGAGAAAACGCTGCGCCTCCTACTGAGAACCACGAAACTTCACCAAACCTTTCAGGTACTCACTCTTCTTCAAACAACAACTCACTTTCTTTTTTATCATCGGATTTCTCTTTTCAAAACTTCTCCATTGGTTCCATTAGTCAAACCAGTCAAGATCATGCTCAGTTGGAAATGGAAGCTCGCCGACGATTGTTTCGCTCTAAAAGTGAAGATCTTGATGCAGGACCAGTGAAAGGACGTAAATATGATCGCCATCGTTTGGAAACTGCAGTACAAAACAAGAATTTGGAAAGAGGTTTCAGCGATTTGACTGGTACTACTTCTACTCTTCCATTACAAGGTTATTCTGATGTGGTTCCTCTTCGTGGATCGATTGATCAAAAACAACGTGGTTACTTGGAACGCCAATGGTCTATCTCTGACAAGGAAAAAGATATCTCCGGTAAGTTTTTTTTTTTTAACTTTTTTTTTTTTAATTATATTGATTTACTTATATATGTTTATAGCGCTAGCGGAATCACTTGGTTCAAGTAGTATATTGTCAGATGCGGAAACAATCTTGCTTTTGGATGCTCAACAACGATCATACCAACAACCTATCACGGATACCTCTTTGTACTCTTATACTGGTGGCCTTTCTGACAACACCAATAGCAGCAACAATGATTCCTCTCAATCTCAACATCGAACATCCCAAGGTTCATCAGCACGACAACATTCATCGTCATCATTATCATCATTATCGCAGCCATTACCAGCTATTCCAGAAGATACTGTGAACTCTCAAACAAATGTTGAAAGCACTTTCCCTACTCAAGATGTCAAACAAGAGGCCCAGTATGAGAACAACCCTTCTTCTACTGATCAAAGGCATCAATTGGTTCAACAAAGCAGCTCACTTTCGTCGTTATCCCAAACCGTTCCCAGCTCTTTCCCGGATCAAGACTTTGATACCTTTCAAGAGGCAGTTTTACACCATGATCACCATGACGACAACATTGACAAAACTCCAGCAAAAGAGCAATCGTCCAACGAACAAGAAATGCGGAAAGAACAAGTAAGAAGCAAAAAAAAAAAAAAAAAAAAAAAAAAAAAAAAAAAAAGAGAATAATAGGGAATGACGATTGATCTTATTTTTTATATATATTATCTATTTAGAATCAACTTCCAGCTTTGAATCAAACACATCATCAATTAGACGATACCTCTTCAAATGAATTATCACCAGAAAATCAACCTATATCTTCGCTCAACAATCAAACTGATATTCATCAAAGTAGATCCTCCACTCCTATACCAACCATACGTCGATTACGCTCCAGCAATAGATTATCTGTCTCCAATTCTATAGCATCAACTCCTTTAATCATGCTGGCTTCAAGTATTGGTGATCGCAAGGTAAAGAAAAAAAAAAAAGGAAGTTGACTTTATTGATTTACTTTATGTTGTTTTAGTCTCGATACCATAGAGCGATCAATGCAATGGGAGCTACTGTTGTTTACAATTGGGAACTCTGTACACATTTGGTGATTGACAGCATTAAAAGGACTCCAAATATATTATGTGCTTTGGCCAGTGGGAAATCCATTGTATCTGAAAAATGGTTGATTGCATCCATAGCAGCGTCTCAATTTATAGGTAATGTTAGAAAAATACAAATCAAAAAAAATATATTTTTAATACTCATATTTTTTTTTATTTTTTTGTTCTTGACTATCAAAATTCATAGATGAAGAAGAATATATATTATTACGACAAAAAACTCCTAATTTCTTTTCTAACAAGAAACTTTACTTTACTTCTTCCACTGGTATCAAAAGAACCGACGCTCAAGACTTAGCCAAAGCTGCTGGTGCAAAGGTAAAATATAAAAAGAAAAAGATAATATTCAAATCATCTCATGATCTCTATCAAATTAGCTACGTGCAGATGAACCAGATTTACAAAAAGTGGACCCGAATATGATTATTATCACCTCTGGAACAATAAAAGAAGCTCAAGATTATGATCATGCTGGGTACAAAACAATGTCAAGAGACCAATTTTTGGAATTATATGGACGTGATGTGGATAATTGGATGAAGTGACTTTAGAGTTTATCAGTTAGCGTAGTCCTTTTTTTTTTTATGAATAAATTGACTTTTTTTTTTCTTTTTACGTGATATGGATCCTTATTTTTATAGGAAAGCTGTTGTAATTCAAAACTTGAATTTTAGACTAACTCATTCGTGGAAACTGAAAGTATCACGCCAATGAGGATGATTAGGTATGGCCGTATATGAATACTCATTTTTTTTTTAATTCATTCTCTAAAAAATACAATGATCATCTATAAATAAGGTAAAACGAAATAGAAATAGTTTGTTATAGGTTATTTCCAAATTTGGTGCAATGATGGTGAATTACAAAAAAAAAAAAAAAAAAAAAAAAAAAAAAAGGATAACGAATAAACCAATGTACCCTGAATCCCAAGTGTTGCCTGCAAGTGCTGGGTGGGAAATGAGTTCCCTATTTAAGGTTCCTAATTTTTTTTTGCATTGACTCTTCCTATTGGCTGAAAACGATTTGTACTTCATCCAATTTTTTTTTCTTTCTTAACAACACTGTCAAAATGATAAAATGTGTTCAGAAGTATGATCAGCTAAATTAAACTAAATCTCCTCAAACTAGAATGTCTCGGGGGATTACACTTTGAAAGAATGAATGGTGGGGGGAAGAGAACACGATGTTTTGATGATTTCTGCGATGATATTCATCATTTTCATCAGAAGCAACAACAGTAGCATCATTGTCCAAGTTATTGAAACCAACCAAACAAGAGAATAAAGACATGTTTACCATACTTCGCAATAAAAACTCACCTTTTTTTCTTTTTACGTAAAGAAGCTAGTGGCGGTAATTCGATCGCCGCCGAAAAGTTTTTTTTTTTTTTTTATTCTTCCAGAAAAAAAGAAATTCTAACTTTCTTTTTCTTCCTTCTTATTATTTTGTTTTTTTTATTTTTTTTTAAAATAGACATCATCCGATGGTTCAGTCAGTACAAGAAACACAGGATGAATTAGATAAAGCACTTGAAACATCGTGCATGATTGATGACACAACAAAGAAGACCAAAAAGAAGAAAAAAAATAAAAAGAAGATTGTGCAAGACATTGATGACTACTATCTCAAGACCATGATGCCTTACCCAGTGACATTGAAAGCAACCAAAACCAAAGGACGACATGCTGTAGCTTCATGTACCATCGATCAAGGGACAACTGTATGTCTGGAAAAGGCCACAGCGTTTGTTGTTCGATCTGACTACATCGATCAACAATGTCATGTCTGTTTAGATGATCTTTCCACCAAGATGATGTGTTCCGATTGTAAGATGGTATACTATTGTTCTCAAACATGTGTGCAAAGTGATCATCATCATACTCGAGTGTGTGCTTTGTTATCACAAGTCATCCCCATTGGCCAATCTACCGACGTTGACCCCGATTTGTTACGATTGATGATTTATTTATTGGCAAAACGGCAACAGAATGATGAAGAAGAAGAAGAAGAAGAAGATGGATCGACTCCTTATAGATGTGTCCTTGATTTATTAAGTCATAAAGAAAATGCCTCACTCGCTTTTATCAAGGTGGTCACTGACGCAGGTAAACAAAAAAAAAAAAAAAGCAGAATACAGAAAATATTTATTTATTTATTTATTTCTTGTCCCACCCCTTTAGCTCAACGACTGATGATGGAAGATCCCGATTTCTTTGCATCTTTATCAGTAGATGACTTAGTGACTCTTGCTTGCAGGTAAATAAAAATAAAAATAATATGTAGATATATATATATATATATATTCTGACTCTTTTATTATTAGAATCAATTCAAATGCTCATGGACTAGGAGATAATCATGCTAGAAATACCGATGTTGCTTTAGGCTTATTCCCAGTGGGTGCTTTATTCTTCAATCATTCTTGTAACCCTAATGCAGCTTTTGTGGGATTGGAAAAGGGACAATTACTCTTTCGAACGATTCGACCAGTAAAACAGGATGAGGAAATTGCTGTCAGTTATATTGATTTATATGCATCTCGTGATGAACGACGACAGGTAGGACAACATCAAAAAAAAAAAAGGATTGGTTTTAATCAACATGGTGATTTTTTTTTTTTTTTGGTAGAATTTGTTGGCGACAAAACATTTTTGGTGCAAATGTAAAAGATGTAGCTCACCCATGGATACGTCAGTGGATCGATTTTTACATGGGGTCGTTTGTACACAATGTACAGAAGATGTATATGTAATTCCAGCTTCCACCATTGAAGATATCTCTCGAGGACAAACCAAATTATACACCACCAAAGATGATGAAGTCTGGCCATGCGCGAAATGCGGTCATGTAGCAACAGCAAAAACAGTACGGGATACAATTTCACAAGCACAGGACAAGTATACAAATGGAATGAAGTGTATTCGAAAAGAAAGGAATTATCGACGTGCAAGAAAGGAGTTGGAACCCTTGGTCAACACAACACTGGAACCCGGTAAACTTCATCCTCAAGACGCTATTCGATTCAATGCATCCATCCCGTTAATGAATTGTTTACGTTACGAAAACGATATCAAACGTGCTGCCGATATTAACAAAATCATCTTGGATTTTATGCAAGAACAAGCAAAACAACATTTGCCTGAATATACATCTGAGGTCGCCGATTTTTGGCAAAACTTGGGCGAACTTTGTGATTCTCTGGCCACTCAATATCGACATTCTCTTCCGCCTTTAGAAAAGAAATGGAACAAGGACGCCCGCAACGCATTTACCCAGGCAACCAAAGTAAGATCTATTGTCTTTGGTCCAAATCACCCCAAAACCTTATTAGTTAAAAAATTTACCACCCAATCCTCCGCATGATCTTTTTTTTTTTCCACTCCCAATAAAAAATTTGATTCCTTTTTTTTTTCTTTTTTTTTGACTATTATCTCATTTATGAACAGTGACAACGATGAACAACAGCGCAAAGATGGTAAACTTTTGATTATAGATACAAGGAGATGTTTATCATTCCATTTATTCAACTTTGCTCTTCCTTTTTTTTTTTAGACCTGATCGAACAGCATTTTACGGTATATGGCAAAAACAATAATAGCATTTTCTTTTAATGGTCAGTTTACTTACATCATTCTTCTTCTTCTTCTTCTTCTTCTTCTTCTTCTTAGTGGCGCGCTGTGTTGATCGGTTTACTTATTGGTACTCTTTTATGTTTCTCCAACATGTATTTCGGTCTTCAGTCAGGTTGGATCTCCATGATGTCATTACAGGCTTGTCTTTTGGGATTCCTTGCCTTGAAACCTATGGGTAGTTCACTTTCTATGCCTGAAAATGTTCTACAAACTACGGTATCTGTTGCTGCTGGTACCATGCCATTGGCTGCTGGTAATGATAGCATAAGAAAAGAATGGACTGTTGGAACTGATCGGATTTTTTTTTTTTGTTAGGATTTGTGGGTATCATACCTGCACTTGCTCTTTTGACTGTAGAAGACAATCCTGGTTCAGAAAGTTTAGAAGCAGGACCAATAGAATTATCAAGTCTACAACTGTTGATATGGTGTATGGGTGTCATGTTTTTTGGCGTCTTCTTGGCGGTACCTTTACGAAAACAAGTCGTGATACGTGAAAAATTGCCTTTCCCTTCTGGTACAGCAACGGCACAAATGATCAGCTTTCTTCATCATCGTCAATTGGACAGTTCTTATTTTCACAACCATCACCAATCAAGATTATCTTCCACTTCTTTGGACAGCACCAATGACTATTTCCCATACGATCAAACCCCTTCCCTGATGCTTGTATCTATGACAACCAATACTTCACAGGCAACTATTGAACATGACAGTTCCTCTTCCGCATCGACATTGGAAACACCTTCAACATTACCTGATTATAGCCATACTTGGAAAATGAAACTATCGACACTTATGGTGTCTTTTGGAATATCCGCATTCTATACCTTCTTATCTTATTTCTTCCCTGTGATTTATGCTCTACCTGTATTTAATTGGTTGACACTCAATTGGATTGATTTTTATTCTTGGTTGTGGTACTTTACTCCTTCTTTCAGTTATATTGGTCAAGGAATCATTATGGTACAGACATAAAAAAAAAAAAAAAAGAGTGTAAATGTATAGAATATCAATGTAATACTTTTTATTGTTTTTGTAATGATTAGGGATTATCAACAACATTGTCGATGCTATTGGGATCTATCGTAGGATGGGGAATCTTATCGCCAATAGCATATCATCTTGGATGGGCGCCAGGACCAGTAAATGATTGGAAGAATGGATCAAAAGGATGGATTATCTGGATCTCTCTTGGTGTTATGTTATCGGAATCACTAACGTCACTGCTCATACTTATTATCAAATCTCTGATAACGAACAGATCAAAACGCCACTCACCAGATTATCAAAAAGTAGATCAAATGGAACTCACATCGACTACTCCAGCACCATCTTCCCCTTTAACCACCGTATATCATCACAACATGAGAACTAGTCAGGACGACAATATCAACGATCATTCACCAACTATAGCTAGTAATACAAAGCTTGATGATGTGTCGTCTGAACATCTTGTACCGGGATCGATTACTTATCCAGGCTTGGTTTTATCAGTAATACTATGTGTTGGTGCTGTAGCCATGGTATTTGGTACAAAAGTGCTCCCTGTTGGTATGTCTTTATTGGCATTAGTGCTGGCTTCGTTTCTTGGTGTACTGGCTGTACGTGCTCTTGGAGAAACTGATCTCAATCCTGTTAGTGGTATTGGAAAAATTAGTCAAATCTTGTTTGCTCTTTTTATGCCTGGAAATATTGTTGCCAATTTGATAGTAGGTGGAATTGCTGAAGCAGGTAAAAAAAAAAAAAAAAAAAAAAAAAAAAAAAAAAAAAAAAAAAAAAAAAAAGGTGATAAGTATACTATATATATTGTTTTGATTTTTGGTTTTTTTTTTTTTTTTTTGGATAGGTGCACAACAAGCAGGTAATGATCTCACATCATTTATTCAAATTGAAAATGGATACATAACATACTTTTTTCCTTTTTTTTTTTGTGTGTGTGTAGGGGATCTTATGCAAGGTATGTATAGAAAAAAAGCTTCTATAATTTTTCTTCTAAATGTAATATTCTTTTTCTAGATTTGAAGATGGGCCATATACTCAAGGCATCTCCTAAAGCACAGTTTTATGGTCAAATTTTAGGATCTTTGTATAGTGCTTTTATTACCACAGGTGAGATGTAGTAAGAATATAGATGGTATGAACTCAAAAAAAAAATATCATCTTTTTAATGTAGGCATCTATTGGTTATTTAAATCCGTTTATACTATTCCCGGTCCTGAATTTGCAGTTCCTACAGCTCAAGTATGGCTCGACATGTCTCGATTGATGAATGGTCAACCTCTTCCTCCCCATGCTATTGAATTTATGGTTTTTTTCTCTGTTCTCTTTGTAATGCTGACGGTATTGAAAGAAACAGGCGACCCTTCGGATTGGAGACGGTTCTTACCAAAGGGAATTGCTTTTGCTATTGGTATATATAATCCTCCAAATTTTACTATTGCAAGAGTGATAGGTGGTTTGATGGTCTATGGCTGGTACAACTACTGTGATGCTCAACAAACAAATACCGATATCAAGAGGAAATTCGATCGTTTGGCTGGACCTTATCGTGATCAAATTGGACATGTATTTATCATCATCATTGCCTCTGGATTTGTGTTGGGTGAAGGGACTTTTGCCATCATCAATATGGCCATGCAGGCATGTCATGTCCCTCATTTTTAGAATAGATTTTAAGAGAATAGATTGATATTTCGATTTACTACATTATAATAAATAAAGAAAACCATTCATTTTACATTCTTATTACCTTTTTTTTCTACATTATACACGCCCAACAAAAAAAAAAAATTTATGCCTCTGTTTACTATATGGGTTCTGACACAATGCAAATCGGATAGCACCGGAGTTTATCCTTCTCTTTTTTTTTTTTTTCAACAACAAAAAAAAAAGGGAAGAAAGGTAGGGATGGATCATCAGGAAGACAACAGGAAATCTATTGAATGTGTTACCTCATCTCCATGATTTTTTTTTTTTTTTGGATGATCTCATGGGATCACAGATATGGCAGAAAAAGGCAATCTAGATAAAAAATCCAAGCTTATTGGCTCATTATATATAAATAAATAAATAAAAAATAGAGTATCTATCTTATCTTGGTTAAACAAATAATTTGGAACGTGGCATGATACATCTTCTTTTTGATCATATCCATCAATCTCCTTATTTAAAGCATTCCTCCCTTCAAATCCTCTTTATCCCCCTCTCCCCTTTCAAAGAAGTGTTTACTATTAATCAAATCACTTATAAAATGGAAGATAATGTAAATATTGACAGTAAATAATAATATCATTGATTTAAAAGATCCATTTTTGAATATAATTAGCGAACTTTTTATCAATGGTAAACTCTTGTTAAAGTCCACCCAATATGGCATTGATAACAATTCCATCTCAGCACCTCCTATCTATATGATAACGCAAGAAGATCCATAAGGGTTTGCTGGGCTTGAATCCATAGATAAAATAGGAAACCATTTTTTTTTTCTCTTTTTCTTTTTCTTTCTTTCTTTTATTCTTTTTTTTTTTTTTCCTTGTTACTTTTTTACCTCAATCAAAAAGAAAAAAAAATGCCTGATCCTAACTATGGTACAGGATATGCGGCTGGTGATGTTTCATGGATTTTATCTTCTACTGCTTTGGTATGGTTGATGATACCTGGTGTAGGTTATTTCTATTCTGGTATGGCTCGATCTAAAAACGCATTATCTTTGATTATGTGTTCAGTCTTATCTCTTGTCGTTGTCTCTGTACAGGTAAAAAAAAAAAAAAAAAAATTGATTTGAAAATTAAATATACTAAAACAATTTTTTTTTTTAAAAAAAAACAATTTGATGAATAGTGGTTTATTTGGGGTTATAGTTTGACCTTTAGTAAATCGGCTTCTCCGTTTATTGGTAATTTGGATAATGCTTTTCTTCGAGGTGTATTGGGTGATCCTTCTATTGGTAGTAAATCTATTCCCGACATTGTCTTTATGATTTGTAAGAAAAACAAACACGGTTCAATTCTGTACGCCATTTTTTTTTTTATGATTTATTGATCAATATTATTATTATTATTATTATTATTTTATTTTTAGTTCAATGCATGTTTGCAGCTCTTACTCCTGCCTTAGCTATAGGCTCAGCTGCTGAAAGAGGGCGTTTATTACCTATGGTGATATTTATGTTCATATGGTCGACCATTGTTTATGATGTAATCGCTTGTTGGACTTGGAATCCTAATGGATGGAGTGCTAAGCTAGGTGGGCTTGATTTCGCAGGTGGTACGCCTGTCCATATCTCTAGTGGATTTGCTAGTCTTGCTTATGCTTTGGTATTGGGAAAACGACAAGGTCATGGAAGTTTATCTCAAGCTCATGATTTTAAACCTCATAATATGTCCAACGTTGTTTTAGGTAAAATGAAAAAAAAAAAATGGAAAAAAAAGGATACTCATTTTTCTTTTTTTTTCGATTAGGTACTGCTTTACTTTGGTTTGGATGGTTTGGATTCAATGGAGGATCTGCCCTTGCCGGTAACTTGCGTGCTGCAATGGCATGTGTTGTGACCAATTTGGCTGCAGCCGTGGGAGCCATCACTTGGATGTGTTTGGATTATCGTATTGAACGCAAGTTTACTGCTCTTGGTTTCTGTTCTGGTGCTGTAGCTGGTTTGGTGGCCATCACACCTGCTTCTGGTTTTGTCGGTCCTGGACCTAGCGTGGCAATTGGTTTTTTGGGTGCAATTGCTTGTAACTTTGCTGTCCATTTGAAACATATGTTCAATTATGATGATGCTTTAGATGTGTTTGCTGTACATGGAGTAGGTGGCTATGTTGGTAGTATTTTGACTGTAAGTTCTCTCTTTTTTTTTTTTTTTTTTGTGACTGATCTCCTTCTTCATTTTATATGATCAATTAGGGTATCTTTGCTGAATCTTACATTGCAGGTTTGGATGGATCAACTGATATTGCAGGTGGATGGATGAATCAACATTGGGTACAAATCGGCTATCAATTCGCTGATGCCACTGCTGGTGCATCATGGTCTTTCTTTATTACACTTTTGATCTTATTGATCATGGATCGGATTCCTGGTCTCTCGTTACGTGTGGATCCTGAAATGGAATTGCAAGGTTTAGATGCAGCAGAAATTGGGGAAATGGCATACTATCATGTAGACAAGATCGTTACCGTGGATCCTACCAGTGGACAACAAAAAGTCGTGTCTGAACGAGTACGTGAAGTACATCAACAAGCATCGCCGAATGGTGAAATCGATACCGACAAGACAGCTACTTTACCTTCTCAACTCAATAATGTTTAATTATTATTATTATTATTATTTTTATTTTTATTTTATGATGATTGTTATAATCTTCCTTTTTTTTATTTATAAAGAAAATGAAATCTAGTATATATTTTATATTCCTTTTTTTCTTTTTTTTTTCCTCGTATTCATCCTTTGTATCATATACTTCACTATCGATTTGCCTCCCCAGTTAATAAACTATATATCCCTGCAATAAACATCATAATTTCTAATGAAATGATTCATGTTTTTAACCCTTTTTCGATTTAATAATGATGATGGTGGTGTATTGAAAACAGCGGAATGATCATCCTAAAGCAATTTTTTAAATTGTATTATAAATCAGATTTCCAAGGAAAACTAAACATCTTCTTTTTATTTATGAATAATAGTGGATAAATGATAATCATATTTGGTAATTTCTTTATTGGATGAGTAAAATAAAGGATGATGATGAAGATGATAATGATATCAGATAGTTGTTTGATAAATATACTAAGAAAAAAGAAAACTGAGAAAGTGGGTAATCAAAAATGGATGATGCACAAAAAAAATAAAAGGTAAAGTGACAAAGTGATGATGATATAATGGAAAAAGATCACAAGAACTTGACTATTTTCTTTTGCTAAACTAATAAATATACAAGATTATGCACAATGATAGGTAATATTCTAATAAGTACTAATAATGACGTGAATAAAAAAAATAAAAAAAAAGAGAGGGAGGGAAATCAAAGGGAGAGGTGTATCTGACAAAGAAGAATCCATCATTAGTTGTTAGCATTTTCTGTTGTGACAGTCTTGATCCTATTCGCGCGAATCCATGTATTGCAAATCCATGTAGTTATCTTGTTGAAGGAGTTGTTGAAGGAGAAGCACCAGGAGGAGTTGGAAGACATGGTTTGTCGATAAAAGAGGATGCATTGTCATTGTGAGTAAAACTAGAAGAGGCATGCGTATTACCAATGGCCCGAGAACTTGGTCTTTTGAAGAGACGATGTCGATCGATTTCATCTGATTTCCGATTCAGGTCCTTCATTGGTGTTGTATGTATGGTATCACTATGTTTTTCTGGTATGTCTTGTCGAGATGTTTTGTCTATAGAAAGCTGTCGTGCTGCTCGATTGATCTGTGCGTATTCATGATTTGTTGATGTCATCTGTGTATCCATCATATCATTATTGTTTGATACATTAGTGTTGTCATTCCATTGATCACCATTCATCATATTACTTGTTCCTTCATGCTCCTTCTTCCAATGGATTAATAATTGATCTCCATAATACTGAAATTCTTCTACCGAAACAAAAAGGTTGTATTCATTCAAAGCTAGGAATTCCACTTCTAATACATTCAATTCTGATACTGGAAGACCACCCACCTATAAATAAATAAATATATATATATATATATAATTATATTTTTATTTTTTATTTTTTTATTTTTTATTTTTTTTCTTTACCTTGGCATAACGTGTATTTGTAAAAAAGACATCAGAAAACAATTTGCTTGCAATCATCACTCCGGCAATAATCAAACGATGGACATTATAAGAATCAATACGTAATGGCATTGTCCGAGAGGGAGGGTGAGGTTTTGCCATACGATCAAAATAAACCAAAATAGCCAAAAAACATTCATTTGCACAAGGACAATATTTCAAAATACGAGTAAGATAGGCATGGATCGAGATACTGGGAACGGATCGGGCGTGAAAACAAGTATAAATGTTGGAACTAGATAAACGACGTCTATCAGACTGTTCTATGGTGGATGATGAACTATCCGTTTGTAAAGCATCGTTTACACTTATCACCTTTTCCAATAATGAAGTTATTAATTTGATGGTGTCTTTTGTTGGATGTAAAGCCAGGTCAAAATGAAAGGATGGGAATGATTCCATAACGATAAAAGAAAAAAAAAATATATATAAAAAGCGGAGGCAAATAGAGGAAAAAAGAGAGAGAGAGAAAAAAAAAAAAAAAGGAAAAAATAAAAAAAAAAAAGAGAAAAAAAGGGAGCGACCAAGTTTCCCAATTTAGAGGACGGTCAATTTTTTTTTTTTTTCAGTGTATCAGAAAGTCCGTAGTCAAAAAAATTAAAAAAAAGATTTTATTGAATTACAAAAAGGTATAATATAAACTACAAAATATCATTTCTTTTTCAAACGAGCTTCTGCTGCTCTTGCTCTTTTTTCTCTTTCTAATCGCATTCTTGCTTCAGGTGACATATTCGCCACGTTCACTTGATTGTCCCGAAGAGCACGTGCCATTGGATCCAACATTTGTCCTTTTTTCTTATTGTTTTTCGATCTTTGTTCCAATAATTCCGCTTCTTCCTTGGCCAATCTTGCATCTTCTTTTTGTTGTCGTTCTAATTCCATCAATCGTTTCCGTTCATCTTCTTTGGCCTTCTTCTTTCGATCCTTCTCCAATTGTTCTTTTTCGTCTTCAATCGTCAATGGACTAGGTACACGTGCATCCACAAGCCAAGGCCATCGGTCCGGGAGATCACACATACATCGCCGAAACACATTGCGTGTCATCTTATCCTTCGCCACTTCATATGCTGTCTTGCCAATATCATTTTTGATTGTTGGATTCGCTCCCACATCACGTAAAAGCATGGATACCACTTTTGAATGTCCTTGAGAAGCTGCTATATGTAATACCGTAGGATATCGACCATATTCACTCATCAGAGAATCAGGTAACCTTTCCACTACAGGGAGATCAGGATGTTTATCAAGATAGGATTGTACTACATTGACTTTGCCTTGTTTCACCAATACTAAAAATTTTTCAAGTACCGGATCCGATGATGGTGGTTGTTTCTTCACATTGCTTGTTTTCACCTTTTCTAATCGTTCTCGAAGTCGAGTTTCCTTTTCTTTCAAACGTTGTTGATGTTCCTGAATAGCCTGTTCATCCACTTGTACCACTTTAAGCGTTGTCAATTCAAGATAAATACGTCGTAATTCATTTAATGTAGGTCGTCTTGTTGTAAAGGGTATGTTGTGTATTTTTGGATCATCTGTTTAAGCAAAAAAAAAAAAAAAAAAAAAAAGAGGGATTAGGTTTCATTGGAAAAACATTTTTTTTTTTTTTGTTTACCTTTTCGGAGTACAGCATTATCATAACCATAGATGATTTTCTTGTTTCCGCTTGGTGCATGAATGAATACCATTTCACTTTGATCAATATATTTCTTCCATTGATCTAATAGTTCTCGAATATCCTAATGCAAAATAGTATTGAATGGTTAATTTTCCAGTTTTTTTTTCTTTTTTTTTTTCATATTTACCTGTTGTAAAGCCATTTCGTTATATCGTCTAATTTGAGCACCTGCTGAATTTGCTTTTCCCTTTCCACTATCATTTGCTGATTGTGAGCCACCTTGCTTTCTTCGAGCTAATAACATATGAATGTTAATTATTTGAGAAGACAACTCTTTTTTTTTTTTTAAAAAAAAAAAAGAAAAATACTTACTTGTATATCGATGGAATGTTTTGTGGGTATGAATATGGACTTGTTTGTTGAGTTGCTGCTCCATTAATCCCTTGCTTTGATTGACATCGATGATGGCACCTGCAAAATGACCACCACCCATCATAAGAAGAGTCCAGAGTCGTGTTTGTTTTCCATGATCTGATGATTGTTGAAGTCGTTGAATGGCATCCACACTTGAGATATTCTTTTTTGATTCTAGTAAAACACGATATATACCCAAATGGAAAGGGATACAAGTCAAAGAAGGTACCTTAAACCAAGTGACCGATGCATATTTCTTTTGTAATGGTGTCGATGATATCCACTGGGTCGTCGATGCCGTTACTTGGTCCTCAATTGCTTGTGCTTCATCCAATGCCAATTGTTGCTTCCCTACTAAATTTTGTACCTTGTCTTCTTCACCGATCGTTTCCAAAACACGCATTGTAGACCCGTTTTCTTCCATGTCATCGTCGCTACTTTCCTCTTGTTCTGTATCAGATCCCGATAAACTATCACTAAGATCTATAATGGTTAGAAAAAGTAAGAATGCAATATTAATAATAAGAATGGAAAATTAAAAATAAAATAAGAAAAAAAGGAAAACTTTTTTATCATCACTTACCTGCTAACATATCTTCAAATTCATTCAAGGAAACAGGAGGTTGATCAAATACAAGTTTTCTTTTGATATTGTAGCGATGCCAATCAGTACCAAAGTGTTGACGATGATCCAATCTGTCCGAGAAAGATTGTTGACAAGTCCCACAAGTAAGTACATCAGGTTGCTCAATGTCGTTTTGTTGCTGCTGAAGACGTAGCTTTTCCAAGTTGGCCAAGTTCAGTTGTTCTTGTTTATGCACTACATCGTCAACTACTGATCCAGTTTCAGCATCATTCAAAGGTACAAGTGTTGTCAATATTTCTTGAGGTAGTGCAAACACATTGAGAGGACTTGTGTCGAGTGAATCAGGTTGAAATGTTGAATTTTTCACCATTCTTTAATAAAAATGATAAAATGGTGTACAAGTGCAAGATAGAAAGAAAGTAAGTGGAAGTGAAATAATTTTGAATAGACGGAAAAGTCACTGACTTACTGAAGGATTTTAACCTCCGGCAATTTTTTTTTTCTTGCTGCGTTACATGTCGCAGCGCTGTATCTGTTATTACTGAGTATCACAGAAAGAGGGGTTGTAGGGAGAAAATAAGGATGACATGAGCCGAGAAAGAATGATTCTTTACATGATGTTCTCCTATTTTCAGTATGCACTTATGATGATTCGATAATAATAATAATAACAATAAAGAATAACACAAGATTCCTTTTTATTAAAGACGTATATTCTTTTTTTAATTGATATGTTGAAACAAAAAAAAATGCATTGCGTGTTCAATATGTAGTGATTGTAACGAAATATTAGAATAGATAACAAGGGACTATTTTGAAAATCATGATGTGTATTTTTGTATAATTAACAGTGGTCAGCACACAATGATAGTAATAATAATAATGATAATGACAATAGTTATAATAATAAGGATGATGATGATTAAATGAAATCATATTTATGCCACAACCCCTTTTTTGGGAGTACGAGCAGCAATGGCATATCGATTGTTGGATACAGCTGAAGTCGCTAGACTTCCTTCATCTTCATTATCATCTTCGTGTCGAGATCGACAACATCGAACACCACAACATTCGTGACGATCTTCAGCAGCAAAGCAGCCGGTACGATATACTCCAAGATACCCTTTAGGGCATTCCCGAATACAACTAGTAGGTTGGAAATATTGGCAATCTATATAATCATGGAATCAATATCAAAAAAAAAAGAAAGGATGTAATCTTACCATGTATATCGAATTCTGATGGATCATGTTCAAGTTCAGGTACAGCCATAGTTGTCATAATCAAAGTCGCAAAAAGAGTAACAAGTTGGAAACGCATGATGATGATTTAAAGCGATAAAATGAACGATACCAAAGAGAATCAATCAATTTAAAGATGAACTAGAGAAGAATAAAAATGAAAAAAATGAAAAGCCTTTATATACAAACACCTAGCAACCCCTTCCCCATGGTTTATACTTGTGGCGAAAAAAAAAGAGGATCCCCTATTTTCTTATTCTTCTGGTGTTCCATGAAGAATCATCAATGAGATCTCTCTTTTTTTTTTTCTGCCGATTCTCCTTTTTCGATAACTGTTTTGCCAATGCATGGTCTAACTTTTTTTTTAGGGAGATGGAACGGAACGTTAAAAACTTCAGATAATCATCATCATTCAAGAATCATCAAAGACAATCGCCATCATCTTCGTAAAATAATAATAATAATAATAATAAAATGGTAGAACATTAATCCAATTTTGAAAGTACTTTTGAAGCATATCATCATGATCATAGGAAACGACATTACAGAAATGATTATAAAAATTATCACCATCATCATATCATTATATCATATATTCACGATCTGGAAAAATATGTAGTAATGGGGTCGAAGTATGTATTACATTTTGACAGGAAAGACACGCAGTAGTTAAAGCGCCTTCGAGCCGGTATGGATCAAGCTATCATCATCCATCTATCAAAAAAAAAAAAAAAAAAAAAAAAAAAAAAAAAAAAGAGGATGTGTCTAGGGGTAAAGGCGGGAGAACCAACAGAACTAGGAAGGGAAATATCGATAAAAAGGGATAAACCCGTTATCCGTTCACTCCCTAGTAGAAAATAACAATAAAGAGATCTTTTCCAAAGAATTGTTATTGTTTATCTAGTTAGTTTTTCATTAATGTATATATCAACTATTTTTTGATTATGATCATCGGCAGGAGATGAATTTATCGCATTTCAATCAAATCTTTGATCATCATTCATTCTATGTTACATACATATATACTAAAAGGAAAGAAAATAAAAATAAAAATAAAGAAAAAAGACAGTAAAATAGAATTCAGTTTTATTTCAAAAAAAAAAAAGATAGACCTAACATTATAAACTACTTATATATGTATATGAAGGATATTGAGGATACCACATATAATCATCCACCATTTTTTCTAAAGCATCCATCGTTTTGATATCGTCCCGTCTTGATTCCCCAGACTCCATTGCTTCTTTCGCTACAGCCATGGCCACCTTCTTGGAAACCAATCGTATATCTTTAATATCTGGAAGAAGACTTTTTGTTAGATCCTTAGACTGGAATGCTGGTGAACAATGACAAATAGCATTAGCCGCCGCAAATATCATATCATCCGTACAATGTTTAGCCTTTGCTACTATACAACCTAAACCAATCCCTGGATAGATAAACGCGTTGTTGCATTCCGTAACTTCATATATCCGATTATTGTATTCCACATCCTCAAAGGGTGACCCGGTTGCCACGATTGCTTTTCCATTGGTCTACAAAAGAAAAAAAAAAAAAAAAAAAGGAGAAATTATATGTCAGTACACATGTTTATTGGCTATCGACCCCTCTCTCTCTCTTCCGTTTCTCTCTCTCTCTTTAATTCACTCCTCGTTGTTTGTCACCATCCTCCTAGTTCATTTTCACTACCAATCATTTTTTTTTTTTTACCCAGTGTATAATGTCATTTGGAGTTGCTTCAGTCAATTGCGTTGGATTTGATAATGGAAATACAATCGGTATATCACAATAGGATGCCATAGATTTGATCAGCTTTTCCGTGAATGCACCACTACATGTAGAAGTCCCAATTAATATAGTAGGTTGAACGTTTTTAATGACATCTAAAATTTGAGGCTGTTCACTTTCCATTGTCCATGATTGAATATCACCTTTGTTTTTCACATAAGTTTGTTGAACTTTGGAAACTTCTTTGTCGTGTTCCATTAATAATCCTTGTTTGTCAATACACCAAATCCGTTTCAGAGCTTCATTTTCAGATAATCCTTCTTTTTGTACAAGATAACGTCGCACCTATACAATAATAATAATAACAACAAAGAAGTAGATATTTGAGTGAGTAATGTGATACTATATATATATAGATAGATAGATAGATGAAGGATATATAGACTTGACCTGATCAGCGATGCCAATACCAGCCGAACCAGCACCAAAAATCGCTAGCCTTTGATTAGATAACGATACATTTTGCAATTGAAGAGCAGCCAAGAGAAGAGCAAGAGTGATAGCACCTGTGCCTTGTACATCATCATTGAAAGTAGCCATTTTCGGTCGATAAGTATCTAGGAGTCGTCGAGCATTCGAAAGACCAAAATCTTCCCAATGAAGAAAGGCATTTGGGAATTTGCCACGAACACATTCTACAAAGAAATCCACAAAATCATCATATGCTTGACCTCGGATACGTTTATGTTTCCAACCAAGATAAAGAGGATCATCCAAAAGTGTTTGATTATCAGTTCCCACATCCAAAACTACTGCAAGTACTCGACCAGGATGTATACCTGCCATCACCGTATAAAGTACAAGTTTAGCTACAGAGATACCACAACCACCAACACCTTTTGATAATCCAAAAAGAGGGGGAAAAAAAAGTCAATATATAATCTATATGTACATATTTGACTATTATTTATTTTTACCTTGATCACCAATGCCAAGTATTTCTTCGGAATCCGTCACAACCACTAAATCCACATCATCTGCTGCAAGGCTTTGCTGTAATATACCTTCTATCAACATTTGTTGAATTCTTTCCTTTTCTGGGTAATTGAGATAGACACCACGTGGACGACGGAAAAGATGTGAGTACTAAAGTGATTTGAAACATAAAGAGTGAACATGTTTGATAAAAAAAAAAAGAAATCCCTGGTTATCCTTTCATTATTATTATTATTATTACCTTTTCAATATATTCGCCTTCAGTAGGTGTATATATGACAGGTAAGACTTTTACTAAATGATCCAATACAAATCGAAAGAATAACACTTCGTTTTGATCATGAATACCTAAAAAAAAAAAGTTCAATAAAACCCTTGTTTTATTATTATTATTATTTTACTTTGTAGAAAGGTGTTTTTTCCAAGGTTTGTGTCAATAGAATCATATTGTTCAGATACACGTTGTACTTGTTGTTCCAAAGTATCCACTTCATACGGTAAAAGACAGCTAAGGCTGAAGATGGCACGTTCTTCTTGAGTGAATGCTGAGCCTTTGTTGAGTAACGGACGATCTAATAATTCTTGACCTAATAATGTTGTTTGTACAATGGAAGAATTACCAGGTTGGTCACTATAACTAAATATTTTCTTTGGTAAAGGATGATCGCTCATTATGTATATAAAATAGAAAGGGAAAGAGAGAAAGTAAAAAGAAAAAGAAAATCTAAAAAAAGGACTTATTTTTGCATAATAGCCACAGTGGGTAAGTCCAGCAGGTCAAAATGGAAATCCCGCTCTCTCATTTATAAAAGAGCAAAAAAAAAAAAAAAAAAAGAACCGACTATTTCTCTCTTTTTCTTTTTATTCTTTTACTTTTTTCTCTTCTTTTATGGCCTACAATCCTTTTTTAGAAAATAAAGTCAATACTCTTCAAGAAGCTTTTCCAACTCTTACTCCTAGTGTACTTGAAAATACTCTATTAGAAGAAAATGGTGATATGGAAAGAACTTTTGACCGATTACTAGCTATAACTGACTCGACAACAATGAATACTTCTCATACTCGACCAACTTATAAAAAAGTATTGTTTATATTATCCTATCTTTTTTATATATATATTAATAATTATTTATTATTATATATTTTTATCCTATTTTGTTTGTTTTTATTAGCCACCTACACAAGTTCCTATTATTAAAGCCAAGCCAAGTCTACAGAAAACTGTTAGGGAGGAACTAGCTCAGTGGCGCCAAGAACTTCAAAATGATCGGGATATACGTCGTACAAGAAAGAGAATATCTCAAAAGTATCCTCCTTCTGGTAAATTATTTTGATTAATATAAAAAGCATCTTACAAATATTCTTTTATTGTATTTTTTTTTTATTATTATTAGGCGCCTGTTCTTCCTCATATGATTCACAAAGTAAGTTCAATTCAAAAAAAAAAAAAAAAAAAAAAAAAAAAACTAAAACTTTGCCTTTTGATTTCCTTATTTAGACCTCTACAAGGATATTTATTCCATTCGTGATATGGTGGTTGAAGGCAGTTCAGGTAAAGAAACAAAAAAAAAAAAATTAGTATATATATATATAATCAAACTTATTCTATTTGATTTATTACAGTTGCCTTGAAAGCAGCAACATCATTACATGATCGTCTCATATCTGTCCACAACTCATATATCTCAGGATCAACATCATCAGCATCTTCTTCTTCTTCATCATCATCATATCCCTATTATCAAAGGTAATACTAAAGAATTAGATGATATAGTGATCATTAAAAATCTTATTATATCTTTATTATTATTATTATTAGCAATAACACAGCCCCTAATTTATCAAGACCAATACAATCACATACCTCATTATCTAATAATACTCGGATAAACAATAGGAATCGACCTGTACCTCCTGTTCCAGTCACAACCCCATCATCTCAGCAGCAGCAGCAACAGCAATGGCATACGAATAGTAAGTAATAGTACCAATAATAGTCATAGTAATAATAGACTGATTTTTGAAATTCTATATTTATATTTTTATCTAGCTGCAACGCCAAGAAACCCATTCGACAATGCTGACCAATCATTACCGCCACCTACATATGAAGCAAGAGAAAGGGATACATTAATTGATCCAGTGGATGGCGACAGATTATTATTACGAGCATCTTCTCATTAGTTTAGTTACCTATGTACGATAGTTCTCTTTTTTTTTTTTTGATCTTTTGCTAGCTGTCTTTATAATTTTCTTTTTATGATAAATCAAAGTCATTAATATAAATCAAATAAATAACTACTATATACTGTATCCATGTCATATCACTTGTGAAAGGAAGAAAAAAAATATATATACATATACACACATACTATGTAACTAACTTACTCCCCTTGTTTCTTTTTATTCAAGACATCATATATATATATAATCGCACATACTAAAACAAAAAAAAAAAAAATCGGGATCTAAACTAAACTATATCCTTGCGATGGACACAAAGAGGACCATCATGTCCACCACCGTTGACCATCAAGACAGAAGTACCGAATTCAAAGGGATCTCCATTGTAAGCCACAAAGTCAGCCTTATGTCCTAGTTGAATTCTTCCTATGTCCAAACCAAACATATCCGCCAGATTCCAGGTAATCAAACCCACTGTCTGCTCAAAATCCAAATCATAATGCCAACCAGCTTCCCAGATCAAGTTGCGAGCATCACCATTGTCAATATCTGTACTACCAAGACCCACTTTGACATTGTGTTTCAACAGGACATCAAGCACTGTGTCCTTGGTATAAGGATGACCAGGTAAGCAGTGTCGTTGGGCCCAAGTCGTGGCATAACATCTAGCAGGCATCAGAATCACAGGAATGGACCAGCGTTGTAAATGATCTGCTACCAAATGAGCCTCAGCTCCACCCAAGATGATGAATTGTACAGAATGTAGTTGTTGCTTTAATCGGATAATGGCTGCAATGTCGTCCTTGTTATTCGCCTGAACCACCACGGGTAGTTGTCCTTGAGCTGCTTTGGCAAAGACATTTGTTGCTGGATTTTCTTTAGCATTGGTCGTCAATAATTTACGAATGCCGGCAATTTGTTGAGATACGGTGAGTGTACCAATGTTTTCAAGTATAAAATGTAGCGCAGCTTCATCCCTGATCAAGGTATCATTGGTATCCAAGACTATTTGAAATAGAAAAAAAAAAAAAAGATTAAACAAAAAGAGAAAATAATTATGAAAACGATATCGTTTTTTTTTCCTTTCTTTACCTGTATTTTCTACACCAATTCTTGCTGCAACTGATACACCACCAAGAGGTACTGCAGCTTGCAATGGTTGTGAAATGGTTGAAGTCACACCTAAAATAAATAATTCAAGTGAGTTTATGTTTGTTATACAAAAACTATGTATTCATTTTTTTTTTTTTTTACCTGCTTGGAAGGCTTTCTTCATATGTAATCCTCCCATTTTGATGCCATCAGCTGCTCTTGCCACTGACTTGACCAAGTTTTCATCATCAATGTTGAGATTCGTTTCACCATCCATCGTACTTGATTCTGCTTGGATTTCGATCATACCCATAGGAACACCAGCAGACACGATACCCTGTACATAAAAAAAAATAAAATAAAAAGAAATGTTTTGAAGTTAGTCCGTCTTTTCTTTTTTTTTTCTTTTTTTTTTGTTCTACTTACAGGAATAACAACAGCACCATTCATATCAAATACAGGACTAGAGGTAGGCCAATCTACTTGTTCACGATTACAATCATATCCAGCACAAATCACAAGATCATCTTGAACCACCAAAAAAATATCTTTTGAAGTATCACCGCGTCGGTATTCTTGACCAGGACTCATCATTAGACGACCAATATTACGGAGTACGAAGGAATGAACCCCTTTTGAGCAAGCATCATTCATATGTATCGGGTTGTTGAGACCATGATCTTCTAAATGCATGGATCCAGTGGGTCGTTCAGGAAGGATGGTATCGTCAATAGATGTGTTGTGAGTGTCGTAAGAATCATCCATCAAAAAGTGTTCGTCAATAACCTCTTCTACATCTTTGGCCCATGGCTTGCGGAAGTTTAAGATTTCCCCATCGATGATCACTTTCTTTGGTCTCGCACCTAATCTCAAAGGATGTCGTTCCCAAATCACAAGATCAGCGTCCTTGCCTTCTTGAATACTAAATAAATAAATTCATAAGAATATGAATTGTCATGCATATGAAAACAAGATTCCTTTCCCTCTTATATTGAATTTACCTTCCAATACGATGGCCAACGCCCAAGGCATTAGCAGGAATGCTTGTCACTGCCGATAATGCTTTATGTTCATCAAATCCATAGTGGTATGCTTTTTGCGCTTCATGTATAAGATCTCTCTAACAAAAAAAAAAAAAAAAAAAAGTTATTTTTGATTATTGCTGAGCTTACTTTTGTTTAGAAAAATCTTACAGCATTCATAACGGGATGATCACTTTTAAAAGCAACAGGAATACCAGCTTCAGTCAGGATACCAGGTGCATGTACATTTGTAGACCAACCTTCATGCTAGAGCCATATAGATATATAAAAAAAAAGGAAGTCCATATGAATACCATCCTCTATATCAAAGGCAAAAAAAAATAATCATCATCTTTTGAATTACCTTATATCCCCACATATCTAATCATAAGAAAACGTCCAACCATAGAAAAAGAAAAAAAAAAGAATTTTAGCAGACAATCTATAAGTATTCTAGAATGATATTTACCAGCAAAAGTTGCCACGGTAATATTTGTCTTTGCGCGTTTGATAATGTCAGGTACTTGCCAAGCCGCCAAAGCATGATGGAATGCAGCAATATCAAATCCATATTCCAAAGAGTGATGGACCATGGCTTCCAAATCATGAGGTAAGTAACAGTGAACATTCAATTTAACATCTCCGCGTAGTAAGGCTACCAAACTTTCCAAAGCAATGTCTTCAGGGAATCGTTCAGATAGACGTAATTCACTATCTTGTTCTTTATCAAGCCGTTCAGCAGCGTCACACCAATCATTTTGAGAACGAAGCAAATCGCGAGCTTGTTGGAAACGTTTACGGAACAAATAACTTTCACCCATTCCTACAAAGCAATGTATATTTGTTAAATACGTTTCAATCTTTTTTTTTGATTTTTTTTTTTTTTTTTTTTTTGGTTTAGTTCCTTACTTGTCAATGGCATCTTTTTCGCTTCAGTACCATAGACACGTTTGGGATTTTCACCACAGGCCATTTTCATATATCGATGGACTACTTCTTGATCTTCTTCAGAAACACCAGCACTAATAAGCATATCGTATACCGAGAGTGTCGGTACAGGTCTAAGTTTTACCACAGCAGCTTCACCACCCATCAAATTGCCCGAACCTACGGGCCAAAAAAAAAAAAAAAAAAAAAAAAAAAAAAAAAAGATATTCTTAGCATTCAAGCTTTTTTTTTTTTTTTGAAGCATCATCTTGATTATTTTTTACCTGGTAAAATCAAACTTGTTGTAATACCACCACTTGCAACTACTTTAATCGCAGAATCACTAGGATTGAATGCATCCACTATACGTACCTATTAGAAGAAAAGAAGTTTAAAAGAGAAAATATTACAAGAATTAGTACTTACAAAAGGGGTAGTTGGATCAGTCGTTTCATTTTCATCGGCTGTGGCATCCAAACCAGGTAAACTTGCAGCACCCATATGAGAATGCATATCAACAATGCCTATATAATAAAAGGGTAGTTCCAAAATAGTCAGTTTTCTACTGTTTTTGTCATAAAAAGGAAGGGGATGTTACCGGGTGTAACCACACGATGCTCGGCATCCAAAATTGTCGTATCGTCCGTTGGAGAAGTAAGGTTAGTTCCCACCGCCTTAATAAGACCATCCTTTATCAGAACATCGCCATCCAAGTATCGGTCACCCAGCCAAATATGTCCATTCTTGATCAATAATGGTTTTTCAACACTTGCTGTACTTGCCCTAGGATTTCGGTGACGCACTCGAGTCGTATTGGTAAATGCTAAAGCTCGTTCCTTAATGTCACGACACTGACCAAGTCCTTGTTGAAACGAAGTCCAAGAGATTCCAGGAGAAACCACTTGATCATTCTGGAGAATAAAATTATTCTTGTTGTTACTGTACAAAGAAGAGGAAGACGTTTGAGGAAGTTGACGTGATAAAAGAAGACAAGACGTACCAAAAAGAACTGCCACACTTAACGTCAATGCAAGTCGCGTCTTTTTTCTTGAGGATCGAGAGGTGTGTTGGTTAGAGGGTTGTAATAACGGTATGGAGGCATCTCTTTCCAAAGGTGTTGACTTTTTCTTCATAATGATAATAAAAAAAAAAAAGGAATGAGGTGAAGAGTAAGAAAAGAAAGAATCTATGTAGAGAGATATCTTATCAGACCCACAATTCCGAGCGGAATTTTAATTGACAACAAAAAAAAAAAGCTTAAAACAGAAAGATCACAATGAACGCATAAAACCTCTTGTTAAACAACTCTTTGTAGACCCTCCTTCATTAAAAAATTATAGTTGTAAAAAAAAAGAAACTGAATCAGGCATAATTCATACAAATTTACCCAAAATCCATTTACAGTTTTTATCAAACCAAATAAATTCCGGTTTCATACCATTTCATACTGTATTAGTTTTAATTCTATGTCCTCAGCATGAATAGTAACAATAGTAACAATCAAAAATTCAAATACGGTTTCAAATCGAAGGATTATTCTCTTACGTACGATGATTGCATTTAATAAAAGCCAAGATACAAAAATAGACAAGTCAATAGATATGTAGTTAAAAATAAATGTTGGAGATCATTCATCATCATCATACTGTGTATCATTATCATATATCCATCATCATATAATATATCATCATCTATCATTATCATATATCATCATTATCATATACCATCCATCATCATCATCTAATCATTGATATACACTGACAATCAATTGTGTTTTATTAAAAAAAAAAAGATATTTACCATTTTTCTTTTATTTTATTTCTATATATTTTATTGTAAAAAGGGATGACCAGGACAATTATGGTAGTCAGAAGTATGCATGGAAAGGGAAAAGTCACTAGGAGAAGAGAGTAGAAATCTCAAGCCTTCTTCGTTTTTCATAATCCGACGGGAAAAGATGACTGTGTTTTTTTTACTTCCCAGGCAATAACCGCTGTTATTTTATTTTATTTTTTTCTCCAAGGTGTTGTTCCTTTTTTTCCTTTTTCCTCTTTCTTGTTTAGATAAAACGAAACGATGCACTTCAACCGAATTATCACTGCCTCTCGTGGTGCTCTTCGCGCTCAAAAGGCCAATGCTGCTCTCTTTGCTCAATCTTCCATGAAGCCTATTGCTGTCAAGGGTAAAACTTTTGTTTATTTATATATATATATAAAAAGAAAAAATAATGACACTTTTTTTTTGTTTATTCTTTATAGGTCGTCAATATGCTACTGAAGCTACCCCTGCTGGTCAAATTCGGTAAATACTAAATGACTATTTAAAATTGAATAGGATACTTATCATCTTTTTTTTTTTTTTTTTTTTACTAGTTCCGTTATTGGTGCCGTTGTTGATGTCCAATTCGAACAAGAAAACCTTCCTGCTATTTTGAACGCTCTTGAAGTTAAGGATCACGCTGGAGGTCGTCTTGTCCTCGAAGTTGCTCAACACTTGGGTGAAAACACTGTTCGTACTATTGCTATGGATGGTACCGAAGGTAATCTTTCATTATATTTAAACCACTGTTGCTATGAAATATGAAATTGATTCCATTTTTTATTTATTTATTCATTTATTTATTTATTAGGTCTTGTCCGTGGTCAAAAGGTTGTTGACACTGGTGCTCCTATTACCATTCCTGTTGGTAAGGAAGTCCTTGGTCGTATTATCAACGTTATTGGTGAACCCATTGATGAACGTGGTCCTATCAACGCTAAGACCCACCGTGGTATCCATGCTGAAGCTCCTGAATTCGTTGACCAATCTCCTACTCCCGAAATCTTGGAAACTGGTATCAAGGTGGTTGACTTGTTGGCTCCTTACGCTCGTGGTGGTAAGATTGGTCTCTTTGGTGGTGCTGGTGTCGGCAAGACCGTGTTGATTCAAGAACTTATTAACAATATTGCCAAGGCTCACGGTGGTTACTCTATTTTCTGTGGTGTCGGTGAACGTACTCGTGAAGGTAACGATTTGTACCATGAAATGATGGAAACTGGTGTCATCAAACTCGAAGGTGATTCCAAGTGTGCTCTTGTCTTCGGTCAAATGAACGAACCCCCCGGTGCTCGTGCTCGTGTTGCTTTGACTGGTTTGACCATTGCTGAATACTTCCGTGATGAAGAAGGTCAAGATGTGTTGCTCTTCATTGACAACATTTTCCGTTTCACTCAAGCTGGTTCCGAAGTGTCTGCTTTGTTGGGTCGTATTCCTTCCGCTGTGGGTTATCAACCTACTTTGTCCACTGATATGGGTGGTATGCAAGAACGTATTACTACTACCAAGAATGGTTCCATTACTTCCGTGCAAGCTGTTTATGTCCCTGCTGATGATTTGACTGATCCTGCTCCTGCCACTACTTTTGCTCACTTGGACGCCACCACTGTGTTGTCTCGTTCTATTGCTGAATTGGGTATTTATCCTGCTGTCGATCCTTTGGATTCCAAGTCTCGTATTTTGGATCCTCGTATTGTCGGTGCTGAACACTACAAGGTTGCTACTGATGTCCAACAAATCCTTCAAAACTACAAGTCTCTTCAAGATATTATCGCCATTTTGGGTATGGATGAATTGTCTGAAGAAGATAAGTTGGTTGTCGAACGTGCCCGTAAGATCCAACGTTTCTTGTCTCAACCTTTCGCTGTTGCTCAAGTCTTCACTGGTTATGAAGGTCGTCTCGTCAAGCTCCAAGATACCATCCGCTCTTTCCAAGAAATCCTCGGTGGTAAGCACGATTCTCTCCCCGAAACCGCTTTCTACATGCAAGGTGATATCTCTGATGTGATCAAGCGTGCTGAAGAACTCGCCAAGGAAATGGGTGGTCAATAGATTTAGTTAACTAGTCAATGTCTTTTTTTGTCTTTTTATCGTTAATAGAAAAAAAAAATAAAAGAATGATTGGTGTTTTGTTATGATGATTCTTTTTTATATTGAGTTGACTCTTTTGATGATGATGATGATAATAGTTTTATGATGATTTGATGTTATCAATGGAACGGGTTGTTTACGATGGAATTGCCTTTTAGGGAATTCCTCATATTGGATCTTTTTTTTTTTTATTTGTTTACCTTTCTTCCTCTTTTTCTCTCTCTTTCTTTTTTTTTTTTTTTTTTTTCTTTCCCGTGCCTTTTTTTTTTCTCTTTTTTATATACTTTTTGGTTCTACTTATGAAAAAGCTTTTTGGTAGCAAGAAAAAGAAAAAGACCAAGGCAGCGTCGTTTATTAGTGCTGACTCTGATTATCAAGTCAATGATATTGTCCCAAGGAAGCTGAAAATATCACAATCGACAGGTCAACCACGAAAACTTGCGTTGAATGATGTAACCAATAACGACAATAACAACAATAAAGTTTTAGTGAAAACAACAATACAAACTCAACCTGCTGTGGCCAAAAGAGTTAATCGACCCACAAGTTCTCCACCAGCTTTGGTTATGCCGCGACCTCGTTATGCCGAACCTCCTACTCGAGCTGTCCTTCGAAGCTACGATCATGAAAAAACACAACTGGATCCTGATCTACTTTGTCTTTCCACTGAAAATGATCAACCTGATATATCTGACGAAGAAGATGAATTGTTTACAACTGTGGCTGTTCCTTCACAACGACGACAAGGTCAAAGAATGTTCCCTACTGCAACCAGTTCTGCTCCCGTTCCAACAAAACCACGCAAGACGTCCCCCGTCACCACTCAACATGATACTCGACCTTCCAATAGGAGCCAAAAATCAGTCGATGGAGCTATGGGTAAGATTATGAAAATAAAAAAAAAGAAAAAAAGTTTGGATGAATTATAAATATTTACTTTTTTATTATTATTATTAACATTAGAAGTGATTATTGCGAAAAAACATGAATCCATGAATTCTATTACTGGAAGTGATGATTCGAATAGAGTGTATGAATCTGCTCTTGAATCACCCATGGCATCAACATCAACTATTTTGGAAAACAACGGTATCAGTAATGGACTTCGACAACAACAACAAATACAACGTCATTCTTCACCTGAAAACATCAACAAAACACTTATTCCTACTTTATTACCACAAACTGCATCCGATTCATCAGAAACTGTGACACCAGCTGGATCCACTAGTCAACACCAGCGCAACCTTGGTCCTGAAGTTATCGTCAACTCTGTGAGTAGTTTTGATGTCTCCAAGTCAACACCATCCAATGTTATTATTCCTCTCTCTGATTCGGTTACAACAACTACTCAACACCATTCATCCATTTCTCCACAAAATATGTATGACACTGATTCAATGACACAAGAAATTCTACAAAGCGATGATTTAGAATTACTTCAACAACAAGTCAAACTGATTCAACAACAAAGGGAAATGGATCGTGCGGAATATGAACGTTTGGAACAAATACACAAGGAACGAACTAAATGGATGAAGGCTGAAATTGATCGTACACAAACTAGACTATTACAATTAACCGCTGCCAAACGGGATTACGGAACTTCTTACAATAATCATGATGCCAACGCATCATCTCAAGAAGCACACCATCTACCTTCAATAGATCAGCAACATGCAACTGAACAGCAACCGACAAGTGCTCACGTTGATTTATCATCTGGTGTCGAAGAACAACAGGATATAACAGATCCACTTTACCACCAACAGCAACAGCAACAGCAACAGCAACAACAGGAACGACATCCATCTTCATGCAACAGTACTCCATCAAAACTGCAAAGATCAAAGTCTGGTAATGACAATTTATCTCGTCTATCTCGTTCATCATCGAAAAACTCTACTGGTGATAGCATGCATTCACAACGTTCAAGAGGGATCATGGATGAAAGACAACAACAATCTAAACAACAAGCGTATCAGCAACCGTCGACTATGCATGCTTCAGATACTACAACAATGGATTACTTGCCTACCGAACAATCTGGTTACATGAATGGAAGAAAAAGTTCAGCTAGTTTATCACGACAAAGTAGTGGTCGTCGATCCCAGCAATCTCAAAAACAACAACAACAACAACAACAACAGGATTCATCTCAAATGCAAGGAAAATCAAATACATCACGATCTAGACCTCGCCTACAACGTCCCCGATCGAAATCGACAGAATCAAGACCTCCTCATCTCATGGAACCAGAAGCTGATTACTACACGGAATATTATGATGATCGGCCGGCTCCACCACGACCTAGATCAAGCAATCGTCCAAGACATCGTAGTCATTCTGTTGAACGCTCATATCCTTCTTACTATGATTCTCCTTATTATTATTATGATGACCATATGATGGGCAATGAAGATGAAGACAATGATGAAGTCAATGATGAAGATGAAGATGATGAAGAAGGCGATGCTTTCGATGATGACTATATGGCTACGAATTATAGATATCCTCCACCATTCCGATATGACAGTTTCCCTCCTCGACCTCGAAGAATCCGTCGCCAGCCTATGTCTCATTCACCCTACATACAGCCCATGCCTTTTGCTCCTACTTATCCTCCACCTATGCGATACAATAACCATCCTCCTCCTCATCATCATCGATCACGACCTTCTCGTAGGGAACAAGGTACTTTTTATGGATTTGACAACCCAGCTCCTTCTTATTATCCACCCATGCCACCTCCCTCTCTTCGACGACGACAACAACAACAAGTCCACCCTGGCTTATTACCCATGGATGACTGGCAATCCACTTCTCTTCCATCTTCTTTTAGTCGATACCCTCCATCGATACCTCCTTTTATTCGAATGGAAGATCCATCAAGAAGACCTGGAACCTCTTATTGGCGTGCTCGTCCTCCTTCTGAATATGCCATGTAGTTTATATTATTATTATTTAGTTTATATGATACTTCATAACAAAGAAAAGAAAAATTGAAATAAACTTGATCACTCTATCTTCTTTTTTTTTTTTTTTTCTATTTATTGACTTTTTTTGAAATGGATGACTGGATGGTCATATATCATCTTTATAATTAATTTGAATAAAATCAAATGCATATTTTTGATGACCATTGTCATTAACTCCCCCGTATCTGTCAAAGTAATCATTTTTTGAATCAATATCTTAGTTACAATGGACGATGATCCACAAAAAAAAAAAAAAAAAAAAAAAAAAAAAAGAAAAGTTCCTTTATTTTTCTTCGTAGCTCTCTTTAAAATAAATGTAAATCATCCTATTCTAAAAATTCATATAAATGAATGAAATGATTCTTTCATTAATCAACACCTTCAATCATAATGAGACATTTATTTGGATAAAAAATAAATATATGATTCCGTCTATAAACTAATTTCATATTAATCTATGATATCTATCCATATCGGATACCACCGTATAATCCAACCATAAAAGTCGATTTGAATTGTAAATTATGAGTCAAGAAACCAGTGAACTTGTTCCATTTGGTACGTATCACCTTGGTAGTCACTTTTCCATGTTCATCAGTACCCAATTGTTTATTATAACCACCTTCTAATTTATCCCAATGGATGGTGATATATCCATTATAGGAGAGACACTGTTAAATAAATAAATAAATAAATTAGAAAGAAATAAGAAACAAAAAAAAAATGATGTTCTTTACCTGTAAAAATACAAAACCTACACCAACAGCCAAAGCAAAGAATTTACCTACTTTTTTGATCAGATAACCAGTACAAAAACCAAGAAGAACACCAAAGGATAATTCTCCTTTGTGAAAAAGAGTCTTACGAGCATCCCTATCCTTATCTCTAGGTGTAATATCGGAAACTTGAGTATAAACAGCTATATATATATATATATATATATATATAATGAGTCAAATGTTTTTCTTTTTGCAAAAGAATGTATTATTTTTTTTTTTACCTTGACATTGAACAGGTTTTTTGGTCCACATACTAGCTGTCATAGTACCAGTGGCGGCAGCAGCTATACCAACCATCTTGACAGGACCTGACCAGGACATAGAATGATATCGCATATTTTGTCCAATACTAGTGAATGGTTTAACTAGATGAACAATTAGCGAAGATAATTTAGTTTTCTTCTTTGTCAGTAAAAGGTTTTTTTTTTTTACCTGATGGTTTTACAGAGGTGATGGTTCGTCTAATAGAATGTTGTGCTGTGGTTTGAAAACAAGTCAAAGGTCGAATGGTACGTAACATGATAACAAGTAAAAAAAAAAAAAAAAAAAAAAGAATCAATGAGGAACAAAAGAAGAAAAAGACCAAAATGAAATAATAATGCCTTTTTTTCACCTGGACTGCGGGGTTCTATATTTTTTAATTTTTTTTTTCTTTTTTGTTTGGTGTTAAAATATGGTCAGCGCGCTAGATTTTCTGCATGAAATCAAGAACATATATAAAACATTCAGATTGATAATCTTCTTGAATGAGATGATGAATGATTGTAGGATAGGATGATGATTAGTATGCTATTATTACTCCAATCCCATATTTAAGGACTTCATTAGAAACGAAAGAGGATCATTGTGGATGAATTTAAAAAAAAAGGGAAAGAGTGGAAGATATTGTTGCTGATGATGATAGTGATGATGATGATGATAAATAGTGAAAAAATATCAACATAGATAAGAAAAAAATAGAAAACTAGCTTTCTTTCAATCTTCTTTGTGCCAGTATCTGATATGACAATCCACCGTTCTCATCACTATGAAGATCAAGTCTTGAGCGGAATTTGAAAAAAGGGAGACGTGTGTTGAGAGCTCAAGCAGTCATAGACGGGAAAGACGGAAAGTTTCTTATTTTTTCTGTTCTCTCTCTTTACTTTACTAAACATGGACGGCCATACACGATCACCCACAGATTTCTTAAATTCAGTATTAGGACAAAATGTCACAGTCAAACTAAACTCTGGTATTGATTACAAAGGTAAACTACCAAGAAGAAAAAAAAAAAGGAAAAGATAATAACCAAAATTTGTAAATAGGTGTATTAGCTTGTTTGGATGGTTATATGAATATCGCTTTGGAAAATACAGAAGAATATGTAGATGGCAAATTAAAAAACAAGTATGGAGATACTTTTGTTCGTGGAAACAATGGTAATTATATCAGAAATATCTTAGAAAAAAAGGAAAGGAAAGCTCACTTTTATATATATATATATTATTTTTGAATAGTATTATATATTAGTGCCGACAAGTCAGAATGATGATTTACTTTACAAGAATATAATGACGATGCGCTTTGTAGTAATAAAGAAAAAAAAAAAGAATACCTTTTATTATCATGTCTTTTCTTTTTTTTTTTTTTTTTTTGTACGTTTTTTCTTTTTGTAGATATAGGTTTATCTTTTTATTTTTATTTTTATTTTTTTCGTTTATAGTTACAAATCCTGTGATTTAGTATATTTATTTTGAAGTACTTATTTATGATCAATATACTTAACGCATCTTATCAGGTATGGGCAACTTACTTTCTATGTAAGACTTGGGTTAAGTTCATACCCTGTCCATGTATACTGTATGCGAAGATACTTTCACCTCAATACAGTTTATTCACTTTAAATTGAGACAAAAAAAGGGGTAAAACGATACAGACAAAGAAAAAATAAAATTTGGGAGGAAAGAAAAATAAATTTGGGAGTGAAAGAAAAATAAATAATTTGGTGGAAGGGAATATCAAATTGAGAGAGAAAGGATAAAATCAAATTGGAATACCAAGTGGGTAATATATTTAGAAGATAAAATAAAAATATATATCAGTTAGTACATCATCATTATTAAAAAAAAAAAAAAAAAGGATTACTCACAACACGTAACTAAGACCGTTTTAACTACGGTCAGGACGATAAAGCAAAGAGGAAAAAGAAAGACTGCTATTGCTGACAGGATGATTGGAGAATTGGTATTGGTTGACGGGGGAACATCCAAACTATTGCCATTTTGTATGATGGTAGCTTAGGCCCAACACACATCAACACGAACCATAATGATAATAAGAGGAGGACGGAAGAAAAGGAAAAGCAGACAGACAGACATGATCGATAAAAAACCTCTTGCCTTGAATAAACTGTACAGAGACACCAGACGACCACACAGATTGGCCCAAGAGGACCTCTTGATTAAACCTAAGGTGATGATGATTTTATATTAGATGGATGAAAATAGTTATCTTATAATATCAATTGTTACTTACTTGTTTTTTTGTTTCTTCTTTGGAGTATTGATAAAAAAAAAATATAAAGTAAAAAGAAAGAGAGAGAGATAAATTCGCTTTGAGGGTTTAGAAAAAAAAGAAAGAGAGATGTGGTTGAAAGGAAAAGGGACAAATCACAATCATCTCTCTTTTATATTAAATCAATTGAACTGGACAACATTTTCTTTGTTTTGATTCATTCTTTTTTTTAGTTTCCCCCTTTTTTTGAAATAGTAATAAATCAATGAATAGATAGATGTACAATGATGTAATGCATAGCACCGGTAAAAAATCAAAATGAAATTAAATAGCTTCTTTTCTTTTTGACAACCTTTTTTTTTTCTTCTCAAATTCTTAATTAACCTTCTCCTTTTTTTCCATATTTATCGAACAACAAATGAATCAATGAATAGATGTATACTATTAAGCAATCAAAAGGAAATAGGTTGGACCATCTCCTTTCCTTTTTGACAACCTTTGTTTTTCTAAAATTTTTAGTTAACCTTTTCCTTTTTTTCCGTAATTATCAAGAAAATAAACGAATCAATGAATAGACATATAATATTAACCAATAAATGGGAAAATAAATAATCGTCCTTTTTCTTTGTTTACGCTCTTGATTTCTAGCATCCTCTTTCCATGCTCATTGGTAGAATGAATGAATAGACACATGTATATACTAACTCCTTAATCAACCTTCTTTTTTATGTTCATTAATGAGTCAGTGAATGGCATGTGATGCTGATGCTGTCAGTGCTATAATTGAAAGGGATCCAAGAAAGCGGATCCATAGATTAAATCCAACATAGTGGGTATTCTTTTTTCTTTGTTTCAAGTCTCATGATCTACTCTTTTTTTTTTTTTTTTTTTGAGAGGAACCAGGTGGTAGCGACTTTATTAGATTACGATCATTATAGGATGAGGGATGACGATATTGACATCATTTTTTAATTCACTTTACAAATTGGAAGGTAAGGCATAAATTGTTGCTGAGACAAGTGAAAGAGAATATCTTCATGTATCTTCATTCCAAATTTGAAGGGATGATGATGACTTTTTTTAAATGAATTACCATGTTAAGCTTTTTTTTTTGTAATCTTAAGATGATGATGATATGCAATATATATGGATGATGTTATTATGTTGATTAAAATAATAATGATTTACATGCAGTGAGCACCAGTTCTTTTATAAAGGAATAATGAAAAGTGCCTCGATAAAAAAAGTCGTCCGGAAAAGGAAATCAATTGATGTATGAGATCACTTTTGATGATAATCGAAAATATATAAAATAACTTCATAAAATCACTTGATACTTATATAACAACTTTGATGATTGATAGATATAATGTTAAAGCCTTGGATGATGATCCAATGGGATGACCATAATAATGAGTTTTGATTTTTTTTAAAAAAAATTTTTTTATTGCTAATAAAATATAAGTTGAAATTGACAAAGAAAAAAGTGTAAGATATGAAGGATATATATAAATTTAAAAAAACTACAGTAGTCATGTAATAAATAAATACAAAAGTTGAAACGCATAGAAGTTCAAACGACCAAATTTTCAAACGAACAAAATTTCAGATAGATCCATCTTCAGGGAAGAGAAAAAATTAATCTGTCAAGTTCTGGTCAGTAGACGGGCTTCAAAAAAAAAAAAAAAAAAAAAAAAAAACCCTTTGTGCGCGCTTTTGTGTTTTTTAATCTTTTTCTTTCTTTTTCTTTTCTCCATCCACTTTTTTTTTCCGCATTGGGTGTCCTCTTTGTTTGCGCGATCTTTTCATGGTAGATTTTATTGGATTTGGAGGGTTTTGAAAAAGGGATTTACAAAATACATGGGGAAACCCTTTCATTTTGAATGTAGGATTTAGTACAGGTAATGACAGAAAATATTTTGTGATGGTTTTTTTTTTATTGGTAACGTGAACGAATAACTAACTGGATATCAGACTTCTTTTTCGTTAGGAATGGCGACTTGTTGTTAGGATCTTGGTGGTGGACGAAGGGTTCTGGCATAATAGATAGAGTAAAATGGATAGTTTTACTAGTTAGTATATGGATTACTTTTTTTGTTCGAAATAAAAATTTTATTGCTTTTTATGATACACAACAATACACTTTCGTGGCTTTTTTTTTTTTTTTTTTTTTTTTTTTTGATGATAATCATTGTTATTAGATGAGGGATAACGGAATTGACATTTCATTTTAATTTACTTTTATGAATTGGGAGATAGGGTATAAATTATTATTAAAACAATTGAAAGAGAATATCTTCATGTATGTTCAATCCAGATTTGGTACAATGATCCAATCATATTAAATCATTATCCTTAACATACAAAAAAAAAAAAAAGATCTTAATACTACTATTATTGATCATCATATATATATATATATATATTGGGTGATCATCAACAAAAAAAAAACACCACTCTCAGCCACTACCATACAACTGTTGCGAAGGACTTAATTGTCCTCGCTTAAACAAACAAACAAACAAAAAACAAACTATTTTTTTTCAAAATCCCACAACTGAACCATATGATTATCTTTATATAGAAACCTTCATCCCTTTTTTTTTATTTTTTATCTTATCTAGTTGTCATCAACGTGATAACATTCCATTTCCTTCTCTGGATCATATTACTTTTTTGTTCTGTTTACTTGGAAACAGTGCTCACTACATTTCAATCATCACTACTATTATACGGATGATGGCGATAGTGATATATCTTTTCTTTTTTTTAGTTTTACTCTATAAATACGATGATCATCTATAAATTCAATAAGGTAAAGTGACAATAAACTGGTTTGCTTATGTTCGAGTCAAATTTGATGTTGATGATGATGATTTCTGAGCGAGAAAGGAAAATTCAAAGTTTCTTCAAGCTTGTGTCCAGCATGAAAAAATGAGATGGATTTTTTGATTTTACAGCCAAAATTTTCAAACTCCTCAGCCAAACTTTGGCTGTAAAAATAAATTGCCAGGGGGTCATCAGGCAATATTTCGAAAAATCGATGAAATCTTTCATTCTCATTACACACATTAGGTGGTAAGATAATCGATAAAATGGGATTACGTGATATTTGACTACTTTTTTGAGAGGAATCCAATGATGGTAATTTTATTGGATGATGATCATTATTGGATGAGAGATGACTGAATTGACTTTTATTTCTTAATTTACTCTATAAATTGGGAGGCAAGATATAAATTGTGGTTGAGACAAGTGAAAGAGAATATCTTCATATATCTTCAATCCAAATTTGAAGGTATGATGATGATTTTTTTGGATGAATTACAAAAGTATAAACAGGTACGCGCCCACTCAAAGTGATGTTACAGCATAAAAGACATCATGGATCTAATTTCTCGGTATGAACAAGTTAAACAACGAAAAAGCCAATATGTATATTCAGACTATTTTTTGTTAGTGCAGCTAATGACGAAGAGAGCTTAAGGTTTGAAGTACTGAAAAGAAAAAAATCGGGTGGAAATAAGCATTTTGTATCCTACTATGGATGTAGATAGATATTTAAAATAAATCAGACATTGAAATTCCTTTATAATTCTATTTGAGCAGAAAAAAAATTAAAAAGATATACACTTGAATGGGCATGGATTTTGGCAAGGTTGGGGATTGGGATGAAAAAAAAAACAAAAAAATCATGCCAAATTGTCGTCAGTGGACTGACTTCAAAAAAAAAAAATAGCTACCCCTTCGTGCAGTTTTATTTTTTTTTTCTTTCTTTTTCTTTTCTTCATTCACTTTTTTTTTCCACATTAGGTGTCCTTTTTGTCTGTGCGATCTTGTCAAGGTAGATTTTATTGGATTTGGAGCGTTTTGAAAAAGGGATTTACAAAATACATGGGGAAACCCTTTCATTTTGGATGTAGGATTTAGTATAGGTAATAATAAAAATATTTTACACTGTTTTTTATATGAATTGCTTTACCTAGATTCATTTTGTTGGTAATGTGAACGAAAAAATTATTGGATGACAAGTTTCTTTTGGATGGGAATGGCAGCTTGTTGTTAGGACCTTGGTGGTGGACGAGGGCTTCCGGTTGGTACCATGCTACATACTGTTGAATGTATAGTAGTGATAGTTTTATGAAAATATGTTATTCCCTCTTTTTTTGTAGCTTTAGTTTTAGTATTACATGTATATATAGATCATCATATGGTTTATTTATTTATTATTATAAAATCGTCATTATTACTACTGCTACTACTATTATTACTATTATCATATGAATAGATAAACGTTTGGGTTTGGGACTAGTGTTTCTCTTACTTGGGACCTTACAGTGTTTTATGCTAAAATTAGGAAGATGATTTGGGTTAGTTGGATAAACATCTTTTGTGAGATAAAAAAAAAAAAAAAAAAAAAAAAAAAAAAAAAAAAAACAAAACTTACACAACACGTAACTATGGGGATTTTAATTCTTCATAGATGGGTAAACACAGTTGGACGATGATGATGGTGCATCATATATAGCCAGATACCATGCATGTTACGTGAAGCGTTCACATCACGTTGCCATATCGTACGACACGCAGTACAAGATAACACACTGTAAAGACTATGATGTTCTGTTCGTGCTGTTTCCAGGGAACGAGTACCACACCTTGAGCAAACCTTGGAAGTGTTATATTCAGGAATATCCACAAGAATCAATCTACCATCATAATCTGCCTTTTTTAATAAAGATCGGCACTTGTTGGCTAATCCAGAGGGTTTACCACCAAAGGCAAGATGACCGAATTCAGCAGCACCAAAGGCGACGATTGGAACACGATCTGTATCATTCATAATGGGCGCTTTCTTCCATTTGCTATAATAAAAATATAAAACCATCATTTACTGTTAATATCATATTTTAATCCGAGTTTTTTTTTTTTTTTCTAACTTACAATGTTCTTTGACCAGCAGGTTCGCGAGCAACGGGAGCCATAGGGGTGTAAATCAAGGCCATTGGACCCTGCTCATTATCTGTCACCCAGTCAGGATTTTGCTTTTTTCGGTCCCTGAGCCTACGGCTGTATTTTATCGTCCTCCGGAAGTTTTCTTCAAGCTCTTGGTTTCTTACAAGATATGTCTCGTGGTGATCGCCATATTTTGTTCCACCATTAGTGAAAATATTCACTAATTCGGCATCCATACGCTGACGGCCACAGTAGTTGCTGAATTTTCTTCTCTGAAACAGTATTCGACCATAGAATGCGGTCAGTTGGTCAAAAACGGTCAATATTGATGTAATATAACCTTCGATTCCTTGCATAGTCGACGTTTTATTGGTCAATATGGTGGCTTCAACTTCATCAATCTGTTGCTGATCCTTAGCCTCCCTAATCAGCCTTGTAGTTTTCTTGTATCCGGCCTTCGTGTAATACTCAGCTGATGAGAATCTTCTAATTTCATGAGGGTCCTGCTGCTGGCGTTGTCGATACCTTTCTTGTAGATCATACTGATGTGGTTCACCGGGTTCTTGTTCTGGGACATCTTCTTCATCAAGATCTATATAAAGACCAATTCAAAAAAAAGTTGTCAGTATATACATCATCATGATCATGGTCATCATCATCGTCTTTTTTTTTTTTTTGATAATATTTACCTTCATCTTGGTCATCTGGATTGTCTTGATAGACATTGTCTGAACCACTACTAGCTACAAAAATATCAGTCACTCCTGGATCGGCACCCCATAGCTTCATGAATGGCATCTCCCAGTCTTCAAAATCTTCGGGTGTAAGAGTGACCGACTTGACCGGGTTTGGAATCACTTCCCTACGGAAGGAGACAGAGGCGCCGTACCCATCGGTTTCAAAGTATCCACCAAAAAAGACTCTTCTTCCGTCTGCTCCAGGATGTCTATTTTTTTTTTTTTAAAAAAAAAAAAAAGAGTTAGTCTTACGTTCTAGTTTCTTTTTTTTTTTTTTTTTTTTTTTTTTTTTTTTTTTTTTGGTTATTCATCATTCGTATAACTTACTCGTTATGGTAGCGAACCTTCCGTAGATCAATGATATTCTCCACGGTCCCGGCTCCTTGAATATACGACTGCAGATTGGCCATCCTAAGAATCATCTCACAAACTGTTCTGTTTATCTTGATGTACTTCTTCAAGAACGACGGCTTCGGCACCAAGTTGAACAGTCGTTGTAGCTTGGCAATTTCGAACAACTCCGGACGAAAACATTGCAAGAATAATTCTTCATGGATATAAGGGTCAGGATCAGGTAACGACAAATATTCTCTTGATCTTGCAATTTGTGTGCGTGTGTTGGCAACTAATTGATTTAGTTGCTGCCAAGATTCATCAGATATGCCATGTAAGCCAGTATGCATAAGATCTTGATTATCGTTGATGGCACTACAAAGTCGTCTGACCAAGAGGTTCCTTCTTCTTCTTCCCAAGGTAGCACTTTCAGCAAGCAATCGGATCTGTCGCTGTGCCCATACCGTAGTGGCTGCTTCTTGAACATCATTTGCCAATCGTATTTGCCCATCATTATACTGTTCCATATGAGAGGCAATGTTGTATCCAACCTTGGCAAATAGTTGAATGTGCCTTGATATAAACGCAGTGCTCAATGTTTGCACCAGTCGTTCATGATCACCATATCCAGGAATACCCGCAGCGGCCATATTGTCAGCAAAATTTTCCATCATGACTTGGCGAACACCTTCTTCAGCAGCACTAGCAACTTGAAGATAATCATTGACATCATTATCATGGTTAACAGTTCTAACGCGTTGTGCATCATCATCGCTAAAACCCGGAAGATGAAGGGTGATTGCGGCCTGTGTAACCCTCTGGAGAAGAACCTGACTGCCAAGCTGATCGTTTGCAAAAAATTCCGTCAAACAAATGTCACGTTCGTTTTGAGCTATGCCATATATGTTTTCCATGTTAGTTAGCACACCAATGGCACCGTTAAGAGCAGCAATCCTCTGTTGTAATGAATTTTGAAAGCGTACCACGTCTGCAGAAGGCGGTTGGGCTTGATCATGTTGTTCCCAGCGCATTATAGATTCTTGTACACCTGCGATTTCATTTTGTGCATCTTCTTGATCCCATCCTGCAAAACCAAAGTCAATAGGCGTCTCAAATTGTTGAGCAATCGTTTCTTGATATAATCCCATTATTTGATTCAAAAGCGCAAGGAGTGCCATTAAATTTGCCACCAGTTGAGGAAGTCGATTATGATTATTGTTGCGATTTACTACTATGGCATCAGCTAGATCAACGGCATCATTATGCAATCTGTATAAATCAAGCATGCAATTTCTGACCACATTACGTTGAGCTGCCATCGTGATGTTTCCATTATCCACGTATTCCACAATTTGGCCCAGTGTAAACAAAATATTGAGGTCAACCTGCACTTCATCCGTTACTTGACCAACAGCATTGTTAACTTCACCACCCATTTCAGCACCAAAGGATAGATTGGCAGGATAATATACCGCAGAATCAGGTCCACTTTGAACAACGGCGTAGATATAATTGGCCAGCTTGTTTGCATCAGGCTTCTGCAAGTTCTGTTTCAAAAAAAAAAGTTAGCATACTATAATAACATATAGTAACAATAACTTGGTGATTACCTGAACCAATTGTCGAAGTCGAACAGAAATATAGTTCAATTTCCATTGTTGAAAATTCTCCACAACATTACTCGTGAATCCAGTAACATAGTGATCCAGGGAATTGGTAATAATACCACCACGATTACTGCCTTGTAGTAGATTCATCATGCCATTTGGAAATTGTTGCCTGTAAACACCAAATGCTTCCATAACATGGGTAAGAAGTTCGCCTTGAAAAATAGCCTGATTTGTTGGCGGAGTCAAAACTCGATCTTGATCACCTTGAGTAAGCACCTGGAATATGCCATAGAGGAAATTCTTGGTAAAGATAACGGGATAGATTTTACGGTGCATGTTTAATTGGCGGTACACAAAGAAGGTCAGAAACAGATGGAGCTTGATGATAACATCGCGGTTGTACCTTACAAGTCTCATTGTGGCGTCAATAAAAAGAAGCTTGTCTCCGTCAGTTGTCATATTGAGAAGGTTCTGCAAACTGATCTTTCTTGTGATGTCTTCCAAACGATATGTAGTTTGTTGTTGTTGTACTTGTCTTCTTGGGGCAGTATAATCTGGACACAAGCTATTTGTTCGTCGGCTATGAGTATAAGCTACTTCTTCTCTCCCGGCGTCGAGACAGACTTTGCAAGGATTGGCAACGTGTCGTGCTTTCTCAGCAGCTCTTTTGGCCTTGGCTGCGTTTCGTTTCTCTTGTTTTTCTTCTACTGATTGCTGTCTTTTTCTTTTACCAAGACGTTGTTGCGCTTGGGTGCTTGATTCAGGTTCATCAGCTGGAGGAGATGGAGGTCCAGGAGGAGATGGTACTTCAGCTAGATATTAATGAAAACAATCATGAGAGAGATGATCCTATATTAAATCAAAACCTTTTTGTATGTTACCTTCTTCCGGATGAAGTCGTTGGTACTTCATTTGCTTTTTATGAGCAATGATTTGAGCATTAGTCCAGGTAGCATAGTCTTGTACTTGTTGTGCAGCTTGTTCCATATTGAAAAAAGAATATAAAGTGTAGTTCAGAGTAAAATAAAAAAAAAAAGTTATAGGAATTAAAGTAGCGTATAACTAAAGAGGAGATCGTTATGTGTATATTGAAAAAAAAAAAGAAGAAAGAAAAAAGAAAAATAGTTAACTGGTATTTTCTTTATACGAAGGTCATTCGATTGTGGTCAAGTACCACCAAAAGAGGTAAGGTATCCTAGTTATTTTCTTTGTTCTTTCCTTTTTTTTTTTTTTCTTTTTTCTTATTCTTGAATGATCCATGTTCCCCCTAAATATTAAAAGAGATAGAATTCATTGATTGTTTTTTTTTTATCAAATTGGAAGGCTGAGTCATCATCATCATCATTATTGTCATCACAATGAAAACATATAATATAACACTTCGTTTTTTCCTAAATTGATCTCTGGATCTGAATTTCATTTAGTCAGTACACATATGCTACCTGCAGAAAAGGAGTTTTATTTCACCAATACCAAATACCACATAACTATACTACGGAACAATAATAACAGATAACTAACACTACAAGCAGTAACGTCCATGAGCACCACTACTATCGTTAACCGATACCAAAACCATTATCATGACCTTCATTTTTGGTAGAGCTATTTTATTAGATATCCCACACTTCAATTTGGCCACATAACATAGTCATTTCAGTGAAGAAGGCAAGCGAACTATATTGTATAGACGACAACCATAGTATATACAAATAAAAAAAATAAAAATCAATAGAATGAATAATAGTTCATCACTCTTATTCCCTTTTATGTAGATATATCCATGTTACCTTGGTTATGTCATCGCCAGTAATACCGTATCAATCGTGATACAATAAAAGGAAGGATCTAAAAAAGAAAAAAAAAAAGAGAGAGAGAAAGAGACAAGTGATTGTATGTAATATTGACTCATCCACCTTTTTTCCTTTTTCTTTCCTGATAACTTACTTATTTGATTGCATAGATGACAATCATGGTACCTACAAATACGAATAAACCAAATGAATAGCAATATGTTACTTTTTTTTATCATACATGTTACCTTGTCAATAATCAGTGGATTTTTTGCATCACCTTGATTGTATAGACGACAACTGTGGTATCTACAAATAGAATCAGTAAAACGAGTACTAGTTCATCACCGTTATTCTCTCTTTTTTTTAATGTATGGATTACCTTAATTACAGGATTCACCAGTGTTGATGTATCAAGTAGTATAGGCGAAACCACAGCTACTGATTTTTGTTGAAAGGAATGGAGAATAGACCAAGTCCGTGGGAGGGTGCAATAAGCGGGAGATAAGATATCAGACCAAGTGGTAAGGATAAAAAAAGACAAAAAGCAACGACTTGGAAATAAAATCTTCAATAAATCATCACCAAATGAATGAGGGACGAGAGGCATGGAGAGAAAGAGTTCAACCAAATGGAAAAGGGACATCGAAGAAAACACTATGGCAGGAGAGTCAGATAAAAGGGACCGGTAACCTAAGAAGAAACAAGTAAGATAGAGAAGGAAATATCATCACATTGAGAGATAGATGACAGAAAGGGAAAGACAAAAGAGAGAGAGTCCAACCAGATAGAAAAGGAATCTTGAAGGAAGTAGCACCACAAGAAGAGACATATAAGAAAAACAAAGAACCAGAACCTAAGGAAGGAAGATCCAACAAATTAGATACGAGAGGTTGAAGAAACCACAGTGACTTACGAGATATATAGAAGAGTGGCAACCAATTAGGAAGCGACAAAATAAGGGAGAGTCCAACCAAGAAGAAGAGAAATCTTGAAATTGTAAAAACTCGAAGAGACATGAACTAACTATAAAGGAAGTAAGTAATTGTATTTTATACCTTTTTTTATTTTATTATTTATTTTTTAGATTGACAATAATAGAATAAGAGTCCATTACTGTCATTTATTTCATATGTTACCTGTAACTCCCATCTTTCAGTCACCGTTGTTCGTCGCGTCGTCTATTCATCATATAGCATTAAAAAAGTTAGTTGTATTACCATTACTGTATTTTATAAAAAAGAATAGCGTTACCTAGAGGTCATCAGGGCATCACTCTGTCACGTTCCGTCTGTTGATCCTGCTGTACATTCATTCAACTTATCCTATTGAACATTCGCCCTAGCTGTAAGTCAACATCTTTTTTTTAAAAAAAAAAAAATGGCAGTAGGAAGTATTTGAGTATCTATATTTCTCTTTCGTCCCACTTTGTTTTCAGGTTTACCATCAATAGCAGAGGCCATCCACACAATATCGAATACTAACGGTTGGGAGAAAAGAAAAAAAGAGTCCAAGATCCAAAGAATGAGCAGGTATTTATACTTGAAGAGTAAAAGAAAACAAAGGAGTAAGGTTAGAAAGAGAGAAAATATTCTTGTTTTGTAATAATACCTGCCTTTCATCATAGTTTGCAAGAATAAGAGGAATGCAGGACGATGTAGTAAAGTGGTTCGAGACAGTTTGTGTAAAAAAAAGCAGGAATAAATTAGAAGAGGTTGACCGTGAGAGTAACCATTGTTTTTATTTTCTTGGACTTACTTTCCTATTGTATCGAGTTCATATATCGTGCCAGAAGAAGAAGGAGGAGAAGAAGGAAAAGAGAGGCTGTATAAAAATGAAGCTGCAAATCTATCATAATGGTATTGTTCAGATGGTATTCGATTAATTCTGCCTTTGTTTGTGGAAGATCAGCTTCCTAGTGAGATTGAATCCTTTTGTTGACATTGTTCATTGATCTATATTGAAGCGAGTCTACTTTTTTAATCTGTTGTGTTTTTATTGATTCCGTTGTATAAGTGATTCTACTTTGATTAGAAAAAATAAATAAATAACACTAATAATAATAAAAAAGAAAGGATAGCCAGTTATATTTTTTTTATTTTATCTTATAAACATAGTTTTGATACCAAAAAAGTCGTCGTGTGATTAGATTAACATATCCCTTGGTATTTATTAGCTTATTGAATAATAAAAGGAATATAAAAAAGAAAAGAAAAAGAAAAAGAAAAAGAAAAAAAAATGAGTGGCGGGACGTAAAAATAAGGAAAACGGATCAGGCGCGCACAGGCACCTTTTCCACTACTTTCTTTTTCCTTCCTTTTTTTTTTTCTTCACATCTATTAATGACAAAAGTAATATTATGATGACCTTTGGTAATGAAGTATACAATCTCTTCTCTTTATATAAGGCGAAAGAATATTACTGACCTTTTTCTTTCTTTTATTTATATTTATATTATAATAACTAATTTATCTATTGAAACTGGTGTTTACCTCTTTTTGTTTTATTCATGTTGGTGATGACAAAGGAATCTCATGGCTTGAAGGTAATGTAGTTACGTTTTTTATATAAGTCAAAGAATGTTACTAACTGTTTAATTTTTTTATTTCTTTAGGTACTATAGCAGTTGGTCTATCTGCTTGAACGTGGCGTTTACTTTACTTTTTATTCAAGATGGCAATAAACAATCGAATGACGACCCTAAGGTAATGGCGTTACTCTTTTTTTTATAAAGTGAAATAATGCTACTAACTATTTACCTTTTTATCTTATTTAGATACTATAACAATTAATCTATCTGTTTGAACTTGTTACTTATGAGAATGTCTTATGTTTTTAAAATAAATGAAAATTTTGATTTGCCATTTTGAAAGATAATGATGCTACATAAAAAACATTCATTCGCCGATTTAAAAACATTTTGGAAGTATTTAAATCGGATCCTTACGATCCGTCTATATGAAGAAATTCTCATTTTCTTTTCGTCCTTTCTCTTTTCTTTACTTTTTCACTTTTTTTTACTCTCACCTTTCTTCTTTCTCTTTTTTTTTATATATTACTACTTCTTTACTGACAACAATAATGAACGATTACTACGAGGATCTCAAAGCTGATCGTACGTATACCAACATATATATATATATTAAACGAAAAAATACAATTCTAATTTTTTTATGTGTATTTTAATTTTTCATTTAAACAGCCAAATCTTTTTTCTCCAATATAAACAATGCATTGAGAAAGGGGGGCTATCGTGGGGTCTTCAAAAATGGCAATATCTTTGCCCAAGTAATGACAGGTGGACCGCAGTACAAAATCATGGCTCAACAACCAGAATCTTCATCTTCCTCATTAGCATCAGCAGGAACGCGGGCAACAAGAGCAGCAGCAAGAGCAGCAGCAAGAGCAGCAGCAAGAGCTCAATCATCACAATCAGAGCGACAACAACAACAGCTACAACAGCAAGAACAACGACTACAAAAAGAACGAGAGCAGCTACAACAGCAACAACAACAGTTACAACAGCAACAACAACGACTACAAAAAGAAAGAGAGCAGCTACAACAACAACAACAACAATCACAACAACAACAATTACAACAACAACAATCACAACAACAACAATCACAACAACAACAATCACAACAACAACAATCACAACAACAACAATCACAACAACAACAATCACAACAACAACAATCACAACAACAACAATCACAACAACAACAATCACAACAACAACCAACCAAAAGAAAAAGAATTAACAATGATCCAAGCTATCGTGGAATCAAACCAAAAGTAAGTAAAAAAAAAAAAAAAAAAAAAAAAAAGTTCTAACTTGAAATCCTTTGAAATTATAATAGTTACCAACGCCAGCAACATTCATTACCATTGCCAACAGTGTAGAAAGAATTGATAGTTACGGGCAACTAGTCCAAAATTTACTTTCAGGAGCAACAACAGGCACAACAACAGCAGCGCCAACTACAACAACAACAACAACAAGTGCAACAACAGCAATAGTACCAGCAGCAACAACAGCAGTAGCGCCATCGGACCTTATTGATTTGGCAAACACCATCATCAACTACCAACAATACGCTGTTCAAACCACTATCACCAAAGCAGCGTTAATGTTCCAATATCAAAAAAGGTTCCATCACCTCAAGAACATCAGTAAACTCACCTATTCCGCTTTCCTTTCCCGTTGTGGTAAGTAAAATATATGAAATACGCACGGAAAGGTTGCAAACTACTCACGAAAAAGAAATACCTTTTAATATCTATCCATCATAGTGCAACATCTCGCCGACGAAGACAAAGATGACGCTATGACCAAAATCAACGATATGGTAAAAAAATGTAGTATCTATGGTGATTTGGTCGAAGCCGCTGGAGGGCCATGGATTCTTTGTCTGGCCGACCTATACCCGGACAGCTATCTTACAAAGGTAACAAAAAAAAAAAAATAGATGGTTCTGACTAATACTACATATATGTATTTATATATTTCTAGGTCAGCAAAGGAGCTATGGTCCGAGCAGCTGAATCCTTGTGCATTGACGGATTGCGAACAGAATTTGGTTCTCGGTTTGCTGGTCTTTTCTTTTAGTTCCTGTATTTTTTATGTCATTTTTATATTCCTTTTAGTTGTATTTATACTTTTTACATATATACTGTACATATCATTATTATTGTTATTATTATTACTATTATTATTATTACTATTATTATTATTACTATTATTATTATTACTATTAGTATTATTACTATTATTATTATTACTATTATTATTATTACTATTATTTTTATATAAATAAAAAAAGGGTGGGTGAGAGGGTAAAAAAAATAGCGTTGTTCCTTTCTTTTTAAGAGTACTATCGAGTTGCCATTAACTTGTACTTTTATTTATCGTCAAGAATGTAACGACATGATAAAGTAATATGATCACTATGGGAAAAGCAATATCAGATTTCCGACATTTTACGGAATCCTTTTCGTATTTCCTAAATCTATTCAGTATTTTCTGAAATGAAGCTCGTTTGATTTCGTTTTCCAATTCTTTCATGAAACATTTCATTTGAAAATGAAATCAATGTCATAAACCCAAAATAAATTTCCTATCATAAAATCAATTCCGGAAATATGAACTTCATTTTATTTTACAAAAACCAAATTTAGATTTCCTCAATTGATTTCGTCTTGAAATAAAATGGATCTCGTAAAAATGGAATGCATTTCAGGTACAAAATCAAAGAGAAAAAGAATGGTAAGTCGATTCAAAGTCAGTCATTAGCATAAAGGGAAAATCCACTCTATTTCCTTTCTTCGCTTTTCTTTCTTGTTTAATTCACTTGTTTTTTTTTAACATGACAAACTGTAGCTCATTCTGTGCCCTCCATATTCCCACAAGCATTATCAAGCCAAATATTGGTTGAAGAACACTTTGGATACCATTACCGTTTAGTAATGAATTAAAAGAATTGGTGCGATTCCTGATAGAAGAAGTGGTAGAAATCACAAAAACATCTTGAAACAAAAAGTACAAGAGGTGGCTCATCTTATTTTTTTTTCTATTTGGTTGGACTCTCTTTCTCTCTCCCTCTCATTGTGGTGTTGTTTTCTTCAAGATCTTTCTTCCTGCATTGTTGGTCTTTGTCCTTTGTTTTTTCCCACTTGATATAGTGTTTCCCTATTATCATTCTCTCTCGTGGTCTTAGGCTACTGCCCCTGTTCTTTTGGTTATCTCCATTCTCTTTGACAAAAAGTCAACAACGTATACTATACGTGAAGTACTTTTGGTTATCTCTTTGGTGTTGGTTTTTATGATTGGTATATCAATATCGGCGCCTGATGTAGCCAAGGTAATATGTATACATAAAAGAAAAAAAAAGTGAATAAATCGATGGATTACTACTCACTGTGTTTATTTTTTTTTTATTATCTGTTAGATATCAGGATAGCGGTCTATACAATCAAATGTCGGATGGTCATCATTACTTTATACTTAACATTTGGTCAAGCGAAGATCATGGTGTATTGATCTTTGTTTGTTTACGGGCAATGGACTTGGTCGAGGATGATCAATTTCTAGAATCGTTTATGAATCTAGTGACTGAATTTTGTGCTCAAGTAGGTGGAGGGCAAAATGCAACACGTAGGAAATTCAGTTATTGTCTGTTGATCGTGTTGTTTCATACCGGAATCCTTGTAAGTCCTGACATTTGCGTTATTTGGTTTGGAAAGATTATTGAGGATCATGTCAATGACTGATAGTGGAGCGCTACACGTAAGACGATACAACTATCTTTCTTGATGATCTGAAATTGTCTGATATCTGCATTTGGCAAGCCTTTATTTCTCTCCGAGCCAACTGTTATGATGACATTGGATTTACTGGTGGTACAAAACATTCGATGATGCAGCCAAGGTAACTTGTACATAGAAAAAAAAAAAGAAAAAGAAATAAACATTGATGGATTACTACTCATTTTGTTGATTTTATCTGTAGCTTGCTAGATTATCGTCTATACAATAAAGATGATGCAAACATTCAATGATATAGCCAAGGTAACATTTATATAGAAAGAGAAAAAGAAATAAACATTGATGGATTACTACTCATCTTGTTGATTCTATCCATAGCTTGCTAGATTCTCGTCTATATAATAGAGATGACGCAAACATCCAATGATATAGCCAAGGTAACATTTATATAGAAAAAAAAAGAAAAAAGAAAACAAAAAGAAATAAACATTGATGGATTACTACTCATTTTGTTGATTTTATCTGTAGCTTGCTAGATTATCGTCTACATAATAATGGTGATGCAAACATTCAATGATAAAGCCAAGGTAACATTTATATAGAAAAAAAAAAAAGAAAAGAAAAAGGAGTGATGTTGATGGATTATGATGGATTACTGCTTGTTAATTTTATCTGTAGGTTGCAAACTATACAATCAAGCCAAGATCGACTCGCTTCAAATAAAATAGTTATACACAAAGTGAAAGTCATGATCATTATCTTGGAGGTGGTATAAGTTGGTCCTGGTCGTACTGGTGAACGTTATCCTTATAGTGTAGATATTTATTACTATAGTTATGTAGTATAGTTATGTAGTATGGCTATATCAATGAAATAAAATCCCTTTCTTGTCTATAATGGCCGATGACTGTATATTGTTGTACTCTGAACTTAGGTTTTCTGGAATCAAATTTAATTTACTTTGAAAACGACTGAATGCATTTCAGAAAAATCAGAAATGAAGAATGTCTGTATTAAATCGAGTCAGGAAACAAAATAAACGTATTTAGGAAAAATAAATTTTATTTCAGATCTTTTCTCATAGTGATATAGTGATATAGTCAAAAAAAAAGTGAAGTTAGAAATAAGAAGAGGGAGAGCACTTGTTTTTGAAACTTACAACTAATAAGAGTGAGTGTCTGTAAAAGCACATAGAGAAAAGGATATAGTAAAGAGGTTGGAATGATTCGTGTATAAAAGGAAGGAAAGGTTAAAAAGAACAGAATCATTATTTCTTTTGTTGCACTTCAATCGTCATATCCGTATCTAGAGTATAGATTCAAATAAAAGAAAGATGAGATCAACATCATATAACATGGTGGTATAATGAAATGAACTTATCTTAATAAACATGAGTAATATAGCATATAACAGTTTAAAGATACTTGCGTTCACTTGTTTTGTCTAGACGCCATTGCACAGGCGATAAAAGAGAATGATTAAGTCAGTTCATGAATACAATGGTATTATAAAAGTCTTTTTCTTTTATTATTATTCTCATACCTGCTTTAGTTTGTATTAAAAGATAAATGTATAACATACAAAAAAAAAATTGTGACAAAAAGGAAAAGAAAAAGAAGTGAAAGGGAATGGAAAAAAAAATTTTATAACAGAACTATTTTTACACCATCATGCGATTTTTTCAGGGCGCGCTCAGATTAAAAACGACACGATCACACCAATAATATAGATATAAAATTGGTTTTTATTAAATCATCAAACAGAAAATATAAAAACCAAACTAAACTAAACTGTCATCATCATAGTTATTGACGTTGTTTTTGCTGTCGTATATTCGCCATCATTTGTCCAATGTTTTGCGCAAAGGACTTTTCAGCTTCAGAAGTGATTGTGAGGTGATGTCTTGCGGCAAATTCACGTACTAATAGTCGATAATCATTGGTTTCATAAAATAGAAGCACTGCACTAACACCAGGATGCAATTCAATGTTGAGCTGTAAAAACACTTTGACAGCAGGCTTGACAGATTCAGGATCGGATAATGAGACGGTACCATCAACCGTTGTTGGTGATGGAGCAGAAGCAGCAACAACTGGAGAAGGAGTAGCATATCTGGAAGCGGCAGTTCCACAACGAGAAGAAAAAACCGAGGTTGGTGATGATTGAGCTTGAGGAGTTGGTGGGTCTACTTTTGGTGTATACTTCCAAGTACCAAGGCCACTTTCTTCCCAGAACGGTGTAGTTACTAACTCTGTAGTTCCCCAGACAGAATTCTTTGGAGGAGGCCGTCCAGCAGTAACGTGTTTAGTATCAGGCACCATGTTCAGTTATAAAAAAATACAGTATTAAAACTTATTTGTATATAAAATGAAGCAAAAAAAAAAAAAAAAAAAAAAAAAAAAGAGGAATAAGGAATTTGATGTCCCTTTTATATGAATGTCATTCGATTGGGATCAAGCGCTGCCAAAAAGGAAAGGCATCCTGGTCATTTTTCTTTGTTCTTTTTTTGGATGATCTCTATATTCTTTCTAAAAAACTGAAGGAGAAAAATATTTCATTGTTCCAAAGCGTACACTAGCATCCGATGAAGGGTGAAGAATGGCGATTGCAACAGCATAATAGAGATAATTCCGTCATACTATTGAGAATCACTTTGATGGCATAGTAAAAAAAAAAAAAAAAAAAAAAAAAAAAAAAAAAAAAAAAAAAAAAAAAAAAAAAAAGAATAGAGAAAACGTTCACGTTAGGAAAAAGATCAAGCTGAATCATGAATTGTAACAGTCTAATGTTAAAAATACGAACTTTGAAAATCACTCTGCCTATAGCCTAACATTAGTAATATAAAATGATCAAGAAACATCGAAAAGCTGTTACTCTATGATGATCAATGATATTCACAGAAAATAGAGGCATGAAATAAGTGATCTCTATATTATTGTGTTACCAAAATAAAAGAAGAAAATAAATCACTCCTGGTAATCGGACTAAAATAAGGGATGGAAATAAATCCAGTATTACGTATTTCTCAGAATAGTGCAAGATAGTTTGTCTAGTAACTCTTTTTAATAAAAAAAATAATATAAGGATACCCTCTAGTTCTTACTCTGTCCCATTTCCATTTTAGTATCTATATGCACCGAGGCTAACAGTTTCCATCAGTATTTACCGTTTTTTTTTTTCTTTCTCTTTGCATGTAAGTCGAATTAAAAAGGAAGACATGTGATCCAAAAAAAAAAAAAATAAGTTTAAGACAGTTCAGCTTGTATGTGCGCTGCATTATTTTCATTGTCTTTGTATGCACGTTTCTTCTATTTTTTTTTTTGAAAAAAAAGTAAAAGGAGGTGATTAACCAGTATTATTCTATTGATATGCTCTCTAACGTATATGATGATTCAGCGATATACAATAACTCCATTCATTTTGAAGGTAGAAAATAAAAATAAAACGTTGACGATGAATATCAATCCATGGAAAATGAATCGATTGCCTTGTCTTTTTTATTCCCTATTTCTGGTTTTCAACGAAGATAGGGAAACTATTCACGAAACCAGTGGTATCGATGTCAGCTTTTTATGTATCCATTCCACATATCATGTAATCATCATCATCATCATCATCATGTTTTCTTAGATAATAATGTTAACAGATAAAAAAACTAATTCATATCCTTTGTTAAATATACCTGTATATAAAAAGGTATTGAATCCATAATTGGTTGATTTGCAGGATTGTTTAGACAAACTCCGATCAAGTAGACATAAAAAAGTCTTTGTTCCCTTTTTTTTCCTTTCTTTCTTTCTTCCTTTCTTCCTTTTCTTTACTTTACTTTTTTATACGTTTTATTATCAATCAAATATGATGGCTCAAGCATTCAACCGAAATTTGACTCAATTTGTTATGCGTCCCGGTGTTGGTGAAGTGGGTACACCAGTACGTGTACGAAGCAATTTCTTTGAAGTGACTACTCTTCCAGCCCAAAATATATATCATTTTAATGCACAAGTCTTACCCGACGGTTATCCTCCTGCTGTTCTCAGAAAGGTGTGGCATTACTTTGAAGATAGTGAAATAGGTCAAATATTCCTTAACGGCACCAAGGCGATATATGATGACCATTCAAATCTTTTTTCATCTATTCCTCTACAATGTGGTTGCAATAATCTTGGAGTATCCTTTGAAGTAAGTTCACTTAAAAATACCTTCTCGATACCACCTTTTTTTTTATCATATATTATTATCTCCTCCGATCATCCTTTTTCATTAGTTCTGTCATATTCATCATTGTTCTCGTTTATAGATCAATCTTCAACAAGGAAACCGTTCTGATGGCAATTTTAAGCTAAATATCAAGCCTATGGGTATAGTGAGCATGCATGAACTACAGTTCTTCTTGGATGGCAGGATTGGTCTCACCAATAACTGTTGCACTGGTAAGAAAAAAAAAGCATATTATCATCATCTTGTATTTTCTTTTCATTAACCTTTGGTTTCCTTTTTTTTTAAAAAAAAAATGCACAGCCATCAAGTTTCTTGATGTTCTATTTCGCCAAGTTCCCAGCTTGATGTATCCAACTATCGGTCGTTCTTTCTTCAATTCTCAAGACAAAATTCTTTTATCCAATGGCGCTGAATTATGGCAAGGCTTCCACCAATCTACTCGTCCCACTCAGGGTAATATATATTATATAGATATATCCTATGATTTTTGTTAATGTTTTTTTTATTTCATTTTTATAGGTAAAATAATGGTCAATGTTGATGTCAGTGCTACTGCTTTCTATGAATCTGGTTCCCTTCATGAAATGTTACCCAAGATACTTGACCGCCGCAGTCTTGATGATCTTCGTCGTGGTATTCCTGATCGTGAACGTATCAAAGTTGAAAAAATACTCAAGAATCTCGAGATCGTTGTTGTCCATCGTGGTGCTGAAAAACGATTGAAGTACAAGATTAACAAGCTCACTCCTACTTCTGTTGAAAATACTGTATTCAAGGATGATCTTGGAAATGAAATGACTGTTGCTCAATACTTTCAAAAGACTTACAATAGACGTTTGGCCTTTCCTTTCTTACCCTGTGTTGTTGTCAAGAAAGATATATTTTTGCCTATGGAAGTTTGTGAAGTCATTCCTGGCCAACGCTATACGCAGAAATTGAATGAAAAACAAACTGCCGAGATGACCAAGTTTATTTACCAGAAATCCAATGTCCGTGCCAACAAGATCAATCAATTTGTCAATCTTCTCAAATACAAGGATAACCCATATATTCAACAATTTGGTGTTAATGTCAAGTCTGATATGGCTATGATCAATGCTCGTGTTCTTCCTCCTCCAAAGATCTCTTATCATGCTTCATCTCAAGATGCTACTTTTACTCCTACAGGTGGTGCATGGAACCTTCGTGACAAGAAACTCGCAAAGGGTGTCAATTTGGGTTCGTGGTCTGTTGTCAATTTTGCAAGCAAAGTACATGATGATATGATCCAACGTTTTATCCGTGAACTATGTCAAACGTTCCTTGATACTGGATTGGTAAGCTCGTTTTTCCTTTTTTTTTAAAAAAAATAATAATAATTGAAAATCATGAGGAGTACTAACCTTTTTTTTTTTCTTTTATTAAAAATATAGAATGTCATCAACCGCAATCCACCTATTACTCATGCTAATCCTCAAGGCAATATCGAACGTACTCTTAAAGAAGCTTGGTTGAAGGCTGGTAATGCTGCCAAGGCTAAACCTCAATTGATATTCTGTATCTTACCCAACACTGGTGTTCCTCTCTACGCTGAAATCAAACGCATTTGTGACACAGGTAAAAAAAAAAAAAAAAAAAAAAAGGTGATGATGATGATCTTCATAACGTAATCTCACATCTTTTTTTTTCTATATAGTTATTGGTATTCCTACTCAATGTGTCCAAAGTGAGCATATTGGTGATCCCAAGAAACATTATTGTGCCAACGTATGTTTGAAAGTGAATATGAAGCTTGGTGGTATCAACTTGTTTATGGATCGTTCCCAGATTCCTTTTATCTACAGCAGAAACACTATCGTTTTTGGAGCTAAAGTCACTCATCCTGCCCCTGGTGATATGAACAGACCTTCCGTTGTTGCTTTGACTGCTAGTATGGATTGCTCAAGTTATGAATCTACCGTCCGTATACAAGCTAAGAATACTGAAATAATTGCTGATTTAGCCAATATGGTCAAGGAATTATTGCAAAGGTTCTCTCAAGATCGCAGACGTAGGCCTCAGCAGATCTTGCTTTACCGTGGTGGGATTTCTGAATCCCAGTTTGATCAAGTGCTCAAGAACGAAGTTGCTGCCATCCATGCTGCCTGTGCTTCCTTGGATAAGACTTACAAGCCTCCTCTCACCTTTGTGGTTGTTCAAAAACGTCATCATGCTCAGTTCTTCCCTGTTGGGCCCTATGACACTGATCAAAGTGGCAACTGCCGACCGGGTACTGTTGTGGATACCGATATCGTACATCCCTTTGAATTTGATTTTTGTAAGTATTCAGATGATTACATGTATTAGGATGATATATTAATTTTTTTTTTTTTTTTAGATTTGCAATCCCATGCTGATGTCCAAGGTACTTCTCGCCCTACTCGCTACCACGTCCTTTACGATGACAACAATTTTTCGTCCGATGATCTCCAAAAACTTACCTACCACCTTTGTTATATTTCTGGCCGTGTCACTCGGTCTGTTTCTAAATGTCAGCCATTATATTATGCTGATTTGGCCGCTACTCGTGCTCGTCTCCATTGCAAGGGTGAAAACTGGGAAGATACTGATGCTGCTAGCGAATCGATGAATAGTGGTGCTCAAACGGCTAGATTTGCTGTCGTCAAGCCTGATTTACAAAAAGTCATGTATTATATGTAAACGTATAGTTTAGTTTTCATTTTCATTTTATTCTTTATTTTTATTATGTGGCTTCTTTTTTGTCTCTCAATAAATTATTTTCTACTTTTTGACAATGTGTCGTATCAGCGTATTTCGTAACCATATGCGTAAAATAAAACTAAAGAATGCATTCACAAATAAAGAATAAAAAATACATTGTAAGATGGAATCAATTACATTGACGTGTAACAAAGTAGTTGGAATAAAAATAAAGGTTTTATTAAATAAAAATATAACTATTAAAGACTACTAATTGATATACTATAACTAAAATTGTTATAAAGAAAGGAAAGAAAGAAAAGAAAATAAAAATTACCGCATATCTAAAAATTAAAAAATAAAAATACGGACTTTGAAAGTTAGCATGCTCATGATCTTTTTGATACTATCAAGAAAGATATATATCAATGTATAAACGCTTCAGGGCAACTAATATAATGAATCACTACACATATGATGATTCATCACATCAATGAAAAATAGAATACTAATAAAATTATACTCTCTGTATAACAGTATTACAAATTAAAATAAAAAAGAAAATAAAATAAAATTTGGTCACTAATCTTAAATATGGTGTAATCATACCAGTATTACGTATCACTCACTACGTACTTATATATAAGACCATCAAAACTTTTTGTGTAGATACTTTGTCTCTTTTTTCAATCATCTTCAAAAATAAAAAGAAATCTCACAGACTTGTTCTCGTCCCTCTTTTTTTTTATTTTTTTATCTTATATTATTATCATCAATTACCACCAACATCACACAATGTTACATCGGAGATTTCTCCTACCTAGGCTAGAAAGCATATCATAGGTGGATTTACCTTTTTTTTTTTGTAATAAACATAATTATTAAGTCAAATAGCTAGAATTTAGGACTTCTATATAGAGTTGAATAAAAATTGGTTTTCTAGGTAGAATTTAGGGATTCTATGTAGAGCTGAATAAGAAATTGGGTTCCTAGTCCTAATTTGGAAGGAGGTGTTTTGCCCACAGGCTCGCTGTGCGAAAATTATGCATTGCCAAATAAAAAAGGACGTTTGTTTATTTTTCTTTTTCTTCTTCTTATTTTATTTTTATCACATTATTGTTCTTCTTTTTTTTCTTTCTGTTATACTTTTACCTTTTAAGACAAATCAAAGTAAGGTATGGAAATAATAATAAAAGATTGTTTATACATATATCCATTGTATTCATGAACTGACTGAATCATTCTTTTTTGCTGTGTGTGTTTATACCTTTTAGTTAACAAGTGTACACAAGTATCCTTAACCTGTTATATTAGTTATGTTTAATAAGGTAAATCCATTTCATTATGCCACCAACGTTATATGATATTGATCTCATCTTTCTTTTATTTGAATCTATATTCTAGATACAAATATGACGATTAAAGTAAGACAAACAAAAAAAAAGATACTGTTTTTTTCTAACCTTTTCTTCTTTTTATACATGAATCATTCCAACCTCTTTGCTATATGCTTTTTTCTATGTGCTTTTACAGACACTCACTCTTATTAGTTGTAAGTTTCAAAAACAAGTTGTTTTCCCCTTCTTATTTCTAACTTCACTTTTCTTCTTTTTTCTTTTACACACGTTCTTTCGACCTTGATGTTTTTACTACAACATCCGTCCATCTAGGATTATCGTTCTTTCTTCTTCTCATCCTTCTTACTTGGCGTCTTGGACAATGACTATTACTGAATATAGGTCTGAAAGAAAGAAAGAAATCTAGATACACGATGATTGATCATTATAATTTCATGTCAATAGGATACTACGAGAAGTGGCTATCCGTCTGGATCAACAAAATGGATGAAGAGGATGTATTATAGGATTCAATTGGATTCGACATACAATCAATTAGAGATATCTTCTTGGTCTTTTTATCTTATTCTGGCTTAAAGCATTTGTGATTCTTTTTACTAGTATCATACTTAGTATATCAATTATACACATTTACATTCTTTTTATTTAATAAAATTATATTCATTGTCACTATTTACAATCATTACTTTTTTTCTTAATGTTGTCTATCATTTCCTTTCAGACAACTGTTCCTTAAATAAATTAAATGATAGCTGAATCCAAGCTTAAGAGAATCAAGTTAGATGAAAAAAGGAAATATATTATGAAGTTGTTCTCTTTTTTATATATTTTTATCACTTTTTCTTTAATATCAAAAACTAACCTTACTTCTTTGTAAATACTTTACTTTCATTAGTATATTACAACATATTCTTTCTCTCTATTATATATTACTTCGGTACGTTGCCATGTACCTAGTCGGACTTTTCGTTACATTTTTATTTATTTATTTCGTTTCCTAACAATTTTCTTTTTCTACCTTCTCTTTCCTTTTCTCCACACTTTTTTTTTTTACTCCTCCGCACTTTGTTCGTGTCTCCATATTGGCTCATGATAGGTAACATATAAAATACAATGACAAGTAATGGATTCTTATTCTATTATTGCCAATTTTAAAAAAAAAATAGTCCTACCCAAAGTGCAAGTCATGATCGTCGTCCTGGTGATGGCATCAGTTGTGATTCTGGTCGAAGTTCATGGATATTATCGATTATAGTCTGGTTACTTATTATTATAGTTATGTAGTATAGTTATGTAGTATAGAATATTTGTAGTGATGAAATAAAATTATGATTTCAATAGTATATTTGTACTGATCAAATGAAATTCCTTGTTCTGGAGGTCGACCATACCTATATTTCAACCATAATAGTATCCTACATAGCATTAGAATATTTTTGTCATAGATTTATTGAAGTCAAACATTTTTATTATTTCTAGTTCTATCTATTTAAGTGGGGCGACCTAGAAGTCCTATAATGCATATCTAGGCTAGAAATTGTATAGGATTCTCCTAGACGTCATAGTAAATTTTTCCGATTTATATTTCAGTTTGTAAAGGAAGAGAAAGGGGAAAATCCTATATAATATATACAAAATAGAGAAATAGTATAGGAGGATTGGGTGAAATAAAGATTATCAATAAATAAATAAATAAATAAATAAATAAATAAATAAATAAATAAATAAAGCAAATAATAGCACAAAAAAAAAAAAATGGAGGAGATAGGAGAAAGTCCAAAAAGTAAAAACGAACACATATATAAAAAGGTATATCATTCAATGGAAGTGAATCTATAGAATACACTTGAACACCCAGGCATGTTGATTTTGATCCAATAGAATATTCGGAATATCGTTGATGATGGAAACAGTGATCTGTTGTTCAAGCACAGTCGTCCATGGTAAAGAAGCCGTGTTGTTTTGACCATTCAATAAAGTGATTGTACTTGATGATTGTAAAGGAAGTGGTGTTCTGAGCATCAGCTGATTATCCTTGTTGTTGTTGTTCTGGATAAAGACAGATCGATCCAATACAATGATATAAAATAAACTACCTTGATGACCCATCATAAACCGAACATCCTTGTCTTGAGTGGTCATCCAATAAGGATCTGCATCGAATACACTGATTCCATTTTGATCCAACCAAGCACCTATATCATGCAATCTTTCCACCATCGTATGAAAAATATCACCTGTAGATGTCGGTCCAATGTTCAATAAAAAGTTTCCACCCATCGACGCTGCATCTATTAGTTCATGGATCAACTGTGTGCTGCTTGCATAATCTTCAGGTGGCGTAGCTTGATTAAATCTTTATCAGATCAGTGACATACAAAAAAAAAAAAAAAAAAAAAGAAAAGAAAAAGACTTGTCAGATTTTGCGACAAAAAAAAAAAAAAAAAAAAAAAAAGACCGAGAGGCACGTCCCATTTGTTTTTTTTTTCTTTTTCTAATTTTTTTTTTTTACCCTTGTGAAGCTTGATGTACTTTTTTACCGTCCAGACCCAACATACGAGGTATACTTGGTCCTGTAAGATCAACGTCCAATACACCGACTTTGAATCCTTTATCCACTAAACCAAGAGCTAGTTGTGTAGTCACCGAGGATTTACCAACACCACCTTTTCCAGAAAGTACGAGAATAATATGTTTGATATTTGATAAATTGATATCTGACATTGATGACTATGTTGAAATAAAAAAGAGAATAAAGAAAGAGAATAAAAAAAAAAAAGAAAAAAAAAAAGAGCTTAGTCAGAGACGGAATATGAAAATTCCATACTCACATCTTTTAGAAATGATACGGTAGTTTCTTCCTTTTTTTTTTCCCTTAATTCTCTTTCTTTTTTTCCCATTTGAATAGTTCTTCTTCATGGTTGCCACTCGTACTTCTCAAACACCTACAAATGATAATAATACATCACATGATTTATCTTCGTCAGATCAACCTGAATCTTCTTCCACCACCACCACCACCACAACAACAACAACAACTGGACGTTCTCCTTCTACCAGAAAACCAATTTCTAAAAGACCTATGACAAAAAAGAAATCCACCACCAAAGTTTGCAGTAGTAGTGCCAAACGGTAAAAAAAAAAAAAAAAAAAAAATGATATGTAATATAACTTATATTTTTGAATAGAATTGCAAAAGAATTAGCTGAAATCTCTCTAGATCCTCCTTCCAACTGCAAGTAAGTTTGAACTGTATTTTTATTTGATAGTAATATTAATAATGATTCTTATTTATAGTGCTGGACCTAAAGGTGACGACTTGTTTGAATGGGTATCTACTATTGCTGGTCCTGAAGATTCTCCTTATGCTGGTGGCATCTTCTTTTTAGATGTTCATGTAAGTAGGAACTCAAGACATAAAAATTTAGACTAATATTCATTTTATAACTTTAGTTTCCTCCTGAATACCCTTTTAAAGCACCTAAGGTATATATATGCATAGCAACAAAATTACAAAAAAAAAAAAAAAAAAAAAAAAAAAAAACAAATGATGAACCTATTTTTTTTTATTATGATTGTTTTGTAGATTACCTTCAGAACACGGATTTATCATTGCAATATCAATAGTCAAGGGGCGATTTGTTTGGATATCTTGAAAGATAATTGGTCACCTGCATTAACTATCTCCAAAGTATTGTTATCCATTTGTTCATTATTGACTGATGCGAATCCACGTGAGTTTATTACAAAAAAAAAAAAAAAAAAAAGAATACATAGGTAACTAAAAAATCAAATATTTATAGATGATCCTTTGGTTGGATGCATTGCTCAAGAATATCTCCTTGATCGTGAAAAACATGATCGTACTGCAAGAGAATGGACAAAACGGTAAAAAAAAAATAATAGTGATATATATGATCAACTTAATAATAATGAATTTGTTTTTTTTTTTATTGATTATAGTTACGCATGTTAAAGAACTTTTTATCAACACCCATTCACCTATAGTTTAGTACAACTTATTATTTTTCCCCATATTTTTTTTTTTTTTTTTACAAATAAAAAAAGAAAAAAAGATTTATTGTTTCATGTGATCTGGTGATATAAAAGAAGAACTCGGAACGGAAGAAGTCGGTTTAATGAATATCAATCGGAAAAGAGGAGTTGTCAAAAAAAAAAAAGTTGATTTGAAGTATAAAAAGAAAGGGAAAGAAGAAAATGCAGTTGAAACGAATAATAAAGATATTTAGAGAAGTTGATTTTTTTTTCTTTTTTTTTTTTTTGATTAAGATAGATAGATAGATAGATAGAATGACGACACTGAATTGATGATGATGGATAATGATGAATGAATGAATTCATCGGAGTTCCCAGGTCCCATACGTTGATTTTCTTAGTGGTGAATGGATGAATTTTTGTTGGGTATCAAAAATAGGAGTCCCCAAGAAGGGCAATAGTGTTACACAAGACAACAAAAATACTCGGGGACACTAAAAAAAAAAAAAAAAATGGGTGATGTAGTCATTTTGAAAAGCGCACATAAAAAAAAAAAAAACGCGACCCTAGTTGATTTTTTTTTCCTTTCTCTTCTTCTCTTTTTTTCTTTCTTTTTCCTTCAAAAAGTTCTTTTTTTTTCTCTCTCTATTATATATATATAATCATCATGGGTATTCTCGATATTGTTCCTGCTGGTGTCATTGTTGGTGACGATCTTCGTAAACTCTTTGAATACGGTAAAAAACTAATAATACAAATATATATATATATATTTTCATCATCATTATTATTATGATTATTAACAAACATTTCTTCTTTTTTTTTAAAAAAAAAAACAAAATAGCTCGTGAACATAAGTTTGCTATTCCTGCCATTAACTGTACTTCTACTAGGTAAATAATCATATTATATTTTGTTGTTGGGGACCAAAAAGGATGATAAAAGAAAGTGCGGGGGATCACGCGGAGTTCAAGTGGATACTGATCAATGATATAATCTTATTATCTTAGCACCATCAATGCTGCTCTTGAAGCTGCTCGTGATATCAAATCTCCTATCATCATTCAATTCTCCAATGGTGGTGCCGCTTATATTGCCGGTAAGGGTTTGAGTAACAAGAATCAAGAAGCCTCTGTTATCGGTGCCGTTGCTGGTGCTCAAGTAAGTCATTTTTTAATAAAAAAATAAAATGAAAGGTACTCATATTATTATTATTATTCTTTTAGTATGTCCGTGCTGTCGCTAAGGCTTACGGTATTCCTGTTGTTCTTCACTCTGATCACTGTGCCAAGAAGCTTCTCCCTTGGTTCGATGGTAAGTTAAAAAAAAGAAAAGAAAATTGTTGGTGATCAATAGTGAATAATAACAAATTTATATTTTTAGGTATGCTTGCTGCTGATGAAGAATACTTCAAGGCCAATGGTGTTCCTTTGTTCTCCTCTCACATGTTGGATCTTTCTGAAGAAAGTAAGGAAGAAAACATTGAAATCTGTCTCAAGTACCTCAAGCGTATGGCACCTATGGGATGTTTGTTGGAAATGGAAATTGGTATCACTGGTGGTGAAGAAGATGGTGTTAACAACGAAGATGTTGACAATGCTGCTCTTTACACTCAACCTGAAGATATCTGGGATATCTATCAAGCTTTCTCCAAGGTCACTGATCTTTTCTCCATTGCTGCGTAAGTATAATATAATAAGAGTGTGTTAGAAAGGTTTATTCAATGGATTTTTTTATTTTATTAGTGCCTTTGGTAATGTCCATGGTGTTTATAAACCTGGTAACGTTCACCTTCATCCTGAATTGTTGGAAAAACATCAAGCTTACGTTGCCAAGCAACTTGGTGGTGAACAAACCAAGCCTGTGTACTTTGTCTTCCATGGTGGTTCTGGTTCTACTGAACAAGAAATTGCTACCGCTGTTAGCAATGGTGTTGTCAAGATGAACGTTGATACTGATACTCAATGGGCTTATTGGGTTGGTTTGAAGAACTACTATGAAGAAAAGAAGGATTACCTCCAAGCTCAAGTTGGTAACCCTGATGGTGCTGATAAACCCAACAAGAAGTACTATGATCCTCGTGTGTTTATTCGGGAAGCTGAAAAGACTATGATCAAGCGTGTCCAACAAGCTTGCAAGGATTTGGGAAATGTTGACGTTTTGTAAATAGATAATTATAGTTTTTAGTCGTTCTCTTTTTTTTTTTAGTTTTAGTTTTTTCTTAGTCATTAGTAGTTACTATTTATGAAATAAAAATATCCAAATGAATCATCAATGTTTGTTTTTTTTTTTTTTTACTTTATTATTGTAGTATGGACTTTGCATCACAAAGAATTTATTTAGGATCGTTTTATTTGAATAGGATGCATAAACAATTATTGCCTTTTATGAAATCTTGACAGAAATCGATTCAATGGTTACACGTACGTGTCATTTTTCTACAAACACTTAACAACTTGTCATGTTATGTTATATTTTTTATTCTGGAATGGATCATGTGTGTATATAAGAAAAAGGATTGTGACATTATACTGTAGCAACATCTTCATATAGCCATCGTTCATTTCTATCATCACATATATTTAGACTACGCTTCTTCCCCTTTTTTTCTTTTTTTTTTTTTCTACAATATATAATTATTTTCTTTTTACTTTTCCTTTTTTTAAAAAAAAAAAACAGAATTTCTCCTTTCTTCCCTCTTTTTTTTTTTAAAAAAAAAAGAAAATCTCCTTTGTATGACTCCCACTACTGCCCCCAGTATATTAATAAAAAACCAATTACTATTATTTTTCTTCTACTTCCTATTATTTCATGTCATTGAATCAACATGGATACCATTAGATCTGGAATCTCATTTCAACCATCGTGCTTTTGGTCAAGATGCCAATGTCGATGGTCTTGGACAACACTATATACCCAAACAGAATGAACCTAAACAATTGATGGTAGGTGTGCCTTTCAAGAATGCCATTGACGGGATTCAAAACGACAATATATGTATCCAAGGGACCGATCAATCATGGATTCAATTATCACAACAACAATCAATGGGTGCGCTTTATCTCTTGGTATCCTCTTCTCATGGTCCCGTAGTGACTGATATCCAGGTCAAATATCAAGATGATTCCGTTTCCGTGTCTCGTTTGGTCATCCCTGATTGGCAACAAGAACAAGATCCTCATCAAGTGGAAAAATGGGAGATGATCACTCGTCCTGTTTCCAACTCTCAACAACTTGGTGGACTTTATTCCATACCAGTGTACCTTGATCCGGCCAAAACTCCAATTTCTTTGATGATCACCATTCCATCCGTCCTTTCCACTTCCTCTTTTTCCCGGGGTAATAATGGTAATATTCAGAAAGAAACAAAAACAACAACTACGACAGGACTATTTGCACCTTCCATTCATGTGTTTGCCGCCACCGTCATGACAAGTACAAACGCATTACAGATGACGGCCGCACGTGCTACTCGACGTTTTTGGAATCAAGATGCAGCTTTGATCCCGGTATTATTAGTCCGTCTTCACAACATTGGTCCTTTGGCTATGATGACACCTATTTCCGTGACAGCTACAAGTCGTTCTATCCGAACTATTCATCCTGGTTCACTTGATCATTTGGCTCCTGGACATGTTGCTTCTTTGGATATTGGTATTGAAGTGGCTCCTATGAATGATGATATGGATAATATACGTATTCAAGTCATCACAGCAGATAAGATCATTTTGGACGAAACGATTCAACTCTCATTATCACTTTATCATTCTGAACCTTATGAACCAACCAAAACGTAAAAAAAAAAAAAAAAAAAAAAAAAAAAAATCACAGGAACAAGGACAGTTGACATAAATTTTTATTTAATAGCTCATTACAACAACATCAGGCGCCAACGTGGTATCAACAAGCTAAATTTGGGATTTTTATTCATTGGGGTTTATATAGTATACCGGCATGGGCACCGGTCGGCAAGGAATATGCTGAATGGTATTGGTGGCAAATGAATCATCCCGACGACCCTACTTTTGATCATCATCGTCAACGTTTTGGAACAGCCTTTGCTTATGATGATTTTATTCCAATGTGGCAACCTACATCTTTTGATCCTCGTACTTGGTTGGATTTGATTAATACGTCAAGAGCCAAATATTTTGTGTTCACTGCTAAACATCATGATGGGTTTGCTTTATTTGATACGTAAGTCCTTAAAGAAAAATATTAAAAAGGTGAAGAAACGTGACCTGCTGACACACACGCACACACGCACACACAAAAAAACTGACTGACTGACTGACTGACTGACCGTCATGGTCTTTTTTTTTTTTTTTTTTTTTTTAGCAAAGTAACAAATAGGTCATCGGTCCAACTGCAACCTCATCGTGATTTTGTTCATGATTTGATCAATACTTCGAAAGAATACTATCCACATCTGAAACGAGGCATTTACTGCAAGTCAAAAGAACAAGAACAAAGATCATGTGATCACATGGTTATACTTTGATCTATACTAATTCTCATTTTTTTTTATAGTCTCCATGCCAGAATGGTATCATCCAAGTTATCATGACAATGATCTTTCTGATTGGCACGGTCCTCCTTTTAATCCATATACCAAGCAAGAGATCCCTTACACTGGTAGTCCTCCCATTCATGATTTTGTAAATGAATTGCAACTACCTCAGCTAGAAGAATTGGTCAACAATTATGAACCTGATATAATTTGGTAATCTTTTTCTTTTTATTTATTTTTATAAAGAAGATGGGACAGTCAAGTTCATTCTTTTTTTTTTTTAATGATGCATTAGGTGTGATATTGGTGGGATCAATAATTCATCCATGTGGCAAGCGAAATATTATAATCAGGCAACAAAACAAAATCGTCAAGTCACTATCAATGATCGTTGTGGGAATGGGATTTCTGATTTTACGACTTTGGAATATCAAGAAACATCGACTCCTCCTCCAAGATCTTGGGAAGCTACAAGAGGTATTGATCCACGATCATTTGGGTAAAATTAAAAAAAGAAAAAAAGACAAATGGGACGTGCCTCTTGGTCTTTTTTTTTTTTTTGTCGCAAAATCTGACAAGTCTTTTTCTTTTCTTTTTTTTTTTTTTTTTTTTGTATGTCACTGATCTGATAAAGATTTAATCAAGCTACGCCACCTGAAGATTATGCAAGCAGCACACAGTTGATCCATGAACTAATAGATGCAGCATCGATGGGTGGAAACTTTTTATTGAACATTGGACCGACATCTACAGGTGATATTTTTCATACGATGGTGGAAAGATTGCATGATATAGGTGCTTGGTTGGATCAAAATGGAATCAGTATATTCGATGCAGATCCTTATTGGATGACCACTCAAGACAAGGATGTTAGGTTTATGATGGGTCATCAAGGTAGTTTATTTTATATCATTGTATTGGACCGATCTGTCTTTATCCAGAACAACAACAACAAGGACAACCACCTGATGCTCAGAACACCACTTCCTTTACAATCATCAAGTACAATCACTTTACTGAATGGTCAAAACAACACGGCTTCTTTACCATGGACGACTGCCCTTGAACAACAGATCACTGTTTCCATCATCAACGATATTCCGAATATTCTATTGGATCAAAATCAACATGCCTGGGTGTTCAAGTGTATTCTATAGATTCACTTCCATTGAATGATATACCTTTTTACATATGTGTTCGTTTTTTACTTTTTGGACTTTCTCCTATCTCCTCCATTTTTTTTTTTTGTGCTATTATTTGCTTTATTTATTTATTTATTTATTGATAGTCTTTATTTCACCCAATCCTCCAATACTATTTCTCTATTTTGTATATATTATATAGGATTTTCCCTTTTTTTTCCTTTACAAACTGAAATATATATCCCCGTCTTTCTTTTTTTTTTTTTTTTATTCGTTGTATATTTTGAAATAAATTTTCTCTATCTTTTATATCGATTAACATCCATTCATGCCCATCATCATATCATCCCATGATTATAATACGAGAAGAATCAATCAATCAAACACTTTGCGTTTATTGAATACATACAAAGTAGAAAAAAAAAAGTCTATGCCGAATAATACGGACAACTACAAATCGATCAACGAAAAAATATGGATAAAGAAGACGGATCACATACAAAATTAGTCCTGTTTGATTCCAGAATCATTGACCAAATCTTGCCCTAGTTTCCATACAATCAATCCTGGTACAACGATCCATAATCCATTAGGAATCTTTTTAAAAAAAAATCAGTTTACGAATGCATTCAAGTGTATATATATACTTACAATCCATAAGAAGAAAAGATCAAAAAACGTGTTGTGGCCAATATGATGAAATCCAGAAAAGTATTCAATCAACCAATAGAGCACGGTCTTATTCAAGGTTAATAAAACTGCAGTAAATCCAAATAGGGTCACCTTGCGGGAATTGATAGGTTTGCTCAAGAGATACAAATATACCAAATTCATCGTACTTTCCACCAGATTCAAAAATGCTGATATAGATGGTAATTAAAATAAAAATAAATAAAAAAAAAAAATTTTTTTTGATATTTTACCTTGAGCACCAGTGAATCCATCATTTGCTTCTAATGCTTGAATACCATAGAAATGATCAATCTATAAAAAGATCAAAATAGGAGATTCATTTTTTGATCCCACTTTGTATTCCTCTCACTATTTACCTTTGCATACAAGTTGTAGGGTCGCCATACATAGTTCAAACTTCCTCCTTCCATACTATGAGGGCTATGATTTTGTTCAGACCGGGTTTTCAAGCATATATGTGAGTAAATGAGGAACCAATACATTAGTGAATCACAACCGCGCAGCATTTGCATACACACACACCCATATATACCGAGATCCTTTTTTATTATTGTTGTCATTATCTTACCGAAGTAAACAGTAGGCTGCATCCTAATAGAATCAATAAAAACCAAGTGAATAATATAGATCTGTCAAGTTTCATAACAATAGAAACAATAGCAACATCAGTATTCACTGCATTTACCCAATAGACAACAAGAGAACTGATAAGGAACCAAGCTCGAATCCAAGTAGAAGGAGTACTGGACATTATGAGGGGGAAAGAATAGAAATAGAAGAAAACCGTGAAACGAGAACAAAAAGAAGAAGAAAAAAAAAACGGAAACTAAAAACTTCAATATGGTGTCCAAATATGGAAATACTGGTTACAACTGAACCCAAAATTTCTCTTACTTTTTTTTTTCTTTTCCTTTTCCTTTCAGCAACTAAACTATTTCACACGTACACGCCTTCTATTTTATTTGTAAGACCCACTATGGTAAGTCCTTCAATATCATCGTCATTGTAAAAGAGAAACGACTGACAAAGTCTTTCCTCTTTTCTTTCCTTTTTTTTGATAGGTTTTACAGAATGAACGCACACCTCTTTTACAGAATGATGCCATCATTACTATGGATCAACAACAACAACGACAACAATTGATAAGAAAAAAGGAATCAAGAATAGTATCAGGAATATCTTGGATGTTATGTATCATTCTTTGGACTATTGCTATTACGGTCAATATCATTGGAGGTTTTTTTGTGGAAAAAATCTACTACTAATTATTCTTTATATACATATACCAAAATAAAATAAATAAACGATACTATATTTTTTTATTAACACTATCTACAATTTGAGCACAAATGGTTTGGAAAATGGGGAATAACTGAGATTGTTGGAAAGTATTGACATACGATCCTTCACCTTCTGTTTCAACTGCACTGGTAAAAGCTGGATCAATAGGAACTCGACCAAGGAACGGAATACTGTATTCTTTGGCCATAGATTCACCACCACCTGAGGAGAAGATATTAGTACAATCCTAACAAAAAAAAAAAGTAAGTATTCGTGTATGAGGAAAAAGGGATATGTTTTTTTTTAAAAAAAAAAAAAAAACTTACAGCACAATGAGGACAAATATAACCACTCATATTTTCAACCACACCAAGAATAGGTAATTTAACTTTTCTACAAAAAGAGAGTTCTTTACGCACATCGGCAACAGCAACTGCTTGAGGAGTAGTCACAATCACTGCACCATCAGGTTGAAAAGCTTTCAAATATTCAACTACACCAATATGTTCGTCTGAGGTGCCAGGTGGTGTATCGATCAATAAATAATCGAGATCTCCCCAATATACATCTTGAAGGAATTGTTTGATCATGGCTATCAAGAAAAAAGGAAAAACAATGGAATGAGAATTAAACTCTTTGTATATATATATAGAGTGAATTACCATTCTTTTTTGGACCACGCCATACTACTGAATCGTTCTTACTGGCCAAAAGGAATCCAATAGACATACAAGAAAGTCGTTGATGTTCATCAGCATAAACTGGTACCCAACTATCCAAAATATATATATATGTTATACTCTAACCTTTCTTTTGATTTTTTTTTTTTTTTTTTTTTTTACCCTTGTGAAGCTTGATGTACTTTTTTACCATCCAAACCCAACATACGAGGTATACTTGGTCCTGTAAGATCAACGTCCAATACACCGACTTTGAATCCTTTATCCACTAAACCAAGAGCTAGTTGTGTAGTCACCGAGGATTTACCAACACCACCTTTTCCAGAAAGTACGAGAATAATATGTTTGATATTTGATAAATTGATATCTGACATGATGACTATGTTGAAATAAAAGAAAAGAGAATAAAAAAAAAAAAAGAAGAATGAAGAAAAAAAAAAAAAAAAAAAAGAGATTAGTCAGAGACGGAATATGAAAATTCCATACTCACATACTTTTAGAAATGATATGATTAAGCAAACTGTATGAATAACCCAATCTAACCAATTAGAAAGAGAGTATATGATGATGCATGAATTGAATCATCCTGTTTTAAAAAAAATAATAATAGTTGTAACATTCAAACATCAAAAGAATATATTTAAAACAAAAAGATGACTGTCATGGATAGATGTATTCACTCATTTGTACAGAGTACCTGAGATTATGTTTTCAAGTGAAAGAAAAACAAAAAAGTGAAACAATAAAAGTCTCGGATAGTAAGGCAAAAAAAAAAAAAAAAAAAAATCACCGGGTAGGTACATTTGTTTTATTTTGCATATAAAGTACACTTACTATAAACGATGTGTCGGAAGATGATGTTTTTATCAAGTACTTTTTTTTCTTTCTTTCTTTCTTTTTTTTATTTCGCTTTTCTTTTCCTTCTTTATTTTTTATTTTTTTTTTCTTAAACGATGACAATTATTAAGAATATTTGCTGTATTGGTGCTGGTTATGTTGGTAAGTCTCCTCTTTTTTTTTTCATATATTTTTTAAACATACTTATTTTTGTCTTCATTTCCTTTTTTATTAGGTGGACCTACTTGTGCTGTAAGTCAATGAAGAATGAAGAGTAAAATATTTTTTTACTCATATTATTTATAAAATAGGTGATTGCATACAAATGTCCTGACATTAAGGTGACTATTGTTGATGTGAATCCAACACGTATTGCAGCCTGGAACTCGAATAAGCTTCCTATCTATGAACCTGGTTTGGACAAAGTGGTATTTGAACGACGAAACAAGAATTTATTTTTCTCTACCAATGTGGATGAAGCTATACAACAAGCCGATCTTATTTTTGTATCTGTCAATACACCAACCAAGAAATCGGGTATAGGAGCTGGTCGTGCAGCTGATCTCGCGTAAGTTTTTTTTTTCTCTTATTTTATTATTATTTATTAATATTTTTTTATTATTATTATTATTATAGATATGTGGAAAGTGCTACTCGTAGAATTGCTCAAGTAGCTAAATCATCCAAGATTGTGGTGGAAAAATCAACTGTACCTTGTCGTACAGCTCAAAGTATGCGTACTATCTTAGAAGCGAATGCTACCAAAGAAATTCATTTTGATATTCTATCGAATCCTGAATTCTTGGCGGAAGGAACGGCTATTCAAGACTTATTGACTCCAGATCGTGTATTGATTGGTGCATTACAAACACCTGAAGGAATGAAGGCTCAACAAGCATTGGCGGATATCTATATGCATTGGGTACCAAAAGATAAAGTGATTACTACTAATTTATGGTCATCAGAATTGTCAAAACTGGTAATTAAATATATTATTTTTTTTTCATATCTTATTATTGATTGATTGATTGATTGATTGATTGATTGATTAGGCTGCAAATGCTATGCTTGCTCAACGTATTTCATCAGTAAATGCCTTATCTGCTATTTGTGAAGCTACAGGTGCTGATGTGGATGAAGTGGCCTATGCTTGTGGTCGTGATAGTCGATTAGGATCCAAATTTCTCAAGGCCTCAGTTGGATTTGGTGGTTCATGTTTCCAAAAAGATATTTTAAACTTAGTCTACTTATCTGAAGAACTTAACCTTCCTGAAGTGGCTTCTTATTGGCATCAAGTAGTAGTGATGAATGAATATCAAAAGAAACGATTTGTACGCAACATCATCAGGACATTATTCAACACTATCACCAACAAAAAGATCGCGGTATTTGGATTTGCATTTAAGAAGGATACAGGAGATACACGGGAATCGGCTGCCATTACTTTAATCAAAGATTTTATTCAAGAGCAAGCGCATGTAGCCATCTATGATCCCAAGGTAGATGATGAACAAATCTTGATGGATCTTTCTGATTCTGGTGGTGTGGTGGATACTCGACCTCAAGTGGAAAAACATGTACAGATTTGTCGTAGTGCTTATGAAGCAGCTCAAGATGCTGATTGTGTAGTGATTGTGACTGAATGGGACGAATTCCGAGATGATCGATTGGATTATGGAAAGATATATGCTGGGATGCATAAACCTGCCTTTTTATTTGATGGTCGTTTACTTGTCAATGAATCTAAACTTCGTAAAATGGGATTCAAGGTCAACATCATAGGCAAAACTGAATTGGCTGGTACAGCATGAATTTTTTACTACTATAGATACACATTTGATTATTATTATTTTTTTAGTATAGATTCATTTTTATGTACATGAACTTCTGAGAATAAAAATTTTGCATCATTTTCATCAACACCCTCGGGTTCTTTTTTTTTTTTTTCTCTCTTTTCTCTCTCTCTTTCTCTCATTTTTATTTTTTCCATCTTATTTCATTTTTATACCCTTTTCATTATTAGACCAAAAAAAAAATAATAATAGTATCATATTACTAATATATTTTATACGATGTCTATGGACAATCGTCCTTGGCCTCTAGCTGATCAATTACCTACGCCATTATCAATATCACCTCAAGCGATTCATTCTTCTGTACTACAAGGCAAACCACAAGTAACCGACTTATCTCAAGACGGACATCAAGATAGAAAACGAAGTCGGGTCACCTCTTTACAACTTTGTTACTCAAGATCTTGGTTAGGAAAAGGTCATGTAGAAGAATATCATTTGACCTCGGCAGAAAAAGTACGACGAGCTATTGATACTGTAGTGGATAATGGATATGAACAAGTCGACTTGAGGTAAACATCTTCAACAATTAAAAAAAAAAACTCTCACGCTTTTACTTATCATGTATCCATATCTTTTATGTTTTCACTTTTTTTTTTTTTTGTTTACTCGATGGTCATTGTTTATCATTCATCTCGACTTTTTTTTCTTTTATACTTTCTTAGTCATTGTGACTTGGTTGAAATCCCTGATGGTATTGCTGAACTACAATATATTACTGTCCTGCGAAAAGATACTGTCAAAACTGCTTCTTTACAACTCTATTTATTCGCCAATCAATTGAAGACCTTGTCCCCGACGTTATTCCGACTTCAAAATCTTTCGGTGTTGAGTCTCCGTAAGTAGTTATGATCAAAAAAAAAAAATCACCTTTTTTTTTGAAGTATTAAAAATGTTTTTATATAGGTTGCAATGATTTGGATTATTTACCTCCAGAAATAGCTTTATTAGAAAACTTGGTTGAACTTTCTTTAGGCAACAACAATTTGGTAATTCAAATAAGAAAAAAAAAAATAAAAAAAAAGACATTCATTCATCTTTTTCTATAGACTTTTTTACCTTCAGAAATACGATCATTACCAAAATTAACATTACTATCTGTTTGTCCCAATCCTTTTTTGCAAAAACCAAAACCAAGGTCCAATGAACCATCATCACCAGCTTTCCCTTCTACCGTTGTCCGACCTGGATACGTTTGTCATACATTACCTAGTTTATTTGAATTGGCCAGCCGACAATATTTATCCATATCATCCAATCATCCTTCTTTTCTTCCTTGGGCTATTCAACAACGTCTTGATTCTGTTTCAAGTGTCAATCGATGTCAATATTGTCAACGTTATTTCTTGGAAGCAACAACTCAAGAAATGATTTGGATGGATATTATTAATGTGAAAATGGTGCCTTTACTTTATCGATTTTGTTCCATGGCTTGCTCTCAACAATTGCTCTTGGAATAGATAGTTTTTTTTTTTTTTGTTTGTTTAGTTTTTTAATATTTTATACCTGATTATATTCCCTCTTCACCGTTTTTTTGCATTGTCTATAGTATTCTTTTTCTTTTTTTTTTTTTCAAATAAAACTTATTTTTTTTCTTGTTATCTCTCCTTGGCCAATCATATGGATGGATGCATGGGATCATTAGGACTTTAAAATAATGGTCTGAGCCAATCAAATGGCTTGATTCAGCTATAAGTTGAACATAATTCTCTGAACAAAGATTGTTCCTCCTCTTTTCCTCATTATCAAATTTTGATCCCAATGTAAGTACCTTGTCCGGTGAATTCTACCGGATTTTTTTTTTTTGAATCTTTTGCTCTCCGCAGAAAAAAAAAAAACTTTTCTCTTTTTTTTACTCACCATTGTATTCTTTAGGGCCAATCTTACTATTCAAAAACGCTTAGCAGCTCAAGTTCTCAAGTGTGGTCAACGCAAGATTTGGTTAGATCCTAATGAAGTGAATGAAATTGCCAATGCTAACTCTCGTAAGTTTTTTTTTTTTTAAAAAAAAAAAAAAAAGAGGAAAGACTTAACCTTATTATTATTATTTTTCTTTTTTGTAGGTGCCAATATTCGCAAGTTAGTTAAAGATGGTTTGGTGATCCGTAAACCTGAAATTGGTGTATCTCGATTCCGAGTACGTGAACGTCATGAAGCCAAACGTCTAGGTCGTCATATGGGCCATGGTAAACGCAAAGGTACAGCCAATGCTCGTATGTCCCATCAAGTGGTTTGGATGCGTCGCATGCGTGTGCTGCGTCGTCTTCTCCGCAAGTACAGAGAAGCTGGTAAAATTGACAAACATCTTTATCATACTTTGTACCTTCGCAGCAAGGGTAACTGTTTCAAGAACAAGCGTGTATTGATGGAATTCATTCACAAGGCCAAGGCTGAACAAATCCGCTCCAAGAATCTCTCTGAACAAGCTGCTGCTCTCCGTGCAAAGAACAAAGCCATGCGTGCTCGTAAGGCTGAAAAGAAGTCTGCTGTCAAGGTTCTTTAGTCAACATATCCCCCTCCTTTTTTATTATTTTATTCTACTTGGATGATTCAATAAAAATATAAAATACTTTCTTTTCTTTTTGTACATATTATTCTATAAGTTTTTTTTTTTTTTTGTTATTTGATTGTTATTAGTGAGGGAAATACAACATGTGATGGTAACTTAATTTCTATTTTAGGGAATGGATACTGTTGCCGCAGAAATCAACTGTTGCCGCAGAAATCATTGTATTTTAGAAAAACAGGGGTGTAGAACATAAGTAGTAAATAGAAAAAAAAAATCAATAGAAGATGGTGGTGCATCATTCATCTAGGGAAAATCTGTTATTTTCGAGATTCATACCCTCTTTTTTTTTTTCAATCATCAACCATCCACTTCACAACATCTATTTCACCTATCCTCAAAAAGTAAGAAGAACTATCACAAATATGATCAAACCAATAAGCCTCTAATAACAGCAGGAAAAACATAGACAAAAGAGTCAGAAGAATGATAATAAAACTAATATATACAAAATCAAGAGTCTACACTACATTCATCAACTAAAGCTATACTACAACGAATATATTACTACTATAATCGACGATCGGGTGAATCTTCACTATCTCGTACCACAGCTACAACCACACTGATATCATCCACTTTTCCACCCTATTCATAGAAGAAAAAGAGAATATGATGAGAACATTCCATTCATATTATAAAGATGACTTATTACCTGGTAGTAAAACCCTTCATGGATTGCCCTTGTTTGGAATGGACTATCGATATTTCGTCGGTTGTCACTGACTACCTTGGCTCGATTGGCAAGAGCGTCAGACAAACGTTGAGGTTCAAATTGTAAAGTTTTGTTCATACCAGGTAAAATATAAGGTGCCACTTGCGCTTCAATAATTGATAAGATTTCCTTATCAAAGAGATTATCATAAAGTCCATCACTACCCATAATGATGATGTCGTTTTTTTCCACCTTTACATTAAACACCTAATCAAAAAAAAAAAAAAAAAAAGAATTTAAATTAATAAAGATCATCAACTTTTTTTTTTTTTTTTTTTTTTTTTTTTTTTTTTTACCTGAGCATCCTTGGGTTGATCCGGCGAGCCAGTACCAAGTTGATAAGGAAAATTGAATGAATGTTGTTGTTCTTCACTTCGAAATATATAATTGTTATGTCTTATCACTGATATACCACAATCACCAAGATTTGCGATCCTTAATTCGTCATGTCGTAAAATGGCAAGACAAGCTGTACATGATCCAACAATGCCCTATCCAAAAAAAAAAAAAAAATGAATATATAATAGATACAGTTTAAAATCAACCTACCTCTTTTTCTGCTTCTAATAAACTGGCTTCATAACTCTTTTGTAAAATTTGAACAGGATCCACATCATCATAGTGATAAAAACAAGGGTCATCCACGTTGTCATAACGTTCCAATTCCAAATAAGCGTGGTGCATCAATTGTCGTGCAAATAAGGCAGGATCGGCAGCTAGAAGAAGAAGAAAAAATAGAAAGGAAAAAAAAAAATGAGACAAGGAGAAAAAGAAAGAAGGAGACAAAAAAAAGAAAGAAAGAAAGGAGGAAGTAAATAGTCAATATTATATATATATTGCTTACCTTGAGAACTAGACCAACCACCTACACCATCACTAATACCAAAGGAATCACATCGTGTAAAGAAAGCATCTTCCCCCATTTGTTCACTGTAAAAATGTTGCTGCGGAGGATGATATGGCCGTCGTTTCTTTTGTTGTCGTCGTTTGGCAAAACCAGAAGCACCATGAGCAAAGATATAATCAGGTTTCTTGATCTTTTCATTAGCTGCAAAAAAGTCATAGATAGGTAAAGGTTGTAAATGTCTTTGAGAAAAATGGAATTGAGATGTTCTTGGTGATTCATACTCTTCAACTAATGATGCTGTATGTACTTGTCGTTTGTTTGACGTATATGTTTCGGATGAGGTGGAAAAAGTAGAAGAAGAAAATGAAGGCTGTTGATAAGGTCGTATGATGGCAGGAAGAACCGTTCGACTTGATAAAGACGATCTGAATACCAAAGGTTCCAATTGTTTACTCACCACAGTTAAATGATTTTTGGAATACATATCCAAAATAAATGTATTAATATCGTTGTATTAAAAAAATGGAAAAAGAGAAAGGGAAAAAGGGAAAATGATAAGAGGAAAAAAAAAAATAGAAGAGTGGAGGAATTAGACAGGAAAAAAAAAAGAAAAGACGACGGACTTGAAAAAATAAAAAAAAAAATAAACCAAGCAATTTGGTGATTGGGCAAAAGGCGTATTATGCGTTAATGGGGTGTACAAACACACACACAAAAAAAAAAAGGATAAATAATTGACCGTCCGGAAGGAAATTCCCATTTTCTGTGCAAAGGATGTATTAATAATGAAAGGATCAATATGACCAATAATAACATTTTTTATTATTTTATTATCCTTACATAAAAGGAGATTTAGTTCTATGACTATAAATGGATGATCGTTAAATGATGGATAGACAGATGAATAATGATGATGTTGAAAAATAAGGTATTTCTATCAATACATTGTTTAAGGGAAAAAAAAAAGACAAACCCTTGACAACTCCATCCCTTCAAATAGTCAGTACTCTTTTTATAAACAACAATTTTTTATTGTATCTAATGGATAGATCCATCCCCACAATATTTATTCTCATGGCAGACAAAGTAAAGAAAATAAAAAAAAAAGGGACAGTCATGAGGGAGTTCATCCACGCGCACGCACACACACACACATATATATAAAAAATAAAATCAAAAGATTTCCCAAAAAGGAGATAGATCATACCGTTCTTAGGAGTTCGGTTCAAATGGGATACAGTATAATGAGATTCTATTGAAAAACGTGTAAGTGTTTCTTATTTTAATCATAGATATAAATAAAATAAAATAAAAACATGTTCAAACCACTTATTAATGTACACATACTTGATTTTTTTTTTTTCATCGATGATTATTATTACTACTGTTTTTTTTTGAGGGGTTAATATCCTTGACTACCATTTAAAGTGAGATGGACGGGATTTGAAATCTGCATGAACTCTTTTCTTTAACTACATCAGATTTGATGTTGCATGAACGAAAAAAAAAAAACCGCACTGCTTCTATCATAACAGAATAGGAGTGAATTCAAAAAAAAAAAGGAGTAAAAGGGATAAAGGAGCTTGTGTTACAAAAAAAAAACGAAGGAAAAAAAAACGGACTGAATGATACTAAAAAGAATGACATAAATGATCACTATGTTTTGAAATTATATCATCGTTATTATTATTATTATTATCCTTGATTCATATTCCGCCATCATCCTTTTTATATATGATCTATCGAATGGAAGAAAGAAAGAAAAAAAAGGGGGGAATCTCTAGTTACGGGATTTGAAATGGCTTACAGGAGGGAGAGAGAGAGAGAGAAAGAAAGAATATTATATAAATAGAGATTGTCACTCTTCATAGGGTTAAAAAAAAAAAAAAAAAAAGGTCAATAGGAATGACATGTTTTTATTTTCATAGTAAAAAAACGTTGAATCAAGGCCATGAGAAAGAAAATAAATAAAAAAAAAAAAAACAAGGATCAAGGAGAGAAAAAAAAAGATACAAGAGAGTATAAAAGACGACAATTATACTATATAAAGGGGGAGGAGGAAGCAAAAAGAAGGGGGGGGAAAGAGAAAGAGAAAAAAAAAAGACATAAAGAGGTATTTACTGTTATTTTCTTTTTTTTTTTTTCTTATTTTATTTTTTCTTATTTTATTTTTTCTTATTTTTTTTTCTTTATTTTTTTTTTTTTATAATTCTTAATTCCTTTAATATTTTCTTTTTATATGAAATAAATGAGTTCTACTATTGATACCACCAGTCAACAGTATTGGCACTCATCCAATGAAGATTATATATCACGAGATCAACCATCCATCATTACAACGAATGAAGAATATAAAGAAGAACAAGTAGATGAAGATGAAATGATATTAGAAGAAGAAGGGTCTTCATCCATGTCATCATCACCTAGTATTCCTGACGAAAATATCAATTTTGATTTGGTATACGCATTACATACTTTTACTGCTACTGTCGAAGGTCAAGCTTCTGTAGTCAAGGGGGATGCCTTGATTTTGATGGAAGATACTAATATTTATTGGTGGCTCGTGGAGGTTCTTAAAACACGTGAAATTGGTTATATTCCAGCAGAAAATATTGAGGTATAGATCATCCCCTTCTTTAAAAAAAAAAAAAAAAGTTCAATTTTTTTTTTATTTTTTATCTTTTTTTTTTTTTTTTTAATAGACACCTTATGAACGATTGGCTAGATTGAATAAACATCGTAATGTTGAAATCACTTCTCCTTCTTCTGATACTACCCTCACTACTTTAGTCTCATCGGAATTCACCGCTTTCACAGCTTCCTCTGCCAAAAAGGTCACTATAGCTTCAAACGATGACTTGGAAAAAATCAACTTTTATGAAGTAGAATCTGATTTGGAAATGGATGACGAATGTATAGAGGATGAAGCAAACTTTCAAAATGCCGAACAAGATATTAGCATCGAACAACAGCAATTACAGCAACAGCAACAACAACAACAACAACAACAACAGCACCAGCACCAGCAATTACAACAACAACAACAACAGCACCAGCAACAACAACAACAATTACAACAACAACAACAGCAAAATACGTGCATCTCTGGTAACTTGGCATCTCTCAACAAACAAACTAATCTTCGAGATGACAGTGACCATATTCAAACTGGAAATCAATTACAACAACAATACCTTTCTCCAGGTCCTTGGAAAAGAGATTCCTCTTCACTGTCATTATCAAGTGATGCTAGTGGGTCCAAACAGCATTCTCATAATTGTGAAACTCATAGTTTACGTGTCTTCGCTGGAAATATTGGTCAAGGTCCATTGTTTCATTCTTTCGATATTATGGCAACTACCACGACTGATGATTTGTTGAAAGAGGTGATCAAACGGTTCAACATTATGGATACTGTGACTGAAGATCAAGAAAGTACTATTGAATATTATATTGCTGTTCAAGGAGCTGATGGTGGTAAGTTGATCTTTTTATACTTTTTATTTTGAACATGGAACTGAATCTTTTTTTTTTTTTTATACAGACGACTATATTCTGGCTTCTCAAGATAAACCATTCTCTATCTTCAAGACATTGACTGCCTCGTTAACAACACCTATGCCCGCTGTATCACAGAACATTTTTCGAAAACCACAAGAAGGAAACGGGACCACACGAAGAAAACGATCAAGTAGTTTTGGAAATCATGAACAAACATCTTATGAAGAGGATTCTGTTATTCGGTTTTATGTACATCGTCGTATCAAACGAGCTCATGAACGACAAGGTCTCGTTTATATTAAGGTGTCTCTCTATCCTGATGAAGCATCTTCTGATTCAACTGTCCCTCTTTTTGATCAACAACAACAACAAAATGGCTCATCAACGTTTTTCTTCAAGAATAAGAAAAAGAAAATGTCCACTACAGCAATCAAGACAGAGATTGATCGAATTGACAAGATCTTACCTGTATCCTATGACTCCTCGGTTGGTACTGTCATCAACACTGCTCTTGAAAAATTCCATGTTCCTGATGCTGAAGCGGATGGTATGCAATCCATGCAAGATTTAAAGGCTCATCCATTAGATGCTCCCTCTCCTTCTCAACATAAAACGACAAAATATGTAATGTCGGTACGAAATGGAAGTGGTCAAGGTAACTATCAAAATGAAATCTTATTTTTTTATTATTATTATTCTTATTCTCTTTTTTTTTTTTTTTTTTTCTTAGAAACTCCTTTGTATGCTACTGATATTATGGCCAATGTTTTACATGATCATCGACAACAAACATCAGAACATATTAGCAGTGATTTACTTTTTATTCTACGACAATGTGACTCATCTGGACGAAAAGCAAGATATCAACCACCCCCACCACTCTCCAGTCTCAATAGATATGATCGAAAAGGTAGTTATTCCTCTATTGGAGGAGCGGCTGGTAATGGATTACCTGAAGAAAGACGACCTAGTATCCTCGACATTCTAATGGATTCTCCTCCTCGATCCGCAGATGATCGGCGCCCAAGTTATAAAGGTAGTCCATTGGCTTCTCCACATAGTTTCAATGGAGATCGACGACGTTCCAATCATAGCTTACTACAACAACAGCATCAAGAACGATCCAACTCTCTGGTACCTTCTATCACTGATTCACATGGTCTTACACCTCCTACACCATCATTCTCTCGATCTCGCCAATCCTCTTGTTCAGTAGCATCTGTCAACCCATCATCGTGTGATCAATCAGTAGATGGATTAGATTCTTCTTCTCATGTTCTTCTTTCTAGTCAAAGTCAAGACAATCTTAGTAGTTCATCTTCCGATAATATGAAAAAACGAAAAGAAGGGTCGTCTTTGAAGCAACAGTTGAAACGATTAGTGGGTTGGGGATCTTCAAATTCATCAAAACAGAAAAAGGTACACGATTTGACAATTTCAACCTCTCCATCTTCTTCACCATCTGTCAAATCCAATCCTCAATCTACTCATCCAACTGTGGGATGCCATTCTGCATTTGTGTCTACTGGCTCCAACTTTTCCTTCAAGGCAGAAGGTTTACAATCCAATATCAGTACAACATCAGCACCAGCAGCTTCTACAGCATTACCGTCTTCACCACCTCCTCCACAACAACAACAACAATCACCTATATCTTGGTATAGTAATAACAGCAATAGTGCTTTACCTTTGTCACCTCTTCCTCCTCCTCCTCTTTCGGCATCCACTACAACACCATTAGAACAATGGCAGCATGTAGATTCTGTGATGATGGTACATGATGCTTCTTATCCCAGTATGAATGGTCAACAACAGCAACAACAACAACAACAAGATGAACCTGCTTCCAATAATTTACTTCCTCCTACCGTACCATTTAAATCAAACAATGACAGTCAAATATCTTCTATCTCAACAGGCACAACAACCACTAGTAGTCATACGGAATCGATTTCTAGATTATCTCTTTCTGATGTACGACCCGAAACTACTTCTCAGCAAGTGGACGACGACCTTACCAGTACAAGTAGTGAAGAGGATGAAGATATACAAAGAAATGATGATGTTAGTGATGATACCGATGATTCAGACGATCAACCAGATGATGGTACTTCTCTTGACAATAATAGTTATAGACCTGTAGAAAAGACATTGATGGAAGATAGTGCTATGTCATTATTTGCAGCATCACAACAACCACAACCACAACAACAACAACAACAACAACAACAACAACAACAACAACAACAACAAGAACAAGATGATGATTTTGATAGTGATCTTTTCTATCTGGTGACACAAGGTGTGGATTATCTCAAAACACGAGAATGCACTAAATGGGAAGATGATCAAAATGGATATCAATATCATCCTTGGAATCGACCACAACCTGGAAGTACAATAAACAATGATACAAAGATCTCAACACCACCACCATGCACAACTCCAAAAGAAGAAGAAGAAGATGATGAAGAAGAAAAGGAAGAAAAAGAAGAAGAAGATAGTACTGAAGTGACAGAAGCACCTATGGTAGAATCATATACTGACAAGGCCATGGTCTCACCTCCTTTATCACCTGCCAATATTCAAGTGAATCGATCTTTCTCTAATAAATCAAATTTCTCTTCTTCATCAGTAAAGAAGGAATCTGTTGTAGATGACGAGGTAAGAAAAAATAATAATAAACGATCTTTTTTTTTTCTGATTTTTTTTTTTTTGTAGGAATTGAAATGGATTGTTAATTCTCATATTTTATTTTGAAATTCATTATACACTCACTCACTCAGAGAATATATACTATACATAGATAGGAAAATCATGTTGTACCATCCTTCTTATTCCCTCACTTATACATAATCAATGATTCATCAGTCACTTTATTATTTTTTATTCAATTCAACCCAATAAAAATATTTGTCTATATTATTTTATTTTATTTTTTATCTTTTTCGATCAAGAGGACATTCTATTTGATGGAAGAAAACGTTTTTTTCACATGCTTCATAAAAGGATATCTTTTTTATTATTATTATTATTGTAAATTAGTTGTTGATATAAAACTCTATGGAATACAATCTATACTAACTACATCAGACCCAAGCCATTCCGATAACCAAGATTTTTCTTGTTCACTGACGAAAATCGTACCATGGTTGATATAATGTTGATGATGATCATCTAACTTGTTGGGAATATATTTGTAGTTGATCATGATACCAAAGGATTCTTGTAAACCTTTATCTACAAAAAAAAAAAAAAAAAAAAAAAAAAAAGTGAGTCCAAAAACGGGAATGATTCCTTTTTTTTTTTTTTTTTTTTTTTTTTTTTTTTACCAGAAATATCACCCATCCATTGTAATTGATGAGCACAAGCACCATTGCGCAGATGAAAATTGGCCACAGGATCTAATGCACCTTTATTTGATCGTTTTTCTTTTAAAATATATCTATCATTGATTTAAAAATATCTGATATTAGTATGATGGTTTCTTTTTTTTTTTTTTTACCTTGCGCATAAACGTAATAATTCAATAGATAAAGGACTTGTTTTTGGCATGTTGAAAAGATTCTTTTGTTGTATAATAAATAAAAAAAAATATGAATGAATGAAATGGATTTTTTTTTATTTTACCTTTTCCCAATGTAAACCACCTAATTGAATAAGACGTTTTTTCAGTTGAGGATGTTCCATCAACCATGATCGAAATCCAGGAATAGGACTGAGGGTAGCAAATGTATCCAAATGAGGGAATGAGTGTTGTAATTGAGAGATGACTTCTCTGATCAAATAATTTCCTAAATGTATTCCACCAAGACCCTTTTGTGTGGTGATGGAATAACAAATAGCATGTCGAAAAGAGTGTGTATGAATAGGTGCATTTAAAAGGGTTTGAATCGAATTGGATAAATCAGATACAAGTGCCACATGAACAAATACCAAAGGTTCATTTGACATTCCTTTCATAAACAAACCATATACTCGTCGATCGGAAGCAAGACGTCTACAAGAAATGAAAAAAAAGAAATCAATTCATATCATATTCTTTTGAGAAAAAAAAAAAAAACCTTTTGATATCTTGAGAACTTGTCACTGCATGAACAGCTTCATATTGGCAAAGCTAAAAATAGAATGAGTTTTAAAAAAAAAAGGATTCCATTTTTGGATTTTTTTTTTTTTTTTTTTTTTTTTTTTTACTTTTTCAATGATTTCCGTAGCAGAAGGTTGCCAAGTGATTCTTTTGATCATAAGAGAAGATCTTTTTTCTTTGATGATTGATTTCAATTTGGATTCCAATGGGGAAAGAGTGGATTGTTGGTTAGGATAATGGTGTAATAAGGATAATAAGGAGGCCCGAAAATCAATTAACCGTTTCATACCACTAGGAAGTTGAGATAGTTGTTGTAAAAATTGTTGAGTGGTCTGAGCATCATTTTTATTGAGATAATCAAGGTATATTAATTGACTTGGCTACAAAAAAAAAAAGATATATATATAAATAAATATATATATAAAAAAAAAAAAAGCTTTATTTCGAACTTTAGAATCATGTTCTTTACCATATCTAGACATTGATATAGATCATAAGAATGAGAAACTAAATGAGTGGTAGTAAAGAGTTGTTGCATAAAATATGGATCGTTAAGTGCACTTTTAGAAGATTGGTCATTAAAGGTGAATGATTGATCTATAAAAAGAGAGATAAATAAGTAAATATATTAATACATGATTAATAGTTACTTTGCAGTAAAGACCAATAAGAAGAAGAAGTAGAGGGTTGAAGAATACGAGAAATCGAATGAGAAGAATAATATCTCCAAGAAATTTGTAAAAAATGTTTTGATAATAATAACTGTTTTTGCATTCAAGAAAGAGTGAAAGAAAAAGAAAAAAGAAAAAAAAAAAAAAGGTACACAAAGAGAGGGGAAAAAAATTAGCATGTGAGATATAAAACAAGCGGAGTCACACATATCGCATAGACAAAAAGAGTGAATATTTTGATGTTCGATGTAATTGACGATCGTTAGAAACATATATTTTATTTAGGGCTATATGATAATATCACAAACAGAAGGAATATATGAAATAAAAGAGAAATAACTACGTAAGGAAAAAAAAAAGTTTTATTGGTTTGGTATTCAAAAATAGATATATGTATAACACAAAAGAAGTGATAAAAAGAATAGAATGATATAGAAATAAAAAAAAAAAAAGAAAAAGAAAAAGATAGATAACAAGAATAAAAACTATAACTATGAAACGGTATGTGAGGCAATGATACGTTGTAATTCCTAATTTTTTTTTATAAGAAAAGATGAGTGATCATAATTTTTTTTTTCATGGAGATAATAATTAAACTTACACGTTCAAGTTCATCTAGACTAGAAAGACTAGCACTTTGTTGTAAATCATCCTTGGGAGGTAATAAACTATTACTATTATTATTATATCCAGCCTTTTCCACAGATTCCAAAAATTGAGTAGCAAATTGAATCAAAGTCTTCAAATCCATATCCGAAACCAAATCACCTTGTGTAGGTTTATTTGTTGTTGCATTCAAAACACGTTGAGTCACCAATTCCCATGCAGATTGTTTCTTATCATTGGCCATCAGGACATATTGCGTTTGATGAGGAGGTAAAGGCTTACTTCTTAAAATCCCATGTGGCAAATACACATCCACGCCTTGATTCACGTTTCGCATGACAGCCAACTTTGGTTGATGAGGATCCAACTGTAAACGAGGTGGGACGGAATCAGTCACCGTTTGTTTCCGATTGTATGTGAGCAATGCGCGTTCCAATCGTCGTAAGATCATTTCCATTTCTGTATCAAGTTGCATCACCGGGATGGGTGTCAAAAGTGGAGATGTGTTGGAGTAAGAACGTTGTGTCTCCATCGATTGTTGTTGTATTTTGACATTGGGTAATGTTTTATCGCTATGATGATTAGATCGTACATTGTGGCGTGATGAACCACCTGATACGCGTCTCAGAACAAATCGTTTTTCTGTCGTATTCTTGGCATGTGTATCATCATGTAGTACTTCTACCAATTTACTATTCATATTTAGATGTTTTTCTATAAAAAGGAAATATGAATCAGACAATTCTCATTTTTTTTTTTAATTTTTTTTTTTTTTTTTTGGTTTTACCAGGTCCTTGACTATTGACAACAATGGTCATACGATATCGAGGAGTAGGTTCTTGTCCAGGTTGTTGTAGTAAATGAAATTTCTCAAGAGCAATATCGATCAAATCTGCCACAGTGGCCACAGCTGACACAGCAATCAATTTATCAATCTGACTTTGTGTTGTTTTTGTTGATCCTGTTGATGTTGTTGATGAGATACCTCCTTTAAGCTTTTTCGATGTTGTTGATGAGTTTGATTTCTTACGTCTCATAGAAAATGAAGTTGTTGAATGATGTTCATGGTTAGTTGTTGTTGCCACTCGTCGCTTGCCATCCTTGGAATCACTATTCCTGCGTTCCCGCTTCGTATCATCATGGTATAAAGAAACTTTCACATACAGTTGTCCATCATTCACCCGTTTGATTCGTTTGTGTAGATAGAATCGTATTGCATCTTCCCCGTACTTGGTTCCTGTTCGTTTGTTGCTATTGTTAGTAGGAGATCCAATGCGTCCAAATTCCATATTGGTGATTTGTTGTTGAATATTGGATAATGATGGCATAGGTGTTGTCAAATGTGCATTCAATGATTGATAAATCATCAACGGTTTATCTTGTGGTAATAAAGTAAGTTCATCTATGAAGATTCATATGATAATAAAAAAAAAAAAGAATTAGAATTTATATTATCTCCTTTTTTTTTTTTTTTACTTACCTCCATCAATGGGTTTGACCGATAAATAATATTCTACTCCACTACTAGAATGCTGAGGAGAATATTGAGATGGTGAATGAGTAGAAGATCGTTTCCCACGAGATTTGCCTTCGATTTGAGAAATATGAAAGCGATCCATAGCCAATCTTAAAAGACTTTCTGCATTTGTATGATCGTAAACCAGGACAGAATTGTAAGTGGCGTTCACATTGATATTTCCTGCATATACACGCAAAACAGTAGCTGAAGGATCCATGGTTGATGTGTTGGTAGATATTGAATGATGATGTTGTAGTTCATCTGAGATAGTGGACGAATTGGTGGAACCATGATCCGAGGATGATGATGTATCTTGAGCACCTCCCGATAATAATGAATTCTTTTTCGGTTCTTGTCGTTTTCCTCTAGCAAATAGGCGTAAGAAGGAGCCACCAGATTTCTTGTTGTCTTTTTCATCTTTGGGTGAGGTCAAGGGTGAAGTGATACTAGAAATGGTGGATGCAGGAGTACTGTTGTTGCTTGGGGGTGTGGTTGGTAGTACTGAAATCAAAGGAGTTGTTGGCAAACCTTGTTTTTTGTTGTTGTTGTTGTTGTTGTTGTTGTTGTTGTTGTTGGATTGAGTGCTTGTTGTTGTCTTGTTGGTTGTGCCGAAATCAGAGATTTCTGTATTTGGATCTGTTATTCGAAGTCCATGAATTTCTTCTTCAGTAGCCACATTTTCTTGTTCGTCGTCACTAGGATGATCTATTTCAGTGTCGCTGATCTGTTGTGGATCATCATCCCTGTCGCTAGCCAACATAGTACTTTGACTATCATCATCCATCATATCGTCTTCCCATTCTTCATAGGTTTCCTCCAATTCTTCGTCATCATCACCCAATAGAATAATATGTGATTGATAATAAATATCTTTGGACATGGTGACATGTTTTCGTTGTTTGCTAATAATATCTTTTCCTGTTGTTGTTGTTGTTGTTGTTGTTGTTGCTACTGGTGTATCATCTATCGTAGATATATAGTGAGTTGCTTGTTGAATAGCTGTCACCTGTTTTCAAAAAAAAAAAAAATTCAAGACATCGAATTTAAAAATATAAAAAGATCATACCTCAACATTTCGATGTTTATTGAGACGAGCTAAACGTTCAAAGGGAGTCTAAATAAAAACAAAAAAAAAGAAGGTAAAAAGATGAAATGTTGAATATTATGAAACTTACTTCAATATTTTCAGCAGGAATATAACCGACTTCATTTGTTTTCAAGACCTTGACGAGCCACCAATAAGAGTTACTATCATCCAATAAAGTAAGAGAATCACCTTTCAAAACTGAGGCTTGACCTTCCACTGTGGCTTCAAATGTATGCAAAGTATAGACCAAATCAAAATCAATGTTTTCGTCAGGTATACTGGGAGAGGAAGTAAAAGTTGAACTATCGTCATCTTCACCAGCAATGGCTGTTTCTTCGTCTTCTTCGTCATCGTCGTCGTCGTCGTCTAGTTCATCTTCTTCGTCTTCATCTAAAACGTCGTCCTCTTCCATTTCTTCGGTTTCCTTTTGTTTGGTATCATCATTGTCGTTATTATAATGATCATCGTAGACTACACCCTTTCGATGTGATCCATCTTCTTCTCGAATAGTGCTTGTGTTGATAGAAGGTTGCCAACGTCCGTGCAGTCGATTTAAATGAGTATTCACAAGTAGAGGACTGGTCATGATGTGTTACTGATGTTAGATGATATAAGTAATAAAAGTACAAAATAAAACAATAGGAGGAATCCAAAAAAAAAAAAAAAAGGAATCAAACAAGATAACAAATAATGTATATAGTCAACGATAAAAAAAAAAAAAAAAAAGAAAGAAGGAAAGAAAGAAAAGGGAACAAGAAGGAAAAAAAAAGGTATAAAGGATAAAGAAAAAAAAAAAGGGTAATATATATATATATATATAACCAGTGGCGTTTTCAAAAAAAAAAAATTGACAAAGAGAACAAAAAAAAAAAAAAAAAAAAGAGTGGATGCCCCGAGTGTCTTTTCATATCCATTTTTGAAAAAAAGACTCATCACGGTTACACTGTTAGTTATCCAATACCATTTTAAATTGACGTTGTGTTCCCAGTAGGCTTTGAATCAAATACATCTAATTTTGCATCATGCAATAAACAAATATAAAAAATAAAAAATGATAATTTTTTTTTATTATTATTATTATTATTGATGATAAATAAATACACTAACTTAAAAGTCTAAAATTGGAGAACATAGGTTGAATAAAAGGAGTCAATTTCGGTCGTTGTTGTGCAATCAATAGTAATTCACGTTCATAAGGCATAAAATAAATATGACTTTTTGGATCTTTGGATAATTGTCGTAATAAATGAGCTGCTACCAAAGATATACCACGTATTGGTGATGTATCTATAGGTGATATGGTTGATTGTGGTGATGATGATTGTGGTTGTTGTGTAGAAGATAATGATAATGATGCTAATGTAGGTACCATTTCAGCTGAAGAAGTTTGTTGTTGATCATCACCAAAATGTTTTCGTAAATGTGCTGCAATATCCAATTTGTCATTAAAAGGTTCTGCTTGTTCACAATCTGTCCACATACAAATATCATCACTGGATTCCATATGATCTTGTAAAATATGTCGTTGTAATAAAATTTCATCTTGAAAAGTTTGAGAACAATCAGTCCATTGACATAATACATCAGCACCTATCAAAAATAAAAATAAAAATAAAAATGAATCAAAGGAATATTGATATAAACACCTTGTTTTTTTTTTTTATTTATTTTGATCTTACCATCCTGTAAGATAGATATTTTAATTTTAATACCACGAACATAAGTTCCTTCTAATACTGGTCCTGTATTAAGTGATTCTTGTCCATTTGAACCTTCTGCAGGGGATGCCGATGATCTTGGGAAAGCAATCTTCAATACTGTATAAAAATCTTTCACTTTTAAAGCTCGTTCATGACCAAATCGAATTTCATATAATAAATACATATCATCCAAAGAAAGCACACTACTTGGATCCGCCAATTCAAACTTGTCTTTCAACCTACAAAAAAAAAAAAAATGAATCATCATAGAACCAAAAAAAGATAGACACTCTAAACAAATTATATATATGATTTCATTTACCATCCTAAACACCGATAAGGTTCATCTAATTCTTGATAACTTGCCAAATTAGGAACACAAGGAACATCACCATGAGTGGCAAAAGGCATTGAAGGAGAAGAAGAAGCTGATAATAAAAGATCACCACCAGGCGAATGAACAGAATCAGAATGTACGGAACCATGACGAGAGGAAGAGACAGAGCCATTTTCCTCTTGATTTTCATCTTCTTCCTTGATCAATTGAGGCTTGAAAAACTTTGATTTTGCCATGAGAAGAGAGACCAAAATACCAATATCAGCACCAGAATGAGCGGTAAGAATCTGTAATCTGAAAGAGTTGGAAATCCGCGTATATTGATAGAGATATTCAAGGGCCGCACCAATCACTTCTTCATCATTTACCACCAAAAGTTGAAGAATACGATCCGCTGTTTGAGCGGATCCAGGAATCAATGCTGTTTGATTATTCTTGTTCAGGGACAATAAAGTAAGGACACGCATGGAGCCCAGGAGTACATGTCGTTCATTGGCATAAACCAAACTTGCAAGACATAATATATAATTGTCTGAAGGTCCAATATCAATATAAGTAGCCACATTTTCCAGAACATCGATACAATGAGTATAGTGAGATGATGATAACACCAGGTTTTTGATCATCATTTGCTTCAATTGAGTGCTGTTCGCCAGTAACCGTGCATTTTCTTCAATGAATGAGAAATTGCGTAAAATATGCAAGATTTGTAAAGTGTGTTCCATCATACATTCTGCTTCGTCGCTTTGTTGTAACGAGACTTCAGCAATTTTCAGTAAAAGATCCAAAAGTGAAGGATTGCGATCCAGTCGTAGTTCTTCGGGACATTCAAAAGAAATGGTCACCATATTTTTCAATGCCCATTCTATTTGACTATGAGTTCCATATTGTAATGCTGCCAGAATACGCTGTTTGGTATTACTATCGAATGAAGTATGCACTATATAAACAAAGGAGTTTTTTTGTTAAGTACAACATAAATATGCAAATAATATAAATATATATTTACCAGGAGCATCTTCTTTGGAATGAACATGATAAGATGGTTGATTTTGATGATGAAGTTCAGAAATGGAACATTGATGAGGTTCACTGACAATATCTCGATCAGAAGGTGGTACAAATTGTGAAGTCAATTCGGCAAAAATATCAGGTGTAAAAGGTTGGTCATGTACAGACATACAATTTTCCGGATGAGGTAAAGGATATATGATACTGTTGGGTTGATGAGGTTGAATTGATCTTTTTTGTTGTTGTTGTTGTTGTTGTTGTTGTTGTGGAGGATGATAATGTATATGATGATGATGATGATGATTAACTACAGGATACTGTTGTCTTGCTCGTCCGCGTGTCTTTTTAAATGATTTCCCTGCCAAGGTCGAAGCTTTGTGGGCATCCTGATAATACATGTAAACACATATGCATTAGATATATTTTCATTATTTATTATAAAAAAAAAAAAAAAACTTACAGGTCCTAATAATTCAGCAGGTGGAATCCATTCTTTGCCCCAAATCTTTTCGTCTTCCCAACCAATCTGTATCAAAAAAAAAAAAAAAAAAAAAAAAAAAAAAAAAAAACGGAACAGTTAAACCCAACTTCTTATATATAGCTAAAATATATTTTTCACTGAATTCAACTTTACCAAATTCCGTATATATAAGCCTTTCAGTATATAAGCACTATTTGTACAAGTAGGAGGGAAATTGAAGGCATCACCTATCTGTTTCCAGGTACGGTTCTTAGTTACCTAAGTGAGAAATAAAGAATGATCATTTAGAATCAAAAAGATATCATGAGTATAATTAGTTGTTTTGTTATCAACTTTACTTGATCAAATCCACCAGCTTCTTGAACTTTTTGGAATAGTTTATACAGATCCACTTTTTTCCCACCAAGAACAGGTTCAGCTTGAAGAGTTGTACTAAGAAAAAGTATAATTATGGTTAAAACGCATTTTTAAAAAAAAAAAAAAATAACAACATTGTTGATTTCCTTACCCTTTTGATATATGAAATTGCTTCAGATCATGAACAAACTGTAAATATTCACTAGTACGTTCAATGTCATCCACCGTCAACTTTGACATTATTTTTGATTTGTTATTCAATAATTGCAACAAAGAAAAAAATAAATAAATGTTGTAATATTATAAAGAAAACAAAAAAAAAAAAAAAAAAAAAAAAAAAAAAAAGTGGAAAGAGGAAAAAAGGGAAAACTGGCACAGTGTGGCAAGAGCGCACGGGTTTTTTCCCCATCAGTTGTTCGGATATTGAAATGTGTAGATTTCGATCAGGTATCATTATCACTATAGCAAAAAATCCAATAGCAGATCATACAACAGATATTACGATACTGTTTTTTTTTTCGTTAAGAATTGGCGAAGAGGAATAGATGATTTGCGCAAGTTCAATAACATGGTTTGCAGGTGATAAAAAGGGTGATTTGCATTGTATTGATTGTACTAAAAAAGAGAATATACAAAAATGAATAGAAAGAGAAATATATGAATTCTTTCTTTTTTCTTTATCAGTCATCGTATGATGATGATTGATTTTTATTGATGATAGAAAAGAGAAACAATGAGAGAAATTGACTTGTTTTTTTTTTTTTCTATGATAGATTGGTTCTTTTCCACGAGGATGCTAAGAAGAAAAGGGGGAATGTGAATTTTTTTCTTTTTTATCAGATAATGATTGTTTTTCATTTATTATAGGAAAATAGTGATGAGAAATAATACAAAAAAAGAACAGGTTTTGCTATTGAGAAGAATCAAATTATTGATTTAGCTATGATCATTAAGAAAACTATAGTAAAGAAATAAGAAAGTCTTTATTGATGTCATTAATTATCAATCATCCGTAATATAAAAAAAAAAGGGTACCCGCAAGTATACTCAAAACCCAATACAAACAAATCTCTAATCAAACGCAGAAAAAGAAAAAATCAACGCACTTTACATGGAAAAGACCAGTAGTTCTAATTTTCAAATAATAAACTACAAAAATACAGGTATTTATCCAATAGATGAATGGATGAATGATTATTGAATAGATGGGAGCGGAGGATAAGAAGAAAAAGGCATTGACGATCTTGGAATAATAGTTTTATTCGATAAGAGTTAAAATAAATAAATTTAGAAATAATATATATATATATATATATATAAATGTTGATATCATGTTTTTTTTGATTCGGTTGTTTCTTACTAAAGTGACTTCAAAAGATATCTTTATATATATGTGTATATGTATATATATGTTAGGTGTGTGGATTGAGCTCGATCAAATATGATTGGATACGCGTCAGGAGATGAAATAGAAAAAGAGTCGACTTTTTTTTTTTTTTTTATTCTTTTTCTATTCTCTTTTCCTTTTTCTTCCCACTTTTTTTTTGTTTTTTATTCTTTCTCTACCATCTTCTTATTTTTACTTACTTACTTGCTTACTTATATACTCTCTCTTCTTTTTTTTTTTTTTATCTACTTCTATCATTTATCTTTTTCTTCTTTTTTCCATCTTGAAACTTTCATAGGTAATATAAAATAGAAAAAAACATCTAAACACATCTAGTTTCCTTTTCTTTGCTGGTGATTATGAGAAGAAAATCCTTTTTATTAAAACATCTTTTTATATTCTTTTAACTCTATTTCTTTGTTTAATATTGGTTTTAGGTATCGTACTTGATTCTCACACGCACTACAAAAAAAAAAAAGAAATTACATTTCTATAAAGAAAACCTCCTATTTTTCCCTAGTTTTGGTTGATTCCTTTTTATTTGGTTTATACTTTCTATATATATATTATGGCACATGGTCCTATGAGTGGATTGAAGATCACAGGTAATAATGACCTATATATATTTATATATATATTGACGCGTTTTATTTTAGGTGAACCTGATCCTCACAAGGTGCTTAAGGTGGCTGCAAAGGATGGTCGAACGGACGAAGATATTCACCTTCATTATTCAAATTACAAGGTTGCAGGAAACGGCTCTTTCGGTGTTGTCTATCAAGCTAAACTTTTACGTACGGGTGAAGATGTGGCTATTAAAAAGGTTTTACAAGATCGAAGATTCAAGGTAACAATATTTTTTTTTAAAAAAAAAAAAAAAAAAAAAAAAAAAAAAAAAGAGGTATGAAAAGATATTTTTAACTTTTATGTATATATAATAGAATCGTGAATTACAAATCATGCGTAGTGTCTGGCATCCAAACGTTGTGGCATTAAAGGCATTCTTTTATAGTAATGGAGATGGAAAGGTAATGATGAATGGCAAGTGTATCTGATCATTTGATTTTAACTTCTTTTTTTTAAATTCTATTTGTATATTGCAGAAGGATGAAGTTTATCTCAATTTAGTATTGGAATATGTTCCTGAAACTGTATATCGTGCAACTCGACAATATGCCAAAGCAAAACAGCCAATGCCAATTCTTTATGTCAAATTATATACCTATCAACTTTTACGTTCTTTGGCTTATATTCATTCTCTTGGTATTTGTCATCGTGATATTAAACCACAAAACTTATTATTGGATCCTTCTTCGGGTATTTTGAAATTATGTGATTTTGGAAGGTAAAATAAATAATAATAAGAAAACAAAAAAAAAAAAAAAAAAAAAAAAAAAAGAGAGATTAATATTTTTTTTTCTTCTTTTGTTAGTGCCAAAGCTCTTGTTCCAGGTGAACCCAATGTATCTTATATTTGCTCTCGTTATTATCGTGCACCTGAATTGATCTTTGGCGCTACAACTTATACAGTGGCAATTGATATTTGGTCAGCTGGTTGTGTAATGGCGGAACTTATGTTATGTCAACCATTGTTTCCTGGCGAAAGTGGTATTGATCAATTGGTAGAAATCATCAAGGTTTTAGGCACACCAACAAAAGAACAATTACTGGCCATGAATCCTAATTATACTGAACATCGATTTCCTCAAATCAATTCACATCCATTCTCAAAGGTAAATATAGTTTGTTTGTTTTTTTTTAAGACATTGATGGTTTAACTCTTTTTTTTTTTTTTTTTGTCATAGGTGTTTCGATCTAGAACTCCACCTGAAGCCATTGAATTCATTGATTTATTACTTAGATATACACCATCAAGTCGATTATCTGCTATTGATGCTATGGCTCATTCTTTCTTTGACGAATTACGAGATCCAAACACCAAACTCAATCAAGATAAACCATTACCTCCTTTATTCAATTTCACAGAACATGGTAAAATAAAAAAAAAGAGAAACAATAAATGGGAATAATATAAATCTAATTGTTTATAAATATATAGAACTATCGATAAAACCAGAACTGAACCGAAAATTGGTCCCTCCTCATTGTGAAAATGAATTATTGACTCGTGGTATTGATATTCATCATTTTCAACCTTTATCTTTGGACGATATCAAACGTAGAACAATTGTCAATTGATTTCTTATATAAGTTTGGGATGTAGATAGTTTAGTCTTTTCTTTTATATATATATATATATATATAATTTTTTTTACCCCATTATTTACTTCCTTGTTCGTTATTCTATACATCTATTTGTATGTATATTATATACATCATATTTGTTATTGCTTTTTGACTTGTATCATCTTTTATCCTTTTTTTTTTTTTTTTTTTGATTCTAACACTGGAAATAAAAAAATTCAATGGTGCCACAAAAATAATGATGATAAAAAAAAAAAAAAGAGCGATGACTTTTTTCGTCTTTTATTTTCTTTTCAAACATAAAAAAAAAAAATGCAAGCTTTATTCACCAAACATGTAATATAGACTACTCAAGCTGAATATATGTTTACTCATTTATATTGTTTTATCTAGGTATTTCTTTCTACTACTTCAATAAAGACGATAGCCACTCGATCTTTGATGACGGTAAGGTCAATCTTTACTCTTTTTTTTAAAAAAAAAAGAATCATTTTGTATTCTAATATATTACTTCCAGTCCAAGATGTGTTCTAGTCGTTGGATTGATCATGTAAAAAATACCAAAGAACAATACGGTGTTCAAGAAATCACAGCGGATGAGCTTCAGGCAGCTCTTCAAGAAAAAGACACTGCCCCTGTGTTGATTGATGTACGAGAAACAGACGAATGGAAGACTGGAAAGGTAACAATACATACAAAATATAAGGGATAAGTTTCTTATTTTTATTTTTATTTTTACAAGTAGCTCCCTACAGCAGTTGGATTACCTCGTGGAATACTGGAATTGAAGGTGGAAAACGTGGTATCACCAGACTCTCAACGTCCCATTGTCCTCTATTGTGCAGGTGGTTTAAGAAGTATTATGACAGCAGCAAGTTTGATTGGTATGGGTTACAACAAGGAAAACATCAAGAGTTTGACGGGTGGGTTTGGTTCTTGGGCAAAGAAAGGTTACACTGTTGTCAAGGATTAGCTCTTTTTAAATGATTTATTTAAAATAAAATAAAATAGTTTTGTCTTTTGATGATGATGATGATTTTATTTTTATTTTTTTTTTTTTCAATAAAGAATGAATAGAGAAATAAAATAAATAACAATCAAAATAAACTAACTAAAGATGTCTAGCTACACGTTCCGTTTCAAAAATAATGGTTCGCCAAAGTTTCATCACAAATACCAAAGCATCTTCATCCAAAGTCATTTCCAATTCCTTGATCAAATCCAATGGCGGCGTATGTTTCTTGATAGAATCCAAAATAAAAGTTTCTAGTTCTTCTTCTTCCACACCCACTAATTCGATGATTTTCTTGTTCACAAAAGGTCCCAGCTTTTCCGTAATCAAATCATCATTCAATACTTCCCAACGAAGAGGCCATTGCCATAATTCATCTTCAGAGCTTGGAATCGATCGAATCAAATCTTTGATCTTTTGATTTCGTTCTTCTTCAGATGCTGGTTGTCCTTCTTCCATCGTCGTGTCTTCTTCTATGCCGCTGTAATCCAATGGAATCAATACCCGTCGCTTTCTCACCTCTTCATCATCTTCATCATCTCCTCCAAGTCCACTGGCACGTTTGGTCGGTACTGCTTTGATTTTGGTAGGTGCTATAGGTTTCATCTGCAAAACAACTGCCGGTTTATCCGTCATTGGTAATGGCGTTGGTTCCGTTGTGTTGCTTTCATTTGATAACGTGCTTGTCATCTTTTGTGATGCTTCATCAGATCTTTTTGCCGCTTCCAATCGTCTATCCTTTTCATCCCTTTCTTCTTCTCGTCTTCGAATCGCTGATCTTGCTTTTCGCCATCGAGATCTATATTAAAAAAAAAATAAGTCATTCCATGTTCTTTCTTTTTTTTAAAAAAAAAAAAAAAAAAAAAAAAAAAAAAAAAGAAGGATCATTACCTATCGTTGTAGTAGTCGCACTCTTCATTTTTCATTTCAATATCATCATCCCATTCAGCTAGTCGCTTTGCCCAATATGCTTTATCTTCTATCCGACGTTCTTGATCTTCTTTTTCACGCTTCAGATTTCGTTCATAATCATGTAGTTGAGTAACTTCTAATTGTTCAAATCGTTTTTCCCTCTAAAAAAAAAAAAAAAAAAAAAAAAAAGTCAACAAAACCAATATTTAAATATATAAATGAATCATCGTATTTACCTGGCGAAAAATGGCTAACATTTCTTTTTGATGTTTTTCTTGTCGCCGTCGTTCAGCTTCTTCATCATCACGTTCCAATTCAACATCATATTCTTCCATCGATAACTGTTCTGATTGTCCTCGAACGAATTCTTGTCGTCGTCGTCGATGATCTGGTTGTCGCCGATCTTCAGTTCGATGATGATTCTCTTGCTGAGCTTCCGATCGTGTTGCCCGTTCTCGTAAAAATGCCAAATCTTTCGAAAGAGTATCCTCCATTGAATCATTATTTTCTATAGTTTCATGCGTTGTTGTGTTGTCGATAGTAGAGTCAATGGTTTTTCCTGAACAAATAGATTGTACAATGGATTCCACCGTTTCTAATACTCTAGCATCTTGTTCTTTTTCAACCGCCTAAAAAAAAAAAAAAAAAAATGAACAAAGGGCATTTTCTATTACTTATTTCAAATACATTACCAATAAAGCAGGTTCCTTTGAACTTTTGTATTGATCCAAGTTTTTCCGTACATTGTCATCAGCCTTAACAACCAATTTCTTTTCCAATGCATTACCATCTTGAGCTTTCAGAGTAACACCAGTATATCCTTCTTCACCACCTAATACGCGTAGAGCACGCAAGACACTGTCTGGATTATTATATGTTGCAAAACCAAATCCTTTTGGATTGCCTGATTGATCTTTCACTCGTTTCCATTCCAGTAATACCCCACAAGTCTTTTTCCGAAATGGTATATATATATATATATATTTAAAAAAAAAAAAAAAAAAAAAGTATATATATAAGTGAATGTGAAGGACATTAAAATATGATCTGTTTTTTTACCTTCAAAAGTTGTTCTATTCCTTCGTCATTAACACCTACAGGTATGGCACCAACAAATAATGTGTTGAGTTTGTTTCTATCCAAGGATGGAGCAGGAGGAGGAGATATTCCCGTTGGACCTGCTGTATGTGGTCTAGTTGCATAACCGTTATAGCTCATGTTGGCATATTGAGGAGGTCGATTGTAATTGGGTCGGTAAGGTCGTTGACTACCCCTTGGACTGTAACCTAATCAAAAAGAATGAATGAGAATAAATATAAATCTATTTATTTATTTATTTATTTTTTTTTTTTGCACAAAAGAGTAGACTTGTTTATCTAATCATTACCATAAGGATTTGAATAAGGATCCATCCAATATAATCAAAAAAAAAAAGGAGAGGAAAGTGAAAGTGAGAATAAGTGGAAGTGAGAATATGGAAAAAAATTGGTTGTGACTTGAATACCAGCACACTTTTTCAAATCCCGTTCTTGATATTCTAATGTGATTCGTTCTATACTACCGGCGCGGCTATTTTCCACCAATCAAAAGCGTTGCATTGACATTTTGTCTTTATCATGCAGATATGAGTTTATGAGACATATCAGCCTTGCTAGCTCAGTCGGTAGAGCGTGGGACTTTTAATCCTAAGGTCCAGGGTTCGAGCCCCTGGTGAGGCGGGTTTCTTTTTTTATTTTTTTCTGCCTGTCGAATTTCAGCCAATCAGAATTCAGTATCCTTTTTTGGATATATCTTGTTAGAAAGCCTTTTATTTTTATTTTATTCCTTAATAATTTTATTACTCATATCTCCATTGAGATGATATTTATATATTATATATCTTTTTTTATAATATTTTATCAAGTGATAATCATTGTAGAACGTAAATAAAAGAAAGAAAAGAAAAACAATTTAATAAAAAGAAAAAAAAATAATATGAATTAAGTTTCTTAGTAAAGTATTTTTATAACAAAAACTAATCATTCGAATAATATCAATGATAATTTTTTTTTTCTTTTTTTTTTTTTTTTTTTTTTTTTTTTTTTTGTTATTAATATAAGATAACCTGTATTGTTGATAAAAAACGACATTAGATGAAGTTGCTGTTCTTCTAACGACAATGATAACCATAAATAGTACTGTAAATCCTTTTCCTATTCAGGAACCATTTTTTTGGGAGCAAAATCGTGAATTTATTCAATAATAAAACAATTATTTAAAAAATATGTTTATAGATCATCAATTATATGATCTCCTTTTTGTGATAAATGTATGATTTTTTCTGATACAGTAAGAAGAAGAGGTTAAACCTCTCTTTGATTGGCAAAGCGGCTGAGCCTATTTATACTCCGAGAATGCCACGATTTTTTCATAAAACTATATTATTTATTTATTTTTATTTTTTTTCATTATGCTTTTTTTTTTTTTTTCCTTTTCTTTCTCCCCTTTTTTTTTTTTTTTCTTTCTCATCCATCTATTATTTATTTCTGACTCATTTTTTTATATACATTTTATCTATGGCATGAAATATAGCCATGAGTGGACAACGCCAAACAAAAACGACATCGTCACTGCGGAAGCGTAGTGCTTCTATCAACACTTTGACTACTAATTTTCGTCCACCCCATGCACTCTCTAAACCTCTCAAATCAGCTTTGGCTCAACCTAATCTCTCTTCCACTATCCATGGTAATGTAACTTTTTTTCCGACGGCACTAAACGATGAAAGTTATTTTCCAACATATGACTATGAAGAACATGAAACACCTATATTTCCAAATCTAACTCAACGACGCAACGCCACCTCTGTTAGAATAGATACTCCTGAACGGCCTCCAGATCTAGAAATTGAACATTTATTCCACGATGCTGCAGTAAAGTTTTTTTTTTTTATTTATTTATTTATTTATTTCTTACGGTTATCATAAAAAAAAAAAAAATTAATAATATCATTTTTTTTTTTTATTGATAAAATAGAAACGACTAGAATTGGATTTGATTGATATACCAAAATTACCTATAGACAACAAATGGTGGATTCTTTGTAATGAAAGTCAATTCACAAAATTAGGCTCAATGATCAATAAGAAGAAAAGCAAAAACAAAGTCAAAAGCAAACAATCAAAGAACTCTCAACCAAAACGACGATCACCTACCTATTATATTGATTTGTTCCTGGATCCAAATAGGGAAGGGAAACTAACGATTGATTCAGTTTCAGATGTCGGTCATCAATTAACCACTATGCCGATCGGGTAAGATGGATGGTAAATTATATAGTAAGAAGAATATTTTAAATCTGGATTAACGTACTCTTTTTTTTTTTTTTTTATTATTATTATTATCATTATTATAGATGGGTACGCAAGTTTATTGAAGAACGTGGAATGCAAATTATTGCCAATGAATTGGCTGGTATCAATAAAAATCCTCACAGGTAATTTATATATATATAAAATATCATATCATTTTATACCCTAATGTTTATTTTTATTTAATAGAGATCAACATGCATGTCAAATTGAACTAGAAATTATCAAATGTTTGAAATCTATGATGAATAATGTGGTATGTAAAAAGAGATTCAATGGAAGATTTATATTTATATATATTTTTTTCTTCAATAGTATGGTATTCAAGATGCATTAGATGGATCATTATGTGTGGATAATTTAGTATTATCTATGTTATCTCCCTTTGTTCCAGCAAGAAAGATGGCATGCGATACTTTAACATTTCTATGTTATTGTGATATACCCACTGGTCATACTATGGTACTACAAGCGATGGAATTACTTCGAGGTTACGAAGGAAATGAATATGGACGATTTGATACTTGGCTTCGTTCAGTGGAAAAGGCACTTGATGGTCGTGGAAAAATGGGCTCCCTGGTTGGTGTAAGCAAGGATCTTATTTTGACTGATGGTACCAAAAATCCTGACACCATTCTCTTGGAATACTCGGTAATAATGATCTTGTTTTTATCTATCTATCTATTTATTTATTTATTTATTTATTAAACTCATATATATATTAGTTAGCTAATGTTTTGCTCATCAATGCAATTGTGGATCCTGAAATTATGGAAGAAACTCATGTACGTGTATCTCTCCGGAATCAACTTCATCATGGTGGTATTGATCAAATATTTGAAAAAATGGCTTTATTCAACAATGAACTATTGAATCGAAAAATTGATGAATTTTGGGAATTGGAGGAAAATGACAATGAATCTATCTACGGTGACTTGGATATCAATGATGCTATTGACCCAAAGGATATGCTTGATAGAATTTTGGCTTCTCTTACTGGTACTCGTGCTTACGAATTCTTTCATAGTATATTACAACATCTATTAATGATTCAGTGTGATAACGACAAAAGGTAAAAAAAAAAAAAAAAAAAAAAAAAATGTAAAGATAAAAAGAAAGATAGAAATAAAAAAAAATAGGCAAATGATATGAATTCTTATATATTATTATTGTTATTATTATTATTATTATTATTATGACATCTTAGGAATCGATATTATCAGCTAATAGAATCGGTAGTCAATCAAATCGTATTGGATCGGAAAGGGGCACCCAATGATTTTTCAACAACTTATGGAATTACTGTGGATAAGCTTATGACAAAATTTGCTGAAAACGACAAACTTGAACAAGCATTAAAAGAAGCTCAGGAAGCAAAAGAAGAAGCGGCCAATGCTATAGCTCGTGAAGCGGAACTTCGGGAACAAGTAGATTTAAAAGCAGGTAAGGAAACCATATACATATATATTTGGAACAATGAAAAAGTAATGTATATTCATATGAAATTAGGTGGATTGGTTGGACAGCTTAAACACAAAAATGATTCTTTGGAAAGAACTCTTCGTATTGCCAATCAAACTAATACCATGTTACAACAAAGACTCAGCGATCTTGAACTTGAATATCAACACACTTTAGATGCAATGGATTCTCAGACCAAACGATTATATGGTACTGTACGGCAATTGACGGAATACGGATCACCAACAACAAAACGGCATCGATTACGTGGTAGCAAAAAAGTGCGGGCAGAATTAGATATCACTAAAATGCGTAGGAATTCAGCTTTACCTAGTCTTACCATGCCATCCAACAACAATGATAGATATGATGCACCTATTACACCACCAAGCGCTATATCCGAAACATTCAAGCAATCACTACGAGCAAAGATTGGATCAACTGTCAGTAGCTTTGTCCGTCGGTCAACTTCCCAAAATTCAAAGAAAAGTAGCACATTGTCGAAACGTAGTAGTAATGATGATAAGGCCAGTACAACATCTACATCTCCATCATCATCATCATTATCATCATCAAGACATCAACATTCAAGTTCAATTGGACACGTGGATACATTCGTTATACAATCTACTACTCATCTGAAATCACCATGGAACGACACTGACGAAATCACACCACCTCCAGATATGTCAGTTTTGACCTCGCCATTATCGATCGATGGCGACCATATTTTCTCACCACGATCACCTACTCCATCGGCTTTATTGATTTCTCCTTTTGAATCAACTACAAGCTTGCATTCTATTGAAAATCAAGATCATTCTTCCAGCAGATTGACTCTATTGCCTTCATCAGCAACAGCATCAACGTCTTCCTTATCACCACAAGTTATAGAAGGATCCTCATCACCACCACCACCTACTTCACCACCTTCGCCAACTATTTCATCAATACTCACTCCTCCTCCTCCACCACCACCACCTCCTCCTCCACGTAAGTTGAAAAAAAAAGAAAACAAAAGTATAAAATTATTTGAATCAATTAGGGGAAAAAAGGTTAAAATGGAAAGATAGTTAATACATTCTTCTTCTTGTTTTTTTTTTTTCTATAGTAACTGCCGTTGGAATGGCATCATCGTCATCATCATCATCTCTGCCTCCTCCTCCGCCTCCTCCTCCACCACCACCACCACCGATACCACTAATGGGAGCTTATGATTTGTCAACTGCCAACTCTGATTGTGGATCTGTTGGGTCCTTATCTGTGACAGCAAGTGGAGCAACAACGCCAACTCCTCCTTTCCTCAGTTTAACCAATCGCAAGTCTAGTTCATTTCAAGCCAAGCAAAAGCTGAAATTTGTAGAATGGGAAAAGATGAATGTAACCAAGATCAATTCTACTGTTTGGAATCATTTGGATGCTGAAGTTAGTAGCACTGGAAACGCAGAATCATTGGATCATCTATTGGAACTACAACTTGCCCAAGCTGGTGTCTTTGAAGATATTGAAAGGGTATTTGCTCAAAAACCCGCTGTGCATTTACAAATGAATAGACCCAAGGAGCGAGTGCAGGTATTAGATACAAAAAAGGCGTATAACTTGAGTAAGGAAACCAAAAAGAAAAAAAAAAATTGAAAAAAACAGAAAAAGATTGACCATATCTTTTTTCTTCTTCTTCTTATTATATTATTATAGATATCTTCATCACGAGCATGACCAAGAAAATCTCTTTTGAAAATATTCGTCCAGGTATACTCAACATGGACAGTTACTTTGAAGATGAACAAATCTTATCAAATCTATTGAAATTTTTACCAACACCCGAAGAAACCGGAAAACTTGCTTCTTATACCAATGCTTCCCCTGGAGAACTTTTGGATTTATCACCACCAGATAAGTTCTGCCTAGAAGTAAGTGTGAATGTAATCTATACTACTGAAGAGTTGTTGAATATTTTTTCTCTTTGGAAATAGATGATGAAAATTCCTCGATTGAAGGAACGTATCGAAAATATGTTATTCAGGGTTACATTTTGGGAAAGATATCAACAACTTCATCAACAAATGACGGCGGTTTTTGATGCTTCTTTATCATTGGAACATGCTCGAAATTTTAAAAGATTATTACATGTAAGAAAAGAGTTTGGGAATGACAGTTTGAGTTGTATTTTTATTAATTAATTCATTTTTCTTTTATAGCTTATTCTGCTTCTTGGCAATTTTTTGAATGGTCAAACCTATCGAGGTGGAGCATTTGGATTTAAAATTGCAAGCATTAACAAGGTATCATATAAAATCGATTTATCAAATGATCACTCATATTTTTCAAACTTTTTTTTTTGATGATGTTAGTTAATCGATACAAAAGGTGCAACATCTTCAACTACTTTACTTCATTTTTTGGTTGATATTGTGGAACAAAACTTTCCGGAAACAACGGACTTTTTGGATGAACTGGATGATTGTGGAAAAGCCTACAAAAGTAAAAAAAAAAAAAAAAAAAAAAAAAAAAAAAGGAAAAGTCAAACTGGGCTACCTAATAGACTTATACCCTTCTACTTGAATATTTTCCTTTAGTACCACGAACAGAAATCAACAATGAATTCCGTGAACTTGAAGATGGACTGAATACTTTGGAAAATGAACTCAAACAACATACAAATAATACTTCTTCAGGCGATCTGTTTGGTCAAGTAATGCAACGGTTCTATGAGGAAGCCACCACTGAATTCAAAAGAGTATATCTTTTACGTGACAAAATGACTGAAAGTTATGAACAAGTTGTCCGATTTTATGGCGAAGATCCTGTGACCATGCCACCTGATGAATTCTTTGGTATCTTCAAGACATTTACAACAACATGGGAGGTAAGCCAGACTTATTTTTCTTATATATTATAATTATTCATATATTATTATATCTATAGAAATGTTCTTTGGATGCAAAATTGGCGCAACAAAAGAAGGAACGGTTGGAAAAGCAAAAGATCAGGGAAATGGAAAGAAGAACAAGGGTTCGAAGTGGTTCATATGCAAAATTCAAAGGTGTTGATACCAATAACTGTAAGTGATTATCCTTTTTTTTTTTTATCAGATGACTCAATTCATTCGTTTTCTTTTTCTTTTTTTTTCTATTGATAGATGCAAGTGCAGATCAAGAAAAATCGATCATGGATAGTTTGATGGAAAAACTACGTACGGGAACTTTAGAAGTGAAGACAAGAAGAAAAAGTGAACGTGGACGACGACAACGATCTGTTAGTATTCATTCTTTACAAAATGCTGACTCGATATCCTTACGTGCTCAACGAATGTTGAACTCGATACAAAATGATGGTGATTTGACAGCAATGACCAATACAAATGGAACTATGGAACATCATGGAAATAGGGATTTGAAAGTATCGACCAAACATGGTTATGATATAGATCGTGGTCCAGTATCTGCACCTATGCTTGCACCAACAGAATATGGTGTTGGAACCCCTATCTCAGCACCACCAGTAAGTAGACCCAAAAAAAAAAAAAAAAAGAGTAGATCTTGTTATATGTATTTACTCACCTTTTTTTTTTTTTCTCTCTCTTTTTCTTTTTTTAGTCATCTGCTGGTCATGCGATATCTTTATTAAGATCAACTCAATCCACTCGTTTAGTAAGAACAAGAAAAACAAGTAAAAGGCCACCTTTATTTGAACGAAATTTACGATCTGCAAATCGACGATCTACCATCAGCAAAGGAAGCGGCATAGAAGGGGGTTAAATATGCTTATGATTTATATATTATCTTATGATTATTATTATTATTATTAGTTAGTATACCTTTTTTTTTATTTTATTTTTATCCTTATTATCATATTATATGTATTTTATACCATTATTTCAGAGTGGCAAATCTTCTTATATATAAAATAAAATATCGTACTTTCCCAAAATGAATGTCGCATTACTACTTTTTCAGATATCTCTCCAGAGATGTCAGTAGAGTACATTAAAAACACATAACATATTGATGATAACTTGTTTATTAATAATAAAAGACACAAAAGAAAAGTAACATGGGCTTATCATATTTTTAGCAGCTTTGGGTGTTGTCCATACTTTTTTAGGTATCGATTGATTGACGATTGATGATTGATGAAATGTGATAACGGATGATTGTATATTGGATGATATGTGATAATGGATGATTATATGTTGGATGATTATATGTTGGATGATTATAGAATGGATGATGGATGATGGATGATTGTATGATTGTATAATGGATGATGGAACATTGTCGTCAGTCACTGTACAAATTTCTGATAAAATACAAAATATTTTATTCTAGTCGCCTTCTGATAGAACAGCATTTTCTTTTTCTTTTCTTCTTTTCTTCGGAAAAAAAAGTCAAAACACTCTTTTATCGTCCAACATGATAAATCAATATGATAATAATGATGATTCATTACATCAATGGAAATTAAAAAATAGCAACAGTAAATATGCTCTGCACAACCATACTATCATTTAAAATAGAACGCTAAAAAAAAAAAAAAAAAAAGAAAACTAGTCATCAAACTAAAGCACGGCAAAAACAATTCAACCAAACCATCGTCACTTCAAGTTATGGAATCATCCATCAGTACAAACCGCATTACAACTATGGAGGAAATACTACATCGACACGACTTTGGACGCCTTGGATGCATTGAAGCAATTTTATGATCAGGATGAAATTCGAGGTTTAAAGTTCTTAAACCACAAAGGTCGACAACGGAGAAGAAAACGCCAGCAACAAGGACGGCGAAGAAGAAGAGGGCTTAATAACGAAGAAAGAAGGTATGAAAAAACAAGTATAAAGTCGTAAGTTTGTCTGATCGAACATACACACAAAAATCATATTGATCCTTAATTTTCTCAAATAGAAAAATGGAAGAAGGCCGAAGTTACACATGAACCCTCCAAAGTTCCATTAGTTGTCTTTGGCTCTGCAACGTTTGGACGAAATGTATTCAAAAGGAAGCCTGCAGTGCTAGCTGAAGGGTGCCGAACTTCTACTTAAGAAAGGTGATAGTCAAGGACGATTAATACCGATCGACATGGATGAGTTCTACACACATCGTCATCAGTTTGCTCTGGGCATGGATACAAGAATATGAACAAAGTAGAGTTACTGCAGTGATTGCACATTAGTATAGCGTACATACGTGACGTTAATTCCTCTCGAAACATCTGTGCCTTATTCATGAATACGGTGATCAATGGACAGCCATCTGGACACTTGGCAAGACTCCATCACTGCTTTGTGTAATGAAAACGTGTTTTAATGATTATACTGTAAGTTGCAAAAAAAAAAAAAAAAAAAAAAAAAAAGATGTCTTCCTATTCGATTCACTAAATCTTTTTTTTTTGTTCCAATTTTCATCTCAATGATCTACATTTGATGGATAGAAAATGAAAAACTTTATCGATTCCTAAAATGGAAATTCGGAGTTAGATTCTGACAGCACAGATGCCATGAAAAAGATGAATCATTATGATGACTCACACTGCCCCTCCAAAAAGTCACTTTTTTTTTTTCTCTCTTTTTCTATAAAATTAACTAGTATTTTTTTTTTCCCTCCTTTTTTTTTTTCTTTTTTCTTTTTTTCTTTTTTCTTTCTTATTATCAAAATAAATAAACGCATTACTTTCTCTTTTTTTTTTTCATTGACGTCTTTTTCTTTTTACCCCACAACAAAAAGAAAAACTCATAACTCTACCTTTTTCTTTTCTTAATTTTTACATGAATTGTGGTTTTTATTTGATTACCTCTGGTCTTCTTGCGTTCGACAAAACTTATATTGACAACATTCTTATCAAGTGAATATGTATAGCCGTCTTTCTTCTCAAGTAAAACATCATTTCAAGCCTTCTTCTTCTTTGGTGGCCCGTGCTTCCTTTACCTCTTCTTCTACTCTTCGTTTTTCTCAAAAAAAATCAAACCTTGTCACTCGTGGTGTTTTGCCTACGTTATCTCGTCTTTCTATCAAATCTACTCATGTTACTCCTCTTGGTATTCGTCCTTTCTCTACTTCTATGATATCTTCTTCTTCTTCTACTCGTGATGGTGCTGCTGTTCAAGTATCTGAAGAAATCCTTGGTCATGTTCCTTTAGTGGATGTCAAAAAGGTTCTTGTTGTTGGTTCAGGTGGTCTTAGTATTGGCCAAGCTGGTGAATTTGATTATTCTGGTAAAACCAATATATATAGATATATATATATATAGATAGATAGATAGCTTAATTCTTTTTTTTTTTTTTTTTGTAATATAGGCTCTCAAGCTATTAAGGCTTTACGTGAATCTAATGTTGAAACTATTCTTGTCAATCCCAATATTGCTACTATTCAAACTTCTCATTCTTTGGCTGATCAAGTTTACTTTTTACCTGTGACTCCTGAATATTTAGTACATATTCTGGAACGTGAACGTCCTGATGGTATTCTTCTTACTTTTGGTGGTCAAACTGCTTTGAATTGTGGTATTCAATTAGATCGTATGGGTGTTCTTGATCGTCTTGGTATCAAGGTACTTGGTACTCCTATTCAAACTCTTGTTACTTCTGAAGATCGTGATTTATTTGTTAAGGCTCTTAATGGTAAAATAATAATAATAATACTACTATTTTTTTTTTTATTTTTTTTTTTACTCATTGTTACTCATCTCCCTCTTAATTTTTTTTTTTGCTTTATTTAGAAATCGACATTCCTGTTGCCCAATCAACTGCTGTAGAAAGTGTTGATGAAGCTTTAAATGCCGCTGGTGAGATTGGTTATCCTGTTATTGTTCGATCTGCTTTCTCTCTTGGTGGTCTCGGATCTGGGTTTGCTGCCAATGAAGCTGAATTACGATCTCTTGCTACTAAATCTCTTGCTTTAACTCCTCAACTTTTGGTCGAAAAATCAATGAAGGGTTGGAAGGAAGTGGAATATGAAGTGGTTCGTGATGCTGCTAATAATTGTATTACTGTGTGTAATATGGAAAACTTTGATCCTCTTGGTATTCATACTGGTGAATCTATTGTTGTGGCTCCTTCCCAAACCTTATCTGATGAAGAATATCATATGCTTCGTACGGCTGCCATCAAAATTATTCGTCACTTAGGTGTGGTTGGTGAATGTAATGTTCAATATGCTTTGAATCCTGAAAGTTTGGAATACAAGGTCATTGAAGTGAATGCTCGTCTTAGTCGTTCAAGGTAAAAAAAAAAAAAAATACAAAAAAAAAATAATAAAAAAAAAGACTTAAGAGAATATCTTATTAAATTTATTTATTTATTTTTTTTAGTGCTCTCGCTTCCAAAGCTACTGGTTATCCTCTTGCTTTCATTGCTGCAAAGATTGGTTTGGGTCATACTCTTCCTAGTCTTCAAAATGCTGTCACCAAAACAACTACTGCTTGCTTTGAACCTTCTTTGGATTACATTGTCACCAAAATTCCTCGATGGGATTTGGGTAAGTTCCAATATGTCGATCGTCACATTGGATCTTCTATGAAATCAGTTGGTGAAGTCATGGCTATTGGTCGTACTTGGGAAGAAAGTTTACAAAAAGCTATCCGTCAAGTGGATCCTAGCTGGCAAGGTTTCCAAGCTCTTCCTGCTGCTTTCGAAGACGTCGATGATGTGTTGACTGACCCTACTGATCGTCGTCTGTTTGCTATTGGTCAAGTGATGCTTTCGCAAGACAAGGCTATTCGTGAAAAATACACCGTTGACCATCTTCATGATTTGACCAAAATTGACAAATGGTTCTTACACAAGCTCCAAAATATCGCCAATGTCCATCACAAACTTGCTGAAACAAAGGGTGTTGACTTGGAATCTATTCCTGTGGATTTGATCAAGGCTGCCAAGAAGACTGGTTTCTCTGATGTGCAAATGGCCAAGTTATTAGGTGCTGAAGAATTGGCTGTACGTGAACTTCGAAAGAAACATGCTATTACTCCTTTTGTCAAGCGTATTGATACTTTGGCTGCTGAATTCCCTGCTCATACCAACTATCTTTACACTAGTTACAACGCTACTTCTGATGATGTTACTTTTGATGATAAGGGAACCATGGTACTTGGTTCTGGTGTCTATCGTATTGGCTCATCTGTTGAATTCGATTGGTGTGGTGTTTCTTGTATCCGTGGTCTTCGTGATGTTGGCGAAAAAACTGTCATGGTCAACTACAATCCTGAAACTGTCTCTACCGATTTTGATGAATGTGACCGTCTCTACTTTGAAGAATTATCTTTTGAACGTGTGATGGATATTGCTGAAAAGGAATCTGCCAAGGGTGTGGTTGTCAGTGTTGGCGGTCAATTACCTCAAAATATCGCATTGAAATTATATGACAACAACATCAATGTACTCGGAACTTCTCCAAAGATGATTGATGCTGCTGAAGATCGATTCCAATTCTCAAAGATGCTTGACAAGATCGGTGTGGATCAACCAGCCTGGAAAGAATTAACAAGTGTGGATGAGGCTTATGGATTTGCTGATAAGGTTGGTTACCCTGTACTTGTACGTCCCTCTTACGTGTTATCTGGTGCTGCTATGAACGTTGCCTATACTCCTGAAGCATTGAAGAAGAATCTAACCGAAGCTGCTAATGTGTCTCCTCTTCATCCTGTGGTGATCACCAAGTTTATCCAAGGTGCTCAAGAAATCGATGTTGATGCTGTTGCTCATAAGGGCCAAGTGCTCGTGCATGCTGTGTCTGAACATGTAGAAAATGCTGGTGTTCATTCTGGTGATGCTACTTTGATCTTACCTCCTCGTGATCTCAGTGCAGATGTGATGGATCGTCTCAAGGATATTGCTGATCGTGTAGCCAAGGCATTTGAAATTACTGGTCCCTTCAACATGCAAGTGATTAAACAAGACATCAACAATGATACCGCCCTCAAGGTGATTGAATGCAACTTGCGAGCATCTCGTTCTTTCCCATTCGTTTCCAAGGTACTTGGTGTCAACTTTATCGATGTGGCTACTCGTGCTTTGGCTGGTAAAAGTATACCAGAACCTGTTGATTTGATGAAGAAAGAATATGACTACCAAGCCATCAAAGTACCTCAATTCTCATGGACCCGTTTACAAGGAGCTGATCCTTTCTTGGGAGTTGAAATGGCATCTACTGGTGAAGTGGCTTGTTTCGGAAAGGATAAGTATGAAGCTTACTGGGCATCTATTCAATCTACTCAAAACTTCCGTATCCCTACTCCTGGTGCTGGTGTGTTGATGGGTGGTGATGATGTAACGGATTTGGACGATTATCTTCATGTAGCCAAGGTATTCCATAATGATATGGGTCATCCTATCTTTGTACCTACCAAACAAGATCAACAAGTACTACAAGAAAAGGCCAACATTCCATCTGTGGTTCTCCCTGTGGCTGAAAAGGCTGAAAACAAACGTGAATTGAATGCTCTCTTCCAAGACAATGGTATTGACTTTGTCATGCATCTTGCCAAGATTCGTGCCCCTGATCAATATGATGAAGGTTATATCTGTCGTCGTGCTGCTGTTGATTTCGGTATTCCATTATTGAATGATTCCAAGGTTGCTCGTTTGTTTGCTGATGCTTATGTCAAAAAGTCTACTGAATTGGCCAAATTACAACCTGGTGAATTACCTAGTGAAGTCAAGCGATGGAGTGACTTTGTATCTACCAAGATTTAGATTTCTTTTTTTTTTATTATCATGTTTTTCTTTCTTTTCTTTTTTTTTTTTTTTTTTAAAAAAAAATTATCTTTTTTTAGTTTTTATGCATCAGTTTTCTTTTCTCCATTCATAGAATAATAATAATAATAAAAAATCATATATTTGAAATTTCTGTTGAAACCGGAGTTCACTTTTTTTTTTTTTTTTTACCCTATTTTTCTCCTCTCTTCTTTCATTTCTTCTTTGTCTCTCTTTTTTTCTTTTCTTTTCTTTTTTTTTTTGTTGATTTGTATTTGTCATGAATCATACTAATATACGATCGAAACTATCACAACAGTATGATCAGGATGAAGATCTTGAACAATTGCAACATGAATTCTTCCATTCTAATCAAGTCTCGTCCGCTTCAGTCTCGCGCAAACCACCTCCAAGTTTTGAAACTTCCAGTAAAAAGAAACCCAGTTTATTTGCCCAACGTCGAGCAGCAGCAGCAGCAACAGCAGCAGCAGCAAAAACAACTTCAGATATACCTTTATCAAAGAAATCTGTCATTACAATAGCTGATCTTGCCAAAGGTAGATCTCCTTCAAGGTAAACAAACATGGAGGAATTATTTGGATCGGTTGTTACAATTAAAAAAAATCTCTAGAAAAATAACTCATGTTCTCTTTTTTTTTTTTATTTTTGATACAACAATAGTAACATGATGCCAGAACTTGAAACAACATCAGATATGCCTGAACTGGAAGAACCAAATATGCCTGGATTGGAATCAAGTCAACAAGAAGATCCACAACTCAGCTATGAACCAGTAATGGATCCTCACCCAGATCAACCTCACGTACCTGCCATGAAGAAAATGCTAGATCTCACCTCCATGCTAGGTAATGTACTTGGTGAAGTGACTGAACATTCGGTGGACAAGGTGTCGGCACCTATGATGAATCCTCAACAACAACAACAACAACAACAACAATATGGATTTCCTCAGCCGGTACATCGCAGTGTCTTCAAAATGAATAAACTCAAGTCCTCAAATGACAACAAGCCTGTTGATTTATCATCCAAGTCTTATCAAGATGAAAACATTCAGCGTATCTCAGCCATGACAGAGGATGAAATTCAAGCAGCTCGTGACGAAATTCTTGGTAGCCTGAGTGCTGATTCCATCGCCTATTTACAACGATCATCACAACAAGGTCTTTCCAATGATATCAAGGAAACTACTTCAGAAACTTACCAGGATGAGAACAATCAACGAATTGCAGCCATGACAGAGGATGAAATTCAAGCAGCTCGTGATGATATTTTGAGTAGCCTTAGTGCTGATTCCATCGCTTATTTACACAAACGACATCAACAACATAGCAAAACAGCATCTTCAACAATGAACAACGATGATAAAGATGATGATTTATGGGCAATGAAAAACAAATATTTTGCGGACGTTCCTTTGGAAAGCGATAAATTGGCATGGATGGATGATCGATTCAAGGTGGATAAGAAAGATAGTATGGAAGATGGTGTGGATCCTATTTACCGACAACTTCGATTCGATCTCCAAGGACGGGTGGTGATGAACAATGATGATCAACCTCGAAAACAAGAATTACATCATCATGGTGATCAACCTGACAAAGCTGGATATACATTGGCGGAACTATTTTATTTGGTGCGAAGTCAAGTGCCATCCCAAAGAGCTCTGATTCTCAACATCTTGACTCGTATTTTGGAACAAGCCAAGAAGGATCTTTCTTTACAACAAAACTTGGCCATTATTCAAGTTTTTCGTCGGCGTGATGTGGCTGCAGCTGTATATTTTCGATCTGCTTTAGATGACAGTCATCTGGTGGTGGTGATCAGTGCCATTCAAGCCTTGGTATCTTTGGTGACAATAAATCGACGAGACACAATGGATGAAGAAACAAAATTGGCGGCATTCAACACTTGGCTTGGTCATATTGCTCAACCTGAACTCACGGAAACTCAACAAACAACCAAGGAATGGGTCAAGACGATGAAGTCAACTAATCGTGGTGATGATGATGATGATGAAAAGGAGGATGATGTCAGTTTGGCAGAACGTGATATAGTAGCCGGTTTAATACAAATGAATATATTGGCACGACTTGGTTATCTGATGGCAGTGGACAGTGATGTACGTGTATCTGATCGTATATCTATGGAACGTATGGTATATCTTTTGACATGTATGGCGGAAATGAAAGGACAAGATGTTTGTGAAGAAATAATGACCAGTGGTGTATTGGATCTTACGATTGGATGGTTGGATGATCAACAACAAAAAGAAGAAGAAGAAGAAGCTTATCATCGATTATGTGTATTAAAATTATTGATGGCGGTGGTACAAGGTAGCAAAAAAGTGGCAATGGATATGAAAGATATGGTAACAACATTGACCTTACCATGGTTGGTGACCACACCCGTCACACAAGGTGATTACCAAGTTCAAATCGAAAGTATCAAGGTGCTCCGAGTGCTTGCCTGTTATGGATTTGTAGTACCAACATTAACTGATTTACAAGACACGATGATGCAATGGTTGATTTTGGCCACGAAGGAAAATGACATGATCAAGACAGACAGTATCGTCATCATCATCAAGGACCGGGCGGCCACGGTGATCGGATTATTAGAGGTATTACTGCATGCAGCAGCCGATCCACACAAAACAATTCCTGCTCACACGATCAATTGGCATCAACCGACAGCATTTGTACCTTTAATCACCGCGTTACTTTGTACAACGATGACGACTACAACAACAACAACAACAAAGCATCTAATGCTGCATGGTAGCTGTTTGGGTTATTTATCAACATGGACAAGTTATCTCGACAAATTCCCACCAGATTCGAATGATACGCTGCAAGAAGTTTGGAAGGTCATGCAAGCACAACAAATAAATCAATATCAAGGACAATCAAGTCATTGGATACTACGATACATGCAATTATGGTTGTACTTTACAAAACTCCGAATGAATACAAGTATGATGGAACAGGCTCAAACGTATTGGAAATCTTTGGATTTTCTGGTGGACCAGTGTCATGATGATTTCTATGGAAGAATGGTATATTATCTCTGGCACAATAACCATTTGGAAAAAAAACGTGGTATAGATGACGTGACGGTGGGAAAGGTGGTCAGCAGTTTACATGCAGGTGTTGTGGAAACGTGGCTAGCGCGGGCGCTCATGCAGATGTGTATATTCTGTTATTTTGATGGTGATTCGACTTTGGAATCTTTTTATATACAGGAAAGTGATGTACAATTGTCCAAGGCACTGATGGATATAAATGGTCAAGCTATTACTACTTTATGTTACCCCAAGAAAGGATTATTTATGGAAGTGGATGCATGGCTATTATCACCTGTGGATGAAATATATTATTGGGACAAGTCACGGGTGACACAGCAGCTATTAAGAACAGAAAAACAACAGCCACATGGATCGACACAACAACAACAACAACAACGAATCATTAACGTGGTGACGAAAACATTACGAACAATATGGCAATATTATCGACATCGTATGGATCATAGTATGATATTAGTGACATTGATGAAACTGTTTTTGGTGGGTGATCGTGAAGGTCAACATGGAATATTACCAGAAATCCGAGAAATCTTTTGGGATGAAGAATTATCTATATGTATAGATGAATGGATGAATTTATTAGAAGAACAACATGATCTCTCTTCAACATCTTTGGAACAAGCATGGATAAGATCTTCAAAATATACTCGTCAAGCTGATGTACCTTTTTATCCATTTTATCAATCATTTTTATCTCAGTATGCTTCTGTGTCTTTGGGTCATCGGGTCTATTCCAGAGTCTTGGCTTTTGTAGCTACGACATTGTCGGATCAAGTAGATTATCGTCAATTATTGCTATCTGACTATCAAGAAATTTTGGTGACATTGGAACGACAAGGTTATCCAGTTAGTTTAAAAACGTGATGATAGTAGTTATAGTAATCTGGGTTTTGATTTTTGATGTATTCATTGTTGAACCAGTTTTTTTTTTTTTTTTTTTTTTTTTTATTAAACGATTTGTTTGTCTCCCCCCCTTTTTTTTCATTCTAATTTGTTGTCTTTTACATGATTATTTGTTATTCTCGGAGTGAAAAAAAAAGGATGATGATGGTGCGCGCGGACAGGAAAGAAACAAACGGTATCACGTGGAATCTTGTTGTCTTTTTGCATCGTTCTCCCTCTTTTGCATTGACAAATGTAAGTTGTTGGGTTGAAAAAAGAAATAGGTGTAACATTTAATGCAGTTAAAGAAAAAGAAAAGGGGAAGAACCTTTTGAATGTGAGACAAGTTTGCAACTCGGCAACAACCCGTTTTTTGACACAAGTCATATGTCCGGTTCTTTTACTATAAATAAGGAACTCTTCCGTTAATCCATTGAAAGTATCTTTTTTTTTTTTCTTCTTTTTTTCTTTTTTTTTTTTCTTTTTTTTCTTTTTTTTTTTTTTTTTTTTTAATTCATTTTAGACATTTCTTCTATATATATATAATAAATATATATATATATATCATACCCATTATTTATTTATTTTTATATATATATATCCCATCATGAATTATTTACCATCACCACCATCATCACCTTTAATGATAAATACAGAAGAAGACAAAGTATTATGTGGATCATGCGACCGAGTGTTAGGAACAGACTGGTTTTGTTCATCATGTCATACTCGATGTTCAACTTGTAATCGATTTCTAACCAGTCAAGAATATTGTACAAGATGTTGGTTATATGATCAAGGTCATCGTACACTGATACGTCGACGACGAGTCACCTCTACTTCTTCTACATCATCTGTTCAATCTACAGCATCACAGGTAGCTGCATCTTTAGTATCTCCTAGTTCATTCATGACTCCTTCTCCTACTACAAGTAGTAGTAGTCTTTCAAATCATGATCATCCTTATTCTTTTTATTATTAACTTATCTTGTATAAAAATAAATAAATAAATAAATAGTGTATCATAAAATATTTAACTCATGCAAGATGATATGTTGTTTATCATGGGAAAAAAAAAAGATCATCCCTTTTTTTTTTTTATGGGGCTTTACCTTTTGAAACGCCAAACATGATATAAATAAAATCTTGTTTCTCTCTCTCTTATCACGCTTGGCAATTTTAGGTTTTTTTCGTTATGTAATTCGACATCCGGAGGTGAAAACAGGGAAATCTCCGCCTCCATTTTTTTTCTTTTGCTTTTTTTTTTCTCGCTTAAACCCTTTTTTTTTTTTAAATGTTATAACTCGATGGAATTTCAAGGATTTCCAAGAATCCATGGGATTTTCTATGCAGTATTTGATATCATCAAAGGAACGGTGGTGAAACATCAAGTACCAGAAGGAAGTATCACTTTACAACAACAACAAGAACATCAACCTTTGATCGATTTTGAAGCCATCAGTGAATATATCATACCGAAGAATCAACTTTATAAACGACTAGTGACCATTAGTACTGGTAACTACAAAGTGATGGGATGTCCTGTTGTTCTTCACGACCATGAAAAATATCGTCACCTTCGAAATGAATTTCGTTTCAATCTTTGTTTTATCTTTGATGACCAGGCCGAAACCACTAGTTATGAAGCTGTTGTTCGCAAACTCTCACGTGTCTTAGAAGGATTGGAGGCAAAAATAAAATAAAATAAAATAAAATAAAATAAAAAATATGTTATATCTCATTCTTCTTTCTTTTTTTTTTTCAATAGCTAGAATGTGATTTTTTATCTCAAGACGTTGAATCGAAAACCGTCCAAAATGTTATTGAACAACTATATGAAGATCTCAATAGTTATTGCGAATGCCAGATACCCATTAGTAAAAAAAAAAAAAAAAAAAAAAAAAAAAGATAGGATGGATAAACTCAATAAACGACTTTATATTCATTAGATACCTTTAATACAATCAATCTCAAACTATTTCCATCTTATCCAAATCCTCCTCCTGTTTATGATTATCAAGTACCTGTGACAACTCTAGATGTGAACAAAATGATGAATTCTAATTGGGATATCACTGTACAAAAGGTATACTAAAGAGAAAAAAAAGGAAAGTAGATATAAGAGATGTATGAAGGTTTTTTTTTTTTTTTTTTTTTTTTTTTTTTTTTTTTTTTTAGGTAGCAAAACATATCAATGGGATCAATCATGTGAAAAAGATATCTGAATTGACCAATGTCAAACCTGAATGGACAAAGATTTGTATGGAACACCTATTGTAAGTAGAGAGAGAGAGAGAGGAAGGATATGACATTCGCTCTTTTCTGACATTACATATAAATTTTTCTTTATTCTTTAGATATTATGGTTGTATTGTGATGACAGATATCTTTCAATTCGGCAATGTATATGCTATCCAACCGGAATTAACAAGATTATTGGATGAAAAGTCTGGTCTTGGTAGAGAATGTTTGGAATATATTACCTTACCTGGTAAGTCGTCACTAAGAATAGATATAATATAATATCATTTTAGACTGATGACTATGATTTTTATTTTAGGTGCTACGGTACCATTACTATCTCGGGTATTTGCTCTTTATAGTGGATTACAATATGGTATATCAGTCAAAGATTGGATGGAAGAAAATCAATTGAATACGCTTCCCATTGATATCAGGTAAAATATATATATAGTCAGCGGTTTTGACTTACGGATTATTATTTTATTTTATATATTAGACGATTTATCTCCTTTGGAGTAATCAAAGGATTCATTTATCGAGTACACAAATACCCTATCTTGGTCAACTGTCATCAACAACAAGAAGGTCGATCTGTGTTCCCGACGGTGGAACAACAACAAAGTTTGATCAATAGGAATACTGGTATGGGGATTTATCCAGAATTATTTCAATATCTAGATGGACAACACCATTACGACGAAATATGTACTCAACTGAAATGTTCACCTCAAGAACTGGATGAACATTTAGGCTACCAGACCAAAGAACTCCCTTTGTTCGATACAACCAATAAAGATGAATGGTGTGTTCGGTTTATTGAACGATAGATCAGTCTAGTTTAGATTAATACATTAGTTTAGGCTTAGATAGAAAAACTATTTTTATATATTTTTTCACTCACAATAAAGTGTACATATTTGATATTATGTCCTTTTTTTTTTTGTGCAACGGGAATCCGACCTTTCTAGACAAATTGTAACTAATAAATGTCCCAGCTTTCTGAAGTTTCCATCCCCTTTATTTTTAGGTTGTCTGATCCTTTTTTTTTTTTTTTTTTTTTTTTTTTTTTTTTAGTCAGAGGAAAATCGTTTTTATTTTTTTGTTCTCAATCTCCTATTTTTTTTTATATATATATTCTGTTCTTTTTCTTTCTTTCTTTCTTTTGCTTTTTTTTTTTTAAAAGAAACGACGATGATCAAACAAGTGTTATATTTAGCCAGTATTCTTATCGTTGGTTTGATCGACCAAGTACATAGTCAATCACCTACATCCATCAGTGGCGAACCTACCTATGTTCCTCAAAACAATTTCCCTTGGAAAAACAAGTATCCTACTCCACTTTCTGTACCTCAAATCAAACCTGAATGGCGACAACTCGTTAACAATGCTACTGTACCGCCAGCTCCTGTTTCTGTCAAGGGTCCTGATGGTTCTCTCCTTCCTCCTCCTCCCGGTGCTCAGGATACTTATTGTCACTGGTCTTTTTCTCAATGTTTACGCACCACTGATATTGCTACTTGTCAAAAAGGAAATTGGGCTCCTGTAAGTTCATCATCATCATCATCATGAAAAAAAAACTTTACTAACAATACCTTTTTTTTTTAACCCCCTCGTTGTCATGATGATGATGTATTTTTTTTTTTTTTAGACATATGATGATGGTCCTTCTCCCTTTAGTGTGAAATTATATGATTATTTGAAACAAAACAATATCAAAGCTACCTTTTTCGTTATTGGTGGTCAAGTTATTCAATATCCTGATCTATTGAAACGGTTGCATGATGATGGTCATGAAATCGGTATCCATACATGGTAAGTTGTTATTCTTCCCCCCCCCCCCCTTTTTTTTGGTTGTCGACTTATTCTTTTTTTTTTTTTAGGTCCCATCAATTATTAACATCTCAAACCAATGAACAAATCATTGCGGAGCTGAAATGGACTGAATTAGCAATTAAGGAAGTCATTGGCTTGTCTCCAAGGTTTATGCGTCCCGTAAGTGGATGATTCTTGTTTTTTTTTTTTTTCTTAAAAGAAGTACTAAGCCCTTTTTTCTTTATTATTATTCTCTAGCCTTACGGTGATATGGATGATCGAGTCAGAGAAGTAGTGAAGCAACTTGGATTCATTCGTAAGTTAAATTGATAATGATATTTTTTTTTATCAGGTTTTTTGTTGGGTAACTAAGCAACAATAATCATTTTTTTTTTAATCTTCCGCTAGCTGTCATTTGGAATTACGACACTTTTGATTGGAAGGTAAAGTGAAAGGTTTCTTATATCAATTTAAAAAAAAAAAATGAATAATTGAAACTTTTTTTTTAATATAGCTTGCATCGGGCACTGTGACTACAACCAGTATTGAAAATACAATTAAAGGATGGGCAGGAAATGCATCATCAGCAACGGTGGGTGGCATTTCATTGGAACATGATATTAGTCAAGCTGGTGTGGATATTGCTGTAAATGCTTTACCTGTATTGAAAGGAGCCTATAATTTGACATTGACAAGTCAATGTGGCAATATTTCTCATGAAGCCACTTTCAAAGAAAATATGAAGAATGATTCCAACAATAGTACTAATAGTAATAACAACAAATCTTCTAGCGATGCAAACGATTCTTTGGTGTTAAAGACAACTGTTAAGTTAGCCACCATAGCATTATTAGTCATGTTGATTTTATAGATCTTTTTTTTTTTTTTTTATTACAAAAATGAATAAATAAATAAATAAATACATAAACAACAAAGAAAAAAAAATATGTAGGCATGATGATGATGATGATCTGTGTATATATTTAGTAGGGATTCTGGAATTCTTGTACCATGATAAATACTGCATTGTCTAGCTCGTGGTAAATAATCCACGCTTTCATATCGACTTTTAAGATAGAACGGAGGAGATCCATTGATAAAAAAAAAAAAAATTTACACTGAACAACTCCAAAGATAAAAATAGATTGAAATCATTGATTAGCTGGGTGTGAAGTATATAATTATAAACTTTCATTCCGCTCCCCCCCTTTGCCCTTTTAGTGCAGTAAGTTTGCGTTCCTCGGATGGAACTTTTTGGTCGCCCGCGGATTTTTTTTTTATACACTATAAAAATAAGGATGAATTTTCTCATTTTATTTTTTTTATTTTTATATCTTTCTTTTTCTTTTCTTTTTCTTTTCTTTTTCTTTTCTTTTTTTTTTTGTCGTTTTTCTTTATAGACGCGTTTTTTCATCTTTTTTTATCCTTTCAAACAAATAATATGTGTGGTATCTTTGGGTAAGTCTTTTTTTATAACAAGTAAAAAAAAAAAAAAAAAAGACAATCTAATATTCATCATCATCATCATCTCATCATCATCTTGATAGTTATCTTAATTACTTGGTGGAACGAGATAGACGTTTCATTATGGACACTTTGGTGAATGGTTTATCTCGTTTGGAATATAGAGGTTATGATTCTGCTGGTAAGTATTAAAAAAAATCATGATTGGAAAAAAAAAGAGAGAGAGTAGTGTGTATATTTGTTTATTATTGTTATTATTCCCCCCCCCCTCTCTCCTTCTTTTTCCTAATCCTTTTTGTTTATCCCATAATTCTTTTTTTTTCAATAGGTTTTGCTTGTGATGGTGATAGTGAAGATTCTACTCTTATCATCAAGCAAGTGGGTAAGGTGGCTGCCCTCAAGAAATTGGTTAATGAACAAGATATTGATTTCAACAAGACTTTTATTAGTCACTGTGGTATGGTAAGTGATTTATCAAAAAAAAAATAAAAATAAAAATAAAAATAAATAAAAACGTCATCAATCAAAAACTCATCCCTATGTTTACATAGGCTCATACTCGTTGGGCTACTCATGGTCAACCTTCTCAACTAAACTGTCATCCTCATCGTTCTGATAACAACAATGAATTCACTATTGTTCACAACGGTATCATCACCAACTACAAAGAAATCAAGTTATTATTGGGCAAGAAGGGTTATACTTTTGAATCAGACACTGATACCGAATGTGTTGCCAAGCTCACTAAATATATCTATGAAGCTCAAAAGGATTCGCCGGGTTTCAATTTCACCACTTTGGTCAAGGCTGTTGCCAAGGAATTGGAAGGTAGTTTCGCATTCATTTTCAAGAGTATTCATTTCCCCAATGAAGTTGTCGCTACTCGTCGTGGTTCTCCTCTTTTGGTCGGTGTCAAGACTGCCAAGAAACTCAAGGTTGATTTCGTAGATGTGGAATTCAGTAATCCTTTGGAAGCTCCTACCTCCACCTCCAAGGATTCCAACAACTTTTTAGGTGTTACCGATGGACAACCTCAATTATTGCACCGTAGCCAATCTCGTGCTTTCTTGTCTGAAGATGGTCTTCCTCAACCTATTGAATATTTCCTTGCCTCTGATGCTGCTGCCATTGTTGAACATACCAAGCGTGTTCTTTACTTGGAAGATGATGATATTGCTCATATTGCTGATGGTGAACTCCACATCCATCGTCTCCGTCGTGATGAAAATGGTGGTACTCCTTCTGCTGCTACTCGTTCTATTCAAACCTTGGAAATCGAATTGGCTGAAATCATGAAGGGTTCCTTTGATCACTTTATGCAAAAAGAAATCTATGAACAACCTGAATCTGTCGTCAACACTATGCGTGGTCGTGTCAACTTTGAAAACCACAAGGTGACTTTGGGTGGTCTTCGTGGTTATCTCAATATCATTCGTCGTGCCCGTCGTATTGTCTTTATTGCTTGTGGTACATCTTACCACAGTTGTTTGGCTGTAAGTTACACATAAAAAAACACGTGGGTTGTCAATGATTCCTCATGCTTTTGTATTTGTTTATTTTTTTTTTTTTTAGACTCGTGGTATTTTTGAAGAATTGACTGAAATTCCTACTCAAATTGATCTTGCTTCTGATTTCTTGGATCGTCGTACCCCTATTTTCCGTGATGATGTGTGCGTGTTTGTATCTCAATCTGGTGAAACTGCTGATACCATCCTTGCCATGCGTTACTGTCTTGAACGAGGTGCTCTCAGTGTAGGTATTACCAACACTGTCGGTTCTTCCATCTCTCGTGAATCTCACTGTGGTGTCCATATTAATGCTGGTCCTGAAATCGGTGTGGCTAGTACCAAGGCTTATACTTCTCAATATATTGCTCTTGTCATGATGGCCATTCAATTATCTGAAGATCGTGTGTCCACTATTGAACGTCGTAAGGAAATCATTGATGGTCTTTACCGTTTACCTGGTCATATCAAGGAAGTACTTGCTGAAGCTGCCAACTTGCAACAATTGTCCTCTGAAACTTTGGCCAAGGAAAAGAGTTTGTTGATTATGGGTCGTGGTTATCAAAATGCTACTTGTTTGGAAGGTGCTTTGAAAATCAAGGAAATCTCTTATATGCACAGTGAAGGTATTTTGGCTGGTGAACTTAAGCATGGTCCTTTGGCTTTGGTGGATGAAAATATGCCTGTGATTTTGATCATGACCAAGGATTCTCTTTATCCTGTAAGTAAAAAAAAAAAAAAAAAGGATAGATGGTTATAGGTTTCAAATGAATTAATATTATTTATTGTTATTACCTATTTTATAGAAAGTACAAAGTGCTTTGCAACAAGTGACAGCTCGTAAGGGACAACCCATCATTATCTGTAACAATGGTGATACTGATCTTATCAGTGGATACAAGACTATTCCCGTCCCTCAAACTACTGATTGTTTACAAGGCTTGGTGAATATCATTCCTCTTCAATTGTTGTCTTACTATCTTGCTCTTCTCAAGGGTCAAGATGTGGATTTCCCCAGAAATTTGGCCAAGAGGTAAACAAAAAAATAATAATAATAGGATTATGATGGAAAAAGTGAAAAAAAAGGTGAAAGTATAATATAACTAATCATTTATTGTATTCACTTATAGTGTTACTGTCGAATAGAAGAAGAATATCATCGTAGTTTAGCTAGTTGACATATTTACACACAAACAAATTCCACTTTTTTTTTAAACACCTTTTATCAGCATCTTCCATTCCCTCTTTTCCCTTTCTTTGCTTTTTTTTTTTTTTCTTTTTTGATATCACAATTTGTCTCTTCCTCATCATCGTCTTTAGTTCAACCAATGGTTTTTTGTAAATAAAAAGACAAATGCTTCAAATGTTTTCTTTATTCGTTACTATGTAAAGGTTATCATCCATCTGTCATTCAATTACTAGTTTTTTTTTTCCATGCGTTTATTTTTTTCTTTTTCTGCGGTTAGGGTTTGAATATATTTGCGGTGATTCCATTTCATCTTGCTTGGGATCAGAAATTATCACATTCAATTTGGACATAACATAAAAAGAAATCATCTTCTGTTATTTTTACCCTTTTGAAAAGTATTAAATTATTATTGCATTTACAGAGTAAATTTAAAAAGGATCATATCATCCTATCATATCATTATTCATTTCTATTAATTTATACAAGAGAAGTGCGGGGCTAATCTCATTGGTTAGCGTTTATGCTTTCATACTTCATGTTTACTTCTACATATATATGTATATTTTCCTTCTCCGCCTTTCTACCATCATTTTGTATTTTTTTTGAGTAATTTCTCAAGGAGGTTTGTTCAATGTGAAGATAAGCCAATGAAAATGTGCCTCTCAGACGGGGATTGAAAACATTAGTTGTGCGTGTGTGGGGATTTTTTTTTTTTTTTTTTTGTTGCAAGATAACGCTTTGCTTCTCTTCTTTTTCTTTTTTTTTCTTTTTGTTTACTCATTGTTAAATACCAACACATTCTTTTCTATTACTATTAGTATTCTTTGAAACTATTCGAAGAATATTTATATACTATTGAAGGACGATATTTAAGTTTTTGTTGTACTTTGTAACATCAATCTACTTTATATACTTCCTACGTTTTTCCGTCATCCTACTACCCCTTTTCTTCATTACTTTCATTCTTTACATCAACATTCTTTATCCTTCTTTTTCTTCTTTTAATTATCATACTACTTGGACAACGGTCTGTTTTTGTATTGAAAACTACTCGCGATTACCTACTTGACATTATCGACACTACGTTTTTTTTTTATTGCTTTGACGATTGACTGGTTTGTCTATTTTATAAAGGGCTTCGGGAAAAAGCCTGTCTTCTCATTCTGTATTATCGCTTCCTGACACAACTTTATTGATTCAAGAAGGGCAGTCCATTCTCTCTTTTTCTCTCTCTCTCTCTTTTTTTTTTTTCTTTTTGGTGTGCGTGCGGCGTTATCAGGTAAAATATATTTATATTAACAGCTGTGACACTTTGTGTTATTATGCAAAAAAAAAGAACCAAATAAAAAAAAATGCAACCTGTTAACTCACAATGGATATACTTCTTTTTTTTTTTTTGTTTTGTTCTCTTTCTTGGATGATTATATTTAGAAATGCAAGGTCGTTCTTATCAGCCATCGATGTCACCTTCATCATCCTTACCGTCAGCTGCCTCTCCCGCTGTTCCGCCATCGTCATCCAATAGTACTCGCAATTCAAAATTGGATCACATTATTCAGGTAAAAAAAAAAAAAAAGGTTATTAATTATTAACCAGTTGTCAATTTTTTTTTCTAACTTTCTTTTTATAAAAAGAACTTTTATACCAAAACAGCACAATTGATTATTCAAGCTCGATTGACTTTAGATGGGAAACAAATGACTAGAGAAAGACGACGAGATCCAAAAAAATTGAATAAATGGGTAAGTGATAACTTATTCTAGGTATTATGTTGATTAACACTTCTTTATATAGTTTAACATTGCTACGGAAGATATCGATTTATTACGGGATGAACTTAAATATTGGCGTACTTTGGCAATCCAATCTTTGGAAGAAGAACCTCCACCAATGATTATCGATATTTATTTGGATACTTCGAAATTGACTCAAAATCAATCTTTGATGGTGATAGACGACAATCTTCGACGAAACAGAGTGGATCTTTGTGAAAACAATGATGATTATCGTATACAAAGGATTCTGATAGAAACTTGGGTGTTGACTTTGAAGTAAGTAAAATAATATCATTATCATCAATAAAAAGGGTCTTAATTTTAATACATATATGTATATATTTTTTTTAGTCATCCATTACCTGATTTCCCTGTAGATCTACCAAATCTTTACAAAAGATCCATTGTCTTCTTTCGATCCTTACATTCTTTAGTTCGATTACTTCCAGCTTATAATCTTCATCGACGGTTACGCAAATTCAATGATGATCGAGATCTTGCTATTGGTTATCAATTCAGCCCCAGGAATATACGGCGGCATGATGAAATTTCATTAGATACTTCCATTCTAGAAGGTGATGCCAGGAATCCTACCAAATCATATACATTCACCGATATTATGACTCCATTAGGGTAAAAAAAAAAAAATGAAAAAAAAAGAAGTATAAAATAATGACATTCCTTATTATTAAATGACTGATCATCTATCTTTTTTTTTTTTTCTATTAGAACTTTTAAACTTCAAGTGAATTACCGAAGAAATTGTGATTTCAAAATCGAAGATTCTGAACGTGATATAAGTGATCGTTTTGTGGATATGGACGAACAATTCTTTACTCCTACTATTGAAAAATACCAACAAGGTTATCATACACCATCAAGACCAAGACCTCTTTCCATGCATGATTCGAGATCATCCATATTATCTGAAATGGTAAAAGATAAGAAAATAATATAAAAGGAATGGGAATTTTGATATCATCTATTTTTATATTTGTCATAGGCTCAATTGAAAGAAGCTCCTACGATCTCTCCAACAACTTCAACAAGTACAAGTAGTCGATATTCACAACCTACTGCTGAGTATTCTGATCCTCGCGAAATTGTTCAACAACGACAACGACATTCTAGTATAGTTCCACGACAATCACCACTTTCCTCATCACCATTGAATCGGGATTCAAAAGGATCAACAGGAACTTCTATCGAACCTAGTATCAGTACATCCAGTACTCCGGTATCAAGACGAACATCAGTTCCTGCATTCTCTCCATTCAAATCACCATCGTTATCATCCTCTCCTCAAGCTGACAATATGCGTAAGAACAATTTTTACATAATATATATATATATATATATATATATATATATATATATTGGCACTGATACTTATCTTTTCATAGTCACTGGATTCAAAACTTCATCCTCTTCAGAAAAAGCAAAATCATCTGGTGTTGAAAGTAGTTCTGGTTCCTTTGGAAGAAAAATCGAATTCTCATCCAGTTTTGACAAATACCGAAGTAGCCCAAGTCGTCTTGATAGTGGTGGAACAAGCATGACAAGAAGGTGGTCCCGCAATAGTGATCACAGCTCGATCAATTTGTTCAGCGTAAGTGTAAATTTATCAGGTTATATATATATGTGCTGATGATCATTTTTAATTATAGGAAATGGAAGATACAGATCTCGAAGAATTTGTTCGATTTGTTGGAGTGAAACAAGAATTGAAATTATTTCAAGGACGTACATCAGGGACACCAACAATTTCAGCCAGTCAACTCATGGAAAGCGGGCAACCTTCGTCCCCAACATCAGAATCTAGTAGTAGCATGGGTGCTAGTGGGTATGGTACTGGATCTATCTATCGATCAAAAAAGGCACTCTCTCATTTCCAAAACCTACGTGAGACACACAACAGTTTATCTGAATCGGTCACTTCAAGTATGATGGCCATGGGTATTGGTGGTGATGGCGACGATGTGACTGGAACTCAACAACAACAACAACAACAACAAAGTGAACCAATAGGAATGACATCTGGTGTTTCTCCTAGTTCTTCTTCCTCTTCTACTGGAAGATCATATCAACCTGTTATACCATCACCTTTACATGCTGAACAACATTCTATATCGCCAGTTCGTATTCCACGTAGTCTTCCACCTCAATTATCTCATACAGGTCTAAGCTCATCGCCTTCTCCTTCTCCTCCACCACCTCATGGATCTATATCACCAACAACAAGACCTCGTCGACATCGTTCGTCAAATCATCAACAACAAACCGTACGTCACGAGAACCGTCATGATCATCAAGGTGTTACCTTTTCAAGTTATCCTCAAGATCGACACCATACTGACTTGAGAAGATTCAATCTCGACATGGAAATGGATCCTTATCATGAACGACATCATACCGATACACGAAAACCACGTAGGAATGATAATACCACTACAGCAATACGAGCATATACCGGCGATGGTGCGAATGTCGATGATGATAATAATAAGTATAGATTGGGTGAAACGTCTTTTTCCAAAGAGTCAAGATCTTTTGGTAGTCAACAACCGATGACAACATCCGAATCATCAGGCATCAGCGGTGGAGGCGGTGGAGCAGAACGATCCATTATGTCTACTTCATCATCCACCGTACCAACGACAACAACAACAACAACAACAGCAGCAGCAACAACAACAACAACAATAACAACAACAGCAACAGCAGCAGCAACAGCAGCATCATCATCAACAGTAGCAGTATCAGGAGGTGTACGTACTAGTATTCTAGATGATGATGATTCCTTGGTATTCAAGATGAGTGAACTTGGAGGTGATCCATCTACGGAATCCGATACTCCTCCTGTCACAAGTCCTATTCTGTTCAATCGACCTGCCATCACTGGATCAAGTCAACAAATGTTCACGACTAAACGATTATTGGAAACATCATCAAGTTATGACGCGACGACACATGCCATTCGAAGGACAAATAGTAGTGATACCATTGGATTACAACCTTCGACCTATCATCAAAAATATCATCCACCAACTTTTTCACTACTGGATAATAATACTGATAATATATTGGAATCAAAGGGAAATACTAGTCCTAGTGCTAGTAGTTGTAAAAGTGAACCAACAACAACAACAACAACAACGGATACCAACAATAAGCATCTTCCTTATTTTGGTGGCTGGTGATTCTTCAATTTTTTTTTTTTTTTTTGGTGTATATATATACAAAGATTATTTATTTATTATTTTTTTTTCACTTATGATGATTATTACTCCATACATATACTCACCTTTTTTTTTTTTTTTTTTTTTTTGTACTTTATTTTTCTACTTAAACCCCTCTCTTTTGTCATGCATTTTATACATTTTATTTTCTATTGTTGAAAAAAATAAACTCCGTTTTTTTTTTTTATTATTATTTTTTTTCCCTTTGTTTTCCAACACTGAATAATTTGATTATGGTTAATGATCATGTTGCAAGATTACAGGTAAGTCAAAATATTGAGTAAGATATTCATGGACTGATCTCAACTAATTAATCGAAACAGGAACTGCAGCCATATTTAAATGTGTTGAAAGATGGATCGACGAAGGAACGAGCCAAGAAGAAATCAGCTTTGGACAAGGTCAAGCAATTGGGATTTCAAGAAACAGCCAGTTGGCCAGTCCATGAACAAACAATGCTTTTGGAAACGCTTTTGGATTCACTTGTTTTATGGTCGACTCAGAGTGAGATTGAATATATTCGAGAAAAGACGGTGATGTTACTTCAATGGTAAAAAAATATATATGTATATATATGGACAAACTCACTCTTTTTTTTTTTTTTTTTTTTAAATTAGTTATGTGACAAGGATAGAACAACCCAAGGCAAAAGTGGTGATAGAGACATGTTTACAACGATTTCCTAGTGAAGAGACGGAAGAAATTCGACAAGGATGGATCCAAGTATGTGTGGATGTATTGAACAAAAAACAACCTCACATGGATGAAGAAGACTGGTTTACTTTGGCTACATTGGCAGTGAAGGATCCATGTCCTGAAGTGATCAAACAAGGTGCCTCATTGGTGCTTGATTTGGCCAGGTTGTATCCCAAAGCAGTGGCATATCGTGGCGAACAGACCATTATTCATTCCGTCATACCTTTATTGATACATAAACATGCAGCCATTCGTGTTCTTGGTATCAAGGTAACCAAAAAAAAAAAAAAGGATGATTTAACTTTTTTTTTTTTTTTTTTTTTTTTAAAAAGGCAATGTATCAAGTTTTATTATGTTCTTCCCAAGGTATGAAAGCATTATCCGATCTATTGACTAAGTTGGTACATGATCATACTGTCCAAGTACGTACAACGTTCTTTACATCGGTGGGAGATCTTTTAATCCATTGGCTTCCTACAGATCGATATGATCATGCGGGTCGATTGCTTCCTGTGTTATTTGCAGGTTTGATGGATGAATTGACATCCATTGCTGAAACAAGTCGACATCAATTGGATCAATTGGGTAAAGTATGTTATCAAGATTTGATGGATGCTGGTATCAATACTTCTTCTTCTTCTTGTTCTCAAGTGACTGTGGGTAAGCAAAAAAAAAATATTCTTATTCTTATTCTCATACTTTATTTTAGGCTTGAAGCATTTAGTACATCAATGTTATGAAGCAAGTATGAAACGTTTGATGGATGATAGTAATGACTTTATTCCCAACAAGAAAAGGACGGCTTTGGCAGCATTGGATGCATTTTTATCTTATGTATCATCAGATGATATGATTCGAAGCAACAAATGGGTGATTCAACGATGGATGATCATCATGGCAGGTGAACAACAACACTTCATAGATAAAATCACTTGTACCATCGCACATTTGATCACTTGGCCCATTCTTCTCGATCAACTCTTACCACGATTATCCAAACCAAACCTGATGGCGGAATCAAGTCAGCTCCCAGCGAATATCACTGTATCTGTCATTTGGCAAATCATCTCGATGTATCATCAAGCAGAACCCATCTCTGATCAAGACAAACAACGGATCATCACTAGTTTTAGAGCTCCTCATGTTTTTCCTTTTTTGCCATCCCCTGATACCCTAGATAGTTTTTTTTCTATATGATCATTTACTTTTTGTACACACTTTTTTATTTTATTTTGCCAAAAAAAACTAGACAGTATTAAGAATAGATGGTATTTACAATGATAAGATACAAGAGCTGGGGTATTTTCTTAAGAGATCTGTATAACTAATGGCAGGTTCTTGTTGATTACTTGGTAAATATTTTTCCTATCAAAAAAAAAAAGTCAATGGAATGTATATGTTTTATTATTATTATTACCATTTCGAAAGGAAGGGAATCATCATCATCATGATTGGATTCCATTTGATCAAGTTGTAATTTGATTTTCTCCATATCCAATAAATGATAATAACGATCAAGTTCGATCTCTGTTTTTTCTTGTAGTTGAAGGAATGCGGTGTCCATGAGTTTGGTTTTCTTTTGAGTGGCATGATCGGAATCAAAGGCGTGAGGTGGGAATGACATGGGTACCAAGGTGGTATTGATTCTATGATTGATTTTTTGTATCAATGTTTTCAACGTAGTATCCTCTTGTTGATGTAACATCGATCTAATAATAAAGAGAATGAATATCACATTCATCTTTTTTTTTTTTTTTTTTTTTTTTACTTACTTATAAGTGGTATGAAGCATTTTTCGAAGTTCTTCTTTAGCTTGTCGAGTCATTGGACGATAATCTTGTTTTCTAGGTTCACGTTTTTTCCTAAGTAACTTGATATCACCTACAAAAAAAATAAAATAAAATAAAATAAGCATCATCTAGTGTAGTTTGTTTGTTTTGCTTTTTTTTTTTTTTTACTTTCTGTATAATTCTTGGCAGTAGGATCAAGAACAGAAAATGTAGAAAGACGGTCATCATAGTCTAATGAAATATATCGTCGACTGGATTCAGGGGCTAAAGGTGGAGGTTGTCGTGAAGTTGGTTGGTTTTCTTTCTTTTTTTTTTTCTGTTGTGGTGGATGAGGTGTTTTAAATGATCTGCGTGGACTTAATGGAATAGAGTTTGGTAATGTCGCAGGTGATCGTTCACGTTGATAATCCTGGTCGTCAATAGGCGTGGTATGTCTGGTAGGATATTCAGTGGATAATCGTCGTTTTCCATATCGGTTTTCTATAGTTTAAAAAAAACAAGAGTTAACAAGAAAAGAAAGTGTCATGTTGAATAATATACCTTTGTTTTCTTTATTATGATAAGAGTGACGTTCTGGCATAGATAAATAACTCTAGTGGAAATAAAAAAATATGTTATTTACACATCAAACAAATATATATCATTTACCTTTGGTTTATTAGAAAGAAGGAAGGAAAGGAAAAAAAAAAAGTCCCTCAAGAAAAAAAAAAAAAAAAAAGGAAAAAAGAGTGTCTCTATTTTTGAAATACCGCTTGCTTTCTTTTTTTTTGTCTTTTTCTATTGATTCATTTTTTGATAATCATCATAATGACAATTGCATATGTTTATATAATAACTCGTGATTCAATTTTGATTCTTCTTCTTTTTTTTGCTCATATGATGAAACTAGATTTTACGTGATATCAGGAACAATGGAAGCGGAGAAGAGATACAAAAATAGATATAGAAAAAAAAATGAATATATATTTCATTTCATTTATTATTTATTTTAATATAAATCGGATGATTTTTGAACAATAATAGTAATAATAATAATAATAATAATTTAAATAGTTGTTTATTAACGAAAAGTTTGTTCATTGGTATAGTTGCACTCATTTTGACCAATGGCGTTAAGACTGAAAAGCCTGCTGAACTTTAATTTTTTGGTTTATTTTCAAAACTAATTTTTTTTTTTTCGTATCCTCCTTTTTTTTTGTTTTATTTCCCTTTTCTTTCTTGTACATATTCCCAATTTTTATATATATATACAATGAATATCATTGCTCCTTGTCCCCAAAAACCCTCCTATTTATTGCAGCAGGACTGGAATAATTCTTCATTTGTTCAAGATGAAGTAGATGATGCTTGTTATGAACTTCGTCAAATTCTTCTTCAATCTCAAAATAATACAAAACCTATTTGTGTTTGTCTAGATGATCCTATTATTACTCGAACCAATAATCCTTTGCCTCTCGATTCAAGCTTTGTTCCTTATCAAGCTATTCAAGCTGCTATTGAACCCAATCGTCGTCCTCGTTCTCTCAGTGTTGGTAATACTCGTCCTATGGCAAGTCTAGTCCATTAGGTTTTTTTTTTCTTTTTGTTTGGAGGGATTTTTTTTTTTTTATTTGTATATATATTTTTATATATTCCTCTTTTTTTTTTTTTATTATCTTTTTGTCACACAAATAGTATACTCTTTTTTTTTTCTACCTAACCCATGTCTATACATACGTATTATTATTATTCTTATTATTATTATATTTTCCTTCTTTTTGTCCATAGTTGTATAGTCATCTTATCATTTGTTTTATAATAATAAAAATCATTTTACACCTTTTTTTTTTTTTGTGATTCTGTATGATTTCAACACATATCCAATAAAATGGATGAAAAGTCTACGAATCAAATAACAGAAAATAAAACAGTAGAAACAAGTGATCCCTTTTTTTTATTTATTTGTTTATTTATTAGATGTGAAATGAGATGATGATGAAAGAGAAGGGTATATTTAAAAAAAAACAAGGGTATAGTAGTAGTAGTAATCAGTAATAATAGTAGTAGCAGTAATATAATAGTAATAAAAAAGAATACAATTCCATCCAAAAAAAAAAAAAGATGAATAATAAATAAGGGGTCTAACTAAACAAAAGAAGGGGTTCTATTTTGTTTCCAACATGACATCTGGACCTTCAAGGACATTGATAAACACAGCCATGGTCAAAACAATAGCAAATCGGCACCAGCGTTGCATTTTGTACACCATTCCTTGTTGTTGTTGTTGTTGTTGTTGAGTTATCACCAATCCTTTGCTTGTAGTAATATGTGGATAAAGATCATATGAAGTCAATACATCAGTATCCAAAGGTCCAAAAAGTCCATCGTCTACTTCTTCTTTTCTTTCCTTGGTGTACATCACATGATCAGAAAAATCATGATCATTATAGGAATCCTTTTTTATACCCGATGATTCATGAATGGAAGCTGGAAGGGATGAATATCCATCATCATCATCATCGTTCTTTGTCAAATTCCATTGATCCCGATGCCATGCTTTTTCCAATTCAACCATTAATGTATCGTTGTTTTCGTTGTTCATAGTGTTTGTATTATCATCCATCCAATGTGATAAAAGAAGGTGACGATGTTCTTGTAAAGACAGATTTAATTGAGCGATTTGATGGAATTGGCGTTGATAGGTTTCTGTCAATTGAGCATAATCTTCCCATTGATTCAAGTTGAATTGTTGTTGAAGTTCCACATCAGAAAGTGCCTTGTTGAGTCGATCTTGAATAGATTGTCTTGAATGCATCAATTGATCGTTTTCTTGCTCTAATTGTTGAATCCGATGAAAAAGTGCCATCACCTCTTCTTCATCATCATCATCATGTTCTTGTTGTCGCTGTTGTTGTTGTTGTTGTTGTTGTTTACATCGTTGATCATCCTCTAGTTCTTGTATCTTTTGAGTCGCCCTCTCCAGATGATCTCTCAGTATTGTAAGATCATGATTCAAACCGCGTGCCTTTTTATCATGAACCATTTGTAATTTATCCGTTTGTTGTTGAGCATCCTCCAATAATTGTTGTAATTCCATGTTTTTGTCTTGAAGTTCATCTAGAATCATTTGATGAGCCTTACGTTGAGATAACAGTTGCATATTCGTATCATCCTCTTGTTGTTGTTGTTGTAAAAGTGATTCATATTGTGATTGAAGCATCATGTTGTTTTCCAAAAGATAATGACCTACTTCAGCAGCTAATGTAAGATCTTTTTTTTTTTTTTAAAAAAAAGATAAATAAATAAATCAATGAGTATCATCATCAAAAAAAAAAAAATTATGTGTTACCTTTTTCTTTTTCATGTAAAGAAGCATAAGCATGTTTAAGTAGGACAGCTAGTTCAGCCGTAGATTTCTCCGCAGTCCAAGAAAGTGAAGAAAAAGTGGTAGTAGCAGGTGAGGTTGGTTCTATACAATGTTCTTTTGTCTTTCGTTGTAATGATAAAGCTGGAGGACGTTGACCAATAAACATAATAATAAAAGAAAGGAAAGGAAATAAATAATAAATAAAAAAAAAAAAAAAGAGAGAATATCGAAAAGAAAAAGAAGAAAAATTAAGATTTCATTATCTATTCGGGATTATTTATAAGGGCTTGAATGACAGGGGAAAAAGAAACTGGATGAAGGGAGTACAAAAATAGAGTATGAACACTGCTTTGTTTGAATACACAAAAAAAGTGTAAATACTTTTTACCCCTTTTGTTATATGTCTTCAACTCCTTGCAGATGTGGGCATATGATATGTTTGGAAATTTCATATGATTTCTCCCATCTCTCTTTTAAAAGACATATGTCTTTATATGGTATTTCATTAGATTGGTTCATGTTGTACGATGTTCCTTCTCCTTTCTATTCCTTTTCATTAAGCGGTCAATTTTTTAGAAAGGCAACTTCATTTCCCAACGAACACCATTTTCTTTTTCTTTTTTCGTCCAAATGGGCGCACTGACCTTATTCGTTCATCTTATGAGCTAAAAATACTTTTTTTATTGTTTGGATAATAATGCTAAACTAGATGATTACTATATGTACAAATGATAAATAACTAATCTACATTTATTGCGTCTAATATACTGGTACCAATGGCCTTGATGGGTCGTTTTCTTTTTTTCGTTGTTCCTATTTTTTCTTGTCGTATGAATTGCATCTTGATATCCAAAGTATGAGGTCCTCTTCCAATAATATATTGTTGAGCTCTAGGTCCTTCCACAACATAACTAGTAATAATGACAAAATGTTAATAGGATTCCCTTTTCCATCTTTTTTTTTTTTTTTTTTTTTTTTTTACGCAATTGTAGAATATGCTGTAAAATGATAATCATCAGTTAAATAACCTTCTCCAATTAAATGATTAATAATGTTTTCTAAATCCTACAATCAAAAAAAAAAAAAATAGTAAGTATAAATATATAATATTAAAAAGTTTAATTTACGGCGGTAGAATATTTGCTATCTGCAGGTATAGATACATTTGGATGATTCTTAATATTTTCCATATGAACAGCTTTCAATCCTTTCCCTTTCCAAATCGAAATAAGTTTGATCATTGTCACTCGTTCATTCACTTGCCGAAGAGCACGTAATAAATGGGCCAAAGTGACGGCTTCCCTTGTTATATCTTCTTCTACCACAGTTGATTTGTCACGTAAACAATTATCACAATTACCACATGGAATATCCGGAGTGATTTCATTTACTAATCCTTGTTGTAAGTTGCCTGATTCCAAAAAAAAGTATTTTTCGAAAAACACTTTTCGACACATGGTATAATTTTGACCATATTGTACCATTGCATTCACTATTTGAATAAATAATATTAACAAGTATATAATAACGATTATTTTACTTACAATTATCTCGACCTTGAACTTCTGTCACTGCCATTGTAGAAAGTCTTGTAACTAAATCATCATCATCATATATACGTATATTAGGATATAAATCATAAAAATACATATATATATATATATAAAATTGAACTTACCATCTTGTCCTCGGTAATACAAAATGCATTCGGCTTTTTCTCCGTCGCGTCCTAAATAATAAAAGTGGAACGTGAGATTTTTTATTTTTTTATTTTTTAATTTTTTAATCAGATTTTACCAGCACGACCACTTTCTTGGTAATAACCTTCCACAGATTTGGATAAAGTATGATGTATGACAAACCGAGTTTGTAAATGATTGATTCCCATTCCAAAAGCAATAGTAGCCACAATGACTTGTACTTGATTTTCTCGCCACATTCGATGAGTTTCTTCTTTGTCTTCCTAATAACAATAATATAAATCAGTTTTCTTATTTTTTTTTTTTTTTCAAAACTTACATCGGACATTTCAGAATGATAAACACCGCATCGAATACAACCATTACTTTTACTATACAAAGCTCCAGCAATCGTAGTAGTTTCTTTTTTCGATAAACAATAAATAATCCCCGAACTAGTTGGATAATACTTCATAATCCAATCTGCCATATGTTGTAGTACTTCTTCTTGAGAATCTGGTTTTGGAAGAACTTTATAAACGAGATTCGGACCTAAAAACATATGTTTGATAAGCATATATATATATATATAGATGGATGATGACTTACGATAAAGAGGAGCACTATAAACTAAAGATCCATCACTAAATTTAGGTTCTTGCATGCCAAGGATTCGCATCACATCTCGCATTACATTCCATGGACAAGTTGCAGTAAGTGCCATAATAGGTGTCTTTGGGAAAACATGCTATTCAATAAATAATCAGTTAATAAATATTGTTTTTCTTTTCCTTTTCTGGGATTTACTCGTAATACGTTTAATTTCTTATAATCAGGTCTAATTATAATAAAAAATATATTAATTATTATTATTATTATTATTTATTATTATTGATACCTAAAATCATGTCCTTGTTGAGAGCAACAATGAGCTTCATCAATAACAATTCGATCCAATAAATGAGCATCATAAGCTTGACTAAGTTTGGCCATTAATCGTTTGCTATTGGCGATTTTTTCTGGTGTGACATAAAGTAGTTTAAAAGGTAAAGCTTGTTTTGTTGACATGGAAGATAAAATGGTTTGAACTTGTTCTTTTGTACTTGAAGCGGTTAAACAGGCAGCAGGTATATTAGCATCACATAAATGGAAAACTTGATCTTTAATAAGGGATACTAGAGGACTAATGACCAAGGTAAAACCAGATTCTATTAGAGCAGGTAGTTGATAACATAAGGATTTACCACCACCAGTTGGTAATACAACAAAGATATCACGTTGTTTATCCAAAGCAGCATTTAAAATAGGTATTTGTAAAGAACGAAAAGAAAGAATATTCCAATGTTGTTTAGCAAGTTGATAAAGTTGTTGTGTCCAAGGAAAAGTATTATTATGATAATCAGGAAGTGTTGTTATTGTTGTTGTTGTTTGAATAATAGTTCGTTGTTCACGTAATTGTTTACGTTGTTGTACTAGTTTATTACGTTTTTCTTGTAATTTTTCTAATTGTAAATCAATTTGAATAATATCTTTATCTAACAAGGAAAGTTGTTGTTCAATCTGATCCATGATTGATGAGTTTTTTTTTTTCCATAAAAAGTGCTTTTATACAGTCAGACAAAAAAGACAAAAGAAAAAAAAAAATAAAAATGTTAAGAACTTCACTCTCCTCCAAAAGCATATGTATAAATTACATCTCCGCCTTTCACCCAAAAAAAAAAAAAAAAAAAAATAGGAAAAAAAAAAAAAAGAGACCTGTGTTAAAATATTCAGGTACGATAAACTTTTCTTTTTTTTTTTTTTGCTTTTTTCTTTTATTTCAGGTACATAATATAAAAACGTCTTCTTTTAAAAAAAAACATATAACAAATAAGCAACAAAAAAAGAAAAAGAAAAAAAGAAAAAAAAAAGAATTAAATGCGATGATATATATATATAGATAAAGTTGTACAAAAAGATAGGAACTCCGTACAATTCAATTTAATGATTGATTATTTTTCTTTTTTCTTTTTTTCTTTCATTCTTTCCTACTTTCTTTCTTTCTTTCTTAACCAAAAAAAAACCCCCTCCAGTCCTTTTTCTTTTTTTTTTTTCTTTTTTCTTTATACTTTCCTTTATATTCCCTCTTTTTCCATTTTATTTCGCTTTATTTATTCCCTCTTCTTTTATACTCGTCCTATTAATATCTCTTTATACATTCCTTTATTTCCCTTCAATAATGAATTCCCTTGTTTCTTCTCAACAACAACAACAACAACAACAACAACAACAACAACAACAACAACAACAACAACAACATGACGACCCTCATTCTAAAAAACGAACTCGCGTAACACCTACTCAACTTTCAATATTGGAAGATACTTTCTCTATGAGTGCCACCCCTGATAGCAAAATGCGTAAACACCTAGCTCAAAAACTTCAAATGCCTGAACGATCTATTCAAATATGGTTCCAAAATAGACGTGCAAAAGTCAAAATGCTTCAACGAAGAGCTCTTTTACGTGAGGAACAAGAAGTGGCAAGAGCAAAATTATATGCTGAAGCTGCATCTCAACAACACCATACAACAACTCATTCACCTTATTGGTATGGTCCAACTTCTCTCTCTGGTTTCCCACCACCACCTCCACCTCCTCCTTCTTCTATTTTTCCTCCTCAAACCAAATTACCTATACAACGTGCTTGGAGTACCGATCCTACACGATCATCTTTTATTCGTCCTTATCATTCTATTTACAACAACAACAACAACAACAATATATCTGGAGAAATGAAAGAATCTTTTTATCATATGTCTCCTTCACCAACTCCTCATCCTATGGTTGATTTAGGTAAATATTTCATTATTATTATTATTATTATTAATTTGATTTTTCTTAAACATAGAAAATGATACATTCAAATCATTTCAAGATACACCTACAACATTTATTGAAAATAACTTGACACCTAGTGATGTGACAACGGGAATTATTAATGCAAATGCAGTCACCATTGGTACATGGCATCGAATGAAAATGAATCAACAAGATCTTTTATGTTGTTTTCAACTTTCCGAAAGAACATTTGAATGGCATATTAGAGACAGTAATTATCATTTTAAGATGGTGATATCTTTTGATCTCGTACAATCTTTGGATATTACTCTTTTGGACAATGGTATCTTTGCTCAAATGGATATGGAATTGACTGAACCACCTCTTTTCTTTATGGAAAATATGGATGATTTGACTTGGATTCAATGTAGTGATTTTACTGAAGGTATGCAAGCTACTTGTCATTTACATCATACTCTTCGTGGTTTGGCTTCCGATCTTCGTCAAGAATTATTAGGTATGATTAGTATGGATCAACATTTATGCCAAGTCATTCGATTTCCCATGACAGATCTCTCAACAACAACATTACAACAAGATATTTCTTCTTTGGACCCTTCATCTCTTATGTCATGGCGTCATCAAAGTCTTCCTTTAAATATGAAGGATTTTGAATGGTCTTCTTCTTCTTTTTAGATTTATGATATTAGTTTTATTTATTTATTTATTTATTTTTATTTTGTGTGTGCATCATTATCTCCCTTTATTTATTTGACAAAAAATAAAAAAATAAAAAAATAAAAAAATTCCTGTTCTTTTCTTACCAAAACAATCATTCTTTTACGGTTATTCCTTTTTTGGATCAGCCAATGCACCCTGAATTTAACCACAGACAACTTTTTTTTTTTCCTTTATCTTTCTTTCTTTCTTTCTTTTCTTACTTATACTATTGTCGTTATTATTTCATGGTTCATGTCTTGTTCGTATCTCTCTTTTTGTCTATATTGACTTGGGTTATACTCAAAAAGAACTTTGAACAATGGCGTCTCACTTTTCGACTTGGTTTATTCTCTTTATTTGACTTTTCTTTTCATAATTCGTATTGTACTTTAGACATTAACAAAGTATACATCTCATTATCTCAAACATATTGGATCACCATTTACATTCAAGGAATCAACCTGACTATTCATACACCTCAACTATCAAAAAGACATAATCAAAAATTTATTTTATGGCTATTACGATGGATTCGAATTTTACTGGCTATTCCGATACAATGGTGTATCTTTTTGATGTGTCATTATATTAAGGTACATATGGATCATATCTCTATCAAATATATGTATTATTGGTTACAATTTGATGCATTGGACATTCAAGCATTATTCTATCGTATCATCCATCATCATGAAACGCCATTCTCTGATGAACAACAATGCTTTTCTATGAAACAAACTCAGCACTTGTTTCGTGATAAACAACTTGGCTTCTCCTTGATTTTCTATTATCCTCGTTGTTCTATCATCTCTATGCCACAACCTATTGTACAAGCTACTACTTCTTCTCTTACTATGATTTTGGATACCTCTCCTGACTGTCTAACTATTTTGGATACTGATACTTCTCTTCAATTGGAAACACTTCAAATCTTCTTGTTGCCTCTTTTACAACTCCCTATTAATAAAACCAAGTCATCTTCAATACAGGTAAAAAAAAAAAAAAAAAAAAAAAAGGCGGAAGAAAGGTACAAGGGAATCCCAAGAACTCACCCTTCTCACCCTTTTATATACATATAGAAATCATTATCATCTTTATTGAAGGAAATCAACAATGATAAAGACACGATCGAAACTGAAAAGGTAAAAGACAATAAGAATGGTTATTATAATACTAGTGTCATTGTGTTGAAAGGATCACTCACTTGAAATCACTCAACTTTTGTAGACACAATCAATATGGAAATCTATACGTGGTTTGATCGAAATTCAGTATTTCATTGTTATATGCGACTCTCCCAACAATGATACTTTCTATACTCAATTAAAACTTGATAAATTTAGTTTTACTGCTATGATCAAGGAACAGACATCGTTGGATATATCGGCTGAATCAATCACATATTCTTTGGTGGATACATCCTTCAACAACAATATTGATACCGACAACATCATCAATTTCCTTTATACGTTATCATTGTCCATCGTTGGTCATCATACTGATACAATATCGAAACTAGTTGTTACACTTGATCATGCCGTTTTAAGCATCAACTTACTCAAACAACAATTATTGACATCTTGGGTATCCCATATGGATCAATATCGAATACTTCTTTTGTCGTCAACTCATTCCAATAATAGTAACAACAATCTTGTTTCCCGCCGCCTTCCTTTTTTGGATATGTCACTGGTCTTACTCCTACCAAAGATACATTTCCAGTCGACTTTGGATTTTCAGGGGATGTGGTATTGTACCAGTGTTCGATGGTTACTATCTGGTGATGATGATTCGACAACAACTTCTTCTTCCTCCTCTTCCTCGGTATCATCAGCAATGCCAACAACAACAACAACAACTACTACAACAACAGATTCTATTAGATCAGCTCATAGGAAGAAATCCATTGATTTGATCTGGCAGCAGCAACAACAACAACAAAATGATACATCGTCTATCTACAAGGTGGTTTTTTGGGTGAATATTGATGAAATGAATATAGATCATTGGCAACATTCTAGATGGCTTCCTTGGGTGACTTCAAAACATCTGGATTTGGCAATCAAGGCAAATATAGCACAAAGTACTTCTCATCAGTCTATTCAAAACAATTACATTGATAGCGTTATTGGTATGGAATTGCAAGCGACAATGGATACTCCAATTTTACATCTGTGCAACAGTGTGTTAGGATCCGAACCATTGATCTATTGGGCAGCTCTTTTGAATCCTTTATTACCTTTATTTACTACATCATCGTTATCATCACAAACAAAAACGCCTGGAACTTCATTTTTACACACATACCTTCAGTTATATCAACGATCCACAGCAAGTTTATCAATATTGGATGCTAGAGTTTATATGGTGGGACTGGATGAAAAACAACAACGTGCACCGCCTTCTGGATACCTTGACAACTCACCTTTGAATGATATGATCACCATTATTCAATTCTCAATGAAGAAATTTTGTTTGGAAACGGAAAACAAACCATCATCATCACTATTATATACCGGAGACCTTACTCCTCCCCCACCTCTCCTTGGCAATCTTCGTATAACAGTACAACAACTAGCTCTCACCCAAATGACGACATTTGCTGACAAGCATATATCAGAAGCAATGAATATGATGGAAAATGAAAAAGATCTCACTACTGTCATCGGTTGGATTTCTCGTGTACAACTTACCCTGGCTTTTCATTATCATAGTTTCATCCCTTTACTACTTGGTGCGGACATCAAAATAAGGAAGATGGCTTTCCGATATTCTCTTGGTAATCATTATGCATGCTTGTTGGTGGTCAAAGCTTTATTACATGTGGCGAACAACTGGCAGAAACATGAAGTACGGGCACAACATTGTAACAACAACAAGAAGAAGCAATGGCTGACGATCAATCGATTACAGTGTCAAATATTCAGATTGGACCTGCATATTTTTTTACCTGGACAGAATGAACTCTATCTACGTGCTGATGATATTATTACCTCTTGGACTGCCATTTCAGGACATTCATTGAATCGAGATGCAATAGAAAATGATAACAACAAGAACAGTTCGTTCTCCATGACGAATATCACTTTATTTGGTATGTCTCCTTCTGGCAAAAATGATGATGATGACATTGATAGTCGTTCTTTGGAAATTCTTTTGGAACTGGATGACTTGGAATGGATCGCTGATAAGCCATTGTTCCTTGAAAATGGTGCAACAACAACGACAACAGCATCTTCACTAGTAACGGCCAAAGCATTGATTAGGATACCTCATGGTTATATGATAGCACCTATTGTGGAAAATATCATCAATTTGGTAAAAGGAATCCGGGAACTACACTTACGTATCATGGATAAAGGCAACTCATACTATACCTACTTTGGACCTATTCCTCGCAATACACCTATACGATTACCATCTGTTATACTTCAGTGCAATCAGTTGATGGTTCGTTTGGATGATGACCCTTTTGAAGTCAAACTTCGCGCCATCTTTTCTGCTGGATTAACTGAACAAGTCAAACGTCTTAGCCTGGAAAACGAATTTGAAAAGGAAAAATGGCGACACCAACAAGATGGACAACAGCAATACTGGACATCTTCTCCTTCATCATCTGCTATTGATCCTAGTTCTCGGCAACGTTCAACAATCAACAATATTGGCGACAACAACAAATTAATCAATGATCGAATTGGAGCAGCACAACAACGACTATGGGAAATGCATTCTGAATCATGGATCAAATGTATACATCACTATCATCAAACAGAAATTGAAACTCATAAACATCTTCGACAATCTGACTACCGTTATCGATGTGTTGTGGAATCTCTAGACGCAGCTTATGACGATAGTGATACCGGAATAGGGAACACTGACTGCTTGGGCGATGATACTGGTGGCGATCTCTCCGACCTTTTCCGTATAAACATTATTCCTTTGCCACTTTATGCACCTCTTGGCCAATTGACATTATCAGAAACGATTCTCACTATCAGCCAACAGCAACGACAACAACAAGAAGAAGATAATGATGATGGATTATTCCCTTTGGATGAAACAATACCTTTTATTCATAAGGTGGGGAAAGGTGTGCCTCTAGAAACCAGCTTTTCATTCCTAATTCCATTCCATCTTCATTGGCAATCTGGAAAAACGCTAGTGCAAGTACGTGATTATCCTTTACCGCTTTTACATGTGCCAACATCTACTGATCACGATCAACATTCATATCAAGCGAGCTATCCTTTTGCAAATCCAGTAGCTTGGTCTCTCAGTGGGAATTATGTTATAGCCGACGATCTTGGTATCAAGGAAGGGTCACGTATTCTTAGTTTAGATACTGTTACTACTATGGTAGCAAGGGATGATCAATATATACCATCTTCTCTTTACAACATTCAAGTGGTTCGTACAGCTTCACCCACAAAAGTTTACTCGGTGGTAGATTACACTGTTTTCACAAAACACAAGTCCATTATTTGTTGGTCAGTCTCCTATCAACCAGCAATGCAAGATATTTTAGAAATCCTGGAACGTATTACACCTGTCTCTGTAGATCCTTCTGCCAAGATTGGATTCTGGGATAAATTACGATTGATGATCCATACAAAAGTGAAAATCAAATTTTCCGGTGATTTTGCTGTTGTCGTCAAGGGAACACGAGATCCTTACAAATTGACAGGTCGTGGAGCTGGGATGGCTAAACTATGGCGTGGACAAGTAGTCTGGACTCTTGGTTATGACAATCCTCAACAAGAATTTACACAAGTTCAAAGTAACAGTTACATCTTGGGTGTTCCTGACTTGTTACGTGGTGGTTATTCTTCTTCTCTTGCTGGTCAAGATGAATGTTTGTTTTTGAAGACAGTGATCAAGTTATCGGATGGTGTACAAATGGGTATTGGTTGTCATTTGGAACGTACATGTTTATCTGGTTGTCAAGTCTGTTATGATGGAACTCAACAATGTCGTTTCTTGTATTTCAAGCCTCATCATCAAGTTGTATTCAAATCCAAAGATCATGTGGGAGATGTAAGTAGCCAACCTTTCTTCTCTTTTTTTTTTTTTTTTTTTTTTTTTTTTTTTTTTAAAAAAAAAAAAAAGGAAAATAGTTGAAAACTAAGGTCATTTTTTTTTTTTTTTGATTAGTCTTATCATGACGCATATTCTGGTTTTCGATCCAATTTTATTCATCTATCGTTCAGTATTATCAAGACATCAACAAATACAACAACAAGTTCCTTGAATGAAACAGAAATGTTATCTGGTGACAACAATAGAAATGCCATGCACCTTAGTCCTCATTTTATCCAGCATTTCCTTCAATGGTATGGTATTTTTGGTGGTCCTCTCTCCTTACCTATCCGACGTGGTCCGCTCTTCCATAAGGATCAAGAGATTGATCCACCTATCAAATTGGGTCGGCATCTTCAGTCATTGAAATACAAAATCATGGTTCAACCTATGTCGTTTGGGTATTTTTGCATAATGGATGAGCAAAGGGAGGACGATGTTGGCGTGGACGGTGTTGGACTCAAAGTAAATGTGCATCATTTCTGTGTGGACGTGCATCAAAGAAGAAAACAACAACCGTTTGATGTGACTGGTGAAGAAAATGAACTTTATCGGGTCAAATCCAATTGGCCCTTACATCAAGTCGAAATTCAATTGCGTCATGTGGATCTACGTGCTATTTACACTACCCATGGGACCTTCTCTCCTTCACATTCAACCAGTGACGAAAGCATAACTTCCGATGATACTCTCTGGATTGATCATGATGATTTTATAGATATGGGATGGAATATCAAGTCATCGAAAATCATGGCCCTTTCAGCCAAAGCGCTTCCTTTTGCTTTTTCTCCCAGTGTTGAATATGTCAAGACTTTGGATCCGATTTATGTGGAAAGACATCATCATTTGAAAAGTACACATGCTTGTATTATGGGAACATCAAAAGGTAAAATAATAATAACAATAATAATGATAAAGTAAAAAAAAAAGAAAGACATTATTTTTCTTATTTTTATTTATTTTGGTTAGATGCTTTGAAGATTCAATTGGATTATCTCTATCAACGTATTGGTGTTGTAGAAGAACAAATTCGACATCATCAAGAATTACTTGAAACTACGGAAATGCATTTATCTAAAAAGGCTTATAGCGTTGATTTATTACAAGAGGTAAAAACGCAAGAAAATAAAAATACAAAAAAAAAAAAATAAAAAAAAATTGAGGGGACTTAATCCAAGTTTTTATTTGTATTAGGCAAACGAAATAATGGCTACGATTACAAAGTTGAACACAAGACGACATCTCTTGTCCAAGTGTATCCAGAAAATGATGAATTTATCGACAATAAATCCAACCTCATCTGCCACTTCTAGCGATAGACAGCAATCAAATCACGAATCAACCTATCTAGATGACAATACTTTGAAAGATTGGGAAAGACTAATGGGACGCTTCAAGGAACGCTATACAATTCATAACCCACAGATTATTTGGACAACCCAAGTGCACGATATTGTCAGCAGGTGGAGAGATGCTAGAGCCCAATATTATATCCATTCTTACAACATCTCCAGTAGAGCTACTCAGCTATTACGTGAATTGGTGGAAAGGTATTCTGCACATGAAGATCTGCAACAACAACAACGACAGTATTGGTCAAACAATGGCAACCAAAAAGACAACAGTATTATCAATGATAAAAATGATGATCAAGATCTGAACTCTAATTCGGCGATGCATCTGTTGAACAAATTATGGGCGGATAGAAAAGAGCATTTTGTTGTGTTGAATGAACAAAAGACGACAAATAATAGTGACGACAATGATCCACCATTGAACAACAACAAACCATACGGCTCAGACAATAATCCTCATTTCCAACTTGATCAAATTCCTGAAGGATATGATTCTGAAAATATGACTCTAATCGATCTTTGGAACCCCCAAGTTTTCTTACAAGGCAACAATCATCAAGATCGTGGTATCCTAGTGACGAATGAAAGGGTCCAAGTGAAACAATTTGAAATCATTGAAACGGATAATTGTGATGTGGATACATGTATGGTGAAAAAGCGGACGGTGGCAAGTATGGATGGAGTACAACTCTTTGTAGTTAAACGTGGACCCATGGACCCAGTAGATCTCTTATTGGACAATCATTATGGTGTATTAGAACAAATAACAAGAAAAAAACATGTTTTATCACCTTGGATTCCTCCGGAAATGTTGATGGATGACTATATTGGGAAATATCATCATTCGGAACGATTTGTTCGATTTGACAGTAGTATCATTGGAACCATTCAATATGATCGTTATAATCCTATACGTTCGTCTTCGGCATACCAATCCAACAACAACAACAGTCAGCCTGATTGGGAAGATCAATGTAATTCAACTCATCTTGATTTTCCAAATTTTACATTTACTGCCAACCCTTACCAATACAGTGTTCTATATCAAGTGATTGTTGACATTATTTTATTCAGAAAGGAACCACGACTTGTTGAAAGAACAAATAGACTACGGGATATCACGTTCTCCATCTATGCTAGTGGTGATAGTCCAAGCAAGATACTTGAAGATGTAATGGAACTGCAAGAGAAAATACGCTTCTATTCTGGGAAAATGGACGATTATTATCAACAATACATTCTTTCTAGTATGAGCAACGCTCTTTTAGATATCAAGGATCAAGGCGATTGTCAAGTCTTACAACAACACTATCATTCAGCACGACAAAAAAGAGGGGTATATCAAGAAGCTTTATTTTTACTTATGCAATCATTCAAACAAATCATGCATAAATATCATCAACATGGGTCAATCAACAACAAGGATGATAATAATAGGTTGAATGCAAATTCCACCGAAAGGTCAAACAACAATATTGTGAATCAGTCGATAGGAAAGCTTCGAATCTCAGTCGAATCACTTGTATGGAAAATGTTGCAAGATGATGGCTCACCTTTCAGTCAATGGGATCTTTCCAACACCAACTATATGCTCATCACTCATAAAGATCAAAGTCTTTGTCATACCATCGAAATAGACAAGTTAGTGGTCAAGAATACTTCTTTATCTCCGGTATATAAACAAGTAGTGGGTCCCTTTTTTGAAAAGGAACGCAATCCATCCATTGATAGTCAAATGACGCATGATTTCTCTCGGCACAAGATGATTTATGGTCGACTTGTTTCCCTTCAACCTGTAGGCGGTATTTCTGTTATTCAACACTTAGAAATCAATCTCTTCCCTCTTCGACTTCAATTAACTTATGGTTTTTGGCGTGCTCTTGTAGCCTATCTGTTTCCTCCTTCTCCTCCTCCTTTGTCTTCAAATTCTCCATCTTCCTCTGTGGTGTCCATCTCAGCTATTCAACCATCATCATCAAAACCGATACTACAACGAGAAAGGACATTTGATCATCATCCTTTTGATTTTACACAACAACACGATACGATTTCTTTACATAGCAACGCGGATACTGGTACATGGTTTGGTGGTGGAAATGAAAAACAATCGATATTTGGCAGAACATCAGCCCCTCCATCTATACATCATCCTGTACAAAAAGACAGTGCAACAACAACGAAACGAACATCCTGGGTGAATGGGGCATTGCCGAAATTATCTAGTAGAAGACGATCAAGCACGGTGGATGACTTACAAGATGATAATGATTTGACCATTATGAAACAACGGGCTTCCAACAACAAGACTTTTATTTTGATCAAAATTCCTGGAGCAAAGCACTGTCTTAGTTTTCAGGTACTAATATATATATATATGGGTAAACACGATGATCCATTCATTCTTTTTTTTTTTTTTTTTTTTTTTTAGGGTGCCAAATCTATTTATGATTTAGAAAACTTTCGTTTTCGTCAACCACATTTGGAATATCGCAACAAGACATGGTCATGGTACGATTTGGTCAATGCATTGAAAAAAGGTAAGAAAAACTTTTTAGAATTCAAATTCAAAAAAAAAAGATGTTTAATAAAAAAAAAATGGTGGTTTTTATTTTTAGATTTTCGAAAGGCTGTGATCAAGCATAGTCCTGCACTTATCAAGGAAAAACTCAAACCAAGACGACTTCTTAGTGATCCAAACAAAACCAGTGTACATGAACAAACGACTCATCATACAACATCTTCAGCATGTTCCTCAGACCTTGTGGTGCCTGATATATCGCAAGGTATGGTTGATCTTGGGATTGACGGATGGTTTGATGATGATGATGATGACAACAGTAGTGAAAGTAGCAATGACAAGTTAAGCGACATTTATTATCAAGGCATATTGGACACGTTTTTAGACGATTTGAATGTTGGTAATATCTCAGATAATAATAACGACGATGATGATTTGGTGTCATTACATTCAAATGGTGAAGGACGACGGCCTACTTTTAAAAAATTAAGTGCAAGGAATTATCATCAAGGTGAGAACAGTTTGCTTGGGAAAGCATTCAGGTAAAGTCATGTCAATTGATATATATATATAGAAATTATTTCCAATTTTCATCTTTTTTTTTTTTTTTTTTTTTTTTTTAGATGGCTTCCTTCCTCCTCCTCATTGTCACCTAAAAAGGGGAAATACAAGCAAGATGTTGATACTATGGATGATCATACTCAACGATTACTCAAAGGAAGACTCTTATTTGGAAAATCATATCGCTAGTAACCCACTTTTTTTTTTTTTAATCATTAATTAGTGTATTCCCTTTGTTCAAAATACCACTTTGTACAACGTTTTATATTTTCATGTTTTACCAATAAACCAAGAAAGTACGGTGTTTAAAAGTACTCTCTTTTTTTTTTTTTTTTATGTTTTCTCTCCAGCTCTTCTTTTTCCCGTTTTATCGTTATCTACAAGGATCGATATTTTTCCGTTTACGACACTCAACAACAATGTTTTCGCCCTAACGTTAATCATGAATATCAATGTTGCCGTTGCCTTCTAAAGTAAGTCTTCAACAAAAACTGTCGACCACGCTCCAGCAGTATGGCATCATGTACAACAACAATCTCTCCGTCTTATTGATTTCTCTCCAATGCTCCGAAAACAACGATCTAGTTCCCTGTGGTGTCGTCTTAACTCCAATATGATACGATCTTTTTAATATGATTCACTATCCATCCTTCCTTTGTCTTCCCTAGATCCATGATTAAACTGTTCTGGTGTGCTCCCCATCCGCAAGATCCACGTGGTATCGCTTTCTCGTCCAAAAGGTTCCCTCTACAACATTTCCGTGTCAAAATTGGTAGATTCCCTCTCATATGAAGATTTCGCCCGTCAAAAATGCATCTTTCGATCGACATCATGTTACTATCTCGGTCTTTCTTTCTCCCCAGACCATATAGTCAATTTCCTCTTGCACTTCCTCCACTCGTCCTTCAACGATTCTTCATCATATGCGGCACGTCTGGTTAGCACACTGGTATCAAGTTGTCCATGGTCAACCTTTCCGTCCCTCTCAGCTTCTTCTATCTCACAACTACAAGTTATCCTAACACCATACATAGACTAGTAGTATGTTAGTTTAGTCTTTCCTCTCCTAATTTTATTTCTTTTTTTAAAAAAAAAGATTTTAAAAACCGCACTTCATCCCTCACTATGAATAAATAAAAAAAAAAAAGAAAAAAAAATCCTTTTCCCTTTTTGTCTTTTACCATGATCATTTCCATTTTAAAAAGATCGCCACGACATCTAGCGATCCAAAAACAATGGGGTTCCTTCTCTTATCAACGATATACCACTGTGACCAAGGAGCCTTTAACACCCCTTGCACGCCATTTGCAAGATTCTATCAAAGTAAGGGCGTTCATTCAATGAAACAAAGATATTCATGTTGTTTTTAGTTGACAGGACCCATGACAGTAGCCCATTATATTCGACAAGTACTTGTGAATCCTCTTAGTGGTTATTACATGCATGGAGATGTGTTTGGTCAACAAGGTGATTTCGTCACGTCACCTGAAATTAGTCAAATGTTTGGTGAAGTAAAGTCACTATAGATATGAATTATGTATGATTCACCATGTTTTCCTTTTTTTTTATTAGCTTTGTGGGATTTGGTATTTGACGGAATGGATGCGACTTGGCAAACCGGCAAAAACACAAATCATTGAATTTGGACCTGGAAGAGGCACTTTGATGAGTGATATGATTCGAGTAAGATAAAACGAATAGATACATCAAACATGATCTCATTCTTTTTTTTTTTAAAGACTTGGCGACAATTTCCTTATTTTTACAAAACCATTTCTGGAATTCATTTGATTGAAGCAAGTCCTGGATTACGTAAAATGCAACGTGCAAATTTGGTACAAGGCTCTTTGGATACAGATGTCAAACGTATAGAAACAAAGGAAACTGCGGGCATGAATCCTACAGAGTCCATCTCCACTCAAGATGGTATCAAAATTTCTTGGCATGATGGCATTGAATTAGTCCCTGGTAATAATAATAAAAAGAGAAGAATTATGTGGTTTTCATCTTTTTTTTTTTTTTAATAGAACAATGGTCTTTTATTATGGCACATGAATTCTTTGATGCTTTACCAGTACATAGTTTTGAAGTAAAGTAGAAAAAAATGACATAAAAAAAATCATCTAACAATCTTTTTTTTTTTTTTTTTTTTTTTTTAATAGAAAACATCGGAAGGTTGGCGAGAATTACTTGTAGATATTGATGATACAAATGAAACGTAAGAAAGAGAATGATCCATATGTAAAAGTTGTTTAACCTTTTTATATTATAGTGAATACAACTTTCGATTGGTCAGATCTCCGGCAGATACCATGGCAGGCAAATTCTATATGAAGGATGAAACATATACATCTTATAAAGTAGGGGATCGGATTGAAATCTCTCCTGACAGTTGGACAATGGCAACACAAATGGCGAAATTGGTCAATACACATGGTGGATCAGGCTTACTGATTGATTATGGTCAAGATTATGCACAAGGTGATACCTTGAGGGTAAGATATAAACATGATTGGATAGAAAAGGAATATTCATTTTTTTTCTTTTTTTTTTGGAAAAGGCGATTCGAAAACACAAGTTTGTTCATCCTATGACGGAACCTGGTAGTGCAGATCTTAGTGTAGATGTAGATTTCAATGCCCTTAAAGTCAATATGAGGAAAGATACAGGTAAAAAAAAAAAAAAAAAAGGAATCCATCTTTTGTAACTATTTTTTTTTATAGATATTTCTGTACATGGTCCAGTCACACAATCTGAATTTTTACAATCACTTGGGATTCAAGTTCGAATGGAAATGTTATTGAAGAACGCAACCTCAAGAGCTAGTCGCAACAGTATCATTGAAGGCTTTAAACGGCTTCTGGATCCAAGTGCCATGGGAAGGATATATAAGGTCTTGGCGTTCTCAAACGAATCAACATCTACCGAAGAAGCGAAACCTGTTGGATTTCATCATTTAGAATAATTCTATTTTATTTTATTTTTTTTTAAAAAAAAAGCAAACTAAATAATAAACTAGAAGAAAATGATCTTTATTTTATATATGTCTGAGAATATGTCTCTATTGGCAAATAAAGCAAAACAGAATAGGGAATTTGTATGGGAGATCTTTTAAGATAAATATATATTTATTTATTTGGATAATACAAAAAGAAAAGGGAGAGATACAATGTAGGTATATATATATTCTAATAATCACACCAATTGTTAACGGGTAAACAACTAAGATACTTGCATCCAGGACAAATCTAACCAGAAAAAGAAAAGAGTAAAAAAAAAAAAAAAATAGAAAGTTTAGAATGAATATATATATATATATATATATATATTTGGTTACCTGACTAGGATCTGGAGAATTGTAAAAGGAGGTGATGCAAACAACAAAAAGAATGATGATGATCACTAAAGCAAGTCCTCGTAATCCCCAAGTAATCCATTTGCCTCTTGTGGATGACATAGGTCGCATAGGCGCAATCATCATTCCCATCACAAGTCTAGAGTAATATGAACATCAATCATCCATTTCTTTTAATTATTTTTTTTTTTTGCTTTTTACCCAACCACAAAGCCACCTAAATGTGCAAAGTTATCCAAACCTAAAGAAAGAAAAAGGAAAAAGTAATAGAATTGATCAGCCCACTACTCATCCTTTTTTTTTTCTGTATTTCTTACCAGGTAGTAAACCCAAGACGAGAGAAATAATGGTGGAGATCAATAAACCCATCAATTCCCGCATAGGATTAGGAATCACTTTCCAATTCACAAGAACATCGACAAACATATATCCAATCAAACCAAACAAGGCTCCTGATGCACCCATGGAAGCTACACAAATAAAAATAAAGTAAATTCAACTGTTATCATCTATTTTTTTTTTTTTTTTTTTTTTACCTTGAGTAGGTCGTGCCAACATGGCACTGAGAACATTCCCAAATAAACCAGCAGCAATATACAATAATACATAACGAGGCATACCCAACGCACGTTCAAGGTCTACACCAAGTCGAAGATGTGTCAACATATTGAGTAAAAAGTGTACAATACCAGCATGCATGAAGATTGGGTAAAAGAATCGGAAGCTTTGATCAGGATTAGCACCATTGAATCCACCAAATCCACAAAGGGTTTCCAATGAACAAGTTTCACCAGTACGATAACAATTTTGAAAGGATGTTGTTGGAGAAAAATTGGGTATGGCACGCATACATGGGGTAAATTTGGCACCTAAATCTATCAATGTCTAAGAAAAAAAAAATAATAATTAATAGGATGATTAAATTTTTTTTTTTGAATTTACATAGAAGGATGGACCAATCATGGGATTGAAATTAGGACTCGTTTGAATCACACTACCCGTTAAACTTTGATTTCGAATCAATTCATATATCAAGATGACCAACATGATGATCGCTGAAATCCAACTAAACCAAGGTCGTTGATTGGGTCCCAGTAATAAACGTTTCAAAGGTGATCGACGACTTCCATACATAGAAGGACCATTCATAGGATCCATCATACCACGTTGAAGACTACTGTTATTATTGTTGTTGTTGTTGTGAGGTAAATGTTGTTCATTATCGTCGTTAGTAGATAATGGCATGAAACCTTTATCTTGACCAAAAGATCTACCTGTACCACCACCACGCGTATGCATTTCATGAATATCGTCAAAGTCATCGTCTTCCATCATTCGTTGTTGACCAAACACGGGTTGGTCATCGTAAAGTACCTTGTCTTGTTTGAATGTATCACTGGCAAAATTACCACGGTGAAGTGATCCTGACACAGTGGTTCGTGTCACATGTGAAGCAGAAGGAGGAGGTGGTGGTGTCGAAGAAGAAGAAGAAGAAATACTTGGATAGACAGATGATGGTGCTGGTGAGTTATAAACTGGAGAAGGTATAATAGAAGGTGACCGATCGGCAAATTGAACTGTGGTAGGTGGTTCTAAGTCATGCTGTTGTTTTGAATCCATTTTTTTAAAAGAAAATAAAGAATTGGATACAGAAAAAAGAAAAAAAAAAGAAAGGAAAAAAGGAAAATGTGGAATTTTAGGCGTCAAAATATAAAAAAAAAAGATACTCCTAACAAAAATTTCGAACCTATTTTTATCTTTTAGAAAAACAATTCGCTGAGGATTTACAAGTCCGCTGGTTACTGAATTAATTTCTTTTTTTGGAACAGATTACAAAATGGCGATATCTCTCCCTCCTCCTCTTAGTGGTTGTAGTATCTACTTGTACTGGTATACGACGATTGAAACCAATCCAATTGGCTGATGAAGGAAGAATTCCAAAAGATGGTTGTATATTCACCACAAACTAGCCAATCGACTTGTTAAAAATAGATCATCGACTTCATTTAGTATCATACAGCAGTTGGAAAATAAAGGAATTATTTGTTTGATTATGTCAAAATCTTTTTTTTTTATTTAAATTACTTTTTTGATTTTTATTCGATCACATCGTTTGATGAAATGATTAGAAGACCGATTCAAATAGGCATGAAATTGGGAAAAGGTAGTTAAATTATCTTCTAATAGAAAAAAAAAACACTGATGAATGATCTTTTTTTTTTTTTTATTATTATTTGTCTATCAAACAAATGGAATAGATGAATAATAACAATAAAAAAAACTTCCCTCAGTATGAAGGATAAGAAAACATCCACATAACTTGCATTTATTCATATCGGTCGTTTAACTGCCCGCTGAGTCTTTTTTTTTAATTCTTTTGGGACAATCACGTCTTTTTTTTTTTTTTTTTTTTTTGTCATGAATAGAATTGGACAGTTATCGAAACACTTTTCAACCATGAATAATAATACAGAAAAAGCCACCTTTGCAGCAGGATGTTTTTGGTAATAAAAATAAAAGAATAAAAAACAAATAATAACTAATTTTATATTATAGGGGTGTAGAACATCTTTATAAAAAGCATTTTCAAGATATCAAGACAAAAGTAGGGTACATTGGAGGTCATGTAGATCAACCTACTTATCGTCAGGTATAAATAAATAAAGAAATAAAAAAAAAAAACTTATATTCTTATGATAGGTTTGTACAGGACAAACTGATCATGCTGAAGCTTTGGAAGTTTCATTTGATCCTTCTTCTATATCTTATGAAACCCTAGTGGAATTTTTTTATCGGATGCATGGTAAAGTAAAGAGAATAAGAAAAGAATTTTTTTTTCATTTTTTTTTTTTATTATTTAATTCAGATCCTACTACGGTCAATGCTCAAGGACCTGATAAAGGTTCTCAATATAGATCTGCTATCTTTTATCATTCACAAGAACAAAAAGCCACGGCTGAAAAAGTAACGGCTCAAGTCCAAAAAGAACATTATCTCAATAAACCTATTGTTACTCAAATTGTTCCTGCTGGTGTTTTTTATGATGCTGAAACTTATCATCAGGTAATATAAATAGACAGTTACTGACAAACTCAACTCTTTTTTTTTTTTTTCATTATGTTAGATGTATCTAGAGAAGAATCCCCATGGTTACGAAGTAAAGATTTCTTTTTTTTTTTAAGGTTACGGATTCGGATAAATATTAACTTCTTTTTTTTTTCTCATCCATTTTTTGGTAGTGCCCAACTCATTATCTACGATGGTGACATTTTAGACCATTTAGTTTAGTTTATTCTTTTTTTTTTTTTATGGAATATCATAGGAAAAAACGTCTAATGTTTGATGAATATATATATAAAAAAAATCCTGTTTACAACAATATATTCTTATAACGACGACGATGATGATGATGATGATGTCAAATAGGATCCAAAAGAGATGAAAAGTGAGGAGTAGCGCTAAGATAATCAGGAGGAGAGGAATCACTATTGTAGGCCGGAATGGTGGCAAGTGGATGTAGAATGCTTTCACCAGAGAGATAACTTTCCATGATTCTTTTTCTTTCTACAAATAATTGATGCTGTGTATCTCGTTGTTTTTGATCCAATCGCCTTAGCTTGTTGTGATCATACGCATTGATAGTTTTAGTCACTGTTTCAATCCGCTCATGGAATAACACTTGAAGTTTATTCAATTGTCGTATCCAGATCTTGATGTCATCTAAGGGATGATTCGATTAGTACACCATACCCATTTTTTTTAATTTTTTTTTTTGATACGTACCTTTTTGTTTCTCGTTCATTATTGTCCATATTTGAAGTGAATGCTCCATTTTCTCCATGAGTTTGATGATCACTTGATGATAAGCGGATGAATCATAGTATTTGGATGACAATAATGTTTGAAAACGTTGTAAGCACATGATACTATGACTCACCAACTCTGTATTAAAACAAGAAAAGATTCATCAGTTATTTTATTATTTATCTTCTTCATGATATACCAAATGAATCATCTTGTCTTGCTTGATGCAAGTCATGGATGGCTTGTTCTAATTCTGGCTTAGCAAGGATGAATTCATCTTTAGCCTTGGCAACATCTCCTAACAAATGTTTAATCAACTTTTTTTTTTTAAAGAAAAAAAACAAAAACAAAGCATTTCCTTCTATGAGTCTTTTTATTCCATGTACTTTTTTTTTTAAATCATGAACTTGCTTCTTTTCGTTGTGTCTGATATTGATCCAGTTTATGTAATAAATGAGCCTCATGATCACTATAGGAATGATCCTCAGAAAAGATCTATTGTGTGGGAATATACAACGTTACTGTTATCTTTGGTTTCTATATATGGAAGTCCCTTTGTCTTTTACCTTCTCAATCAAGGATTCTAATTGCTGTTGATATGACTCATATTCATGAACCTGGTTCTGTAACTCGAGTCTCTAATCAATCATCACAAAAAAAAAAAAAAAAAAAATTGAGAGAGTCATCCAAAAAAAAAAGGTCAGAGATGTATGTACAAGTACCTTCAAAGTTGCTACAGAATATTCATGAAATAAACATTCATACTCCAGTTTTTCTTTTTGAAGTTGTTGAAAAAGTTGATGATATTGATTTTCTTTTTGTGAAGTCTGTTTCTTATTTATCGAACCCTGACGAAATGCAAGTCTGTATTGTTGATAGGCTTCTTTACTAAAAAAAAAAAAAAAAAAAAAAAGGAAACCAATCTGCCATTGATCCTATCCACTTTATTATTTCCTCTTACGTTTTTGCTTCGATGATCCGATAAGATTGATTTTTATCCTTCATCCGTATATCCAAAAATTGATCATAAGCTTTTGCTCTCTGAATGGCATCCAAAGCAACTTCATATCCTTCAAGTCGATGAGTCAATTCTATATAAGCAATAGATTGTAATTGAAGACTATCTATAAACATATGGATGAAGAAAAAAAAAAAAGAAAAGAAAAAAAAATATGATTAGATAAACTTTATATACAGTATGCTTAAAATTAAAGTTGATCGTATGATTATAATATATTATGGACGTACTACTCTGGATATAAGATCATCCTTCAAATCTATATCCCGCATGTATTAACATTTTTCATTTACACAAAAATGCAAAATAGCTATATATATCAAAAGTAGAATGTTTAAATGCTTTTTTTTCCCTTCTTTATTTCATATATATATAATTTTCTAGTATGCCTATAAATATCACTACAATTCATTTCCAACCGTGACCCAGTAATCCCGTAGATTATTCTTTCTTCCAAAGATTTCCAAATATTTGCCTATAATAAAAAAAAAAGTAAATCATCATATTTTGCTTTTTTTGATCCATTTACCATTGGGTACTAATTCTTCAATCAATTCATATAATTCTTCTGGTTTTTGACTTTGACCTCTTCTTTCTGAAAAAATGATGTCAGAACCAACAGAATGACGACATGTGATAGGATCCTTTCCCTACATTAATAAACGTTAATACTTTTTTTTTTTCTCTCTATTGCATTTATTATTCCTTACCTTTCTTCCAACTAAACATGTTTCTTTAGCATGCTGTAAATAATATCCGTGTCCTTTTGCCATACGTCGATTCACTGTTTGTTTAACCCAAGTAATATCATCCACATATCTAATAATAATAATAATTAGAAAGGTTTTAAAGTTCCTGACACAATACTTACGTATAACCCCATTTTTCCATCATTTCAAAAGCTTTTGCATATTTGTTGTTGATGACCCAAATAAAAATGAATCCATTTTCTTGAAGTTTAGGAATCGGTAGATCTTCGATACAAACATCAGGAAGTTGTTGATAAGCAATAGCTACACCACGGGTAGGAGCATGAGTAGCCAACTGCCATGGAGGATCAGCTACAATGACATCAAATTGGACTTCTTTGGCTAAAGACTAAAAATAGGTATATATGTTAATTTTTTTTTTTTTTTTCAATAAATCATCACTTACTTCCCAATCAAAAGTCATAACATTGGCTTTGATAGGCACACACCATTCAGGAGCTTCGAATTCTTGAGCTATAAAGGAATAATAAATTTAAAATCGTTGGTTATTTTACTTTTCCTTTTTTTTTTTTTGACTTACTTTCATCTTCTTCTTCATCATCGTCATCCATAGTTTGATCATTCTTTTCACTTGTTTTGCCGGAATCACTTGCCTCGTCTAACTCATTATCATTGTTGTCACTTTCGTTCTGACTTGAGCTACTATCATCCTCATCGTCACTGTCTTCATCGTCGTCTTGGTCGTCGTCTTGTTCATCGTAGTTGTCGCTTTCCGTATTATTCAAGTCAACTTGGTCGTCTTGCATATTATCGAACTGATCATCTTCTTGTTCATCCTGGTTGCTATCATCAGTGGCAGTGGATGCAGATACATATAAAATACGGTCACCTGAGAGTTTTGCAACTTCCTGTTGTAATAGATCAATTTGTTCGCGTAAATTCAGTTCCTGGATCAATAATGTTTTCATATCTTCTTCATTAAAGGTTATATCTTCTTCTTCTTCTTCTTTTTGTTGTTGTTGTCGATGAGAAGTATTGCCATTGACAGATGTGGATGGAGAAGGAGTTGAATCTATATCACTCATAAGGTGATCTTCACTGGATGCTGACATTATTTTCGATAGGCTTAAGAAAGAAAGAAAAAAAAAATAAAAGAAATGACTGGCGACGCGTTTTGGTGTTTTTTTTTTTTTCTGTTTGCAAAAGCTATCCGCCCGGTCGGTATATGAAATTACAGCAGAAAACAGGATGAGCAGCAGCTTGATCGGTTTTTGACAAGTGCAAGAGGATTGACCAACCAATGAACGTCCAGGACAAGGCCCACGAGGAACTAATGTTTCCATGATCACTATAATAGGAGGATGAATTGAGCCAATTGTTACCTTTAGCCTACAAGAGTGCTCATGTAAATTAAAAAGAGAAAAGAAAAAGAAAAATTTCCATTTTACTTTGCTGTTTCTTTCCTTCCTTTCTCTTTCTTCTTTTCATACCCGAACGTGCCTTTCTTTTTTTTATTCCAATTCTTTTTTTTTTTCTTTTTTCTTCCTTTCTTTCCTTCCTTTAGTTATCTCACATAGGAGTAGTACTTTCTCCTTTGACAACATCCATTACTTGATCTATCTATGTATATATCCCATTAACTACAACATACACATCTCTTATAGATATATTTATATAAATATATATAACAATCAACTTAATCAACAACAACAATAATAATAATGCCATGCTTGAATATTGCCACATTTCCAGTCCCTCGGTTACTCAAATTGGTAGCTAATATTTTGACATCCATTTGTCGTTCTAACGATCGTATTCCTTGTACACCAATGTCAGTATTTCATTCAAGAGCGGTACCCCATATTCAAATTGCAGACTATATGACTCGAATACTCAAGTTTACTCCTTATTCCAACGAAGTTTTACTATGCATGCTCATTTACTTTGACCGGATTGCTGACAGTAAAACCAACGCCATCACTTTGAATTCTTTGAACATTCATCGTTTCATCATTACAAGGTAACTTAATCCTGTGTTATTTGTACATGATATATTAAATTTATTTTTTTCTTTAGCATTGTCATTGCCACTAAAAGTACTTCAGATATCTATTATCGAAATTCTCGTTATGCCAAGGTAATATATATAAAAAAAAAATTGATAACTCTTTTGTACCAATCTGAACTTACATATATATATATTTAGGTGGGTGGGATTACTTTACAAGAACTTTATCATCTTGAATTGGAATTCTTGAAGCTCTGTGACTTCAGGGTCCATGTACCATTAGAACAATTACAACACTATGCAGATCAAGTATGGAATTTATCCTTGAATCGAAGTGACATCATCCATGATACATCTTTATCAACATCATCTTCAGTATTATCATCACCAGCATCATCATCATTAACGTCATCGTCATCAACATCATCATCGCCATCAGTAGTATCAATGCATTCAGGATCACCTTATTATATCAATTCTACTACAATAGTTTCACCTTCGTCTTTATCATCATCTTCATCAGTAGCATCATCCGTATTATTACCATTGACTCCACCTCAAGATTCTATTACAGCTACCTCAAATACTCAACAACAGAAACAACAACAACAACAGCAAAGATTAAAACCACCATCACCACCCACCAGTAGGACAACAAAACGAAGGTATCATCCTTATGGTCGTCTTTCCAGTAACAAAGGAGAGTGATTACTTAGATTCTTTTTTTAACTCCTTATTACCTCCTTGTCTTTTTTTTTTTCCTTTTCCATTCTTCCATATACATTTAGTTTAGATATCTTCATTTAACATAGTTTTTCTCTATTTCTTTGTTCCTTTATTAGCATATTACGCCTTCATTCGCTTTATATTCCCCACATCATTGTTACGTCTTTGGATTATTTACATCTGAATGCATAGTTTATCATTCGAAAAAAAATAAAAACAAATAAACCTGTGTATTATTTATTTTTATTTTACAATTTTTTTTTTTTGGGCCAATGAAAGGATGAATCAAAAAGTACATCCTTGATATATTTGAATGATTGGTTGGGTTTGGAGTAGATGGAATGAGAATGAACCCGATCATTATTTTTTTTTGTTGTTATAGAGACCATCTCCTTTTTTTTTTTTCCTTAAAAGAGAGAGAGAGAGAGGATGATCCATTCTGAAATGAAGGAAATAAACATAACACTGACTTTGTTTGAAAGATCTTCTGTTTTATTATTTTTATCTTCAAAAAAAGAAGGCTGATACTTTTTTTTGATTGGTGTTCCATCAGACGCGTGAGGTCTTCTCTCATTATTCTTTTTCTCTCTCTCTAAAAAAAGAAAAGGTTGAAACACAGAACAAGCAAAATAAGATGTGAAGCAAAGTTGTTTATTGACAAAAACGGTCGATCTATTACTATAAAAAAAAATAAAAGAGAGAGAGAGAGAACGTACATAGACGGCATTTAAATGCTATCGGTTTACCAAAAGACAAAAAAACTCAAAAAAAGTATATTTATTTTTGACCAATTTCCTTTCTTGGACCGTGTGTGTAGAATTCCGGGGAACTGATGATTTCGAATAACTTCTATTCTTGGCGAATACCTTGATTTTTTTTTTTCATCCGAACATCTCCATTGACAAAACATAAACGGGATATATGTATACATTTGTAAATAGACGATGAATGTCATATTTTTCCCTTCATTGTATTAAATTATTATTATCATTATTATTCGTCGCCGCTCTCCTTTTGTGGCACACATACACTCCTTTCATCATACAAAAACGGGTTCTTTTTATGCACATGACTTTCCGAATTTAGATGGTGAACGATGAAAAAAAAAAAAAAAAGAATATAGTTGTAGTGATTCTTTTTCTTGTTGATGACTTGGATGCTATATCTTTTTTTTTTTTTTTTTTTGATAAAATGATCATCCAGTAACAGATGCATAGATGGCATGAATGAACATGTGTTCAAATGGAAACAGGCGTAAAAGGATTTTCGTAATGCAATTACCAAACAAAGTTCAATTTTTCATTTTTTAGGTTTCAGTGAACAAAAGGAATGAAAGAAAAGAAAATGTATAAAAGATGACCCAATAAAAGAAATTCCTTTTTCTTTTTTCTTTCTTTTTTTTTCTCTTCCTTTTCTTTTCTTTTTTTTTCTTTTTTTTTTTCTTTTCTATGCAATGGCTAAGATGACGATGATAAAGAGAAAGAATCAATTGGATCGTTTACCTTACGACATTCTTATACGAATTCTTCAATTGCCTGAGATAGATGTTCAAACCGTTGTCATATTCGCACAAGCATTACCCTATTATAAAGATTTGGCTATGTACGTGTTACATCATCATCAGCTTCCTCGATTATATCTACAAACTACCATGGATCAAGAAGGAAAAAAACAATATCTTACTCTATTTCATTACCATAGTTTGGATGTGGCTTCTCTTTGTGTCACCTTTAAAGTCTCATCTGCCTCCACTTCCAAACGGTATATCTCAAACACCGCCTCAGCAGCTCGGCCGCGTTTACGGCAACTCACTCTTCATCATCATCATCATCATCAAGAAAAAGAAAAAAAGAACAAACTAGTTGATCCCGCAAGTCAATTTTGGTATCATCGTCGTTCCTGTTCTTCTTCTGTTCCTACTTTATCCTCCGATTCTTCAATCTCCGTGGATTCCTGTTCGTGTTGTTCTACATTCTCCTCTTCATCATCATTAATAGTGAAAAAACAATCATCATCACAATTATTATTATCCTCATTGAAGACAAAGAATAATCAGCCTAATTTAATTCAATCTCATTCATTATCTTTGAAACAAGGTTCACATACTATTTTCCTGTCATCATCAAGTGCAACTCATTCAAAAGCTAAATGGCAATGCTCTTATCATGTAGATTATACGAATGATCCATCCAATCTTATGCCTTATTTTGTGGATAATTGTCCTCCCTTGAAGTCACCTCAAAGGCAATTCAAGACGGAACATATGTACATTTCTCCCATTTCTATCACTGTCCCTTTGACAACATTATGTCCTCTTCCTGATTCATCATCATCGCCATCCTTTGGATCCATTTGGTTAAAAAGATGTGTTCAAACTACTATCAAGAAATTTTTTTAAATGAATACTATAATTTTTTTTTTTGTACATCATAATAAATAATCTGCAAAGTTCAAATACGACTACGGAAAATAAGAACAACTTTTCAATGATGATCATGTGCATTCTACAGTTTTCTTCTTATTGTTTGTTCTGAGTGATAGATCATCAACATTATGCATTCATTCACAAATGATTGCTGAATCACCCATCTATCATTATCAAAAAACAAGGATTTATATATCTGCCTTATACTGACAGTCGATAGAAAAAAAAGTTCATTCATATCAGTTGTCAAAAAACACACCAGAGTAGAACGCAGAAAGATTTATTTTTAGCATCTGACTAACAAAAGTGAGGACTTCGTTCTCGTGTACCTGGAAAATCACAATGGTGGTGGATTTCATAATCCGCAAAGTTATTTGATTACTTTGATTCCAATTTTTTTTTTTTATTTCTCTTTTTTTTTTTTTTTTCTCCAAACGCAACATTTATCAATTCTATTCTACATCTAATAGATTGAAATATATTCATACACATACCCCCTCTTTCATTTTCTTCTTTTTTTCTCCACTCCTTTCCTTTTCTCCACTCTTTTAACTACTTATTTTAATGAATGCCACTTCACCATTAGATTCATCCACTGATAGTGGTTCTCAACAGACTTGGCGTTTGTCACCCAACAGTTCTATTTCAACACCATTACCAAGACGCGCCAATAGTAAAAAGCCTTCATCATTAGTCGTCTATCCACCGCTACCTACTTCACACCAACAATATCATCCTCAACCTACAGCTACTACTTCTACCGGTATAACAGCTTCGACGATAACAACAGCAACAAGGAACAAGAAAAATATCAACAATCATTATGGCCATACATTATCTTCACCTGTAAACGGGGATGGTTTATTTCTTGCCAGTCCACCTCCTACTGCCACTCGTCTACCAAATAGTCATGTCTTACGAATGCCACGACTTCATCAAACTTTTGATTATATTGCCACTTCATCGAAACCAGGTGTCTTACCGTCTCATCGCGTGGGTTTTGCAGAATACGGGGATTTAGAAAATGGATATCCTACTATGGTCATAGGTGGTCATGGTTGTTCTCGTTTGGTGGGTATTATGTTTGAAGAATTAGCTCAACGACATGGATTACGGATGATTTGGCCAGAACGACCAGGGTAATAATAATAATAAAAAAATAAATTAAAAAAAAAAAAACTAAATCCTTTTTTTTTTTTTTTCCTCCTTATAGATATGGTTTATCAGAAGAATGCAGTCCACAGAAATTAAATGCATTGGATTGGGCAGAAGTAGTAATACAATTAGCGAATCATTTGGGTATCAATACCTTCAGTATCATTGGACAATCAGTAGGTACAGTGTTTGCCATGGCAATAGCACATCAATACAGTCATCGTGTGATGGGGCCAATGTATATGATCTCACCATGGGTATCTACACAACAAGCAAATACATTCAAATGGTCAAGGCGTCTTCCGGCTAGTTTGGTGACAAGAACATTATCATTTGCAATGGATGTGATGTGGTTATTCAACAAACCGACAGCATGGGATTCATCCACTGATATCAATAGTCCTCCTTTACAATCACCTCCACCTCTCTTTTCATCGTCCTCTACCACCACGACATCATCATCCATCTCATACGGTCAACACATTCAACAACAGGAAGAAGAAAACGAATTCTTGGCATCTTTAGAAGGTGAAGACAATCTACCGACGGATTTCCCACCTCATCGACCGTTACGACATATGGTACGACCAAGACATGTATCTCTGTATGTGGCAATGAACAAGTATCGGATGGCAGAACCGTATCAATCAGGACAGCTAGGGGATGTATTGGTAGCTCTGGAAAAATATCATGAATTTGGCTTTAGTTATGATGGACAATCAACACCGGTAGCAGTGTCTGCGGTATGGGGTGATCAAGATAGTTTGATTCCACAGCGTGCGATAGATTGTTTTGCTAATCAAATTAGGGATATTCGATTGAAGATTTTGGAAGGGGAAGGTCATGATTTGATTTGGAAGGAAGGTGTCATGGCTTGGGCTATTCGAAGTATTGGTGAACGTTGGCGTGCGACTGAAGGAAGATCCTCTTAGGTGCATTCTTTTTTTTTTTTTATTACTATTATTTATTTATTTATTTATTTTTATTCATAATACCTATTCTTTCTTTTTTTTTATATATATGTGTGTATACCCCCCCTCTCGTTTCCCCCTCTCCCTTTCTATTTAGTTTAGTGATATCAATATTACTTTTATTATTTAAATAAAATGATAATAAATAAAACATCAAATGGTTCTTTATTATATTATGCAAAATTTTCTTTAGAAGGATTACTGTCTTTTTTGAAAAGTAATTTGCTTTATATCTTTGGAGACATGAACGGTAGTTTGGACACGTTTGGTTTCAAGAATGACATCCACAGATAAGTTGGGTCTAGGACGGCCAGGATGAGGTGCAATAGGTCGAGGAGGGCGTCGAGGAGGAGCTGGCATATCTCTTTTTTGTTTTTGATATTTTTTTTTTCAATCACTATATAAAATGTTCTTCTTTTTATATCTTTTCCCCATTATAAAAATAAAAAAAAGGTGAATTGACAACATTCTTAAAAAAAAAAAAAGGATAATTCATCCATGATCAAACAGGCTATCCCCTGCGCCCCCCTTCCTTTCATTGAAAAAGCTCACTTTATAACTCTTTAACATAAAGTTTGGTGAAGATGCTATGATGATGGAAAATAATGAATGTTATATAACGATCTGTGTTTTCCTATAGTGACATGCAAGAAAAGATAAAGAGAATCAATCAAAAAGAGACAATGAGACTAAGGAGAAAAAAAAAAAAAGAAAAGACAATGGTTTTATTATAGAAGAATGAAATAGAAGCTAAAATGTTATACTATCGACAACAATATAAGAAACTAAAAGTTCATTGAAAAGATACGTTTACCATCGATTTGAATTTTTTTTTTTGTCCAATCAATTGTATGTATGCATCCCACTTGGTCCCGTCGCACGTGTTTTCAATTGAATCCTGTTCGTCCATTGATCAAGTTCATTGATTCAATACATCCAGTCGCAGTGGTTCCTAAAAAAAAAAAGGCACTCCCGATAGTTAAGGATAAAATGATTTCCATCGTTCCTTTCTCTATTTTACTCGAATCCATTGTATCTTTTTCATCCACTATGGGTCGAAATCCTTTCCTATGATGTTTTGATCTTTATCGCCAGCCTGACAACAAACCATTTCATTCTTTATTCAATCGCCAACTCTATGGTGTTTCCCGAAAGAAAAAAAAAAAAAAAAAGAAAAGTAGAATACATATCCAATGTAGTCACCATTTTTTTTTCCATAAATTCCTCTCCATTTGAAATTACCGTTTATACCCATAGAGTCTACATCCAATTGCATATTATCTTACAAAGAAGAGGAACAAACTCCTGGAATGAGCCATTGGTACACCATCGTCTCATATTCTTACTTTCTTAAACTTGATCGCTTTTTTCTATGAGAGAAAGAGAGAGAGAGAGTCAGATAAATATAGATTAAGTATTATCCATGTACCTCATTGTATTTATAGATGAAGGAAGAAATGCAAAAAAAGGAAAGAGAAAGGAAAAAAAAAGTCGATGAGGGGAACATAGAATACGGGAAATGATTGGCTGACTTTTCAAACCTTAAAAAAAGTGAACCCGCATCAATGCAAAAAAAAAAAAAAAATAATAATAAGTGAAAATATCTTTTCATATATAGATCGATGTAATTGATGATTCCATTCATTGAATTATTGGGTGAAGATGATCCTTTTCATATATGATTAGATCTATAGGATTCCCTTTTTTATAATGAACGAATGATCTATAGAATATTCTCTTTTTTATTATTATTATTTCATAACACGCGAATCAATAGATGATATCACCATATACTAACAAATGACTACATTTCAGTGCATCCATAACAAAAGAGTTCACATGCGATATATAGATAGGATGGATGGATGACTTGCAGATCGATAGAGTCCGAGGTTGAGCGAGTGTAACATTGGTTTGCTTTTAAAAAAAAGAAAGTCTATTCGATGCTATCCTTATTTGTTACACGTTGTGTCACTTTTTGTTCATCGTAGATATAAAAAGAAAGAAATTTTTTTTTTCTTTGTTCCTTTTTTCTTTTTTTTTTTTTTCATACAAATTCTTAATATTCATGAGTTTCAGGTTGACAGGTTCCCCTGATTATAGTTATACTCCACAACCAGATGGAGGAGAAATCTCATCACAATTGATTGCCTTAGTGGCAGCCAGTATTATGTGTAGTTTATTCGGCATCAAAACATACAATGTACAATATAAATACTTATCTTATTCCCGCATCTTGGTGCTTTTATTATATATCTGTTCTTGGGCATTTACTGTCACTGGTTTGATTTTAATGTCTACAAATAATGGTAAAAAAAAAAAATTTGCTCCTTTTATGTGTCACCATCATTGTAACTTTTTAAAGTTAGGCAACTATCTTTCTTGTTTACTGTCAGAATTATCTTGTGATATTTTTTACTCGGGAACAAAGATTCTTATGTATTGTTGGTAAGTTTTGTTTTTCTTTGTTTTTTGTTTTTTTTGAATTACCTAATTTTTTTTTTTGAAAATAGGTTGATTGAAAAAGTATGGGTAGTAAATGCTGGTCGAACAACAAGATGGCATACTAAATCTTATCGACTTCATACTCTATTATTAACACCATATATTGTGATTTTTGTGTTGATGGTAAAAAAAAAAAAAAAAAAAATAGATCATCATTCTTTATTGTTATTTATTCTATTTTTTTTTTTTATAATAGATCTATTTCCATAATGCTTGGTTAGAAGAGGATGGATTATGTATCATTGGATTAAAACCTATTGCCAGTATTCCATTACTTGTAAGTTCAAAAAAAAAAAACTCCCTATTCTATTGTCTAACTCTTTTTTTTTTTTTTTAATGATTAGGTTTACGATTTTGTAAGTGACATGTCACCAATATAGAAATTTCAATTTGATTCATTTTTTTTTTTTAAAGGTGTTCAATTTGTATATGACTGTTCTTTTTGTTTTACCATTGATCAAGATTGGACATGATACCAATGTGGATTGGAAACAAACACGATTACATGAAGTAGCGAAAAAGACGATGATGGCATCCGTGGTCTGTCTTATTGTATCATTTGCCAATGTCACAGCACTCGCGGTTTTAGGAGGTACGGAGCGTGGTGTGTTGTGTTTGACGTGTTGTTTTGTTGACGTGATGATCAACGTGGTGACGGTGCATTGGGTCACTTCACAACCTGCCACTGGGAAAGCTACGCGTGATACTATAATGAGTTACAATCATCCTCAATCAAAAGATCAAACATCCCATTCGTCAGATCAATCTAGTCAGAAAGAAAACATTATCCCTACTGATAAAAAGAAACGTTTCCGATTTGATCCTGTGAATGAACAATATGGTGAATTTGGTCATCAACAAGATAAGACGCCTCAATATACCAATCAAATGACATCTAATTACAATGTAAATCAATACATGTCTGCCACTGGTAACAAGATCTATACATCACCAGCCATCCACCAATCACCACAACAATTACCTGCTTATCAACCCTCTTCCATGCCCTATCATTTCATGAATGGTCGTTTTGTCATGGTTTCTGAAAGAGAAGATGATGATTTTCAAACTTCTAGTCATTCATCATCTATTCAAGATAGTAGGCGGTCACTTACCAAAACACCTTCCAGTACTTCATCCCATCATTAAAAAAAAAAAAAAATCGAGCTCAGCCTCCATTCCCTTTTGTATTCATACCATAATAAAAAAAAAAGTCTATTTTTATTATTATTATCATACAATAAGATTCACTAATAACTAATCATGGAGTAAAAAACAATCGTTTAGGTTTCTTGTCTAACCTTTTCATGCTATCTTGCCGATCTTTCCTTTTTTCACCATTACCACGAACTTGTTTCGTCGTACTTTTTTGTGATACCCTTGATGACTGTTCTTCCTTTTCCAGATCCAACGCGAAATGATAATCTGTATGTTCATCCACTTGTTCCAAGGAGATCCTTTGATGGCATCGGTCACACGTCCAAGTATTGATGATTTGTGTTGATGTTGAGATGATATCATCTTTTTCTTTGGAGGTTTTGAAAAACTGATGAATGGTATAATTTGTCGCTGTTACATCTGTCGTCAATCCTGTAGCCTGAAGTGATATTGAGCTACATGGGAAGATATCATCCAACATAGTTGTAAACATTTGAGTAACGATTTGTTGTAATTTTTCTATGTCAAAGAGAAAAAAAAAATAAGATAAAAGAAAAAAAAAGGATCTATTACTTTACCATGGGTATCAGAGTCATTTCTATTTATCATGGATGTTGATTTCGTTTGTAAGACGCCTCGAGTTCTATGGGATATCTAAAAAAAAAAAAAAAAAAAAAAAAAAAGAAAGATTAAAATCGAATGAAACCATCATCTTCACACTTACAGATAATGTTTTTGGCCAAGTTTGATGTTCTTCCCAATTTTTCATGATCCTATTATGTAATTCACCAGATAATACCGAGTACCATGGACGCAATTCCTTTTCATTGGTCAATGGTGGAGTCATGATTTTGGATGCCATGAGTGATTTTGGTGCCTTGAGTAAAATAACTATATGAAAATAGTGAGTGTCTTTTTTTCCAAATGAATCATTCTTCTTACCTTCTTCATGATCGATACCTCTTACAATATTGTAAAGCCATTGTCCTGAAGATTCGCCAAATTTATCTTGTAATTCCTTGAGAGAGATTGGCCACAAATCACTTGCTTTTTGTACATTGTATTCTTCTTCCACTGCCTGGCCAAACTTACCCCCTAGATTTCTGATTTTATTGAATGGAATATCTTGTATGAATGAAAGCGCTACATGTTGTCGAACAATTGTCTATACAAAAAAGGGAAATTTTTCATTAGTTTAGTTTTGTCCTACCCACATTTTCATTATATTTTTTTTTCATACTTGTTTGTTTGGTTTATTCATACTTGAACCCAATTTTGCTAATACTTTGTTATGTGCTATACCTAAAAAAAAAAAAAAAAAAAAAAAAAAAAATTAGACGTGATCCATTTACTTTTTTTTTTCTTACCAGCCGAACACGTATAATGTAATTCATCCCAAACTTGTTTCCGAATTTCGGCGGCAATTTCAGCACCCATAGCTAATTGAATATCAAACCAAGAAGTAGGATCATCATCATCATTATCATCATTATTACTTGATTCCTTGCGTTTCAATTCATCTGTACTAGGGACAAGATTACCAAGATTTGTCCAATCTATTCGATGATCATCCAATATCACTGTAGATTCACCATCCGTAATACAACGTTCCATCAACACAGGATGAGTTGGAATATACTGTTTGCATAATCGTTCATTGGCAGCCTCAGTCATATCCAAAAACGCTTCGTCCGATCCCACTTTTTGTAATAATGAACAATGTTGACCAAAGATTTGAAGAATTTTATTGCCGGCATCGCGATAGGCATCCAAATTAACTTTATGTGTTGCACGTGATGGATTGTCATGATATCGAGCTACCGATTCATTTGGTGCATATGTTGCTACATGAACTAAGGTGATTTCTATTATATATATAAAAAGGTGAGTTTTTTTTTTTTTTATCCAACCAATAAAATAACCATTGAATATATATATATATACCTGGACATAATTTTTTGGCATCATCCACTGAGGAATGTCTTGTTACTCCATAGGCACGAGCAGCATAATTGACTATAAAAAGAATAGAAAATTTGAATTATTTTTTTTATGAGAACTTGTTAATGGTCAACTTACCTGCAATAAGACTAGACCATTGTTGAACAGCAACAGGTTTACTTGAATCCAATCCTAAACGTACTTCCTCTAAATTATATCAAAAGTTAGTAAACATAGTTACTAAATCTATCTATCTACTTTACCCACTTGACAAAAGAAGCAATCTATTTTTATTATATGAAAAGAACCATTGTTTATATTCCACACATCTATATCTATATATATATATATATCTTTATTACCTAGATCTATATGAATGATACACCTTGAATCTTTCAGACAAGAAGGTAATGACATTAAGAAGTGAAGGAAGAGGCACAGCAAAAAGAAAAAAAATCCAAAAAAAAAGAAACGCGGAGGTTGAAACCTCAGAACGCGTACCAAAGAAAAAAGCGGTACTGAAAAGTTTTTGTTTTTCTTTTCCCTTTTTTTTTTCTCTTTTGTTGTTTTTTCCATCTTACTCCATCTTTTTTTTTTTTCTGTACCATGGCTGATTTTAACGCTGTTGCTAAGGCCTTTGTAGAATTCTATTATCAAACCTTTGATACTAGTCGACAAAATTTGACTAGTCTTTATGTAAGTATGAAAATTAGTAATATAACATGGCTCATTATTTTATCTATATAGCGAAACAACTCCATGTTGACTTTTGAAGGACAACAATTCCAAGGTGCCGCAAATATTACTGAAAAGTTGGTGGTAAAGTATTTGATATAAATAAAAAAAGGTAATCCACTTACATTTATTGTTTTTTTTAATAGAGTCTTCCTTTCCAAAAAGTAGCTCATAGAATCTCCACTATTGATGCTCAACCTTCTGCTGCCGATAATTCCATTCTTGTCATTGTGTCTGGTCAACTTTTGGTAAGTAAACTTCCCCCCCCCGTATTTTTAGATGCTGTGCATTATGTAAACAAATGATCAACTCATCTTTTTTTTTATTATTATTATTAATTATTTATCTATAGATTGATGAAGAATCCAATCCTCAAATGTTCAGTCAAACTTTCCTTTTGATGCCTGAAGGTGGTTCTTTCTTTGTCTTCAATGATATGTTCCGATTGATCTATGGTGCTTAGATCAATTATCTTATTTTTTTTTAATATAGTGTCCCCCTTTTTTTTTTTTTGCCTTCAACATTATTTTATATCATTTTTCCCACCTTATCTTTTGTTTTTATCCCATCAGAATAAAGGATCCTATTTAGGTGGTGTTACTATTATTTGTTTTTATATATATATATGTATGGAGATGCGTGTGTATGATAAAGATACAACGTATAAATTTTTATTCAAATAAAAAAGAAGCATCCTAAGCTATATACAATAAAACTAAACTAAACTAAAAAAAAAAAAACTAGTTCATTCGTTGATAGGTTCAGCATCACGATCAAAGGCAGTCAGGATGTTCTTACGAATGGTAAAATCGTCCAATTTGGCAGGAGTGACGGTATTTGACTTGATGATCTTGTCCAAACGAGTCTTTTCCTTTTGAATAAAAGCATCTCCACCATCAATGATCTTTTCCATGAGTTTACCATAGTACTTGGCATAACGATTATTTTCCAAAGTAGAAGCGACTTCATTGGCCTTGGTATGGATTTCCTTCTTGACATCAGCTGCTGTGGATTGCACAAAGTCACGAGCCAAACGATCCAAAGAAGAGATACGACCAGCAACGGCGTCCAGACCACCACCGACAACACGACGCGTGTTACAATGTTGATTCAAGAAGTCAATGAAACCAGCTTCATTGCGACTGCCTTCATAAGGAATAGGATCAGCACCATTGGCAGGGAAGAACTTGATAGTAGGGAATCCAGAGATATCATATTCAGTTCCAATGGTACGTTCAATATCAGCATCAATCTTGGCAACATTACATGAAGGTTCATTGGCAAAAGCAGAAGCGACTTTTTCATAGATAGGGGCCAAGTTCTTGCAGTGACCACACCAGCTAGCATAGAATTCAACCAGGGTACCTGTCTTGGCATCATCCACCACTTGATGGAAATTAGCACTTGTCAATACCACCACATCAGATTTGGTAGAACGGATACGGGGCCGGATCCCAGAATGGTCCCTGACAAACTTGGAAAGAGAGTCCAAATCACGGCCACCCTTGTAGTCTTCCACGCCATCCTTTGTAGTGACACCCTTGGGGAACCATTTCAATGTAGGAAAGCCTTGCACACCAAACGCAGCACCCAAATCACGATGTTCATCAGCATCCACCTTGGCAATCACCACTTCATCACTATGAGCAAATGCATCACCCAATTCCGCATAGACAGGAGCCAAATTCTTACAGTGACCACACCAAGGAGCATAAAATTCAACCAAAGCAGGACGACTACCGTCCATCACTGTTTTGAAATTATCTTGTGTCAATACATGAACATTACCATCCATAATCACACCACCACTACTACTACTTTTTGCTGTCTTTTCACGAACATAAGCCAAGACATCATCGATAGTATTGAATTCCTTGAGTTGAGCAAATGCATAGTTCACCTTTTCAGCAATACTTTCAGGAGTGGTTGCCTTGATATCACGTACCATTTGATTGAAATGATGTTGTACTGTTTCCACATTCAAATGACGAGCATGATCCACCAAATTTTCTCCAATATGACCGCCTTTATAAAAGTCATAACCTAAAAACCCGGCATTGACAATTAGCAACAAAAAGAATATGTTGCGGAAAAGTGACATTATAATAGAATAAATATGTAAAAAAAAAAAAAAAAAGAAAGGAAAAGAAGAAAAAAAAAAAAAAAAAAAAAATGGGTCCAACAAAAATTTTAGCAAATCAGGTGGGCCCAAGTTTTTTTTTTTTTTTTTATATATATCTTCTAATGGATTCCATTCTCCGCTCGACAATCATGATGATATTCAATTCGTCATACATCAATTATACAGTGTTTTCAAAGTTTTTTGTCGGGTCACAAGAAAATGCTTTTCGTGATGTTATCAAATAAAATATCGTACTTTCCCAAAATGAATGGCGCATTACCACTTTTTCAGATATCGCTCCAGAGATGGCGGTAGAGTACATTAAAAACACACAACACATTGATGATAACTTGTTTATTAATAATAAAAGACACAAAAGAAAAGTAACATAAGCTTTTCATATTTTTAGCAGCTTTGGGTGTTGTCCATTCTTTTTTAGGTATCAATTGATTGATGATTCATGATCGATGATTCATGATTGATGATATGTGATAACGGATGATTGTATATTGGATGATTACAGGATGGATGATGGATGACTGTATGATGGATGATATGTGATAATGGATGATTATATGTTGGATGATGGAACATCGTAGTCAGTCACTGTACAAATTTCTGATAAAATACAAAATACTTCATTCTAGTTACCTTCTGACAGAACAACATTTTCTTTTTCTTTTCTTTTTTTCTTTGAAAAATGTCAAAACACTCTTTTATCAGCCAACATGATAAATCAATATAATAATGATGATTCATCACATCAATGGAAATTAAAAAATACAATAATAAATGTGCTGTGCACAATCATACTATCATTTAAAATAGAACAACTAAAAAAAAAAAAAAAAAAAAAAATCTAGTCATTAAACTAAAACACGGCAAAAACAAGTCAGTATCATGTATCACTTAGTACATGGATATTGTAATAATAGAATTTAATGTAGAACATCTATGTAATTAACTTTATTATTAAGAGAGAAATGTTGCTAACACTAAAAAAAAGAAAAAAAATGATGAAGTAGATACTAAAAATAATAAAGTAGATACTAAAAAAGACAAATGATAAATTAAATACAATAGAAAGAGAGAAATGTTGTTAATACTAAAAAAAAATGATGATGAATTAGATACAATATAAAGATAGAAATGTTGCTAATATTTAAAAAAGATGATAAAACTTGCTTACATCTTGTCTCATCATTTTATCCACTAAAATTAGCTCATAATTGCAGGGATGATTCATTTTCTTATAAAAGGATCTCTTTGATTTAACTTTTTTTTTTTTATTTCTGTCTATCTCTTTCTTTACAAGTATTCTTTAATGGTTTAATCACCGTTGGTTCAATCACTCTTTTTTTTCTGTCTATCTTTAATGGTTTAATCACCGTTGGTTCAATCACTCTTTTTTTTTCTGTCTATCTTTAATGGTTTAATCACCGTTGTTTCAATCACTCTTTTTTTTTGCCTATCTTTTTTTTTTTACAAGTATTCTTTAATGGTTTAATCACCGTTGGTTCAATCAATTTAACAACATATCAACATAACAATTTCCGGGTTGGTTATCGCCATCCTACTTTCGCTACGGCGATCTCGTTACACTTAAATGGTAAGCTAGTGAAATATTTTTATCTGGATAAGTATTACTCATTTTTTATTTTTTTTTTTATATATGTTAACTTGGTGAACTCAATTGGTGGATTTCTTTTTTTTATTGGTCTTTTTTTCATGATATCTATTTTCTTATATTCTCTATTTGATTATGCGACAATTATATTTTTTTCTTCTGTCATTTATTTTCTATCCTTACGATATTTTATTTCCTATTTTTGCGTCATCTTATTCTTTGAATTCCGTCAATTATTATTGAATAAAGTGTAAAAGACAATTATATAATATACAAAAAAAAAAGAAAAAAAAAGATGAGGTTTTTATATTAAACAAGAAGATAATAGATAGATAAATAGATCATAAACTAAACTACATATTATGGTTGTGATAACGCCCCAGTACCATGGACAATAGATTGAGCTTTGGAGACCATATCCCATAAAGGTTTTGATAATTGAGCTAGTGCACGTACATGTTCAGGTTGAACCCTTTTCCGTAAAGCTTGTAAATTCCGTAATGCTTCATCCAAATCCTCTAATTCCGTAAACATTGGATACAATTGTTGTTGTTGTTGATAATAAGAAGAATGATAATCATTACCATTAGGTCTGGTCATCGTAAATGCTGAAGTAGAATGAGATGGTGGAGATGTGGTATTCAAATGCAAAGGAGAAGGATGATGTAAAGAAGGTGATGTAGTGGTGGATGGTGATGTAGGAGGATTTGCAGGAGATCGTAAAGGTGGTAAAGAAATGGATGGTAAAGCATTTTTAGGAGAACTAGAAGGTCGACTATCACGATAAAAAGGATCAAAATGAGCAGAGCGTCTTTCCGAAGAGATGGGTGGTAATGATACTGAAGGAGATGAAGCCTGATCATCTCTTGCAATAGATTGTCGTCCATTTGTATGAGAAGAATCTTGTTGTTGTATAGATGTCAATGATGATACACTAGAAGTTGAAGAAGATGATGATACATGTTGTTGTTTAGGATAACCATGGTCAGAATGAGCAGAGATTGTAGGTAATAATGAAGGAGAAGATGTTGATGGCAATAAAGTAGGAGAGGAATTGGTTGAACCATTTATATGTACTGTTGATGGTGATGATGGGAAAGCAGTTCGTTTTGGTACAATATAATCTTCAATAGCTGGAACCGTTGCTTGATGTTGATTGACCATCCGATTTCGTTTTCCTTTTGTTGTCGTATTCCCTTCTTGAGATTTAATCCGTTTCCGTTGTGGTTTTTTAGTTTTCTGTTGTTTATCTCCGTTTTCATTGGTGCGTTGATCATCGTCGTCATCATCCAATTGATCCACTTGTTCATCATCATCATGTTGTTGTTGTTGTTGTTGTTGTTGTTGTTGTTGTTGTTGTTGTTGTTGTCGTTTGTGTTTCTGTCGTTCCTCGTCATCATCATCATCATCATCATCAACATTGTCGTCATCCCCCATAACAATTAATCGTTTCCGTCGTTTGATCACACTTCGTTTCATGCTCACCGGTCGATGCACATTATGTAATTTGTAGTAAAGTCCACATGCATTGCAGATGGTATTGCCTTGATCATCTCTTCGCCATAAAGGAGTGGTGGACGATTGACAGTTCGCACATACCAAAGACCGTCGGTTCACTTGATGTTGATTGAATGCTGGACAACCTGCACAAGACGATGAACCACCTGTACCGTTGCATTTACCTCCACCTGGACATGAGCCTGAAGCTGGATTGGATTCATCATGACTTGCACATTCTTGTTGCTTTTTGGGTTGAATGTTGCGTTTCATTGTCGGTGGGCGTAAAGTATGTCGAGCCTTCAAATAAAGTCCACACGCATTGCAGATAGTGTCACCGTTGGGAGCCCGTCGCCATAAAGGAGTGGAAAAAGTACCGCAATTCGAACAACTAATGGACGATACTTGGTTGGTATTGCCAGACCACGTGCTTGAATCTGAGGTTTTCTTTTTCTTTGATTGTTGATGATTGGTTTCTTTGTTGTCATTGTTATCTTTGGAAGAAGTTGTAGCTTCTGACTTGTTAATAATAGGTGATTGCTTTTCTTCTCGTTGTTGTTGTTGTTGTTGTTGTTGTTGTTGTTGTTGTTGTTGTTGTTGTTTAGTCTGCGCAGTCGAAGTGATAACAGATGACGGGGGAATAGATGAAGTAGATGATATCATAAGAGCCGTAGCAGTTGTATTATTTGTAGGATTGGATAATGTCATTGGAGGTGATGAACTAACAGTATTCATGATCTCCTCACACTTTGTTCCAAAGAAAAAAAAAAGAAGTGTGTAAAAAAAAAAAAAAAAAAAAAAAATAGTATTAAAAAAAGACCCAAAAAGAAAAAAAAAATATAGAAAGAGAAAAAAAAAAAAACACAGCCAGAGAGAAACATTTTCAATCAATGATTGTATATTGATTATTATAAACCGGCGCTACAATTAACCGAATGAAAGAACTTTTTTTTTTTTATTTTTTTATACCTGCTTATCATCTAAACTAAAAATTCAAAACTATGCTACACTATACTGATACAATTTAAGTAAATATATATATATATATATCATTGTTCGGCCAATAAATCTTCAATGACATTATTGATAAAGTCTCGATAACTTGTCATATCCACTCCAAAGGTTTTAGAAAGAGCATCTCTGACTTGTTTCTTGGTCAAATGCATCAAATCATGTTGTTGTAATAAAGTTTCGATTTCTTGAATGATCGCAGTATCACTAAGTACCTTTCCTTCTTTTTCTTGTACATAAGAGTGTTTATCATCTACAGTGCGCACATCATCTAGCCATTGTTGATGTAATAATTGTTGTTCATGATCAGCCCATCGTTGAACAGGAATACTGGTAGGATCAAATATATTATCTTGATGTTTGTTGGTTTTTGTTTTCTTCTTGTTCTTGTCATCACCCACCACAATCCGTGTGTTACCCCAGGAGAAATCATCAAAGTGCCAAAATGCATAAATGGGAATAAAAAACGAAAACACAGGGATGGCCAAAATATACACAATCATCCATCCAACATGTTCCCATTTTCGTCGCGTGATAAATATGATTGCTTGAAGTCCATAGACACCTGCCAATGTAATGATCGACATCATTGGTACTTGACTTGTACTTGTACATAATTGATAGACCAAATAGCCCAAATAACATACCACAGCTGGCATCACCAATGTACTTAATAAATCCAACATGACCACAAATCGCATCGAGAAACAACAAAATCCACACAGTTCAGGAAGGAACATCAATTCACCAAGGTTATGAATAGTAGAGTTAATCCATCGTCGACGTTGTGAGAGTAGTACAGGCCAACTATCAGGTGCATTCGTACGACAACTTGCTTCTGGGTTGAATTTGGTCTTGTAAGTAGGAAAGTGCTTGAGAATAAGCGTGGTCAGGTATCGATCTTCACCAAGATGGAGTAAGTTCTTCTTGTGTAAGGTGTTGACATTGTTTTCTGCATAGTCCGCAATCACTTGATGAGACGCTAGGAGAGGTTGATTCTTGGTCGCCGCACGCACTCGATACATACAAAAACAACCAGGAAGACATGTCACTGAACCAAACATGGATTCAAACGCCTTGGCCAGATGATGAGAGATATAATATTCATACACTTGAATCATTGTCACCCATGATTCTTTTTCATTCGACAACACTGTTTCACCACATAGTCCAACTAGCTTGGCATCCTTAACAAAAGAAGATACCATATGATTCAACGCATCCGGTGCCACCTCCGTATCAGCATCCACCATCAGTACCAATTCATAAAATGAAGGAAGGACCCCAATCACATTCTTGAGTTGATGATGCATTTCCAATTCCAATGGTGTCATCGGTAAATCGTAATGGATCTTGTTCAGGAATCGCATCAGAATCATTTGTGAATCTCGTTTTCCCCTATTGCCGGATTTTTGTCGTTCATCTGCCGTGCCAACCTTGACTACCACCAAATATGGAACCACATGCCCTTGACAATGATAAAGTCCTGAATACACCTTGGCTCGATTGTGTTGTCGTTGTCCTTCGCCTAGTGAGATAAAGTCCATTGGTTCACGATCATTATCTTCTTCAGGGTCCACACCGAGAATATCTAGTACAATCCTTGGTGTCGATCGATCGTTGCCACTACCTACAATCATCCCATCAGCAATCAAAAATAAGAGTTTGCGTTGATCGTCGTATTTCATAGCTGCCAAAGAATCAATAGTTTTGCGTAACGATTCTTCCCCTTCGGTATAACAAGGTACTTGACAAATAATGAATTTATCATGATGATAACTAGATGCTTGCCCTTCTTCTGTTCCATTTTTACGTTTCTCAGAGGAAGGAAGTGATGTATAAGATCCCAAACGAAAGGCGGCTAAAAACTTGAATAAGATCACACTACAGAGGAATGCTGTAATCAACAGTAAAAGATATTCCGATAACTGACATTGTAATGAATTCCGAGTATCGACCTTGCCAACAAAGAAGAGATTCCGAAGACATGTCAATTGTCGAGCCCTGAGTCCAGCATCCATAGGTAAAGCATCAAAATGAGCCGAAATATCAGTTCCAGCTAATTGTCGAAATAGTTCAGTAATACTGTTATCAATAAAGTCCATGTTGGTCGCATGATGTGTATTGTTTCCAAAAGATGTGTTGTTGCTGGTACTGTTGTCTCCATTCAGTGTCATATTCATTGTCGTTGTTGTTGTTGTTGTTGAATCCATGGATGGCGTCATACCAGGAGGATATTGAAGTGAAAGACCCCCTTTCATATATGAAGTCAAATCATAAACATGGTCATGTAGAATCGCCCATTGTCGTTGTGTATTGATACCACCGATTTGAACAGGCATGGAAGCTTGGTTTTGAATATCCACAGGATCATAACCCATAAAACCTAGTCTATAATTTCTACGTAGATAAACCATTTGTTCAAAATACCAATCGGGACGATAATCAGACTTGAACCATCGAAAGTCATGGAAACTTGAAGTTGTATCAGTGATATTGACATGAGCAGCAAGAGTAACTTCTTTAGGAATCGGTTGATTTGGATGGATGCCTTCACATAATGCGGATACTTGTACGGGGAAAAGATCACTAGCATCTTGACCGGCATATTGGAATAGAGAAGAAGCAGGAATCACTTCAGTCGCCCAATGTCGTGGAGCAAATGATGTGAGATCAAATACTTCACCACGAATAGAGATATACGCATTGTCCTTGTCACTTTTTGATTGTAGTTCAGACTGTGTAAATAGATCTTGATGAGGACATACCAATTGACCAAAAAAAGCAATAAACCATACCATCGCCGCGCATAACAGAAAGATCATGAAACATAATGTCACCTTTTCACGCCAGGCCATTCGGATATCGGATCGTCGCATTCCACCAATGTAACGAAGCACTAAACTAGGAAGCCACCAAGTCGTTAACCATGTCAGACATACCCAAATACCACGCGATCGACTCACTCCACCAAATAACCTGGACATCCATTCACATGAACGCTTTTGTTGTTTCTGCTCTTTTCTCTGTTGTTTTTTCTTGTCACAAGCTCCATCATCGTCACCGTCTTGAGTAGTTGATAGATTGTCTATAGTAGGATCTTGTCTTGTTACAGTATAAGCACTTTCCGTATCAAGATGATCGTGTTGTCGTCCATCACTACAAAGATATGAATCACACATAGAGTCTGTATCTGCTGGATAACAACGTCGTGGTCCATCGTAACAACTTGCAACTGATCCTGACACAGACATGTCATAACAGGATGGTGTACGAGAACATGAGGGCGTAAAGTCATCTTCTATTTGATTTAAACAAAAAAAAAAAAAAAAAGAAAAAAAAAGAAAAGAAAAAAAAGAAAGTCAATAAGTATAATGAGAAAAATACTTTTTCACTATTGACTTACCAAAAGGAACACCTTTGGCAATGGATTTCAACCGCTTTTGTTCCTTTTTTTCAAGATTGCGTAACAAGGATTCCAAAGCATACCAAGTAGAATGAGATAGATAGACCTGAAACAAAGAGAAAGAAAACGCGAACAAAAAAAAAAAAAAAAAAATGTAAGAAAGAAAGAGAAAAAAAAAAAAAAAAGGACGAGATAAAAAAAAAAAAAAAAAAAAGGGCCGAAAAAGGAAATCGCTGGCTTAACTTACCGACTCATCCATCATCATAAAAGCACGTTGATCCCAAGCAAAAGCATCTCTCATAGATTGGCATAAGGTCAAGGCATCTTTGTTTGCTTGGTTATTATTATCATCATCATCTACAATATCATCCTCCAAAACAACGGCATAACGCTGAGCACACTCGTCCAAGGTCATGGCTGTATAAGAAGGTAACTGTAATTGTCGCACCATGTCAGGTAAATACCATTGACTGATTTGATGACTCACCATTTTGGCATCAAATGAATGGGGTAAAGTTAAATTGTTAGGACGTACATTTAAAATCCACCATCGATTGGAAGGTAATAATAAGGAGGTGAGGATGGTTTGAATGGCAGCACATGGATCACGTTGAGAAACAGGTTGTTGATACGAGGATGTAAATAAATCATGAGCTAAATCAAGTGTACTTTGATTAGGATTTAATAATGCTGCCAAATCAGAATAAGATTGTGTGGTCAGACGATCACCCAAGGCCACCAAAGAGTAATGTCCAACCGCACCTGTGTATTTGGAAACATGGATGACAGTATCATTCGTATGATACGGTGTGGATTGTTGTTTCTTGATCATACACACTTGCTGTTGTGTTGGTTGTAATTTATTCATCACTCGCGTCAGACAATCGGACAGTAAATGATCAGGTTTTTCAGTGGATGGTAGAATGTCTTGCCAAACTTTAACAAAGAGAGGATCCTTGAATAAAGACATGTACATGGAACTAGGTGGTAATGTGGATGGGTTTTCAAATACTTGTTGAAGCATCATATCTTGTAAACATTCATTGGCATAAGTAAGACAAAAATCATCAAAAGAATCAATAGGATGATGACGACTTAATACACTGTTATTATTTTTCTTGGAACCATCCGTAGATGAGAGACCAGGGAAATCAACCACATGAAGAGTAGAAAAGATGGATTCCTTATCATCCGTCATTTCAAGACGAGAATTGATTTGATAAATCAACCAAGTGATGATTTGTGTATAAAGTGTCTGGCAAAGGGTATCTCGTTGTAGATAGGCCTGAGAAGGATTCAATACATGCGTGGTCAAATCATGATGAACAAGTCGAGTTTTATAAATCAACAGATTTTCCAGATTTCTAGGATCAACCCCTAATAGATCGGCTGCTATTTCTAACGTTGTACCTGATTTGACTTGAGCGGCTGATGTGGTCTCAGTAGATGATGTATTGTCGATGGTGGCTGCTACATCAGGATTAGTGGTAAATTGAACATGTCCCAAGTGTATAATAGCGGCCAAGATACGCATTAATTGCCTCCACTTTTGTTTAGAGATACCGATGGAGATAGCATATTTTCGAGTACGACGATAACAGGTTGTATAATGCTCCATCATGGATGTAGTTGGTTTATCGTGTTGTTGCTGATGATGATGAAATAAAAAGCCACCACCATGATGGATGATGGGATCATCCAAATGTAAATCTGTTTTTTCCTCTTGACTGGCACCATATAATAAATAATAAAACATATGGAATGTTTTGTCTTCATTATTATTATTAGTATTAGTTGATAAAGATGATTTTGTTAATAAGGAGGATGATGTATCTAAAAGACAACTTGTCCATTTTGCACCAATCATCCTTCCACGATCATTGAATTGATAACTGGTGACTTTTGCCAATTTAGAAACATGATTGCCTAGTAATGACTGTGTATGTGTAAAAGCTTCAATAAGTGGGTGTGCGTTGTCGATCCATTGATGAAGTTTTTTTTTCTTTGTCTTTTGGTTAGGATTGTTGTGCGTACAAAGTGTAAACAAATGATGAAGTATCCAATAATGCATTTCCGTTTTCCCACTTCCACTTGGTCCACTAAAAAAAAAAAAAAAAAAAAAAAGATTGCCATATTAAAAAAAAATAATAATATTATTATTTTATCAAATACCTTAAAATGATGGATTGATCTTGTCCAGTTCGTCGCATATAAAAGTAAGCCAAATTAAGATGTTGAAAAACATGTGGTGGTAAAGCAACATCAGATACTATATTTTTTTTATATTCCATGAAATAATGATCACTAGTTTCATCTATTGTATCACGGTTGTCTTTATATGGATTAATGGCAAGAAGAATAGGATGAGCACATTTGGTAAAGATATTGTCTTGTAAGAACCTAGATCGAAGTGTATTGATGATGATTTCTTCATTGATTTCTTTGGTTGATAAATCGGTCAGATCATCTATTGTGGTTGATGATGACATGATTCCCCGTCTCTTCTACTGTATAAGAAAAAAAAAGAAAGAAAGAAAAAAAAAGATGTATAACCCAAAACAAAAAAGAAATAATAATAATAACAATAATAATAATAATAAAAAGAGAAGAATCAATAATAATAAAAATTCACTAGAGTAAGAACCAATATTTTAACCTACTCCTTCATGTTTGACCCTCTTTCTCGTCCCCCCCTAACAACACCCCTTTTTTCTTCTTTTTTCCCCCCTCATATATCACTCCTTGGGCAGATCAACCAATACACACACACACACACAATGGACATTCTGTTTGTTCACCTCCCTTTTTTTTTGATCTTTATATGTATATAAATAAATAATACCGTAAGGATCCACTAAAAATAACAAGTTTCCAAAATGTCATTTCAGACTCATCAACCAAAAATAACTTGTAAAACACGTTCTTTATTATAACTACTAATTACACATATATATATAAAATAAATATCCAATCAAAATTCCAAATCCCTACGGTAATGATACACCCAATTTTTTTATGGAAGATGTCGCAAGATCATAAATCAACGCATGACCTGGTAATGGGTATTGATTGTAAACAGATATCAAGTTCTTTCCATCGACAGATTCCATATGAGATAACGTAGAAGTTGATTCGGTGTAGCTAAATGGCGTCACTGGGTTTAGCGAACAAAAATCTTCAAAACATCTAGAGATATTTTTCATGATCAATTCCACATTCATATCGTTTCGAGTCTTTTGGCAATGTAATAGTAAAGCTTGTAAGGAATCAAACACACGCATAATATAATCACAAGTAACTACATAAAAAAAAAAAGAAAGAAATCAATACAAAAAATGATACTATCTACATATTTTCTAAAAACTTACAACCACAAATGTTAGAAATTAACTTCAATCGATCAGATACTGCTAATAACAATTCACAACTAGCCATCGTCATTTCCATAGCACGCATTTGAATCAAACCTGATACTTGTTCATCTTCAGATTGATAAGGATGGATTAAACACGAATAAACACCAACGGTCATGGTCAATATATAAACATGCGTCGCCAATGCTTCTTCTTCTTCACATTGTTCAATGATTGGAATTGCCGATATATCATATGGATTGTCACAATAACGCCATTTCTTTGGTAAATTTTTCCACCAATCTAAGCATAATGTTTCGAATCGTATCATGGCTTCCAAGCTCAAATGACCCATTTGACCCGCTGCAAGACGACGAGCTTGAGTCTATTTAAAAAAAATAAATAAATAAAATAAATAAATAAGCACTAGATATATATATAATATTTGTAAGACAAGAAAACTTACTAGCATCACCGCAAAATCAGGTTGAAGAGTCATATTGAATAGAGAACAATATAATTCCACCATAGATAGAGTCTTGGGAGATTCATCAGGTAAGGTTTGCAAGTTCACTTTGGTAATACCGATATCATCCATCCGTTGCACAAACAAGTATTCAACCATACCAAACACAATGGATTGCATCAGTGTATTGCGCTGAACAAGCACCTTTTCCACTTGATCAAACGTATTATCATCCTTTGAAGCGAGTTTCGATAATTCCACAGCAAGCATGAGTCCCAAGGTAGACAGTTGGCGTATTTCCTTGAGTCGTAATGTCAGAGCCATAAATTTGTATAGCATCGCCAGACTAATCAAAGCTTCCAAACGTCGATGAGGACAAGGGTCATCCAACATATCATCCAGTAAGGGTCGACTCCTGTTATAAAAATATTCACCATAAATCCGTTTTTGCTCTGTTGTCAAGCCAAGATGAGTACAGTTGCTGACACTCATGAAACAACAAAGTGCCAATGTCAAAAGATCTTCTTCCACAAACACTACAAAGTTTGACTGATCATGGCCTCTACTTCTTGCTTGTCGACGTTGATTATAATGCGTCATAAATGTTCGTTCGTGAAGAACCGGCATTGTAGGGTTGTAACATTGGAAATAGCGATGAACGAATGTGTCTACCAATCTTTCAGGACATTCCATATTATCTATGGGTGGCGTCACATTCCTTTCACAATCATTCAACGTATCTACGGGTGCCATATCTTGAGTACAGCAGAGTGAAGAAAACGATGATGATGAGGATGATGTAGATGATGACGGACTAGGTAATTGTAATGGTGATGATCCAGGTAATAACCATGTTGATGATGTTGATAACGTTGTTTGTGAGGATGGTGGTAAATGATGATGACGTAGATGAGGATGTCGCGACGAAAAAGAATGATACCAATAGGATGATGTACTGACAGATGTAGTGGTGCTGTTAGATGCATCGTAAAGATCGCTTTTGGCCAATATCATAAACATTTTGCATAACATGGTATCTTGTTCAAGCTTGAAATTGAGGGTTGTTCGTCCGCCAGGTATTGGAGATAGATAGTGTATGGTGTTGACGTTGTCCATAAGTGAGCGTCGATATTGTAAAAGATCACTAAGAGTGTTGATTCCTGTTTCTAGTCGAAGATGGCCATTGATGATAGTCATTTTCCATTCACTTGGTATAGGGAGTTGGTTGATCTTTCTAGTGGTAGATACTGTTGGTAAAAATTCTCGTTGCCGCAGTCGTTGTTGTTGTTGTTGCTGTTGTTGTTGTTGTTGTAATTGTCGTTGTTGGTCAAGTTCATTTTGAATTTGTTGCATATCTCTAGTAAGTGACTGTATATAATATTGAAGTGCTTCGAGTTCTTCGTTACCGTCGATTTCTGTTGTTTCCAAATTCGAGCATGTTGTGTTTGTATCTAGGATAGTATCATCTATGACTTTGTTGGTAAGTGGCACGTCATAAGTACATTCAATTTTCAGTCGAGTACAACGGACACAACTAGTGCTGTTGGGTAATTGTTCGCACTTTCTCCTTCGTCGTTTACAATCTACGAAGGTAATAGAATAATGTGAGTTCAAAGAGCATTCATGTCCAAGTGTCTTTTCTTCTTACAGTGACAAGGCTTGGTACGTTTCATGACAAGAAGTAAAGGTGTTTAATAATAGAAGAAGAGATGTAACTAACAATATTAGTACTAGTAAATAACGATAGAAGGTAGAGAAAGAGAGTTCACGATGAATATATATATAGACAAAAGAAAAAAGAGGAGAAAAAGGGAAAAAAAAAAAAAAAACGAATTGTCTCAAGTGACATACTTTAAAAAAAAAAATTCATTCTCCACTTTATCTTTGTCTATCGTTAAATCTATCTCCTTTAAAAAATAATTTACCTTTTTATCCGTTGTTCCAACTTCTTTTTTTTTTTTTTTTTTTTTTTTAAAAAAACCAAATGACGCTAATACCATACCTAGGTTTATTAGCTGTAGGAAGTCCTTTATTTCAACAACGGCCTCCCTGGGATGTAGAACAACAATTACAAAGTCTTCATGCTTATGATCTTGCTCAACGGCGTTCTGAACTTCAAGTCCTTGCTACACTTAGTCTTTATCAACCAACAATACCAGACGACGAATATGACTTGGACGATAATAACTCTCATTCACAAGGAAAAAAAGGTAAGAATATGTTTTTATTATTATTAATATAAATAAAAACACGTTTAACTCTCTTTTTTTTTTTTTTTATTATTATTATTATATATATATATAGAACAAGGCAGTGCTAATGAAAGTATGACGGGACTTATGGTGGCGATTGGTACCATGATGACCAACTATGCAGTTTCTTTTCCTATTGTGGTGTTTCGACATAGTTTACAAGCAACATCCAATCCAACAGCAATAATAGCAGCAGCATTAGTAGATACTCCTCGTCATTGTTGGTTTTTATTACGACGCAAATATCAACGGTATGGATTTCGCGCACTTTATGCAGGATTTGGACTTGGATTGATCAGTCAAGCTATCACGACTACCTATGAATCATTTCTGGCTAGCTTGGTGAAAAAGATTTTGACTGTATTTCCTACTTCTTCTTATCAACGTTATTTCTTAAAAGGTGTCCATAAATGGTAAAACATGGAATACTCTTTACTTATTGATCCTGACCTCAACTCTCTTTTCTTTATATTAATAGTTGTCGATTTGCTATTCATTTACCGTTATATTCATTATCCAAAACAGCATTAGTATTACGAGTGCAATCACCTCAACAACCTTTGATCTCGTCACCCACTGACTTCCTCCAATATTATTCTCATGATCTACACCGATTCATCAGCTACAACAATAATGATAATAAAGGATATCGTCTTTCTCTATGGTCAACCTTTATTCCTTCTTGTCTTCTCAATTGGGCCAATGAAAAATGTATGATGTATTTCTATAAACGAATTTTTCGATACTTGACCAAAGGAAAACAACGAAGACGACGACAAAATAAATCTCAACGCATCATGGAATTAGACGATACTCAACGGAACGAAAAAAAAGAAGATGATGATGATGATATGGAAGATATGGTTAAAAGAAATAAACGACAATCTTTGGTGGCATCATACTATCCGGAAATAGCATCTGGATTACTGAGTAGTATGTTGACAAGAGCTCTTTGTTACCCTATTGATACCGTGATCTTCAAATTGATGTTACAAGATTCAGGCTTACTGTTACTTCCCTCCTCCTCTCTAGACACACCTTTGCCATCTTATTACTTTACTGGCTTTTGGGATTGTTGTTTTTCTCTTTATAGACAACAAGGCTGGAAAGGCTTTTTTCCTGGTTGGGGTGCTGGCGTGTTGGAATTGGCTGCTACTTGGATGATCTTGGAAGCCTCTTGGTGGACCTATTATTTGTTGGATCAAAGACGACTCTCTTCTTCAAGGAAACGTCGATTGGAACAACAACAACAGTAGTTTAGCATAACAGTCAATAGTTTTTTTTTCATTGTTTTTTTTTGTCGACACAATATAGATCACACTGTATATATAATTATAATAAAATAAAATCATCTCAAATAAAAACACTATTGATCACAGTTGGTTTATTTACTAATAATAATACTAATAATAATAATAATAATCAATAATTCAAAAAAGGTTTTTGTGTTTGATTAAAGGCATCTAGTTTCTGCCAAAAGTCTACCACGGCTGCTTTGTCCATATACCGTCGATCACGATGAATCTTTATTAAAAAAAAAAAAAAAAGGAGTCAAATTGAGATACCTCTTTCCCTGTCAAGATTACTTTATTTTTTTTTTTCTTACATTCAAATGTTGCACGGCCCAATCTGCAGCTGTCCCTGTTACTTTATCCGAAGTCCATTTTGGATAAAAACCTTTCACTAAAAAAAAGAAGAAAAAAAAAAGGGAATTATATAAAGAGTGAGCACATTGATCCTATATATATATATATATATATATATATTACCATTGCTAAATACTTCTAATGGTTTTTCCCATTTCCATCCTTTGAATTGCCATTGTTGACCAGAAGCAAGAACACAACATACACGATCCCTAGAAAAAAAAAAAGACCAAGTCAATATATATATATATTTTTTTTACTTATTGATTTGTTCTTTACCAATCTGATTGTTTAAAATGTGAGACTGAATCCACTACATGATATACCACACTTTGACCATTGGCTCGTTTTCTTTCCACCGTTACTTGTTCTGGTTTCTTTTCACCTGATGATCTTAATTCTTGAGCATCCACAAATCTAAAAAAAAGAAAAAAAAAAGGTCAATATAAAATTTTATTCATAAAGAAATCCACTTACTTTTCATTTTGTAAAAAGTCTTTGATATTATACAAGTTCAATTTCGCAGTTGGAGCAGCAGGTACAATGATGATTGGGATTTTATCTACAAATAAAAAAAAAAAAGATTGGTTTTCAATCCTTTCAACTACTATTTTTTTTTTTTTTTACCTTCCATGGATAATTTAGATTGTTTATTGAGTTTATTGTCATTACCACGTCCAGCGCCGTTCATTGTTGCATGTTGAGATCTATTTGATGAAGGTTTCCCAGTAGCAAATAAAGTGGATTTCACCAGGTCACCTAATTTATCGAATGATTTTGTTCCTTGCAAAATAGATGTTCTTGTTTCCAATTCTCGTTCATGGGCCATGATCCTTTTCACCGCAGCTTGATCGTCTAGTTTGATTGTCTTTTGTTTCTTGATATGATTATCTTTAATATCGTTCTTTTGTTCTGGTACTGTTGAACTCGTACTTGTTGTGCCTTCTTCTCTAGATCGTTTTTCTATTTTTATTGAATAAAAATAATGAGTTGTCATTTATTCCATCTTTTATCTCAAAAACTGACCTGTGGTAGGTAAAACATCAATTTTGCCCGTTAAATAATCCAAAATTTTTCGTTTGTCGACGATGGATACGTGATCCACATGTTGTTCACGACATTCCTTGAAATAAGAACTATTGTCAAGTTGAGCATGTTGAATCAAAAACACAAGTGTATCTAATGTATAATTGCTGTCATGAGCTGCCTTTTTGATATGGGTATCTGTTTGTCGAGGGAAAATAGGTTTGCTGTCATCCATGGAAGGAAACTGGATCCGAGTACAGGCAGACATGGCTGTTACTACTTGATCATTATCATCGAGTAACTTGATGTTATTATTATTATTATTGATGGTAGCTTCTCTTAATAGAGTAACGGCATTAGGACTTTGATTCATTGTTTTAAGTAAAGATGAGAGAGAGAAAAGAAAAACGAGAGTTTTGAACTGCCGATTTTTTTTTTTTTTTTTTTTTTTTTTTTTTTTTTTTTTGTCTATCTCATGCCTGTGACTTGAACCCCCGCTGCCAATGGGAAAAAGATCAAAGGGAAGATGAGGCAAAACTCCAAAAAAAAAAAAAAAGGTGGTTGTCGCGCTTTCCAAAGAGACCAAATAAGAAAAAAAAAAAAAGTAAACAAATCCCCCTTCTTCTAATTCTTATGTTGTTCTTTGAATTAAAATATCAAATATGCAATCCATGAATAGTCGTGGATGATCATCATCTATGACGCGTTAAAAAACGTTTATTTTATCTTTTCTCATTCCCGTTCATCTAGCGAAAATTGGGTCATGGTACATAGGAGAACGGGGAAACGCCGGCAGGGGTGTGGGACCAAAAAAAAAAAAAAAAGAAAAGAAAAAATTGTACGCGATGGCCGAATAAATAAAAAAAAAAAAGAAGCCTGACCACTTTTTTTTTCCCTACCCAAAAAACTAGGCAGAAGCAAACCAGTCAAAGGCCGGGGGGCCGGCTTGGGCCTCATCCATTTTTTTTAGGCCAAAAACTCTCACAAAATTATTGGGTCAACCGGCCCCCAATCAAATCTTGGTAACCAGTCCCCCCACTCTCCCTTTTTTTTTTTTCTTTTTTCTCTTTTTCTTTCTTTTCCTTTTTCTTTTCCATACTTTTTTTTTTCTATCTTTTTTTTTTTTTTTTTCAAAACTATGCCTTCTCAACAAGAAAATGTAAATATACATATATAAAGAAAAATAAGTAGTAGCAGTAAAAGTATAGATAGTTATCTTTTTTTTTTTTTTGTCACGTCCAAAACTGGCTATGAATTTTTTTTCCTTTTTTTTCTTTTTTACCATCATCTCAGCAAGTGATCCCTCCCCCTCACATCTCCTTCTTACTTCGTTCTATTCCTACTGCTGCTACTACTATTATGAAAAATATTTATTTATTTACTTCATCACTCATATCTTTTTTTTTTTTTTAAAAAAATATAAAGTTGGCAGATGCGTTTGTAGCTGCTGGTAAAAGCTTGATCCAACTTGGTGAACTCCTGACCGCGCAAAACAAGAAAAAAACCATGGATATGGGACAAGAAAAAAAACGGGTGAAAAAAGATGTGAATGCACCTAAAAAGAATACCTCTTCCTATCTACACTTTAGCAATGAAAACCGTCCAAGATTAGTCAAGGAAAATCCCGCGTTGCCACAAACTGAAATTGCAAAACTATTAGGTGAAGAATGGCGAAATTTGACTGAACAACAAAAGGAAGTAAGTATATTACAAAAAAAAAGATCATTGGTTTTTATTTTTTATTTTTTATTTTTTTTTCTTGGGAATAGCCTTATCGTGTCATGGCTGAAAAGGATAAAGCAAGATTTGACAAGGAAATGGAAACTTATGTACCAAGCCATGATTTGGATGATTCAACTGTAACCAAAAAGTCAAAAATCACACCTCCCAAAGAACCTATCTCTCCTCCTGCGGTGGTACCTGCTGCTACTGAAGAAAGTAAAAAGAAGAAAAAGAAGAATAAGAAGAGCAAATCCAAGCATTAAGTTTTCCCCCGTTTTCTTTTTTTTTTTTTTCTTCTTCTTTTTATCATTCTCTCTCTTTTTCTTTTATTATTCTTATTCTTATTCTTATTCAATTCCTTTTTTTTTTTTCTTTAATAAAAACAAATAAATATAATATATAAAAGACTTTATTGGTATCCGATGTTGTAAAAATAAAAAAAAAGTGTGTGTATCGTCTACATAGGTAATCTAAAGTCGTGCATTGATAAAAGTAGGATTGAAACTAAGTACAAAGGCTAATCTTGGATGGACTTGGACTTGGAAAGGTTTCAAAGGTGCATGTTCACCATCAATGGCCACATAAGCTTTTTGACCTGGAGCAGGTTTGGGGGTCAAACGGAATGCTTTGATTTTATAATATTCAACCTATTTTTTTTTTTTTTAAAAAAAAAAAAAAAAAAAAAAAGATGAGGATGATATATAATATATATATATTCTACTTACAATTTTTGAATCTAAATGATTCCCTTTTTCAACCTTTTCAAAGACACCTAGTTGTTTCATCACACCATATTGTCCACGTACCAATAAAAGATCCAATAATCCATCACTAGGTAAAGCACAAGGATGACTCAACATGCCACGAGCAAGTAATGGTGTCTTACTCGTCAAGAAAAATGAGATTTTGCCTTCAATCTTAGTCCAATCTTCAGGGACAGGTTCATTCAATGCCGGGATTGTGTCCACTACCATACCATCCTCCCCATTTGGTTGTTCAGCCAGATCTTCCCAAGTTGCCGATGCATGTGCTTGTTCGTATTGTCGTTGAATGGTATCCTTGTTGTTTTCTACAATATGAACAGCTGCCTCCATACCATAACTATTGCCTGATAAGATTTCTTTCAATAATCCAAGGATGGTACGAGCATCACCCATCCACCTAAATAAATAATATAAATAAATAAAAGTATTTCACTTTTTTTTTTTTTTTTTAACTTTACCGCAAATTTTCCGTTCCCAAATCAGCATAAGAAGTGATGCCATAATTTTGTGATAGGAAAGAAAAATACCTATGATCATCATATGTCACTGAGCATAAATCCAAAGCCAATGACCGACCTTTGACGACTTGTAATGCAGCTACCATGGGATCAAAACCTTGTTGTTCACCTAACATACAGATACTCAATGCATTACCAGTACCACCAGGAATCACACCAAGGGGACATTGTCGAATGGCTTGACGAGCATCTGAACGTTGTAAAAACCCATTGATCACTTCATGAATCACACCATCACCACTCACTGTTACCACTGCATCATAGGCTGTAATATCCAATTCTTTAGCAATTGTAATAGCATGACCTTGATATTCTGTATCTATATCAACATAAAAAGAATGAATTATCTCATTTTATATATATATTAAATTATTATTATACATACATTGAATATCCACAGTACATTTGGCAGCTTCAAAAATAGGTCGTACTTGTTCTTCATAAATCTTTTTTGCTTGTCCTTGACCACCAAATGGATTTATTAATACTTTGAGTCGTTTTTGTGCTACCAAACCTAGTTCCCAGAGAGAAAAGATAAAACGCGAATAGAAATGAGTACCCCCTTTTCAAAAATATAACATATCTTACCTTTGTATGCATCTTCCATAACTACTTCACAAAACCGAATAGCGTCTTGTTCTTGACCTTTTGTCACCGAATACATGAATTTGTAAAGATCCAAAGTACTTTTATTTTCTTGATCAGGTTGACGAGGAATTAAAGCCTGGATATGAAGCATATGGGTAGAGTCTTGATAGGTCATATTTAAAAGATGACGATGGTCAATAGGTAATAACGTAGGATCCGGTAACTTTGGAGGAGGAAGTGGAATACAACCACAACTTCGTCCTGCCTTGACTATATAATAATGAAAATAAAAAAATAGTGAATAAAAGGAAAAATAAAAATATATGTCTTTACGTTTTTTGTGTGCATTAAAGTCGCCTTCAATACGTAGTCCTTCACCATCATAGGTTAATTCTACAGGAAGATGTACTTTGGTCACTGTTAATGTAAGTAACATTTTTTTATAGATAAAATAAAAATAATGAAAAAAGAAAAGAATAAAGGAGGGAGAAAGAAAAAAAAAAGAAAACTCAAATTTTTCTCATTTTCCAGTTCCCGGTTTTATAAAATAAAGTTAAATCGTGTCAAATTCCTTGTTTTACTTAACAAAAGTACAAATAATCTTTCTAAGCAAAAAAAAAAAAAAAAAAAAAAAAGAATGGAGTATATATATATAATCAGAAATGAAATGAAAAGAAAGACAGAGAGAGATATATATCATCTGATTATGTATCATAACAAAGAATATAGAAAAGAAAGAAAAAAAAAAAGGAAATAATAAACTAGTTTTAACTACTACATGGCCATACTTGCTTTCAAAGCTTCCAATTCTTCTTCTTCGTCGTCTTCCACTCTTGTCTTGCGTTGTTCTATAATAATAATAATAAAATCAGTACCCATAAATTGATATAAACATCCTCTTTTTTTTTTTTATTTACCTGGTACATTGGTTGGTACATTGGGAGTATATACAGCAGGAGCAGGTGTTTCCAACATTTTTTGATCCAATTCTTCTTGTTCTAATTCCTCCAATTCATTCAACAAATCATCTTCATCCAAATCTTCACCCATACCAACAGGTCGAGAAATAGCATCTGAAATTTCATTGGCTACATCCATTTGATCACGAATATCATCCATTGTTGCATCCACCTTGTTAATATCCCTAAAAGCAATAAAATAAGTGTTAATATATGATCATCAGCTGATAGATAAACCCTTCTTTTTGTTGGTATTATCTATCTTGGCAAAAAAAAAAAAATTACATTGATCCATGAATATTTTTCATAGCTTCAGCACCAGCACGCATAGCACCCATTGTTTCCAAATTAACATTAGCATTTTCAATAGCCATCATTTGTGTTTCAATGGTCATACGAGCACCGTTAATCTTTTCAATATTGACTTCAAAGGCCTTTTTTCGTTTCAGAGCCATAAGCGCAGCTAATTAAAAAAAAAAAAGAGTTTAATCTTGTCATTGAACAAAATTATATTCTCATTACCTCTTCGGTTCTTGGTAGCATTGGCTTTTGCAATTTTCAATTCAGTTTCTACCTTGGCCTCTAAATATGTCTGTCGTTTTTCAAGCATATCCAAGGTATCTCGTAATTTATAAATGGCATCCTTGGCAGTTGTCTTTGACTTTGCTTTTCCAAAAAAAAGATTCATGTTGTTTTGTAATAAAGTGTTTTAAATAAAGTGGTATAAAATAAAATAATAAAAAATAAATTGTTCAATTGAAAATAAACAAAGATGAAGAGAAAGGATAAGTGAAAAAAAAAGGAAAACAAGCTGTTTGAGAAAATAAAGACAAAGTGTCGATGACGGGGATTGAAATTAACAGAGTGAGAACAAAAAGAAACCTTTCGCATTCCCTGGTTCCACTTTTTTTTTTTTTCTTTCCTTTTCATTGTATATAACAACCATGCCTTTAGGATCCAATCTTGCTGATATTGCTCACAAGTCCATGGTACTTTTCCTTGCTGGAACAACTCGTAAGTAGAGAATAAGAAAAAAAAATATGGGTTTAGTTTTCTTATATTTTTCTATTATTCTAGTTTATTATGTCACCAACATTAGTATTATGGTCAAGCATCGTATGGATTTGAAAAAGGAAGGTCGTTTAGAAGAAGAATTGGTAAAATATATATATATATATATATAAAGATAAATATCATGTTTTTTATTATTCTTATTCTTGTTTAATTTAGGCCCGAATGAGTGCTATTGCTTTTGGAAAGGAAAAGACCTCAGATCAACCTACAACTTCTTCTACTTGATAAATGATCAAACCTTTTTATCAATTAGAACTCTCTTCCATTCATTCATACATAGTCATATTCTAGTTTTATATATTTCATTATACATCTTTCTTTTTTCCAAAAAAAATAATAATAAAAGCTCTCTCGTCTTCTTCTTTTTATTCTATTTAAACTAGCACAAATCAAATTCTATCAATTTTTATTTTGTCTTAATATATATATGGACTATCACTGAGAGGGTTGGTCTTGTATCTGTTGTTGTTTGACATCTTCTAATGCCTAATCAAAATAAAAAAAAAAAAAAAGTCAGATAAAAATCCATCTTGTATCCTTTCATTCTTTAACCTTTTGTATAGTATCTTTAGAGAATTGAGGTAATTGTTTTGATTCTTGTTCCTTGATCACTGTCAATTTCGAAGGAGGATTCTATATCATCAGTTAATTAATCAATCAATCAATGAACATCATTATTCACTTACAAAGATAAAAGCACATAAGTCTTGTGGTAAATATTGCCCATGATTTTCTATCCATCTATGTCTTTCTTGTACTTCCTCTAAAATCATAAAAAATAAAAGGTGATGAATCCATATTTCTTTTCTTTTCTTTTTTTTTTTGGTTACCTTGATATGTTTCTTCTAATGTACGCATCAATTCAAGTCTTAGATTTTCTTGTTCCTGATCCACTTTTCTTCGTCGTTCCACTTCAATGATCAATTGATGGTAAGAATAAGTGAATTGTCGATACCTTTAAATAAAATCAAAGTAAGCTCAAGATACTACCCTTTTCTTACATACCATTCAGTTAATGAGGTCAATTGTTCAAAGTAATGATCCAAATTTGATTCATGTTCATTCATTTCATTCTATCATAATAAAAAAAAATTGGGTAAGTATATAGATGCGTCCATCTCTTTTCCTTTTTTTTTTTTTTTTTTTTTTATCACCTCTGCTACTATCAGTTTTTCCGAGATATGATCCGCAAGACCACCTGAAGCACTGAATTGTTCGAAATGATCCAATACTTTTAATAATTCATCTTGTACTGTAGTATAAATTTGCATTTGAACTTGTATTTCTTCACTATTTAAAGAGAAATCATGATCAACCTATTATATACATATAATATAATAATCTTACCTAACAGATGCTACAATATCCAAAGAATCTCGTAAATCATTCAAAATATCCGGTAGACGTTCATGATCATCTTGCAGCACTAAAAAAGAAAAAAGAAAAAAATGTGTATCAAAGTTCATTCCTATAGATTTTCTACTCTTTTACTTCCATGAATCCCCCATTCTTACCTGTGATATCTAATTCTTCACATGTTTCAGGATTGGCCTGACATATTCTATTCAGAAATAAATGATTGATTATTCATCCTCTTCTACCTTCAATGACCAATGTTTATACCTAGTAGCTTCACCCAATTGATCATAATGATTTGTAAGTCCAGTCAATATATCTGCCATAGCTGTCATTTCAGTTTCTTGAACATGTGTCTTTGCATTGGCGAAATTAGCAGTGGATTCGTCCAAAGAGATAGATAAAGCATTATCTCTCATGGCAGCCAGTTCGTTGATTTGATTAGATAATTGTTTGGATAATGTTTCAACGGAACTACAAAGCATCTAAAAAAAAGGAAAAGAAAAATTCCACAAAAAAAAAAAAATTAAGAAGGTTTCAGAGAAGATCACTTTATCTATATATTTTTCTCTCTCTTACCTCGATTTTTCCTAGTTCTTCATCTGCATGTTGTTGTAATTCCAATACTGCTTGGTCTTGAATATAATCAAACAAAGTAACTACCTGGTCTTGTTTTTGACCCGTTTGTTGATTGAGTTCAAGAATACCAGGATCAATTTCACAAGATCTTAATAATCCAAAGATAGATTGTAAATCAAATGATACTTTGGCCAACGTGTCTTCTCTTTGCTAATCAAAAAAAAAAAAAAAAAATGAAATCAATCTATGATACCTTTTTATTGTTTTACCTTGATAATAGTTCTCATGGCTTCTATTTTCGTTAAAACAAAATCCCGTATTCGGTCCAAAGTACTAAGTTGTACGAGAATATGATTGTGAACAAAGACAAGTTTGGGCCACGTTCTTTCAATGATATCAGCATGAAGTTCCGATTGTTGTGATAATTGATTGGCTTGTTCCCCTATTGATTGACCACTAGATAAAGCTTTTTTTGCGACAAGAAGTAATTCTATTAATTGTTGTTCCATGCTTTATTAAAAAAGAGAAAGGGGAAATATATATATAAAAGGAGGGAAAAAGAAAATATTGTGTGCATGACCCATATCAATTGAAGCGGGGTTGAAACCATTGCCTATTTTGGATTTTTGTCCAACAAATGAATATCTGTGGGTTGTGAGGAAATACAACCATTTTTACTATGTTGACAACAGTCATTAAATGCAATACTACATAATCTAGCACCACTATAAATATATAAAGTTAAATTTTCATCATCATCAACATCTTTATATATATATATATACTTACCCATCCGCATCACAAAATACGTTACATTCTTCTTTTTCATCATTGGATGGACATAAGGGTACATCAGTCAAAGTACCACAACGTACAGGTAAATCTGTATGATCTGAAGCAAATGCAAAACAAGTCATTGTCCCACTACCACATCCTTTTGTTGTTGAAGTAATATTATGTGATGTTTTAGTATTCAAGACAACTTCTTCTTTGAATGGTTCATCTATTCTTTGATCATGTTTTCTTAATTGCATAGCTTGACACTTATGTATGCTTACAAGTGAAATTAAAAACACAATCCATATTTGCATTTTCTCTATTTTATAAATAAATAATCGAAAAGAAAAAAAAAATACTCTAATTCACGTTTTATTACCAAAGAAAAAAAAAAAAGAAATGAAACCATTTAAAGCAGAACCCATGGATTTATTTAAAAAAAAAAAGATCTTGTTGAATTCCCGATATACTTTCCCTTTTTTTTTTTTTTTTTTTTATTTTCAATATGACAGATGATGAATTTGATCTCTTTGGTGATCTAGATCCTGAGGAACAAATACAAGCAACAACAAGACAAAAGTCAATGCACCATGACAATAACATACGTTTGAAACGGTTACAACAGGATCCACCCGAGAAACGGACGATTGCCACGAATCGCTGGATCTATAGTCAAGTCTTCCGTCAACCATCTCTCCATCCATGTGTTTTACCTCATCTACTTTCACCTGAAGAATGTGACAAGATCCTTAGTCAGTTACCAACATTCACGGATGAATGGACAATGGATCGACATTCCGTGTTCCCTACGACAGATATCCCGATTGCGTCTACACCATCACTGCACTACTTGACTAACTTGCTTCAACATCGTCTTGTGGAACCTATTTTAGCACCTACTTATGGATTTGCACCCGGTCAACTTGGATTTCGTGATTTGTTTCTTGTGTGTTATGATAGTTCAGCTCAAAACGGATTGGCCCCTCATACGGATGGATGTCTTTTGTCCTTTAATGTTTTGATCAATTCACCAGATGGGTTTGATGGTGGTGGTACCTTGTTTTTTCTTCCATCAGATGATTTAACAATAAGACCCAATCATCAAGGCGACGCTGTATATCATGACGCTCATATCAGACATCAAGGTCTGGATATCACTCGTGGACAACGGATTGTGCTGGTGGGGTTTGTGGATACCGTGGATACCCTTGAAAAGGATCGAATTGCTCAACAATTACCCAAGAGAAGAATGGAATATTAGATTTGTACATGATAGAATTAGATAATAGATTATATTTGATATCATTAGAAATAAATTGAGATTATAGAAATTGGTAGATAATGTGGGGGTGATGAAAAAAAAGGAGGATCAATGTATAAATCAACTGCATTTTTAAAATGCTGTATCAAAAGCATATGCTTGAACAACAATGATGATGGAAACTCTCTCATCAAATGCATATGGCTAGAAATAGAAAGTGGATGTTGCACCAAATCAATAAAACCTTCTCGTCATCAGAAAAGAAAAAAAGAAAAGAAAAAAAGAAAAGTAAAAAAAAAAAAAAAAAAAAAAATAGTAACCATGTAACAAATGGATTTTTTTTTTTTGTTATTGTTGAAAATATGATGAATACCAATGAGTATTAGTTGGATACCCTTTTTGATCATGCCCCTAAGGTGATACGATAACTTCGGGTAATATTTGTTTTTGGAAAACAAGGTCCCATGAAAAAAAAAAGGTACAGTGTAGACTTGCATCTTTGTTTGTTCTTAATATTTATTAAAGAAAATGAATCACTATAATATGTATATAAAAAAATATGGTATCTACCTTGACAAATAAAAAAAAAAGAATAGGGATGGTATGTAATAGGATATAAATACAATATAGAATAATATTAAATAATTAAAGTAATAAATATTGTTTCATTCAAGATCACTATTGCTTTTTCGATTATAATCACTGTCATCGTAAAAAGAAGTTGATTTCCATGAAGCCGCATTTTCTTGAGCTAATTTCCTTGTAGCATCCTCAATTTCTTGACTCCTTGAATTCAACAATTGAGCAGTATCGTTTGCTGATGTTAACATTTGACCAGAAAATACCAATACTTTGCCTGCCATTGTTCTTATAACGTAATCATACCATCTTGATAATAAAGGAACGGATTCAAGTAAACCTATAGAATAAAAAAAAAATTAATAAAATAAACCATTTATTCTTCCTTTTTTTTTTTTTTTTTTTTTTTTTTTTTTTTTTTTTTTTTTTTTTTTTTTTTTTTTTTTTTTTTTTTTACCTTCAATAGTCCAAGTTTCTTCATGTTGATATATTTTCCATAAACCACTATCTAGATCAGTTTCTTTAAAATAAAGAGTAGTGATGACGGGAATTTGTAAAGAAACCCAAGGAAACAATCTAGGTCGAAGAGTTTGAGTCATGTAGACTACACAAGTTTGACCATCAAAACAAACATTATCGATACTAGGTTCCTGTTGATTCAATGCCTTCCATAATAAGAATACACTAAAATAAAAGAAGGTGAGTTTATAAAAATATTGTTTTATTCTTCTTTACTTTTTAATATTATAGTTTCCTTTAACACATAAAAGTGGTGATATAAAAACAGCATCTTGGAAATAAAAACCGTCCAGCATACGTTGTCGTCTAGCATTATCAAAAGAGAAAATATTGGCTACTACATCTAAAAAGGGAAGTTTAGTATACTATATAAAACCGTTCAGTTGATACTTACTATTAATAAGTTCTTCACCATTATCTCCATATTTGTTTTCTTGTTCAAGATCCATATCATCAGCAGGATAAAAACGAAAGAAAAAAAAAAAAAAAAAAGGAAAGAAAAAGAAAGAAAGAGGAGAAATTTACCGCTTGGCCTTTCTTAATTCACCTTTTTGCTGTGATTGAAATTTACATACATTTTTTTTTTCTCTCTCTCTCTTTCATAAAACGATGGATTTTGAACATGCCGGTATTGGTGATCAAATGGGTAAATATAGAAATATATAATATGAATATGAAACTAATACAAAAATGATTTTTTTTTAATAAAGATCAATTGTTTAATCAAACGTTTATTCTATGGCGATCTACTCCTCTGATACAATTCGCGAAAAAGACCCGACAAGAACTTGTGAATAGTTTGGCACTTTTTCTATCTGATGCAGTAGATATGGTGATAGGTGATGGTGTAGGAGAACCAAATCCAACTCGTAATATACTTCTTGATATTGATTTTGAATATATGAAAATCAATGGTTGGGATAGTGGTAACATGAATATATATATATATATATAATTAGGTACAAGTTAACAAACTTTTTTTTTCTTTTTTTTTTTTTTTTTGGTGGTAGTGGATAAAACAAGTTTACCTATTGACTTTCAAATTAAAATATGGTATAAAAATCGACAAAATCCTACCAAACATCAGATCTATTTATTACCGGCAACTGTACCTCGTAATAACAATAACAATAATGGTAATGATCCTATGCTCGATGCAAAAGACTATCCTTTAATCTTGACTAGATTCAATAACAAACAAATGGCGGATATTGTACAACAATGGCTTCAAACGGAATTTGGTTGTCATATTACAAAGTTTCATACTTCAGGCGGTATCATGAAAGCTCTGGTGGATTGGTGGACTAGTTCACTTATCAAGAAATATGACTTTGAAGCAAATGAAACTTTACCTCCTCAATATGCTCTGGAGTTGACTTATAATCTCTCATTTTCCGAACAACTATCATCTATCACTATTAATGTATCCATGGAAGAACTTCGAAAAATGCAAAATTTGTAAGTTTAAATTTTTTTCTTTTTTTAACAAATAAAAAAAAAAAAAAACCAACTCATCTTTATTTATTAGATTACAAAAAACAGACCTCACTATGATGGAATTACTTGAAGAACATCTTTATGACACTCTTCGTATCAAAATTGATTATTGTACACTATCATGCGTTGGAACTCCTGTTGCTTATATTTCTAATAATAGTCAAATGAAGGTAAGTGAAATATATATATATTCTATTGTCAACCTAATCTTTCCTTTTTTTTTTTCTATATAGTTATTGACAAATGGAGGTTCAAGAACTCAATATTTAGAATTTCTTTCCGAACTTTGTGATTTAGCCGGTACTACTTTTTAGTATCCCTATCTTTTTGTATCATATTGTATTATAATAAAAATTGTTTTCATTTTACCATTCTTCAGTAGTATTGTTCATCCTCGTTGATTTTTACTTTATTTGGTCTGATTTTCATTTTCCTCTCACTTTTTTTTTTTGTTGTTGTTTTGATTTTGAATTTTCTTTTTTTTTTTTTTCTTTTCTTTATTTTTCTTCTTTCTATAATAATATTTCCTCATGACAAAGGAACATTCACAACCAAAAGCATTAAATATATTACGACCTAGTCAACCATTATCTTCAGCAAAGTCTAGTGTTCTTTCTGGTTATTCTTCTTCATCCAACAATTCTACAACAAGAAAACCCCGTGTTAGTTCAGTAGCTCAACTTCAACATGCTTCTTTATCAGAAAAACCTGCTTTGAATATTTATCATCCAACATCTCGATCGCCTAATGGTAGTACTGTTTCTTCTATTTCTTCTTCTTCTTCTAGACCTTCTCATCATTATAACTCTTTTGATTATCAACAAAAACGATCCTCCACAACATCTTATACCAATCATCCATCCAACAAAGAACGTCCTGCTATTGAAATATATAAACCTACCCGGCACCATCATCCTTCTCTTCCTAAATCCTCATCCATGACCAAATCTTTTACAGCTCCTGTCATCACTTCTCACTCTAAAACTCACCGTTCCGCCTTACCCAACTCACCACAAGGTTTGTCTAATACTGTAGTTTCTAATAATAATAATAATCAAGAAGAAAAGAAGTATCACGTCACCAACGTCACTTCGTCTTATCTTGGTCATAGTGAATCCTCCCAATCTGCCACACCTTCAGAATCAGAAGAAGAAGAAGAAGAAGACGAAGACGAGGATGATCAACAACAACAACAAGAAGAAGAAGAAGAAGAGGAAAGAAAAAGTGATAATGATGATCAGGATATCATGGTATTGAATGAAGCTCGGGTAAATCGTCAGGTAAAGTAGTTTACATACGAAAAATAAATTATATGAACATGATCATCCGATAAAAAAATATATATATATATTTTGTTATTTAGATTGCCGATTTGGAAATCTCGAATCAATCCTTATTAGCCGTCAATGCCATGTTGGAAGCAACAGTACGAAAACAAGCTTCAGAAATGGCTCAAATGAAGAAACAAATGTCATTTTCGTAAGTTCTCTCTTTTTCTTTGTAGATAAATAATAATAATTCTTTATATTTTATTATTTAGTGAAGGAGGTGGGGTCAACATTCATCCATTGGTGTTACCATTACCAGCATCAGATGTAATACAAATGAACATTTCAAAGATCAAAATCATTCTCACCTTTTTTTTTTTTTTTTTTTTTTTTTTTGTGAAAAAGATTTCGGAAGATGAATGGGAAAATGACAAGACGTTCCAAAGACTTTGTCGTATGACAGATACTATGATTGAACAGGCTCAACAGGCTGTGGCATTTGAATTCAAAGGGATGGGACGTGTGATTTCATATACTGAACAAGATAATGACGACGATGATAACAATGATGACGACGATGACAACAACACCAACGACAGTAATGATGCCATAGACGAATAATGAAACAATCTTTTTTTTTTTAGACAAGCACTGCGACTTTCATCTTCTTTCTCTCACACACATACATACATAACATAGTCTATTTCTTTTTATTTCCCTGTTTTATTTGTTTACATATACCGTTGTCTATTCCTCTACATATTTTTGATTTTATATATACATATATCATACTCAACAAACAAACACGCATACAATATACCATACCAAAAAAAAAAACTTTCTTTATTACAATAAAACATGTTTGATACTAATAAAAATGAAATCTAATGACTGGAAGGTGGAGGTCGAGAAAAAAGGGATCGGATAGAGCGAAAGAAAGATCTGGGTTGTTCTTGTTTTTCTTCTGTGATTGATGTAGGGGTGTTTGTTGACGGGGTAGGATCGACAGTTGTTGTTGATGGTGCTACAGATGAAGGTGTGACATCAGGTCTTGACTGTGTTGATGAATAAGCGTTCAGTAAATCAGATATACTATCAGGATGTTGTCTTTGTTGTTGATGACCCATAATATCTGCATAACTTTGTAATTGACGATTAGGCATGATTGGTTCTGGTTGTTGTTCTCTTGATCGTTTTTTCAAAGTTCCTGCTGACTTTTTCCTATATATATATAATATGTCATTACAAAATAAAAATTCATTTGTTTTTCTTACTTTCTCTTGAGGGATTGACGATAAGCAGCTTCTTGTTCATCATCCGAGAATTCCAATTCCTAAACAAATCCAAGAAATGAATAAAAAAGAGAATCTTTTTTTTTTTTTTTTGTATTTATATACCTCTGCACCAACTTCTTCATCATATCGATTACTGGCATCCGTTCCCTTGATCAATTTAAGTTTCTCTACCTGGACCAATTGAGTACGTTCATATGAGGGCACATAGTAAATGGCAGCACCATCGATGGCATGTGATCGATCAATCTCATCTGCATCATTGAATCGTACAGAGTAAAAAGGACGTTCCACTGGACCAAAGGTTTCAAATACTTCACCCAGCATCACTCGATCTTCAAATACCAACAATGATTCCATATCCAAAACAGCCAATCCTGGTCGGCTTTGTACCACCACCGTCTTGTCAATCACACTAAATATCTCACCCACTGGTCGAATCTCCGTATCTTCCTTCATTTCAAACTGAGGTTTGTTGATCACAATATCCGTCACCTCATTCACCGTCCTAAGTTGTTGCATCTTCTTGTTTCCATCCTCATCGTCCTCATCGTCATCATCATGGTTGTCTTGATCTGTTGCTTCACTAGTGATGTCACCCATACAAAAAAAAAAAAAAAAAAATGAGAAAGAGCATAAATGTGAGTGAGATCTATCCACAGATCAATGAAGAATGTTTCTATTTTTTTTTTTTTTTTTGTCAATGACTTACTCTTCATCAGAATCATCATCTGATGATAATTCCAAATCGCTACTGTCATATTCGGTTTCCTTGTTTGTATTCGCAAGTACGCTATCCAAAGAATCCACCGTTGTCGTTTTTGTTTCAACAGTTGATGAGTGTTCTACACTTGTTGTGTCATTCATGGTATTCTTTTCATCGTCTTTATCCATTTCCTATAACAGTCATAAAATAGATCGATGGACCAGTTAAAGATCGTCTCAGGTCTTCCTTTTGTCATCAACTTACTGTGATCAGGGTATCTGTTCCTAACTTTTTTTCTAGTACTTGAGTCGATTGTTGTGGTTCATTATCAGGAAGAACGGAAGGATCCATTGGATAATATTAAAAAAAAAAAAAAAAAGAAGTGAGATAAAAAAGGGAAAAAAAAATAGGATAGGAAACTCTATTTGGCCCCCGCAAGCCTCTTCTTTTTTTTGCGGATAGTGAAAAAGCTTAATTATTGGATCAATATTTTTACGCAGGATTTTTTTTTTTTTTTTTTTTTTGGTGCAAATAGAAAAAAAAAAAAAAAAGAATTACGTGCAAATCATTTTTCTGGTACACGCCAAATGATTTTCTGGCACATACCAATCGTGGTGCTCGTAGATGATTTTTTAGTACACGCGTGTGTGTACTTTGCGACAAATGCAATGGATTATGCGACAAACTTGATTTTTGAATGCCCGTAAAAAAAAAAAAAGATAGATTTTTGTGTCAAACCATTCTAGTAAAAACAAAAGTCAATCATAACAAAAAAAAAAAAAAAAAAAAACGAAGTTACAAATCAAAGCTTTATTTGATATGAAAACAGATAGAGTAATTTTTGTTGAATTCAGGAAAACAGTATACAAAGATTAAACCCACACATGTGATTGAAGTAGATCAGTGAAGTGAGTTCACGGTCGTTTCATCATGATCATCATCCATGTCCAAAAGCTTACTTTTCTGTACATAGTTGCTGCTTGGTGCAAAAAAAAAAAAAAATAAATGGTGACTTGGAGTGAGATGAATCGGTCGATGGGCAAATATCCTCCAAAACAGTTATATAGAATTCCGATCTGACTTTCCAAGCGATGCGAACAAGATGATCCTATGAGAAAAAAAGTCGTGCAATCCATGTTGATCTTTAGCATTTTTTTTTTTTTTTTTTTTACTTCTTTTCAATAAAGCCTTACCAAGCAGTCCACGCAGAGTATCTTTCAATGTTACCTAATGATTCAGTGCTTGTAGGAAATCAGTGACCAAATGAGAGATTAGTGATATAATCATGTTCAGTCGTAAATGCTTCGATTGCTGGTGAAGGTTTGATCGACCTGCAATCCACGGCCCCTTTTTCCATTCACTCCTGGAGATATCCACATTGACAGTCGACGAACATTTCAAGATCAAATCAATCTTCCGACCATATCACCGGTGTCGTATCAGCGTATTCCATAACTATATCCATAAAATCAAAGAATGCTTTCACTGATAAAGAATGAAAAGTACATCATAAGATGGAATCAATTACATTGACAATGTAACAAAGTAGTTGGAATAAAAATAAAAAGTTTTAATAAATAAAAATATAACTACTACAGATGACTAATTGATATACTATGATTAAAGAAAAAGAAACAAAGAAAAGAAAATAAAAATATCAAAAAATAAAAATAAAATACGGACTTTGAAAATCATTATGCTAAAGGTCCATAATGACTACCAAGGAAGAGACATATCAATGCACTCCAGGGCAGCTATTATGATAAATCATTACACATATGATGATAACATTACATCAATGATAAATAAGAATAAACAAATACAAAATTTGATCACCAACCTTAAATAGTATGATGATGCTGGTATTACGTATCGCTCACCACGTACTTATAACTTTTTGTATAGATACTTTGTCTCTTTTTGACTATTTTTTAAATAAAAAAAAGAAACCTCACAGACTTGTTCTCGACTTTTTATTTTATATTTTTTTATTTTATCACTCAACTTACACCAATTCCACACAATGCGATAGCCACCTTCGAGGACTGCAAACTTTGTTTCACCATCAGTAAGAATAACGTCAGTATCTGGCAGCAAGATGTCCAAAATCGAAGTGCCGGTAAAATATTGATTCGCTTTCATCATGTTTACCAAAGACATTAGATCATTTGTAGTAACTAGCCTTATTTGTATTTTTATCTATTTTCATATTGAACTTCCAATAAAACTTTGATTTGTACATATTTTCTTTTTTTTTTTTTTTTTTTTTTTTTTTTTGTTATGATTGGCTTTTGTTTTATGACAGGAAAAAGCATTAGGAAACTAGATGAGGAATTGAAAGAGGATGGAGAGAAGGAATGATATTGATGAGTATGTATCCTCAATATTGGCCGATTTGCTGTCAAAAAAAAAAAAAAAAAATACGTCAATACATTGAATAATGTTGATAGATAAATGACAAACGAGACTCCTTGATTATTTCACATCATAATAGAGCCATCATGAAACATAAAATAATACATTGTTTTGATATTTTTTTCATTTATTGTAAGGTCTGTATTTCTGTAAATAAAAGAGGAATAATACTAAGAAAAGAAAAGAAAAAGAAAATGTATATAATCAACAAAGATGTGTGTATGTGTAAAAAGGAAGAAGGGAGAAATCTAGTTCATTTGAGGTTTGAAGATAGGGTTTGATTTTTCATGCACTTGTTGACCTTCAGGAGCACCAGGAATAGTCTTTTTCAAGCCCTTTTTTTTTAAAAAAAAAAAAAAAAAAATTAATCCAGTTTTCTTAGTTGATGATGATTTTTCTTACCAATTTTTCAAAAACACAGGAATTGAGAGCCTTTTCAGGTTGACGACAGTTGAACAATTCTTGATTTTTATTTTCTAAACATTGCCAGTGAGCATCAAATTCCTTTCCACAGTTTTCCCGAAGTTTGGTGATTCTATTTTCAATAATAAAAATTATTATTCTATATATTAATTTTTTTTTTCTATCACTTACAAATCAATAGCACAGCGAGTGACCTTGCGACCTTCCTTGAGACAATGCTTAGGATCATTGTTTTCATTCTTGCAAAGCATAAAGTCTTCATTGTAATCCTTACAGTATGCACCAATAAAGAAAGAGGCACTCTTCAATGGAGCAGAAGTGGCACCTACTTCATCTACCTTGGGGATATTTTCGGGAAGAGGAGTAGGATCGACAAACTTGTGAGATGTCAAGTTGGTTTGTTGTTGAGCTGACATTTTTTTATGTATATATATATAAAAAGTAAGGAAGAAGGAAGGTAAAAGAAAACAAAAAAAAAGTAGGAGAGAAGGACGACGAGTAGGGAAGGTTGGTCAAACTATAATAAATATAACAAACAAAAAAAAAAGTGAATAAGTAAAAACGTGGTGATAATGACAACAGATAGAAAGCAACAGTCACCCAATATTATTCGTATAGTATATGTATATGTTGATATATTATATAGAAATAAATTTTGTTTCGTGACATGTTGTTTTTCCTTTTCTTTTCTTTTAAAAATACCTTTTTGGTGAAAGAGAGGGGAAAAGAATAAAATGTAACTTTTTGGACAAAGAAGAAGAAAAAAAAGGGTAGAGTGTGTTTTTCCCTTTTGTTTTTTTTTTTTTTTGAGCTACCGCCACCTCTCTTTTTTTTTTTTGCCTTCTGTGTGTCTTTTTTCCCTTTTGTTCGTGCTTGGGAGAACCAACCAATAAGAACGCTGCAATTCAATTTATCTTGATGACATCAAATATTGAACCTTTCCTACACTCTCTTCCTTTTTTTTTTTTTTTTTTTTTTTTTCTCTCTCCTCTTTTCTTCATTGACACTTTAGTTGACACTTTTTTTTTTTTTTTTTTTTTTACTTTTCCCCTTCTTCCAAAGATGGCAGGGAAGAGATCTTTGAAAAAGTCTACTCCTCAAAACAATACTACCATTGATCAATTCTTCTCGGTCCAAAAAAAACTACCAAACAATGAAAACAATTCAAAGGAAAACATTGTTTTTTTAGATAAACAAGAAAATACTTTACCTATCAAAAAGGAAATAACACGCGCACGACAACCTTTGGCTGATCTTGGTGATACCCGTCATTCTTTGACTTTAATGCCTACACAGAAACCTCGAAAACCAAGCTTTATTGTTCTCCGTGATACTGACATTGATAATGGTGCCACCAAAGCTGATCAACAACTCCTCTCTTCCAACCATAATAACGACACTTCACCTTTGATTTCTTCAATACAAACGGAGTCTTGCACACAATCAGTCCCTATTGTTGATACTTTGGACTCTTCCACTTCAATCACTTCATCTCCTGTTGATATGTCTTCCCCACATTCATTGCACCATGACGAAAATGATGATACCAACGACTACTTCAACAATGACCAGGATTCTATTAGCAACGATGGGATTGAATTCAATATAGATGGCTTTGATGATGGATTTAGTAGTAGTCAAGAACATGATTTTGTCTCTAGTGACAATGACAACAACGACAGTGACGATAATGATAATAATCTATTTTTTGATGAACCATTGGATGAAGAACCTTTTATGGTAAAAACATATCGACGACGACCAGGCTTTTCAGCACCCAACAACAACAAACGAAATCGATCACCATCCGACAGTAAGGACGTCCATGACGATAATAGCAACAAAGTACGAAAGCTAGAGAACGACACGACAACCGATGGTGATGAAGTACGAAAAGTAGAGAATGTCACAACAACAATCGATAGTGATGATAACAAAGTACGAAAGGTAGAGAATGACACAACAACCGACGCTGATGATAATAAAGTACGAAAAGTGGACACAACAACTGATGATGCACCTACTGTTGAATTCTCCATCTCCAATTCACTGACGATTCCTTTGGATTCAAAATATGACAGAGATGATGATACCCAATCAAATAGCAACAGGAGTCAAAATTCCACTACAACTGCCTCATCCACCTTACCATCAAGTAATGAGTCACAAGAAAAACAATGCGAATCATCGATATCACCCTCAAGATCAAGTCAAGAAGCCACTGTGCCCATGCCTTTATCTTTGGATTCCCCTATTGATTTACATGTTGCTTATCCTGTGCCTCGTGGAACCCATGTCACTGAAAAGTTTGGTCTGTGATCATCTCTTTGTATATATTATTCATTGATTTGTTTAGTTCTTAAATTAGTATATATTTTTATTATTTTTATTATTATTATTTGTCTTCTTGTTTGAAATCAATAAAAACGTTCTGTTGATGATATGTATTGTGTGACTTGACGATGTTCTGATGATGATATAAGGAAGACAAAAGAGTATATAATGTATTTACCCAAAGAAACACAACAGACCCAAAGAGGAATATCAAAAGTCTAAATGGATTGTTTGTTTTTGATGTTTTATTTGGGTAAAAAAAAAAAAAAAAACGGAAGAGGGTAAATTCTAGAGAGTCAAAAAAAAAAAAAAAAGGGCATAAGCAAAAAAAAAAAAAAAAAAAAAAAGGAGAAGGGTAAATAAGAAAAATAAAAAATACAAAATGAAATACATGAAAAATGAATATGCTGAATAATAAGGATAATAATAAGGTGATAAAAAAAAAAAGAGAGAGATGTAATAATAAAATGAATAAGGCACTAAAATAATAAAAAGGGAATCCATAAAGTCCAAAAAAATAATAATAAAATAGTAAAAAAATGTATAATTCATGGGGGGGATATCAGTGTTGTAATAAAGTATGACGAGTAGATGATTGGGAAGAAGAAGTGAAACGAGATGAAGGTCGAGTAGATTGTCTAGACGAAGTAGTAGTGGTAGTAGTAGTAGGTCGAGTCAATGATGATTTGGGTAGGCGATAGGTAGTTGTTGATGGTTGTTTTTTATTGTCATTGGGTCGAGTGACCAATGTGGTGGTAGTTTTTGAAGAAGGTCGAGAAGATGATTTATGAGCAAGTTTAAGTTCTTGTAATTCACCAAGAACATGAGACATCATTGATTCCAGTTCACATCGAGCATCAGTTTCCTTCTTGAGTTTTGATTCCAAAGGAGCCACCATGGCCAAGGCTTCCTCCATTTTCTTTTCATATACTTGACGCATACTGACTTCTTGTTCCACACGATCATAAAGCATCTTTTGTTGTTGATCCATGAGAAGCACCATTTCTTCCATTGCCTTTTCAAATGCCAATCGCATGGCTTTTTCTTCACGGACTTGGGCTTGTAATTGATCAATTTGACGTTGTAAAGAGTCTTCATCCTCTTCTTGACGTCCAAGAGGAAGAAACACAGAATCTGATTGCATTTCTTTTTCATCTTCTTCTATGATATAAGAATTATCATCATATCCTTCATCACTCTGAGAAGTGGTAGATCGTTTGGGAATATAGGGAGACGCCACTTTGTTTTTCTTGTTCAATTTGATAAAAATCACCTTGGAATCATGAGAGAATTGACTACTGTCATCATCCATCACACTGCTACTGTCAGATAGTACATTTTCAGAAGGTCGTCGAATCACAGGAATATCTTGATCCACATCAGATAATCGATGATGAGGATGAATACTATCATAATGGTAATCCATGTCATCTATAAAATAAAAATAAAATGAATTTTTTTATTTTCCTTTTTTTTTTTTTTTTTTGTTATTTTCTTACCTTGCCAGAGAGGAGCTTGAGAACCAAAAGTATCATGCCATTCAATTTGTTCTTGAGGAACAGAACGAGTTAAAAAGGAAGAAGGAGCAACAATAGGTTGAGTGATAGTAGAAATAGAATCATAAGATTCTTCACGTAAACGAGTAGTCATGTCTTGTACTTGTTGAGGAAGTTGTAAAGGAGATAATTGACGATCTAATACCAAGTTCGTTTGTACAGGAGGAGGAGAAAGAGAAAATCCATTGGCTTGTTGTTCTTGTTCCAAAGTGGCCAAAAAGGAATTGAATTCTTGATCTTCTTGAGCGTTAAATTCATCGGTCAAAACGGAAGAAACACGAGAAGAACAAGTGGAAGACATGGTGGTGAATGAGGAGGCATCAAAGAAAGATAAACTATCTTCCAATGATTGATCAAGTTGAACAGATAAAGCTTGTAAATGAGACTTTGGTGGGAATTCGTATTGATATTGTTCAGGTTCCAATCTTTGAGGGACGTCGTCAATAATGGTATCAGGTTCGGGTGAAGACGAATGATATGCAGACTATAAAAAGAAAAAAAAGCAAAGGCGGAGAATGAATACTTTTTTGTTTCATACATTTATGAGACTATCACGAGCCTCATTACCAAGATAGGGTACCCTCATCCCTCATTTTTATTTTTTAATGACAATTGTCATTGTGCCACCAATTTTTTTTTTTTTTTTTTTTTGCAGCCACGTTGTTTTCCTAAACAATGATGATTTCAATTTACCTTTGCATTTCCTTGATATGTCATATTCTCGTTATCGATCATAAATGAAGAAGGATGTCGAAGTAGAATAGGTGCTGCATTAAATTGTCCATTATTGTTGTTAGAATGATTCATCATGGAGATTGAAAATGGGATATTACTGATAAATGAATTAATAAAGTACTAATTTTGTCTTTTTTTGGTTGTATGGAGAAAAAAAAAAAAGATATAATCACAAGGAAACCAGTCGTTGTTATTTAGTATCTTTTTTTTTAAAAAAAAAAAATATATAGTCTATGATTGGAATGAAAAAAAAAATGCCTTTTGAATAAAAAAAAAAAGTAAAATGATGAAATATTGTATAATGAAAAGAAGAAAAAAAAAAGATGAAAACGAAATAGAAGGGTAGAGGAGGAGGAAAGGCGAAAAAAAGAGGATAAAGAGGGTAAGAAAAGAAAGAAAGAATGGACTGGGGGTAAAATAGAAAGAAGAAAAGTGTAAAGAAAAGAAAAGAAAAGAAAAGAAAAAAAGAAATAACGTGGGCAAAAATATATGTCAACCTTTTCCAATAGACTTTCCCTTTTTTTCACTCCTTTATTTAAACAATGAACACGTTGTAAGGAACGAATGAGGTTGGTCGGCTGAGCTGCCTAACAATAGAAAAAAGCCCGCGTTAGATGCCCTGAAATTTGGGAATCATGAACCCGAAACATCCACTCATCATCTCAAGTCGTACCGCATGTGAACCGACATTTCTTATTAGAATCGTCATTTTTTTTTTCTTTTACTATTCCAAATTCCGTAACTCGTCTTGGAGAAAGAAAGGTGATACAATTCTTTTTTTTTAAAAAAAAAAAAAAAGTGATCAATAAGAGAATTTATTCAAAAAAAAAAAAAAAAAAATGGGTATAATAATACTATCCTAATGAATAACTAGTCAATAATAAACGTTGTTCCATAGTCACAGGAGTATCGAAATGAGTAATGATTTTACAGCCAGCTGAAGAAATAAATTCGTTTTGTTGTAATTGTCGCCATTCTTTCATCATCTCCTGAAGTTGACCCCTTTCATAATCATCATGCATTGCAATTTGATAACAGTGATGATTGGTAGCATAAATCAGAGTTTGAAGATGAGGAAAAAGGGCCAAGAGCTGCAGGATCCCTTGAGACAATAAAGGAGTTGTCACATACTGTGTCAATTTCACATGACGCAAGGAGATACCTATTCGTTTGTCAGATGATAGCCTATTTCGTAGTAATGTTGATTGATAAGGATGATAGGATCGTTGTCGTCTTTTTTGTTGTACGTCCCGCCAATGACACATCCGTCGTAAATCCCATTCATTTATACATTGAACATCACAAAGTTCCAAAGTATGTAAAGAGGAACAATGAGAAATCAATGTATAGAAAGCCTTTGCTGAGATCTTAACCACAGGATCATCCCTTTTTGTCATCATGGTTGTGGTTGCTTTTGTTGTTGCTGCTGTCTTTGTAGTAGTATTAGGAGAACTCAATACCAGAGATTCCAACTGTGTCCAATGTCGAGCCATCATCATCACTGTATCATTCGTAATGTCATGTTGTCCCATAAAATGCTTCATATTTGGAAACGCCAGTATCATTGCTTGTAACAAATCATCAGCAGCTAATCTATTTTTTTTGCCATTGGTATATTGACATCCATTATTATTATTATTATTATTATTACTGTTGTCATGGTAATGATGATTGCTGTAGTTGTCGTGATAGATCCATTTTGTCAAATGTCGTCCAGCGGTAAGCATGATGGTAAACAGATCTGTCATGGCCCAATCTATATCACAATGACTGATCTCCAGTGATGATAATCCTTTCTGATGAAATTGTAATAATAATCGAGTCAAAACATCAGATAAATCATCATATAGAGTGAATTGATGGTTCTTGTATTCCATCCGTCGACGATCCAGCGTCAATGTACGTAACTGTGTATAAAAAGTAGGTTGATTCGGTTGTGGAGATCGGAAAGTGACCGGAATAAGAGTATCCCGAAGTACTTGACAATAACAATGACGGAGAGCCAAACTTCGTACCTTGACGGAACCAAGTCGTTGAATCCATTGTAATGTTTTCACTAGCATATGTAATTCCATATATTCCAAATGAATGTCAAGATATAAATAAGGGTCATGACATATTTCATACCAAGTTTTACAAACTCTATAATAATAATAAAAACAAGTTTAAAAAAAAAGTTGAAGAATACATTCATTACTTACAAAGAAGATTCCCAACGACTTGGAAAAGGAACATTCTTTAAGATTTCATATAGTAAAGAAGTAGGTAACATTTGAAGTGACATGATTTGGAATTAAACAAGAATAAAGGGGGGTTAAAGATAATAAACAAAAAAGAAAAAAATGTGGCAAGAAAAAGAAAAAAAAAGGGAAAGGGGAGAAAGTTGAGAAAGGGAGGATCTGACGGGAAACAAAAAGGTTTTATATATACAAGTAAAACTGTCTTAGGCCGCGCGCGCGAAAAAGGATCGCCCATCCTATAGAAATATCCAATCAAATGATTTTCTTTTGAAAAAAGTCTCAGATTTCATTTCCGCTTTATGTTCGATTCAGGGCAAATTGGAATCATCATCCTATTGGATATTCAAAAAACAACAAACAACAACATCAAATACATGTTTAAGAGTAGATAAATTCAAAAAGAACTAGTATTTACTATTCTGGTTCCTTTGATTTATCTTCTCCTCTCTACACACACTCTCTTTTCAACCCCCCTGTTTAATTAAGTAAACCAGCTCTAGTTTTAACTTGATTGTCAAGAAAAGATAATATACATAAAAAAAAAAAAAAAAAAAAACTTGTCCAATGAAAAAAAAAAATAAAGATGTTCTTTTTTAGTTATCGAATAAATAATGATTTTAGAGTGGAGTATAGAATTGATGTTCTATTTTCATTGATGATAATAACCAATAAAAAATACAGATTTAAATAAGTTTGAAACAAGGTAATGATGATGAAATAGAGGGGAAAACAATGTTTATCCGATATGACCAAAGCGTTATCGCGTAGCATTTTCTACACGGAGACTTAAATCTCGGGTGCTTCGTTGGTAACCACAACAACAACAATATTACACAAATGATGAAGATTTGGTAGTAGTAGTAGTACTAAAATTTCTATTTTTTGACAAGTATCAGTCTTCCCAGAACAAATCTTGTATTTTCTAAAGCAGGGAGTCTGTTTTTTTTTATTTGATTATTATTTTTTGTGTGTGTGTGTATTTTCTCACCCACTCCCTCTTTTTTGGGAGAAGCTTGTTTCTTTTCATCCATATTTGAAAGTATTTACAAAAAAAAAACAAGTTATTATAATCTTTCTCCTTTTTCTTCTTCTTTAAAGCCTACTTTCTTTTTTTTTTCTTCCCTTTTTTTTCCCTTTTTTTTTTCTTACTTGATATAAAACAACGGATACATATTTTCTCCCCCTCTTTTTTTTTTTTTTTTCTTCTTCTTTTTTTTCTCTTTCTCTTCATTTGTTGAAATCCCTACATACGTTTTATCTTTATATACAATTGTCCTTTCCGTCATCCTTACGCTATAGCCAGTTTCACTATCCCCCCTCCTCCTTTCATTCTGGTTGTTTCGTACATTCCATTCCTTTTGTCATTTCAATTGTTTATTACTAGATGACATCCATTCCTACAACCATCTCGACCTTATCTTCACACCCAGTGGCTGAAGAATTAACGGAAGAATTGGATCAACTTTTGGATATATTTTGTTCGGATGTACAACAGCAGTTTTGTTTGGATCAGCATGTAGCCACACAGCAACAATTAGACCGGATCAAACAAACTATTCAACAAGCACGGGCTTTACTTCAAAATGGATGGTCAATAGATCAACAACAAGAAAATGGTACGATTCCTCCGCAACTTCATGTAAGACAAACGGTGATGAGAACATGTTTAGAAATGATAGATTCTTATCAAGCTATAGCTCATCAACGACAACTACGCCAATTACCAGAAGGACAATCCCAGCAATGGATGCATGTGGATTGGCAACGCCTCAGCCAAAAATTCGATATCAAGGCTCGGGAACAAGCCCAATGGACTCAATTATTAACAAATCTTAAAAACTTACAAAAGGCTTGGCAACAACGACCACATCAACAAGTCACCAAAATCATTCATTCTTTTTTAATGACTTCCTTTGATCCTCCTGCAGGTTGCCATGTCGTTGTCGTCGATCGTCATAATTATGCACAATTAGGTCTCAAACGTAAAGCTATTGGATCAAGACAACTTGTATTTGAATGTCAATTATTATCTCGTCAAGAACAAATTGATATCGTGGCCGATCTTTGTCGACGATTTGCTGCGATCTTTGGTGAAAATGCCCATCATAATCTAGCCCAGATCGATAGTCAACTCAAACGGGGTCAACCTTATGGTCTTCAGAAACGTTGTCAAGCTTTATATCAACGTTTATTTTTACCTTTGAATCGTTCTTTATCTTCTTCAAGTTTGGATGCTCCTCAAGTTAGAATCTCTACTTCTGCACCATCATCATCATCATCATCATCATCTGCTTCTTTTGCTGTTGGTGCACCACAACAACGATTATCATCACGTCCACCCTCTCCTCAACCTGCCTCTCATATAGATCCTTTGCAAAAACAACGAATGGATCATTGGTATGCTACTCAAGAACATTCTTCACAATTGGATCCAAATCAAGTTGACACAACAGAGAAACAACAGGATGAACAACATGATCATGAAGTACCAATAGCACAACAGGAACAGGAATCGCAAGTAAAACATCATGATCATCATCATATTGACCATCATCATCATCACCATCATCACCATCATCCTATAGATCGTCCACCTGATCATCAGCGTAATAATAATAATAATAATAATAGTAACAACAACAACAATAATATTAATGGTAATGATAATCAACAACAACAACAACAACAACAACAACAACAACAACAATCAAAACATACAATACCTTCAAATACGGCACATTTGGCTTTAAGAACGACACCTTTTATTGATACCACCAGTTTAACTCTACAACATATTCCTTTACCCAGTTTTATTCCCTCTCCATGGCAATGGCCTGATTTATTGAAAGTACGACAACCTTATCGACCTTTATTATTTGGTTTGATCAAACGAAGAAAGAAACGGAATAGCAATGGTGGATTTTTTTATAGATTACGCCATTTATTCTATGCACCGAGCAAAAAACCATCGATACCTTTCCTCCAACCCATGGAAGAACATGATGTTATAACAACTAGTCCAATGACAACAACACCAACAACACCTACTCCTCTTCTGATGCAACAACAACAACGTCGATCAACATCATCATCAACATCACCATCATCATCATCATCATCACCATTATTTGCTAGTATCTCGATGGTTCAATTGGGACAACATTTTATTCGAACAAGTCAACGATTTTATCAAGATATCATGCTTCATTGTCAACTCAAATATCAACAAGATAGTGTGGTGTTGAAGGAAATTGGAGGTGATCTTGTACAAATGTATGCTGCCTTACAGTTGGATATTTCTCGTCTAGCCATGCAACGCATTGTTACCATCTTGCATGAACTGAATACTATGGATCCTCCTCCTGCTGTTGTCACCCATGATGATGTTCATCCTACTGTATAACCTTTTTTTTTTATTATTTATTTATTGTCTTTCTTTTTTTCTTCTTCTTTTGTAACAGTGTCCTTTTTTTTTTTTTGTTGAAAATATCATACCCTCTTTATATATATATATTTCCTTCCAAATACCAATAAAAAAAAAACATATATATCCTTCTTGATGTTAATCATTTATTTTTCATTAATCATCGTTTTTTATTCTTTTCTTTGTGTTGTTGAATTTAAGGTTTGTTTGTACACTTTTTTTTTAAAAAAAAAAAACAACATACCACTTATCTTATTGATCCCTGATGATCTCCGATGACCGTTCATGTGAAAAAAAAAAAAAGGTCTTACCATGAAACTTGTTATGAAAAATAAATAAACATAACTAATCTTTTATTTCCAAAAAAAAAACTAAATAGGGGATCGTAAGGAAGAAGGAGGTCGTCTTGTCATTTCATCAATAGGATCTAAACTATGTCTCCAATCATAAGTGGTGGCGACAGACATACGTTGTTTCCATTTCCGATCGATTATTTCTTGTTGAGGACCAAATGGCTGTGGTACATAATATTGTTCTTGATGCCAAGCTGCCATCATTTTTTGTCGAGTCATCAAAGCAATAGTATCATTGTTGTTGTTATTGCGAGAGGGTTCATCAGGATAGGCAGTTGCATGACGAACAAGCACCACGGCTGCTAATTCCTTACAAAATTCTTGAAGGACAATATAGGCATGGACAAAGTTGGACAGTTTGGCAAATGGATTGGTCATGGTGACCGGGGTGGCATTGGATTTTTGTTGGAAAAATAAGGAGGAAGGTGAGGTTGCTGAAGGAAGTTCATTGTTTTGGAGTAACGTAGTACTAGATAAATCCAATCGTAATGATGATGATGTATTTTTGGTTTCTGAGGAGATATCTGCTGTTGATGTTGTTGGGGTATTGGCTGATTTGGACGGTGTAGGTGAAGGAGGACTTGGTAATGGTGCATTTTGTTTATTGAAAACAAGATGAGAAAAACTGGGTTGTTTAGAAAGACCTTGTAAAGTGGTGGATTCACGTGGTGTAGAATGAGATGCTGTCAAATGAAGTGCAGTTGATTTTAATACTTGTTGAATAGGTTGTTGGTGTTGTTGTTGTTGATTGGGAATCACTCCACGTTTTTTAGCCAAAGCAATCCTAGTTTCAAAATTGGGTACCAATTGAGCTCGTTTAAGGGCTTCAAACGTCACTTGTTCCAATAAGGCATAGAGACTTCTTCTTGTTCTTGAAGTGGTGGTAGGAAGTGTCCAGACGCCTCCATACATGTTGCCATCTTCACCCACACGAATTGCACGCCAATCACAGATAACACCATCCACTCGTCTATCCACAATACCGGCGATTTTTTGTAGGATACTGGTCACCATCAAGTTTTGTTCCATGGTCGATTCCAACATTTTCGCAAACAGATCAAATAATTGATGTAAAAAGAGTCCTTCATAACTTGAACATCGTTTGATCACATCATCACTATCATCATTGTTTTTCCCTTGTGATCCAAAGATAGTGGTGGATGAGGCTGAAAAGGTCATAGTATCATTCATCATTCTTGCTGCTTCACGTCCTACTACCATACTTTTCGGTCGTTTCGGTCGTCCTTTTCGATCTTCCGTTTCTCGTTCTATATCTTGTCGATTCTTCACCGGAGGATAGGGAAATTGCCAAAAGTTACGTGCCAACATGCCATATTGAAATCGTTCCCTTGCTTCATGAAAGTAATCATCATAACTATTGCCAGGGACTACCACATGTTGTTGAGATCCATTACTACCAATACTGTTATTGCTGCTACTACTGTGATCATTTGAATGATATTGTTGTCGTCCATTTCCCGATCCATCTCGTGACATCATTGTCGATAATGAAGGACTTTTCATTCTTTCCAATTCATCTTCCAATGGTAATAAGGATAATACTCTAAATTAAAACAAGAAAAAAAAATTAAATTTATATAAAAAAAAAAAATTGAACCATTTATTTACCTTTCAACTAGCCATCGCACTTTGTCCGTCTTATTTTCCTTGGTATCTCGAACAAGAGTAGTATCATCCATTGATATTTTGCTATCATCAGATAGGGTGGACGCAATCGATGGTGTTTCTTCTTCAGTAGTGTTAGGTGCTGGTATGGATACATATTCGCCATCTGGACCAATATCCACATAATTTCGTAATACCAGATTATAAATAACAAATTGATTGTAAGTTTCCAACATGGTATCAAATAATCGTAACGTTGCTAGTGATAAGTCGATATCTTCAGCATCCAATCGATGAATCAAAAGTACACGTAATGTTAAATCGTCGTCATCCATGGAATCTGTACTTTGTCGACTTTTATCAGTACTAGTATCGTCATCCTCATCTTCATCATCATCATCGTCGTCTAATCCATGTAATGCTTTGATTCGACCAGTAGAAGTAGGTTTGATTTCAGGATCTAAATCTTTGCCAACGCCACCTTCTTCACCGACAAGTACAACCAGGAAAGCATGAAGTAAAGTTTGATCAGTTAAGCTACGAATCATTTCAGTGGTATAAGCAGTAGCAGCCGTGGCGGAATCAATAGAAGGAGAGCTGAGAGCAGTACAAACAACGGGATGCCAAAGATTGGTCGTAAGTTGAGCCATAAGTGCAGTCATCAAACGTTTGTCGGCAACACGAGCCACATCATTTAAATATTCCCAAAAACTATAAAAACTGTCAACAAGTATTTCACCATCCTGAGTATTTTCAAGTGTACGAATAAAGTTAGTATCGAATGGGCTTTTCTTTCTACGTTTTCGTCGACAGCTGTTATGTGCATTGACGGTGATCATAAGGCTGTTATTGGTGATCATGGCTGGAATTGAGAATTGAATTCTTCTTCTTGGAGGACGAACTGGAACCACTCGATTATTGCTAGCTATAGTAAAAGCACCCATATTTTTTGGTAATAAAGCAAATAACAAAGCCAATCGTTCAGCCTAATAATAATAATAAAAAAAAAAGATAAGTTTTTTTTTTCTTAGTGTTATTATTATAAAACTTACCATCACTTCACATAATCCAGAATATTCTACAATATAGCATACATATTCAGGATCTCCTTCCAATAAACGTAGAGCAAATAAAATGGCTTCTCTTGCTATTTCACCAGTTTCACCAGGAATGTTCATAAAATCAATCAAATGAGTGAACATATCAAATCGAGGCTAAATAAATAAAATAAATAAATATAAATTTATATATAATAATAAAGATTCTATTTTTTTTTTTTTTTACCATTAAAAACATATTCCAATGAATCTTTTCATCCAAACTTTCTCTTCGTTTATGAGATGTTTTTCCATCCTTGCTACTTCTCCAAACATTTTCACCTAGACCACGACACCAACCACGTTCAAAAAATAAATCCATCAAGGCAGCATTGGTTCCTTTAAAATGAGCAAAGACACCGTGCATCAATTTTACAAGTTCTAAGGAAAGTTCAGCAATAGCAGCATGACGTTCTTCAGAACAAGCTTCAGGATCCAGTTCCAGTTGTTCATAATGGTGAGCAATCAGTCGATGACAAGAAGTAATAAGTTTTTGTAAAGGAACATGTACAGCACGTTCTGGTAATAATTGAGCATGAACATTGATAACCAAACTACAAAAGAATCGAAGACAATGAATTCGCATACCATAAGGAGTCTATATATATATATTAGAAGAATAAGGTTTAATATTAGAATATATATATATATATAATATAATATATTTACATCCACTTTAGCAAATTCTACTAATTCTTCAAGAACACGTCTTTGTAATAGATATTCTAAACAAGGTCCTGTTTCTAAAGTATCATTTACACGTTCATATTCTAATTCTTCAGCTTGAATAAGTTTAACAATATTTTGTAAGGCAGTTGGTATAGGAGTCAAGTCAACAGCATCTTTTAATGCATCTAAAAGAAAAAGATGAGATTTTTATTATATATATATAATATATTATTTTATTGTACCTGCAGCAGTTTCATAATATTTTTGTATACTTAACCAAGATTGAACAAGTAATTCTAATTTTGATTTACTATTATTTCTTCCAGAAAGAAACTTTGAAAGAAACATTGACATTTCAAAAGAATAATAATAATAAATAAATAATAATAATAATAATAATAATATAATAAAAGATATATATATATAAAGTTGGGAGAACCAACCAAAAAGAAAGAAAGAAAAAAAAAAGGGGGGAGGAAGGGAGGAAACACACACAATTGAAAAAATAATTCATTCTCAGTTGATGTGATGATAATAATTATTTCATTTCAATAGATAAAAATGAACAAATTATATATATAATGTCTAATCATAAAGATTATTTTCCTTTTTCTAATTAAATCCTTTTTGTATAAAAGATAATGTTTCTTTCTCTTTTTTAGTACAAGTTAAAAACCTCATGTTTTTTTTAAAAAAAAAAAAAAGTAGTAAGTGACCTGTTTATGGGCAGCAAAGACACGTGGGTAATCAAGTTGCTGAGATGAAAATATATATAAAAAGGCATAAAAATTCCTTTTTTTTTTCTCTCTCTCTCTCCTCTCTCTCTTTTTCCTTTCTTTTTCTTTTCTTTTCTTTATCATATTATTATATAGAAGTTGAAAGAAAACAATAGAAAATCCTTCTTTTTATCATTATTATAGAATCAAACAATAAGAAATGTCTTCTCATGAACGTACATTTACCAAAGCACCTCGATTCAATTATAGACAAGTATGTTTAATAATAATAATAATAATAATGAAAGATATCATTCAATTTATTTTTATTTTATTTTATTTTTATAAGAGTAAAATCATGACTCCTATGGATCAAGTAAGTTGAAAAGAATATCGTTTTATTTCTTTGGATTCAGGGGAATAATGAAAGGAGAAAATACTTGGTTTTTTTTTTTTTTTTTTTTTTTTTTTTTTTTTTTTTTTTTTTTTACTAACTACCTTTTTTTTTTTAACCTTAGTCTAATTCATCCTCATCTTGTTCTTCTCCTTGTTCTTCTGATCATGCTATAAATGCTTCCCCGACCCTGGTAATCTTTTTATCTATATTCATTTTGATTTTATTTATATATATATATATATATATATCGCATTTGTTTATATAGGTGGAACCTTATTGTGCAGCACCAGTACCAGCATCACCAACATCAACATCAATTGCAGCACCAGCAGCACCAGTATTGACAACAACAACAACAACAACATCATCATCATCATCATCATCAACGTATTCATGTCAAGAAGAAAATCAAAACAACCATAGTATTCAAGATGACACAATGTAACATTATCTATTTTTATTTCTTTTTTTGTTTTTATTCTAATTATCTTTATAAATCTTCCTTTTTATTTGAACTGTTTTTTTTTTTCTTTTTCTTTTTTATAGTCCATCATTATCTAGTTCTTTATTATTACGAAAAGCAACATCACAATCATCTATGGACCTCAGCTCATTATTGGAATCAACTTCTATTGGTCATCGTGAAGATATAGTACCCAGATCAACCAAGTCAGAACCTTATCCAACCACACATGCATCTAGAAAGGAAGAATGGCATAAAAAGGAAGAAAATCAATTGGAAGAAGATATGGTAAAAAAAAAATTAGAGTTGTTGTTAATTATATAGAAAGGCGAAAAGGAGTAAAAAAAAAAAAAAAAAAAAAGAAAAAAAAAAAAGAAGAATGCAGGGCGACTGAACATTCCTTTATATATATATATTATTCTATTAGGATACCACAGACCAAATAGAATCATGGATGAATAATAGCAGTAAATGGAATACCTTGTTAGAAATCATTACCAAAACTATTCATCAAGAATTGAATCATCATTTGTTGACTAATGAAAACAATAGCAACCTGCAAAGAACCGTTATCAAGTCTCTTGACAAGACTACTAAACAGAAAAATGAGGGCGACGACACCCCGCCTGTGTTACCATGGTGGCAACAGCGGCACGTGGCGCTAGAACAAGTAGTGACCTCTCAACAAACAGTATGCATGAATACCATGGGACAGCTTGAAAAACGAATTCAATCATTGGAACGGGCTCATCAAAAACAGAATCAAAAGCAATTGGTAGATCAAGAAAATGATAGTTATAATGCACTGCACGCACGTTACATGGACTTAGTGGCACAACATTCACAACAACTAGAAAAATATCAACAATTAGAGCAAGCTCATATCTCACAATCTACTCAGTTACAGTCATTGAAGTTACAGCAGCAATCGTCACCTTCATCTCCTGCAACTAATCAACATCAGTACGACCAAAGAAAAGTTGGGTGGGTAAAACCTACTACGACAATGGATCGGCATCAACAACGGAATGACTCGTCTCCCGGAATTGTTTCACCATCTACAAGACTCAATGCAACCGTCACTCCATCCAAGCAAAAAATATACCAACCTACCATGTTACCCACACCCAATGCATCTCCTACCACCAATTTACCTGCGTCTCCTCCTACCAATGGCATCAAAACAACAACAACAACAGTCAACCATGGTCTCTCAACCCCAGCAACCACTCCTCCATCTCCTCCCTTCAATAACAACAACAACAGTAATCATCATCAATCAGTCAAACTTAGTGATGGTTATGTGGAATTTATGACAGAATGTAATGGTCAACCTGCGCTTTGTCGGGTCAAGCTTCCGAAAGATATTAGGTCTGTTGAAAACAAGCATAACAACAACAACAATAACAACAACAACAACAACAACAGAGCATCTTCTACATATGATCGGTCAATCACTTATCAACATAATTACAAGAAAAACAACAACAACAACAAAAATACCATTCATTCCTATACTTTTCCTCAACAACAACATTATCAATGTCGTCAAGTAATCTCTACTGTTCGTCCACATTATTTGCATCATCATTATCCTCAACAACAACAACAACAATATTGTTCACATACACCCTATTATCCTCATTATCAGCAACAACGTCATCGTCAACAAAAATATAAATATCATCCCTCTACGCAACAACAAAAGCAACAATGGATATCAACGGAAAATGGTGATATGATAAGCAAATCGTTGAATCCATATGCACCAGTTTGGAATGGAGCATGGAAAAAACAAACTCAATATTAGTTAGGTTTTTATTTTTCAATATAGAAATCTTTTTTTTTTTTTTTTGTGATATGAAAATAAAGAAATTACATTTTTTGTTACAAGATGCTGGTTTTTATTTATTTTTCCAAATATAGAACATCACCAAATTAGGTAACACCATCCAGTACAAAAACAAACAAATAAATCATAATCAGGCACATATATATATCTATATATATATATGAAATGAAACTACATGAATCATTTGCTTCAAGGAGGTAGATGATGTATCAATTTCTTTCAGATGCTGTAACCTATAAAGCCAAATACCATTTCAAAAAAAAAAAAAAAAAGATAAGGCACCTCCTACATCATGTTACTCAATATTCATTTACGGGCTCTAGGGACAACAAAAAAAAAAAAAAAAGGTGATGACTCTTTATGATGATAACAACGATGAAACAAATCATGATATAGGATGATAGAGAGAGAGAGAGAAAAAAAATAAGCTTGGGGACAAATCATATCGTATCAAATTAGACATATCAATAAGTTCTAAAAAAGAAACAAAACTCAAATTATATATGATTTCCAATCAAATCAAGCATAAAAAAAAAAAAGAAAAATTCCGTAGGATTGAATTTTAGGGTAACTCTTCAACCATTTCTCTTAGAAGATGTGTTTTTCTTTTTTTTTTAAAAAAAAAAAAAAAAAAAAGAGAAAAAAAAAGAAATGATCTATGGTATTTTAACCAAGCATTTTTCTTTTTCTACTTTACCAGTTTTTAATTATATTCTAAGGATGATCCTTTTTTTTTTTTTTTGCTTTCTTTCTCGTTTTTTTTCTCCGCTTTATTTTTGAATGATCATTCGTTACAAGTGATGTCATGATGGGTCTTTTCTTTTTTTTAAGGAGGAGAGTTTTAAATGATTATTTTTTTTTAAAAAAAAAAAAAAAGACTAGAAAAAGTAATGTAATGCATAATGATTCTTTTTTTTTTTCTTACAAAAGGATGCATTCAAAGAAACAAAAAAAAAAAAAAAACTATTTTAGTGACACTAACAACATTGAAAAGGTGAAATGGCGGAGATGAGAGATGAGCTAACATATGATGAAAGAAACATTTGAAATCCAAAAATAACCAAAGATTCATTAAAGACAAATTTATATAAATAAAACAACTTATAATTCATTGATTATTACATTAAAGTAAAAAATCCATTCTTACTTTTTATTTAGAGAGAAAAAAAAAACAAGTTGATAGAACATTGATTCATTGTGAATTAACCCTTTTGTGTATCCGCTCATTAAGTGTGTAACCCCATATTTTGATTGAACTCACACACACACACACTCTGTCAAAATGTTATTTTTCAAAGTTCTAGTTCCTTTTTTTTTTCTTTTCTTTTTTCTTTTCTTTCTATTCATTTTTTTTTTTGTATTTATTTTCATTTCTAATTTTTTTTATTTATTAATAACGATTCGTTTGAAAAAGAAAGATCTATTTCTCCTTTACGAGGTAAATAAAAAAAACAATATATTTTCCTTTATCCCGCTTACTAATGATCATTCTAATATATATAGAGAGAGAGAAATACGATATTATACAATATGGGGATCAGTCAGAGTGTCGCGCAACGTAAAAACAAAATGATCACAAAACAACTTAAACAGGATGAGAAAAGGATGAATCGGGAAGTGAAAATCTTACTTTTGGGTGCTGGTGATTCAGGGAAATCAACTGTATTGAAACAAATGCGATTGATTCATGCTTCTGGTTTCAATCATCAAGAACGTGAAGGTTTTCGAATGATTATTTTTTCTAATATTGTCAATGCTATGCAAACTTTACTAGAAGCCATGATGATGGCTAAATTGACTTTGGAACATAAGGAAAATTGGGATTATATTCCTCTTTTTCTTGAACAACTTCCTACTATACAGAAACAACAATCTTTTCCTCCTGAATATTTGACACCTTTAAAATCTTTATGGCAAGATAAAGCAATCAAGAAAACTTTCACTTTGGGAAATACTTTTGCTTTGAATGATAATGTACAATAGTAAGTTTTTCAATCATTCAATAATTATATTTATTCATATTTTTTTTTGATAGTTATTATGATCAACTTGATAGACTATTCCAACCTAATTATATACCCACTGATCAAGACATTATTCAATGTCGTATTAAAACCACAGGTAAATTCAAATGAAAATATGAATGAAAACTTATCATCATCCTTATAGGTATTGTGGAAACCACCTTTAATAATCGATCCCTTGTGTACCGTATGTTTGATGTTGGTGGCCAACGAAGTGAAAGAAAAAAATGGTAAGATAAAAATAATTCTTTTTTTTTCAAATATCTTATATTCTCTCTCTTTTTTTTCTTTTTATTATTATTAGGATTCATTGTTTTGAAAATGTTGCCTCTGTATTATTTGTAGTAGCCATTAGTGGTTATGATTGTTGTTTGGCTGAAGATAAAGATTCCGTAAGTAATAATTATATTATCTATAAAAATATAATATTCATCATTTTTTTTTAAATAATAGAACCAGGCAAGTGATTTATGTTATCATTAGTAGCTCTTTTTTTTTTTTTTTTTTTTTGTCTAACTTTTTTTTTTTTTTTTTGTAAAAATATATAAATAGATGTATGAGGCATTGATGTTATTTGATTCTATATGTAATTCACAATGGTTCAAAAATACATCCATGATTTTATTTTTGAACAAAATGGATATATTCAAACGCAAAGTTCTTCGATCATCGATCAATCAATATTTCCCTGATTACAGTGGACCTACTTTAGATTATTTGGCAGGCGCAGATTATTTTCGGCATCGATTTGAGTCCCTCAATCGAAATGACAAGAAACAAATCTATATTCATTTCACCGTGGCCACAGATACAAAGTTATTAGCTCATGTCATGGGTTCAGTATCTGATAGTATTTTACATGAAAACTTACAAACTTTACTATTATAAATCATTATTACCCCCTTTCTCTAATAAACTGTATTCTCTTTCATCTATTTTTCTTTTTTCCAACATGATAAGGATGGTTGTTGGTATAAAACTAAATAACAAAAAACCCGATGATGGAAAGTAAATCAAATATTAGAAAATGATCAGTTCAGATGGAGGATCATCATCATCTTATTTTATTCTTTGACATACTTACTACTCATCATAGCATGATCGACAATTTGAAATTCCGACTAATTTTTGGGTTTTATTAGGGTTGTTTCTTTGTTTTTCTTTTTGTTTCCTCTCTTATTTTTTTTTTTTTTTTTTTATGTATGGTTTTATGAATCGATGGTAGTATCATCATGTCCTATCTGTCATTCTACAAAGATTACATATGAATATGAATCCCAGTCTTATTGTTGCTCAGATTGTGGAGCCTTACTCGAACTTTCTCTTAATCCTGACAACACTATCACCAGCGATGATCTAGATCAAAATGAACCTTCCTCCTCAAGTAACAAATCTCATGGACAATCAACGCAAACAAAAGCAGCATTTAGATATTCCATGCGTGAACCTTTATTCTTACGTATGGTACAGGTAATACATTATTCCCAAATTTTGACAAATCTATTCATCTTTTTTTTTTTTTTTTGTTGTTAAACCACTTAGGCCAAATTCTTACCTTTAGTTCAATCCTTCCAAATCAAGTTCCAGGCAACTGATGAAGAAGCAGCTTATGTTTACGATTTGTGTTTTTCTTACTTGACTCATCCTCGTCATGTGTACTCCCGCAGTAAATTGGAAATTGTGCTTTGTCTTTACTATCTAGTGGTTCTACAGTTCCGTGAAGATCAGTCTCTATTACTGCCTGAATATTGTACTCTTGCCAATGCCAATGTTGACCATTGTTTAAGGATTTATAATGCGATGCGGTCCATTCTTTCGTCCAAGTTTACCTTTATCCCTCGTGAATATGATCCATTACATCAACTCAACCATATTATGAATGACATTTATCCCATCCTTTTGACTTCTACCACTTGCTCATCCACAACACCGCAGCATCGACAGGATGATATTTTAGAAGAAGACACATCACCTTTCTTTCAATTCCGATCGAAAGTACGACCAAAAGGAAAACGAAAACAGACTAACGAAGAATACTTTATGGATAAAAAACGGAAAAAAACATCAACAACGTTGTCACGGACGGAACGAACTACGGTGACGTGGCGCATGCATTTGGAATCCAACAAGTCAAAAGTACGAGAACAAACAAAGCAATTGATGAAAGGAGCCAAACGGAATGGAATGGCAGATGGGAGGAAAGGTCGACCTTTGGCGATTGCTTGTCTTATGGTAGCAATACTCCATCAACTTTATCAACATCATCAACATCAACATACATTACATAGTCCAACAACATTGTCACTTCATATTCTTGTTCGATGGGATTCGGTGGCTTCTTGTCCTGGTATTGGGTGTTCTTTGTTCACATTGAAGCAACGGTTCTACGATTTGTTGGATTGTCTTCATACATTTGGGAAATTACTACCTTGGGTGAAGAAACATGCAACAAAACAAGATCATGGTATTTTACTGTATTTGGACGATATTCTTCCTATTTTTTGCCAGGGACAGGAAGACAACTCGCAGGATTCTCCATCTTTATATACCACTCCTCCTCCATCATCATCAAATATACCCGATGAGACTTGTATTTCAAGTGGATTCACTCTCTTACCTCCTGCATTCCTACGTGCTGAATCATTACGACAAAAACGTCAATTACAATTAGAATGGATAGACCGACATCAAGATGGATTAGATGATAAGGAAGAGGAAACGTCATTAGGAAACGATAGAACGACACATATGGTGGCCGATCTTCTATCAAGTCAACAATGGGATAGGGAAGCAATCATCTCCATGAAAAATAACGAACTTGTATTACACACCTATCGACTTGGCTTACAGACTCGAGCTAGATTGGATTTGGATAGACAACCATTGGATGAAGATGATTTATCCAAAGAAGAAGAAGAGGCTTATTTATTAGATTAAGTTTAGTGATTATTTATATAATAAAAATACATCTTTACTTCTTTAGTACAAATCTGGCTTTTGACGGAAATTGAATGTGCCTCCCCACACACACATGGATCGTTTTTTAATTTTTTTCATTTTTCTCTTTCTTCCTCCTTATGTACACCATTATTTTTTAATACCCCATTTTTTTACTTTATATACGTAACAAGTTAATTTACCTTTTATTTTTTTCTATCTCTCTTTCTAATCTACATATATATATATATCTCTTACTTTTTTTTTTTTTTTTTACTATGAAACCCACTCGAGACTCGTATTTTCACCATCATAGACGACAAAGCAGTAGTAGTAGTAGTAATAATAATAATAATATTCATCACCTTCCTCCATCACCGTCTGTTATACCAACAACCACGGCAATAAAAGGCAACAAGTTACGAGGGATCCATATCAACATTAGTTCAGATCCTTTCCAACATCGGATCCCAGCATTATATCAACTATGGCAAGACAGTCCATGGAAACAATACACAAGCAAGCTGCGACGAAAATACAGTGCAAAAATGGTGATACTTGGATTGGTAGTTCTAGTGTTTATCTGTATCATCTTATTACGTCATGTTGGCTTTTTTAGTGGCAAGAAATACCAAGACTGGGAACGGCATGACCATCGACATGGTTTTGATGAACATGCTGATGATTATTTAGATGAAGTAGATCTTTTAGAACATATGGTACCTGAAGCTGGGAAGGGACTGACGGCCTTGATCATTGTACTACCACAAAATAACAACAATGATTTGAAGGATGTATTATCTTCTTTATGTGATTATGATATGTTTGGTCAGGTGCTTATTTGGAATAATGACCCTCAACAGCAACAACAAGTGGATCTTTTACAACGACAATGTAACAAAATCACCATCCATCATTCTCCTATAGATTTAAAATCAACTGCTCGATATATGGCTTGTACAATGGCGAAAACACCTTATTGTTATTTCCAAGGCAACCATAATAAAACTCATTTACGTGCTATTTATGCCAACTTTTTACGTTCACCTAGTTTGATCCATGGGGAATCAACGACACTTGATCATTATACGGCTAGTCAATGGACGCATTGTTTTTGGTATGAGCCGGTTGGATTGAACGCATGTTATCTTTCTCCCATGGGGATGTTTGTGACCAAGGACATGGCAGCGACATTTTTACATCAAATGGAACTTGATCCGGTGGATCCTGAGTATGCAGATATGTATTTTACATTGTGGATGAATCAAGGTGGGTCTTATTTATTACAAGGCAACAACGACGAAGAAGAAGAGGAGAGTCAACGATTGACGACACAGGAAATGGATCATCTTCAGCATGGACTACGCACACTTTATAATAGCTTGAAACATCGGAATGGGATTTTTACTGAACAACAACAACAAGACGAGGGACGTGTACGAGAAGAATTGGAAGCAAGGAATGCAAAGGCGGTATGTGCTGATGGACGATGTTTGTTCCTGACAAATGTACAATCACTTCCTTCACTTGATCTCTTTTCTCATCAACCTATGACAATGCATGTTCAAGATGCGATTCGGTTACATCAAGATTATTATTCTGGTCAAGGATCCTTATTAGCAAATCATACGTATCTCTATGCAGTGGATGGAAGGGATGATACAGCTTGGATGTCACCTGAATGTAAGTTTTTTCTTTTTTTTTTCTATTTTATATCTAATCTTTTTTTTTTTTTTTTTTTTTTTTTTTTTTTGGTATAGATATTCAAAAAGGAGATTCGATTGGATTGGATTTATTGATCCCAGTAAGGATTCCTTTACGATATCGAATACTTGTAGATCATCCTTATAGTTATCATCGAGCCATTCAATTGGAAATGTCCTTTGATGGTTCGTTATGGATGACCATTCGACCTCCTCAAATGACGTGTTTTTCCTTGGATCAACGTAACATTGGCTCATTATTGGAATGCAAGTTTACTATCTCTGAAACAGGTTATCGATTCATTCGATTGGTGGCTCGGCATGATCTGGATTATCGATTTATGGTATATGATCTTTCTTTCAGTGCAAGAGTCAAACGTGACAAAAATGGTCAGTTTTTGGAAAATGCTGCTGATGATAGAATGGCGTTTGTAGAAGATTAATATGATTAGATTTTTTTTATGTACATATCAATAAAGACACACCCAAAGGAAAAAGCAAACTTTTTTTTATTTTATTTTATTTTGAATCACATGTTGACTAATAGAAGGGGGGGAGGATTTTCAATAAGGATTTTGATGTTCCTACATTTGGATGGATATAAAAACACATATTTATTTCAAAAAAAAAAAATACTAACTAATAGAAGATCATTTTTCTTTTTTAAATTGGACTTCAATGTTGGTGATACCAACAGGTTCTCCAGCCGTTTCATCATAATCCGCCCATTCACCTTCCAATAAATCAATATCATCAAATCGAGTATCAGTTTCAGTACCCTTAGCCAACCATGTATCCTAGCAATGAAAAAAAAAATGAGTTGATAAAAGAACATATCTATAAGAGTTATTTTTACCCTTGGAGCAAAATCCACCAATTCTAAACCACGGACATCGAATACCGCCAACTTTTGGAATTTACCACTGTCAGTATAACTGGTTACTTTACTACTAGGATCGAATTCTATTCACCATAAAAAAAATAGGAAGTACAAGTGAGCGAAATAATCAATCGTATGGATATATATATGCTTACGAGCAGTGGATTCCCGTTTACAAAACTTGCATCGCATCACAAGATTGGCTTGACCACGAGAATTGCTCATATCATATTCGTCCTACACAATATATATATATATATATATATATATTAAAAACAAATGAAAAAAAAAATAAAACTTGGATGGGATATTGTCTTTCTACCTGTCTATTAAATGAGATCCAGTTTTCATCCACTTCGTGACAGCTTCCACATTCAATCTAGTCATAAAAAAAAAAGATAATAAAACAAAAAAGAGAGAGAATATAAATAAAGTTTTTCATATATGTCCAAAAAAAAAAAAATAGTAACCTTGAAATGCCATTCGTAATCTTCAGCAGGGACAAGATCTGTCACGTTTTCAAGATCTGCCTTAAAGTAGAGTGCCAATTTCTAATAATAAATAGAACGAGAAGGAATAGATATTTATTTATTGAACAGTAGTTAAAAGACAAAAGGAGAGAAAGTAGATCATATTACCATACTGTGTGTTGGTTTGTGGAGAGAAAAGAACAAGAAAGAAAAAGAGAAAAAAAAAATAGAGTTGTCCAAAAAAAAAAAAAAAAAAAAAAAAAAGCGTAGCCTCTATTCGACTTCCGCCAGCTTTTTCGATATTCAACTTCGGATTATTAGAATGATTTGGATGATGTATGAGAGAATAGATAATATATCTGGCGATAGACATTGAGTCCATCAATAAAATTATCAACTGTCTGCATCATTAGCTTTCTCATTATCCTCTTGTTTGACTATATACGATTTTCCATTATTTTTATTTTTATTTCATTTCATACTATATGTTCATCTGGACAATCTTTTGGCTGTGTTTTTTTTCAAAAAAATAAAAATAACAAAAAAAAAACTATATTCTACTCGTGGAAGAGGCAGCAGATTTGGGTTGAGGAGCATGTAAGGATTGAGGGGCCCACATATGACTGACGACGTAATCCAAGAGAGAAGCGGTATGAGCCAAGAGATCAGGAGATTGAGCGAGTTTTTCATCGATGGCTTCTTGACATACAGCGGTAGCAACAATGGCAGAGACCTGGCGGATACGAGGAAGAGATGGGTAAAGATAACCAGCGTTGATTTCATCAGGGGTTAATGAATCAGCGAGGGCTTTGGAAGCAGCAAAGATCATGCGATCGCTAATATAGGATGGTTTGGCTAGTACAGCCCCCAAACCCAAACCAGGGAAGATGTACATATTGTTGCCTTGACCAGGGACATGCTTTTTACCATTGGGTTCAACATAGGTAGGGAAAGCGGTACCTGAGGCAAAGATGACACGATGCTGTGTGGCCTGCATGGCTTGTTCAAAAGTACATTCAGCTTGAGTGGCAGGATTCGATAAAGGGAACACAATGGGTTGTTCGTTGAGTTCGGCTATACGTGTAAGCACTTGAGAGGAAAATGCCCCAGGGATGGAGGAGAGACCGATCAAGATGGTGGGTTTGACATAATTGACAATATCCAATAATGCTTTGTATTGTTGACCATGATTATCATCCCGAGCATAATAAATCTTATGTTGTGCCAATGTATCACCACGATCCAAAGTGATTAGACCCTTGATTTAATAAAAAAAAAAAAAAAAGTCAGTGATATGTTTCTTTTTTTTTCTTAAACGTTTACCTTACTATCAACAATCCAAAAGATGTTTTTAGCTTGTTCTTCAGTCAATCCATGTTCTATTTGGAAATAATGTTGAATTTGATTGGCCACTCCAATGGCAGCCGATCCAGCACCATAAAATACAACACGATGATCCTGAGGAGCAACACCTGATTCTTTTTGTACTTTTCGAATGGCGTTGATGACACCGGAAAGAATCACTGCACCAGTACCTTGGATATCATCATTGAAACAGAGCATCTTCTTTTGATATTTTTCCAAAAGGCCGAATGCATGTTCACTAGACCAATCTTCAAATTGAATCAAGATATTGGGATAGACACTATGAATGGATTGAATCACTTTGTCCACTATTTCATAAAACTAATATATATATAAAAAAAAAAAGAATAATCATCAGTGACTTGGATACATCTTTTCTTCTTTACCTGTTGATCATTGGGTCGATGTTGACGTAGACCAAGATAAAACTCATCCTCCAAAAATTTAGTGTTGTTTGTACCTAGATCCAAGATAATGGGCAATGTTTTTCGAGGATCGATCCCTGCACCAGCCACGTATAGTTGAAGTTTACCGATAGGGATTCCAATGCCATTGACACCAAGGTCACCCAAGCCAAGAATACGTGAACCATCAGAAATGACGGCAATTTCAGGTTGGAAGGTTTCATTTGGAAAAGGTTGATATTGTTGAATCATGGTGATCAAATCAGAAGATGTGTTATCTGTCAAGTACAATCCATCCGATACACCAGGACCAGCAAGGAAAGGATAGATATTGGAGTACTCTAAACAAGCTGTACCCACTGTAGGAGTATAAATCACAGGCGCCAATTCCTTTTTTTTTTTTATAAAGATGATGATGGACATTTCCATAAAGAGTATGTTGTACCAGGGTTATCAATAATAATAATAATTAAAAAAAAAAAAAAACGATCAGTTATCATCCTAGTTGATCATCAACATCCTTTCAACAAATAACCGCATGAAATCATGTGAAGAATTTTTTTTTTACCTCTAACTCTTCAATCACTATCTTATAAAATAAATGAGTATTGGTAGTTCTCATTTGTGCCATAAAGATATATTTTTCAAGTAAAGTATGTTTTGAACGAAGTTGATGTAAAGCGCGTTTCTTTTGAATATCCAAGGTTTCCACACGAACAGGACTGAGACCATTTAATCCTAGTTGTGATCTTTTGGCAGCATCCATCACAGTCCCTATCATTGTACATCAATACCCAAAAAAAAAGAGAGATGTTTAACTTTTTTTTTCTATTATTATTATTATTCGACTTACCTTGGTTATAGTAACTTGATCGTACCAAGAGACGACCATGATCTTCTTTCAAGAGAGCAGTATGTGATGATGTAATATCAATAGGATTTGTTACAGATACTTGATCAATATGTTCAACCACAGGAGCCATTTTTTTTAATAATATAAAGAAAAGATTGCGAATAAAAAAAAGGAAGAAAAAGATGATTTTTCTTTTTTGAAAAAAAAAAAAGAGGAAAAACGAAAAAAAAAGGATGAACGATATTTATAATGATAAAAATCAAACCAACGTCGAACAAGGATAGAACTTACTACTTTGCTCCTGCATCATCATGAATATTTTATAATAGAATGGACGAATCGGTTCATTCAGTTCCCATTTTCACGCGCTTCTCAGCATGACAGGAACTAATCCGGCCTTCTGATTGGTCGATCCAATAGTGAATCATTCTTCCTCCATCCGTTTATTTTGACTTTCAATACTCTCACCTTGAGTTTGATGGACCTTAACACGTGGCGTGCTTCCGATTTCCCTCTCTCTCTTTTTTTTTTTTCTTTGTCTAACGATCATCCATTGTCTCCAGTGGGAAGGAGATATATGCATAGAAACATCTTTGAACTCTGTGCATAAAAAAAAAAGATGGTCAAAGGCCTGGTTCCCTTACAATAGATTACAGGTACAATAAATGTGTTAGATATGATCATTCAACAATAGATGAATGTATCTCATTTTGTGAATAAGATAACATAATACTAACATTCTTTTTTTTTTGTAAATACATCAAGGTATAGAATGGATGTTTTTTTTTATTATTGATATCAAAGGGGAGGCATATTTATAAAAGGAAAGGGTATCGCTAAATCAACAATTCACAACAATAAACAACTAAGGGGGGAGAGTGAAGATCTACAAACACACATATACAAAACTAATCTATCGACGATGATGATGATGATGATATAATAAAGATCTTGGAGCAATTGATGATGAATTGGAAGGTGTAGTAGTGACGGCCAAAGAGGATGATGATGAACGTGCCCAGAGAGGAGGAGGATCAATGACTTCATAATAATCGCTTGTATACCCTTCTTCTTCTTCTTCTTCTTCTTCGTGTGAATTGTCCATCTCTTCTTCGTAGTGATCGTCACTGTTGTCAATATCAATAAGTGGCGCATTTGTTGTTTGTTGATTCATTCTTAAATTAGAAATCGGAGAAGGCAAAGAGGATAGAACAGGTGGAGGTGGTGGTCGATCCATAATTGAAGACACAGGACATCGACTAATAAAAAAAAAAAATAATCATTATTTTTCAAAAAGGGAGCTATTGGATTTCTTACCATATTGGACAGGTAGCATTAATAAATAACCATTGACGAAGACAGGAACCATGATATTCATGTTGACAAGGCATTTGTAATATTTCAGTATTGATTCCAAAGGCTTCTTGGCATATAATACATTCTACTTTGACAGCTGTAACGTGCTGATGAGAAAAAGATTTTTTTTTTTTTTTTGCTTACCAGAGTCACCCTTCACAAGTGTTTTTTTCAATAGTTGATTAATGCACCGTTCTATATCTTCATTATTGGAAGGTTGCGGTCTATATAATAAAAATTTTCAAATCATTCCTTCTTCTTTTTACTATTGACTTACGTTTCCATTGGGTCACTAAAAATATCCATGAGATTTTCCATAAACCCTTGATGATAGTCATAGTGATTATCCTCCATTTCATTATCAGATTCTGAGTATCCTTGATAGATCATACTAATTTTTTTTTTTTAAAAAAAAGGAGATGAGACATTGTATTTGACGTATATCAACTTACTCTAGTAATCGTTCAATCCGGAAAAAGGGTGGCATAAATAGACGACTGTTGGAGGAGGATGTGGAAGACAAAGAACGATGTTGTGCTGTAGGTTGTGTAGTGTTATCATTGGTTGTGGACGAAGCGTTCGACCTTGTAGGTCGATGTATGCCAGACAGTAAGAATTCGTAAGCGTAAGCATCCAAATCATCATCTTCTACTTGATCTTCTTCTTCTTCACTGGCTATCCAAGCATCTACCCACCGTCGTTCTCCATAAACACCAAGACTACTATGATCACTATTGCTACTTTCACTAGAGATGTAAGTAATCCCAGTATCATCATCATTGTTGGTGTTGGCATTGATCATCCGTCTACTCGTCGTCAAGTGTGATGGTTGATTGGTTGTTGATATTGTTTCATAGTATGTACCATCATCTTCATCATCACTATCATCGTGTTGCGGTTGCTGATTATCCTCTTCATCACTTGATATCCATATAGCTGTACCATCAATATTGTTACCATCATCATCGTCACCTCCTTCTTCTGCTGGATACCATAAAGTTGTATCTCGTTCATCTTGTTCAGGTCGATCGAAATGATTTTCTTCTTCTTCTTCATTTTGTTGCTGTTGTGATGACCGCTCCATAGCTGAGATAGATAAATACCGTGACAATACAAGATCAACTATGCTACTACTACTACTACGGGTTCTACGTCGATATTGTTGAGTAAAATTCCAAGTATCATGCCAATTTTCCTCTTCTTCCTCTTCTTCTTCTTCTTCCTCCTCGTTCTCTTCTTCTCCCTCTTCTTCTTCTTCTTCTTCTTCTTCTTCTTCCTCTTGCTGGCTGTCATCATTGTCATCATTGCCGTTGATATTTATTGTAGGTTGAGATAGAGTAAGGTTGACTTCCGATGGGTGAGGTTCGTCTGGCCAAGATAAATAACCAAAACTAGACATGACACGTTGTGGTGATGATGTACAAAGAGAGGAAATCTATATAAAATGAAATGATATTTAGTATTCATAAAGACGTTATTTCATCCTATTATACCTCTTCTACAAACTGAGTATGACAATGAGGACAAGTAGGTTCAGTTAGATATAAAGAAAGTCGAATGGGTATTTTACAATAATGACAATAATAACGTATAGTCATTATACTTTTTTGATAAAAAAAAAAGTATAAAATAAACCAAAAAAAAAAAAAAAAAAATAAGCAGTAAGAAAGCAGAAAAAAAAAAGGGGCGGACGAAGGGAAATGAGTGAACGTCATAGATATATATATATATATATATATATATATATATATATAAATTGAATTTTAAAGCAAAATATGCTCACGTGGGTTTACCAATTACCACGTCCATTCACCTAAAGTTGAATACACGTCGTAATAAGTGACTCAATGTCTAAAACATATGGAGAATGCTTCTAATGATTACTTTTTTTCAAGACTTAAAATCTTAAAAATCAGACTTAAAAATTATAATATAATAAAAAGACAAAAAAAAAGTCTAATACTTTAAATTATTAAAAATCATGAACTAATATCAAAAATATTATTAATTATTATAGATAATCATGCAGGTTTCTTGCATTCATCCATCATTATTATTATAATAATATATCATGAAGTTTTAGATTTTCTTTGCATAAAATACCCTTTTATTCTTTTCTCCTTGTTTATGAATAAAAACTTTCAAATTAGATGTTGTCTCATAGTTCTCCTTGAAGACATGTTTTATCATTCTGAACCCATTCACTGTCGGTATTTGAAAATCAACATAAACTGAAAAACCATACCAGTCCCACAAAAATCACGGGTATTTAGATCCCGCTACGTGTACCTAAAAAAATAAAATAAAAAAAAAAATGAAAAATGTCATATTTCTTTTTTCTCTTTCTTTTTCTCTTTCTCTCCATTTTCATATTTCTTTTCCTTTTTTATATCTCTTTCTCTTACTTTCCTCCATTGCAAACGACTCACCATTAGTAAGTATGTCTAACATTTATTAACTGATGCTTTCTTCTCCTTTCCTCTTTTTTATCATTAGACAAGTATATCAAAATAAACTTTAGGTAACAAGGTTACTTTTTTTTTATTTTTTTTTTATATAAAGTGAAAACAATGCAGCTGATACTTTCTTTTTTACATATTATAGTAATTACTCAATCTATTCAACTTCTACTTATTCTGCATTAGACAAGGCAATATCAAGATAAACTTTAGGTAACAAGGTTACTCTTTTTTTTTATTTTTTTTTTTTATAAAGTGAAAACAATGCAACTGATACTTTTCTATTTTATAGAAATCAACGAAGCGTTGGATATGGATGGATTATGCATATTAGATAGCTTGGAATAACGACAGTAGTGATGGTAGTGATGATTTTTTGTATGAATTGAATAAAACTGAATGGATGAGTGGATGATAGAAGGAATGGATACATAACGAGAAGGGATTTGTAACATACAAAAGGCTTCTGCACCTCTTTAAACTGCTTCATCATGCTAATATTAGATTTTTATACATATCCAAGTTGGACGATTTTTCAAATGTGATATGCCTGGTGTGACTGATCTGAATTTCGGGAGCTGGCGACACACTGAATTTTTATTTGAGACTCTTTCCTTCTTTTTCCTTTCTCCCTTTTCTTCTTTCCTTTCTTATACATTAGATCTTAACAATTGGTAGTTATTAGTATATATATCCCTTTAATATATTTACCCCTTTATTATTATTATATTTACCTTCCTTATCACTATATAGAAACATTAGTATAAATATCAAGCTACTTATCAATAAAACGATTCTTATCTTGTCAATATACTCTTCTTTTTTTTCACTGTTATTATAACAACTATATACACTTTTTATTTACTTACAATATGGATATATCTGCTTTTATTCAATGCTCTGGTTGCGGCTCGTACAGGCACAGACAAGACTACGTTGGTAGAACTCAAACATACAACACCTGTACCTGCTGCCGATATAGACAGACTCCTCCTCGCCTTGCGCCTTCTATGGACTCGATGATATCCATGGATAGCTTGGATATACATTATGCTACAGAGCACATTAGCAATAACGGACCAGTAAAGTTCGATTGGGATATTGCAATGAGTGAAGAAGTTATAGAAAATTATACGGATGATCAGATCATTGAGGAGGTGATACATCGGTTTGAAGAAATTTCAGGGTATCATTTTGCTTTAAAGAAGACTGGTGATCCTGTCCTGCGGCAATCCATTTCTTTTCACGCATACTGTGTCCAAGACCAGACAATACAACGGCAATTACCAGAAGAACTCCAACAGCGTTTAACCTGCCGGATGAACACATATAACTGCAAAGGGAAAGTTACTGGATTTTTCGATAGGGAGCAGTTATGGGTTCATGTGACGTACAATCATCGTCTTCAGCATCAGTGCTCTGTTTTTACTGAAAGAAACGAGACACCGTTGGCAATTAGGGAATACATCGAACGACATGCTCTCAACTTGGATTCTGCCCATCTTTTCCGGAACATACGTCAAGAGTTTGGTGGAGCGCTATGATAACGCAGGCTCAAGTCTACAAGTGGTATCATCATTATCTTCGACAGCATTATGAACATCACGATGATCAATTTATTTCCGCTCGTATTTTGATCCAGCAAAACAACAACAACGGCTTTGAAGAGGTAGCTAAAAAGAAAGGATATATTTTATATATGATTTACCTTTTATATTGGTGAATAATCTTTTTTTTTTATTTTCTTACCTTTTATATTGGTGAATAATCTTTTTTTTTTATTTTCTTACCTTTTATATTGGTGAATAATCTTTTTTTTTTTTTTATTTTCAAGTTGTTTTGGGCTATTGAAAATAACTGGCAAGGTTTTAGTTTCAAGACACAGTTCTTTAACATTTGTGCCAATTCATCCCGATACGTTACCGAATATCATATTGACTCCACTTTCAAGACGAATCGTAATGATTGTGAACTATTTGCGGTGATTGCAAACATCAACGGCGCTGGATTTCCTATCGCATACATGCTTTGCAAGCATATACGTAATGATGATGATGAAACCGACGTTAATGATGATCATCATGGATGGAAGGTTGCTACCCTGAAGAAATTCCTGGAAGTAATCCGCGATAATGGTATCCAACCAGTTTTTATGTTTTGTGATAAAGATAGTGCGGAAATTGCAGCAATCAGTGAAACATGGAGTGAAAGGAAGGTTCAGCTTTGTCTTTGGCACATTAGTCGAGCAGTAGAGCAATTTTTATCAAGACCACAGAGAACAGTTCTTCCACCAGTATATGAGTCATTAAATCCACAAGACGAGTTCGATTTTATTGATTTGACCTTCGCTCCTCAGGCACCTCAAGGGAACGCTAACCTATGCAACAAAGAAAAGCGAAAACAAATCAAGCGTATGATGACTAGACATTATTGTCTGCATCCTCTCATACCTCAAGGTAAAAAAAAAAAAAAAAAAAAAAAAGCCTAAGGACAAAGGCAACATACATATTACCTTTTTTGGAATAACACGTTTGTGTGTGTGTGTGTGTTTTTTTTTTTTTTTTTTTTTTTTTTTTTTTTTTTTTTTTTTTTTTTTTTAGGGAACGTAGTCATCAACTCTGCTCTTATCCACCGTCAATCAACCTTTGAAGCATACACGTTTTGCGTCAACAACAACATCCCTAATGTATGGGCATACCTATATAGAAACTGGTATACGTACAACAAGTGGATCCTGTGGGCAAGATCAAGCCAGCCTCATTTAATCCCCAATGGCAAGTCCACCATGCTGGTAGAATCTCACTGGCGGGTGCTAAAGCGCAATCATCTATATCATCACAATCGACCTAGGCTCGATTTTCTAGTGTACATCATCATCAGACGGCATTGTCGAGATCTCTTGGACTTGTATAACCAAAAGGTCATCGAAAGACGTGACAGGTTTAGCTGGGAACGACAGTTTGTATCAACATGGAATCAATGCATCCAACAGGCAGATGCTCCTGGCGCTGACTATGATACAAATTTGAATCTTTGGGTTTGTGGCTGTCCTGTTTTCGTAGAGAGCAGATTCTTACTTTGTAAGCATCTCGTAAACCAAAGTGGTGTAGGCCGTATTCGCTCTGGTCAATTTTTTATCGAACGTCGCATAGAGCCTCCTATGCTTCGCCTTCATAACGTTTGTCCTCCCTTTGTCCTAGTCCCAGAGGCATTGACAAACATCATCATTGATCGCGCCGTAAGTACAGTACTATAATAAAAAAAAAGATATAAATATATATATACGTATAAAGGAAGGATGGCAAAAAAAAGGGTACTTTATTTCAATATTTGACATAAACAACTAAAACTAACTATACTGTAGATTGCCGCCCACGCTATTTTTCATCCTGGACGAATCAATCTCCTGTCTCCATCCAATTCTACGTCTTTCACTCTGTCGTCCTATATATCTCAATCGCCATTGACCTTTTCGCCCTCCAATTCACCGATCATCCGACATGATGTTGTTGTCATAAGTGATGATGAATCCCCAATTTCCCTGGAGCCTCGTATTGCAGTTGATGAAGAAGTATACTATCGACAAGCTGAACTAGAGCTGCAACGCATTCGTCGAAGTCGCCAAGAGAAGCAACGACAAATAGAGGAGCTGATGCGGCAAGTCCAAGAAGATCAAGAAAGAGAGGAAGTGTTGGCAACAGAATACTCTTCTCGGTTACCTCTGGTACAATCACGGGTATTTCAAAGCGCAGAGGATCGTGATGAATATCTCCATCAAGTGCTAACGTTTCGAAATGCAAGGACCACCCGCCAAACATATGGCCACTGGAACGAATACACTAGATATTTGTAATAATTGTATAATAAAATAGTCTTCGTATCATCCATTCATCCATTCAGTTTTATTCAATTCATACAAAAAATCATCACTACCATCACTACTGTCGTTATTCCAAGCTATCTAATATGCATAATCCATCCATATCCAACGCTTCGTTGATTTCTATAAAATAAAAAAGTATCAGTTGCATTGTTTTCACTTTATAAAAAAAAAAAAATAAAAAAAAGAGTAACCTTGTTACCTAAAGTTTATCTTGATATCGCCTTGTCTAATGCAGAATAAGTAGAAGTTGAATAGATTGAGTAATTACTATAATATGTAAAAAAGAAAGTATCAGCTGCATTGTTTTCACTTTATATAAAAAAAAAAATAAAAAAAAAGTAACCTTGTTACCTAAAGTTTATCTTGATATACTTGTCTAATGATAAAAAAGAGGAAAGGAGAAGAAAGCATCAGTTAATAAATGTTAGACATACTTACTAATGGTGAGTCGTTTGCAATGGAGGAAAGTAAGAGAAAGAGATATAAAAAAGGAAAAGAAATATGAAAATGGAGAGAAAGAGAAAAAGAAAGAAAAAAGAAATATGACATTTTTCATTTTTTTTTATTTTATTTTTTTTAGGCACACGTAGCGGGACCTAAATACCCGTGATTTTTGTGGGACTGGTATGGTTTTTCATAAACTGGGAGTGTGGAAAAAAAAAAAAAAACTTTCTTTCCGTTTTTTCAACACCTTCTTCCAAAAGTTCGTTATCTATGCTCGTATTTGGTTATGGTTCCAAATTATTTGACAATAAAGTATTAGCACAAAAGGTGGAGGATGGCAAGTTCTTGATTCCTTGGCAAAGTAATGATGATAACCAACATTTGATGTTGGACAGGTAAATAACCAAAAAGGAATTACAACTCTTACTCTTTTTGAATGACGATTCGTTTTTAGATATGATATTCGACACATGATGGATAACTTGGACGATATATCAGATACATTTGGAGAAGAATTCGATGCTGAGATTGAAGCAGAATGCGATCAAGAACGATATGCAGATTTGCGAGATCAATATGGGGATACAGCTGACGAAGAAGAAGACGAGAACGCCATAGCAGGTAAAAAAAGAACCAACAAGTCTGAACATAGCTCGACTTTATGGACTTATAATATTACATGTATTTATCATAGGTCACAAAAGAAAACGCACTGGAAACGAATACCGATATGACTATGATAAAGACACTACTACTACTACAACAACAACAACATCAACAACGGCGAATAAATGCTCCAGTGATATTCAATCCATGATTCAGCAATACAATGTACCAGAGACTATGTCCATACCTTCATCACCTCCATTAGTAGATCTGATTGATAAGACTGCACTCAACTTGATCACTACGTCCAAAACAAATCGTCAACCTATCATGGTATGTGAAATTCAGTTCCAGGTACGACACTGTCAAGATCCTCAATATGATTTTCTCGGCAAGCAACATGATCTTTATCCATTTTATCGCCAAGTACTACATTATCATCAAATCAATAGCAACAATCATCTTGATCAGGAAAACGGCAAGACAACTCTAGGAAGTTTAGTGGATTACGGTAGTGATAGCAGCAATGATGAAGACGACGACAATGATAAAACGAAACAAGACATGGACAATATACCAACGTAAAAAAAAAAAAAAAAAAAAAAAAAAAAAAAGGACACTAGCGAAAAAAAAAAAAAAATGGACACTAGCGAAAAAAAAAAAAAAAATGGACACTAGCGAAAAAAAAATGATAAACCAGTACAGAGGGTAGAATCCCTAACTTATTTTTTTTTTTTTTGTATTAATGATAGAGATGTGATACACATTATACAAAAGACAGCTCAATCAGTTGCTAAGATAGGATTGGATTTGGAACACAAAATACGACGGCTACGAGCACAAGATCCTAAATTTGGTTTTTTACAAACTGATCATCCACATCATGATTATTATCGGAGGATAGTCGAATCTTATCAACAGAACCTTACATCGAAATAATATTTCTTTTTCTATATATATATAATAAATAAAAATCTGATATCTGTTGACTTCGTTTTTTTTTTTTTTTTTTTTGGAGGGAAAGTTCATATTGATGATCACTTTCTTAATATATTACTGAAAACGAAAAACATAAAAGGAGAATAGCGGATACATCCATTTTAGATCAGTAGACGATTTCAATGATGATTCCTATAATGACGATATAAAGTCACCATATTTACTATAAAATGAAACCTCAAAAAACAAGGATGACTCGATTGATAAAAACATCGAGATTTTTTTTCCCTATAAATGAAATTTCAATAAGAAAGATGATGATCATTTAAAAAAGGACGTTTAATCAGATTGTTTATTTCAAGAGAGGGATAAATGATCTCTTCCCCTTATTAAATAAATCGTAAGAAAGTTTCAACAGGAAGAGCCACAACCCCAGTAGTGACCATAACAATCACCAAAATTGCCACTTTTATTGCAGACAACAACAGTATTCCCTTCAGCATTACAAGCATAACCTTTTCCACGTAAACCTCTTAAGAATTGATCTTGATGATGAGCAGCAGACATATGGCATACACCTTCGTAACAATTATAATAACCTATTGATAAATAAAACGTTGTTTAAATCCTGTCTTTGATATGGAAAATTACTTACATCTTCCATTTCTTTCACCTGTTGAAGTACAAGCAGGATCACAGGCTAATGTAAGACATAGACAAGATAAAAGCAATAAGATCAAAGTCAAAAGTGAATTCATCTAGTACAAATTATTATTTTGATAAAAGGAACGAGATATGAATGATCATCTTTTTATACTTGATTTGTTGAATGTAAAACTGGCAAAGGTATGTAAAAAAAAAAAAAAAAATATTGGTTGAAAAACTAATTCAAAAGTGCATACTAAAAATGGTAATAACAAGATGTTGGCATTTTTTGAATCGAAGCATATCCTCAGATCAAAAAAAAAAAAAAGAAAAGAACACGTGACTTTTTTTTCTTTGAAAGAAATTCATTTAACCATAGGAAAATGTCGTGTTACTTTTTATATATCAAATAAACCAATCAAAAAGGATGAAATGATTGAATAGAAGGAGTTCAAAATTGAAGCCAATTTCATCGTGTGTAACCTTTTCTCCTTACCTTGTGCCTTCTTACCATGCTTGACTTTCTTTCTTGTTCTTCCTTATTTCTTTTTTTATTATTATTATTTTACTTAAAACAGTCCATTCCTTTTTTTTTTTTGTTTTTTCTTCTTTATGTTCATTTAATACCATCACTTTTAAATTTTTATATATATATAAAACCCACTCCCTTCCTTTTTTGTTATATAATATCACTAATACCTATTACAACAACGAGAACAACAATAACGACGAAACCACGATAACCCAATGATGATACTTTTATTACTATTGTATTTCACTTCAACTTTATCAGTTATATCATGTACTACTATTCCATCTTCAGTGACTTCAATGGTAGATTTAACCTCATTAGAACAAATGGGTTTAGCTGGTTGGTATGGTGGGATTTCACTCGTGACAGATACTCAACAATTGACACAAATTCAACTCAATACTGGTTCAGCTCTTTTATATAAAAACAATACCTTATTTCAACTTTTGGCTTCTACGTCTATTAGTGGTTCTATTTATACGAGTTGTCAACAAGGTAACGATCTTTATATTGGTGGTTACTTTTCTACTTTGAATCAACAAAACGTATCGAATATTGCCAAACTTAGTTATAATAAGGATGGTACTGGACAAATCACACCACTTGTCAAAGGATTAGATGGTCCAGTTTATAGTCTTTATTGTGATACAGATCGTATTTATGTTGGTGGTGACTTTTTGGCTCCTTTTACATCTTCTCCTCAATATGGTGATTCTTTAGCTTATTATGGCGGTAGTATGGCCGTATGGATGATAAAGAATGGAACTTGGTCTTCTTTACCTTGGAAAGGTGTTAATGGTCCAATTTATTCAATTGAAAAATTCAAGGGTTCCATTTATTTTGCTGGTCAATTTGATTCTACTACCGATGGTCAATCTAATCATGCTCCTGCAAGTCAACCTATCAATCTTCAAAAACCCGCTGTAAGTTTTTTTTTCTTTATTTATCTATTCTCCCTTTTCCTCCTTTTTTTTTTTTTTTTTGTTTTGAAACTCCTTATTCATTTTTTTTATTTTTTATTTTATTTTTATTTGTTAGACTGTTACTGCTGAAGGATCTGATCCTAATTATAGTGATGCTTCTGTAGTCATTTGTTCTGCTTTAGATGATCATCCTTGGTTACTTCAAGATAATACACCTGGTCATTGGGAAGTTTCCTTTGTTTATGCTGTTTCTCCTTCTCTTTTTCGATTGGGTAATACTTTCTATGAAGGTCGTGGCACAAATCAATTTGGGTAAAAAGTTAATCTTTATTTTTTATTCATTGTTATATTAACTTTTCCCCCCTTTTTTATTATTATTATTATTATTACCAATTTAGTATTTTGGCAACAACTCAAAATCATTATTTGAATTTATCTTATGTGGATCCATCAACTGGTCAAAGACGTTTTTGTACCAATAATTGTTCACTTTCTAATGATCCAACCGTGCAATTCCAAGATTTCCTTGTTATCAATCCTAATATGACCACTGGTGTTCGTATTGATATCTCTTCTTGGTATGGTCTTGGTGGTGGTTTGTCAAGTGTGGAAATTTATCAATCAGGTAACATTAACAAAAAAAAAAAATAAACAAAATTATTTTTTTTATTCATATCTTTCTTCTTTACAGAAATTTTTGTTCATGCTGGTAATGTGGGTGGTTTTCCCGATTGTTCCGCTTCCGAAAAACAACAATTACCAGTAGCTACAGCAACCACAAAAGGCAAATGGACAAATGCACAAACAGGTTACACGCAATATTTGACTTCTACTTTTCCAGCACAACAATTAAAAACAAATACCAATTCCGTCACTTTTACACCCAATCTACCTGAACAAACTGGCAATTACTCCATCTCTATATATACTCCTGGATGTAACAACAAATGTCAACAACGAACAAAAGTAGATCTTCAAATCTATGTAAATAGTACTTCTCCTATTACTGTTACCATTGACCAAAACACATCTGGGGATCGCGTAGATAAAATATATACTGGTCCTATTTCACCTACTACTGCCAATTTCAAACCTCGTGTCGTCCTCTCTGTATCTAAATCAGCAACCACTCCAACGAAAGGCAATGTTATTCTTGTCGCCGATAAAGTACAATGGATCAAAGAAGCTTCGATTCCTGGACTCTCTAGCGTCTTGGTCTATAATCCATCTGTTCAATCAACCACAAACAATACTTTATTGCCTTGGTCCACTTTACCACAGACAAATAATCTACCTTGGAAATCTCAAGTCAATACTATGGATATTGTCAATGGTGATCTTTATATTGGTGGTAATTTTTCCGATACAAATGCTGGAAATATGAGTTATCACAATATTGTCAAGTTGAATGGTCAAACGAATCAATTAGTGCCTCTCTCTGGTACTGGTGGACTTAATGGAATCGTATCTTCCTTGACTCATATTGGATCAGGTAAAATAAATAGATATAAAATTGTTACAAAATGGATCACGTTCTTATTGTCATTATTTTTTTTTTTCATTTTGGATAGATCTTTATGTGGGTGGTGCTTTTGATGGTTTCCCAGCACAAGCGACAGTAGCAACAACTTCACCTCCTTCAAAGAATGTGATCAAATACAATACACAACAACAATCGTGGGTCAATCTGGATGGAGGGGTCAATGGGCCAGTATCAACAGTAGCATTGACAGGCAACAATCAAACTCATGTACTTGTATCTGGAAGTTATACTGGACTTTACGATGCTACGGGAACGATAATTGCAAATACGACGTCAGGAAATGCGTGGTGGTATTCGGCAACCAGTAGATGGGCACCTAGTATTGATCAGCCATATCTTTCCGGAATTGTATATACGACCGAAATGGCAGCACCATCAGCAACAGATCAACAGCGACAACAACTCTATCTTGGTAACATCAAAAGTGCTCAACGATATGCAGCTCATGGATTTGTTTATATGAATAATCAAACAATACCCTTGGCACCCTTACCATTTCAACCAAATGCTAGTATGCAAACAGATGTGATTACGGCAGGCGCATTTTGGAATGATCCTCAACATGGAAATGCAAGCACGATTATTCTGGGCGGTTCATTTACTTTATCTTCACCTAGCAATTCAACAGCAACCATTCGCAATGTGGCCATGTATCAAAATGGACAATGGCAAGGGATTGGTGCGGACGCATGGCAAGGTTCGATTCATACCATGATGGTGGTCGGTAATAGACTCTTTATTGGTGGACAATTCTCTACATCTACCCCATCAGGTGCAAACTCTTTTGCCATTTATGATTTGGTAAATCAAACGTTTGTCCATGTACCTGATCTTCATAGTAAGTTTTCGAGAATATTATAGGATTTATGATGAAAGAATGAAGCTTTTTTTTTACATCTACTTTTTTTTTTTTTTTTTTTTTTTTTTTTTTTTTTTTTTTTTTTTTTACTTTTCCTAGCCAGCGATGGATCACCGACTCTTGTGAATGTGATCAAGTATAATGATGCTGATAGTGTGGTGATTGTTGGTGGTAATTTCAGCACTGGTGGTTCTCTTAGTTGTTATGGTGTTTGTGCTTTGGATATGAATGAATACCAATGGAATAATTTGGGTGATGGTGTTCTTGGCAATGTTACTGACTTTGTTCTTATCGACGTATGACTAAAAAAAAAAAAATGAAAAAAGTTTTAAGAGAGGATACTCATTCTTTATTGTTGTATTTATTATAGAACAAATTGATGGTAGCTGGGAATTTGACACTTGCAAATGGTAAAGCAGTACCTGTTGCAGCTTATGATTATGGTGGAAATTATTGGGATACTATCTCATCAGATACAACTGAAAATGGCTTGCCTGGGCCTTGTCATACTGTTTCGTATGATAATAATACTCGTACCACCTTTTTTGCTGGACAGTAAGTGGATCACTAAAAAAAAAAAAATATGTGAACATAAGATACTGATGAATGATTATATTCCATTTATTTTGTGTGTGTCTCTATGTATAGGACGAATACTTCAACCGCTTATATTCGAATGTGGAATGGTCAACAATTCTCTTCACCAAGTAAATACATTACAGTATAATATGAATCTTTTTTTTTGTTTCTAATCCTTTCTTTTCATTTTTATGATTAGATGAAGAATTAGGACCTGGAAGTACCATTGAACAACTATCGGTTTTACCAACAGTGACCAATACGACATCCAATCTTGCTGGCAATTCAAAGGCTGTTCTTTTGGCAACAGGATTTTTAAATCTGGGACAAGGAAACGTCAGTGCGGCATTATACAATGGTACGAATTGGATCCCTTATCTTGCGGCATCTGCTGTAGATGGTACCTCTGGATTATTTAGTCGTGTCTTTTTCAAATCTTATAGTATGAGTGTCCACAATACTCGTAAGTCATATTTTTTTTCTTCTTAAATATATATATATATATATATCAAACTTAATTTCTATACGTTTTTTTTTTTTTTTTTTTTTTTTTTCAATCATAGGACATTTGCCTACTCCTCTAGTGATTCTTATATCTGTTGCTTCTGCTCTCGGTGTTGTATTTGTTTTGATTTTATCATCTTTGATGGTGATGTTTGTCAAACGTCGTCAAGAAGCTAAAGTCGATTGTGCGCAACCTTGGAATTATTATGGAAAACCACCACAAACACCAGAAGCTTTATTGGAGATGCTTGCTTCTGGAAATGCTGTTACTGGTCTCTATTCTCTTACTGATAGCAGCAACAATGAAAAAGGTATTATTGGTCAAAAAGCTGAATTCGGTACTGTTGTTAGTGCTGCCACTCTTGGTGCTACAACTCTTGGTGCTGCCTCTATGACAAGCAATGGTACCACGAATGAAAAAGATATATCACCACCTCCTGCTGCTTACTTGGCTAATCCCACTGGTGCCTTTGATGGTCCTCGTGAAATGCAATCCACCACTACTACAAGAGAAATGGTGACTCCTACGACTCAGCGATCTTCTTACAATCCATTCCGTGCATCTGCTACTCTCGGTATGGCCGTCTCTGAACCTGGTGTGATCTCTTCTCAACAGACCAGTAATAATAATAATAATAATAATCAAGCCGGACCCATTGAAACTTATTACAACAAACGCAACAATGATGATACTGTTATCAACAATAAGAATATTGTACAAGGGGATGTACGTTGGACAACAGCAAATGGTGCGACTGATGCTATTTCTACAGCACACATTCAATCAGAACTGCAAAAACAATCCACGCTCCCTAGTAGTGGCGGTATGCCTGCTGTTATGACTATGATGACAATGCCCAGTATGAGTCTTGCTCAAGTGGAACGCCTGGCGACCGATTCGGTACATTGGACGACATCACCAGCACCAGCAGTGACATCAATGGATGCTGTCAACAATGATAGAACAGTACTAGATACACAACAAGGAGAAGTGATGTGGACTCATACTTTACCTGATCGAGGTGCGGCTACACTGACGACGAATGTGGCTTCAGCAGATTTAACAGCAACCACTGCAGGCATTGGTGCGGCAGGAATGATTGGCACAGCAATGATGATGAGCAATAATAATGAAACAAACCGACAACATGCAGTCACTAACAGCAACAACAACAACAACAACAATCGAACGATGCCATCAAGAGCTGATACATCCTCTCCATTTGCCACGTATACTTCATCACTGGATCATAAAGCCCTTGACGAACCAGCGATCATTACCACAACCAACAATAACAACATCAATAGTAACAACATCGACAGCTATAGCAACTATAACAACTATAATATCGGCAACGATGACAACAGCAACAACAATATTGGTAACAACGTCGGTAACAAGAGCAATAATATCGATAACTATAACAGTAATAACAGCAGAAGCATGGGCGTCAACAGCAACAAGCAAGATCAAGTACCAGCGCAACAACAAGGACAACAGCAATCTTTTGTGGATAAGGAACGAACAGAAAATACGGTACGATGGACTCATTTCAATTCTGATAATGCGCAAGATACGCTACAAGTCAAACCAGTTACACAATCTACGTACTCTGAATACTCATTGGGCGATTATACCTCATCTATTCATGATGTTTCTACCATGCCAATCAGTAAAGGACTTTTATCCGAAGGTTTTTCATCTGATCCAGATATCGCTCGTTGGACTACCATTACTCCCGACATTGAAAAAAGCACCATGGCAACCGTGGCACCTGTATTACCATCCAGCAGCAACATCAGTATGGTATCTATGCATGATGACATCAAGGAAAACGACAAAATTGTGCCATCAACTAGTTTCAACAGTAGTAATAGCAGTGGTAAACGTAGTGCGGAACGTAATACATATCAATCTAGTTTACGCTTTTCTTCGGTGATCCTTCCTCAAGACATTGAACCGCCAGTATTGAAGTCCTCATCTGTTTCACCTGCATCCTCAAGAAGATCATCTGTATCGTCTCTGGCTTCTTATCACGACACTACTTATGGTGGTGATGATGAACAACCTCAACAGGAGTCTCCATCAACGACTGAAAAGTTTGATCCTTCCACCAGTGCCTTCCGATGGTCAGCAATTGTGGCTGAAGATACTTCTTTTGCGGATACTCCAACTGCGCCAACAGATACTTCATCACAATCTGATCCACATGCATTTTTAACAAAACCGTTTGACCTATCCTCCTCATCATCATCTCAACAACAAAAATCATCTTCACCTTCATCTCAACAACAACAATCATCTTTACCTTCATCTCAACAACAACCACAACAACAACAAAAACAAAAACAATCATTATCATCACAACAACAACAGCAATCATCATCATCTTCATCACAACAGCAAGGTCATCCAGCTTTAGATGGACGAGCAGCATCGAAAAAGATGATTCAAGATTACTTTTCCTCAAGAGGTGAACTACCCAGTGGTACGACAACCAAGGAAGAAAGTAAACCATACAAGGACGATTTTAAACGAGCCATGCAAGCAGCTTTGGAAAACAATCAAGCCAATAAGGATCAAGCCAATTGTAGTGCGGATCATCCTTATCTATATGTTGCCAAATTTGATTTCTCTGCACGAGAACATGGGGAACTTGGATTTGAAAAAGGGGATCCTATCATTGTCATTGATGCTGAAGATGATATTTGGTGGATGGGTTACAAGGATGGTGAAAAACCTCAACAAGGTGTATTCCCCAGTAATTATGTAGAACGTGCCACTAGTTTACCATATTAATACCACTCTTTAGATAGATTTTTTTATTTTATTTTTTTATTTTGAATAAAACAAACTCTGGGATTTGACTGGATTTTTTTTTTTTTAAAAAAAATACTATTGATTTGAACAACAAGATGTGTGGATTATCTTTTTTTCTTTTGGGAGGACGTAGACTATGGATCGTCAATACTATCTGTTCAGGCAAAGAAAAATGCAAATATATCTAATAGAACTTATACTCTTTCAAGGCTATACTGACTTATGCTCATGAGAAAAGATCTTTTTGTGACGGAAGCTGGAATACCTAGGGAGTCATCATGTTAGTATATGAGAATAATGATGTCTTCGCCATTGGCTTTACCTACAAAGTAAACCGATATATAAAAAGTAAGCTAGAAAATAAAAAAAGGGAATGGCACAATGATAAATAATTCAATGATCCTTTTTATTCGTTGTAAAAGTGATGTGATATGATAAACTACAAAGAACCGACTAAACGAATAATAAGAAAGAGAGGGGTGGAGTAAAGAGATGATTGATGATTGTGGATGATTTTTTCAAGAAATATAGTCTACTGCTTCCTTGCTATTGCAATCCATAAAATCAAAGGGTAAATGAGAAAAATTCCATTCGTCGTCCATCATGCATTTCGATATTATTGTGGCATATTGATAATTAGGTCATCAATACTATCCAATAACTATAAGGAGATCATATTTCTTGATCGGTATCTTGATTGTTTTGCCACTTCCACATATGCGAAGATGTCATTCTTGGATATCATAAAAAAAAAAAAAGGAGAACAAAGTTAGTTCATCGTACAGATACATATCTTTCTATCACATACTGTATTCTTAACTTACCTTCGTCTTCAAATGAGTTTCTCAAGCTCGATTGATATGCCAATGGCAGAGAAGAACCGAGAGACTCCCTCCGAAAACCTTGCTATGTCGACCACATTGTAGGCGCAAAATTTGACATACTTGCTATGAGCCTTGGCTATGTGATCTCGACACTATTGGGTAACTGGAAAAAAAGACGTTCACAATGGATACTCTTGACGTTGCTGATGTTGTATTCCTTTTTTGCCACCATTGATGAAGATATGCTTCATTTCCGCCCCCGTTCTCTGTTTCCCACCATAGTTTAGCAAGCGACATTTTCGAAAATGATTATCACCATAGAAGCCTAAGAGTATTCGTTAGGACGTAACGTACATACTCGGGTAACCTCGTTGTACTTGATATTTTTGGCGTTGGGATAGCTGTTTCAATGTCGATGATATTTGGTGTCGACTGCTGTTTTTTTGTTCTGGTCTGTTTCATTCGCATGGTGGCCCCACTTCTGCTGTAGAATTCGGCGCTGCTGAAAGAACGGAAATCGCCATTGCCATCAGTAGCACAGAAGACATCCTTGATACCAGGGTCCACACCACACACAGTGAAAGTGTGATCGTATCTCTTGATCACAAAAGTCTTCTCATTCTAGTTCAGCGAACGTATTCGTTGGCTTCGATATGTTGAATATGATTCCACGGATGCACCATCGGTTCGGACAAGATAATTGAAGATCTTCTTTTGTTGATGTTCTTCGGCCGGTTGCTCCTGGACATCGAATGCATATAAACTATAAAAAAAAAAGATTGTTAGAAAAATAGAGGAAGACAATACTATCATATCCTCCTTTGTACTCTCTACATACCATTGTCACAGTCGAACTTTCTGAAATCAAATGTGTTTGCCCAAATTTCTATGTCGCGTTCTTCTTTGCAAGAGTGGAGCCTATTCGTGATTTTATTATGGAAAAAGCAGGATCGTACGAAAAAAAAGCGTCAAAGAAGAATGGCGAGTATAGTGGTAGCAGTTTGAATAATCGGGTCTTCTTGACAGTGGAGAAATGGCTTTTTATTGCGCGCAGTCGTATAGTTTAAAAAAATCCAAGTCCATAGGTGTAGGTCCATTGAAAGCGCCTTGAGGGACAGCTAGTCTTGAATTGATTGTAGCTCTTGCTCCATCTTTGGCTAAATCTAATCCTTGTTGTAAGTTCATAAATCAACACATGTTCACGGATATGTGGTTGCAACGCGCTGTCCACCCTTTCATCTTCGGTGATTGTAGAATAATGAAAAAAACAAGTTTTTGCTTCAAGCGTTTCGACTACACAGTTTCGTATTGCCAGTACCAATGTTCTCGCCCAATCTGCTTAGACAGACAAAACAGCAATAAATATACATGTTTCCGTAGTTTCAATAATTGTTTGAACTTGATTCAGTAAGACAACGTAAAGAGAACAATTGACCAAAGACAACAGAGAGCTTTATGTATAAAAAAACATGTTTATATTCTACAACCAAAACGGAGAAGGTAATTATTGAGAAGACAGAGAAGAAGTAGAAAAGAAGGTGAGAAAGAAAAGAAAAAGCTGATAAATAAATAAATAAATAAAAAATAGAATCTACTTCTGACTCAGACCTTAATTGCATGAATCCGTATCTTTTCACGGTTCAACAAAGCAATTATAACAGTAGAAACCAGTTTATCAAATCAATGAGCCTGTTTTTTTCGTTCATTCAATTGAAGTCACTTTATTCATTTTTAAATACGTGGAGAAAAAAAGATAAATGAGTAAAATAAATTGCAAAAAAATGGTGTGGTTTTCAATTATAAAAAAAAGACCTTTTCACTTTATTATTATGGTGGACAGCTTGTTCTGCAAGACCCATCTGGACAACAGAATCGCTTCTGATTCGAAAGGTCAGGCGTTTCACAGTCGGTATCAGCGTTACAATGACCATTAAAGCAATAACACTTTCCATCGTGCCCTACAACACCGCTGCCACCTGATTAAAAAAAAAAATAGCAAAACAATTAAACTCTAGTGCAATATTCAGTAGTGTTAAAATTTCCGTTGACTTACAACAACCATACTGCAGAGGATCTTGGCCACATCCTCCACATTCTGTGCCTTCGATGGGATCTCTGCAAGTGTCTCCAAAGCATTTCCTATTACACTTCGATGGGGAGCATTTGCGCTCGTCAAGGCATGCGCCATAACATTGGAGATTGACTTCCATCACCCTGCTATAGGTGGCGAAAATTGCCATTCCATTACAACACTGTGAGGGATCTTTCATGATTTCAGTGTAATCCTGGAGGCAACCTTGCGGCTCTGGAGCACTGCATTTTCTTCGCCTGCCATAATTACCTCTGGGTCTCGTAGCTCTTGTGTACTGATCCGGTGTTTTCAGACAAACCTCCTTGTTCTCTTGTTCACTCCATGTAGACCATTCGCCCTGTGGACATTCGATTGCGAGAACAAGATATAGATAGCCAAGCAGAAGTAAAATGCATTTCAAGACCATAATGGATGGATGAAAATGGATGATTGGCCTTTTTTTTGGATTCAAAATGAGATCTTTTTATAATCGTTCCGCAAACAATTATGCAAGTTCGGTCAATACATTGCTCCTATATCAAATGAGGGGCGTACCTCCTTTTGCAGATCTATCGCACTACTTTTTTGTTAGTGAACCAACTGATCCGTTTATGCAGGATGTATAGAATACAGGGAGTGACCACCTCCACTTAAGAGAAGTCCTTTTTTCTTTGGCTTTTGGAATTGAATCCTATGTTGAATTACTTTCACTATACTTGATCGAAATACTGGTCGCATTCTGCTGCTATTGTCTTTTTAAATCGATTTAGTATATAAGAGACGCATGTTATTGTTTTTTGAAAAAGTGAGCCTCGTGCCAAAAGATATTTCAGTAAGGGGGAAATAGTAACAAAAAAAATGTTGCTCTTCCTTAGAACTTCTTGATCTGCGTTGTTTCCTGCATGATAGAAATACAAGTGCATCATATGTATGAGAACAAATTTAGTTAACTCTAAAGAAGATCCTGAAGACTTTAGGCAAAAAAAGTCAGCTATATAAAAAGTCGCATTTTGAGATAGGTATAGCATGATGTAAGAAGCCCCTCTTTTACTCCTCTACTTTGTTAGATAAAAGTGAATTGTTAGGGATCTTTAACAAGGATAGGCCACAAGGAAGGTATAGAGGACAGTTTTTTTTTTTTTTTTTTTGAGGAGAATCACTATTGATTGCAATCATTCAACATCGATCATTAAACATCAATCATCAACTACCAATCATCAATTATCAAGCATCAACTATTAATCATCCATCATCTCCACCATCAACAACTAATCATCAGTACCATCCATTTACGAATTAAAAAGAAAAATCATCGCAAATATATTCAAATCCCATATAGACCTTTGAATCACAGCACAGAAAAAAAGAATAAAAACGCGATGAAGGGAAAAACCCAAAGTAAAATTAAGGTTTTACATCTTACCGATCCCAAATGCAACATAGTATAAGCTCCGATCAAATCCATGAATGGAACCAATCAAGCTCCAAAGCTTCACGTCTTTCTTTTCCACGTTGAAGCCTTAAACTTAGCACTGACTTTTTTTTTATTTTATTTTATTTTTTTCATGGCCCATTGACCCCACACAAACTTTGTCCCTGTTAACTTCAGCCGGAACCCGGAATCAAAAAGCTATATCTTTCCCCACGAAATCCTTTTTTTTTTTTTTACTTTTTCTTTTTTTCTTTTTTTCTTTTCTTTCTTTCATTCTTTACTTTTGATTATTCCCTTTTCTATATATCACCAATGACTCAACCTACTGAAGAAGTAGAATATCAAGGAGAAACATTCAAATATCAAGATAAACTTCCTAAACTTCCTGTACCAGATTTAAAAGCAACAACAGATCGTTATCTTGCTGCTTTGAAACCACTTCAGGTAAAAAAAAAAAAATATATATATATATATATATAAATGACTTTATAACTCATTCTTCTTTAATATTATTATTAGACAACACAAGATCATGAAAAAACCAAACAAAGTGTTCAATCTTTTTTGGAAAACGATGGTCCTAAACTTCAAGAAAAACTTTTATCCTATGCAACTACTCAATCCTCTTATATTGAAGAATTTTGGTAAAAAAACCTATTCTTTTTTTTTCTATTTTAATTCAAACTCACTTTTTTTTTCTTTCATTAATAAAATATTAGGTATGATGCTTATCTTCAACACAGTAACTCGGTAGTATTGAATTTGAATCCATTCTTTCTTCTTGAAGATGATCCCACTCCTCAACGTAATGATCAAATCGTACGAGCCTCTAGTTTAATTGCTTCCACTGTGACGTTTATTGATGCTCTTCGACGCCATGAATTGGAACCTGATGTATTTCGTGGTATTCCTCTATGTATGTCTCAATTCAATCGATTATTTGCTACTGCGCGTGTCCCTACAGAAGAACATGGGTGTTTCATGTCCACAGCCAGTCAAGAGGCTTCTCAACATGTGGTAGTGATGGCACATTCTCAATTATATCATTTTGATGTATTTGATGATCAAGGTCAAATAGCTGTAACTGAAAAGGAAATTGCTGCCAACTTACGTGCTATTGTACGTGATGCTAGTAAAGTACCTGTTCAAGATATCGCTAAAAATGCTATTGGTGTATTGACTACGGAAAATCGACGCAACTGGGCTCGCTTACGGACTTCTTTACAAAAAGGAAATCAAAACAATAGTGATGCTCTTCGTGTTGTTGATTCGGCTTTGTTTGTGGTTTGTTTGGATCATGTTGAACCTGCTACTATTGAAGATCTCTCTACGAATATGTTATGTGGAACTTATAAATTGGAAAAGGGATTACAAGTTGGTACATGTACCAATAGATGGTATGACAAGTTACAGGTAAAAGTCATACAAAAAAAAAAAAAAGAGATTATACTGATGATGTTGTTCATTGGATAGATTATCGTTTGTAAAAATGGAAGTGCTGGCATCAATTTTGAACACACAGGTAAATAAGATGAAAAAAAAAAATGAGATAGCTTACTTAATCATCGCACCTTTTTTTTTTAAAACTGATTCATTAGGAGTGGATGGTCACACCGTATTACGTTTTGTATCCGATATATACACCGACACTATTTTACGCTTTGCCAAAACAATCAATAGTCAAACTAAATCCATTTTCCATTCTTACAAGAAGAATACAAGTCCTCCTCCTCGTGGTCCACGTACTCGATCTGGTTCTGGTTCAGATGCATCCTTTGATATTAATCCTCGACGTATTGAATGGGAAATGACGGAAGAATTGGCTCTTGGTATACGTTATGCTGAAACACGGTTATCGGATCTGATCTTACAAAATGAAGTTAAAGTATTGGAATTCACAAAATATGGAAAGTATTTCATCACCGATATGAAAATGTCACCGGATGCATTTGTTCAAGTAAGTGATATATTGATATTTATAGAAAATTGTGCTCACCCTTCTTTTTCTTTTTTTAATGATTGATAGATGGCTTATCAAGCAGCTTATTATGGTCTTTATGGAAAATTGGAATGTACTTATGAACCTGCGATGACGAAAACATTCTTACATGGACGAACAGAATCAGTACGCAGTGTAACAGAACAATCATCAGCATTTGTCAAGACATATTATAGCAAAGATAGTACACCACAAATGAAATTGGATGCTTTAAGGGTGGCTTTGAAGAAACATACTCAACTGACTAAGGATTGTGCTAAGGGTCAAGGTCAAGATCGTCATTTGTACGCCCTTGAATGTTTGTTTGAACGACTTCATAAAGGTGAAAACAAACCATTAATCTTTTCTGATCCTGGATGGCATACATTGAATCATACAGTACTTAGTACTTCGAATTGTGGAAATCCAGCTCTTCGTTTATTTGGTTTTGGTCCTGTTGTATCTGATGGTTTTGGTATTGGTTATATTATTAAAGAAGATGGCATTGCGGTAAATAAAAATTAAAAAAAAGAGGCGTGGGAAAATATAACTGATTTCATTTTCATTAGTTTGTAGCGTCTTCCAAACATCGACAAACAGAACGATTATTAGCAACATTGGAACAATACTTGATTGATATCCAACAAATGTTAATGAATGAAAAATACCCAGGTGGCATGTCTCAACGTCAACGTTTATTGGCCATGGAAGAAGCTCATTCTTTGGTGAATGGTTATTCTTATTTTGATAATGGTGAAGAGGATCAGTATTCTGTCGGAACTTCCAATTCGGATGAAATTACCTCATCTAGTGCCTCATCTTCGCATCGTAATTCAAACGCTTCTCCTGCTTCAAGTGCTACACCACCTGTTTCTTCTCGTAAAGTAGGTAAACGATTGATGTTACGCAAAACAGATTAGATCCCCTTTTTTATTATTATTATTACTATTACTATCGTTCTATTTTATTATATTCATATTCAATAAACAATCTTTTTACATGATGAATGATGTCTACATGATAGAGCAATAATTGGATGAATGATGGGAATGAGATGGGCGGGTATGATGATTATCATTATTATTGATATGATTGGTATTGTTATCATTATTGATGTTGTTGTTATTATTGATCAAGCGAGGAGCAGCTTGTCGGTTTAACATTTCTTCAGCAGGAGCATATCCTTTGGATGCAGCACGGTCATAACAAGCCAAAGCTTTGGGATAATCCGACGTAACACCAAATCCAGTTTCATAATAAGTGCTATTCAGAAAGAGAAAAAAAAAGTTGAGATGGATTCCTGAAAGTGATGGATTCCTTTTTTTTTTTTTTTACCCTAATAAGAAATCAGCTTGATCTAAACCAGAAGCACGTTGACACCATTTGAATGCCAAGGTAGGATTAGGGGCCAAATGATGTGGAATACCTTTCGCATAACACTGAGCAATGGCAACCATGGCTGGTGGATGATGTATTTCAGCTGCTTGAAGATACCATTGAAAAGCTTGCCATGGATCTTGTGGGTATCCTTTTCCTTTTTCATACAATTGCCCTCGTCGCATCATTGCCTCAGCATTGCCCATAGCCACTGCCTTTTCCAAATATTGTTCAGCTTTTTCAGGTTGGATATCATCACTTTTTTTCAAAAAAAAAAAAAAAGAAGAGTCAATATGATGTCCATTTAGTTTTTATATATATATATTTATTACCTTTGCCAGTATAGACCAAGGGCTTGTGCATCCCCTGCATACAAACAACTTAACATGTAACAACAGGTGGCACTGATCGGTGCACCTGCATGAGTGATCTCAGCCGCTTTTTCCAAATACGTAATGGCCTGAGGGATGTTTTGTGCATGGTTGTATTCTCCAAACAAATAGATGTTGGCCAATTTCTATAATCGTTTTTTTTTTTTTATTTTTTTTATTTTTTTATTTTTTTTTTTAGAAAAGAGGATGAGAAAAGGGATATATCATCTTTATGAGGACACTTACATGACAGGCTAAAAGATGATGATGATCAGCGGCAAGATGTAATGATGCCATGACCTTGGACATGGATGAAGGAGAGTGATGACAAAGCAACATGGCTAATTGATAATGAGCATCCATATTCCCGGCTTTGGCAGCAGATTGAAAACATTGCCGTGCCTTTTCCCATTTTTGTTTTTTTTGATCCGAGGATGGCATCATCATGATATTCAATTCATCCAGGGAGACAGCATTGTTTTTGTTGTCCATGTCCGACGAGTCTTCTTGCTGTATATACCATCTTCCTTTCAATACCAGGGCTGGAGGATATCGTTGTTTGTTGGCCAAGCGACGAAGCCAGTAACCAGCCTCTTCCAATAATCGTCGTCGTACATCTCCTTGGTACAAACCAGCCACTTGGATCAAGTACAACATGTACGACATTTGTACCTGGGCGTCCTTGGTTTTCCTAGCCATGCGTCGATACGTCACCAATGCATCTTTGTCATGTGTCAAGCTAAAAGAAGAAGCAATACTGAACCGAGTAGTATTAGTAGTAGTAGTAGCAGTAGTAGTAGTAGTGGGTGATTCCAAGGAAGGATGTGTAATGACGGTGGTGGTCGATGGTATGGGAAGCAAGTCAATCGTATCTGTATAATCTGATTTCTTTTTGGATTTATCATCATCATCATCATCATCATCAATCTGATTGGGTGTTTGTGTATATAGAGGGTCATATGTTGGTGTGATGGGTGAATCTGTCCAAGGGGATGGAATTGTGCCTGCGCTACTATTGCTGTAATGATACGGCGGTGTTATCCTAGGTGGGATGGTGGATAAATTGGCGGTGGAGAGTGATCGACGAGTCGAAGATGTATTGGTGCGGGCTAAGTGATGATGATTGGTGTTGATCGACGATGGGTAATAATGATGGTTACTATTGTAAGTATCACGACTATAGATGGATGATGTAGGTGACAATAACATAGAATGATGATGTGTTAATGGGTATAATGGTGATGAATTTCTTTTGACTGGAGATTGAGATGATGGTTCGGTATCTAATAATAATAATAACAAAAAAAGGAGGTAAATGTATACATCCTTAAGTGATGATCTTTTTTTTTTTTTTTACCAATAGGAGTGTGGGGTAGGCTTGTTTCATTGTTAACAACCATATCATCATCATTAGTTAGGACTTGTTCTTGATACAAAGAAGATGTATCTGGTTCAAAAGGCTTTTGATGAATGCCATAATAAATGGATGTTGGGATATTGGTTTCTGTTTTGATACTTTCTTGTGATGCTATGATATTTTTTGGAGGATGTTGTTTGATTCTATCTGATATAAGTATATATTTATAAAAGAAGGAGGTTAGTCTTTGTTCTCTAAAAATCAGTATCAGTAAAAAAATAAAACTGGTTCTTACCCATGGATGGTTCACAGGTGGTAGTAGTATAGATTGGATCAACATTCCAAGTATACATCGGTACCTCTTGTGGACTAGATGATCGATTCGATGAAGTCACCCAGCATGGCCCAACGCTGATGAATTGTCCACTGGCTGTTCGATGAGGCAATTTAGGTAAAGGTCTCTTTTTCCTTGGTTCTTGTTGATGAGAAGAAAAAGGCATGGGTGTATGATACAACATATGGATAACAAGAAGAAAATGAAAGGAAAAAAAAAAAAGATCGAGACCAACCATCATAATAAAAAAAGAAAAGGATGACTTGATTTGGACAAGTAAAAAATAACAATTAAAGTGTAAACCCACTTCTATATTTGGCAAGTCGGTATTTCAAAGTCTATCAAAACATTGAACTCTGTTTGGACAACAAACAACTTACACCTCCCAGTTTCCTCTAGAAATCATGGATAAAAAAAAAAAAAGTTGAAATATATCAAAATGGTATCACAAGAGTTGCCATCATCTTTTTGCTGTATCTGTTTATCAGAAGATGTTTAATTTTTCTTGGAAATACTTGGGAAAAATTGAACTTGCCAAATAAAGAGCATCACACATCCCCATGTTGTATTTTTTTTTTTTGGCGAAACACGTAAATATGTCACTTTGTTAGGTTTATTTTTTATTTAATCAATCACTTAAAAATCTAGAATATCTATAGCATCTTTCGATCTTGACTGATGAGGATGTGGTTGCACCAAGAGTAGCTCCCTTCTAGTTCTTGCTCGTAAACACGAACAGGGATCGGTCGGATTCAGGTTGAATCAGCATTCATCCATGATTTTTCTATATATTTTTTTTCTCAAAGTCAGTACGTTGGATTGGGGTGCTACAGCGAACGGAAAATACGCGTGATGATCATGAAATACCAATGATGATCCATGAAATCAATAGAAATTCGAATTATCAATAAAGACATTAAAATTAAACATGCCACCTTCTATAGCACTAATTTTTTTTATATTTTATTTTATTATCTTCATTTCATGCCTATAGAACATTTTAATGACCGTTAATTTCGAAAGCTCAAGGTTCAGTGCCTTTGGCTGTTTTTTGAGCATTGAAAGGAATTCTCGCAACACCATTTGAAATCGGCTATGTCAGTATCTTGCAAAATACAGATTTCTCTGAAATAATGAGTGCTCCATTGCGAACGTTGTTTCACATATGCACAGGCCCTACTTGTCCATGTATTGTCTTGAAACCAGTTGGCCCCATTATGACACGCCTCCTCGTGAATAGAAGCTTGTGTAAAAGCAACCATGAAACAGTACAATACCAAGATATACCAAAAGAAAGATTTAACGTGTAGGAAATCAATCATCATTGCTGTTTGAAGACTAATCACAAAATGGGTTATTTAAAAAGAGATGTTGTTTATATTGAAATGGAAAAAAAATAATGTAGTATATATATATAAAGTGGATCTTCTAAAAAGGCAAGTGGATCCAGTGCGACAGTCTGTCTACAAAAGAGAGGGAAATAAGAGGTTGAACTCTCTTCCTAAACATCCTTGTTTGTAGTAATGTAAAAATTATGGTGCTCCCCACTTATCATGCAGATTCAGTGATGCTTAAATTAAACAACATTAAAAAAAGCACAAAAAAAAGAGTGATTTTCCAAAGACAGATGGCACCTGGTGGGAAGATCTACAAAGCGGACGAAAAAAGTTTGATCTCCCTCGCAAACACATCCTGGGTGTGCAGAAGCTTAAATCACGAGTCATGTTTCTGAGAGAGATCGACATTAAAAAAAGTGGTTGAACTGCCGTCTCTCTTCAAATTGGTGAACGAAAGAGCTGGATCTTCAAACCCTTTGTACGTGATAGTTTAAAAGTAGAATGCACCTCCCAATTTGCTACGCCAAAAGGCATATATTTGATGCTCCCTCCAAATTATTATGCAGATTTTGGATGATCACTCTTTAGATGATCAAGTAAAACAAGATATAATAAAAAAAATTTGATCTCTCAAAGCAGGGAAAAAAAAATCTCTTTTTATTCTGTTGTGACAATTGAAAAATTGATCTTCTTCACCTCTACTTTTACGATGGGTACCTGTGGTTACATGAGACGGATCGACACTAAAAAAAAAAAAAAGTTGATCTGTTGCATCCCATCAAATTGCTGAACCAAAGACATGGATCTCCAACCCCTTTGCTTGTAGTAATTTAAAAGTATGAAATATTCCCAACTTGCTACGTCAAAGGACTTGTACTTGATAATCATTTCAAATTATCATGCAGACGTTGTGTGGTACTTTATTATCAAAAAAAAAAAAAAAAAGAGCTGCTTCCTCAAACGGACAGGTGGATCTAATGGAAAATTTACAAAACAAAGAAAAAGAAATAAACTTTTTTTATTCCGTTATGACCATAGCGAGTGTATAAGTTGTCTATATATATATATATATTGAGGATGATACTGAACTGCATAAAACAGGTATTATGTGATTATGGATGAAGGAGAACAATTGACAGATAATGGACGATTGAATGATGATTAGATTAGTTTTGGCTCATTCATCTTTATAATGTTGCACCATGAATCTACAGAAAAAGTGATTCTCCTCCCAGTTATTATCGATTACTGGGACCAAAAATTTTTTGATTGTGACACGTCCAAAAATAGCAAGTCCTGCAATTGACTAAAAAAGAATAAAAAGAATTTGGTCACCGCAGTATTTTAACCGAGGATAGAAATTTAGGGGTTTTTTCCCCTCTTTTCCCCTCATTTTTTTTTCATTCTTTTTTCCATTTATTTTAAACAAAATGGTTGTAGCCAAGGTCACTCCTTCTCCAATCTATCAATCAAGCATTGAAGCATTCAAAAAGTCTGGTTTTAGTCTTTCTTCACCTGACTACCAACAAACTCGCGCAATCACCAATAGTCTACCTCTTCCCGACGGTGTTGTTCTTCCAAAAGCCCTTGTGGAAGAAAAAGTTATTCCAGCCGGTGTAGATAATCACAACATTACTTTGACTATAGTCCGTCCTATTGGTACAGAAAATGAAGTATTGCCTGTCATTATTTACTTGTAAGTATATATATCAAAAAGGAACCTTTGATGATTGATTGATTATTCATATTTTCTATAGTCATGGCGGTGGATGGGTCTTTGGAAGCTTCAAGACAACTGAAAAATTGGTGAAAAACGTAAGATAATGGAATGATGATTACGAATAGACGTGATTTTTGTGTGCGTGTCTGATTATGATTGTTATTATATTATATAGATTGCTGTGAATGCCCATGTTGCTGTTGTGTTTGTTGATTACAGTCTTAGTCCTGAAGTCAGATTTCCTGTGGCAGTAGAAGAATGTTATTCTTCCATTCTCTGGGTGCATGAAAATGCCGAGATGATCAAGGTGGATCCTTCCAATTTGGTTGTAGGTGGCGATTCTGCTGGTGGTAATTTATCTGCTGTGACTTCAAGTAATTTGATTGAAAAAAAAAAATGAAAAAAAAGAAGCTTATCATTTCTAAACAAAAACATACCTTATTTTTTTTTAGTCATGTTGAAAGAACGTGGTCATGGTAATGTTGTAACAGGTCAAATTCTGCTTTACCCAGCGGTTACTCATCATCGACAACATTATGAATCATACAACTTGTTCGGAAATGGTGAATACATTTTATCTCATAGTGATATTGCATTCTTTGGCAATGCTTATTTTGGAAATGACAAGCGTCCCAATGATGTACGATGTGCTCCTCTTTTGGCTACTTTGGATGAATTAAAGGGTTTACCTCGAGCATTGATTTTGACAGCTGAATGTGACGTTCTTAGGGATGAAGGAGAAGACTACGCTCGTAGATTATCTGAAGCTGGTGTGGATACATGTTGTATGCGAATGATTGGTACTATTCATGGTTATGCTACTTCTCCGTTGGAAACTCCTCAATATCTACAAACTTTGAATATGATTTCGGCCTTTCTGAATAAACGTCTTTGCTAGCTGTCCTCATACTGTAATAGTTGTATTTGTGGTTTTGTAATTGTAGTTTAGTTATCTCTTTTATGAATCCGACCTCAAATAAACAAGTTATTCTCTAGGGGATATTACGATATTACTGTCATTTTTTTTTGGGTGTGCATGAGAGAAGAGGGAGTATGAGAAAACCAATGACAGATGAATATTAATTTCACTAACGCAGATGAGACTTGTGGATGTTTCTGATCAAAGTCACGGATCTGATGAATTTCTTCAGCCAATGATTAGTGCGTACAACAAAAGTTTAGAATAGCGTACAACAAAAATTTAGAATAGAAAAAACATAAACCGCCAGGAGTAACTTGGCTAATATAGTGGAAATGTCAGCCAGGTGGATCTAGTGGAAAACCTTCAAAACCACGATTAAGTCGTGGTAACAGCGAGGTAACATGAAACTGTTACCTCGTGGGTACCTTGGTTACACAGATGAAGTTGAGGAGACGATTCTCTGTTGTCTCACTGTTACTCTTGATACAATGAATCATCGCGAGTGTAGTAATTGATCATGATTGACGTTTGATGTATATTTCCCCCTAAAATAACGAGACCATGAGTATGTTTCTTTTCAAAAAATCCGTTTTTTCCCTCTTTATCTTTGATATACGATAATTTTATTTTATTTTCTTTCTTTTCTCTCTATTGACTTCAATTTTTTTTATGTCAATTAGGAGACTTCAGTAGGTTTATCATTTTTATTCAATAAAGTTTTAATTTTTTTTATTTTAACTGCTTTGTTACATGTCAATGATTCCTTTTTCTTCTAATGTATCACTCATGATTTAATTTTGATTTTTAAATATATTCTTTCTTTTTTTTAAAAAAAATCATATATTCTACAGATATTGAATACGTTGGTAACACGGTAGCAGCGAAGAAATAAGGAAATAACTGAATTTGTTTCTTCGTCGTTATCTCTTCCTCTTTGATCTAAAGGTATCACCGAAGGATGTTCACTTGAAAGTCAAATCATTTTCCACTGAACTATGGGCAATCATCAATCTACCTTAATTACCGTAGTGATAAAAATCAGATATATATTTTTTTGATTACTCCAGAAAAATAGTATCGGAGGTATACGATATTTATTTTTTTGAAGGTGGGTCATCATCGTCATCCCTTTCCTTCTAGGCAAAACGTGATTTTTTTTCTTTTAGTTGATACTGACGAGTAAAGGGAAAATCAAGCTGGATATATGATTGATGATGACAAGGATGATAATGGTCTTATAAGTGTGCAGCAAGGTGATGAGCCTGTTGAAAATGGGTATGCTTTGACACCAGCGCTTTTAGCATCACTGGTACTCTTTTTCTTTGATAATAGGAAATAACTTGCATCCAGTGATACAAGCAAATAGTGGTCGCCGTAGACAGTCTTTTTTTTTCAAAATCCCTGTCCCTTGATTTTTCTGAAGAGATCAAGTATCTTTCTTCTACGAGATCCAACATCATGACGGCAACGTGGTAGCCCGTCACCACATAAAACACATCAATAGAAAGCTTATCTGTGTCACTTTCATAATATAATTATTTTTTTTTTGTTTATTATATATGACTGATGGCAAAGACTATTTAAAGGTTAAAAAAAAAAAAGGTAAAAACCAAAAAAAAAGAACACATGTAAGCCAATGTGTATCCGGAAAAAGAATAATTAACAGCCGCAGTCCCTACATCTTCGTGCGCGACAGCAATAAAAGTAATTGTCCCTAAAGCATCTTGTAACCCAACCTTGACCCGATGCACAGCTTCCCCATCTTCCAACATTTTCACAGAGTTTGCCATTGCTTATCGCATTACAGTAGCTTACAGTTACCAAGATTACATAGATTGACAAACACAAGTTAACAGAATTCTTAAAAAACTTCATAATTTTTTATAATATCAAGCGAATAAAGTAGAAGAAGAGAGATGAGAATATTGTTTTGATTGCAATGGGAAGAAAAACAAACAATATATAGGGAAGTTGATCTCCCAAAAAGGCAGTTCGTTCTAGCGGGAAGAAGGAATTTTCTTTATTCTGTGAAGTTAGCTCTGCAGGTGTCTAGATTATTACGCATCTGCCAATTCGCTAAGCTAAAGAATATTACATCTGATACTCTCTCCAAAATTGCATAAGATGTTCAAATAAGATAATATATAGTAGAAAAAAATAGGTCTCCCAAAGCAGGAGAAAAAGAAAATTTTTTATGTTTAACAGTTGTGAAACGTTGATCACCTTCTTACATACTTTTAGAATGATATTCTAGGTGCGTGTGAGAGAGATCGACATTGATAAAAGTTAAACTGTCACATCCTTTCAACATGAGGAACAAAAAAAAAAAAAAAAAGAGTAGATATCCAAACCCTTTGTTTGTAGTAATTTAAAAGTATGATACACCTCCCATACGCCAAAAGGTACGTACTTGATATCCACTCCAAATTATTATTACAGATTTTGCATGATTATCATTGATATGTACAAATAAAATAAGATATAATACAAGAAAATAGTTGATCTCCCAGAAAGAGAGGAAAAAGAAAAGAATTTCATTCCGTTGTGATAATTGCAAAAATTCTGATTTCCCTCTCGGACATCTCTAGTTTTAGGATGAGACCCTATGGGTGTGCGAGAGATATGTATATCGACAAAAAATTAAACTATCGTATCGTTTCAATGTGGGGAACCAGAAAAAAAAAGATCTCCAAACCCCTTGCCTGCAGCACTCGAAATTATAACAAATCTCCCAATTTGCTATACCATATGACATGATAATAATTCCATGCTAAGTGAAAAAAAAAGAACAGTCGCTCTCCATCCCAAACAAGTCCTATTTGTTTACGCTTGATACTCGCTCCAAATTATTATGCAGATTTTGCATGACATCATATGAAATGTTTAAATAAAACATGTATGTATAAAAAAAGTTGTTCTCTAGAAAGAGGTATGGATCTACAGGACGATCTACAAAGCAATGGAAAAAGAAAACTTCATTCTGCAAAGATAGCCCTACAGGTAAAAGTTTAAATTATGACTCATCCCAATTTGCTCGCATTAAAAGACAATATACTTGAAAGAGAGAGGGCTCGACATTGATAAAAGGTAAACTGTCGCAACTCCAAGTCAGTGAGCCAAAGATGTGGATCTCTAACCCCTTTGTTTCCAGTAGTTTAAAAGTATGACATATCTCCCAATTTGCTACGCCAAAAGTCATGCCCTTGATACTCCTTGCAAACCATCACGCGGATTTTGCATGATACGTTATTATAAGAAAAGATCTGATCTCCCAATCAGCCAGGTGGACCTAGTGGAAAATATTCAAAGCAATAGAAGTGCTATGTACAAAAAAAAAAAAAAAAAAAAAAAAAAAAAAAAAAAGGTAGACGAGAGGTAGTCAGCAAGACTCTTTTCTATTTTAAAAATATGAAGAAAATGAGCCAGAGTATCCACATTAAGAATTTTATATTATATTACATTTTCTATTGATACAATGACTCATCGCCAATGTAATGATTGATCATAATTGACGTTTGATGTATATTTTCCCTTGCAATAACAAGACCATGAGTATGGTTCTTTTCCAAAGATCCGTTTCCTTCCTCTTTGTCTTTGATATGCGATAATTTTATTTTATTTCTTTCTTTCCTCTCTATTCACTTTAATTGTTTTCTATGTCAATTAGAAATCTTTAGTAGGTTTACCATTTTTATTCAATAAAGCATCGGAAAACTTTACTATGACGTCTAGGGGACTCCTATACAATTTCTAGGCTAGATATGCATTCTAGGACCTCTAGGACCCCCCCTAAATAGCTAGGATAGAAATAATAAAAATATTTTGACTTCAATAAATCTATGACAAAAATATACTAAATCTAGATAGGACACTATTACGGTTGAAATATAGGTATGGTCGACCTCCAGAACAAGGAATTTCATTTGATCAGTACAAATGTACTATTGAAATCATAATTTTATTTCATCACTACAAATATTCTATACTACATAAGTATACTACATAACTATAATAATAAGTAACCACACTATAATCGATAATATCCATGAACTACGACCAGAATTACAACCGGAATCACAACTAATGCCATCACCAGGACAACGATCATGACTTGCACTTTTGAGTAGGACTATTTTATTTGATACAGACACTTCAATTGGATAACAAAGCCATTCCAACGTAGAAGGCATTCGATCTTGGTTTTGTTGAGTGGTTTGCAATCTACAGATGAAATTAACAAAGTGCATAGTAATCTATCAATGCTCTCTTTTCTTTTTCTTTCTTTTTTTTTTCTTTTTCTATATAAATGTTACCTTGGCTATATCATTGGATGTTTGTATCACCATTATTATATAGACGAGAATCTAGCAAGCTACAAATAAAATCAATAAAATGACTAGTAATCCATCAATGTTTATTTCTTTTTCTTTTTCTTTTTTCTATGTACAAGTTACCTTGGCTGCACCATCGAACGTTTTGTACCACCAGTAAACCCAATGTCATCATAACAGTTGGCTCGGAGAGAAATAAAGGCTCGTCAAATGCAGATATCAGACAATTTCAGATCATCAAGAAAGATAGTTGTATCGTCTTACGTATAGCGCTCCACTATCAGTCATTGATATGATCCTCAATGATCTTTCCAAACCAAATACCGCAAATGTCAGGACTTAACAAGGACTCCAGGAAGAAACAACACGATCAACAGACAATAACTGAATTTCCTACGTGTTGCATTTTGCCCTCCACCTACTTGAGCACAAAATTCAGTCACTAGATTCATAAACGATTCTAGAGACTGATCATCCTCGACCAAGTCCATTGCCCGTAAACAAACAAAGATCAATACACCATGATCTTCGTCTGACCAAAAGCTAAGTATAAAGTAATGATGACCATCTGACATTTGACTGTATAGACCCCTATTCTGGTACCTAACAGATAAAAAAAAATAAACACAGTGAGTAGTAATCCATCGATCTTATTCACTTTTTTTTTCTTCTTTTACATATACACATTACCTTGGATCATGCGCCAGTGTCAATGTATCAATAACAATATAATAAAAAGAAGGATCTAAAAAAAAAAGAAAGAAGCAAGTGATTGTATGTAATATCGATTGATCCTTTTTCTTCTTTTTGTACAACTTACTAGTTCGGCTCTACAGACGACAATCTTAATATCTACAGATACAAAAAACAACGAAGAGAAAGAGCCCAACCAAATAGCAAAGAGAGATTGAAGAGAACGTCACCACAATGAGCGACAGATGGGAGAGAGAGAGTCCAAACAAGTAGAAAAGAAATTTTGAAAATATCATAAGGAAGACTAACCAAGCAGTAAAAAGGACCTTCAAAAGTACATGTGCATAATTGAATTGCATTGGCTGTGCAATGGAATCCGAAGAAAGAGAGAGTCCAACCAAGAAGAAGTCTTGAAATTGTAGACACCAGAAGAGTCATGAATTAACTATAAAACAAAGTAGGTAATTGTATTTTATACTGTTTTTTATTTTATAATTATTATTTTTTTTTTTTTAAATTGACAATAATAAAATAAGAATCCATTACTTGTCATTGTATTTTATATGTTACCTATCATGAGCCAATGGATACACGAACAAAATGCGGAGGAGTAAAGAGAAAAAAAAAAAGTGTGGAGAAAAGGAAAGAGAAGGTAGAAAAAGAAAATTGTTAGGAAACGAAATAAATAAAAATGAAACGAAAAGTCCGACTAGGTAAAGGCGATGTACCAAAGTAATATATAATAGAGAGAAAGAATATGTTGTAATGTACTAATGAGAGTAAAGTATTTACAAAGAAGTAAGGTTAGTTTTTGATATTAAAGAAAAAGTGTTAAAAATATATGAAAAAGAGAACGACTTCATAATATATTTCTTTTTTCCATATCATTTAATTTATTTAAGGAACACAGGCACACAAACAGTTGTTTGAAAGGAAATGATAGATAACATTAGAGAAAAGTGATGATTGTAAATAGTGACAATGAATATAATTTTATTAAACAAAAAGAATGTAAATGTGTATAATTGTATACTAAGTATGATAGTAAAAAGAATCACCAACGCTTTAATCCAGAATAGGATAAAAAGACCAAGAAGATATCTCTAATTGATTGTAAGTCGAATCCAATTGAATCCTATAATACATCCTGTTCATCCATTTTGTTGATCCAGACAGATAGCCACTTCTCGTAGTATCCTATTGACATGAAACTATAATGACCAATCTTCGTGTATCTAGATTCCTTTCTTTCTTTCAGACGTATATTCAGTAATAGTCATTGTCCAGGATACCCAAGTAAGAAGGATGAGAAGAAGAAAGAACGATAATCCTAGATGGACAGATGTTATAGTAAAAACATCAAGGTCGAAAGAAGGCGTATATAAAAAAAAAGAAGAAAAGTAAAGTTAGATATAAGAAGAGGAAAGGAACTTGTTTTTGAAACTTACGACTAATAAGAGTGAGTGTCTGTAAAAGCACATAGAGAAAAGGATATAGCAAAGAAGTTGGAATGCTTCGTGTATAAAAAGAAGAAAAGTTTAGAGAACAACTGTATCTTTATCTTTTTTTTGTTTTTTTTTTGTTTAACTTACTTCAATCGTCATATTTATATCTAGGATATAGATTCAAATAATAAAAAAAGAGAGAGATTAATATCATATAACGTTGGTGACATAATGAAATGGATTTACCTTATTAAACATGAGTAATACAGCATATAATAGGTTAAAGGTACTTGTGTTCACTTGCTTTAACTAAAAGGTATAAACACACACAGCAAAAAAGAAGGATTCAGTCAGTTCATGAATACAATGAATATATGTATAGACAATCTTTTATTATTTTTATTTCCATACCTTACTTTGATTTGTCTTAAAAGGTAAACGTATAACAGAAAGGAAAAAAAAAAGAACAATAATGTGATAAAAATAAAAATAAGAAGAAGAAGAGTAAAAATAAACAAACGTCCTTTTTTATTTGGCAATGCATAATTTTCGCTCAGCGAGCCTGTGGGCAAAATATGCTCCTTCCAAATTAGGACTGGAATATCCAATTTCTATTCAACTCTACATAGAAACCCTAAATTCTACCTAGAAAACCAATTTTTATTCAACTCTATATAGAAGTCCTAAATTCTACCTATTTGACCTAATAATTATGTTTATTACAAAAAAAAAGGTAAATCTACCTATTATATGCTTTCTAGCCTAGATAGAAGAAAAGCGATTTCCGATGAAGTTCTGACTTTTTTATTATTTTAACCACTTTGTTACATGACAATGATTCCTTTTTCTTATAATGTGTCACTCATGATTTACTTTTGATTTTTAAATATATTCTTTCTTTTTTTTAAATCATATATTCTACAGGTATTAAATACGTTAGTAACACAGTAGCAGTGAAGAAATAAGGAAGTAACTGAATTTGTTTCCTCGTCATTATCTCTTCCTCTTTGATCTAACGGCGTCACCGAAGGATGTCTACTTGAAAGTCAAGTCATTTTCTACTGGACTACGGGCAATCATCGATCTACCTTAATTATCGTAGTAATAAAAATCAGATATATATTTTTAGGATTACTCCAGAAAAATAGTATCGGAGGTATATGATGTTTATTTTTTTGAAGGTGGGTCATCAACCCTTCCATTCTAGCCAGAACGTGATTTTTTTTCTTTTAGTTGATACTGACGAGTGAAAATCAAGCTGGATACATGATTGATGACAACAAGGATGATAATGGCCTGATAAGTGTGCAGCAACGTGATGAATCTGTTGAAAATGGGTGAGCTTTGATATCAGTCCTTTTAGCATCATTGGTACTCTTTTTCTTTGATAATAGGGAAATAACTCGCATCCAGTGATACAAGCAAATAATTGTCGCCGTAGACAATCCTTTTTTGCAAAATCTCTGTCCCTTGATTTTTCTAAAAAGCTCAAGTATCTTTCTTCTACGAGATCCAACATCATGACGGCAACGTGGTAGCGCGTCAGCACGTAAAACACATCAATAGAAAGCTGATCTGCGGTACTTTCATAATATAATTTTTTTTTGTTTATTATATATGATTGATGGCAAAGACTATTTAAAGGTTAAAAAAAAAAGGTAAAAACCAAAAAAAAAAAAAAAGAACACATGTAAGCCGATGTGTATCCGGAAAAAGAATAATTAACAGCCGCAGTCCCTACATCTTCGTGCGCGACAGCAATAAAAGTAATTGTCCCTAAAGCATCTTGTAACCGAACCTTGACCCCATGCACAGCTTCCCCATCTTCCAACATTTTCACAGAGTTTGCCATTGCTTATCGCATTACAGTAGCTTAGAGTTACCAAGATTACACAGATTGATAAATAGATGTTAAGAGAATTATTAAAAAACTTCATAATTTCTTATAGTGCCAAGCGAAAAAAGTAGTAGAGGAGAGAGAAGAATATTGTTTTGATTGCAATGGAAAAAAAAAATAAAGCAACATATATATATAAGAAAGTTGATCTCCCAAATAGGCAGGTGGATCTAATGAAAAAATCTAAAAAACTGGGGAAAAGAAAAGAGTGTTGCTCTCCCAAACACCAAGTACGCCTAGCAGGGAGATCTAAAGAGCAAAGACAGAAAGGAATAACCTCTTTATTCCGTAAAAGGGCTTGTCTCCTTCCTCGTTCCAAACTATTATGCAGACTTTCCATGTCAGCATCTGAGATGTTTAAATCTGAGAAGTATAAATAAACAATATACAGACAAAAAAATCCCAAAAAGAAAGGTTGATCTTGTAAGAAGTTCTACAAATGACGTAAAAAAAAAAAAGGAAAATTGATTCGCGATCGGATTTAGCCACAATGTAATCATCGCCAACATTCGCGAATATTCTCATTATGAAGTCACTAGCAAGCGGAAAAGAAAAATTTATTCTGTTAAATCTGAAGATCGTCTATTTGCAAAAGTTTAAATCATGAGACTCTGCAGCTGCATCCCTTCAATTGGTGAACCAAAGACGTGGATCTCTAACCCCTTTGTTTGCAGTAGTTTAAAAGTATGGCACATCTTCCAATTTGCTACGCCAAAAGTCATGCAAAAAATTTATTCTATTAAATCTGAAGATCGTCTATTTGCAAAAGTTTAAATCATGAGACCCTGCAGCTGCATCCCTTCAATTGTTGAACCAAAGACGTGGATCTCTAACCCCTTCGTTTGCAGTAGTTTAGAAGTATGGCACATCTTCCAATTTGCTACGCCAAATGACTTGATACCCTTTCCAAACCATCACGCGGAGTTTGCATGATGCACTATTACAAAAAAGATTGATCTCCGAATCAACCAGGTGGATCTAGAGGAAAACCTACAAGACAATGAACAAAAAGAGCAAACTTTTTTATTCCGCTGTGTAGAAGCGTTATGTAAAAAAAAAAAAAAAAAAAAAAAAAAAAAAGGTAGCGAGAGGGCGTCAGTAAGACTCTTTTTTATTTTAAAACTATGAAGAAAATGAGGCAAAGTGTCCACACAAAGAACTTGTATCTCTTATATTATATTTTCTATTGATACAATGAATCATCGCGAGTGCAATGATTGATCATGGTTGACGTTTGATGTATATTCTCCCGTGCAATAACAAGACCATGAGTATAGTTCTTTTCCAAAGATCCGCTTCCTTCCTCTTTACCTTTGATATGCGATACTTTTATTTTATTTTCTTTCTTTTCACTCTATTGACTTTAATTTTTTTTTATGTCCATTAGGAAACTTCAGTAGGTTTACCATTTTTATTCAATAAATTTTTTATTTTTTTATTATTTTAACCGCTTTGTTACATGACAATGATTCCTTTTTCTTATAATGTGTCACTCATGATTTACTTTTGATTTTTAAATATATTCTCTCTTTTTTTAAATCATATATTCTGCAGTTATTAAATACGTTAGTAACACAGTAGCAGTGAAGAAATAAGGAAGTAACTGAATTTGTTTCCTCGTCATTATCTCTTTCTCTTTGATCTAAAGATATCACCGAAGGATGTTCACTTGAAAGTCAATTCATTTTCCACTGGACTACGGGCAACCATTAATCTACCTTGATTATCGTAGTAATAAAAATCAGATATATATTTTTAGGATTACTCCAGAAAAGTAGTATCGGAGGTATATGATGTTTATTTTTCTGAAGATGGGTCATCATCGTCATCCCTTTCCTTCTAGGCAGAACGTGATCTTTTTTTTTCTGTTGATACTGACAAGTAAAGGGAAAATCGAGCTGGATACATGATTAATGACGACAAGGATGATAATAACCTTATAAGTGTGCAGCAAGGTGATGAGTCTGTTGAAAATGGGTATGCTTTGATATCAGCGCTTTTAGCATCATGGGTACTCTTTTTCTTTGATAATAGGAAATAACTCGCTTCTAGTCATCCAAGTACTAGTCATCAACGCCAACTCGAACCTGTGAATCCGAAAGAGGACAAACGTTAGTTTAGTTTTAGCGATGACAGCTGATGGCACTCTTTGGTTTTTTTTTTTTTTTTTTTTGTGTCTTTTACCAATTTTGTTACTCTATTTTATTTTATTTCTTTACCTCATCTTTCTTTTTTTTTTTATCTTTATTTTTAATAAAATCTGATGGCTCACAACAACTTGTCACATGCCAAATTTTATACTTATACTTATAATCATATGCACAATCATCGACAAACAACATCATCGATCGATCTATATTTACCGTCATTCGTATTTCTGCTACGACAAACATCGTACGTGACAATATATGATAAGTCTCATCGTATTTTTATTTCCCGTGGTCATGGTATCAGCTAAATCAACAGCGTTGAGATCAGCTACAACAGGATTAAGATCGTGACATATCAAGGTACAGATTTGAGAGGCGATTTTTGATACGTACCCTATGAAGTCATATCTATCACCATCACCTTTTTTTTTTTCTATTTACTACCTTCAAAGTGATGGGATGGTGGTACTAAACTTCAACTACTAACATGTAATGCTGATTTATTTAGATTTACACAGCGGTAATTCCCATTTAGGAAATTAATATTTGTCAGCAACTATATATTAAAAGAATATATAATTGAAAGGAAAAGAGTGTTAAAATTTTGAATTTCACTATCATAAGTACAATGATAACTTACGGTATATCTACATTGGATAAACCAATTGTTATACATGAAGGTGATGAAAATATTTCCCTTTTTCGTATAACATTCCTTATTTTGACGTTTTTATTAGCACTGGCTAATATAATGTTAGTAAGGAGTTATTTTATGAAATCCAAAAAACCTATACAATTTAGATTTTTTATAAAACAAAATTCTAAAAACTCATTTATTATTCTGTTTACTTATATTTTACACACTGTTATTCATACTTTTCATTATATGGACAACATTTATCGCCCCGTCGCTTATTTTGAACCGAAATATCTATATCAACGATACATTTTGTCTACCATGGAATTGACATTCTATTTTAACTTCCCTCTTACGATTTGCGGTGTCCTATTTATGAAAACTTTATTCAAGAAAGGTTACGTTGATTATACATATTTGATAACATATATATGCTCATCTTTGATGACATTAATGCATTATCGTATAGAAAGCCCTTCTTTATATACACTTAGTGTTAATTTTAGTATTGCTGGTGAAGGTGCATCTATATTTTTACTTATATGCGCAACATTCTTAATACGACAAAAACCTGAAAAAAAAATATCATAAATTGTTTATTGTATTATTCTTTGCTTTTATAGCATGCACCTTAATATTAAGAAATCTTGGTATTTGGTGGATGTTAACTTATTTAATGATTTTTATAATAGTTATCATTAAATTAACAGAAGGTATTATGTATGAAAATTATGAGAGACTACCTACCACCAAAACTTAATTCCATATCACCACATATATATATATAATAATAAATATATATATATTTTTCCAAAATGGATGTCACATTACTGCTTTTTCAGTTATCACTCCAGAGACGTCAGTAGAATATATTAAAACATGACAACGTGCTTATTGATTAATGAATAAAATGCAAAGCATAAATGTACAACAGATAGCAATATAAATTTTATTTTGAAAAAGAGTAGATATAAGATCAATATACAAACGACCAAAAAAAAAAAAAAAAAAGAAGAGAAGGCCAAAGTATTGATGCATGGCATCTCCGCGTCTGTAGTCGAAATGCTGGATGTTCCCCTTGATAAGTATTTTGCCGTGACAAAGATTTCATGTGGTGGCCATGATCGATTTCCGTGAATGTCTTGCTATTCCTACCCACGCAAAAAAAAAAAAAAAAAAAAAAAGCTTTAGAAAATGTTCATGATTGCCTATCAGTACTTCGACAGAGCAAAGTTCTTTTTTTTTCTTACTTCTTGAGTCTCATGTGTAGCAGTCTTTCCTAATGAGAGCCAAAGATAATCGGAGAGGGATCAAAAACACCTTGTCTTGATCCTTTTTCTCGTCCACATACATGTTTTTGATATTAGTGGCGTGTCCATGGAGGATCGTACAGGGTATTGATTAGCAATAGTCACTTCGTTGAGGGATGACGATCCTAGATTGTAGGTACCTGATGAGGAAGATGGTACAGGTGTTGATGACGATATCGATGAAGGAAGGGGATGCTTGAGCTTCTCGATTCTATTCTATCATATATTCCTTTTTGACGTTCTCCATGTTCCCATCCACAGATGATTCAATCTAGCAAGAAAAAAGGGAGCGATATACAGAGTCGGCAAACCTTGAAATTTCACCATTTGATATCCATGCTGTATTATTTTTCCAATATCCAAAGGTCTTTCATGGAGGACGTCTCCACTATTGGCAACCATCTGAGATTGCTGAGAAATCGAGCTAAAAAAAAAAAAAAAAAAGCTTTTGTGTGAGTGATTCTTTGACTTGTTTCATTCTCTTACCTTGAAAATCGCTGGTGCAGAAGATCAACCCGTGTTGCTTTGGATTCATTGGATATGGTAGTATCCTATAAAGCGTTGGTAAGAGATACAAGTAAAAGCGACGTATAGATTAGGCATGATGGTTTCAGGAATTTCATTTTTCTTATGATGATAAAACTTACGTTTATATCTTCTTTCTTTGCTAGAGTATTGGATAGGATCTGTGAGAAATAATTCATTCGTTCATTGCCGTGATTGACCGTTTTGACCAAGACTGAATGCTTTCGGATGATGGAGATGTTTCAAGCTTGTTGTTGTACTTGTCTCTCTTCTTCTTTTCAGCTGCAATGACATTTTTGAGGTGTTGGACTTTGGATCGCTTTGACTGAACCTTGTTCACCTAAGTATACAGAAAGAGATAAAAAAAAAAGTAAGCTTCAACAAATGATCATACTTTTATCATCTTACCTTCTGAGCTTCTTCGTTATTGGACACTTTATGTTCATGATCAGAATATCTTGCTTCGCGCTTTGGAGCCAGGTGTAAACGTAAAAGAATTCGTAAATTCGTAAAGTGTGGCCCAAGAGTCTATCAAATACTCGACCGTTCCAAATATTTTCCACCATCGTGACAAGATTCTGGGTGGCAGTTGACTTGAGGCTGGATGGTAATTGATCACCAGCGAGAGAACCAATTATCGTCTTGTTCACAGTGTATTTTTGCCAGTCAGGGTGCTTTTCGTACGTAGTGCCATGGGCTTTTCCAAAATAATGGGATTGCATAAATTGAATGTGGCCAAGTCCAAAAAGATTTCCTAGCATACCCACCATTGTTTCTGCTGAATGGATTTCTTGCATGCTGCATGGTTGAATATTTGTTTCACAGCATTTTCTAAATGTCATCCAAATAAATAATAATAAAAAAAGGGTTAGTCTTCCTTGTCCAAGAACACATGTTTTCATACCAAAAATATTCATGTCTGAGGATCGAAAGGGCTCTACTTTTACCAACTTTGAACTAAAACGAATGTTTTCTCTGTGAACGAGGTTGGGAGTTACTGGAGAGCTAAATGCTGATCTGTCCAAGACTAGAATTGTGGACTGAGTTCGGGATATATTTCTCGATATAGCTAGCAAGATCACTAGGTGGCAGTGGTAGGTACTGATTGTTGTCTTTTTCTCCTGGTCGATAAATGGTTATGGCTGCTTTAAAAAGTTCACAATCGCCAGTTTAAACAAACGGAGTACTGGTTGTCTTATCAGCGTATTTCGTAATCATATGCATAAAACAAAAAGACTGCATTTAAAAATATAATAACTTTATTGAATAAAAATGTATATAATAAACGGATATAGTAAAAAAAAAAAAAAAAAGTTGAAAGAAAGGAAAAGAAAAGAAAAAAAATAATAGATACTATTTATCATTGTTCAGTCACTGGATGGTATCTTGTTTATTTTCTATATTTTTAGAACAGAATATGATTGGTACACTTGTGATTTCTATTGACATCATTACTATTGATTGATTTAGGATGATGATCACTGATAAATATGTCCAATATAGTTCTCGATTCTATCTTAAGGAACCAAAAAAGAGAGACATCAAAGTAAATAGATTAACAATACAAGCAAGTAACCTTCTTGCGTATTTTTACACCATCATCGTCATCATCATCATCATCATCATCATCATCATCATCATCATCATCATCACCATGATTGTTTTTTTCAAATCAATTACTTTATTAATATGTACTGTCTTCTCATACACAATCAAGTTGGATTCCTGTTACTCATCTCTTATTTTAATTCTACACATGTTCTCTTTTCTTGACTTTCATGTCACTCATCTGGTTTATTGTGATAATTCTTGATAGGGTAGATCATCACTTTTATATTCATACTTTAATAAAGTCATATTTATATTCTCATTATTGTTATCATTACGGTTGACATGTAATAGCCTAAAGGCAATGTATGATGGAGTGAAATCTCTTTGGATCCACCAATTTTCATTCGCCGCTCCACGCTCTTTTTTTTTTTTTTTTTTTTTTTACTTTTTTTTTAACTTTTTAACTTTTCCACTTTTTCTCTTTGCCTTTACTTTTTCCTTTTAGAATCATGTCAGACAGCAACGGTCTGAAACGAACGATAGATCAAGTCGTTGAAGATGAACATTCTGATCAAGTCAATGATCAACAAGTGGTAAAAAAAAAAAAAAAAAAAAAAAGGAAAGAAAAGCAAATGATAGATATCCCACATTATTATATTAACTCTTTAACTTTGACCAAAAAAATAAAAAACACGTTCTAGGTAGAAGATAAACCAAAAGAGCAAACACGTTTAGAAAACAATAATGATATATCAAAGCAACAACAAAAACGACGAGGGCAACGATTGTTTGGGGTTGTGTTAGGCACCTTGAATAAATTCAATAGTGAGAATACACAAAGACAAGAACAGGCGCGAAACCGTCAAGCGATTGAAGCTAAACTGCAGAAACGACTCGATGAAGAAAAATCAGCCATCCAAGCCAGTTTGTTAAAAGACCAAGAAGAACGATCTCGTATCAAACAACAACAACAACAAGATCTGGATCAAAAACGGGTAGGTGAGTCATATAAAGGTAGACGCATCTATTGACATTAGTTTTCTCTCTTTTTTTTTTTTTTATCTCATATAGATCCAAATGGTACATTTACATCAACAAAGACTAGCTTGTTATCTTACTACCACTTCTACAAGTCCTCCATTGAAATACCTTCCTAAAGTCTTGTTACCGCATCAAAAACAATGTATCGATGATCAAATTTCTCAAGCTGCAAAGGCAACAACAGAATCAGTAGCACAGACACTCAATCATCCATCATCACCATTATCAAGGCATAATTCCAAGTCACCTGAACCTGCTGATTAGAATAGTCCATAGTTGTCAATCTTATTGTATATCTCTCTTTCTTTTTCCCATTTTGCTTTTTTTTTTATTTTGTTTTTATTTTAGTTTTTGAACAAATAAAGACTGTGTTATTTTTGTCTCATTTCCAATATATATATATACATCAACTGACTTTATTAAAATATAATTCAAAAAAAAAGTATTCAAAGGATATTTAGTTTATTCATAATTTTCCCTTTGGAACATAATCATCATCTTCTTTTTCCGTTTCTTGTTCTGTAGTGTCATCCTCTGCAGAGTCTGAACTGAATAAAAAATATTCATCATCATCATCATCCGAAGGGTGGCCAAAGCTGGGGCTGTCGTCATCTGGGTACACATAGGTATCATCGATGAAGCCGTCGCTGTAATCATAGTCGTCATCTGGATCCCAATCGGGTTCCTCTGTATCATCCACACCACCATCATCGTACAGGGTAATCGAACGACGTTGTTGTAAAGTCGCCACACTACCTTCAGTACTTGAACTTGCATCACTGCTTTCATACATTATGTTGAAAAAAAAACACAAAGAAAAGGAAAAAAGGAAAAAGAAACCATCCTGTCACTTTTTATGCATCATCAAAGAGTGGTCAGTCGTCGCCAAAAAAGGCAAAGCGTCATTGGTCCTTTGTTTCTTGAATCTTCGATATGATTGAAGATCCTTGTTCTTTTTTCTGTCTAAAAAGAATGAAATAATATCACTGTTTCAAATTGCATAGACTATGTCATCTGACGGTTGATCAATGATGTTTAATGGATCTTACATCATCGAGAACATATGTTACTGTAAAATAAAAGTAGACAATAAAAGGAGAATTTTTTTCACTTTATTTAAAAAAAAATGAGGGAATAAAACTATGTGTCAAAAACTAAAACTAACTAAAAAAAAAAAAAAAAAAAAAAAAAAAAAAAAAAAAGAAAGAAAGAAAGATATATAGAAAAAAGAAAAACGAAACAAAAATGTATAAACACAAAAAAGAAAAGAAGAAAAAAAAGAAAAAGAGAGAATCACACATAGGCACACAATACAACGGATCATCAACAAAAAAGATCAAGCCTTTACCACGACATTCAATTCATCCAAAAAAGCTTGACGAACAGGATGAATAGGATGATCCAAGGCATCATCCATCAAGATAGATCTAGCACGAGCACATAAGACTTGTTGTTCTGCTTGAGAAAGATGAGTACTATAGATGACTTTTTGGAAGAATTGCACACCACGATTATTATTGTTGTTGTTGTTTGGGGTATCATAAGAAGTAAGGAATAAAGCATGTAAAGTGGTATCAGTGACCAAGCCACTAAGAATAGTATCTTGAGCTTCTTTATCATAAGATTGATTGATGAGTTTCAAAACCACTTGAGAACCTAACTTGTGCATAGCCACCGAAGCTAAAGAGGGAATCAATTGTAATGCCAACATGCGAAGTACTGGTGATCCTTCTTCTTCTTTTTTATTTTCCATCAAATGAATACTATAAGTATCAATCAACCAGGCCAATAACAGAGCTCCATTAGCATTGGTGGAAAGAAACACGGCATGTTGTAATAAACTGGAAGCTATCATGGCTTGTTGTCGTGCTGTAATATGTTGACTTTCCAAAATCCCACGCATGGCTCGTGCACCAAACCGACCTTGGCCAATCAATTGACAGTTTTCCACCATCGCTTCAAATACAAATTGATTTTCTTGTTCTCCCAATCGTAAACAACATTGAACCACATAATTACCAAATTGATCCAACATCAAACATGGGACATATGATTTAACATATTTTCGTACCAATTCGCACTAAAGATAAAAAAAAAAAAAAATTGACAAATAAGTCATCTCTGTCGTCCTTTTTTTTTATTATTATTATTTATATTACCTGAGCGGGTGTCTTGATGGTATCTAAAATCTTTTGTGCTGCCCAAGTTCCATTCTTATGAATCCCAATAGCTGCCAAATGAGGAGCTATTTTTTCCAACATGGATAATTTCATGTCTTCCGAACATTTATCATAGAATCGTTGCATGACAGTGTTGCCAATATAATCACTACATAATTCTGCAATTTCATCCATACATTCCATAGCATATCCATCACAAACACTTGCACTGGTGGCGTTATCCAATTTCTTACGAATATCTCGTAATCGATTGGCATCCAATTGACGTTGAGGTCCAAATTCAGGTACATGAGGAATGGTATCTGCATAATTGGAACATGTTTGTAATCCTAAAAAAAAAAAAAAATGAATCCTTCTTCTCTTTTATATATATATATATATATATATTATATACCTTGGATCATCACTTTGTCATTGGATGTACAACCAAACATTTCCATATATTGCCATAAATCACGTAAAGTATCTTGATTTGTTGATTCTTCTTTCATACGACGATTGGATGTTGTATATTTGTTGTTGTTGTTGCATGTGGTAGAGGAAGTAGACGAAGTCAAATGTTTTGGAGAAGAGATGGTTGAATTGTTGTTGTTGGTGGTGGTTGAAGATGACGTGGTTGGTGGTGGTACTTTAGCAAATCCAATACGTACGTTGGTAAAAGTAGAAGAATGGATATGATGTTGTAAAAATGCTTCTTGAGCAGCACTTGCACTAGCAATGGTATCAAAATTGACAAAAGCACATGTCTTGTGTGATAAAATACGAATGGATTCAATTGTACCATAATTACCAAACACTTTTTCTAACATGGATGGTGTTGCACCAGAAGGAATATTTCCCAACCCTAAAAGAAAAGAATTTTTTTTTTAAAAAAAAAGATTAAAATGATGATAATTTTTTTTTTTTTACATACAAAGAGCTCTTGTAGCTTGATGTGTCAGATGATCTTGTTGAGAAGTCATTGTTGATGTAGTTGTGGTAGTATTATCAGTATGATTGGTAACAGAAGGTACAGATGTCGTAGCAGGAGGAGGAGGTGGTGAAGGCGGTGATGAAGGATCAGAAGTACGACCATAACCAATACGAACAATACAATGTCCCACTCTACCAGCCAAAGGACCTAATATATCTTCTTTGGCACGTATTGCATGTTCCACGTGATAGTAATTAACAAACGCACATTCTTTTTCCATCAAGAGTCGAACACTTTCAATAGGACCATAAGGAGAAAATGCCATGGTCAATGTTTCTGCTGTAATGGAGGCATCAATGTTTCCAATCCATAATGATCGTGAAGCTGTTGCTGCTACTGGCATGGTGGTGGTGGCAGTGGTAGTAGAAGATGGAAGACTGGATCGTAAACTAGTGGGTGTAGATTGACTGAGATGCATATAAGGCTATATAATAAGATTAGTAAGTATCATTCAAATCATATCTTTTCTTTTTTTTTTGTATTTACCTCTATAAATGTAGTTTCACTTTGATCTTGTTTATAAATAGAATCTTGTTGTTGTTGTTGTTGTTGTTGTTGAGCCAAAGGGTCATAAACCATATTAGCTAATAATTCAGAATCACCCAAAGACATATTTTCTTCTTCACCGATAACAGGAGTTAAAGGTCGATGCATTTGCCAAAGAGAGGAAGTGGAAGAAGCGGATGAAGAAGAAGAGGAGGATGTACCATTTGTATTATGGATTGAATGAGGTGGTAAAGGAGGTCGAGATATACCATGAAAAGAAGGAGGAGAAGAAGCTTGACCGAAACTAGTAGATCGAGTTCTTTGTTGTGGTTGTTGTTGTTGTTGTGATGAAGAGGTTGAGGAAAATGGATCCAATAAATGTTGATAATGATTTAAATGACTAAGATGTTGAAGTGAATTGAAGGAAGGTTTACTGACAGTATTGGATCGACCACGTATAGGGAAATGAGAGTTACCAGTAGTTGATGGAAGAGGAGGAGGATCATAACGAACAGTGGCATTAACAGAATAAGATCGATTTCGTGTGGTTGTGTTTGATGCAGAAGCCAATAAAGAAGCACGACATTGATTGATTAATTCTTCTTCATCTAAAACAGTTGTACTTGATGAATTAGCATCATCTTCTAAACCTAGAGATCGCATGGTCCGTGCAATAGAAAAATCATCATCCCCTTGTAATAATTGTTCAGTAGCAGGTGAAGGGGGTGAAGGAGTATTGTTGCCATGACTCATACTTCCAGGAGTATTAGTAGTAGCATTTGTTGTTGTTGTTGTTGTTGTTGTACCAGACCAAAAGAGAGAAGGAGAAGTATCAAAAGATAAAGAAGGTAAAGGTAAGTTTAATGAACCTGAACGATGTCTTCCGCCACCAACAGGAGTCATAATAGGTGGTGGTGGTGTTGAAGTAGGAGTAGTAGAAAGTAATGGTGATGATGAAGTAAATGGTTGTTCAGTAGTTGTTGTCATAATACTATTATTAAGAATAGCATGATTATGAGTAGCAGTTCGTAATAAAGGAGGTTGTGAAGAAGAAGATGATAATATAGAGTCAAAAGACATCATGGAAGGCATAGTTCCAGCTCTTGCTCTTCGTTGAGGTAAAGAATGAAGACGACCATTAGAAGTTGATGAAGAAGAAGATGCTGTTGTTGTTATGGTATTTGTTGTTGTTGTTGTTGTTGTTGTTGTATATCCATTCATATTAGTTGGTGTTGTCTTTGTGTTTCGAAGAAAGTTAAGTGAAGTAGGTTCAAGTACTTGGTCCAAATAACTTTTACCCTCATGTATATTGTTATTTTCCTCCATCACCACATCCAGATCCCTATTAAAAAAAAAAACATAAAGGTTAGATATTAAAAACAAAAACTTTATATTTCTTTTTTACCTTGAATAAACGTGGCGAGTGGGGTCTTCCATATAGAAATTTCAAAGTCGTCAAACCAAAAGGATAAAAAGAGAGAGAAAAACAAATAAAAAAGAAATACGTAGTACTTGTTTTTTTTTTTTTTTTAGTTGTAAAGAATAATAATAATAATAATAATAATAATCAATAATAAAGGGAGGGCAAAAGGGAAAATAGGTGAGAAAAAAAAAAAGGGGTGGAAGGAAATAAAAAAAGGAGAAAAAAAGGCTGGATTTTTTTTTTTTTGTTGTGTTGTTGTTTTTTTTTTTTTTTTTTTTTTTTGTTTAGCGCAACGCCAATTAGTCAACTTAAAGTTCTGGGTCCTTCTTACCAGTAAGGCTAAGTTTTATAGTGTCAAATATAATATATTGTATCATTTATATTCTCCTTTTTTCATCCCCCTTTTTTTTCAATTTTGCACATGTTTTCTTATATATATATATGACAAAAGACAAAGATGACTACTATATTAGGAAGTGTCTAAGAAAAATGATGGATTATAATTTCAATCTTTTTTTCTGTTGAGTCACAAGAAGAAAACATGATTATTTGGCAATATTAAGACCTTTCCAAAATGGGTATCACTCTATGAATTCTACCTTTTTTTTTTTTTTTTACTCTTTTTCTTTTATTCTATTGACAAAGGATATTTACTATAATAAAAGAAAAAAGGTGAATGATATGACTATATATCATGATATAAAGTTAATTGATACAAATTGAACATTGTTTGGGAACGCGTTCTCTTTTTGTATCTTTCTAGATTAGTATTTTTTTTTTCTTTCAGATATGTTAAGCAATAAAATAAATTACCATATTTGTGTTTCAATGTTATTATTTGAAACTGCCAAGTTACCCACTTATTTTATTGGTGTCATCACGTGTCATATCATCAACATCATCTTTATTAACCCATCTGTCATTTTAAGGATCATCCTCATATATAATAATAATAATAAATAAATAACTAATATTTTCTTTTTATTATATAATAATAAATCTAATAAGTATAAATACCACGACCTGACTTTTTGCCTAACCAACCAGCATCCACATATTTTTGAAGTAAAACAGAAGGTCTATATTTTGAATCACCAGTATTTTCATGAAGTACTTTCATAATTGATAAACAGGTATCCAATCCAATGAAATCAGCCAAAGTCAAAGGTCCCATAGGCATATTGGTTCCTAATTTCATGGTAGTATCAATATCTTCAGCACTTGCAAATTCACTTTCTAATAACATCACAGCTTCATTGATATAAGGCATCAATAAACGATTAGCCACAAATCCTGGAATATCCTTCACTACTGTAGTTGTCTTTCCCATAGCAGTTGCTAAAGCCTTGGTTTGTTCTACTACCAAAGGATCAGTAGCTAATCCAGGAATGATTTCAACCAATTTCATCACAGGTACAGGATTCATAAAGTGCATACCAATCACCTATTAATAATAATAATAATATAAATAAATATTATTTTTTATTTTTATTTTATTATTACCTTATCTGCTTTCTTAGTGGCAGCACCAATCTTGGTAATACTGATACTACTAGTATTTGAAGCAAGAATACAATCTGACTTGCAAATTTTGTCCAAATCATTGAAAATAGCACTCTTGATATTCAAATTTTCAGATGCTGCTTCAATCACAATATCCATATTATCCAAAGATTGAAGATTATTTGTAGTACTGACCAATTCACGTACAACATTGGCATGTTCAGATGTCATCTTGTTTTTAGCCACATCCTTTTCCAATAATTTGTCTATTGAATATAAAAAAAATATATAAATAAATGATATATATATATAATTTATATACTTACTCATAAAAGCAAGACCACGATCAGTTTGTTCTTTACTAATATCCATTAATACTACAGGTAATTGAGTCACATTAGCAGCAACGTATGCAATACCAAGACCCATTTGACCTGAACCAATTACACCAACACGTTTAATATGGTCAATATTCGCAGGCTATATAATAAAAATAAGTATAAGGTTTATATCATATATTTAATAAACTTACTGAAGACAAACTACGAACTTGAGTCTAATACACGTTTAAAAAGAATATAATGAATAAATAATAATAATAATAAAATAATAATAATAATAAAATAATAATAATAATATAATACCTTGGTAAGAGAGCGAGCAAGAAGACTATATGATTGACGAGAAAACATTTAAAGTGGAATAAAGAGAAAAAGAAAGAGAAAGAGAAAGAGAGCCGTGAGAAAAAAAAAAGTTACAAGATTTCGGGGACTTTGATGATGCCCCTAAAAAAGGGCATGTCGTCACTTTAGGTAGAAAAAGGAATCGAATGTCAGTCATTGTCGCGATTTTATCATTCTATTTCAAATGAAAATCAAAAATTGATAAAATAAAGTAATATATATATATATATATATATATATATATATATCAGTTAGTACATCCTCATCATTAAAAAAAGGATGACTCACAGCACGTAACTAAGACCGTTTTAACCGCGATCATAAGGGTAAAGAGGAAAAAAGAAAGACTACTACTGCTGAGAGGATGAAAGAAGTAATGGTTGAACTAAGGCCATTTTGTATCATGGTAGCTTACGCACATCAATACGAACCATAATGATAACAAGAGAAAAAAAAAAAACGAAACAAACAGACGGGCAAGATCGATAACAGAAAAGAAAAACGTAGCTTCTGGTGTAAACAGCGATAAAAACTGTTTACCTCCTGTCCTTATCGAAATCCAATACACAGCAAGCATGGCCTTCTATCGGCGATTGATCGATTATGGTCTGTCGATAATGAAACGACATTCATCATTGCCAATAATACTTGCCATTGTCATCCACAACACAACGGCAGACCTGGCCATGCTTGCCATTCCCTCTAAGGAACATTCTTTCTTGGTAGAACTTCCCTGCCATGGTTGGGCCCAATCCTGCTTGGTATTAAATGGATCATCAATCCTCGCCATAAGGAAAAATCCAGTAGTAATAGTACTATTCATTTTTTTTTTGCATGAATAAATAATCTCATTCAATTTTATTTTATTTTATTTTATTTTATTATTGATTCCATTTTATCATATTTTAACAGAATTTCAAAGTTTTACTACTTTTGTTCAATATTGTAAGATCATTACAGTTAACACAAAAATGGGCATTCTTATTGTTTGTGTAAAAATTAAAAACTCCGTTTTTTTTGTGCCCTCTTTTCTTTTTTTTTTTTTTTCTGCAAAACTCCCTCGCTTCCTTCTTTTTTTATTTTTCTCTTTTATATATACAACATATATATATATAAAACTTTCCGTTATATAAACACACACACACATATATATATATATATTATACCAACATGCATGACAAGTCAAGTATCCCTTTTTTACTAAATAATGAAACTCGTACTACAAACTTACTAAAGGATAATTTACCAATAAAACGCCAACGACAAACAACAAAGGAACAAGACGAAAAGCCACTTGTAAACAACGACAAATCATTACTATTATCACCTCGATCATTATCACCTTCGTCAAAAATAGAAGAAGAACCTAATGATACTTTTGAAAAACTGGAAACATCTTTACCCGAACAAGGTCGATCAAAACGAAAACGAAAACAGATCAATTATAGATTCCCATTATACGATTCAACTGATATTCTCAAACCTGGAAGAAGACAGATCTCTTCAGAATCACCTCGTTGGCATACTCAATCTTATATCATGTTATTGGCTTTACGCGAACAACCTGGTTGCTGTTTAGCTAGAACTCCTTTGATTAATGCTGCTGTGGCTATGGATGAAAAGATTAGTCGGGAAAGGAATCTACCAAGAGTCTTCCGTGGAAAGGTAAACTGAAAAAATAAAATAAAATAAACTAAAATAAAATACAAATAACATATTAATAAATTATTATTATTATTATTATTATAGACTCCTAAGAACTCGGCATCAGCAGTCTTAACCACTAATACAGAAAGATATTTTGTTGGTTTCAAACCTGAAGGAAGTCGAAGTACTCATTTCCGATTGGCTTATACTCCTGGCAACTTTGACAGTGCATATGCAGAATACAAAAAATGGATGGAAAAACTAGTTGGACATGATTGGCTTTATTGTTTTGGCATACCATTACCAAAGGATGACATTATCAATAATACTGAAGAAAATGGAGAAGACACAACATTGATCACACAACCTTTGATGACCACTGATACGATTTCTTTATCACCAATGACAATGAAGGATACAATCGATGAAAAGGAAAACAGCAATAACCAAGATACCAGCAAAGTGGAAACGACGATAAAGGAAGAAGGGCATACTTCTTCGTCAGATCCGCCGCAATCATTAGCATTTACAACCGCTTCATCACCATCATCATCATCATCACAACAAGAATCATCCAAGGTACAGAAACCGGAGGAGACACAAACAGAAAAGGTGGAACAACCAATTTATCAATTACATGAACTGGATCTTAGCAACGTTCCTACATCCTTACGAGATATTGTACGAGTAGATATATCCACTATTCCAAATGCTGGTCAAGGTTTATTTGCAACACGAAAATTACCTTATAACAGTCCATTGGGATTTTACTTTGGTGTACCGATGACAGAATTTGAATTTGATTCACTCAAGGAACATGTAGGTCGTGCATCAGAATACTCAATCATGTACCGCAAGACTGTGTTAGATGCAACGGATGAGACTGGAGAACCTTACTTATCAAAGACAGAAGAAGAAGAGAAGATCATGGCGGTACCTGACCAACGGCTATGTCCATTTCATTACATGAACGAGGCGAATGATCAAGAATTGGCCAACATTATCTTTGTTGAAGGTACGGTGGTGAATCAAATCATTTGTTGGACGAGGCGTGATATCGAACCTGGTGAAGAATTGTTAGTATGGTATGGTGCGGATGTCAATCGATATTGGTCAGAATACAAGAAACAACATGAAACATGATTTGGAAAAAGATCAATATTATTTAGCAAGTATTATGTTTATTATAGTAGCAGTTTTTATTCATTAGTTTTATTTATCTTTTAAATGAAAAAAAAAATAGTCTTGTGTTATATATTCTTTATTCAAAATGTTTTTTTTTTGGAAAAATAAAAATAAAAATAAAAAAATGACATGATATGAAACAAAATTATATATATATATATCTAGGTTTAATTATTATTAGATAGTAGTAGTAGTAGTATTGGATGTTGTGGTATGAGATTTCTTTTGTTCCATGGAATGACAAGTTGGACGGAAAATACTAGTATCTGGAATATTGATCTGTTTCCAACCATGAGATCGTTGTGGTGTAGAGGAAGTACGGAGACGAAAAGATGTAGATAGTTTCTTGAAAAAAGTGTCTTCATTGTCGGATGTAATGGATACGGCATCCTCTTTTTTATCCTTATGATGATTATATGATAAAGACGGCACTGTGGATAATGAAGGTAGAGGACGTGGAGGAGGTAATGGAACAGAATGGGAAAAAGTGGATGAAGAGGTGGATAATGAAGGACTACTTTTCTGCCTTCGAAGAGCAAAAGGAATCAATGATGATGAAATGGAATGGTTTAAGCATGGTGGAATGGACGGATGATTGCTTGATGAAGGATTGTAGGTAGTCCTTGAGATAAGAGAGACAGTAGAGGTATGGAATGAATGATGAGTAATGCGATGTGGATCAGTAGCAAATGGAATAAAGGCACTGACACGTAATAGTTCCAATATAGAAGAGCAAGCAGGATGGAGAAGAGCAGGATGATATTGCTGATGTTCCAAATATGATAGTAGTTGAGATTTCATATCAGCAGGGATATTGATCTCTTGTACAGCATTGTTTTGAATGAATGTTTCGATGATCCAATGAAACTTTGTGATTAAATAATGAAAACAAGTTTTTTCTTTTCTATTAAGTTGATGAATTTGATCCAATCGAAAAGTAAAATAAGTACCATTGGATAATTGGACTGCTGCTTCGTTGTTGTTGTTGTTGTTGTTGTTGTTGTTGTTGTTGTTGTTGTTGTTGTTGTTGTTGTTGTTGTTGTTGTTGTTGTTGTTGTTGTTGTTGTTGTTGCCTTTCATGGGACCAAAATAAAATCGAGTCATCGTTTTATAATCCTTCACCGCTCGATAAAAAGCAAGATTTTCAAAGGAATAGGTTTGATCCAAATAATCGGTAAAATCTCGTAAACTAAAAGGAGGAGCGACTTGATCATTTAATACCATTTCTAAAGTCATTCCTCCTTCACCTATTGTTGTATTTATGCCATTATGATTTATATAACTTGACATGATTCAAAAAAAACAAAAACAAAAAGAGAAGGATACAAAATAATAATAAAATAAAAATAATAATAATAAAAAAGCTTATTTCACAAATAAAAATAAAAATAATATCCCTTGATTAGGTCAAAGTAGTACAGATTATAAATAATATCAGTGCTTTTCATATTGGAATGAACTATTTTTATATTGACAAAAAACTTACCCGTGTTACCCTGAATTACAATTTTATATTATATGATCTTACAACTCTATTAACATATGATTTCTATTCATTAACATGACGATCCAGGTATTTGTCAATTTTCGGAGTGAAATCCGGCTCGTTCTAACTATCCTCTTTTTAACTATCTAATCAATGATTTTTTTAATGTTTTTATTAAACCCACTCCGCATTTTTATTGTTGTTCTACCAATCTTATTATTATTATTATTATTGATTACAATCATACAAATTGATTTTCAATCATTTCCAGAATACAATTAAAAAAAAAAAAAAGAATTGCGATTCCAGAAAAAAAAAAAAGATTTTTCAGAGCTTAATTTAAACTGAGGAATCATGACAAGAATCAACCTTTAAGACAAAGAGAAAAAAAGGCAAATGGATTAAAATAAAGTGCATATACACGATTTAAACAGCACTTGATTGACAATAGAATTTTTATTTGAACAGTACTTCTTTCCATCCAACTTTTTAACTTTGTCTTCGTAGAAAGACCACCATATCTCAGCCAATCCTTTCAGAACTCGGGAAACATTTGCAGCACGGAACATATTTTACTTTTGATGTGCCATTTTATCTGACAGACTGAGGGACATGATGACTGCAAGGAAAAAAAAAAAAGATTGTAACGGAATCTTTATTTGACATAACGTATAATAATAATAATAATAAAAGAACCTAAAACTAAATCACATTTTCTTTTCTGACCTTAGTTACCTTAAGGACGTCGAAAAAGTGGTTAGAACCTTTGAGAATAAATATTCGATTTCTTGGTTCGTTCCAACTATTTAACACAACTGTGGATGCCATCCGTAAGTGTGACATAAACGATGATTTTGACCAACAAATTGAAAAAGATCATTCTTCCGTTTTTCAGTTTGGGGTTGTTGTTGTAACTATTACAGACGCGTTCCACCTAAAAAAACATACTTGCCTAAGTAGACTTGGTATCCTTCATAGTAGGTCAGTTGATAATAGTTATGGAAAATAGATGTGATTAATATACCTTAGAAAAAAGTGAGATATTTGTAATGAAGTGACTTTTTGTGAATAACGTGAAATTCATACGGTGTTTGAATTTGTCTTTTTTTTTTTTTTTTTTTTTTTGTTTGCCCAAATGTGATTCACGCTGAGGTACGACCTGCTGCTGGGTGAAGGAGGAAAAAAAAAAATTAAAAACAAAACCTCTCTCTCTTTCCTTTTCTTTCTTTTAAGAGTGACAAAAAAAAAAAAAAGAATAAAGTAGTAAAAAAGGTCTTCTTTTTTTTTCCTTATTTATTTATTCCTTTTTATTTGTTGAATGCCTACACCATTTATGGCCGGTGATAGTCCTCACTATGGGAATACAACTGAATATCATTATTACCCTCCTTCAGGATCTATGACTGGAACTCCTTTCATGAATGGATCGGCTCTTCCTATGCCTATTATGATGAATCAATTTGGACCACCAACAACTGTAGGAACTCCTCCACTTTCAGCTCATCCTCGACATGCACCGCCACCACCACCTCCTCAAGCTTATTATCATCCTCATCCTCTTCCTTATTCTCACCATCCTCATCATATGGCTACTACGACTCCTCCTCCTCCTCCACCACCACCTCCGCCTCCTCCTCCTATGCCTGTCCCTATCATGTCTCCAGCAACTACTCCCAATCTTACCAATGTCATGGATCAAGAATATTGTGACTTTTTATATCATGTTGGATTCATTCAAGGTAAACAAAAAAAAAAAAAAAAAAAACTAAACTATATAATCCTATTCAACTCATTTTTTTTTATTTATTTATTATAATTTATAGGACGTCTTGCTGACACCATAGTAAATGTTCCTGGACTTGAAAAGACTTATTCACTTCATGCCCTTGTATTAGCGCGATCACCTACTTTGCATCGATTATTAAAGGATCAACAACATATGGACAATAAGAATAAAAAACAAGTATACAATTTAGTATTGAATGGTATACCTAGATCTGTATCAGAAGAGGCTTTGAATGCGACACTTGGTCATCTTTATCGACCTATGACCCATCAAGATGTTATGTACTTATTTGCCCGTCCACGCGTTCTTTTGTCTATTTTGGATATTGCCGACTATTTGGATCTTCAATCCTTGACGTCGATGATTTATGAAGCTTTGAGTCATGAATGGAATTTTGAAACCATCTTATTTTGGTTACCTTATCTGTCTGCCGTCGATCAATCAACAACAACAGAAGCAGGGTCGGAACGATTGGCATCCATGGAATTCGGTATTCATTATTTGACACATACATTACCTCATCAATTGGAAGCATTTTATAATGATAACTTTATGGATTTGGCTCATGTCTATGCACATCTACCTCTTGGATTATTGGAACGATGTATTGAACATGAAGGTTTGGGTGTACGTGATCCTATGCAACGATTTGAATTTGCAAAACAAGTCATGGCTCTTCGAAAACAATGGATGGAAATAGATGATGGTATTTCTGTTGCTTTACGTTTTAATCAAGGTGAAGTTGCTGTCAAGGTCATTCACCCCTGATTCTCTTTCTTCCCCCCCCTTTTTTTTTCTTCTTCTTTTTTACCTCCCTATTTGTACAGTTCATATCTATTTCTCTTTCTTTCTCACATTTATTTTACTCTATTTATCATCATCATCATCTTCATTATCACTCCTTTTATATTTTTGTCTCCTTCATTTGAACATAGTCATAGTAGTCAAGTAGTAATTAGTGTCTTTTATTCATTCTTCTTTCTTTTCACTCCTCTCTCTCTCTCTCTCTTATCAAATCTGCGATCAATCACAAATACAAAACAAATAAAAATAAAAAACATTTATATCATCCTTTTTTATAACTAAGGCAAAAGAATCATACGATCACCATATTTTTCTTTTTTCACAATACTCACCCTTCCATCAATACTGTCAAATGTATCTAATCAGTAAGGGTTCACATAATAGTGACATCAACTCTTTTTTTTTCAATGTCAGTAGATTCCCAAAAAAAGTGAGATCAAGATAAAAAAATAAAAAAACTTTAGAGTCATCATCATTTTTATTTCAAAAAAAAAAAAAAGATCAAAAAGGATATATCTACAACAAATAAAAGTAACTAAATACCAGAATGACATATAAAAAAAAAGAAGAAGGTGACCCTTGTTTTCTTATAATTTTATTCATTCACTTAAGGACATCCGACTGAGACCACCACTTGCTTCGTATAGATTGAATCCACCAGGTTGCGAATGACCTTTTTGTTGTGCACGAGCAGCAGCATTACCACTACTAGAAGAGGATAAACAAGGTGAGGACGCAGAGGAAATGGAGGATGAGGAGAGTGATGTTTGTGGTGGACTGGAGAGAGTTGCAGACAGTATAGGAGAACCAGATAAAGAAATGGATGGAGATACTGCTCTTCTTTTCAAACTAGTCATAGGTAATCCATTATTGTTGTTATTCATGGTATAATTATCTATCAATCGATCTTCTGAAGCTAAATAGCGATCAAAAAAGTTTAGTGATCTATATTTCTTTTTTTTTTGTTTTGAATTACCTTTTCGTTTGACACTTCGAAAAGAAGATTGCATTGGTGCTGGTAGATTTTCAAATTGAAAATTCTAAATTTCGAAAGGAGAAAAAAAAAAAAAGGAATCAAAAAAAAATGATATATACTATTTAATAACTTACTGTCATTTCAATTTCAGGATTCAATTTGGAACATTGATATGCCATAGGAGAAGAAGTCAATGAAGAAGAAGATGAAGGAAATAAATCCATTGGGGTAGTAGAAGGAGAGGTATGAGAAGATGACCAAGGTTGATATAAAGGAGGAGAAGTAGGAAATGAAGATGGTATAGAAGTGTCGTCCACTAGTTTTGATTTGAGATGTTGAGTTGTACTATTTTCTCTTCGCATTTCTAAATCAGCAAGATGAACCTCTTCTTCAGCCTGATGCATCACTCGTGTCAAAGCCTTGGATTTGGGTAATAAACTGGTCCGTCGAACAAATCGTCTTTCTGGCGTTCCATTTGAATGTCTGCTAGACGGAGTTGATATGGTTGCATTCTTTGTTGCCAAGGTAGATAAAGAAGAAGTGGATCGACTAGGTCTTAATCGTGGTGAGGTGGTAATATCTTCTGTAGGGTGATAAGTGTCCATGATTGTATCTCGTGAAGTCCATAGGTCACTATTCATCCTTGTTCTACCCTTTTTTGTACCAAATAATGAAGTTTCCGTAGGTTGAGGAGATCGACCTTGTTGTTGTAATGGACGACGTAAACTATCGGTGGGTAATGAACGGTTTTTAGGAGTGTTGTTGTTATTGCTGGTATCACGACTGCCAGTTGTAGAGGAAATAGAACGAGCGTCGTCTGAATCTATGCTCATTTTATATGAAGACGTGGAAGGAGATGCAGGAATGGAAGTGCAAGAAGATGATCGCCGACGAAGTGGTGGAGGAGGACATTCTTCAATATCAGACATACGGTTATGTTGGTCTTCATCATCAGTCAAACTAGTACGAGAATATCGACGACCCAAATAAGAAGTATCCATACTACAAATAAAAAGTTTGTTGGCGGGAAAAAAAAAAACAAGCAATGTATGAAAAAAAAAAAAAAAAAAAATGTAAAGAGTGATCCTTTTCTGTGTTTGTTTGTAGTTCCGCTTTCTCAAAAAAAAAAAAAAAAAAAAAAATGAAAAAAATTCCCTCCTCCTTTTTTTTAGTTGGATCCGCTCTCTTTTTTCTTTTTTTTATATATTGACTTCTTTGCATGTCGACAGCATCCACTGATCATGTCGAAAAATCAGTTGTATTATGGCATATGCAAAGCTGTATGGCCACGATTTATTCCCAATCCAAAGATAGTGATAACAACAATATCAACAAACGTCAACCACTTGCAACCATAGGGTTTACTAACAAAGCAAGATTTGGTCATCAAGGTTTAGATTCTATTGTAAATAATCCTCTTTTTGATTATAATTCATTGTTACTAACATTGTATTATTATTATTATTATTATTCTTAGTCAATAGTAGCACCTACCAAATACTTTCAATGTTTGACAACCATCCAACTACAAAATAATTATTTGACAAGTTTACCTCGAGAACTTTGGCGACTAACAGCGTTACGAAAACTCAATGTTGGTCATAATCAATTGGCAGAGATTCCAGCAGATATTGGACATTTAACACAACTAGAGGAACTGTATCTTCATAACAATCAACTCACCACTTTACCTTGTCAACTTGGACGACTTTTATCTCTGGAAGTGTTGGATGTAACTCATAACCCCAAGATGTCATGGTTGCCATGGGAATTGACTCTGATTACTACTTTGAAACATGTTTGGCTAGGTGGTAATTCTCTTCTCGCTACACCAACAACCATGTCACCCACAACAATAGATACTACAACAGCAGTGATACCCTCTCTTCGTGACATTTGCATTCAATTGGCAGGACCAAGGATAATGATGGCAATGGAGAAGAAACAGGATCCTCCACTTTCTCCTTTTATTTTACAATCGATTTTGGCAGCGGTGGATCCTTCGGATGACTTGAATATATCATTGGCTTGCAAATGCTCTGTATGTCATGATGTTTTGTATTTTCCTGGTATTTCATTACTTCAACCTCATGGTGTCCTTTGTAACCAAAGTGGTATTCCTTTATTATATAAGTTATGTGGTCAATCATGTAGAAATCGATGGATGAATGAAAATTCTCATTTACATTTAAAATAGTTTAATATCTAGTATATATATTCCTTGTACAAATAAATAAAGTTGAAAAAAAAAAAACGTTGATTCTTATTTATTATTATTTATTATTGTTATCAATGTTTTTTTTTTTTTATGAAATTGTTTTTTGACATTGATATTCAGCCTTATAGACATAAACACCATTTCCATATCTATATGAAAGTCTACTATCTGATAATCCTACGTTATTAACACAGCGACCAGCATTCATATTAAAAGGCGGCTTAACAGAACATCGACAAGTAGTTGTACCACGTCCATGACCAACATTTTCAGGATCACTCATGGAAATACCATACCAAAATGGAGTATTGGGAGGAATCTTTTCAGATTCGGTACAAATCGATGCACATTCTTCTGGAGTATAGACACCTTTGTATATATGACGAGATGTCTTTGTCACAGCCAGACTTGTATAATCTGATAACTTGTAACAGCCCTCTGTGGCTCTGATATCAGATAGAACGGTAGGCACAGCACAAGTAGGACAACGATAGGACACTTGATGGGCAAACACAGTGGCATTGAATAGATTTGTTCGATCCATCACACCTACCTTGATATTATTATTATTATTGTTATTATTATTTCCAGAGCCTGCTGGAGAGTCATCCGGATCATCAGGATCATAATCTAGATTTTCTGTTATAGAAGTCATCGTACGGCTGTTGCTACCAATAATAGGACATTGTGCTGATGATGATGATATAGGTAATCCTGTGCTTTCAATGCACATACAAGTGCTAGAAAGAATATCATTTAAACTATCATCACGGCCTTGTTCCACGGCAATGCCATAGTACCAATTGGCATTTGTTGGGATCTTATCATTTTCTACACAGTAGCTATAACATGTCGCTGGTGACCAATGACCTTGTAAGTCTATTTCTTTTGTGGCACTGGACTTCACTACCAAACCAGCAAATGCGTAGCATCCCTCGGTTTTATTTTTACTTTCCACTTCCATCGGCCTATGGCAACTTTGTGAGGGTGTAGATAAAAGAATTTGTGATGCTGATGAAGCATGTACTCGTGATGATCGAGTCATCATCTTTTGTGCTAATTGCGCTGATCGTGCAGATCGTGCACGGAATAAGCTTGCTAGACGTGATGATCGTATAAGGAATGATGAACGTCCAGGTATACGCCGAGATGAGTTGAATTTGAAAGGATTGCGATATAATGTACTTGTGGCATTCCAAGGGACGATAGTATCCGATAAAGAACTAGCAGTTCGTTGCTGTGTGATGATGTGGGCAGCTGGTGTTGGTCGTCGAGGAGATCGAGTATCAGCTATTGTTTCTGTGGCAGTGATGGTACGCATGAACTGAGACGGGACAATATGAGTACCACCAGCTAAAAATGTAATGGTCTTGCCATCTTGAGCCACTACTGTATCTGTGATACCCCCCAAGTCTAATGTGCTTGTCATCGATTCTGCTCCAGAAAGTGGTAAGGTAATCAACTGATCACGGAGCGCAACCACCGTCTGTGTGATGTTGTTTTCTTCTATTGGAAAATCGGTTGGTTTTTCACCCATCAATGTCGTCGTGCTTTGACCAATCACATAGACTTGACGTGTTGCTGCAAATTCAGGGATAATCATCTCACCATTTTCATCATACTTGAGATTGCGAAGAATATCATCCTGTATTCCATCATTGTTCGCAGCAAAAACGTGTGCATTTCTAGCGTCATTTACTGGCATGTAATATTCTTCTTCTTTTTCTTTTTCTTCTTCTTTATCATCATCATCATCATCGTCGTCGTCGTCGTCGTCATCGTCCCTATCATAATCATCATAATCATCATCATCATCGATATCAGTATTGCTGAGACCATTGCGATGACGATAACGATCATCATGACCACCATCATCATCATTATTATGATGAGAATCATCGCCATGAGACTCATCATGATGATAATTATCATGTTTGTGATCATGTTTCGGTCGTGCAAATGGAGGAGGTTTCCATGGTTCTCCTGGCGCAATTTTATCAAGAATAGAGTATTCTGTATTCTTCACTGGAAGTGTCACGGTCTCACCACCAATGATGAGAATGGTTCTGATAGCACCTCCCCAAGGAATGGTTTTAGTCACATGATAATTGTAAAAGATGGGTACAGTGATTTGTTGATTTTCAAGTTGTACGATCGTTTTTGTTAATCCTCTATGTCCAATCGAAGATGTTAAAGTGTATGTGAATCCTTCGATGACATCTAATCTTTGTGTTTTTCCACAACATGTCACGTTGTGTAAATAGGCAATGCTGTGTGTTTTTGTATTGTCCACAGTCCTAGTCCCATTGCTTCCTGGAGTATAGGTAGTGTAATTGGCTGTGCTATTCTTGTAAGCAGCTATAAAATATCTATCAGTATCATTGTCATCATCATCGTCGTCGTCGTCATCATCATCATCATCCTCATAGCCATCATCATCATCATCATCATCACTTTCGTAGTAGTCATTTGTGAAATTGAGGTAATGGAGTTTTTCTCTGACAATAGTATCGCTGCCGGCGTAATTTAGGAAATTGTAGTATGCATTGTAATCATCTTGTATAGAATCATCCTGATCAGAATTAGTAGTGTCTTTTGTATGATTATTATTGTTTGTATAGTCATCAACACAATAGATGACCCCTACTGTCAAATATAAATATAGGAAAAACTTGAATAGGATCATTTGTATGTCATTCCAAAACACAAAATAAAAAAGAACAAAGGAGAAAAAAAAAAGTAAATATAAAGTAGGATGGTAACAGATGGAAAAAAAAAAAAGATCTTCTTCCAGATTATATTGAAATCTTAGGTGATTTAATCGTGGCATCAACATCACTAAATATATTATCTTTGGTCTTTTTACTTTTTTCCTCTCGCGCCACAAAAAAAAAAAAAAAAAGTTCCGCCCCAACTTATTGGGAACGGATGAACGCGCATATAAATTTTTTGACATCCATACACTGGGAAAGGAATGATCGTATCTTCAACACACACAAATCATATTTATATATATTTATAACAATGGAAACTCATAGTGAGCCAGCTGTAATACCAATATACTGAAAAAAAAATGATAGAGTAGAAATTCACCAATTAAAGAAAAAAGCAGCACATGTTGCTATTTTTTTTTTTTTTTCTGATGAATCGTGTTTCAGTATATCTAAATATTCTACCATTGATGTATTGAATTGATTCATCTTGACCATGATATTTTATGCAGTTTGTGTAACCTAGAGGGAATTTTGTGATCAAGACATTCCAATTGACAGAAGGTTAAGATTTCGTCTGGATCCTCTGAAATAGAAGGATCGCTTGCCTATAAGAAAAAATATATTTTCTCTTTCTATTCTATAATATATATACATATACGTATACTTTTGTTTTTATGGAACTGTTTTAATGAGGATCAACTATGTCTAACAATGATCTTCTTCACATCACTTTTCTCCTTCTAGTTATAGATACGTGATAAATCTGAATGATTGATACTTGTTTATATTTTTTTAATGCTCGGATAAATTGACGGTTTAATATTTGTGTTAGGTTAATAATAATAATACGGACATCACTTCAAAAAAAAAAAAAAAGAAAAGAAAAGCAACCTTGGCAAGTGTTGAATACAACAAGGGCATCTTGATTTCGTTCTATTCCCAGTCATACATTGATCTTCAAAATGTAATACTTCATCCACTAAATAATAATTCAATAAAAACGTTATATAAAAATAAAGACAAAAAAAAAAAAATAAAATATGGATATACTGCGCTGCATTTTTATTCAAAAAAAAAAAAAAATAAAAAAAGATTGTATATGACTAGGTATCATCAGGATCCGAGATCCAAATACATCCAGAAGCAGCCAATTGAATTTGATCTTGTTCTGACATGGTTGTACTTTGAGAAGGCAAATAATCTTCGAATTCATAACCAAGTACCCAACGACGCCAAGCTTCGTTATAACCAGTTTCTAAATTACGGGTCCAGCGTTGGGTATCAAACAAACGACTGGATTCACGAGATAAGAATAAACGTTGTCGAAGGTCCATCAAAGCGCCTTGGCCACTTTTTGTTTGCACCATTGGATCATACGTATAAGAGATGGATTGTGCCCATGAGACCGCCTTTTCTTCATAACTAGCTTCATCTTGTACCACCATTTCTTGACCATAGCCTGTAGCGTAAGCAATACTGGCACCCACACGTGAGCACATTTTATGTTCGTACTTTGGCCATGTCACAATGGGCGTCCCCGACCAGAGGATATCGGCAGCAGTGGTATGAGCGTTGCATTCAGGTGTATCGAGGAACACATCGGCCACCCGGCCACGATGGATATGAATATGTTTGGGAGCCACATCGGTAAAGACCACACGACTGCTGACTTGAGGACCTGCCCAATCCGTGGCAAACCGTCGTAAATGTTGTTCACCTGCAGGTGGAAACCGTAAGAGCCATAGGATACTGTTGGGTACACGCGCCAAGATACGAAGCCATAATCGAAATGTAGATGGGTCGAGTTTGTAAAGTTGATTAAAGTTGGCAAAGATCACTACATCTTCTGGAAGATCGGGAAACACTTCTTTACGCATTTTCCATCGTTTTTGTTCTTCCTTTTTCCACAAAGCACTGTCGTTAGAAGAAACCGTCATGTTGGCTAGCATCACTGTAGGAGTAAGATCATTGGATTCTTGTTTGAGTTTCTTTTGTTGAGGTTGTGTTGTCATGGAACCAGTATCATCATCATCATATTCATGTTTTTCATTTTCATCTTCTTCTTCACGGAATCCTTGTTTGTGATCATTGACAAAATATGAATGAGGCATATAAATAAACTTTTCCATATATACAAAGTCTTCTCGTAAAGATTCCGGATCCAAATCACCTTCCAAATCGCCTAAACTTCCAATAATAGTGTTATTGCTTGTTTGTCTTTGTTGATCTCTTCTCCATTGATCACAGGATACAGTAGATGGAGGACATACCACAGGGTCAGCAATGATCCAGTCACACCAACCACCTCCCAAAGTACCGGCAAAACCCATAAAAGAACATTGAACAGGACATGGTCGAGCGGCAAAGATTTCGTTTCTAGCCCCTTTTGTGTATCCATTCAAATTGACCAAGATATGAATACCATCAAAAAGAATCCGATCCACTATTTGCTGATTAGACCACTGAGTGACATCAAGAAAATGTTCTGTTTCCCGTTCGATCTTGTGACGGTAGGGAGACTGATCACTTGGGGTTGTTGCATAACAGTATACTTCGTAACGAGTTCGATCATGGAAGCCAAAGACAGATTGCATAAGATGGGACAATGGATGATTGTTAAAGTCAGAGGATACATAGCCAATCTTGAGACGAGGATGGGGTGGTGGTGGTGGAGGATACACATGAGAAGGGAGCCATGAGGATGAAGTAGAAGATAACGTTGCATGACTGATTCGAAGTGCATTGCGATGTGATATTAATCGTACTTGTCGAGGTGTCAAAGGATAAGTAAACGTGTGAAATGGTAACACGGTAGGCACTGGAGGTGGAGATTGTAACATATTACTACTTTCTACTTTGGTGGATGAAAGTAAAGGTCTTGCATACTTTTTCATTTCATCTGGTGTGACTTGAGTGATTCTATGATGTCTTGTCAATAATAATGATGCTGTTGAGGAAGGCTCTTCTTGAATGGTCATACCAAAAGTATCCAAGTACCATTGTCTTTGAATGCGTCTGGTTAAACGTTCTATCAATCGGATAAGCCAGCCACCTTCATTTCGATGATGATAGTTTCCATCCTTCTTGTCATCACTGTTGTTGTTGTTGTTGTTGTGTGCATAGAATGTCAACCGTTGGTACCATAAAGAAGTCTGTTCATTATAAATACTTGTGCCACCATTACCATTGCCAGTCAATAATGAGATCATGCGATGAATCAATCCATTCAATACTATACGAGGCCAATTCTTCTTCTTGTCTTCTTGTAATAATAATAATTGTTGTTGTTGTTGTTTGATCAAACCTTGACCCCACATTGATCCTTCATTTAATTGCTGATTCACAATCTCTACTAATCGACCCATCCATCCATGATTCTTGTTTTCTATTAGTATGCCATCATAGTGATGATGATGTTGTTGTTGTTGTTTTTGTTGAGGTAAAGGGATCCATTGGCCATAATCATCCACCATTCCAGTTTCTAATTCACCATCACCAAGTAGTACAGTCTTGCTTTTTGAATGATCGAATTTCTTGGTCGATAAAGAGACATAACCACGTCCACGCCAATCACATACACCACCCAAAGCATTGATCAAACCACATACTGCATCTACAAAGTCAGGATTAACTTGTACAGCTCTTCGATACCATTGTATTGAATCTTGAACACGACCCATGTCCTTGATAGCATTTCCCAAATTGGCCAGAGCTACATCAAACCTAGGATTATATTCGACAGCCTTTTCATACATTGCCACAGCTTCATTCAAATGACCCATGTCTTTCAGCAGAGAGCCCAAATTGGTATAAAGATGTGGGTGTCGTGGATCGAGTTGAAGACCATACATATAATATTGCATAGCAAGCATGGTGCCTGATAAAGGTGGAGCAGCTGGTAACTGTTGTTGTAACGTTGACAGATTGCTGTTGTTGTTGTTGTTGTTGTTCATCATAGAGACTGCTTCTGCTGTAGGAGATGATAATCGAATGGCGGTTGCAGTCATAGTGCTAGGTAAATTGCTGAGAATAATACCCAAATTGTTTGCTGTGGATGGACTTGGATGTAATGCTAAGCTGAGGTAGTATAGAGGAAGTAAGAGAGATAAAGAAGGTGAATATGGATAACCATGATTGCTTTTGGTTTCAATTTGTGCTAATTTTGCTGCTGCTGCTACCAATGCTGGTGTAGATGGATTCATGATATCTTGAAATAATTTCGCTAATGTTAACATGATAGTAGAAGTGGTCTGATTGGATTGTTGAGTGATATTGGGAGAACTTGCTTGATTTGTGTTTGTATTTCGATGATGGCGGCGATGATGATGAGTGTTTGCAGTTGAAGATCCATGAGATTCATGTTTGTTGGAATGGGTTGTTGTTGACTTGTTTGGTACAAGGCCTGGTAAAACGCCACCAGTGGATGAAAATGCGATTTGGGTAATACGAATAGCTTGATCCGGTTGAAGTAAAATCAAAGGTATACCTGATATACTGTCACTGTTGTGATTCATTGATGTTTTGCCCATACATGCCATTGCTAAATGTTGCACCACAGAACCCCAACTCATACCATCAAAAACAAGATCCAGTCCTTTTTCATATTCCATTCTTGCTCCCAATACATCACCAAGAGCATACTTGAGGTTCCCTTTAGCATAGAATAAGTTTTGCAGTCGAGGTAGTTGATGAACTGGTAATTCTGGTGGTAATCGAATAGGTTGATGATAAGTTGTAGAAGATCGACTATTGAAGAAATGTTGTTCAACGTATTCACATACTGCTAAAGCTTCTTTGTATCTAGGAGGTACTGTATTTCCATTTTCAGTCGGTGTTGAAGATATGTCATTTGTGTTCTTGATAATAATAATAATAATAAAAATAATAAAAAAAAAAAGGGAAAGAAAGAGATCAGCATATATAGTGATATTAAAACAAATTATATTTCTTCTTTTTTACATACCTTTGTATCCAATGTAGGAGATGTCATTGGATGATCTTCCATTCCAGCAGCAGATGGTGGAGGAGCAATCTTTTCAGTTGATGAAGAACATAACACACCAACAAGGTTTTCTACAGCGTCCCAATATCCAGGCCTTAGTTGCACTGCCTGATACCACCAACGTTCTGCTTCACTCTTTCGACCTAGACTGCGCAAAGTGGTTCCAATGTTGCTCATAGCTTCTACATAATTTGGATCATATTTCAGGATCAAATGATTGAACCGGAGGGATTGTTGGTAATCTTGATGAGTATAATAAACACAAGCCAATAATAGTAGTGTGGGTAAATGACGTGGGAATGTGTCATGTAAGGAGTGTAAAACGGTCAACAACAATGGATTTTGTGGTGATTGGGCATATAATCCATGAGCATACTGTAAAACGTTTTCTCTCCATTCTTCTCTATATTCTGCACTGGCATAGGGATGAAGTACTAAAGGTGACGATTGTTGATGATGAGGTGCTGATGATAGAGTGGAGGAGGCAGCTATAGATGACATGATTTGATTGAGATGTTGTGTCGCCATTGTTCTTGGAGAAGCTAGACCTGATGGTTGAGGTGGTAATTGAGATGGAAAAGCTGTTGAACCCACTAAACCTGAAACAGAATCTCGTAACTGATGTTGAGAAGGTTGGTCTATTCCAAAAGATGGGTATTGAGATCCAACGACAGGCTGTGTATTCTGTAACAAATCCTGTTGTTGTGTTGGTAAATTATTTTGGAGTTGAAACGTATTTTGCTGTTGTTGATGGTGGTGACGCTGATGAGGTGGGGTTTGATGCAAAGGATGTTGTTGTTGTTGTTGTTGTTGTTGGGTACTATACTGTTGTACCATTTGTTGTTGTTGTTGTTGTCTAAAAGTACCCATAGAATGTAAGTCTTGAGTATATCGTTGACCATCTAGTTGTAGAGAAGGCGCTGATTGATATAACTGTAGATCTGCTTGTGCTCTTGGTGAAAGGTATTGTCGATTAGGATCATAATAATGATTTACCCAACCATCGGATCCTTCAAAATAATAAGTTGCTAAAGTGGGTGACTGGGGAGGAACCATAATGGAAGGAAGATATTGTTGTTGTTGTTGTGGTGGTGGTGGTGGTGGTTGTTGCGGTTGTGGAGGAGGTTGACGTTGATAAGATAATGGTTGTTCAAGTAATATTTCTTGATTTCCTCGCCTTGGTAATGATGTTCCTGAATGTTGTAACTGTGGATGATGTTGTTGTTTTAACATGGCTGCTTGAAGTCTAGGTGATAATAGTTCTTGTTGAAAATATGCGAAAGCAGCTGGATCATTGTGGTAATATTGATTATATGCCGTTGAAACCTAACCAAAATAAAAACGATCCTTTTAAGTAAACAGAAAAAGTGGTTTTTTCTTTTTCTTTTTTTTTTTTTTTTTTACCATCCAAGAATTGTGTGCGACAGGCTCATTCACAGAACGAAAATAATGTTGATTTTGTTGTTGTTGTTGTTGTTGTTGTTGTTGTTGTTGTATATTGTTACCATTAGAAGGAGGTAAAGCACCAAGGAGATGATGGTCAAAAGAAGTGGAATCCAAATATTGTGGAGGCTGTTGTTGTTGTTGTTGAAAAAACATAGTTATGAATATTTCTTCAACGTATATGGTTTGGTATAATATATTTATATACAAAGATGGAGTATAAAGTCAAAAAAAAAAACACCACAACGTAGACTTTTACACAAATGATAAAGGGAAAAGGAGAAAGAAAGAAAAAAAAAAAGAATTAAAAGAAGAAAAAAAAATTCTGTACTTCCCACCGTAGCGCATAACACTTTCTGAGATACAAAAAAAAAAGTAACAGAAAAAAAAAAATATGGAACCCCGATGATGTTTAAATAGTTTGTTACAAATTTCTTTCACTTCTCAATATAAGACAAACAGTGAAAAAAAAAAAAAAAAAAAAAAAGATCAGATAAATAAGAAATAAAACTTGAGATGATCATTGTTCAAATTAGAATGTCATCATTTTTATTTAATACATTATCATTAATGAAAAAAAAGAAATGATTACTTAAACAACATGAATCTATAAAGTAAAGAACAAATATGAGAAAAAAAAATGATATTTTATTGATTCAGATTTAAATATAATTTAACTATAAATCAGATTAATAAAGCAAAGAGGAAAAAGAGAAAAAGTTGCTGCTGTAGAGAGAATGGTTAAATAATTGGTATTGGCATACTGATCAGCATATGTTTATTGACCCGTGTGAGATGGCTTTGATCACTTTGTCCAACGTATTTTGTACACCCTTGAGCATCAATGAACCATCCATTTCCTTGTACTTGACGAATAGAGTTTCCAACCGAATGTATGATAATTGACTGAAGAGTCGCGCAGACTATGTTACAGAACCATAGCGGTCAGTGACATAGCGTCGAATGGCTTACCAAAAAACACACACACAAAAAAAAAGAAGCAAACAGACAGACAGACAGACAGAACCAATAAAGAAAAAGAAGCTTCCCACAAAAAAAAAAAAAAAAAGAAGGGAGGCGTCAAACGACCATACAGATCAGTCCAGTAGGACCTTTTGATTAGATCTATATAATGATTTTATATTAGATGATGAAAATATAGTTATCTTGTATTTTTTTTTTTTTTTACTTACTTGTTTTTTGTTTCTTCTTTGTAGTATTGATAAAAAAAAAAAATACAAAAATTTTGTATTTCAGTTTTTACACCAGATCCATCGCCAGCGGTAGATATCTTCATTCAGACACATTTGGCAGAATGTCACGTCTTCACTCTTCTGCTTCACATCCATTTTGTATCTGAAGTTATAATTTGGTGATTTAAGAGTCGATTAAGAGGACAATTGGTTTTTCAGGCATATAAAAGAATTTTGACAAGACCAAGATATGTTTATTTCCTTTTCTTTGCTAATATGTAATGCTGAAATTTGATTCTCCAAAGTGATTTCTAATCCATATATAGAGCAAGCAGCATTAGCTGCAGATAATATGATTGTCATAGGCGGATGCTCAGGTAAAAAGAGATGACTGCAAATCCATCAGTCATGAATGAATTATTTTTTTTCAAAAATACCATATCTAGAACAATCAATCAATCAGTATGACAATGATAAATTGAATTTTTTTTTTTTTTTTTTTTTTTTACCCTTTGAAGGTTGAAAATATCAAAGTTAGGATGAGGATGATCAGCTGGGATAGGAGTTTTGAAAGGATGGGCATATTGTGGGAGACTGAAGTACGTCAACATAGTTCGGAGCATAAAGTTTGTACTTGTTGAGGAGGAGAGCCGGTAGAAGTGTTCAAACATCCGTTTAGAAGACCAGTTGCCATGTACTACGATGTCGTCCACTGATATGCCTGCTTTTGCCGAGAATATGATGATCAATGTGGATGTACTTCAGTTTGATGGCTGGAATGGGAGCGATGATAACGGTTGTGCTGCCGTGTCAGATATGTTGCTGGCGTGAACGTGCTATTTTCCAGTAGCTTTTGTGCTTGAGTAATGGCAACTCTGTGAATAGAACCTTGGATGAATGCAATGGGCAAGCATTGAGAAATCCCACCAAATTTCTTTTCTTGACAGGTTGGAGTTGAGAAGAGTGTGCACGCCGTTTGACCAGTTTACCATCAAAGGTTCCTTATTCGTTACAATTTTTAGTCAAGAAATGTACCAGTGAGATTCGTGATCATTGTTTTCAAACTTCTAGGAAAAAGTTGTCAAGGAATGGTGCAAGTTAAATTTGACGTGTAGATAAGACAGGATAGTGAGTCAGTGAGATTCCTTTATGTTTTTTTTTTTATAACGTAACCGGTTCTAGACCAGCATCTTCTAGCTTTTTTGATGCCCAAATTTTGTTTTCAACGGTGACCTCTAAACCATAAATTGAGCACGCAGCATTACCGGCTGATAACACGTTTGACATGGTGGTAAAAAAAAAAAGAAAAAAAGAGCGTGTTCTGTTGAGACTTTAAAATAAGATTGATAAACCACCTATAGACAAAAGACTTTATTGGTTAATAAAAAAAAAAAACTAGAATAAGTCATTACCAATCAGTTGGCAGTTAGATGAATAAATATATATATGTAATAAAGAGATATGACAAAAGAACAAATAGTTATAACAGATAAAAAAGAGATATATAAAAATAAAAATAAATAGAAAAGAAAGAAGTTTCAAAAAAAAAAAAAAAATAAGAAAAAGAGGTTCAAAAAAAAGAAAGTTTAAATCCAGTACAGAGGGGGAACAAAAAAAAGTTTACACTTACCATTTTAGTTATTAAAAAATAAAGATCACATTTATAAAACCATCAAAGGATGAACAAATTTAATAGACTAGACTAGAGAGGCAATCAATACATGAAATAAAAGACAAATGTTGATATTTTATTTGTTTTTAAGAAAAAGGGAGAAAGCTTGTCGCATTACTAGTGTGTACTTCCACCTTTGTTCAAAAAACATATGCGCTCCCAGATCTTTACGGACACTTCGAAAACGACACCCAGTTAAAATTACATTTTTATTATTTTTACCAATTAGCTTTCACTGCATGTTATTACATCCTGGGAATACCAAATCAAACTCACACCCATCATCACAATAACAACAGAAATTCACCAAATATAAAAGTGGAATTTTAATTGGGTGTCGCTTTTTTAGTGCTGGACCAATCCAGAAATCCGGACACGATAAAAAAAAAAAAAAAAAAAACACCAAAACGGCGCTGATCTCATTTCTTCCTTTCCCTCTTCTTTTGACAAATGACTCCTTGGACATGCAGGTTACCAATTGCACATAAATACAATGATAACTAATCCACATTATACTCTTAAAGGTAGCACCCTTTATGCATGCGCGTGCCCTCCTCTTCTACTTAATCTTCCTTTTTTTTTTTTAGTTTCTCTCATTCTCATTCTCTGACGTACTCTATTTTTTAATTGTCCTTTACCCAATGTTTACTCTTTAAGCGAAAATACAGTAGATAGATAAACAACGAGAATATACAATAGGATCAACTGGATGTACAACAGGGTTTCAATTGAACAAAGAATGGCAAGTCTAATGGTGGTAAATATATCACTCTTCTTGTTTAGGTCGCTTCTCTTATCCAACTCTTTATTATGAAAATTATTTTATTCAGTAGTTTAGTCTTTTAGCTAGTGCACATAGTAATATACTTTCTGTAAATGGTTGGCTTGGTCTTCTTTTTTTATTTACTCCTTTTTGTAGTTTATATACCTGTACAATAAACCGAGAAGTTGTTCCTTCTTTTTGATAATGATACCTCTTTTACGATGTTGAGAGCAAAGTATGATGGTTGGACGAAAGGATGATTTTAGGACACGTTAATAATAAATAAAAAATGATAAAAATATGACTTTTATTTAAGTAAGAATATAAAATAAAAGATATACTAAATATAAAATATCATTAATTTACACGAAGTACATTACTTTTTGTAAATCAGGCTTGACAGCAGCGAAACTGGCCATTTGACTATCACTATCCATTGATTCACTTGTATCAGTGTCTTCCCAGTTTTTACCCTTACGATGGAATCGAGCACAAGCAGCAACCAAATCAGCATAGTAAGCAGGAGGACAGATAGAGACAGCACGAGTAGCCCGACCGTAGGCGTAGCACAGTCGGTATGTGAGTTCTTGAAGAGCATCAGGAAAAAAATTATTGTCATCATAAAGTACATGGTAGTGAGTAGGACGAGAAGTTCCTTGGAGACCAGCATGTGATTGCAAATCTACGTAAAGTATATATATATATATATATATATATATATAAATCAATATGTCATCCTAATACACATAGTCATTTGAATACTTACAGAAATCAAATTCGAAAGGATGTACAATATCAGTATCCACAACGGTACCAGGTTGACAGTTGCCACTTCGATCAGCATCACCGGGCCTAGTAGCGAAGAACCGGGTACGATGACGTTTTTGAACAACCACAAAGGTGACAGGAGGCTTGTAAGTTTTATCCAAAGAAGCACAGGCAGCATGGATGGCAGAAACTTCATTTTTTAGAACCTGATCGAATTGACCTTCAGAGGCACCATCACGATAGAACAAGATTTTTTGAGGTTTTTGGCCACAGCCTTGATAGAATGTCTTCAACAATTCCTTGACCATGTTAGCTAAATCAGCGATAACTTCAGTACGATTGGCTTGAACACGGACAGTGGAAGCATAATATGCAGCATGAGGGTCCATAGTTGCAGTCAAAGCAGCAACGGAAGGCCTGTTCATATCACCAGGAGCAGGATGAGTAACTTCAGCACCAAAAACAATAGCGGGTTCGCTTGATATGAAAGGAATTTCAGACCTATCGAGCATCCAGTTTACACCACCGAGCTTCATATTCACTTTCAAGCAGACATTGGCACAATATTGTTTCTTGGCATTAGCAATATGTTTACTTTGGACACATTGAGTAGGAATACCAATAACTATATAAAAAGGGTATGAGATTATGTAATGAAAATCATCTTTTTTTTTTTTTTTTTTTTTTTTACCTGTATCAGAGACACGTATGATTTCACCATAGAGAGCAACACCAGTGTTGGGCAAGATACAGCAAATCAATTGAGGTCCAGCCTTTGCAGCGTTACCGGCCTTCAACCAAGCTTCCTTGAGAGTACGTTCAATATTACCTTGGGGATTAGCATGGGTAATAGGTGGTTTGCGATTGATGACGTTCTGTATTTTTAATCATAGAAAAATAAAGTAAATAAGAAAGATGAGCATAAATTTTGTTTTTTCTTTTATTAAAGAAAGCTACTTACCAAACCAGTATCAGTAAACGTTTGACATAATTCACGAATAAAACACTGGACCATACCTTCATGGACATTGCTTGCAAAATTGACGACAGACCAAGAACCCAAATTGGCACCCATTGCGACCTTCTTACCACCAAGGTTCCAAGCACCACCGCTAGGAGCAAAAGTAGCATTTTGAGAGGAAGGATGGAAAGAGATCTCTGGAGCAGGAAGAACTCGTGCATTGATCATGACCATATCGTTCTTGACATTGACGCCAAATTGTTGAACATATGGGTTATCCTTGTATTTCAGAAGATTGACACCTTGATTGATCTTGTTGGCACGGACAGCGGGGTTTTGGCTAGTAATATTAGTCATTTCAGCAGTTTGCTTTTCGTTCAATTTCTCCGTATAGCGTTGGCCAGGAAGGACTTCACAAACTTCCATAGGCAAAAAGGTATCTTTCTTGACAACAATACAGGGTAAGAAAGGATAAGCAAAACGTCTGTTGTAAGTCTTTTGAAAGTATTGAGCAACCGTGATTTCATTTCCAAGTTTATCTTTGAATACAGTATCTTCAACAGAGGTAGGAGTGAGCTTATTAATCTTGTACTCTAATCGCTTGTCAGCACCACGATGGACAACAACGATCTTGAGATTCTTGAGTATTTTTTCGACTTCGATACGTTCACTATCAGAAATACCATGACGAAGATCATCAAGACTATGGCGATCTAGTAACTTGGGTAACAATTCATGAAGAGGACCAGATCCATAAAAGGTAGCGGTACTAACATCAACATTGACCATCATTTTGCCTATAAACAATGAATAATTTAATATTAATAAAAAAATATTAAGGATTATATGTTTTCTATGTTACCTTGAGTAGGACGAACAGATTGATGAATGCCTTGCCATACTTCAGCACCATTGGGTAAAGGACGTTTATCCTGGGGAGTGAAAAAGGATCGATCCACAGTGGGATATTGCATGCTTGGAACATGATGAAATAATACATCGAGAGCCATAATAGCTATGACACGGTTTCAGAAAAAAAAAAAAAAGGTTAATAAAAAAAGTTAATAAAAAAGAAGTTAATAAAAAAAAGACCAAGACTGATAATAATCTTTTTTTTTTTTACCAGCTAGACAATTGTTGTTAATACCAGAACTCCCATCCAAGAATGATTGTAATTCACTCATGTTGATTACACCTACAGGCTTAATATTCAACTTGAATACACCACCAGAACGGTTTCCTTCTTGAAGATTGACCTATAAAAAGAATAAAATAGATGAATATAAGTGAACCAATAAAAAAAAGAGTGATCAAAAAAAATATAATATTGACTGGAACAATGAGCATATGATAAATGAAGTCATTTTTTTTTTGTTTGAAACAAACTTACTTCAAAAGAAATCCCAAGATTATTATCACCACATTTCAGAGGTTTTGGAGAAAAAAGATTTGCACGGCCATCAAAGACAGGTTTGACCTTGTTAAGAAAAGCTTGACCTTCAAGACTATCTTCAAAAGATTGCCATACCTTTCTAATTACAGCAGGAGGAGTACCATCAGGTAATATTTGAATATTCAAGTGTTGTATATTTTGAGCTGGAAGACTTGTCCTTTCAAAGAAATTGCTTCGTACTCGTATTGGTGTACCGACCATGCCAGTATTGGGTCGCATGACGAGTTGAGTTAGATTTCTGTTTGAGATATTTGCCATAATAGAAGAGTAAATTCAATTAGATCTAAAGCATTCCTGAGGTAACGTTGGCTTTGGTGGAAGTGGCTGTGTAGGTATCTTACCTCAAGAGCTTTGGTTTTTTCGAATAACAGAGGTTCTTTTTCCATGTTATATAAAATTTTCTCCACTTGATACCAGCTGTTGAACGTGATCGAGTGGTATAGGAATTGTTTGAATATTTTACTTGACGTCTTGTCAAGTAAAATTAGCTGATATCGATCTCGAGCTGTTAAATATGTGTCTATTTCCTCCAGCAGTTCCAGAGGAAGACGTGAGAATGGTGATGCCATGATATGTGATGAAGAAAGAAGAAGAAAGCAATTAGCCACAATAGAATAGACCACGAATATAAATATGATACAGCATGTTTCAAATGTTAATATAACAATAT